CGCTACTACGTCGCTGCGACGTTCTTGCTGTACGCACCCTTCACCCGCGGCATGCGATGTCGGGGCATGATATGCATCAGGCAGGGTCGGGTACGGTTCCTCCTTCTGCTGTGGTCCTCGCTGCATGCATCACTGATAACGTGTATGTCGTTGACAGTGCCTTCGGGGCGGCGGCCACCGCAAAAACGAGCGGCAGAAGGTGCGCCGTCTTCGAGTGGAGACCTTGGTGGCGCTGGAGACTGGATCCCAAACAAGCGACCTCGATACGACACCCCTGAAGCCCCCGTTGGACGTAAGCAGCGCGGCAAACTGAAGCATAGGCGGTACGACACAGACTCTTTTCTTCAGCTACCGGGATGCTCACAGGCATGGCCAAGGATCATGGGTGCTCGCTTGGAGTATGCATCCTCTCACGATGACAAAACACTGTCGTACTCTTCACAGAGGTGCCGTCTATTAATCTCGCTCAGCCGTTACTGCTCGTGTCTTACCGATACCTGTCCTAGCTCCCCCGGAACCCCCACTCTACTCAGGCTAGTCGCGTTGCGAGCCGCAGGCATGGTGACAAACGAGGCTTGCACGCATTGATGCGCAGCCCTCCCGTCCTGACAGAGCCGGGGCCTTCTTCCAGTCGTCCCTTGAGCTTGCATAGGCCAGCCTCCTTCGATGGTAGTGAGGGTTCGATCCGGGCTTACTCACGCCCAACTTACGAGGTGAAAATTAATTGGGATCTCTCTACAGGCGACGTGAGCCCATCATCATCAACCTCGTCGTCGCGCACTGCCCGTGTAGGCGAAACGCACAGCTCAGCGGAGGTATATTTCACGGGCTTGTCGGACCTTTCTGGGTCCGAGTCGTTCAGCATTGACAAGCCTGTTAGCGGCTGGGAGGGAGATGTGATCCCCGGAGCTTCTCTGTTAGATGGCAACGCAATGTCAGCGACGGCTGGCAGTGCGTCGGCGAGTAGCCCGAGCACCGCCCCGGCGTGATTGAACGCCAAGGTGCTTCAGACCTCCGGGCGGTCTCGTCTGCATACCGGCGCATGTTATGTGGCCCATTCGTCAAACATGCTGAGAATGCCGAACGAACATCGGCGTCAGGCTTCCTGCCCAGCTCAAATGTCGACGGGCTCCACTTCTCTGATGGGAGTGAAATGTGCATACGTAGGGTGAGATACGCAGCTCTTCGGTGTTCTTATGGCGTGGATCTCATTTACACCGAACAGGGGCCCAAAGATGCGGCTACAACGCAACGTGGCCATGGAGAAATCGCAGACAGCGCGCCTACTCGGCCACGAACCGGCTTGTCGATAGCGGATCTCTGCCACCCTGTGTCTGATGTAGGTGCAGCAGCTCTGTACTCCTTCGGAGGAGCTTCCCAGCAGTCCCCACTCCACCAGAGTTCCGGTGACAACAGCCGCCAGCCGGTGGAGCGCGCTCCTACTGCTGGCGTCGAATCCGTGTTGCAATCGAAGGAGGTCTTTGACAAGCCAGCACTGTACACAGGATCAGACGAGGAGACTCCTGAGCGTAGGGCGACTCTCTCCGGCCCTTCAATCGCTGACCACGTGCCTGCGCAAGCGTCGAATCTTCCGGAGATCAGCCCCGTCACGAGCTTGTCGAGGCGAGGTGGGACAGGCGGCGGGTCGTCTTCGAGGAGGAAAAGACTGCGCAGTCCTTCTGCAGGTGATATCGGCAGGGTGGATTCCGGATCTACGCGTGGCCCACCGTCCGCCGTTGCCTCGTCCATATTTTCCAGCACTTCCCTAGGCAGCCCCGCAGCTGCATTCCCCGGCACGATTGCGACGCTGTCTCATCAGGCCTCTTTTCCCTCTCTCCCTGGCATTCATGGCCTTGTAAACTGGTCTCCGAATTCACAGGGACATCCCTCCGACAACAACACCTGGGCCATCCCTTCCCAGGAAAGGTCAGGGCTGTGGAGGCCTTCAGCAAGCCCGCGAGCTTCGGCTTGCCATCTCTACAGCAGTTCGAAGCTGGTAGAGGCCAAGCGACGGCAGTCGCCGATCTTATATTGCCCTGCGTGACTTATACGTCGGTGCCACCAATAATCACATCCGCTTCAACTAACGCACCGTCTTCTGAGACACGACCTGCGGCGAGGATGCCGGTTCCAGGCCCCAACATGGAAGCGTGCGATACTCTTGAGCGTATGACGTTGCTTATGGATCCTGTGGATCCTGGGTATACCGAGGGCGCGGCATCGCCTGTTGGAGCCGCACCGCAGGGAGGACCCTCCATGTATGCTCCAGTGCCCGAGGCTTGCAATTTGCGACCCGCGGGCATGTACAGCGCTTCACAACGACCAGATTGGTGCCTGAAGGCAGTCATCGTGGCCCATCCTACGGAGATACAGTCAGTGACATGCCCTCTTGGCATATGACTCAGGTACTCATGGCTTGACAGCCCGACCTGTGGCCTCTCGCGGACACGGCCGCTGAGCTCCCCAGGTATCAGTCGCAGCCTATGACCTGCTCCCCGCCACGAATTGCCGGTGTAAAGAGGCGTCGCAGCGGTGTTAAGGCGCCCAGTAGCAGTCGGAGTCATGACCCTATCGTTCAAGCTGCGCCGAGCTTTCCGACAGCGAGAACCGCTCTCAGCACACGCGGGCCGGCTTCTGAAGACGGGAAGTCCATACAAGGGGCAGACGCGACCGGTGCCGGTTATCATGGCGAGAATGTCGAGAATGTCTCCTCCAGGAGATGTCCATGGACGTCGATGACCCAATTACAGCCGCCCGTGGCGCTGCTGAACGCACTGAGCTTCCTCCTGGCGGCTATGCGCCGCACACTTCTGCTGGCTCGGGCAATTCGCTCAACCACACCATCCACGCTGCGGAACAACATGAAGGACACGCGCTTCACGTTGAAACCATGATGGGTGAGGACGAAAAAGATGAGCCATTTACCCACGACAGACGCTCCGTAAGTACAATTTTGCGTTCCCGCACTGTCTATTCAGGGCTAAAGGCATCGACTAGTTCGTTCCGGCATCTCACGATGATATCCGGGCTATCAGAGGCGAACTCAGAAGTCTCTCGGGCGAAGTAGCCTCACTGCAAAGACAGCATCGTTCAGACGGTCAACACGAGGGTTCGGATGCGGATGATGAGAGCGACGAGCTAGGTATGCCTGCAGTGAAACGCAAGAGGCTGGCTGGTTTTCCCAAGCGCCGCCCACTTGAAGGCAATGAGCTCGCGGTGCGATGATACTGCTTATTTACCTGTGCGCGAAACAGAGGCTGACCTGTATCATAGCGCGCTGTTCGAGATCATGTCATGCTGCTCATGCGCCGAAGGGATAGTGACGCGCGCTTCAAGCGGGCGACACTCGTGACGGTTGAGGAAAGGGAGGCATGGGATGGTTCGAGTCGATGCTGCACGGCCGATGCGTTCAAGGTAGACTTGCAAGGGACGCCAGCAAATGGGTGGAACAAATCTGCGGCTCGAGTGTTTTGCAAGCATTTCAGGGCGAGCAAACAATATCGATGCAAAGACAAGGCGAAGATCATCTCAGCATTTACGACGCATCTCAAACAGCTTAAACGAAGGTATCAACGTGCGAGTATGAGCCAAAACGAAGTGAGAGAAAAGCTGCGTAGACAGAGTCGCGCGCAACGTAGGAACACAGTACGTTCTGCTGAGGCAATCTGCTCTGTCATGATGAACTGAATTCCGACGCATCAGCTGTTCTCTCAACGCCTAACATCCGCGGTGCAGTACCCGCAACTTCGGCATCACGTCGGCATGCTCCGCAAGTTGGGTACGGACGGGATGAGCTCCGACGAGCCTGATCGTGATATCAGAGGACAATTCCTCATTCACGCACCGCCGTATCGGTCGTCCAAGGTCACTGTTTGGCTCCGGGTTTTCGACCACTTTTACAGGGGGTATAGGGAATCTAAAGGCGTAGGACCAGGCTCAGGGAGAGGCGCCCTACCAAGAATTCGTCTGGATAGGGGCTTGTTGTCAGATCGACCTGGGGCAGTTTCTGGCCTGCCAGCCAACTGTTACAGCCTCGAGTGGTTCGAAAGGCTCAACGAATTTGAGAAAGAAGATTTGGAGGTGGATTCGGCGGAGTATATATTGGAGCACGAGCCTCGAGTCATGTCGTGAGTGCTTCTGTTTGGGCGCTATGTCTCGCGCACTTCTTACTAGATGACGCAGCGATATTCTTCGGCATGGTAACTCGAGAATCAAGCAACCAAGAGGCGAGGACAGCAGGGAGGCCAAAGAGCGCACCGCCGCTAGCGTGGCACTGCGCACCGATGCCGAAGCGAGACTCGACGTAGACGGGAGCGGACAAGGCGTGACATTCACCAGTGACTCTGGATCGCTTACTGGAGATACCCTGAGCCATGAGCTCGCTGGCAAAGCTGGAACGGATGCGATTGCCTCTGATCAGCGATCGAACTGGAAGCCGCAAGCAGGGCGTGAGCGTATTGCCATGGAGGATGAGCGCCCGATTGGAGGGCGCCAGGGTAAGCCGAAGGCATCCAACAAGGCAGTCGGGAAATCGCGCGGCGGCAGTCGGAGGCATAGATAGGCACAGTGACAACGGAGGGCATCGAAGCTCTTTTGGGGCCGGGGTCAAAGGACGCAGGGCTCCGTACAAATTGTCGTTTGTAGCCCGCGATCGCTTGTACAGGAACATCACTCAGAGAATAATCAAGGTCTCTCGTCGATTTATTGAAAACATAGGGACGTGTCACCCGTATCTGCTTTGAACTGCTTCTCCCTCGGTCTCTCCTGCAAGCTTCGCATCCCGCCCACGACGTAGCGACGAGAGAGTTCGCGCGCGCAAGACAAGTCTATACCAGTAACATTCAGCGTCGCAGCTTAGGTGAGTACGTCTGAGCATGCTGAGCGTTGAAGTGCATAAATAACCCATACTCTTAATTCGCGAAAGATGGCGTGAGCACATGAACAAGTGATTCCTCTTGGATTCCTCCGACGCACAGCGAGGGCGCCTCACCGAGGGCGCCTCACCTCGGCCGCTGTTCGCAAAATGGTTAGCAAGCGAAATAATCAAGCCATTAGGCCCTGATAAGGCCCTGTATGAGCACCCTGTGCTGTTATCATGATGACGACACAAACTCACCAGTAGCTCTGCCTCGGCGTCATGTTGCCGCTCTTTCTTTCTCTTGCTGCCATACACAACGGAGGTCTCCCGAGTAACCCAGCTGGGTTCGCCATCCGCCTTGACGTGGAGGCGCCGATTTCTGTACCGAGGATGTGGTACTCCTACCTGCGCTGCTTCCCACTGTCCCTGCGTGCCACATAGCCACATGCGCGACTTCTTCGTGCGTGTGTCAACGTGGATGAAAAGGTCTCCTTGGGATGCTTCGAGAGACGCCGGTGGCTGATCGACGGCGAAAGGCAAGTCCACTTTGTACCAGATCGTCTGGCCCTCTTCGCGGCCTTTGCGGAAATTTGAGCAGTTCCGGTAAAGCTCCCAGTCTCTGATGGCAGCAAGACGGGCCTCGGCGGGAGGCTGACCATTGGCACCGCGCGAGGCATGTCTCCCGTTTCCCTTGTTCCGAGCGGCCAACGTCGTTGCGTCAGGCGGTTCTAACGCCGAGACTGGCCTCGACGAACCGAGGGTGGGAGTGCATAGCCGCGCGACGGTCAACCCGACGGGCGGGGCCGACGAGGGTCGTGCGCGTGCAAGAGAGATCAGTTCGGTAGGGTATGCTCGCATGGTAAGGCCCCGAGCACCGCTTGCAGGCATATTATGTCGACCTTCTGCGTCAGGGTTGCGCTCTCGTCGCATGGGAAGGTTACCCCTATCTGCTGCCTGAAGACTATTCGGCACCGACACTTGGCTTTGCCCGGAAGAAGTGTCGTCAACAGAGACATCGGGTGCAGCGACAACCGGTGAGGGGAAGGTTCTGGTAATAGTAGGAGGTAGTGGGACCGCCGGGGAAAGCCCACGAGGAGAAGTTGCAACCCTTTGTGTCGAAAGCGACGTCTCTGGACAAGCGGCTCCCAATTGACTGTAAGAATAGGGCAAGTGAGGCTGGTCGACTTCAAGTTGCACTTCCTAAGCATCGATGGACATGAGAAAAGCACGACGAGCACCCGAACAGCAATGCTAGACCTGCTTACATTTGCGTGCGACTCGGCGAGAAAAGATGATACGGGCACGAGGTCCGTGGAAATGGACGACGCGCTGAGGCAATCATCATCGGCGCAAAGACTAGAGTCGGTGTCATCGTCGCATCCTTCACCTTGAACGTGAAAGCCGGCCCCATCTGCTGTGGCGAATACGTGAGGACAGCGGCCCTCGATCAGGCATTCGTCTACGTACCGACAGGGCGGAGTAAGGGAAATCTATGGCGGGTAGTGGGTATCGTGGTCGCGCGCCCAGGACGTTCGTCTGCAAACCTGGGCCCTGTCATGAAGGTGCGACCGGCAGGTGCGTGCTGTGAAACGTGCGCTTCATTACGCAGCAATTGAGAGAGCGGTGTTCGTAGTACTGGAGGTGCTGACGTTGGAGCCGAATCCACAGCACATCTGCTCGGCACGACCTCTGCACGAGCGTGCAACGTAAGATATGCGGAGTATGCGTGCTTCATGTGGGCTTACCCAAAGCCTCTTTCTCCACAACCATAGGCCCTTCGTAAACGTCCTCAGATGTTTCGCTGGATGGCAAGCCCCACGTCAGCGCACTACTACCAAGAGAGCACCATTAACGGCGATGCTCACCTGCGCGGACTGCCACGATCGCTCGCTGCTCGAGACAGAAAGCCGCTGGAAGTGATGACCTGACAGCGGGCAAGTTAGAAGATGATCACTGAACGGCTCATGTTCTTACCTCCCACTGCCTTCCTTCGCCTGCGCTCGTGTTCTCCAACAGGGCTGAGATGTCAGAGGACGATGACGGTAGTATGTGCCATGTACCAGTTCGATGGAGCTCTGAGGGCATATTTTAGGACTTGAGACGACAGACAGAGCGATTCAACGACCACAACCCGAGCCCAGATGAGTAGCACAGGCCTAAGCTACCACAGTCACTGTTGTGATACGATGGGATGCAGGGTTGAGCGCTTGAGCGTCGAGCTTTGAAAGTCAACGACGTACATTAGCTGCAGACCAGGTTTCGGCGACAACGATCACAACGGGCAACGCTGAGTCAGCGGAGCGCGTAGCGGCCCGGCTTGTGGTTAACTCTCACTCGATCACATGAGGAAATGCGTCGCGCGTCGCGCGACGCGCGAGACGCATACAGCGCGAACGGGCGCGTCGCGTGTGCATTGTTCATCCCTGCATCTTAGCCTCTTCAATTCAAACGACACCTTATACCCTGGAGGCCTGACAGATCTCCACACCCGCATATGTTACGCAGCCGCATGACTGTACAGTATCGTCTGATAGTATGCATCTGGGATCTCAAGAGACCGAAGTAAACCATACTCGCCTGCTACCCGCGGTACAACATCAGCGATGTTCAGGTGTGTTCAGTGAGGCCGTCTTTTTTGAGCGAAAGGTCCTTTGAATTTCGACAGCGAATGCTCCGTCCCGTCCTGTGAGTGGGCATCAGTGGATGTTCCAGTGTTTCTGTAGTTTGAGGTCGCCGCATATGCGAAACTAAATGCAACATGTACGATTCAGGATCTTTGATAGCCCTAAAGCGGAAAATCAATTCAGTTGACCGATTTCAGACCGGCGCATAAGCTTCATTTGGGCCATTGATAATAAGACAAGCCCATATTGAAACATAAATCTTGACTTTATGTTCGGGTTTCCGGCCATACAATATCACGTCCCCTTGAGCGCCGCGAGATTCTCCCAGGCCCACGGCGAGCGGCCTCGAGGCGAGCCAGACCGCAGTTTATGGCACAGGTGCATTCCTTAAAAGGCGCTTGCCGGCTTCTTAGGTCTGCTACGGAGACTTGTGCAAACCATGAGTACTTGAGTCATCACACACGGAAAGGCACTTCTGACAAGCCAAAGGTGTGCTGTGGTGTACGAAGACTGAGGTATACGGGCACGCATGTGCCGCGGCCGCCGCCACTGCATCCCTTGCATTACTGTTGCATTCCATCCCCTCGTTGCCACTCACGCTGTCATTGCAGCCCTCGTTGTGGTCCTCGTCTCAGTTGTGGTGGTAGTTCTGGCTCTGGTGGTGACCGTGATCGTGACGGTGATGGTGATAGATTTGCCGGCTTTCGCCCCGGTGAGGCTCCGAGGAATCGTGGCGAGCTCGGCTTCAACGTTCGCTTGACCCGGAGCGGCAATTGGAGCGACCTACAATACACAGAGAATGTGTTTGTGAGTGTCAAGTTGCAGCAGCGCTGATGTACCGCTTGGCTTACATGGTCATCGCGGGTCTTCCTCAGCGACGACTTGCTTCTACGGTCTCCATTCTGCCTGCACCTCGCTGATCGGCGTTGCTCAATTGCATGAGCTTGCCTGCCGGTAGATATAAGGGCATTGCACTGCGCCGCGCAAGGCGTGGCACGTTCACATCCATCGGGCAACTGGACAGTTGACAGCGCATGGAGGACTGCCGATTCTGGGTCCCAGCCGTAGCCTTGAGAACTAAGAAGAAGAGTACGATTCATGAGTAAACTGAGCAACACATGGCGTGTGAGGTCGTATACTGACCCTTTAGCAGGAATTCCCTGAGATTCCCCGTTAAAAGTCGCGATGCTGTCAGCCCACGCAGCTACCCTATCACGCAGAGCCCCCAAACGGTCGGCGTTCGTCGAGAGTTGCTTGCTTTCTTGGCCTGTTGTAGATCCGATTGCCCCGGAAGGATGGCTTACAGCGCCGCAGCCACTACTAAGAGGCATTCACCAGGTTCAGCCATCGCGTAACCCATGTATAACTCGTCCATACCAGCGAATCTCCACCCTTTCATGCCCAGACGGGTCAGTGAATATACCCAAGATGGTATCCTTCTGCGATGGGGGTGCGAGGCCTGACTGGGGGGCCGCAGCAGTGGGCGCGGTTCGTGGAACGCCTTCGGACCGCCTGGAAGACAATTGACCCGATTTCTGGTGTGAGCCATGTTGTCGCCGTCAGTGGAACAATGGCCCTCACTCTGCCAGCGGTGTGTCCGGGAACGGACTGCCCAAACGGACAAATGCCAATGGCGCGTGTCCAGGCACCGCGCTTCAAAGCCATACGCGGTAACGCGGGAGAGATATTGTAAGTTGCGTCGCCCGAGCCTCATGATCAAGATCGATGCTCAAGCTTACCGCGAAAGTGTCCCTTCGAGGGAATGTGCGAACTCCAACCTTCTACCAAGTGGGCGACCAGAGAGCCTGCACGCGAAGCGGCTGTTCGACATGGCTAAGTAGTGGCTGTCGATGAAACGCGATTCTCACTGTCGACGTCGGACCGTAGCTTATGTGCCCTCGACATCTGGCCTAGGCAGGCCGATTCTTGCCCTATGAGCATGTCAAAGCACAATGGTCCAGGATACGCAAGCGCGCTCAATGGCGACCCAGACCAGGCGAACAAAGGGCAACAGCCTTTTAGACAATGCGTCGGCTGGTAAACGCTTCAGCTTCAGGCTCGGACAAAAGATCCACTTGTACGCCCTGTCGCACCTTCGAATACCGTTCCCACAGCCCCTTTATGCAGAATATGTCGCGTGGGGCATCAAAAGACTGCGAAGGCTGTCGCATGGGTTTGATATGAGCTGGTCGAGGCGTTCTGGGGATGCTAAGTTGCGAGAATCAGGCGAGAACCAGGCGCGTGGCTCCTCTGGCGCCTCACAGTTGCGACGAGTCATTGTTAATCACAGGCTACGGATCCGGAGGATCCAGGAGGGTCCGTAACACTGGCCATAAGTAGTTGCTGCTAATTATGTCAACACCATGCACTAGGTCGCATGACTTGTTAGACTGACTCACACGACCCTCCTGCAGCTGATTGCGATTCTGGGATTCTGACCCAGCCGACATGGCTCAGAATACGCACATGTGCGCCCTTTCTCTCCCTTCCTCTCTCACTACTAGTGCACATTGGCTCTCTCGCAATCAGAATGCACGTTAGGTGCCCTATCTGTGTACTAGAACTCACGGACGAGATTGATGCCATCCCCTCTGTGGCAATACCTTGCGGTATGTGCTAGCTGCCCTTGACGATAGGCTAACATGACGCAGATATTACAAGGTCACGTTCTGTGCAAGGGCTGTGCCACTAAGCTCGCGGAGGCCGGTTCTCGCTGCCCATACAGAGATTGGGTCGATCCTCTGAAGGAGGCGGATCTCAAAGAAATCCAACTCGTGCTTGAGAATGACCAGAGCGCCGAGCACCGCGCCGTCCTTCGCCATGACGCCCTACAGAGGTATGCTGGCCTCATTTCGGCGCGGATCACCAGTTGTGACCCACTTTCCAGGAACTTTGCCATCTACCGGTTCGAGAAAATGCAGCTGAGCAAGAAATGCCAGAGGGCAAATTATCGCAGTCAGACCCTCCGCTGCCAGATTAATAGGCAGAAGAGGCGTATCAAGGCACACCGTGCCAGCGTCCGCCGTATCACGGGCGAAGTGTGCAAACTGCAGGAACATGTGATCGCGCTGCGGTCGCAATTCGACAAGGAGCTTGGTTTGATCGAAGAGCTTCAGGAAAAGGTCAGTGCTCACGATGAAAGGCGATAGTGAGCTCAACAACATCACAGATGTGCAAGTCGGCCGCCACCAATGCTGGGGAGCCTTCACGGTCAACAGATTACATCGACGAGCACGTTCGGGTTGCTAGCCATGTTAGTTCCTCATCTTCCTCGATCGAAGTCACCACGCGTGATGGATTCGAATGAAATGGCCAAAGACCGCAGCATCAAAGGCTTAATAGCATGGGTCAACGGGTTGAAAATCTCCATAGCGTTGTGGAAGGGAAATTCGTCCCACGCTTTTCTCTTTCTTTTTCGTTACAATTCCTTACAGTACGCTCGACTCTACCGGCGCGCCTGCGACGAACCGGAAGGCTGCGACGCGGACCCGCTAGTAGGACGAGACGAGCGCCGCGACGACGAGTGCCGCACCTGCTGGCGGACCAGGTCGCGATTAGCAAATAGCACCGCGTGCGAGCTGCCAACCTCGTACCGAGACAAGGGGACTCAAGGGACGTCCGTCGCCCAGAAGGGTGTTCATATGGCTGCTGTGCGGTACTTTCGTATCATTCCTTCCTGATACGTCAAACACTCATGCATCGCGCTTCTTTCGAACCATCTCCAACTCGCCGACGTCCCTCTCGCTATGCTTCAACTTTTTAAATCCCTCTTGCGCTTCCATTGTTCTAGGACGTCTCGTGTGTATTAGTACTGGGCCGCGTTGCCCGTCTCTCTATCGAATGCCCTCGCATCTGTTCTCTCTCGCCTCGCTGTCCTGATCTCGGCACTTAGACGCGACACTGCGGTTGCGGGTGCAAAGCAAGTCGAGTCGCAAGTTGAGTAGATCGTGTCGAGTCGCGTTCGATATTCGTAAGTGTTTCATTAAGTCTCAGCGGCCTAACTTCGTTCTATAGACATCCTCCGTCGTCCTTCACCGAGCCCTCGTCCATCCTCGACCTCTCGACCTCCCTGCATCTAGGACGAGTACGTGTGGTGTGGGTTTGTCGTCGCACGCACGTCTTCTCTCCAGCAGCGTGCCCCTTACTCTCTTGAGAAAATGCGCAGACCATGGTGAGTTTTTGCGTTCCCAGAGTGACCTCTCGTAGTCGATGCTGACACTTGCCTGCAGAATGCGTTCAATGGCACACTCGGAGACTCCTTCAACGTGTACTCCATTCTTCCGGTTGACCTCATGACGAGGTTGAACCTGGGTGTGTGGAAATCACTGCTCACCCATCTCATCCGTATCCTGCAGAAATCACTGCTCACCCATCTCATCCGTATCCTGCATAGTCTCGGACTACAATGCGTCGCAGAATTTGATGCACGGCGGGTTCCTCTGTACCACCACTGTTGGGCGTACTAGCTGACTAACCTTCGTCATGTAGCTTCAGGCAAATCAGACCATTCCGTCGAGATGCAATCCACATGTTCTCCTACAACGTATCCGAGATGAAGGGCCGCGGGATTACGAAGATGTTCTTCAGGTAACGTCTCTACTGCTGTTGTGAGTGGTTGTCAGGCTTACGAAGGGGTACTGGCATGCCCAATCGTTTTCAGTGTATCATTCCTGTGATCGAAGGATTACTACCCTCACCTGCTAACGAAATCGTCATGACACTGCTGTACCGTCTCGCCGAATGGCATGCGCTTGCGAAGCTGCGCGTCCACACCGAAGACTCGCTGTCCCGCCTCGATGCGGTCACAGTCCAATTTGCAGTGTGATGCGGCGATTCGTGAGGGATGTTTGTCCCAATACATACGAGCTTCCAAAGGAGACAGAGCAACGTGCGCGCAGGAACGCTCGGCGAGCGGCTCCGAGGCTCGGGCTTCTGGAGAGACGGCTCCGCAGGCGTCCACATCAGCATCGCATCAAGCCACCGTGACGCGAACCAACGGTGCGCGGAAGCGGAAGACCTACATATAACATTCAGACCTACAAGCTGTACTCGTCTCCATTAAATTGAAGTTCCAGGAGACGCGCAAGGTGGTCTCGTAGCTTCGGAATGAATCCCTAGTATGTGACTGATTAGTCGGTGATACTTTGGCCGCAGGATCTCCAGCTAGATCACGAGCAATGACATACAAATTTCGCGCATGACGGGTTGAATGCGACATATGATGGTGCATGCGGACATCCATCTCAGCTGGAAAGGTTCGACAGCATCAGACCTGTCCGGTTCGCTACTAGACTCCTGACCATGCGGCGCAGATGACCCGTCCATCTGCTGAAAGAATGCTTCGCGTCGCTCTCGTCTAATAGTTATACCAGCAGCTACATTCTTGTTCGTACGACCGAACTTTTATGCTTGTGTTCGCGCGCGCCCTTGTAGTGGTTTATGGGACAGCACCAGACTGATAGATAGAGTAATTGACCTTTTCCATACTCGATACATCGGTCGTACCATAGAGTCTGATCAAGGCTGTATAGGTCTGCGAACACAAGGATTACCTCAATTCAACGACGCATCCGGACGTCCTACTGGCTACGAGCTGCTGAACACCGTGCATACTAGCTCGTACCAGCCACGCAAACGTCGCCAGAACGATTATGGTGATCCGAATCCCCACTCAGATTTTGTGACGCCGCCTCCTACCAAACGGCGCACGCCGCCTCCCGAGAGTACGACAGAAACCCAATGTCGTGATAAACGCACGAGGCGCAAGCCTGAGGTACTTACGCCGTGCGTTCAGAGAGTCTGCATTTGTTATGTAACTCACACTCACACACTCACACTTATGTAGCCACAGCCTGCTGCGAAGAAGCGACACTGCCTCGTACGTGTGCAGGCGGATAGTACGACCGCACGGGAAGGACATCAACATTGATTTTCATTCATCTGACAAGCCTTCGTGAGCAGCGGCTTGTTCAAAATCGATTACTTCAAGGACCATCCGGACGCGAAACCGAGTTCGAGGCGATCTACAAAGCCCTTCCTGCCAAAGTATCAAACATAAGTACAACTTATTTATTTATTGACAATGCTCCTTCTCATTCTAAACACGAGTCTGTAGGGATATGTTGAGAGGAGCAAGGTGGCCGAGAAGACCAAACGAGGGTGCGCGCAGGGGGACAACCACCAAATGATACGATACCGGCCGCTCAGGAGGACTCGGACCCTCCAGGCGAAGGCCAGCCTGAGGAGATGTGTGTGTAATGTCAACACGTCGCAGCCGAAGCAGCGCATCAAACGGTACCATGGTTTTCGAGGTCGCTCGAGCAGCATGTAATGGCAGTGTATAATACCCACAAAATCACATTATATTTGTACAGTGGATTATCACGACTGGTGACCAACATCTGACGAGTCCGACAGAGATCGGTCCATATAGATGCACCGCCGAACGGTGTTCACTTGATCAATGGTGAACTTCTCCGTCATCTGCAATCGTCGTCAATATGTGGACGACAAGCCCACGCGACTCCTCACCTTCTGTATGTCGATCTTGAGGTAGCTCAGGATGTTGATCATCGTCTGCAGAGCCACAAGCTCGCCAGCGCACGCATATTGTTGGCCCTAGACGCGCTGTAAGTGAGGGGACAAACGCAACCTGTTGTTTTCAACATACCTCGACGTTGTAGTTGACGATTTCTGGAAGACAGCCGGTCTTCTGCGCACTGTCATCGACAACCTCACGCAAGGTCGCGCCTGTGGACGTCTTCGACACACAGCTGAGTTTGACTGCGCACATCGCGCAGTTCGAGCGATTCCGTGCGTCACGCCCGACAGCACGCTGTGTGGCGATGTTACGATAGAAGACAGCGTCGACGCGAGACGAGATGGCCAGAACATCCACGATGGGCGCGAGAGCGGAGTGCTCGCCGAGAGTGTCCAGCGAAGGGCGCGCCGCCCTCAATCGCTTGTCCTCGAATGCCACGCGCTCAGTGACGATGACTCGGAGAGCGATCTGAGCGAAGAGCAGGCCCGTCTTGACGAGGCGCTTGTGGACGAAGATGCCGCCAGAAACAGAGACGATCTTGAGACGCGTCTCGTTGCATTACGTGACCTCAGACCGGACGCAGAACACAAGGCCAGCGCCTGCTTGGAGAGGCTTGGGCTCAACATCCCATTCAAATCACTCCTTCGACTGCAGCGCGCCTCCGCCGCAACCTCGACAATATACTCAAGCTCCTCGACGACCTCGAAAGTGTTCCCGCAGTCGGAGTTGGCCACAGGGACGATACGAGCCCTCGCCTTGCAGACGTCGCCGGCCTTGAGTGTGGCCCCCACCCTCGAGAACGTCGGAACCCGCACGTAAGGTGGGCCGGCTTGAGCAAGTCGTCATCGATGGTGGCTGGGAAGATTGCCTTCATGGTGGCCTGGCACATGGTTAGGGCGTCACGAACAACGCAGAGCCGGCACTGCTTACCTGCCAGCCAGTTACGATCGCAGAATCCATCGGGGCCTCGTTCCGGCCCGTCCGTGCTGTCTTGAACGCCTCGCCCTCATTACCTACCACGGCGCAGAACGCCTCGACGTCGTTCGCCTCACCTCCAGACCGATACACGTGCCGCGAAGGTTGATCTCGGAAAGCACCTCGTTGTCGCCGAACCACAGCCTCCAGCAGAGGTCCTTGGTACGCCCTCGGAAGCGTCATGGATGTTGGCGTAGCCCATGCTCGGCTTGTAGAGGGACTAGGGGTTAAGCTTGAAGAGGGACAGAGACGTCGCGGCGATCCTCGAACAGTGTGACGTCGATCGCCTGAGATGCCGAATCATATCTAACCACGGCAACCTTGAGTTCGGACTTGTGCTGGCCGTGCGAACAAGCCGCGCCATAGAGGGCGACGGTCACAGGCGTCTCGCCGTCCAAGGTCATGACGACCATCTGGCTCCGACGAGGAACGAAGAGGCGACGCATCGGGTTGTCGACGTGCGATGCACCCTGCACGGTCGTTGACGTAAGGAGTGCACTCAGCCAATGCTGCTGACGAGGGCCTGCGAGCATCTCAAGCCAAGTCGACGCCTCGGGCGACGTGCACCCAACGGAGCAGGCGTTCTTATCGGCCTCAACAGAGCGTTCGACGCCAAGTGAACCGGTGACATTCTCCGGGAGAGGGGAGGCCCTAACACTGAGATGGTCGGCGGTCGGAATGCGACTGAGGCCGCCGCCGTAGAGGCGCTGCGCCAACCTGTCGGCGAGGAACGCGGCGATGTTGTCGAGCACCTCCTTGACCGGCTCGTCCTTCTTCGCAGCATGTTTCGCCGCCACAGGGCCCCGGAGGGTGCACGCACGCTGGGGTTCTCGGCGAAGGCGGCCTCGATGTCCTCGGCTGCCCACGAAATCCTACCAACATATGAGCCACAGTTCCTCGTTGGGCGACCTTAACGTACCCTCTTATACCTGCTCGACGCTTCGGGGAACGGCGATGCTCAGCGACCACGGGCCAGACGAGACACGAAAAGAGTAGAGTATGTTATGTCTACATAAGGCTTCGCCCTCAGTGACAATATAGGGATTAAACAAACAAACGAACGTACCCTCTCGAACGACACCTCGAGAACAGGAATGAAAGGGACCGGCTTCTGGCCCGGGCGTTGTGAGATGGCGAGGAAGAAAGCCTTGTCCTCCGACGCCAGGAGCTGCGCGGTCGCGGCCGGGTACGTCGCGAAGAGGAGCTTGACGAAGTGTCTATGCCGGATCGTAAGCTGAAGGCGACGACAGAACAATACGGAGGTGCTTACTGTGCAGGCATAGCGCCGTCGTCCGACATGACGTTGGTGAGGATGTGTTGCGGCCAACCCACTGCTGTCTGCTGCCGCTTCGAGCGCCGAATGCCCCCTAGGAGACACACATTCCGCTCGCCTGCGGACAACAGTCAAACAGTGGATCTAGGAGTGATTTAGGCAAGGCGTTGCGCCCATGCCATGGTCGGTTCCGGTCAATTCGTTTGCACATGTTTGGTCCGGTGCGATCATGTGGCCACACGTGCTTCGACCGGAGATCTGAGGCTCTCAATTCCGGAATCCAAAGGCTACCTGAGCCTCTCAAACTTGTCGCCGATCCTGCAGTCTTACTCTTCTTTGGACAAGCCGATCGACTTCGTCAAGCTCTTCTTCGCATCTTACCCGGCTGCGACCGAGCAGCTCCTGGCGTCGGAGGACAAGACGTTCTTCCTCGCCATCTCGCAGCGCCCAGGCCAGAAGCCGGTACCGTTCATCCCTGTTCTCGATGCGAACTTTGAGGTGTGGTTCAAGAAGGTGCGTTTAAATTACCCGAAAACGAACTACGACTTACGTTTTGGGTAGGACTCTTTGTGGGCAGCCGAGGACATCGAGGCCGTCTTCGACCAGGACCCGCAGCGCGTGTGCATCCTCCAGGGCCCTGTCGCGGCGAAGCATGCGACGAAGAAGGACGAGTCGATCAAGGAGATGCTCGACAACGTCGCAGCTATCCTTGTCGACAAGTTCAATTGGCGCAGCGCCTCTACGGCGGCGACCTCAGTCTCATCCCGACCGCTGACTATCTCAGTGTCAGGGCTTCTCCTCTTCCGGAGAACATCGCTAGCTCGCTTGGCGTCGAGCGCTCTGCCGAGGCAGGCAAGATCACCTACTCCGTTGGGAGCACCTTGCCCGAGGCGTCGACCTGGCTTGGGATGCTCGCAGGTCCACGTCAAAGTTGGCCCAGGGCTCTCCTTACGCCGGCGACCATCGTGCAGGGAACATCACACATCGACAACGCGATGTGCCGCCTCTTCGCTCCTCGTCGGAGCCAGAAGGTCGTCTTGACCTTGGGCGGCGAGATACCTGTGTCCGCCGCGCTCTACGGTGCTGCTCGTTCGTACGGCCAGCACAAGTATCATTCGGCGTCTCAGGCGATCGACATCGCGTTGTTCGAGGACCGCCGCGACGTCTCCGTGCCTCTCCACTTCAAGTTCCTCTACAGGCCGAGCATGGGTTCGCTCCCGTTTGAATCCACGAGGTTGCCGAGGGTCCTAACACGCGCATCAAGGACTTCTACTGGCGGCTGTGGTTCGGCGACAACGAGGTGCTCCCCGAGATCAATCTTCGCGACGCGCTTACGGGTGCTGAGGTTGCGATTGAGGCGGATGACGTCGAGACGTTCTGCGCTGTGGTGAGTAATGAAGGCGAGGCGTTCAGGGCAGCGCGGACGGACCGGGTCCAAGACCCGAGGGACCTCGCGATCATTACTGGCTGGCAGGTAAGCAGTGTTGAATGGATACGTTATGTCCTAGCATCGTGGCAGGCGTGCTTCAAGACGGTCTCTGCATCTGGCGGCATTTTCGTCCTCGACCAGCTCAAGCGCCTCGTCAAGGTTGGATCAATCGACTTCCTGCAGGACGATAGTCGTGGCCTGCAGGACGATAGTCGTTGCCTGCAGGACGATAGTCGTGGCCTGCAGGACGATAGTCGTGGCAACCCCGCAATCGCATAGTATCTCCAACGCCATGGTACCCAGCAGGGCTCGCCCAAGGCTGCACGATGAGCAAGTCGGGTACTACGGCCTTCGCTTCCTCCGCAACGAACGAGCCTTACTCCAAGATCTCCGGCGATTTCAACCCTATCCGCATCAACCCCTACTTCGCAGACTTCGCCGCACTTCCGGGAACGATCACGCATGGCATGCGGTCGAGCGCCGCTACAAGGGTGGAACACATCAACGAGGACTCAAGACCGTTGGCGTGTGGAGCTACTGGCGTGGCACGGGCACGTACGGCAAGGGGATCGCGCGAGAGAACGCACCCTACTTCAAGGCACTCAGGAGCTTGAGGATGTATTCCTTCATACGGCTGGTGTCTGAAGCCCGACCACGATCCGCACCTCGACGAAGCTACGTCCGAGTCTGCAGACCCTGGACGGCACATCGGCTTACCTGTCCTATCCACAGGATGTAATCCTCTTCATCCGCCGACATGCCGAACCATCTCCCCCCGCCCACTGTGTTATCGGAAGACATGTACCGTAGTATATGTTTCTGTATAAGCATGTGAATCGTGACTGTGTACGCATAGCCTCATTGGCGTGTTAGTAAGGTGGCTAGTATAGTGAGGGTATTATGCGCGGTACAGGGATGTCAGATCTACGAGAAGCACAGCGCGTCGCGGGCGATGTATGCGCCTCTTGTGCGACGCGTCTGGTCACGGGGTCGAGTGACCCCCACCCCTCTCTACGAAAATGACCAGATGCTATAGCAGTGGTTCTCCGCCGACACCTGTCAACGCTGTAACTTTTGATCGAGACTGCGAGACACGGCGAGAACAGTTGGGAAGCTGGAGACCGGTTGCCTCATACGGCCGTCCTCCCCCGTCAAAGAGGTCGTGTTTGTGGCCTGCCTACGGGAGACAAAAGCGGTCGCGCGGTGAACGGTGTTTCCTGTGGGCGAGCTCCAGCCCTAGCCCTCCTCCTCACGCGGCGCGCGTTTAACGAGTACGTTCGGTCGACGGGTCGCAAACGCACGAACCTCACTACGCGGCCTGATCGCACTCGTCTTCGCGGCGCGGATCTCTACACCACGCGATTCATAGGGCCTACAGAGACCATGCCAAGAGAGCTGCAGTGGCTTCGTCCAGCTGGGGTGTCTGACGTCTTGAGGGAATCTCGCAGTGATTGTCCCTCTGAGCGCCGTTTCAAGTATATACAGCACGGATACATGCATTGCCACTCAGCTACAGGACACCGACGTTGGCGCACTGCGAGGTGGAGACTAGGCTCGTACATCGTTCCGACATTCTGTATTGTGTTGAATGCCATGTGAGCTTCTAATTTGTGGCAGACATAGAGATGACATACGATCGTAATTCCTGCAGGTCATGCACGACGCTGAGCCATCGATCGAGCGCGCTTAATACGTACTCCTTCTTTGGCCAACACTTCAGCCCTGAGATGTACCTGTGATGATCAGCGCAGGTCACTCACTATGTCGTGCTGGTAATATACTGTTAGGCCTGCGGTGAAGAAGAGCCACATGGATGCAAAGATGAGGAGACACATGGTTAACGTTGGGTTACAACGCAACTCGGGGGCCGCAGCTGCGGTCGCTCGATGGACACCTGCTCGTCTTTGCTCCGCCTGTTTTTGAGCGCCTTGATTGCTCGGCTGGTCAGCCCGGCGGGTACCCGCTCTAGCCACGGTGGAGGAGGGCCCCGTATTCGTTCCGCGCGACTTATATCGATTCGGCGCCACGGTTTTGGCGGAAGTGGTGGCGGAGTCAGATTGGGCTGATGCTCAGGCAATCGGCGTGAGACGATGAGAGGTAAACAAATACAAGGCGACGCACGTTCGACAGGCTGCTCAACGGCATATGTGTTGCGCACTAAGCACTGCGGTCAATTGGGCCGAACCGAGATCGTTGCCACCAAAAGAAGGCATCACGCACCAGGCAGTGGAGCCTGCCAGAATTTGATGACTTTGGACACAGAGCCAGTCGCTATCAACCTGTGCGAGCCGCTGTAATATGCCTATGAAAGCAGTTGGTGGTTGGTAAGGGTAAGCTGCGTCGTATATCCTGTCAATCTGTGAAGCCTACCAATGCAAGCACTCCATCATCCCCTGTGGCACATGAGGGATAAGTTATGCTCGAGCGCTCCACAACGATAAAGGGAGTGAGAATGGCGCACCGTGCAGCACCCTCTGCATTTCCAGGGTTGTGCCGGCGTCGAAAATACTCACCCGACCATTTAGGCCGCCGGTGAGAAGACCCAGATCATCGTGCACGAAAATCGCAGGGAGCGCGGGCGGTGCATCGCTAGCCTTGAAATTACGCAGAAGCCGGCGTGCGCGGATGTCGTACAATTCAAATCCACCATATGCATTGCAAACGGCCATGTGTCGACCGTCCTGAGACAGGGAAGCTCGACCACTGCTTGGCCGGTTATGATTCCAGCCAAAGCAGTCTTATACGGTGTTGTACTTACGCGCAACCTCGACGTAATTTCATCCTCCACATAATGGACGTGGACTTGACATCCCAACAGCTGGGCGGTGGGCGAAATTCAGCGCATTGATTTCACAAGCGATCATGCTTACGCACATTATGCCATACTCCGCATAGGCCACTATCAAAGAGCCCTCCTGCCCGCTGAAATGGACAGAGTAAGGGTTCACAGGATCCTGCGGTATCGATTCCAACCCAGCGCCGCCGCCGGCGATGATGTCGCCCTGCCTCTGAAGGTCGACTTCAACTTGATTTGGCGATGGTATGCGGCACAGAAATCGCCAGCGGCCTTCAAGTTGTGTTTGTTAGATCGCATGGTCGCGGAACAGCCGGGGCGGCGTACGCGGGGTCAACTCGTTCCAGATTATGATTTGGTGTCCCGCACATGCTGCCAAGTAGTCGTGGTGCACATCGAACGTTATGTCCCTCACCGCAGCCTGGGATTGCAGAGGAATCGCTGCGCCTTGAGGAATCTCCTGCCCTCGAGCCATCAGCTCAGCATGATTTAGGGCTGCTTTTAGACGCAAAAGACGCACCGCAGAAACGTCCAATACTACGAGTTTTCCCTCCGCGTACCCCACGAATAACTTGGCCGTGTGTTTGGGGTGCCAGCAGATTGAAGTTATAGGGGAGGTGCCGACCAGCTTTCGTACTTCTGTCCCGGAGTGACAGCTTACGACGAAGAGGATATGGTCGTCTCCGCCGCTGGCCAGATAATCGCCCCTTGGCGAAAAGGACAGAACATTGATGGAAGAGGAGTGGCCAGTGAAGCTGAACACAGGTGAATACGACATTCCGCGCAGGTGCGGACGGGCAAAGAAGCTGAACAGACCCATCCTGCGGCGTTGGGGCGCTTAAAGCGAACGTCCGCTTGCATTGTTTGTGAACACAAAAGCGAAGCCATCTCTATTGATGGCCGCATGCAGATGCAGAACGAAGAGACCGCGTCGGAGACAATGCTGGGACAATAATAAGAGACCGCGTCGGAGACAATGCTGGGACAATAATAAGAGACCGCGTCGGAGACAATGCTGGGACAATAATACAGCCCATTCCGACTCACTCGTGAAAAGATACAGGGCCCGTCGGACGTTTCCCGATCTTCGATGGTATAATTTCTCATTCCGGACATGTTGACTTATCTTTTGAGGCAAGTGCTCTAATAACCGTTTCTTAGGGCTTCAGGAACAACCCTTGCACCGCCTTGTACGTCGGCATGGGTAGCCTTCTGTCAGTGGCTCTCTGGATCCAGGAGGAGACGTTGCAGAGGAGGAGGAGGAGGAGGGGATTCCATATAGTCCTCACGTTTGCGCGCCATGAGGCTCGCCACGCGTGACAGAGGTACTAAGGATTGCCCCGCGCGGCTACAAGCAGCGCAATCGACGCAGCTATGCATCCTGCGATCATCCGATCGTTCATCGGATGATCAGTTACTGCGCGAATCTCATGCATTGTTCGAACGTTGGGAGCTCTGTTACATGTACACGGCCGACGTGCCATTGTTCGGTCCCGTATTTCAGAGTTTCAACCCTGAGGTCTTTGGGCAATATTGTCATCCGCCCCTCATCGACATCCGAGTCCGTCAACATGCGCCTCATCCGCACTGTCCATACGTTGTTAGAGGGACTGTTGGTTCTTGTCGCTGCCGTAGCCTTCACGTCGACCTGGACCCGGGCCAGCCCGGACCTCGGGAAGCTCACCAAACACACGATGAAGATGCCGTCGGAATACATCCGCGAGGTGTCGACTCGTGTCCAAGCCGCCCTCGTACCCATCTTCAGCCAACACGCGCCAGATCTCCGGGCTGCGTTGACCTTCCTTCTCGACTCGCAGAGGTCGGGCATGGGCGACACCCTCGGGGATGTCGGTACAACGTCCTCGTTGGTGCTCAAGTTGGCTGAGGCTCGCATCGCTGCTGAAGACTTGATCTCGCTAATCGAGAGCAGCTCGCTCGAACATCGTGAAGAAATGCAATTTCTGCTACTGAAGTTTGCCGACGACGCGAGGGACACGATTCGCGCCCTTCAACAGTTGTCTGCTCGACTGCAAAGCGGCGGCGATCGGTGAGTGGTTCGATTTTGCCTAGAAATCCCATTCAGTTCTAACCCATAGGCTGGCGCCAGTGTTGCGGTAACGCTTGACTCCGCGCGGCGGCTACTGTCCCCGTCCCTCCACGACTCCAACTCAGCTACGTACCATCAGTCGCCGACAAATGACGACAGGACGACGCGCGCGTACGAATATGCCCTGACCACGATAGAAGGGGTCCTGCGTTCGTTGGTTCTATCTGCAGAAACCGCCTTCGCGAGCCTAGAGGCGCTGGATGCCCGTCTGCTGGCGATTGGTGAAGCAAGTGCCCTGGAAGGTTTAGCCATCCGTCATGCGAGAGAGGACGTACTGTACAGTTTATGGACCTACCTTGGAGGCAACCGGGAACAGCTCAACCACTTTGACCGCGACGCAGTGGTCCTGAATAGTGTCAGCGACTACAAGAAGCTGTCCCTCACCTACATCCAATCCGTTTCTCGCGCGCTAGAGGCGATGCAAGCTGGTTTAGATGAGACACGCCGCATTGCGTCGGGAGCGCTGCTCATAGAGCAACCGACGCCGCAATCTGCGTTGATTATCATTGCCAAAGGCTATGGCAGATTGAAGGGCGAAGCTTGGCCTGAGGGAGTTGTGGTTTGAATTGTCAAGGTATGTTGGATAGCACTGAGTCCATATGCACGCGCTGACGCGACCGTGCGTACCTAGGGCCGCATTTTGCGTTGGTTGATATTCAGATTGTCGACTCTGCGCTTGAGCTTAATCCTGCTGGCTTCCGACTCGGAGACGGACGATGTTCTCCATGCGGGGCCGGTGTCCGCGGGTACAAAGCTTGTCGCCTCGCAAGTCATAGTACTCAATTGTCTCGTCACGGACCCCGGTGGGCTTAGGTCGCGTTGGCCTGTAGGAAAGCTTTTGATGAATATACGTCAAGGGTGTCGGTTTGAGCAAATGGGCGACTCGGATAGCAACAATTCCGACGCCCTTCGGGCGTCGCCGGATATTATGATTGCGACTTGTAGCCCTTGATATCGATGCGGATATGGACACCTCAGACGAAGCCTTCGACGACGACACGAGGCGCATGCGCAAGCACGGCTTGCACGCCGCGATGGACATGCGCGGACATGCGCGGCGGGCGCGCAAGCGCGAGAAGCAGGGGAGCAAGGAGGTCGGCGCACTACTAGTCCTGAAGATGGAGCGCGGCGTTGCCCCCGGCCAGGGTGCGATGCGCTCCATCGTGCAGCTTGTCGGGAAAATGGTGCTGCGCCGCCAAGACACGTTCCGGCCGCACATGGGGCTCGGCGCGCCCTCGCCCTCTATTGCGCCTTCTACGATGCTCGGCTCAAGCGCGAGCGCGAGGAATGCCTGCTGGCCGCGGTAGCCGCAGTAGAAGAGCCACTCCATTCCCTCCTTGCTGTTCTCGAAGCATTACGACTCGAGGCTTCTCGAGGCCGCGACGGCAGCGGCAGAGACGGCGCCTTGGGAGTGACCGGTCGCATCTTGGAGCTTCTCGCGCATCTCGCCGGGGTCGATACGCGCGACGCGGCGAGTGATCAGGTATTGGGTGAGCTGCGCGAGCCCGATGGGGGGTAGTGATGCGGGGGCGGACACGAGGTGCGCAATAGGGGGGCGCAGCGCAGCACCAGCCACCTAAGAGATGGCACCCAGGCCATGCTTATAGTAGGTGGAAGACGCGAGACCGCGGACGAGAGGGCGAAGTACCTCCGAAGCGAGGAGGAAAGGCGAGACCAAGGCGTGTGCGTGTCGTAACGCGATTGCAGCTCGTCGAAGTAGACCTCGTTCGTACCCTGTCCACCAAACAATCTCGTCTTCGGAGGCGGGCGCAGTACCTGAGGGCGAAGGAACTGCGAGGGCAGCCGGGCGCGTTCTGGGAGCGCCGGGATGGGGGTGTGACTTCTGGCAGCCGCGTTGCTGGTGCACGCAACGCATTGGCGAGGGTCAGCTGCAGTGCGGGGTCGTCACTCGCCCCGGGGAGGGCAGAGCAATGCCCCAGACCGCTGCAGGCAGGCTCGATGCCGCAGCTGACTGCGCGCGAGCATTGCGCGCGGCGGGCGACCTCGCGAGGGTGCGAGGACAAGGTGAGGATGCGCGGGCAGGCAGCAAGGGTGCGGGGAAAGGCGAGGGTGCGGGAGAATCGAGCGGCGCAGTAGAAGTCGAACGAGGCAGCAGAACGTGTGGCTTCGGCGGCGCGCGAGCGAGGTGGGCGCCGCCACAGGGCCCCGCCCGGAGGGTGCACGCACGCTGGGGGTTCTCGTCGAAGGCGGCCTCGATGTCCTCGGCTGCCCACGAAATCCTACCAACATATGAGCCACAGTTCCTCGTTGGGCGACCTTAACGTACCCTCTTATACCTGCTCGACGCTTCGGGGAACGGCGATGCTCAGCGACCACGGGCCAGACGAGACACGAAAAGAGTAGAGTATGTTATGTCTAATATGCTTTTTACTCTTTTTTAACTCTATTTAATATCACGCTTTGACTACTGTACACTCAGTACTTAAGTCGAGAAGAATATTACAGTGCTTTGCATAGTGGTTGTCACTTCCGCGCGCGACGCGCCCGGGCGTCTCCCTGGCTCCCCGCGCCACACACCCCGCGGCCGACACCGGCAAGACTACACTAGTACTCAGCTTGTCCGACATGCTCGGTATCCTGCATATTGAGCCGGTTCATCTCCATACTTCGTGCTGTGAGAGCAGACGGAGTGTCCTGAATACGAGGTCTTGAATGAGTAGAAATAAAGCATTGGGATGGCCTACACACTACGCAGCTAACGGGACTGATCAATCCCGGTGGCGCCTTGGGGCTGGTCAAAGGGGACCAAACAAGTTTGCGTCGCGCGCGTGTGACAACCACTACTTATGCAAGACACTGTAAGCACATTCGTGCTGTCGCTTTTTGTGAACGGTGACGCGACGCGAGTGCGAGCGAGCCACGGAGGAGACATCCGAAACCGAATGATACTATCATTTTGAAGGCTTATTTGTAGTTACTCATCCGCGTAATACTTAAGAGCCAAGCGGGAGAAACACTTCAGCTCCAGAGAAATGAGAGTTGTGCAGAGGTGTTGGTAAGTGTGGACGCAATGTCGGCAGAGCATTCGGAGCTGGCTGCGAGACAGATGTCTCAAGGGTGTTTGCGACGGGCTCCGGTGGCAGTTGCGGTCTTCCACGTAAGTACAACATGCATGCTATGCTATCTGTACTTAGAAAAGAGGAGGCGACTAAGTGGCCTTTGCAGTGCGTCTTCGTACACAGCACTATTGGCAAGCATTCATTGATTGCATGATAGCCTCTAGCCCATAGCGGAGCAGGGGTTTCCGCTAGTCATTGTTACACAGTAATGTATCGGACATCTAGACCGTGCACATAAGCAAGTAATTGCTCCGACGCACGGCGAGGGCCCCTCACCTCGGCCACGATGCGCAGAATGATGAGCAGGCGGAAGAATCAAGCCATGAGGCCCTGATAAGGCCCTGTATGAGCACCCTGTACTGTTATGACGACATAAACTCACTAGTAGCTCTGCCTCGGCGTCATGTTGCCGCTCTTTCTTTCTCTTGCTGCCATACACAATGAAGGTCTCTCGAGTGACCCAGCTGGGTTCGCCATCCGCCTTGACGTGGAGGCGCCGATTTCTGTACCGAGGATGTGGTACTCCTACCTGCGCTGCTTCCCACTGTCCCTGCGTGCCACATAGCCACATGCGCGACTTCTTCGTGCGTGTGTCAACGTGGATGAAAAGGTCTCCTTGGGATGCTTCGAGAGACGCCGGTGGCTGATCGACGGCGAAAGGCAAGTCCACTTTGTACCAGATCGTCTGGCCCTCTTCGCGGCCTTTGCGGAAATTTGAGCAGTTCCGGTAAAGCTCCCAGTCTCTGATGGCAGCAAGACGGGCCTCGGCGGGAGGCTGACCATTGGCACCGCGCGAGGCATGTCTCCCGTTTCCCTTGTTCCGAGCGGCCAACGTCGTTGCGTCAGGCGGTTCTAACGCCGAGACTGGCCTCGACGAACCGAGGGTGGGAGTGCATAGCCGCGCGACGGTCAACCCGACGGGCGGGGCCGACGAGGGTCGTGCGCGTGCAAGAGAGATCAGTTCGGTAGGGTATGCTCGCATGGTAAGGCCCCGAGCACCGCTTGCAGGCATATTATGTCGACCTTCTGCGTCAGGGTTGCGCTCTCGTCGCATGGGAAGGTTACCCCTATCTGCTGCCTGAAGACTATTCGGCACCGACACTTGGCTTTGCCCGGAAGAAGTGTCGTCAACAGAGACATCGGGTGCAGCGACAACCGGTGAGGGGAAGGTTCTGGTAATAGTAGGAGGTAGTGGGACCGCCGGGGAAAGCCCACGAGGAGAAGTTGCAACCCTTTGTGTCGAAAGCGACGTCTCTGGACAAGCGGCTCCCAATTGACTGTAAGAATAGGGCAAGTGAGGCTGGTCGACTTCAAGTTGCACTTCCTAAGCATCGATGGACATGAGAAAAGCACGACGAGCACCCGAACAGCAATGCTAGACCTGCTTACATTTGCGTGCGACTCGGCGAGAAAAGATGATACGGGCACGAGGTCCGTGGAAATGGACGACGCGCTGAGGCAATCATCATCGGCGCAAAGACTAGAGTCGGTGTCATCGTCGCATCCTTCACCTTGAACGTGAAAGCCGGCCCCATCTGCTGTGGCGAATACGTGAGGACAGCGGCCCTCGATCAGGCATTCGTCTACGTACCGACAGGGCGGAGTAAGGGAAATCTATGGCGGGTAGTGGGTATCGTGGTCGCGCGCCCAGGACGTTCGTCTGCAAACCTGGGCCCTGTCATGAAGGTGCGACCGGCAGGTGCGTGCTGTGAAACGTGCGCTTCATTACGCAGCAATTGAGAGAGCGGTGTTCGTAGTACTGGAGGTGCTGACGTTGGAGCCGAATCCACAGCACATCTGCTCGGCACGACCTCTGCACGAGCGTGCAACGTAAGATATGCGGAGTATGCGTGCTTCATGTGGGCTTACCCAAAGCCTCTTTCTCCACAACCATAGGCCCTTCGTAAACGTCCTCAGATGTTTCGCTGGATGGCAAGCCCCACGTCAGCGCACTACTACCAAGAGAGCACCATTAACGGCGATGCTCACCTGCGCGGACTGCCACGATCGCTCGCTGCTCGAGACAGAAAGCCGCTGGAAGTGATGACCTGACAGCGGGCAAGTTAGAAGATGATCACTGAACGGCTCATGTTCTTACCTCCCACTGCCTTCCTTCGCCTGCGCTCGTGTTCTCCAACAGGGCTGAGATGTCAGAGGACGATGACGGTAGTATGTGCCATGTACCAGTTCGATGGAGCTCTGAGGGCATATTTTAGGACTTGAGACGACAGACAGAGCGATTCAACGACCACAACCCGAGCCCAGATGAGTAGCACAGGCCTAAGCTACCACAGTCACTGTTGTGATACGATGGGATGCAGGGTTGAGCGCTTGAGCGTCGAGCTTTGAAAGTCAACGACGTACATTAGCTGCAGACCAGGTTTCGGCGACAACGATCACAACGGGCAACGCTGAGTCAGCGGAGCGCGTAACGGCCCGGCTTGTGGTTAACTCTCACTCGATCACATGAGGAAATGCGTCGCGCGTCGCGCGACGCGCGAGACGCATACAGCGCGAACGGGCGCGTCGCGTGTGCATTGTTCATCCCTGCATCTTAGCCTCTTCAATTCAAACGACACCTTATACCCTGGAGGCCTGACAGATCTCCACACCCGCATATGTTACGCAGCCGCATGACTGTACAGTATCGTCTGATAGTATGCATCTGGGATCTCAAGAGACCGAAGTAAACCATACTCGCCTGCTACCCGCGGTACAACATCAGCGATGTTCAGGTGTGTTCAGTGAGGCCGTCTTTTTTGAGCGAAAGGTCCTTTGAATTTCGACAGCGAATGCTCCGTCCCGTCCTGTGAGTGGGCATCAGTGGATGTTCCAGTGTTTCTGTAGTAGGCCCATACAGCACACGGAAAACGTTGTACGTCGTACCATCCTATATGCTCACATGTAACTTACCCGCCTACTTCCCCGGCGATTCTCTCACCCACTCTCGCCGACTCCCTGATCCGCGTCCTCGCTCGCCGGTCCGTGCAACTCACTATCTGCGCATCCTCCCTCCCGCCTGCCTGCCGCCCATCAATTCAGAGCCCCCGCACGCCCGCTCGCTGTCCATCCTCTTGCTCACCTACCCATACATCCATTTACCACCCGTTTACACATACTTCCGTTTGCACGCACACCACCGAAGTCACTAGTTCTCGCTCGTACACCTGTCCGTCCGCTCGTGTCCGCCGAACTGCTTGTTTGATAGTTGACTCTTCGGGGGCACGAGCGTCGTGCAGGTCCCAAACCATAATAACGGGTGACCTGTCATCTTCAGCCGCTGCAATGAGACGTGTAGCCTGCAATACTGTCAGCAGGTGCAGGATAAAATACATTGTCTGGATGCCATGCGACGTCACTCGTACCACGCCTACTGCCCATGGCCATCCCGCCGCCAAATTCTTGCACACCACCTCCCTCCGCCGCCGCCGCACATGAGGCTGCAACTTCTCGCTTGCCTGAAAGGTCCCAGACGACGGCGTAATCGGTGCTACTGCCGCGAGAGCATACTGGACGCGGGGATTCCATGCGAGGGCGGTAATTTCGTCCTGCTTTCAAGTCCACTGAAATCGTCATTGCATTAACTCCAGTAATGTTCAGCAAGTATACCGAAAATTCTGATCGGTTGCGTTGAGCGGCGCACCGTATAATGAGCGATCAGTCGATGACAGACCATCAGCGTATGTAACAGAACTAAATCTACCTAGGACCTACTACTACGCAAGAGTCTGGGGTCGCCTGCGGGATGTTGCTGCGCCTAAACGCGCCGAGCGCCCTCGATGCCAGTGCTGGCTTGAACTACAGGGATGTAACTATAGTCGAGGGGATTCTTGCGAATCCACGCAATTTCCCAAGCATCAAGCCTCGGTGAACGCGCTCTCTGTAAGTGTGCCGACAGCACAAGGACCGGGCTGGGGAAAAAGGGGCCCGAATCTAGTCTAAGGTACATGTCGTCATGCTTTCTCGCGTGTGGATGTCCATGTCTAGGAATTTGATCAAACTCCAGCGGCCGTGTGTAATTATAAAATAGACGACTTACTCGTTCCGAACATGTTCTCGCAGGTCATGATACTTCTCGTCTGTGAGGCGGCCCTCCAAGCAGTAAGCGCATTCCCAGTAACAGTTCGTGAGTTCGTGTGATCGACGCGACTCTCGTCTACGTGAGAACTCTAGCGACTTCACCCTTGTGACGAGGTCTCCACGAACGAGGATCCAATCCGGGGCGTCCGTGGACAAACAGTTTTGTCTATGTTCGGAGAGTGAATGCGCAACCTGCGTAAGTGTTAAAAAGCCAGCACTAGCTGCGGAATGTAAAACACGACGCACCGCTGCACTCCAGTTCATGACCAACAGCCTTCTGCCAGGCACACTACACGCGGCACAGGCAATTCGCACGTCTAAGCGGTCGAGGGCTGCACGAGACGTTGTCAGCGGATCAACACCGCATGCCTCCACCACTCTTCTCGCCTTCGCTCCTTGGAAACGAAGGCCAGAGATCGACCACGAACGACGGCCGCGATAATGCACGAGGACAGCGTTATCACAAGCATCCTCGTCAAGAGTAAGGGGAAAGTCCCCGTCTATGATGGGCCTGGCGCCGGCTGCTCGCCGCCATTCCGGCTGCTCGTAATATTGACAAGGGTGAGACAGGGCTGCATCTCCATGCAAGATGGCGCGGCAGGTCTGGCACTCAAATATGGATAGGGCCAGAACAAGTCCGCTGGGTGATTGAAGGCGTTTGGAACGGCGCGAAGAGGGGCGTGGGGGAGGTGTCCTGTCTGCGTCCATGAGTTGTTCCAGCTCACCGCGAGGACCAGAGGCCCAGGTTGACAAGAGACCGGGAAGACGCTTCGCGAATGACCCGGCCGAGACACGATCGCCATAGCAGAGGTCCACCAGCGATCTGATCTCAGGCATGGCCGCAAGATCGACGGCTTGAGGAATGGTGATGTCTGCTGATATATGAGGACGAACGCGTACCAGTGCATCGTCCAAAGCTCTGAGGCGCCGAAGACATCCCTCTCGGTTCAGATAATGCAAGCGGAGGGCTCTTCTTTTTTCCATGAGCTTGCAGAAACACATTCTTAGCTTGGACCAGCCTGAAGTACAGTATCAGTTCGCGTGCAAAGCGATGCGATAATGTTGAGAACACGAACAGACATCCGTCATCTCTTCCGGGATATCGGCCATAGGATCTTCGAGTAACTTTTGGTAGCCGATTCCGAGGAACAACACCTCATTATCGTAGCCAAGCTGGGATAGGCGCCGCGCGATGCTGTTGAGAACGCTTGAATACTGATCCCCATTCCAATGAGGGCGACGAATGCTCACTCGCGCGCTCGGCTGCGCTTCATATCTTGAATACAATGGTCCTTGTGGACCACCCAAGCGGACCACCCGGGCTTTGACTGTGACAGTAATAGGTGGGCATCAGCTGAAGAGTGTTGCATGTGATGTCAAGTTGATCGCTCACTCGCGTCACCTCCTGTACAAGCCGTGAAAACTGACTCACAACGGCTGCTGTGCAACCTGATGCAGAGAGAGCTGATGTGAGATGAACGAGATCCCCGTTGGCGACCCGGCCTCCGTCTGTAAAGTTGGCTTTTTAGCGCCGTCTCAACGCAAAAGTATACTACGACCTACTCGCTATCCCAGGGAGGAAACCAGCTGAGGGGATCCATTCAGGCGTCACCGCCCTGTAGGTGTGTATTCAACGATACCCATTATACAGGTAGATCTGCGAGAACCGATGAGACAGGTCAATTCATGCATTCCGTATACATACCGCTGTGCGAGACAAGCATCGCAGTAGCGAGCCCTGAACTCCCAAACCACGTGCTTGTAGCCTATATCCTCTGCGAAGCACGACATGCAGTGTGACTCGAGAACCAAGCTGGCATATTGTTGTGGGGTAAGGAACGGTGGGCGGGGCGGAAGGGGCGGGTAGATCCACGTAGACGCCTCCCCCATACGCTTTGAAACAGTGCACTCCTCAGGTGAGCTTTGATCGATCGGCAGGTGCGGCCCAACTGGAGGAGATCGAGCGGTGAAAGATATGAACATGTCTGGTGATATTGCAAGTCAGCGTTGCCTGTGAAGAGTGGAGGGTACCGACCTCAAGACGAAGTTCCATGGGTAGAACTATGAAAGGGTCTACTGGTGGGCGGTTTAGTCTGTGGGGGTTCAAAAGTGCAGATTTTGCCTTCGGCACGACAGCTGTCGACAGGTTGGCTCCACTAAAAGGCTGTGACGGGCTGGCGTGCGAAGCACGATTGGGCTTCTTACGGGATAGCGATAGCGGCAACATCTGCCTGAGGAAATGAGATGAAGGAACGAGAGTCTAAGAGCGGCTAGCCAGAGCCGGAGCGATGAAGAGGAATGCGCTGAAGTGGTGGTTGCTACTATGCGCGGCTTTATACGCGAGTTACCAAGCCAGTACCAAGCCCGGACTGTGCCAATCCAGATTGAGAACAATGCTGCGTTCGTCCGAATGCAAGGCTCTGACCCTTTTGTGATACTTCTGAACAAAAGAACAATAGCAGCTTGCCGGCGCCAGCGTGGGCGCGCATTGTACGGTTAAAGTCACGCCGCTGCGTCCTCGCCCTACTAATACTTAGTATGTCACCCTATGCCTGCGAGTTACATAACGCCGGTCGCCCTCAAAGTGAGGCCTTGAGTCGGTGAGAGCTGCACCACTCGTCATGCATGCCCTATGTGGAATCTGTCACAGCCGCTTGCTGCAGGACAGCACTAGATTCTCCCAGGTATACATGTCAAAGCACTGTGGTACGCAGTCAGGTTCGGCGTCACGCCGCCACAGATAGTACTTGGTCGCTCACAGACTCACACCTTGAAGGCCACGTATACTGCCGCTTTTGCCTCTCCGTCACTTTACACGAAGGGCTGGGAGCATCCTTCTGCCCCATCAATCGCTGTGGGGCGCCTCTTGATATGGCTATCTGTTTGAGGCTCTACCTCGCCGATTGCTTGGCGGAAGACGAGACGGATAGGTATCTTCAGCAGTCTGTGGAACGGCAAGTCTTCATAGTGCTTTCATTCAGTGGCCGCCCGTTGACGCTACCAATAGAGAGGATGCTGTGGTCAAACACGCTCGTAAGCTAGACCACCTCCGCGGGAAAGTGCGGATCTCAGAACGGGACCAAGAGAACTTGGCTCGCGAAGCAGAGCATTATGCCCTGCTACAACGCACGTTCCTCCAGCAACTCTTGGCGCTCGGGGATCAGCGTCAATCCGATAACAAGTGCATCAAGCAGCTGGAAGAGGGGTTGGCCCGTTTACGTACCCAGCGTCAACAGCTTGAACACACGGTAAAGGCAGGAAGAGCCGTATGTCTCATCACACGCTACATTGCTAGAACTCGCTGACTATATGGGATTAGGGCTGATTTTTGCATACTTCTGCTCGATCCAGGCTCCTTCTACCTGCCGTCCATAGTGTTCTCGCCCTACGCTCGTACTTATAGGGGGGTACGGTTGCCCGATAGTCCGGGGCCGACCGTTTCGTGCCTACTCGCTCGGATTCGAATGTACAAGTCTGGAGGATGTCTACATCGCCTTTCTGAATACACTGAGGGCAAGATTGACCAGGCATTCTGAAGCGCACAGAATATTGTTATACGGGCGGTGTCTTTACTTCTCAGGCTATGCCAGTGGTCACGGCTTGATTTGGAACGGCCCACCGTGCCAGCTCTAGACTCGGACAGCGATACAAGCGGAGTAACTGATCTGAGCGAAGTCAACCGCCATACACAGTGGTGCTTTCGCATCTATTCGTGGCTGTGACACGCGAGCCTGTAATAGTATGCCTTTCTCGGATGCTGCAGACCTTCGTGTACATGGACACAATCGAGATGGGGTGAAAAGACCGTTGATGTGAGGCTCGAGCTCGGACAAGTTTTGAGAGAAGCAGTCAGCGTCACTACGAAAGAGACATTGAGCCGGCACTCGGAGGCACTGTCTGAGACGCTTACCTTCGCCGTCGTGGTTGCAAGGAAGCCGTAGACTTCCATGTTCGTGTTCACCTCACGCGTGAGATCCTTCGACCACTGACCTGGGCCTCAATCAAGCGGTCACAGTGGACGGTGGTAGGAAACGCGGCCGCGTGTCCATGCCCGCCGACACGAATCGCATAATAGCCATCTATGCGGGGACATATGGGATCGAGCCGGGGCCGAGGTATTCGCGTACGCTTAGAGGGCATCACCTGAGCGGTAGCATCTGGCACGCAACTCGCTGCGGAGAGGATGAGCGGAGCAACGCGTAGCCGTGTCACAAACACGTACGTCAGGGACCAGTCACTGTACTCCGGTGGTAGTGTCTTGTCGTCTTCGGAGCGTAGAGCGGGGGCAACCGGTAGTGACCGCGAAGATTGAGGATGTGACAGCCAAGATCAAGGAGCTCGTGGTCGTCCAGATGCAGTCGATGGACTCCTGACGTCGACTCGGGAATCCAGTCCGGCGAGCTTACTGTCGGTCAGAAATCTATTCGACGCGGAGGCAGCTGCTTTCGTGCGGGTGGTGGCAGTTGATGTGGTGACCCGCGTGAGGACGACTGGTTTTGCGTTCTCCGGGGCAGTCGCAGTGGTCGGCGGGGGTTTCGCTCGGGTAGTAGCGCACATGGGCCGGTTGACTGCATTCTCGTCCCTGTAGACGGTCAGACGGGTCGCCCGCGCTACACGCCGGGATTGTATGTTGGATGTCATGCGAATGATGTAGTCTGCTCCAGGCTGGATGGATGAAAGTGGAATGAGTAGGTTTCGGTACGAGGTCATCATTAAGAAGAGCTCAAATATGATCATCACCGCGCGGGCGCCACTACGCGTCGTTCATGGAGATGCGTCAACGGGCACATCAACGGCGTACACACGGCGGACACGAGCAACTCGATTTCCACAACCCGCAGAACTGCCGCAGCCTGTACATGCGTTAGAGGAGGTGGAGGAGGAGGTGGAGGAAGTGGAGGACGTGCTTGAAGATGATGCGATGGCCGTCAACTCCGTCCCTGAACGATTCGTGGCCGCTCGCGTCTCTGCGGCAGCTACACCATCTGCCATTCCCATCCCGTGCCATTAAAGATCCAGGGGGGATAAATATCTGCAGGGGAACTACTTCAGAGTACGTACAGGCCCAGCGGCCCGGGGGTCAGATATTACGCTCGGGAAAACGTGCGATCCCAGCTGCGATGCGGGAAACACGGCCTAGATGGTACTGATCCCTCTCAGCTGATGTGAGCTCTGACACCATGCGTCCATCGAGCTCCCGGTATTGAAACATGGTGCCGCCGGTCCAAAAGACAGCGGAGCCACGCCGTGCCCCTTCTGTCACCAGAGGGGTGTTGTAGTGAGTGAACGCGGCTGATGGTATCAGTAGGGGCACGCCAGGACCGACCTCAACCTCGCAATCCAGATCTGCAAGGCCAACGCGACAATCCGCCGCCGGGTCAAACTGTCCGAATGGGACAATGCAACAGAGCCCGGGGCCCAGATTGGTACAATCGAGGTGTCTTTCACAGACTACGTCTCCAAACGTTGAGAGCAAAGGACGCGAAGGGATGGAAAAGAGCCTCTATATGTGCATCGCCGCGAAGTGCGTAGTCAAGAGTTTGTGCGTAATACTCGTGGAGCTGGGGGAAAATTCGACGAAAGACGCCTACACCCACATGAGGACGTCGAGACAACAGGCAAGGGAGAAGCAGCTCACCAGCAACCAGCCGGATGACAGGCGCCAACAGTTGGGCAAGCTCGTGAGCGACATCAACATGGTCGCAGAGCTTCGCAACCGAATTCTCGTACCTCAAGATCCTCGGACATGTCTACGTGGTCGAGGATGCGGAAGACTTGGCCCTGATTGTTCGCGATGTGACGCGCTACGGGGGTGCACACAAACCGGCGGTACGTGGATCTCGGTCGAGACTGGTTTGCTGGTGACTGTGATTCATCAGGCGGGGTGTACACAAGTTGACAACGGGCGGACTGAGAAGTGACGAGAAGGCGGTCGATAAAACCATGTACAACCTCGGTTTCAAAGTCAACTGCATAATCTGCTGACTACATCTGGGAGGCTCGCCTCACCACGTAAGACAGCGTGCACGATTGTGTTCCGGGCCCGGGGCCGGCGAGCAGTGCACACAGCTGAACGCCTATACCCCTGGTAAGATGCTAGTAGGCGACGCAATGATTTGCTACGTACTATCGCCTGCGAGCGACGATGGTACCGGTGTTGAGAGACAGACCCAGAGGAGACAAAGTTGGTTCTTCAAGATCTTTAAGAGAGGTGCGTGGCTTTTGGAAATCCGATTTAACACTATTGAATGTGTTAATACTATTTAAAGATGTCAGTACTGTATCGGGCCGGGATCTCGGCCGGACGTGGTACTCGGTCAGTCGACTGCCGTAGGCTCACCTCCCAGTCTTACCACAAATTACGCCTACCAGTCGACTCTCACAATCCTCCTCTACCTCCTGGTATAAATTCCTTGTGATTAACTTTAGGAATGAGCCCACGGTGGTCGACTGACCGAGTACCTTGTCCGGCCGAGATCCCGGCCCGATACAGTATACGTCGAGGCTACTGGGCGCTGAGAGCTTTATGGGATTTGAGAACGAGATTAAGCGCGCAGAAGCGTAGAGCTTAAGCTTGTACCCATTGCGCTTTACGTGAAATTGTACTTAACTAGCCGATGCCCGTGCTCCGCTACGGGTATGCGCTTTCGATTGCATATATCTCTGTCAGATAAATTATTTACGGTTTTGAGCGCATGGCGGGGCGAGTGCTAAAAAATCGTGACTGTTCTATGTAATTTGCAAGCGTAGGCCCCGACTTCTGTAAGAGACTAATAATAGTTGAAAGGCCACTCAGCCGCCTCCCTTCGGGAGTCGGCTTCGTGGCCCCGTGCCAGTCTGCGACATATGTATTATGAATACCTACTGTTCGGGAGATACTAAATGTATCTTGACGCATGGGACCTCGGACAGTAGTAATGGAGCACGCATACACGCAGCACACCCATGTCCATGACCGAGTCTCGCTGAGTTGGCACGCAAGACGGAAACTTCCAGTCAGTCATTGTCCGCCTCCTGAGGTTTGCTCTACGTACCATGTTCGCCCTCCTCGCCCTCCTTTCACTTGCCCAAGTCCTCGTCACTGCGCCAGGGCTCGCCAAGCCATCTTTGTCGTGCTGTTTTTCACCGAGGTTCTGGCCTCGCGCAGTCGCCGGTCGCCCTGTGCCACCCTTTTCTCTGGGTTGTCCACCGTATGTTGCTCGCTGTCCTGCTGGTCTGCGTCCTCCCACCCCAGGTCGACGACTTGAATGCCGTGCGAGTCTAGGTCATGATGAAATATTCAGTCGTTGTCTGCTGGCCCTCCCTGCTCGTAGCTACGCCCGCGCCCGTAGTCCGCTCGTCGGCTGTGCTTCACGCGGGGGCTTTACCCTGCATACTCGCCGAGCAGTTTCCCTCGCCCTCGCCGTGCGTGTGGTGGCCCGCTCTTGTACTGTGTACCCGCTCGCCTGCCTGCGTGCGCGTTCGTCAGCCGTGTCCGCGTGCAATGGGTGTTCTCCCAGCGCACTCGTGGTCGACGTATGCGCTGTCACCTGTTCGCCCGCCGGCTCTCTCGCTCATCCACTCACCTGCTTGCCCATCCGATTGCCAGTCCACACCTGCTCGCCCGTCCACTGGCTCGCCCGCCTTCCCGCTCCCTCTGCGCGCGTTCGTCGGCCGTGTCTGCGTGCTGGGCATTCACCCGGCGTGCTCGCGGTCGGCGTGTGTGTCGCGCTTCATGTCGCCACGGCGACTGCGCCTTGTGCCTACCCATTCCCCCCTCCATCCGGCTCCTTCGCTCATGCACCCGCCGTCCATTCGTCAACCGTGTTTACGTGCTGGGGATTTTCTCAGCGCCCTCACGGTCGGCGTGTGCCGCTCGCTAGCTCGCTCGTCCACCCGCCGCCCGCTTGTCAGCCATGCCTACATGCTCGCAGTCGTCATGCGTCGTGCTGCACGTCACCGCGTCCTGTGCCTGCAGTTAGCTTGCTCGCTCGCATGTGTCGACACTTACGGCGCCCGTCTCCGCTGCGCTCGGTACACTCCTGTCACTTGTTGTTTTCTGCGCCTTACCGCTGCCCTGGTCCGCGCCCTCCTATGCCAGAGTGAGAAATGAACATGAGGGTCGCGCGCGAGCCTGAGTCTAAGGGGTATTGAGGAGGAGGAGGAGGAGGAGGAGGAGGAAGGATGAAGTACAGTATTCAGTTGCGCGAGCTCGGAGCGCTTGAGAGGCTCGGGCAGCGCTCGGGCGTCCATCTCTCAGCCAATGAGAATGTCTCTAGCGTTTGTCTCTTGCTTCTTGTCAATGAGAGCCTCAGATCTCCGGTCGAAGCACGTGTGGCCACATGATCGCACCGGACCAAACATGTGCAAACGAATTGACCGGAACCGACCATGGCATGGGCGCAACGCCTTGCCTAAATCACTCCTAGATCCACTGTTTGACTGTTGTCCGCAGGCGAGCGGAATGTGTGTCTCCTAGGGGGCATTCGGCGCTCGAAGCGGCAGCAGACAGCAGTGGGTTGGCCGCAACACATCCTCACCAACGTCATGTCGGACGACGGCGCTATGCCTGCACAGTAAGCACCTCCGTATTGTTCTGTCGTCGCCTTCAGCTTACGATCCGGCATAGACACTTCGTCAAGCTCCTCTTCGCGACGTACCCGGCCGCGACCGCGCAGCTCCTGGCGTCGGAGGACAAGGCTTTCTTCCTCGCCATCTCACAACGCCCGGGCCAGAAGCCGGTCCCTTTCATTCCTGTTCTCGAGGTGTCGTTCGAGAGGGTACGTTCGTTTGTTTGTTTAATCCCTATATTGTCACTGAGGGCGAAGCCTTATGTAGACATAACATACTCTACTCTTTTCGTGTCTCGTCTGGCCCGTGGTCGCTGAGCATCGCCGTTCCCCGAAGCGTCGAGCAGGTATAAGAGGGTACGTTAAGGTCGCCCAACGAGGAACTGTGGCTCATATGTTGGTAGGATTTCGTGGGCAGCCGAGGACATCGAGGCCGCCTTCGCCGAGAACCCCAGCGTGCGTGCACCCTCCGGGGCCCTGTGGCGGCGAAACATGCTGCGAAGAAGGACGAGCCGGTCAAGGAGGTGCTCGACAACATCGCCGCGTTCCTCGCCGACAGGTTGGCGCAGCGCCTCTACGGCGGCGGCCTCAGTCGCATTCCGACCGCCGACCATCTCAGTGTTAGGGCCTCCCCTCTCCCGGAGAATGTCACCGGTTCACTTGGCGTCGAACGCTCTGTTGAGGCCGATAAGAACGCCTGCTCCGTTGGGTGCACGTCGCCCGAGGCGTCGACTTGGCTTGAGATGCTCGCAGGCCCTCGTCAGCAGCATTGGCTGAGTGCACTCCTTACGTCAACGACCGTGCAGGGTGCATCGCACGTCGACAACCCGATGCGTCGCCTCTTCGTTCCTCGTCGGAGCCAGATGGTCGTCATGACCTTGGACGGCGAGACGCCTGTGACCGTCGCCCTCTATGGCGCGGCTTGTTCGCACGGCCAGCACAAGTCCGAACTCAAGGTTGCCGTGGTTAGATATGATTCGGCATCTCAGGCGATCGACGTCACACTGTTCGAGGATCGCCGCGACGTCTCTGTCCCTCTTCAAGCTTAACCCCTAGTCCCTCTACAAGCCGAGCATGGGCTACGCCAACATCCATGACGCTTCCGAGGGCGTACCAAGGACCTCTGCTGGAGGCTGTGGTTCGGCGACAACGAGGTGCTTTCCGAGATCAACCTTCGCGGCACGTGTATCGGTCTGGAGGTGAGGCGAACGACGTCGAGGCGTTCTGCGCCGTGGTAGGTAATGAGGGCGAGGCGTTCAAGACAGCACGGACGGGCCGGAACGAGGCCCCGATGGATTCTGCGATCGTAACTGGCTGGCAGGTAAGCAGTGCCGGCTCTGCGTTGTTCGTGACGCCCTAACCATGTGCCAGGCCACCATGAAGGCAATCTTCCCAGCCACCATCGATGACGACTTGCTCAAGCCGGCCCACCTTACGTGCGGGTTCCGACGTTCTCGAGGGTGGGGGGCCACACTCAAGGCCGGCGACGTCTGCAAGGCGAGGGCTCGTATCGTCTCTGTGGCCAACTCCGGCTACGGGAATCCTGGCAGGGTAGAGCGCTGCGCTACATTGCAATATCAGATCTTCAGACGCCAACTGCAGGATGCTTTCCCACACAGGGCCTGTACCCTACGGCTGAGCCCGCGCCATGTGACTTGTGAGCTGTGTTGGCGGCCAAGGAGAGCTTCCGCGTCGCTCATTGTTGGTGTGTCTTCATACCTTCGCGCTGCGTTGCCGTATTACCCAGCGTCGCGGAGAAGGAGGCTTTGGGTAGGCCCACATGAAGCACGCATACAACGCTCCGCATATCTTACGTTGCACGCTCGTGCAGAGGTCGTGCCGAGCAGATGTGCTGTGGATTCGGCTCCAACGTCAGCACCTCCAGTACTACGAACACCGCTCTCTCAATTGCTGCGTAATGAAGCGCACGTTTCACAGCACGCACCTGCCGGTCGCACCTTCATGACAGGGCCCAGGTTTGCAGACGAACGTCCTGGGCGCGCGACCACGATACCCACTACCCGCCATAGATTTCCCTTACTCCGCCCTGTCGGTACGTAGACGAATGCCTGATCGAGGGCCGCTGTCCTCACGTATTCGCCACAGCAGATGGGGCCGGCTTTCACGTTCAAGGTGAAGGATGCGACGATGACACCGACTCTAGTCTTTGCGCCGATGATGATTGCCTCAGCGCGTCGTCCATTTCCACGGACCTCGTGCCCGTATCATCTTTTCTCGCCGAGTCGCACGCAAATGTAAGCAGGTCTAGCATTGCTGTTCGGGTGCTCGTCGTGCTTTTCTCATGTCCATCGATGCTTAGGAAGTGCAACTTGAAGTCGACCAGCCTCACTTGCCCTATTCTTACAGTCAATTGGGAGCCGCTTGTCCAGAGACGTCGCTTTCGACACAAAGGGTTGCAACTTCTCCTCGTGGGCTTTCCCCGGCGGTCCCACTACCTCCTACTATTACCAGAACCTTCCCCTCACCGGTTGTCGCTGCACCCGATGTCTCTGTTGACGACACTTCTTCCGGGCAAAGCCAAGTGTCGGTGCCGAATAGTCTTCAGGCAGCAGATAGGGGTAACCTTCCCATGCGACGAGAGCGCAACCCTGACGCAGAAGGTCGACATAATATGCCTGCAAGCGGTGCTCGGGGCCTTACCATGCGAGCATACCCTACCGAACTGATCTCTCTTGCACGCGCACGACCCTCGTCGGCCCCGCCCGTCGGGTTGACCGTCGCGCGGCTATGCACTCCCACCCTCGGTTCGTCGAGGCCAGTCTCGGCGTTAGAACCGCCTGACGCAACGACGTTGGCCGCTCGGAACAAGGGAAACGGGAGACATGCCTCGCGCGGTGCCAATGGTCAGCCTCCCGCCGAGGCCCGTCTTGCTGCCATCAGAGACTGGGAGCTTTACCGGAACTGCTCAAATTTCCGCAAAGGCCGCGAAGAGGGCCAGACGATCTGGTACAAAGTGGACTTGCCTTTCGCCGTCGATCAGCCACCGGCGTCTCTCGAAGCATCCCAAGGAGACCTTTTCATCCACGTTGACACACGCACGAAGAAGTCGCGCATGTGGCTATGTGGCACGCAGGGACAGTGGGAAGCAGCGCAGGTAGGAGTACCACATCCTCGGTACAGAAATCGGCGCCTCCACGTCAAGGCGGATGGCGAACCCAGCTGGGTTACTCGGGAGACCTCCGTTGTGTATGGCAGCAAGAGAAAGAAAGAGCGGCAACATGACGCCGAGGCAGAGCTACTGGTGAGTTTGTGTCGTCATCATGATAACAGCACAGGGTGCTCATACAGGGCCTTATCAGGGCCTAATGGCTTGATTATTTCGCTTGCTAACCATTTTGCGAACAGCGGCCGAGGTGAGGCGCCCTCGGTGAGGCGCCCTCGCTGTGCGTCGGAGGAATCCAAGAGGAATCACTTGTTCATGTGCTCACGCCATCTTTCGCGAATTAAGAGTATGGGTTATTTATGCACTTCAACGCTCAGCATGCTCAGACGTACTCACCTAAGCTGCGACGCTGAATGTTACTGGTATAGACTTGTCTTGCGCGCGCGAACTCTCTCGTCGCTACGTCGTGGGCGGGATGCGAAGCTTGCAGGAGAGACCGAGGGAGAAGCAGTTCAAAGCAGATACGGGTGACACGTCCCTATGTTTTCAATAAATCGACGAGAGACCTTGATTATTCTCTGAGTGATGTTCCTGTACAAGCGATCGCGGGCTACAAACGACAATTTGTACGGAGCCCTGCGTCCTTTGACCCCGGCCCCAAAAGAGCTTCGATGCCCTCCGTTGTCACTGTGCCTATCTATGCCTCCGACTGCCGCCGCGCGATTTCCCGACTGCCTTGTTGGATGCCTTCGGCTTACCCTGGCGCCCTCCAATCGGGCGCTCATCCTCCATGGCAATACGCTCACGCCCTGCTTGCGGCTTCCAGTTCGATCGCTGATCAGAGGCAATCGCATCCGTTCCAGCTTTGCCAGCGAGCTCATGGCTCAGGGTATCTCCAGTAAGCGATCCAGAGTCACTGGTGAATGTCACGCCTTGTCCGCTCCCGTCTACGTCGAGTCTCGCTTCGGCATCGGTGCGCAGTGCCACGCTAGCGGTGGTGCGCTCTTTGGCCTCCCTGCTGTCCTCGCCTCTTGGTTGCTTGATTCTCGAGTTACCATGCCGAAGAATATCGCTGCGTCATCTAGTAAGAAGTGCGCGAGACATAGCGCCCAAACAGAAGCACTCACGACATGACTCGAGGCTCGTGCTCCAATATATACTCCGCCGAATCCACCTCCAAATCTTCTTTCTCAAATTCGTTGAGCCTTTCGAACCACTCGAGGCTGTAACAGTTGGCTGGCAGGCCAGAAACTGCCCCAGGTCGATCTGACAACAAGCCCCTATCCAGACGAATTCTTGGTAGGGCGCCTCTCCCTGAGCCTGGTCCTACGCCTTTAGATTCCCTATACCTCCTGTAAAAGTGGTCGAAAACCCGGAGCCAAACAGTGACCTTGGACGACCGATACGGCGGTGCGTGAATGAGGAATTGTCCTCTGATATCACGATCAGGCTCGTCGGAGCTCATCCCGTCCGTACCCAACTTGCGGAGCATGCCGACGTGATGCCGAAGTTGCGGGTACTGCACCGCGGATGTTAGGCGTTGAGAGAACAGCTGATGCGTCGGAATTCAGTTCATCATGACAGAGCAGATTGCCTCAGCAGAACGTACTGTGTTCCTACGTTGCGCGCGACTCTGTCTACGCAGCTTTTCTCTCACTTCGTTTTGGCTCATACTCGCACGTTGATACCTTCGTTTAAGCTGTTTGAGATGCGTCGTAAATGCTGAGATGATCTTCGCCTTGTCTTTGCATCGATATTGTTTGCTCGCCCTGAAATGCTTGCAAAACACTCGAGCCGCAGATTTGTTCCACCCATTTGCTGGCGTCCCTTGCAAGTCTACCTTGAACGCATCGGCCGTGCAGCATCGACTCGAACCATCCCATGCCTCCCTTTCCTCAACCGTCACGAGTGTCGCCCGCTTGAAGCGCGCGTCACTATCCCTTCGGCGCATGAGCAGCATGACATGATCTCGAACAGCGCGCTATGATACAGGTCAGCCTCTGTTTCGCGCACAGGTAAATAAGCAGTATCATCGCACCGCGAGCTCATTGCCTTCAAGTGGGCGGCGCTTGGGAAAACCAGCCAGCCTCTTGCGTTTCACTGCAGGCATACCTAGCTCGTCGCTCTCATCATCCGCATCCGAACCCTCGTGTTGACCGTCTGAACGATGCTGTCTTTGCAGTGAGGCTACTTCGCCCGAGAGACTTCTGAGTTCGCCTCTGATAGCCCGGATATCATCGTGAGATGCCGGAACGAACTAGTCGATGCCTTTAGCCCTGAATAGACAGTGCGGGAACGCAAAATTGTACTTACGGAGCGTCTGTCGTGGGTAAATGGCTCATCTTTTTCGTCCTCACCCATCATGGTTTCAACGTGAAGCGCGTGTCCTTCATGTTGTTCCGCAGCGTGGATGGTGTGGTTGAGCGAATTGCCCGAGCCAGCAGAAGTGTGCGGCGCATAGCCGCCAGGAGGAAGCTCAGTGCGTTCAGCAGCGCCACGGGCGGCTGTAATTGGGTCATCGACGTCCATGGACATCTCCTGGGAGGAGACATTCTCGACATTCTCGCCATGATAACCGGCACCGGTCGCGTCTGCCCCTTGTATGGACTTCCCGTCTTCAGAAGCCGGCCCGCGTGTGCTGAGAGCGGTTCTCGCTGTCGGAAAGCTCGGCGCAGCTTGAACGATAGGGTCATGACTCCGACTGCTACTGGGCGCCTTAACACCGCTGCGACGCCTCTTTACACCGGCAATTCGTGGCGGGGAGCAGGTCATAGGCTGCGACTGATACCTGGGGAGCTCAGCGGCCGTGTCCGCGAGAGGCCACAGGTCGGGCTGTCAAGCCATGAGTACCTGAGTCATATGCCAAGAGGGCATGTCACTGACTGTATCTCCGTAGGATGGGCCACGATGACTGCCTTCAGGCACCAATCTGGTCGTTGTGAAGCGCTGTACATGCCCCGCGGGTCGCAAATTGCAAGCCTCGGGCACTGGAGCATACATGGAGGGTCCTCCCTGCGGTGCGGCTCCAACAGGCGATGCCGCGCCCTCGGTATACCCAGGATCCACAGGATCCATAAGCAACGTCATACGCTCAAGAGTATCGCACGCTTCCATGTTGGGGCCTGGAACCGGCATCCTCGCCGCAGGTCGTGTCTCAGAAGACGGTGCGTTAGTTGAAGCGGATGTGATTATTGGTGGCACCGACGTATAAGTCACGCAGGGCAATATAAGATCGGCGACTGCCGTCGCTTGGCCTCTACCAGCTTCGAACTGCTGTAGAGATGGCAAGCCGAAGCTCGCGGGGCTTGCTGAAGGCCTCCACAGCCCTGACCTTTCCTGGGAAGGGATGGCCCAGGTGTTGTTGTCGGAGGGATGTCCCTGTGAATTCGGAGACCAGTTTACAAGGCCATGAATGCCAGGGAGAGAGGGAAAAGAGGCCTGATGAGACAGCGTCGCAATCGTGCCGGGGAATGCAGCTGCGGGGCTGCCTAGGGAAGTGCTGGAAAATATGGACGAGGCAACGGCGGACGGTGGGCCACGCGTAGATCCGGAATCCACCCTGCCAATATCACCTGCAGAAGGACTGCGCAGTCTTTTCCTCCTCGAAGACGACCCGCCGCCTGTCCCACCTCGCCTCGACAAGCTCGTGACGGGGCTGATCTCCGGAAGATTCGACGCTTGCGCAGGCACGTGGTCAGCGATTGAAGGGCCGGAGAGAGTCGCCCTACGCTCAGGAGTCTCCTCGTCTGATCCTGTGTACAGTGCTGGCTTGTCAAAGACCTCCTTCGATTGCAACACGGATTCGACGCCAGCAGTAGGAGCGCGCTCCACCGGCTGGCGGCTGTTGTCACCGGAACTCTGGTGGAGTGGGGACTGCTGGGAAGCTCCTCCGAAGGAGTACAGAGCTGCTGCACCTACATCAGACACAGGGTGGCAGAGATCCGCTATCGACAAGCCGGTTCGTGGCCGAGTAGGCGCGCTGTCTGCGATTTCTCCATGGCCACGTTGCGTTGTAGCCGCATCTTTGGGCCCCTGTTCGGTGTAAATGAGATCCACGCCATAAGAACACCGAAGAGCTGCGTATCTCACCCTACGTATGCACATTTCACTCCCATCAGAGAAGTGGAGCCCGTCGACATTTGAGCTGGGCAGGAAGCCTGACGCCGATGTTCGTTCGGCATTCTCAGCATGTTTGACGAATGGGCCACATAACATGCGCCGGTATGCAGACGAGACCGCCCGGAGGTCTGAAGCACCTTGGCGTTCAATCACGCCGGGGCGGTGCTCGGGGCTACTCGCCGACGCACTGCCAGCCGTCGCTGACATTGCGTTGCCATCTAACAGAGAAGCTCCGGGGATCACATCTCCCTCCCAGCCGCTAACAGGCTTGTCAATGCTGAACGACTCGGACCCAGAAAGGTCCGACAAGCCCGTGAAATATACCTCCGCTGAGCTGTGCGTTTCGCCTACACGGGCAGTGCGCGACGACGAGGTTGATGATGATGGGCTCACGTCGCCTGTAGAGAGATCCCAATTAATTTTCACCTCGTAAGTTGGGCGTGAGTAAGCCCGGATCGAACCCTCACTACCATCGAAGGAGGCTGGCCTATGCAAGCTCAAGGGACGACTGGAAGAAGGCCCCGGCTCTGTCAGGACGGGAGGGCTGCGCATCAATGCGTGCAAGCCTCGTTTGTCACCATGCCTGCGGCTCGCAACGCGACTAGCCTGAGTAGAGTGGGGGGTTCCGGGGGAGCTAGGACAGGTATCGGTAAGACACGAGCAGTAACGGCTGAGCGAGATTAATAGACGGCACCTCTGTGAAGAGTACGACAGTGTTTTGTCATCGTGAGAGGATGCATACTCCAAGCGAGCACCCATGATCCTTGGCCATGCCTGTGAGCATCCCGGTAGCTGAAGAAAAGAGTCTGTGTCGTACCGCCTATGCTTCAGTTTGCCGCGCTGCTTACGTCCAACGGGGGCTTCAGGGGTGTCGTATCGAGGTCGCTTGTTTGGGATCCAGTCTCCAGCGCCACCAAGGTCTCCACTCGAAGACGGCGCACCTTCTGCCGCTCGTTTTTGCGGTGGCCGCCGCCCCGAAGGCACTGTCAACGACATACACGTTATCAGTGATGCATGCAGCGAGGACCACAGCAGAAGGAGGAACCGTACCCGACCCTGCCTGATGCATATCATGCCCCGACATCGCATGCCGCGGGTGAAGGGTGCGTACAGCAAGAACGTCGCAGCGACGTAGTAGCGCATCAGTTAAGCTGCTGCGAACAATGGAGGTCAGCAGGTGGTTACAAGTGAACAATGGGCATCTCAAGGTGATCGCCGATCGCCGGGGACCACCGGCCACCGCTCTAGTATGCTCCATCGCACAACATTCATCCCACGCAAAGCGACTGTTTCAGGCGCAGGCGCGTGGTGGACACATGTGAGCTCACAGTAAGTAAATGTTTGAGGTGTGCAGCCCTTTTCCTGATGTTCCTGCTTTTTCATGATTTTCTCGATTTATTGCGAGCGAAGCGAGCATGCAAATTGGAATTAGCAGGAATTGAGTATTCTCGCCTCACGCCGTCGAATACATGTCCAAATCCCTTCCGATAATTCCGAGAAAATCACCATAATTTTGACCGCATACGAAAGTAGAGGACTAAGCCCTTCGTTAGTCACTTTCTGTTGAGACTTCTGCGTTTTGGACCCTATGCTACATCGCTACCTGTCTGTGCACCTCACATTCACCCCGCCCCCTAGCTCTGAGATCGTTCAACCTCCTATAATGGACCAACAAAACCACTCCCGTCACAACCAGGTCTCGCTACATGCATTGCTGTACGATGTTGCCCCCCTCGAGTCCGAACACTAGCTCCATCACGGCCACCTTGCCTATTCGGACTTGACGGGCGCTCAGTCCTGTTTGCGCCACTGCCGCACTCAATAACCACACATGCCTGCGGCGCTCACTGATATGTTCATGTACATGACAACTGCCACGTCCCAGTGACCCCTGATAATTCGTGTTCCATGTTCATACCAGTGACTCCGTGGTTCGGAAGGTGTGTCACCGTGTTACTTATTTGATACGGTAGTCTTCCCGGCTTGCAGACTCGCTGAACGAGCGCTCAGGGATGATGCGGACATGCATGACCATGCGCCTCGGCCATACCCTACTCTACGAGCGACGTTAGCTCGTACTACGCGCATTCCCGACGCACCCAATTCGCTGAGTTCACAAGCCCTCGCGACACGCGCAACTATGCGACGCGCTGTAATGGGCCGTCGGCCTGACTTCACGCGGTACGATCAAACTTCAAGTTGTCTTATCGCATATTTGACTATCAACGGGCTTCAAGCTAGCCTTGGTATTGCTTGATTTCGGAGGTCCTGCTGATTCTATTAGTCTAGATTTCGCTCGAGTTGCAGGCGTACAAGCCTTCGAGCTCGAAAACCCGGCCATCCTGCAACTGGGATGTGTCGGCAGTCGTTCGTGCATCAACTAGTACGGCGCGAACGTATCCATGCTATGAAGTCAATTCAGAGGTGAGGTTTATTTCAACGTGAGCCTTGACCACTACGATGCAGTGCTCGACGTGCTTCATCTGTGGCAGAAGGGGTTTCGTTGGCTGTTATGCGATGAAACGAGACACTGGCACTCTGTAGTGGGTCGGATGGCGCACTACCGTCCGGTCTGTCTCGGTTAGTGTATGTGAAGATTAGGCGGGGGCGGAGCGGGTGTCTGCTGCAAAGCGCTCGTGGCACTGCGGCGAGGTGGGAATGTACGCCGCCGTCTGGTGGCGGCGTCCTCCTCCTCCCGCGGAAGCAGCGCGGGTATTGTAATGTCGCCAATGCAGATCACCGACTTTGCAAAGTCGAGACACACGCCAAACTTTCGCATGAACGGTGTGTATCACGCAGATACGCGAACAGTTTATGACGGAAATACGCTGAACGTTTTGACCCAGTACCGCCCGGATTACACCCGGGACGAGAAGTCAATCACACTATACCGCTAATTGACGATCGAGAAAGATACACTTACTACTTATTGAGGTGTCCAGACTCTCTCAAGCCCAACCAGCTCGAGGAAATCCGGCTCTACACAGTCAATGGCTGGTGGAAAGAATGCCAGATAGAGCAAGCAGCACCAACGCTCTGCCTTGCGAAACAAGACGGCGGACTGCGCACTGTCGCAGATGTTCGCCAATGCAATGCGAACACTACCAAGGACGTGACGCCCTTCCCGGATCAAGACCAGATCCGGAACGACATATCGAACGCTTACGAACGAGTACTGGTAGACCTCAGGGCCATCTGGTCGTCATGACACAGTCTGATCCTTGACATGGCTATGTGCTGCCAGATAGCGGATATTCATTCTGAGAACAGTCATACAGGGGCAGACGTTACATACAACCTGAGCCAGTGCGCGGGCGTAGCGATGACAGCAAGGACGCATAGCAGTGAGTAGGGTGTACTAAACCAAGCAGAACAGCGCGAGAAGGATGCCAGGGACGACTCGGAGAACACAATTTAGAAAGCATTATCGACAGCGACGAAAGCAATGGGCTAGATAGGATGGACCTGCATGACCGCCATGCCTGCGACTGCGACGCACCGAGCGTGTCGTCTACGCAGTGCTCGGCGCAGTGCCCGATTGCAGAGACTAAAATGAGAGGTCAGTTGAAGACGAACGAACACAGCCACGTAGAACACTCACCATAATTTCTTCTCTGAGCTCGCATAGTTTGAGCTCGTATGCCTTCACAAGTTCAGCCTCCCGCCTCCCTGCCTCCTGAACCCGCCTCTGGGCTTCAGCCAGCTGTGCCTGCATCTCGGCCGCCTGCATCTCGGCCGCCGCCCTCTCCCGCCTCTCTGCCTCCTGAACCCGCCTCTGGGCTTCAGCCAGCTGTGCCTGCATCTCGGCCGCCGCCCTCTCCTTCGCCAGTTTCTGAGCGACAGCATGCTCGACTTCCCGCAGTTTGGTCTCGAATATGGGTTGCATCGCCTCTGCTTGCTCAGCCAACTCTGGCTCTTGCATGATATTGAGAAAATTGGCGAACTCGCCCGCTCGCATGCCAATGGGGTTGGTCGCCGTCATGACATTGTCTCCGGCAATGAGCCGAAAGACCAATCCGGCAAACCAGTAGCACTGCTTCGAGCCCAGCTCGTACTCTGGGTACTCTTGGGTAAGGACGGAGCAGGCGGCGATGATGGTGGCGATGGTGACGTTCCCTTCGAGAACCTGTTTCGCGATCTCCTGGGCACCCTTCGTCGCGTGACTGACGTCCTCCGAGGTGTATATGGTGATTGGGTCGGAAGCAGGAAGGGGGCACGAGCTGCTCGTGAAGGATACGCTGGACGAGTTGTCGGATTCTTCGTCAGTGAGTTCGAGCGTGCGCTCCATTCGCAGTGCGCCGACGACGGTGCCTCCGAAGCTTATGTGCGCGACCACGAATTCATGATTGGGTAGTTTATTGTGTTTCCACAATGTGATCTGGGAGACAAGGTATTGGTGCACGATCGAATCGGCGCTGAGATATAGGGTCTCCAGAGTGTTGACGGCGATCTTCTTCTTGTCAGGGTTCCCCAGAGGAGCGGGTGCCTCTAGTAGAAGATGTAGCGGTTTGATATCGCGCGGGGCAGACATCCAAGGCAGTCGTAGGGGCAGGCAGAAGAAACGTGTGCGGAACAGGGAGTTGAAGCGCATTGCGAGTGAGGGAGATGGGGGTAGATATGCAGAAGACTAGGCACGCGATAGCCATGATGAGTCCAGCGAAGCCGCAGGAGGCCACACATGGCAATATTAATTGGCACGGGCGACTGAAGGAGACTCGGCGCGGCTGTGGACGGCCTCGCTGCGAGCGCTCAACGCGCAGGCCCAGGTCGCGCGTGCGGTTACACGAGTCCTGAGAGAATCGATATACACAATTCCATCGCCGCTGGCTCTGCAGTGCGCACACGAGACACGTTGCGGGTGCGCACACTAAATCGTCTCACGAGTGCCAGTGCTTCGCTCGTCTGTCTGCTGCTGCAGTGGCAGCAGCCACAGACCCGCCGTGTGTTGCAAGTGCCAGTTCCGGGGCTCCTGTGTTATGCAAGACCTCGGCGAATACTTATGTACGCAACCACAAAAGTAATATATTGTGTGCAGACATCGGGACGTGGTTGACTCATCTACCTGGACCCCAAACCCTTCACTCGCAGATCATTCTCACCTGCGGCGGTGCACCATTCTATCCCCACGTCGGCTCAGCACCCTGATTCCACGCTCTCTTCTCACCGCACTGCCCTGCCATAACAGAGTGTAGATCAGATAAATGGCTGAAAATAACCAACGTTCTCGCCCCACTGAAAGGGAGCCAATCAGAGGCTGCACCTTTCAACGGTTGAGTGCCTGCCATATGTAATTTTTGGTAATATTATACCTAATCTATGTGCTTCTACGCGAAGTCACAATGTTAGGATCCCGCACAACCCGGTTTGTCCCTTGTGTGAGGATCATCATCATATCGTAGCTGTTCAGCAGCTCACAGCCCAATGATCCTGCCAGGGGAGACCTGGACCGCGAGGCCACCGGCGGAAAACGCAGTTGCAGCGAGCCGTACGGTTTACCGTGGGACCTTGATAGCTGGCCCGAAAACACGACGCCGAAGGCAGCGTGAGGATATCTTGCCACTGCGGCCAGTTTCGCTGCAGACTCGCCAGTGTTACACAAGCAGAAAGTCTGCTCCACGGGGAGGTTGCGCAACCTTGCGCAACGCTCCTCCCAGTTGTTCGGGCGTTCTGGTGGCGTTGGTCCTCCACGCAAAGTCAGAATTAGTACACACGTGCTTAGTATGAGTTCTCGGGCCGACCAATACGAACCGACACAAAGGTTTTGTAACAAGATCACAAATCCCTACCTATGTGGTTGTAGTAATCTCATGGGACGAAGGACAGCGCGACTTTAACGGGATTACTTACAAACAAAGCCCCCCGACACCGCTACGATGATCCGGGCTCTGCGGCCCCTCATGTTCACGTGAGGGGTTTGTGTCGAGCCTGCGCCGTCGCGTGAGCGCCGGGCACAAAGCGTCGAGGACTCAGGACAAAGCGTCGAGGCTCTGAGCGCTTGCTCCGAACGCCCTTCGCCAACCGCGCCCCGCAGGCGGGCGAGTACGCACGGTAAGCTGCTGCCTCCCTACGCGTTTTTCGAGGGCGCCGAGCGTGCGGTTGAGTGGAGCCCAACATCCCGCACCTTGCACGCCCTCGCCGGGCGCTGGCTCCTGAGCACCCTTAGCTGACGCCGCGGCGACGACAGGAACGCCTTTCCCAAAGATCTGGCCAGAAAGCCCTGCTGCGGCCGCAAAAGCCCCCCCTGCAGTCCCCCTTGCAGCCCCCCCGCCCCCTGCCGCCGCGTTGTGCGGGCTGCTGGCGCCGCTGCTACGCGGCACAAATGCGGGGCGTTTCGCGCCCCTTCCCCCAGCAACCCGGACGCTTCGTTGGGCGCGGTGCATCAGGGCCGGAGGTCAGCCAGGGTAGGGGTCGGGTACGAGAGGCGCAAGCTGGACGCTCTGTTAGTTCACTCTCCCTGCCAGCTAGATCCGCGCATCCTTCCCAAGGGCTCCTTTCGCCTCGGCGGCGCTCGTGAGCGGCTGGGCTCGTAAGATATCGCGGTGCGCATCGGCGGCCTTCAAGCACCCCTGCAGAAGGCCGTCGCCACGCCCATGGGCTCACTGGACGCCTCTCACCCTTCTCTCGTATCACATTATTCGAACGCAACTCGCTGGTGGCTGAACAGTGTCGGGGCAACGTCGACTTCCTGGGCCCCTGTGTCCTACGCCGGCATCTGTCGAGGCACTCCGCCCCTTTCCGGCCCTGCGAGCGCGCGCCGCGCGACGGCGCCGGCGACATAGGCCCGTGCGAAAGCTGCGAGGATGCTCTTTGCGAAACCGAAGCCCAGCGGGCCGCCTGATCTCTGGGGTTGCCTCCCAGAGATCCTGGCCATAGTCAAGCCGGCGGGCTGGCCCGCATACGACCCTGGCTCAGGCTCCGAGCTGCAAGGCTGAAAGCCCAGCTCTACTCTGTCCCCGCACGCGATTACGTCCACAAAGCCTCGGCCGATGTCGCTGTGCCAGCCGCGCATGCTCATGCCGTCGCCGTAGCCATTCGAACACTTGGATCTTTGAACTACGGCGGTTTGCGCGGAAGTTTGCTTGCGTTTGAATTTTTGGCCACTGCGTACACCTCATCCGCCGCTGGCAATATGCTGTATTCCCTGTCGAGCGGTTGAGACCCTTGGTCATCAAACCTTCGCCTACGCCCGTGTTTGCTTGCCGCCGTCGGCGACTGAGGCGTCATGCGGCCTGAGCCAGTTCATTAGCGTAGACGGTTAGGCTCGATTCTTGTCGGTTTCTCGTTTCTGTCGTCACAAGTCTGTCTCAAGCTCAAGCTCGCAGTCGCCTGTTTGTTTGTTTTCCATGAAATCTTTTTATTGTCCGCGAGGGCCGAGCCCAATGTAGACGACACTATAACGGCATGGGATGGGTTCGGGGCTGTACTATCCGAGGTAGAGCGAAGGCGTGTACAGCATAGGAGTAGGAGAGGCCCGGGGTAGAGATAGGAGCAGGTGTATGTACAGTAGGGAGCGTTCAAGCCGATCGCGACACCATGCCATGTATGTACGTAAGGAGGGAGCTCCCGCCTGGGAGACCATACGCTTTCGACGCGGCGGTCGGGCGGGACGAGCAGCCGGGCTCAAGCGCTCAGGGCGGGGTGTGAGTGTGGTGCGCAGGGCTGTTAACGTTTGCAACCTGGTGCGGCCCCGGCAGCTCAGCGCTCAGCACTCTACCCGGCTCCTACAGTGACCATCGGAGGGACCTCTCGCGCACTCTCCGGCGCACTGGTAGAGTCGGATGCGACGTACGAGTGGTAGACTGCAGTGTAGAACAGAGAAATCAGTGCAATGTGTGAGATAGGGTGTGAAAGAGGAAGGGGCTACGGCCCATTGGCCTTCGAGAGCGAGTCGCCGTAGACCGCCGCGAAGCAGCACGTCTCGTAGATGTAACGGAAGAGTTGTCGGATGGCCTTGGGCTGAGTGAGGAGCATTTGGATAGTACGTTACAGTATCGGATGTCAACGTTCAACTACGAAGGGCTTTCCCGCACCGGGCCGTGTGCTATGACACAGCCCATGGGGTCGCTAGCATGGTTGCGTGTATGGGCAAACAATTAGATATTTACAGCGGGTACACACGTACAGATAGCAAGCTCAAAACCGCGCAGCGAACGTTCAACATATGTGAGCCTGCGCGCATGATATATCGGCTGCACTATGCTGTGGGCGCCGGCGCAGTGATCGTCGCAGTGACCGTCTTGACTGTGTCACCAGACACTGTCGTGATGGTGACAGTGGTGGCAGTAGGAGAGCCCTGCCCATGGGCCTGGACACCCCTCAGCGCATCCAGAGTGGACTGAAGGGCATTTTCGACACCTCCAAGGTGGCCAAGAGGCTATTGTCCGCCATGAGCCGGCGTTTAACCGAATGAACAGAACATAGGCCTACCTCTAGCCCATCCTCCCCGGCTTCGGTTTGGCCAGCATGGCTCATGGTAACGTCGCTGATGGATGAGCCGGGTCGGGTGCATCTGCTTGGGCTGCTTGGCGCGGAAGGCCCCGCATTGCCAGGGGATGCCAACGGTGTCCTGCCGTTGTAGGTCAACATCAGTTTGGACCTCGCGAATATGCGCGCCGTACCTGCTTGCCACTTCAAGAGGATCGACAGAGCTGTCTCTGTTGCTTGCCGCTTGCGGCATGGTGGACGGAACAGGGACATAAGTCAGGCCGGTCGATCTTGAGCGGAGTGATAATCGGGCAAACGGCTCGGAGCTGACTCGGAGCCACAAAAGAGTTTGTTCAGTGCTGCACTGCTGCCACGGCATGAGCCGTAAAGACATACCGGGGGCTCCCATCTTCTTGAGCTGCTATGCGCCGCATGTCTTCGTTTGGAGACCATGGCGCAGCTATAGCCTGTTCTTGATAAGTGGCGGGCGAACTGGCACTGCAACAACATGGGAGGTTCAAGGCGTCGACGACTTCATGAACGGAGCGATTGATCTCACCTTTCACGAGGAGGCTGGGCTACTGCGGGAGAGTCGACGTTCATGCTGCATGCAATCAGCTAAAAATCAGCGAAGGCATGGCTGAGCGAATGGGCCCAACTGACGCAGAGCCACGTTCATCCATGCTGTTCATCATAGATGTCAGGCTATCCAGCGACATTCTCATGTAGCTAGGGTTTTCAGCGCCCGAGGAATTGACATAAGTAGAGGTCAGAGGCGGCAGTACTACGCTATGGTCTGTCAAGACGGCGGCGAGTGTGTCCCTGGAGGAGGTGAGCTGGAGGTCGGAGGCATGCTCTGCTGGCATCCATCCTGGAAGCGTCAGTCCATCCGTCGTAGATTGAGAAGCGCTGCGCATTGCAAGCAGACCCGTCAGCGGCATAGCTACTGAAGAGGCGGCTTCCGCGTTTGCCTGTACAAGGCGAGCGCGCCCAGCCAGGTCAGCGATGTTGTTAGCATTGAGGATGAGCGCAACGGCAAACTGCCAATTTGCAGCTTACCTGCTCGGCGGGGTTGCGGGCTCCTGTAGGCTGCACGCTGGTCCTGTCGTCAGGCCACACCGGTGTCAGTGTACCGCGAAGCAGTAGAACATAGCAGCTGCTTACGAGGTATGACCCACCAGGGACTCAGCGAAGGCGGTAGGCCGAGGCCGTTTCGAGGCTGGTCCACTGCCAGTGGGGGAGTGACCGCGGGAGCCGCTGTCAGATGTGGAACGCTTCCGAACCAGCGGTCGACTATTGACAGAGGCCCTGTAAGTTAGCCCGAACAGCTGTAGCGGAAGCTCGCACTTACGATCGACGCCTTCCATCATTGCCGCGCTTCATGCGCCCCCTTAGACCTGGAGGCATGGGCGACTGTACAGAGGGACGGATGAGCTGTCCCGACGTAAATATATCGGTTGAGCGGCAGCCTAAGGCCATTCGGGAGGATCCCGAGCTGCTATTGTACCTCTAGGAGGAACAAAGAGCTTGGGATGGCAGTTCTCATGGGCCGGCGTTGCATGTAGCCGAAACAGGGATCCGGCGCTGCGAGTGACATAAGACGCAGTCGCCGGACAGAATAAGGCAGTTTGGCTCACCTTGTCTGGCTCATCACGGGCCTGGCGCTCCCCATGAGAAGTTCTAATAAAACAGCTAATTCGTGAGATTGATCTCGTGTGCCGGAGCTCTCCGGCGCGTAGACCGCGCAGCACCGATCGCGAGTAAGAACTCTAGAAAAAAAGCATTAAAACCCGTTTAGTTTCATGATCGATGACCCTGACCCTGTGGGTGAGAGCGTTACGACAACCCGGCTGGTATGCGACGAGAAGAATCAGAAATCGACAACAATGTGCGCGACAATCGGACCCTAGGGCGCGCCCTGCACAGGATGCGGGCATATACGTCGGCCTATCCAGAGTGGGCAAGAGGCCGAATATTACCAACCAGGCCAGCGCCGCCGAGAAGGCCAGGCCTCCATGTGGGTCAGGTATATTATAGAATTAAAAACATTAAATCTGCGCTGCTGCACCATTCCACTCACTGCTGCTTTGAGACCCTCAGCGTGCACCCTCTGCCCTCATGTCGTACATCGATGCTTCGGACGCCCTCGTTGAGCTGCGAGGTCGACTCCGCAACATTATCGCTGTTGCAAGCCGGCTCTCCTACAGAGTGGAGTGGTAAGCCACTCGTTGCCAATTGACTCTGACTTACCCTGTTGTTTCCTTCCAGCACACTCCCCCCTGCTGGCTTCCTAGTCGTGGGTGGGGATATTGTGTTTCCAGGCGAGTCCATGCTGCACGACAACGCCCGGCAGAGGCATGCGACCATAGAAAGAATCCGCTCGGATGGACGCCAGATGCGGCGCGAGCATGCGATGGAGACGGCCGCCGTGCTCCTCGCCGAGCTTGAACGAGGGGCAAGCAAGGTCGCGGCGGTCCAAGGGGAGTGCCGGGCCGCTTACCGAGTGCTGGAGAGAACAACGAGCCCTCGCAAGGCTGTCCCGCTGGGGCTGAAGCTCGCGAACCTCGAGCTCAAGGTCATCGACCTCGAGCGTGAGCAATACGCGGTGCAAGACGAGTTCCGCGACTGGCGCTGGTACATCGGTGCACTAGCTGCACCAAAGGTCAGTACTGTCACATCATTGTAGAAATCGGCATATTCTGACACAAAATACCTGTAAGGCTGCGCTGGAGGAGTTGATCTCCCCCCTGTTCGACGCACCTCAGCTTCAAGACATTCGTGCGCGTGTTCGCACTGAGCTTGAGGTCTTACACAGGCAGTTCCGCGAGCGCGAAGAGACAGTGATGCAGGCGGCCGCCCTTTCCACTGCAATGGGGCGAAGACTCGCACAGCGGGACCCCGACATGACCGCAGGAGACGTGAGGGGCGCCCTGCAGAAGCTCGAGGCAATGGGGTGTGCGCTGATTGCACAGGAGGCAGGGCAGGAGGATGCCATTGTCGCTCTGAGGGTGCGTGGAGAACGATATCAGCAAGACGTCTAGCTGACATTGTACCAGATCTCGTACCGCCGAGGAGTCGCTGCCCCGAAGAGCCTGCAGGGCCCTTGCGCGTTGAATATCCCCCGTTTATGCCTTGCCCGCGAGAAGCAGTTGCAGTTGCAGCTCCGGCTTGAAAGCGCCATCAAAGTAAGTGTGTGTTCTACCTCGATATAAACACATACCGATCTCATGCGCCGTATGCGCCTTTCAGACGCAGAGCGCATTGGTCAGGGAGGCCCGACAGCTCATGCACGCATTTGACTGAGATGAGCTCGCCGGAGACTCGAGGCAGCCGCTCCGAATCCTCTCTGACTGCTACTGCTACTTCATGCGCCTCGATCGTCTAAGCCATACATAGTACAATGTCATTGATGTGATCTCACTTCGTCTGCCGCGCAGTCTCGAGTCCGGCGTTGCGCCCACAGTGGAGGGTGTATTATGGCGAAACATGCTCGCATGACTTATCGTACATTGGCAACACACTATTTGTATGCCTGTAAACGACCGACCGGTTTCGTCTACCTATGACCGGTGCTGCAGCACCCACACGCGTTGGACAATGCAACCTCGACAAGATACTCAAGCTCCTCGACGACCTTGAAAGTGTTCCCGTAGCCGGAGTTGGCCTCAGGGACGATACGAGCCCTCGCCTTGCAGACGTCGCCGGCCTTGAGTGCGGCCCCCCACCCTCAACAACGTCGGAACCCGCACGTAAGGTGGGCCGGCTTGAGCAAGTCGTCATCGATGGTGGCTGGGAAGATTGCCTTCATGGTGGCCTGGCACATGGTTAGGGCGTCACGAACAACGCAGAGCCGGCACTGCTTACCTGCCAGCCAGTTACGATCGCAAAATCCATCGGGGCCTCGTTCCGGTCCGTCCGTGCTGTCTTGAACGCCTCGCCCTCATTACCTACCACGGCGCAGAACACCTCGACGTCGTTCGCCTCACCTCCAGACCGGTACACGTGCCGCGAAGGTTGATCTCGGAAAGCACCTCGTTGTCGCCGAACCACAGCCTCCAGCAGAGGTCCTTGGTACGCCCTCGGAAGCGTCATGGATGTTGGTGTAGCCCATGCTCGGCTTGTAGAGGGACTAGGGGTGAAGCTTGAAGAGGGACAGAGACGTCGCGGCGATCCTCGAACAGTGTGACGTCGATCGCCTGAGATGCCGAATCATATCTAACCACGGCAACTTGACACCTTGAGTATGCGTTGTCAGTCAGTTGCGGAGTGAGCATACATGTCTAGTATCCTCCGGAACTCACGCTATGGCCTCAAAAGCATTCCTGCTGGAAACCTCCCGAGAAAGCGCGACGACCCCCGGAGTGATAAGCTTATGCCCTCCTCGGTGCCGAGGATGGTCGGTAGGTCGATGGTCGTGCTCGTGACTGCGCGCAGGAGGGCGCGGGGGGCAGTCTTGGAGTATGTGGCGTCGTGTCTGGTATGGGTCGCTGCAAGGGCAGTCGACTGGTAGGTACAAAGGGCTTGAAGTACTAGCGTTGCCTGTTGGGTGCGTTTCTTTTACTCTGCACTCGTCGCGCGTTCCTGGAAGTCTGCGAGGCCGTTGCCCGTGATGCCTTCGTGGCCTGGCGTCCACAGCGCCGTTAGTTACAGCACCGTTAGTTACAGCACCGTTAGTTTGAGAGGCTCAGGTAGCGCCTTTGGATTCCGGAATTGAGAGCCTCAGATCTCCGGTCGAAGCACGTGTGGCCACATGATCGCACCGGACCAAACATGTGCAAACGAATTGACCGGAACCGACCATGGCATGGGCGCAACGCCTTGCCTAAATCACTCCTAGATCCACTGTTTGACTGTTGTCCGCAGGCGAGCGGAATGTGTGTCTCCTAGGGGGCATTCGGCGCTCGAAGCGGCAGCAGACAGCAGTGGGTTGGCCGCAACACATCCTCACCAACGTCATGTCGGACGACGGCGCTATGCCTGCACAGTAAGCACCTCCGTATTGTTCTGTCGTCGCCTTCAGCTTACGATCCGGCATAGACACTTCGTCAAGCTCCTCTTCGCGACGTACCCGGCCGCGACCGCGCAGCTCCTGGCGTCGGAGGACAAGGCTTTCTTCCTCGCCATCTCACAACGCCCGGGCCAGAAGCCGGTCCCTTTCATTCCTGTTCTCGAGGTGTCGTTCGAGAGGGTACGTTCGTTTGTTTGTTTAATCCCTATATTGTCACTGAGGGCGAAGCCTTATGTAGACATAACATACTCTACTCTTTTCGTGTCTCGTCTGGCCCGTGGTCGCTGAGCATCGCCGTTCCCCGAAGCGTCGAGCAGGTATAAGAGGGTACGTTAAGGTCGCCCAACGAGGAACTGTGGCTCATATGTTGGTAGGATTTCGTGGGCAGCCGAGGACATCGAGGCCGCCTTCGACGAGAACCCCCAGCGTGCGTGCACCCTCCGGGCGGGGCCCTGTGGCGGCGCCCACCTCGCTCGCGCGCCGCCGAAGCCACACGTTCTGCTGCCTCGTTCGACTTCTACTGCGCCGCTCGATTCTCCCGCACCCTCGCCTTTCCCCGCACCCTTGCTGCCTGCCCGCGCATCCTCACCTTGTCCTCGCACCCTCGCGAGGTCGCCCGCCGCGCGCAATGCTCGCGCGCAGTCAGCTGCGGCATCGAGCCTGCCTGCAGCGGTCTGGGGCATTGCTCTGCCCTCCCCGGGGCGAGTGACGACCCCGCACTGCAGCTGACCCTCGCCAATGCGTTGCGTGCACCAGCAACGCGGCTGCCAGAAGTCACACCCCCATCCCGGCGCTCCCAGAACGCGCCCGGCTGCCCTCGCAGTTCCTTCGCCCTCAGGTACTGCGCCCGCCTCCGAAGACGAGATTGTTTGGTGGACAGGGTACGAACGAGGTCTACTTCGACGAGCTGCAATCGCGTTACGACACGCACACGCCTTGGTCTCGCCTTTCCTCCTCGCTTCGGAGGTACTTCGCCCTCTCGTCCGCGGTCTCGCGTCTTCCACCTACTATAAGCATGGCCTGGGTGCCATCTCTTAGGTGGCTGGTGCTGCGCTGCGCCCCCTTATTGCGCACCTCGTGTCCGCCCCCGCATCACTACCCCCATCGGGCTCGCGCAGCTCACCCAATACCTGATCACTCGCCGCGTCGCGCGTATCGACCCCGGCGAGATGCGCGAGAAGCTCCAAGATGCGACCGGTCACTCCCAAGGCGCCGTCTCTGCCGCTGCCGTCGCGGCCTCGAGAAGCCTCGAGTCGTAATGCTTCGAGAACAGCAAGGAGGGAATGGAGTGGCTCTTCTACTGCGGCTACCGCGGCCAGCAGGCATTCCTCGCGCTCGCGCTTGAGCCGAGCATCGTGGAAGGCGCAATAGAGGGCGAGGGCGCGCCGAGCCCCGTGTTGCTCGTCGCAGGGCTCGCCCTCAAGGATCGCTCGTCGCAGGGCTCGCCCTCAAGGATCTCGAGAAGCCCGTTCAGTGCGCGGGCAAGCATCTCCTGGCGAACTCGCAGCTGCGCGTGTCGCTGCACAACGCGCCGAAGGCGCTCGTCGTCACGCGCCCTGCGCGCGCCTTGGACGGGCTCGTCACCCACCTGCGCAAGGTCCGCGCCTCGAACGGCGTCGATCAGAGCAAAGTGCCGTTCTTGCAGCCCCGCGTTTTCTGAGCGCTTCTTGGTGGTCGGCGTGCCCTACCGCAGCGAGTACCTCAAGGGGAGGGCGGAGAAGCTGATCGAGGAGGACTTCGGTGCTGAGGAGCTGCGGACGAAGGAGGGCCTGGGTATGGCTGTGTATCATACCGAGACTGGTGAGTGCGCATGCTTTTATTCAAGGCTCCTCGGTCTGATCATACGGTGCCAGGTAACGATGTCTGCGAGCTACGGTGTCCCTGGCGTGCTCCCTGGGTGACCAAATCTCCACCTCTCCGCTGCACTGGGCGAAGGCTACGAACTTCCCCAAAACCGCTACACACGCGATTGACTTCAGTCCGGGTGACCCCAGCGGCGTCGGTCCTATGGCGGCACGAAACCCCAACGGTCGCGGCGTCCGCGCCATCGTCGCGGGAGATAAGTCGAAGGGCGTCGTCGAGTTGCACGACGCGCAGGCGGTGAAGAGGGAGGAATGGCGGAGCAAGAAGTTCATGCCCAGTCTCGTGAAGACTAGGTACGCTCTCCAGCATTCGCTCATTGTGCATTGCTGACCTTGCTATAGCGATGGCAAAATACACCTCGAAACGCCATTCTCCCGCCTCCTGGGCAAGCCGCCAATCATGGTGGCTGGTATGGCACCTACGACCGTCAAGGCCGGCTTCGTCAGCGCTGTCCTGACGGCTGGATACCACGCCGAGCTTGCTGGTGGTGGTCACTCAACGCTGCTTCCTTCCGCGCGAAGGTCGCCGAAATGCAGAGCAAGATCCCCGCTGGTGCCGGTATTACCCTCAATTCGCTTAACATTAACCCGCGCCAGTTCGGCTTCCAGTTCCCCTATGGCAGGAGATGCGCCGCGAGGTCCTGCCCATCGAGGGCTTCTGTGTCGCCGCCGGTATCCCCAACACGGAGAAGGCAGCCGACATCACCGGTGGTCTCAAGGTGGCGGGCATCCGTCGCGTTTCGTTCAAGCCAGGATCCGCCGACGGTATCCGCCAGGTCGTTAACATCGCCGCGGCGAACCCAGACTTCCCTATGATCTTGCAGTGGACGGGTGGCCGTGCGGGTGGTCACCACTCGTGCGAGGACTTCCACCAGCCTACTCTGCTGGTGTACCATTCGATCCGTCAGCACAGCAGCATCTCGCTCGTCGCCGGCTCTGGTTTCGGTGGTGCGGACGATGTCTGGCCGCATCTTACTGGCGACTGGTCCGCCGAGAAGTCTGGGATGCAGCCCATGCCGTTCGACGGGTTCCTCTTCGCGTCTCGCGTCATGGTCGCCAAGGAGGCGCATACGGGCTCCTCATTAAGGATCTCATCGTCGCCGCGAAGGGTGTCGATGATGCTCAGTGGGAAGGTATCTACGCGAAGGAGACCAGCGGCATTGCGACCGCCAAATCCGAGCTCGGCGAGCCCATCCGCAAGGTCGCCACGCGCGCCGCCAAGCTGTGGAAGGAGTTCCACGAGATTGTGTTCAAGATGCCTAAGGAGAAGCACGCTGCGCGGATCAACGAGAGGCGCGCGGAGATGAAGTATCGCGAAGCTGAACAAGGACTTCGCGAAGCCATGGTTTGGGTGGAAGAAGGACGGCAGCGCCGTCGAGGTCATCGCCGGTATGGCCTAAGAGGAGGTCGTCCTCCGAATGGCCCGTCTTATGTACGCCGACCACGAGGAGCATTGGGTCGACTTGTCGCTCAGGGACTCGGATCGAAGGCGCCGATCCTGCAGTCTTACTCTTCTTTGGACAAGCCGATCGACTTCGTCAAGCTCTTCTTCGCATCTTACCCGGCTGCGACCGAGCAGCTCCTGGCGTCGGAGGACAAGACGTTCTTCCTCGCCATCTCGCAGCGCCCAGGCCAGAAGCCGGTACCGTTCATCCCTGTTCTCGATGCGAACTTTGAGGTGTGGTTCAAGAAGGTGCGTTTAAATTACCCGAAAACGAACTACGACTTACGTTTTGGGTAGGACTCTTTGTGGGCAGCCGAGGACATCGAGGCCGTCTTCGACCAGGACCCGCAGCGCGTGTGCATCCTCCAGGGCCCTGTCGCGGCGAAGCATGCGACGAAGAAGGACGAGTCGATCAAGGAGATGCTCGACAACGTCGCAGCTATCCTTGTCGACAAGTTCAATTGGCGCAGCGCCTCTACGGCGGCGACCTCAGTCTCATCCCGACCGCTGACTATCTCAGTGTCAGGGCTTCTCCTCTTCCGGAGAACATCGCTAGCTCGCTTGGCGTCGAGCGCTCTGCCGAGGCAGGCAAGATCACCTACTCCGTTGGGAGCACCTTGCCCGAGGCGTCGACCTGGCTTGGGATGCTCGCAGGTCCACGTCAAAGTTGGCCCAGGGCTCTCCTTACGCCGGCGACCATCGTGCAGGGAACATCACACATCGACAACGCGATGTGCCGCCTCTTCGCTCCTCGTCGGAGCCAGAAGGTCGTCTTGACCTTGGGCGGCGAGATACCTGTGTCCGCCGCGCTCTACGGTGCTGCTCGTTCGTACGGCCAGCACAAGTATCATTCGGCGTCTCAGGCGATCGACATCGCGTTGTTCGAGGACCGCCGCGACGTCTCCGTGCCTCTCCACTTCAAGTTCCTCTACAGGCCGAGCATGGGTTCGCTCCCGTTTGAATCCACGAGGTTGCCGAGGGTCCTAACACGCGCATCAAGGACTTCTACTGGCGGCTGTGGTTCGGCGACAACGAGGTGCTCCCCGAGATCAATCTTCGCGACGCGCTTACGGGTGCTGAGGTTGCGATTGAGGCGGATGACGTCGAGACGTTCTGCGCTGTGGTGAGTAATGAAGGCGAGGCGTTCAGGGCAGCGCGGACGGACCGGGTCCAAGACCCGAGGGACCTCGCGATCATTACTGGCTGGCAGGTAAGCAGTGTTGAATGGATACGTTATGTCCTAGCATCGTGGCAGGCGTGCTTCAAGACGGTCTCTGCATCTGGCGGCATTTTCGTCCTCGACCAGCTCAAGCGCCTCGTCAAGGTTGGATCAATCGACTTCCTGCAGGACGATAGTCGTGGCCTGCAGGACGATAGTCGTTGCCTGCAGGACGATAGTCGTGGCCTGCAGGACGATAGTCGTGGCAACCCCGCAATCGCATAGTATCTCCAACGCCATGGTACCCAGCAGGGCTCGCCCAAGGCTGCACGATGAGCAAGTCGGGTACTACGGCCTTCGCTTCCTCCGCAACGAACGAGCCTTACTCCAAGATCTCCGGCGATTTCAACCCTATCCGCATCAACCCCTACTTCGCAGACTTCGCCGCACTTCCGGGAACGATCACGCATGGCATGCGGTCGAGCGCCGCTACAAGGGTGGAACACATCAACGAGGACTCAAGACCGTTGGCGTGTGGAGCTACTGGCGTGGCACGGGCACGTACGGCAAGGGGATCGCGCGAGAGAACGCACCCTACTTCAAGGCACTCAGGAGCTTGAGGATGTATTCCTTCATACGGCTGGTGTCTGAAGCCCGACCACGATCCGCACCTCGACGAAGCTACGTCCGAGTCGGGGGTGAAAAGACCGTTGAAGTGAGGCTCGAGCTCGGACAAGTTCTGAGAGAAGCAGTCAGCGTCACTACGAAAGAGACATTGAGCCGGCACTCGGAGGTACTGTCTGAGACGCTTACCTTCGCCGTCGTGGTTGCGAGGAAGCCGTAGACTTCCATGTTCGTGTTCACCTCACGCGTGAGATCCTTCAACCACTGACCTGGGCCTCAATCAAGCGGTCACAGTGGACGGTGGTAGGAAACGCGGCCGCGTGTCCATGCCCGCCGACACGAATCGCATAATAGCCATCTATGCGGGGACATATGGGATCGAGCCGGGGCCGAGGTATTCGCGTACGCTTAGAGGGCATCACCTGAGCGGTAGCATCTGGCACGCAACTCGAGCTGTGGAGAGGATGAGCGGAGCAACGCGTAGCCGTGTCACAAACACGGACGTCAGGGACCAGTCACTGTACTCCGGTGGTAGTGTCTTGTCGTTTTCGGAGCGTACATAGAGCGGGGGCAACCGGTAGTGACCGCGAAGATTGAGGATGTGACAGCCAAGATCAAGGAGCTCGTGGTCGTCCAGATGCAGTCGATGGATGACGTCGATAGTCTCGATCAGACGTTATAATGACACCTCGTTCCAGCTGTGAGCTCGTTCCTCGTTCCTAAGTACGTCTTCCAGTGGGGTCTGGACTGATCAATATTTTACTTATAAAACAAAAGAGCTTATATGATGCTCGCGAGCCTTATGTAACTGGGTGGCGTCATGATCGCACGGGGGAAAAGCCCCTAACGACGCTCAACTGCACAGCTTCGAGCTCAGCGCTCAGCGCTCAAGCGCTCAACGCTAACGGTTCAACGTTCACCTCCATCTCACCGGGGCACCAATGCAGCCACGATTGGTCCTAATTAAACAGCGTACTCTGCGTAGCTGGCAGCGGCGGAAGCGTCAGCTTGCGAAACATGAAGGTCTACTTCTTGTCCGGTTGACCATAGGGTCTGTGTTCCTACTGTATGGCGCTGTCTGCTCGTTGGCGATCTTTTCCTCCTTCGTTCATCTGCTATTCGTTGCATGTGTCTGTGTGTCGCTCCAAGTGCTGCTGCCTTGCATCGCTCGAAGTGTGTTCTCATTGCCCCCTTCTTTATTGCTCGCTGACTCCATTTCAGGGTCGCGTCGATGCACCAGCGCCACTGTGCGTAAGGCCCCGCCATATTGCAACCCAATGACTGTTCTTGTGCTCGGAGTGGCGCAAAAAGCCTTGCCTATCAGTCTGTTGTGCTGTTTACCTTGTTTGAATGCCTCTGACGGAAAAGCAGGGATATCGATGAACTCTACGGTAGCCGACGTTCTGCTTCACTTGAGAAAACGACATCTTCTTCCAGATCTTCAACACGTTCGTCATACTGTATACTTCGACCCGTATAGGCACTCTCCCCTAGACCCTGCCCATGTTCTCTGTGATATCGGTGTGCGGGCCATGTCTTGCCTTCAAGTAAGGTATACGGTACTTGGCGGGAGCAAGAGTACCTCAAGAAGTCACGCCGACCACGGCTTTGAGACGTTCTCACGGCAAACTCACCCTTGTAAGTTACGCTGCAGCGGCGGTATCAGCGCCTGGTTTTCATCCTGCTGATAATTCTTTAGCCAGTGCGAGTTCGCGGAAGGCCGCACAAGTGCGAGAGAAGGAGGCAGCGCTACGTGAGCTGATGCGAGGGGCGGAGTTAGAGGCACATACGAGCCGCAATGCGCCGGAAGGTAGGCCTTTGAATCCAGAAAAGTTTTAAGTATTCCAACCCTGTTCGTAGCCGGAGCTTCGCGGAAACCCAAGAGCTCAAACCGGAACACCAGACAGCCCACCGCGGTTCTGAGGCAGGCGATTGCTACAGATGCTCAATCGAATTTCTCCTCGAGCAACTCGCCGCTTTCCCCGAAATCCAAGCAGGAACGCATGTTTGTCTCCCCCGATCGGTGCCAGGCAGAGGAGAAGAGTACGCCTAGCGCACTGCATGCAGGCACCCATGGCCCACGGCGCGAAGTCCCGCTAGCGGACGATCCCTTGGGCAATGCTCGAGATGAGCTATCGTATCTCGACACGGTAATTACCCACCGCTGCCTGATATTCGCGCCCGCTTTCCCTCTCGCTTTCATCCGGAACCCGGCTGCGTCCGGCGAGTACCAACGGCTAGGGCGCGAGCATAGTCTGCAGGCGAACAGCGGGCTATATGCCCTTGATCCCACGAAGAGGGAGAACGTAGTATTCATTGAGCACGAAGCTTGGTTGGTCACGATGGTGCGCGACCTGGCCATTACGTGCTCATACGGCGATAGCGATCTCGATGCGCAACACCTAGAACTCCAGGACCGTCTTCACCGCGAGCTTGGCCGCCTAGACGTCGTGAAAGAAGGAGAATGGAAGAGGCAACAAGTGTTTGCAAGTGGCCGAAAAACGACCGTCTCTTCCAATTCTGTCGATACTTGTGGGTGATCTACCAGTACATCGCGACCCAAATCGCTGACATACAGAACAGCCTGCTACTTCGTACGGTCGGCTCACGGGCTTCATCCATTAATTCTCACGTACAATCTCGTCGCGCTTACTCTACACCTCCTGCATGGGTTGCCTCGCAGAGGCAGCAAGCTTCTGCTCGTTGGAATGCGCTCTCTCGTACGAATTACGATGAGTCTGCTACGCTCCGCTGGTTTGAAGCCCCAGGATAAGGCAGTCTTGGAGGACCTCTCTCAGGATCTTCGCACTATCATCAGTCACTTCGACCTCGATCCTCACACCCATCCTTTTACGTGTTGTCCTGTGTGCTATGCGCTATATCCCTTCGATGGGTGCCCCGAAACATGCACATATCGAGCCACTCCTGCAAGCGCACCATGTAACGCCCAGCTGTGGCGCACTCGCACCATACGCGGCAAGAACCACAGACAACCTGTCAAAACATTCCTTTACCAGGATATGAAGCAATGGGTTGCACGCCTGCTCTCCCGGCCTGACATCGAGTCGCAAATAGACGCGCGCAAGGAGCAGGTACGGAGGGAAGTACCGCCGACGAAAGCAGACATCTGGGATGCTCCCATCTTCCGGGAGTTCCGGGATGCGCGGGGCAAGTCCTTCGTTGATTGTCCCGGGAACGAGGGAAGGCTAGTGTTCAGCCTGTGTGTTGATGGGTTCAACCCGTTTCAGAACAAGGAGGCGAAGCAGAACGTCACTGTGACGGGCATCTACATGGTCTGTTTAAATTTGCCTCCGCATCTGCGGTATCTGCCCGAGAATACCTACCTTGTTGGCGTCATCCCTGGACCCTCGAAGCCCTCTCTGGACGAGATCAATCACTTTCTGAGGCCGCTTGTGGACCAACTCCTAGATTTCTGGAACCCTGGCGTGTTCTTTGAGCGCACTGCGTTGTACGAGCGGGGTCGCCTTGTGCGCTGTGCCCTTGTCCCCCTGATATGCGACCTACCGGCTGCGCGGCAAGTTTCGGGGCATGGATCTGCAGCAGCCACATACTTCTGCAGTTTCTGCAAGCTCAAGATCGACGACATCGAAAACCTGAGCCCAGACAGTTGGCCTCTTCGCAATGCAGGCGAACATCGTGAGGCTGCGTCGCGATGGAAGACAGCCGCCACGCCTGAAGAAAGGTTCAGGGTTTTCGAGGAAACCGGCGTTCGATGGTCGGAGCTTCTACGCCTCCCCTATTGGGACCCTATCCTATTCACCGTCATCGATACGATGCACAACCAGTATCTTGGTTTGCTGAAGACTCACTGTCGCGACATATGGGGCATGAGTGTTGAGTCGGGCGACGGTGAAGGACACACGAGTCCCTCGCACAACATGCCGAAGAAACCCTCAGAGCGCGAGATGAGAGATGGGCTGTATTGCCTCTACAACGGGACCATGGCCGATCTTGGGTCGTGCAGCCGAGCTGTGTTGTGGCACCTTTGCTTCAGGTTGGGGCAGAAGCGCTCTCACAGCGCGAAGCGCATGTTGAAGACCCTGAAGACCTGGGTACAGTATGTCCATCGTATCTCGGGAACATCTTATTGAATGTGTCTCTTTCCAGCGTAGCCGGACGGGAAACGGTAATCCTAGCACGGGTATACAAAATGCTAACGACATGCAGCGCGCCAACGATGGGCCGGGCATGCTGGGGAAACTCATGAAGGGCGAAAGAGTCTTGGGCAGAGATGTCGAAGCCAAAGTCCTGGCTAGCAGTGCTTGCAAAGACGCCCTAATCGCTATGTGCCAAAGGCGCCAGCTGTCCGACTCTGGCTACAAGATTGAGCTGGCACAACGCCTCGTCGCATGGGTAAGCAGCCTCATGCATAGCTTCGGCAGAACTGAGTGTGCCGGGCTTAGAAAAGCAATGTGCCCTCGGACTCGTATCTTCCACCGCCAGCGGTTGGATCGCAGCCCCTTGTAAGCGCAGTTTCCTTTGCGTCCATGCTGGAGAGCAGACACTGAGACAGCCGTACACTGTAGCACCCAATACCTAACCTCCCTGATACCACTTCCACCAGGACAACGGGCAGCGCCGTCCTGGGGCGCGAGACTCTTGCCGAGATTCATGCGGACATGCTGCGGACGGAAGTGCCTTCTTGGGTGGACCCAGCCCCTAAAAACCTAGGGACGAAAGAGCGAGGGAAGCTGAGCGCCGATCAATGGTTTTCTGCCTGCACGATCAACTTCCCGTTCACCTTGATCCGGCTTTGGGCCGATAGCTCCAGCCGAAAGCAACAAATGCTCATGAACTATATGGATCTGGTCACGGCGGTAGTGGTCAGCAGCATGCTCGAGATCTCTGAAGACCACATACGATTATACGAGGCTTCAATCAACCGCTACTTGTCGTCTTTACAAACTCTATATCCGGAAGCAGATCTCCGTCCCAATCACCATTTGGCACTCCACGTACCGTACTTCCTGCGGTCTGGTGGGCCTGTACATGCGCAACGAACAAATTTTTCGGAGCGCACAAATTATCTGTTGCAAAGCGAGAACACCAGTGCTAAATTTGGTGAGTGCATCTTCCCATGGACGGCTACCAATTGAGCGCGAAACAACAGGGGAGATTGAGTTGACATACATGAAAACCACTTGCCGTGCGTCAAATCTCAGGGCCCTGCTCCAAGAGCCAGAGATACGCGGTACCGTAGAAGAGTTTGTGGACGCCTATGATGGCTTGTTTCATGCAAACAAAAGAGGCACGAAGTTCCGCGATTCAATGTTGGGGATGGGATCTCCCCGAGCCGAAGGAGTTCCTGGCAGGCGGATGAGAGTCGTCATGGTTGATGACAGGGCGTTTCGGGCATTGTTGGCGTTGCTGAATCAGGACGCCGGGAAGGACGTCTACGCCGATGCGCGCGATATCGGGTCAAATCGCCTACAGCTGTACAACCGGGTGGTTGACTGCGCCAGCGTGCATATATCCGGTGTCTCCTACAAACCTGACAGCCGATCATCGAAGGATAGCAACATCATTTTCCAGCTCAGCAGCGACAACCGTGTATCTTGCGCAGGTCGAATCAGGCAGATCTTCCAGCATACCAGGCGCGACTCGCGAAACGAGAAGACGACGGAGACATTTTTGGTTGTAGACCGCTTCGAAGAGCTTTCAACGGACGATATCAGATGGGACCACTACCGCACATTCCCTCACGTTGGAGGCCGCCTTTGTTACAACAAGATTAAGCCTGACGTCCTTGTGATTCGGCCGGCTCAAGTATTATCTCATTTTGCGAAGACATCGGTCTGTGTCCCGCGGATCTCGCACGAATGCGTTCACGTGTTGCCGTTGGATAGGGTGAGATAGCCATTATGCTTATTGTATCGTCTTTAGCCCTGACTGTTGCCACAATAACCTCAGCTCCTCAAACTAGCCACGCCGGCGAAGAGTGACGAGGAGATGACGATGCATGAGGAGCATGAGAGCGAAGAGGGTGAAGTGTATTTGAGAAGCTGGTTTGACTGAGAAGGGCCCGCGCACAGGTAGAAGGTTCAGCTCGAGGAAGGCTGGCATAATGAATCAATGACACTCGATGACTGCGCGCACAATTGAATAAACTAAGTGCTCGGCCGCATCGCGAGGAGAGTGCTCGCCGGAGCTGCCAGAAGTGTGCCTCCCTGTAACAAGACGACAGGGTTGTACAGCGAAGCCAGTGACAAAGATAGTCTTCCAAAACCAACAACAGACTCGGAAAGTAAGAGCGTAAAGGCTCCTAAAGGGCATCGCGACTCGGACATCCGACCGAGTACGTAGATCGTACGTAGATCATGAGTGCATCGCGGAGGACGCACGCAGCACGCAGCTGTTATGGCCTGGTAGGGCCTGGTGTGTCTTATCGATCGCGAAAAGTCTGGTGATTTATGTATGATATCTCCTAATTAGTCGCTCTCAGCACGCTCTCACTGCGGCGGCGCGTCGCACAGATTACATCGGTCTGTTACATCCTGGTTTCCCGACAAACAACATGCTCTACTGCCTGCTTTTTCGCCACCCCTCTGATTGGCACCAATCGCTGCTGGCTGGCTCAACTCCCCGTCATGTTTGTGATTCCCTCGGAACTGTGTTCCACTTGGTTTCCGCGACTACGTCGACGACTCAATCGAGCAGATAGCCGTTCAACATACTTGGTCATCGTGACCTGGCTGCATGCAACGCTAACCACAACCGACGCGCCCTAAGGAAATCTTTGTTTCCCGCGACATTCAGACTTCCCGTACCGATTTGTGACGCGGCTTGACCTTCAAAGTTTCACTACTCGATTGAGACTCCTAGTGTACTCCCCGTGTCGGTGCCCGAAGCCTATCATGATACTGTGCTTATGAAGGTAGAAACATGCTCAACACTACCAATGTTTCTCTCACTTCTTTTGTCTCGTTTTGGCAGGATATACACCGCCGTCGTCATCGAGCTCCATCGAGCGGACCCACAACCTTAACGACCGCTCTTAAACTCATCGTCAAGTTCTCATGCGACGGATTTTCGCATGCGTCGGCGGACAGCTGCTGTGCGGGCAACTGAGCGGACGAAAAGGTATGCACATTTCGCGGGCTAGAACAACTTCTAGTGACTGATCAGTAATGCAAACCAGCCTCTACGTTGAAGGCGGGCCCCTCAACTCACAGACGACCGAGAGCCAATGGGCGCATGAGCTAGTCGGAGGAGATTTTTGCGAGCGGCAGCGAGGGACTCGGAGGCGGGGAGTATTCTATGGTCGGTGAGAATGTAGCATTCTTTGTACCTTCATGGCGCTGATGCCGTATTACAACGGGCTAGATAAGCCGCTACTTCTTGTAGCTGAAGAGCAGTCTCGATCGTCGAAGCCACTGCAGAATGGTGCGTATAACTCCTCATGGCTCTCTTCGCTGCTGTGGATCTGAGACCGTCAGAAATGGACTTGGGAGATGCGTCCTCGGCGCGAAGTGTCTCGTCGTTATTGATACTAGTCATGCAGACCAGAATCGACGAGCTTCAGGCTGAGATCGCTTCTTTGCAGACATCCCTGGAACGCGAGCAACGCCTGCGTGCGCTTCACCAGCAGACTCTAGCGACGCAGAGTTACGCCATCCTCGAACTTCAAGAGCTCCTAGACGTCCATCGTCTTGACCCCAATGAGCAATCGCAGTCACTCCGGGATCTACCGGACTCATTACCGAGCACGCAGGCACTCTTAGACTCCGGTCTCGAAGTTCAAGGAGGCTGTCGAGAAGAACAACTGGTCTGCTGATCTCCGTGTTGCTCTGATCGGTTCTTGCACCAACTTGAACTCCTCGTAAGAGGACATGCCCCGCGCTGTTTGTATCGTCAAGCACGCTACTCCCGGTTCAGAGCAGGTTCGCGCGTCCATCGACTGCGACGGCTACATCGCCACGATCATCACGTCCACGCCGCGCGACCATCACCGAGTATGCTCACCATTCTGCCCTTTCCGACCTCCGCCGGCCAACCACGTCGCACAATACATTAGTCTTGTTCCATGTCCGAATCGTCAGACACGTCCATCACGTCTGCGTCCGCGTCCACGTCAACATCAATGTCCTCAGGCCCAAACTAGAGAAGCTCCTCCGCCACGACGCAGCACGACAGCTGGGTGCGCACCGCGCCCGTCTTCCGATTAGCCAGCGGTTGGAACGTGTCTCGGCGGCGCAGCACCATGTTCCCGACAAGCTGCGCGATGGAGCGCATCGCACCTTGCCGGGGGCAACGCCGCGCTCCATCTTCAGGTCTAGCAGTGCGCCGACCTCCGCTTCAATACGCTCACGGATCCCCCTTCGCGACACCAGGCGCACCTGCCATATGCCAATGCAAGCCACTGGAGCCCTGCGGCCGCGTGTGTGAAGGCACCTCGGGTCAATCGTAGGGTCGCCCGGCTTCACTGCCATCTGCACTTACGGCCCTTTCTCGCGAGGACGCCATTCTTCTCGCTGCGTACGCTTCGCGTTCCGAGGACCAGGACACTATCGACATGGTGCTGTCGGCACTCTCACCGTCACCACTCGCGCGCGTTTCGGTATCAAGTTGCTCGCCTTCAAGCCTTTCAACCCCGCTGGCAAGCGTGCGGAGATCACGTACCGTGAGGAGGCAGTTGGCCACCTCACGCGCCCCACCAAGGGTATGGCCGGTATCGCCATCGAGCTGAACGCGCAAGACCGAGGAGCAGAGAACAAGATCTAGGCCGATGTCGAAGAGTTTGCTGCGGGCGGTCTGCGTGCGCTTACGAGGAGGTAGACGGCGGCGGCTTCGAGCTCATTGGTCTCCTTCCTATCTGCGACCCTCCCAGTACGGACACCGAGCAGACGTTCGACGATGCCATACTTCTCGGCGTCAAGATCAAGATGGTCACCGGCGACCAGCTCACCATTGCTGGGACTTCGCCGAGATCTTCTCGTACGCCGTGGCCTACGGCTCGTACCTCACCTTGTCTACGTCCGTCCTCGCTGTTGTCCGCGCTTTATTTATACTGACATGCCTTCAACTACAGCATCACCCTTGTTACTATTTGCATCAAGTTCGGTGTTCTGTTCGAGGGCGGTGCTACGATTGCGACGAACCATAGCGATCGTATTTTGCACTCGGTGGTCTACCTCCAGGTTGCCACCATCTCGCAGGCGCTCATCTTCGTCACTCGGTCGCACAGCTTCTTCATGGAGCGTCCCTCGGCGGCTTTGTTCTGCGCATTCTGCATTGCGCAGCTCGTGCCGACGATCATTGCGGCGTACGCCGACTGGGGTTTCACTAGTACCCATGGTATCTCTGGTGGCTGGGTTGGCATCGTCTGGATCTGGGTAAGTCTCGCCACATCTGCTGCCGTTGACGTTCGCTCATTCTTCTAAGGACATCGTTTGGTTCGTCCCTCTGGACTGGATCAAGTTGACGATGAAGGCGACGATCGTCAAGTCTCCGCCAGCGTCGCGAGGGTGTGCTGACCGCGAGCAGCGGTGAGACCAACATCAGCATCTTGCGCAACCGCTCTGTCAAGCCGGAGGAGCTCTAGCGCTTTAGTAGTATCCGGGCCCAGCGTGCGGGTGCGACGCTCGCCCGCAACCCGTCGCGCGTCGCTGCATAGAGTGGCTGAGGTGTTCGTTCTCTTCTCTGCCTCCGCTCCCTTTACGTTTATCATGATCTACTCGTGTATAACCTGTTGTGCGCATGTCTACGCTAAGTACCGTTGCTGCGGGGTCATTGCGCATGCACCCAAGTCGGGATATGCACGAACTCCCTTTGCGAACGTGCTATGTAATGATGCTGCTCTGATAGTGCGTCTTCGAAGTTGGACTTCGGACCAGCTTTGGACTTGCGACCAGGTGCAGGAGAGATGCCCGCCGCAGACAGTGCCTCAGACATGTCTTGTAAGCGACTCTCGCGCCGCTCAATACTGGCGATCTGCCCCGTGAAGTTCGATTTGTTGGTCCGAGCAAAGCGGGTCTTTGAACGCCGATGGTGACTCTCGCCTATGCAGAAGAAGCATCAGTAATAGTGATCAAGAGTCCTCAGTGTCAAGTGCCTGTTCCTCGGTGACATGAGCTATGTCAGGTAGTCATTCTCGACAGAAACGCACCGCTTCTGTCTGTGTGGCACCAAGGCCCAAGTCTTCGACGTCATGGCTGCTATCCTCAGGTTTGGCCAGCTCTTCCATTCGCCGCCGCTTCAGGCTCCGCAGCCCCATTCCCGCAGCACGCTCGACCAGTTTCGGGGAGTGATGTGCAAAGAGCGTGCACGTCTGCTGGTGTCGCTGCAAACCACCATCATCAGCGAATTGTCGTCGACAGACACATACAGGGAGCGGATTCATGGCTGTGAGAAGGAGCTGGAGTCGTAGTGTGCTGGTTCAGTAGCAGTGAGATAGAGCACGATAGGTGGGAGTCAAAAATTCCCATCTGATGTACACCCAGTCGTGCAACGAACAAGTCACGAGGCACACATAAAGGAGACATGTTGAGTCTCGTCTGGCTGGGTCCTCGTTCATGTAGTCGTCGCCAAGTCGGGGGTGAAAAGACCGTTGAAGTGAGGCTCGAGCTCGGACAAGTTCTGAGAGAAGCAGTCAGCGTCACTACGAAAGAGACATTGAGCCGGCACTCGGAGGCACTGTCTGAGACGCTTACCTTCGCCGTCGTGGTTGCAAGGAAGCCGTAGACTTCCATGTTCGTGTTCACCTCACGCGTGAGATCCTTCGACCACTGACCTGGGCCTCAATCAAGCGGTCACAGTGGACGGTGGTAGGAAACGCGGCCGCGTGTCCATGCCCGCCGACACGAATCGCATAATAGCCATCTATGCGGGGACATATGGGATCGAGCCGGGGCCGAGGTATTCGCGTACGCTTAGAGGGCATCACCTGAGCGGTAGCATCTGGCACGCAACTCGCTGCGGAGAGGATGAGCGGAGCAACGCGTAGCCGTGTCACAAACACGTACGTCAGGGACCAGTCACTGTACTCCGGTGGTAGTGTCTTGTCGTCTTCGGAGCGTAGAGCGGGGGCAACCGGTAGTGACCGCGAAGATTGAGGATGTGACAGCCAAGATCAAGGAGCTCGTGGTCGTCCAGATGCAGTCGATGGACTCCTGACGTCGACTCGGGAATCCAGTCCGGCGAGCTTACTGTCGGTCAGAAATCTATTCGACGCGGAGGCAGCTGCTTTCGTGCGGGTGGTGGCAGTTGATGTGGTGACCCGCGTGAGGACGACTGGTTTTGCGTTCTCCGGGGCAGTCGCAGTGGTCGGCGGGGGTTTCGCTCGGGTAGTAGCGCACATGGGCCGGTTGACTGCATTCTCGTCCCTGTAGACGGTCAGACGGGTCGCCCGCGCTACACGCCGGGATTGTATGTTGGATGTCATGCGAATGATGTAGTCTGCTCCAGGCTGGATGGATGAAAGTGGAATGAGTAGGTTTCGGTACGAGGTCATCATTAAGAAGAGCTCAAATATGATCATCACCGCGCGGGCGCCACTACGCGTCGTTCATGGAGATGCGTCAACCCCACCTGCCTCGGGCTCATCCGCGCCGGTAAGAGGTTCTCCGCTTGGTATCGACTCGCCAGCCTGAAATTGACACGGAGGTCCACCCGCCCTGGGCGGCAGAGCGCGGGATCAGGGCCTTGTACGCTGTTCGTGATCGCAAACAGGATACGGCACTCCTGCGCACCGATGCCGTCGAGCACACCAAGGAGACCGGAAAGGGTGGTGTGAGAGCCGGCATCGACTCCCTGTGCTTACTGCTGGCTCCCGCTGCTTCTCCGGCGTGTGCTCGTTGTCGTCGCCGTAGCCCTCCGGACGCCTGGCGTTCAGCCCAAGCTCCCCTGTGATGCCCTGAATGATGGACGTCTTCAAGTTCCCCGAACAGGGCGCGCCGCACTGATGCGCCGACGTGTCATGGGCGGTAAGTTAGACGATTCCAGCTATAGACGTACGAGGAGGTAGCCGCGCAGGAAAGGGATCCCCTATCAGGATACCGTGTGCGGCTGCCGACGAAGTCGTGCGCATCGTTCAGAAGCAATTCCTTGCTGCCCAGTTCGAGCTGAGAGGGATGTGAGTTCCTCCATGCCTGTAATTGTGGTCGCACAATCAGTTCCTATGGCCTAATACAAAGAATTACATAAGGAACACACATATCTGTGGTGTTTTTCGATAAAACTTTCTTTTCGGCAGCCTTTTACGCCTCGCGTGCTTCGTCGAGTAGGCTTTGCAGTATGCTTCCGCCCCGCGAGAGTATTCTACGCATATCAACCAGTACGCCGTACGTTGGCTGCTCGTTGTTGACGCCGACTCAACGTATTCGCAGACACTCCTTGATCACCCAGCGGCCGCCCACCTCTCTTCCCTCGAGGGCTGACTAGGGCGGCGGTAGACTAGTCGCGTAGTGGCGTCTGCATCAGCTGTTGTAGTACATTCACGCCTCGAGCGCCCCGCCGACGACGAAGAGCCTGAACCAGTTCATCGGAGCAGAGATCGAGATCCTAGTGTTCACACGAGAGATTGGAAGTCCCCTGAAAGAGCTTGAAGCGATGGAGGCTGTTGTACTTATGTAGTGGTGTTCATGGTCGTGGCGTGCAAATTAAAGGATTGAAAGTCGAGGTCTCACGATCTCAACGTTCAGCGCTTGATTTCATCTGATCGTGTGCGACAGGCGCTATATGTATGACAGTATTTATCGTTGGAAATTTCCGTAGTCCAAACGCCAAAGTCCCAAGTCCTAAGTACCTTGTCCGGCCGAGATCCCGGCCCGATACAGTACTGACATCTTTAAATAGTATTAACACATTCAATAGTGTTAAATCGGATTTCCAAAAGCCACGCACCTCTCTTAAAGATCTTGAAGAACCAACTTTGTCTCCTCTGGGTCTGTCTCTCAACACCGGTACCATCGTCGCTCGCAGGCGATAGTACGTAGCAAATCATTGCGTCGCCTACTAGCATCTTACCAGGGGTATAGGCGTTCAGCTGTGTGCACTGCTCGCCGGCCCCGGGCCCGGAACGCAATCGTGCACGCTGTCTTACGTGGTGAGGCGAGCCTCCCAGATGTAGTCAGCAGATTATGCAGTTGACTTTGAAACCGAGGTTGTACATGGTTTTATCGACCGCCTTCTCGTCACTTCTCAGTCCGCCCGTTGTCAACTTGTGTACACCCCGCCTGATGAATCACAGTCACCAGCAAACCAGTCTCGACCGAGATCCACGTACCGCCGGTTTGTGTGCACCCCCGTAGCGCGTCACATCGCGAACAATCAGGGCCAAGTCTTCCGCATCCTCGACCACGTAGACATGTCCGAGGATCTTGAGGTACGAGAATTCGGTTGCGAAGCTCTGCGACCATGTTGATGTCGCTCACGAGCTTGCCCAACTGTTGGCGCCTGTCATCCGGCTGGTTGCTGGTGAGCTGCTTCTCCCTTGCCTGTTGTCTCGACGTCCTCATGTGGGTGTAGGCGTCTTTCGTCGAATTTTCCCCCAGCTCCACGAGTATTACGCACAAACTCTTGACTACGCACTTCGCGGCGATGCACATATAGAGGCTCTTTTCCATCCCTTCGCGTCCTTTGCTCTCAACGTTTGGAGACGTAGTCTGTGAAAGACACCTCGATTGTACCAATCTGGGCCCCGGGCTCTGTTGCATTGTCCCATTCGGACAGTTTGACCCGGCGGCGGATTGTCGCGTTGGCCTTGCAGATCTGGATTGCGAGGTTGAGGTCGGTCCTGGCGTGCCCCTACTGATACCATCAGCCGCGTTCACTCACTACAACACCCCTCTGGTGACAGAAGGGGCACGGCGTGGCTCCGCTGTCTTTTGGACCGGCGGCACCATGTTTCAATACCGGGAGCTCGATGGACGCATGGTGTCAGAGCTCACATCAGCTGAGAGGGATCAGTACCATCTAGGCCGTGTTTCCCGCATCGCAGCTGGGATCGCACGTTTTCCCGAGCGTAATATCTGACCCCCGGGCCGCTGGGCCTGTACGTACTCTGAAGTAGTTCCCCTGCAGATATTTATCCCCCCTGGATCTTTAATGGCACGGGATACAAGTCGTGATGTCTGGCGACGTCCGAAGACTGCGTGTCTATACAATACCTCATGCGACGGAACATGGACCAGTTCAGTGCACAACTTAAGCTTGCGTACGGCGTCGGAAATGCTGCCAGTGCTGTCCGAGTCAAACATCTCCTCATACCGACACTTTCGGCGTGTCTTCTATCCTCACGTCTACCTCTTGCGGTGGCTGGAAGTCGCCGCTTGCCGTTGTGTGCCCCCCTTCCTCTGTGCTGTAGCGCTTGTCTGTGTCAGCGAACTGGTCTGTGTCCTACAGCTTCATGCAAGTCGGACACGATCCGCATGCCTATAACATCCCCCAGATGAATTGTTCAGGCAGAAACAAACACACGCAGTACACTGCAGTCTTTACACGGAAAGTAGAAGAACGCTGGGCCCGCTTTCTGCAAGGCTGACCAATAGGACGCGTACCTTCAGCGGGCACTGTCGTCGTTCAAGCTGTTCATCGCTGGCGTGACCGACAGCCTGCAGATCTGCTAAGTAGTCCTGTCGATCCAGGCGTCGAAAGGCGACACGTATGGTCCTGCGAGTGTTGCCTGACATGATTACTTGGTCTCTCGAGCTCGTAGCCTCTGCCAGTAGTCATTTGTTGTCTGCGCTTGGGGATCGAAACATCATATGCGGGTGTGGAGGCGGATCATGATCTGTCAGGCCTCCAGTAAGGTGGCGTTTGAATTGAAGAGGCTAAGATGCAGGGATGAACTTGAATACACACGCGACGCGCCCGTCCGGTCGCGCTGGATGCGTCTCGCGCGACGCATTTCTCCACGTGATCGAGTGAGAACATTTAGCGCTCAGCTGAGTCAGCCCTCGAGGAGGAGGAGGAGGAGCATCGACGGCAGTGTACGCCGCGTTCCCGCGAGCTCCTGCACCTGCAGGCGTTTGGACGACATCACCGTCCGCGCCCATCGTGCCCTCGCGGTGCTTGTGCAGACGGTCGGGAGGGGCCTCTTCCAGTCAATCGTCTTAGCACCTACCACTCGGCCTGCAGGATCTCGAACTCATTGAAGCGCAGTACGGGAAGTTCGTCGCGCTCGGCGGATCAATCTCCTCCACCTTCACCGTGATGGGCAACATGCACACGATCCCGACGCGCTGCAGCTTCGCCAGCGACACGATGCCAGTGCGTGCGGATAGGAATCGGCCAATGATGCTTCACGCACAGGAACAGTGTCTCGGGAAGCAGCTTGAAGCACGAGTGAACTTAGATGAGCCAGTCCGCCAGGATGCCCCGCATCTTCTACGCCAAGTCCTTCTGGTTCTCCCAGTACCGAGGGTTCGGCATCGTGACTTACTCGGCGTTCTTCAGGTAGTCGAAGATTTCGACGACGTACTCGTTTACCATCAGCGGGTCGTCCGTGTCGTCGGCATCGAGGTCAACCCAACCCACAGGTCACCATTCGGATCTGCCTCCCATACGTCGTCGTAGACGACGACGCCTTCTACTTCCGCGACAGCTGCTTCCTCTGGCAGGTCGGACGATGTTCTCCGCTTCTTGAACGCGCGCCGCCTCCTCATCCTCTTCGAGCTGCTCTTGTCTTATGACAGGTCGATCGGGCGAGCACCGCGGTGTCCACGAGGGAATGGCAGATGGTGTAGCTGCCGCAGAGACGCGAGCGGCCACGAATCGTTCAGGGACGGGGTTGACGGCCATCGCATCATCTTCAAGCACGTCCTCCACTTCCTCCACCTCCTCCTCCACCTCCTCTAACGCATGTACAGGCTGCGGCAGTTCTGCTGGTTGTGGAAATCGAGTTGCTCGTGTCCGCCGTGTGTACGCCGTTGATGTGCCCGTTGACGCATCTCCATGAACGACGCGTAGTGGCGCCCGCGCGGTGATGATCATATTTGAGCTCTTCTTAATGATGACCTCGTACCGAAACCTACTCATTCCACTTTTATCCATCCAGCCTGGAGCAGACTACATCATTCGCATGACATCCAACATACTATCCCGGCGTGTAGCGCGGGCGACCCGTCTGACCGTCTACAGGGACGAATGCAGTCAACCGGCCCATGTGCACTACTACCCGAGCGAAACCCCCGCCGACCACTGCGACTGCCCCGGAGAACGCAAAACCAGTCGTCCTCACGCGGGTCACCACATCAACTGCCACCACCCGCACGAAAGCAGCTGCCTCCGCGTCGAATAGACTTCTGACCGACAGTAAGCTCGCCGGACTGGATTCCCGAGACTCGCTATCACCTGGTCACGTGGAAAAACGCGTCGCGAGAGGCGCAAAGCGCCGGCGGCATACAGTCTACAGCGTGCCGCGTCTTGCAGCAGCATCCGACTCGAGTCCTTCGCAGCCGCTGAAGTTCGCCCGTCGGTGGTAGCCATCGCGCGCGCGCAGCATCCCACAAGTCCCGGGGCTGTGACACAGAGGCCACGCGAAAGAAGAGATGTTGTGTTTGAGGCTTTCGGCAGTGAAAGAGCCGTACGGATGGTAAGTCGACGTCTGCGAAGCGATCCTACTGGAACTCAACTGCACAGTGATCGCGGGGACGGGCGCCGGGACTGGCAAGACGGCGTTATTCGCTATGCCCCTGCTGATGGACGCGCCCATGCATCCTCTTGACTCACATGTTGTCTCTGCTACTGCCCTATTGTATTGCATGTACATACACAGTGGCATCGATAGTCAATAGTGAATACACCAATTGTACATACCCTCGGAGCGAACACAGCGAAGGTGACGCTGCCCAGCTGTGGATAATGTACATTAATGTACATGACATGGTCAACATACGATGCAACTGACTCGGAAACCTTCTATGTTCACATACCTATTCAGGCACGCGCTGGCAACATTGCCAGGGGAGGGCTCATGACAAAGCTTTTCAAGACACTGCCAACTTCCTTGCGGACAAAAAGTTGGATGGGCCAGAAACCTCTAGTCTACGAGGCAATTGAATGAGGGATGCTGCTAAGAAGGGCATGAGTTTGGTCAGGGTGCTTACAGTGTACGCGGGTCGCACAATGTAGACCTCCTTGGCACCTTCAAATCGAGAAGGGTGTGCAGCTAAGTAGCCTGTGCATCCGTCAGACATGGCTCGATGAAGATGAAAGGAATGGCTCTCACTGATGGCACTGGCGCTCACATTATCCCAGAGCATGTCGCCAGCGTCCTTCTCCTTGTCTATGGGAACATCATGATGCACCACCATCGTAGGGCTGACATTCATGACATCTCCACCATCGCTAGCCTCGACATCATCTCGCGCATTCTCAGTGTCCACATCCACACTGGCCACGCCGGTTCGATCGTCGGAGAGCTGTGCCACAAATTCAGATAGTGGGATAAGGCACCCCTGGGCATCTTCTCGCGCCTGACAGACGACGTCTTCATCTTCGCCACCATCTGGATCGTTGAACGGCAGGGCCTTGAAGCCCTCGGTGATCTCAGTCCATATGATGAGATACGTTCGGCTGCCGTCCATCATAGTCCGGCGCTGTATGCTTGTGAGATGTGTCAGTGCGTCAGAGTTCGCAAGCCACTCACAATCTGGCCGATGACCTCGAGATGACAGCCATCTCCAGGCAAATTCGAAGCGTTCAGTATTTTAGACGACAGGACGACCCTCTCGTTGCTCAGGTCGAACTCGTGCACGGCAGTGTTAGAACGAAGAAAGACGATTTGCGGAGTCATATCAGTTCAGTGGGCGAGTATTGAAAGTGGAGATGAAAGGAAGTGAACGTACGATTGATGCACTGCGGGGCGGTATATATACAAGGTCTTGCATTATCCAGTCACGACGAACCGGGCCAAGGCACAGGACAATGGACCACTGGAGGTAAACGGTTACGGTTACCCGCTAGTCGCCGCCTAGCATCCCCAGAACGCCTCGACCAGCTCATATCAAACCCATGCGACAGCCTTCGCAGTCTTTTGATGCCCCACGCGACATATTCTGCATAAAGGGGCTGTGGGAACGGTATTCGAAGGTGCGACAGGGCGTACAAGTGGATCTTTTGTCCGAGCCTGAAGCTGAAGCGTTTACCAGCCGACGCATTGTCTAAAAGGCTGTTGCCCTTTGTTCGCCTGGTCTGGGTCGCCATTGAGCGCGCTTGCGTATCCTGGACCATTGTGCTTTGACATGCTCATAGGGCAAGAATCGGCCTGCCTAGGCCAGATGTCGAGGGCACATAAGCTACGGTCCGACGTCGACAGTGAGAATCGCGTTTCATCGACAGCCACTACTTAGCCATGTCGAACAGCCGCTTCGCGTGCAGGCTCTCTGGTCGCCCACTTGGTAGAAGGTTGGAGTTCGCACATTCCCTCGAAGGGACACTTTCGCGGTAAGCTTGAGCATCGATCTTGATCATGAGGCTCGGGCGACGCAACTTACAATATCTCTCCCGCGTTACCGCGTATGGCTTTGAAGCGCGGTGCCTGGACACGCGCCATTGGCATTTGTCCGTTTGGGCAGTCCGTTCCCGGACACACCGCTGGCAGAGTGAGGGCCATTGTTCCACTGACGGCGACAACATGGCTCACACCAGAAATCGGGTCAATTGTCTTCCAGGCGGTCCGAAGGCGTTCCACGAACCGCGCCCACTGCTGCGGCCCCCCAGTCAGGCCTCGCACCCCCATCGCAGAAGGATACCATCTCGGGTATATTCACTGACCCGTCTGGGCATGAAAGGGTGGAGATTCGCTGGTATGGACGAGTTATACATGGGTTACGCGATGGCTGAACCTGGTGAATGCCTCTTAGTAGTGGCTGCGGCGCTGTAAGCCATCCTTCCGGGGCAATCGGATCTACAACAGGCCAAGAAAGCAAGCAACTCTCGACGAACGCCGACCGTTTGGGGGCTCTGCGTGATAGGGTAGCTGCGTGGGCTGACAGCATCGCGACTTTTAACGGGGAATCTCAGGGAATTCCTGCTAAAGGGTCAGTATACGACCTCACACGCCATGTGTTGCTCAGTTTACTCATGAATCGTACTCTTCTTCTTAGTTCTCAAGGCTACGGCTGGGACCCAGAATCGGCAGTCCTCCATGCGCTGTCAACTGTCCAGTTGCCCGATGGATGTGAACGTGCCACGCCTTGCGCGGCGCAGTGCAATGCCCTTATATCTACCGGCAGGCAAGCTCATGCAATTGAGCAACGCCGATCAGCGAGGTGCAGGCAGAATGGAGACCGTAGAAGCAAGTCGTCGCTGAGGAAGACCCGCGATGACCATGTAAGCCAAGCGGTACATCAGCGCTGCTGCAACTTGACACTCACAAACACATTCTCTGTGTATTGTAGGTCGCTCCAATTGCCGCTCCGGGTCAAGCGAACGTTGAAGCCGAGCTCGCCACGATTCCTCGGAGCCTCACCGGGGCGAAAGCCGGCAAATCTATCACCATCACCGTCACGATCACGGTCACCACCAGAGCCAGAACTACCACCACAACTGAGACGAGGACCACAACGAGGGCTGCAATGACAGCGTGAGTGGCAACGAGGGGATGGAATGCAACAGTAATGCAAGGGATGCAGTGGCGGCGGCCGCGGCACATGCGTGCCCGTATACCTCAGTCTTCGTACACCACAGCACACCTTTGGCTTGTCAGAAGTGCCTTTCCGTGTGTGATGACTCAAGTACTCATGGTTTGCACAAGTCTCCGTAGCAGACCTAAGAAGCCGGCAAGCGCCTTTTAAGGAATGCACCTGTGCCATAAACTGCGGTCTGGCTCGCCTCGAGGCCGCTCGCCGTGGGCCTGGGAGAATCTCGCGGCGCTCAAGGGGACTTGATATTGTATGGCCGGAAACCCGAACATAAAGTCAAGATTTATGTTTCAATATGGGCTTGTCTTATTATCAATGGCCCAAATGAAGCTTATGCGCCGGTCTGAAATCGGTCAACTGAATTGATTTTCCGCTTTAGGGCTATCAAAGATCCTGAATCGTACATGTTGCATTTAGTTTCGCATATGCGGCGACCTCAAACTACGTCCCATTGGCACGATGTAGGAATGAGTTTGAGGCGAATTTAAGGGGATTTGAGAACGAGATTAGGCGCGCTCAAGCTTGTACCCATTGCGCTTTACGTGAAATTGTACTTAATTAACGTGGAGAAAGCTCGCCGGGTCTGTTCGGAGAATCATTGCTCTGCCCAAGCTCTGCCTCGCGTTCTATCGCGCTCCCTGCTCCCATGTGATGTCGTCGATTCAGCAACATGAGCTGCCCCACTGGCAGGTAAGCCCAGTTTCCACCCGACTGTACGTGGGCCCTCTCCAGGCCTGATTCAAATACGAAGGATCCAATTCTCGCGCAGGGCCGGGCGTCGTTTCAGGAGAGGCTGGAGCTTGTGTGGGATGATGAAGCTGCGGGCGACGGGGCAATGGGCCCACAGTCTTCTGCCAGTCAGGTGTTGGCCCTGGAACAGGCCCCTTTTGGAGGCGCAGCTGTGGATGGGTGAGTACTTGATCAAGCCTTACGATCAAGTCCCACTGAAATAAGGCTCGGCGTGATAGCGCTACGCTTTCGTCAGCAGGCCCTGTGCGTTCGGATAGGAAACACGCCCGCAAAGCCCGCCGTCAGGGCATTCGCAGCAGCACCCGTGCAACAGAGTTCTTCGCAAAGCAGGATGCACTGGCTTCTCAAACTGCCGCACCGAGTCGTGCGCTCGCGGACATGCCGCTGTCGGGCGGCTTCACCGGCCACCGAAAGGTACATCGCCCTGCGGCTGGGCAAGTGGAGGATCCTCTCATGATTCGCCAAGACGGCGGGTGCGTGTTTGTTTCTCGGCGCTGTGTCCCGTATTCGGGCTAATGGACGCGGATGCTGGCAGAAGGGCTGCCGAGGTCATAGATCGCTCCGGCCGCTTGGTCGTGTATCGGGCATGGCAAGGCTCCGCAACCCAGAAAGCCAACAGTGTTCTTATGGCGGCAGCGGAATATTTGAGGAAGACTGGCATCAACCCGACATACACTGCGTCCAAACGCGGCACGTTTGCGCAATACTATTTCACACTCCATAAGGACAATCAGCCGGTGCGCGCATTCAGAAATCTATCTTTGTCATATTTATCGTTACAACCTTTCGCAGAGGCCACGGCTCTCAAAGTACCTCTGCGACCATGTTGATGTCGCTCACGAGCTTGCCCAACTGTTGGCGCCTGTCATCCGGCTGGTTGCTGGTGAGCTGCTTCTCCCTTGCCTGTTGTCTCGACGTCCTCATGTGGGTGTAGGCGTCTTTCGTCGAATTTTCCCCCAGCTCCACGAGTATTACGCACAAACTCTTGACTACGCACTTCGCGGCGATGCACATATAGAGGCTCTTTTCCATCCCTTCGCGTCCTTTGCTCTCAACGTTGGAGACGTAGTCTGTGAAAGACACCTCGATTGTACCAATCTGGGCCCCGGGCTCTGTTGCATTGTCCCATTCGGACAGTTTGACCCGGCGGCGGATTGTCGCGTTGGCCTTGCAGATCTGGATTGCGAGGTCGAGGTCGGTCCTGGCGTGCCCCTACTGATACCATCAGCCGCGTTCACTCACTATAACACTCCTCTGGTGACAGAAGGGGCACGGCGTGGCTCCGCTGTCTTTTGGACCGGCGGCACCATGTTTCAATACCGGGAGCTCGATGGACGCATGGTGTCAGAGCTCACATCAGCTGAGAGGGATCAGTACCATCTAGGCCGTGTTTCCCGCATCGCAGCTGGGATCGCACGTTTTCCCGAGCGTAATATCTGACCCCGCTGGGCCTGTACGTACTCTGAAGTAGTCTCCCCGCAGATACCTATACCCTGTCTCTTATAACAAGGGCTACAAGTCGCAATCATAATATACGGCGACGCCCGAAGGGCGTCGGAATTGTTGCTATCCGAGTCGAACATTTGCTCAAACCGACACCCTCGACGTACATTCATCAAAAGCTTTCCTACAGGCCAACGCGACCTAAGCCCACCGGGGTCCGTGACGAGACAATTGAGTACTATGACTTGCGAGGCGACAAGCTTTGTACCCGCGGACACCGGCCCCGCATGGAGAACATCGTCCGTCTCCGAGTCGGAAGCCAGCAGGATTAAGCTCAAGCGCAGAGTCGACAATCTGAATATCAACCAACGCAAAATGCGGCCCTAGGTACGCACGGTCGCGTCAGCGCGTGCATATGGACTCAGTGCTATCCAACATACCTTGACAATTCAAACCACAACTCCCTCAGGCCAAGCTTCGCCCTTCAATCTGCCATAGCCTTTGGCAATGATAATCAACGCAGATTGCGGCGTCGGTTGCTCTATGAGCAGCGCTCCCGACGCAATGCGGCGTGTCTCATCTAAACCAGCTTGCATCGCCTCTAGCGCGCGAGAAACGGATTGGATGTAGGTGAGGGACAGCTTCTTGTAGTCGCTGACACTATTCAGGACCACTGCGTCGCGGTCAAAGTGGTTGAGCTGTTCCCGGTTGCCTCCAAGGTAGGTCCATAAACTGTACAGTACGTCCTCTCTCGCATGACGGATGGCTAAACCTTCCAGGGCACTTGCTTCACCAATCGCCAGCAGACGGGCATCCAGCGCCTCTAGGCTCGCGAAGGCGGTTTCTGCAGATAGAACCAACGAACGCAGGACCCCTTCTATCGTGGTCAGGGCATATTCGTACGCGCGCGTCGTCCTGTCGTCATTTGTCGGCGACTGATGGTACGTAGCTGAGTTGGAGTCGTGGAGGGACGGGGACAGTAGCCGCCGCGCGGAGTCAAGCGTTACCGCAACACTGGCGCCAGCCTATGGGTTAGAACTGAATGGGATTTCTAGGCAAAATCGAACCACTCACCGATCGCCGCCGCTTTGCAGTCGAGCAGACAACTGTTGAAGGGCGCGAATCGTGTCCCTCGCGTCGTCGGCAAACTTCAGTAGCAGAAATTGCATTTCTTCACGATGTTCGAGCGAGCTGCTCTCGATTAGCGAGATCAAGTCTTCAGCAGCGATGCGAGCCTCAGCCAACTTGAGCACCAACGAGGACGTTGTACCGACATCCCCGAGGGTGTCGCCCATGCCCGACCTCTGCGAGTCGAGAAGGAAGGTCAACGCAGCCCGGAGATCTGGCGCGTGTTGGCTGAAGATGGGTACGAGGGCGGCTTGGACACGAGTCGACACCTCGCGGATGTATTCCGACGGCATCTTCATCGTGTGTTTGGTGAGCTTCCCGAGGTCCGGGCTGGCCCGGGTCCAGGTCGACGTGAAGGCTACGGCAGCGACAAGAACCAACAGTCCCTCTAACAACGTATGGACAGTGCGGATGAGGCGCATGTTGACGGACTCGGATGTCGATGAGGGGCGGATGACAATATTGCCCAAAGACCTCAGGGTTGAAACTCTGAAATACGGGACCGAACAATGGCACGTCGGCCGTGTACATGTAACAGAGCTCCCAATGTTCGAACAATGCATGAGATTCGCGCAGTAACTGATCATCCGATGAACGATCGGATGATCGCAGGATGCATAGCTGCGTCGATTGCGCTGCTTGTAGCCGCGCGGGGCAATCCTTAGTACCTCTGTCACGCGTGGCGAGCCTCATGGCGCGCAAACGTGAGGACTATATGGAATCCCCTCCTCCTCCTCCTCCTCTGCAACGTCTCCTCCTGGATCCAGAGAGCCACTGACAGAAGGCTACCCATGCCGACGTACAAGGCGGTGCAAGGGTTGTTCCTGAAGCCCTAAGAAACGGTTATTAGAGCACTTGCCTCAAAAGATAAGTCAACATGTCCGGAATGAGAAATTATACCATCGAAGATCGGGAAACGTCCGACGGGCCCTGTATCTTTTCACGAGTGAGTCGGAATGGGCTGTATTATTGTCCCAGCATTGTCTCCGACGCGGTCTCTTATTATTGTCCCAGCATTGTCTCCGACGCGGTCTCTTATTATTGTCCCAGCATTGTCTCCGACGCGGTCTCTTCGTTCTGCATCTGCATGCGGCCATCAATAGAGATGGCTTCGCTTTTGTGTTCACAAACAATGCAAGCGGACGTTCGCTTTAAGCGCCCCAACGCCGCAGGATGGGTCTGTTCAGCTTCTTTGCCCGTCCGCACCTGCGCGGAATGTCGTATTCACCTGTGTTCAGCTTCACTGGCCACTCCTCTTCCATCAATGTTCTGTCCTTTTCGCCAAGGGGCGATTATCTGGCCAGCGGCGGAGACGACCATATCCTCTTCGTCGTAAGCTGTCACTCCGGGACAGAAGTACGAAAGCTGGTCGGCACCTCCCCTATAACTTCAATCTGCTGGCACCCCAAACACACGGCCAAGTTATTCGTGGGGTACGCGGAGGGAAAACTCGTAGTATTGGACGTTTCTGCGGTGCGTCTTTTGCGTCTAAAAGCAGCCCTAAATCATGCTGAGCTGATGGCTCGAGGGCAGGAGATTCCTCAAGGCGCAGCGATTCCTCTGCAATCCCAGGCTGCGGTGAGGGACATAACGTTCGATGTGCACCACGACTACTTGGCAGCATGTGCGGGACACCAAATCATAATCTGGAACGAGTTGACCCCGCGTACGCCGCCCCGGCTGTTCCGCGACCATGCGATCTAACAAACACAACTTGAAGGCCGCTGGCGATTTCTGTGCCGCATACCATCGCCAAATCAAGTTGAAGTCGACCTTCAGAGGCAGGGCGACATCATCGCCGGCGGCGGCGCTGGGTTGGAATCGATACCGCAGGATCCTGTGAACCCTTACTCTGTCCATTTCAGCGGGCAGGAGGGCTCTTTGATAGTGGCCTATGCGGAGTATGGCATAATGTGCGTAAGCATGATCGCTTGTGAAATCAACGCGCTGAATTTCGCCCACCGCCCAGCTGTTGGGATGTCAAGTCCACGTCCATTATGTGGAGGATGAAATTACGTCGAGGTTGCGCGTAAGTACAACACCGTATAAGACTGCTTTGGCTGGAATCATAACCGGCCAAGCAGTGGTCGAGCTTCCCTGTCTCAGGACGGTCGACACATGGCCGTTTGCAATGCATATGGTGGATTTGAATTGTACGACATCCGCGCACGCCGGCTTCTGCGTAATTTCAAGGCTAGCGATGCACCGCCCGCGCTCCCTGCGATTTTCGTGCACGATGATCTGGGTCTTCTCACCGGCGGCCTAAATGGTCGGGTGAGTATTTTCGACGCCGGCACAACCCTGGAAATGCAGAGGGTGCTGCACGGTGCGCCATTCTCACTCCCTTTATCGTTGTGGAGCGCTCGAGCATAACTTATCCCTCATGTGCCACAGGGGATGATGGAGTGCTTGCATTGGTAGGCTTCACAGATTGACAGGATATACGACGCAGCTTACCCTTACCAACCACCAACTGCTTTCATAGGCATATTACAGCGGCTCGCACAGGTTGATAGCGACTGGCTCTGTGTCCAAAGTCATCAAATTCTGGCAGGCTCCACTGCCTGGTGCGTGATGCCTTCTTTTGGTGGCAACGATCTCGGTTCGGCCCAATTGACCGCAGTGCTTAGTGCGCAACACATATGCCGTTGAGCAGCCTGTCGAACGTGCGTCGCCTTGTATTTGTTTACCTCTCATCGTCTCACGCCGATTGCCTGAGCATCAGCCCAATCTGACTCCGCCACCACTTCCGCCAAAACCGTGGCGCCGAATCGATATAAGTCGCGCGGAACGAATACGGGGCCCTCCTCCACCGTGGCTAGAGCGGGTACCCGCCGGGCTGACCAGCCGAGCAATCAAGGCGCTCAAAAACAGGCGGAGCAAAGACGAGCAGGTGTCCATCGAGCGACCGCAGCTGCGGCCCCCGAGTTGCGTTGTAACCCAACGTTAACCATGTGTCTCCTCATCTTTGCATCCATGTGGCTCTTCTTCACCGCAGGCCTAACAGTATATTACCAGCACGACATAGTGAGTGACCTGCGCTGATCATCACAGGTACATCTCAGGGCTGAAGTGTTGGCCAAAGAAGGAGTACGTATTAAGCGCGCTCGATCGATGGCTCAGCGTCGTGCATGACCTGCAGGAATTACGATCGTATGTCATCTCTATGTCTGCCACAAATTAGAAGCTCACATGGCATTCAACACAATACAGAATGTCGGAACGATGTACGAGCCTAGTCTCCACCTCGCAGTGCGCCAACGTCGGTGTCCTGTAGCTGAGTGGCAATGCATGTATCCGTGCTGTATATACTTGAAACGGCGCTCAGAGGGACAATCACTGCGAGATTCCCTCAAGACGTCAGACACCCCAGCTGGACGAAGCCACTGCAGCTCTCTTGGCATGGTCTCTGTAGGCCCTATGAATCGCGTGGTGTAGAGATCCGCGCCGCGAAGACGAGTGCGATCAGGCCGCGTAGTGAGGTTCGTGCGTTTGCGACCCGTCGACCGAACGTACTCGTTAAACGCGCGCCGCGTGAGGAGGAGGGCTAGGGCTGGAGCTCGCCCACAGGAAACACCGTTCACCGCGCGACCGCTTTTGTCTCCCGTAGGCAGGCCACAAACACGACCTCTTTGACGGGGGAGGACGGCCGTATGAGGCAACCGGTCTCCAGCTTCCCAACTGTTCTCGCCGTGTCTCGCAGTCTCGATCAAAAGTTACAGCGTTGACAGGTGTCGGCGGAGAACCACTGCTATAGCATCTGGTCATTTTCGTAGAGAGGGGTGGGGGTCACTCGACCCCGTGACCAGACGCGTCGCACAAGAGGCGCATACATCGCCCGCGACGCGCTGTGCTTCTCGTAGATCTGACATCCCTGTACCGCGCATAATACCCTCACTATACTAGCCACCTTACTAACACGCCAATGAGGCTATGCGTACACAGTCACGATTCACATGCTTATACAGAAACATATACTACGGTACATGTCTTCCGATAACACAGTGGGCGGGGGGAGATGGTTCGGCATGTCGGCGGATGAAGAGGATTACATCCTGTGGATAGGACAGGTAAGCCGATGTGCCGTCCAGGGTCTGCAGACTCGGACGTAGCTTCGTCGAGGTGCGGATCGTGGTCGGGCTTCAGACACCAGCCGTATGAAGGAATACATCCTCAAGCTCCTGAGTGCCTTGAAGTAGGGTGCGTTCTCTCGCGCGATCCCCTTGCCGTACGTGCCCGTGCCACGCCAGTAGCTCCACACGCCAACGGTCTTGAGTCCTCGTTGATGTGTTCCACCCTTGTAGCGGCGCTCGACCGCATGCCATGCGTGATCGTTCCCGGAAGTGCGGCGAAGTCTGCGAAGTAGGGGTTGATGCGGATAGGGTTGAAATCGCCGGAGATCTTGGAGTAAGGCTCGTTCGTTGCGGAGGAAGCGAAGGCCGTAGTACCCGACTTGCTCATCGTGCAGCCTTGGGCGAGCCCTGCTGGGTACCATGGCGTTGGAGATACTATGCGATTGCGGGGTTGCCACGACTATCGTCCTGCAGGCCACGACTATCGTCCTGCAGGAAGTCGATTGATCCAACCTTGACGAGGCGCTTGAGCTGGTCGAGGACGAAAATGCCGCCAGATGCAGAGACCGTCTTGAAGCACGCCTGCCACGATGCTAGGACATAACGTATCCATTCAACACTGCTTACCTGCCAGCCAGTAATGATCGCGAGGTCCCTCGGGTCTTGGACCCGGTCCGTCCGCGCTGCCCTGAACGCCTCGCCTTCATTACTCACCACAGCGCAGAACGTCTCGACGTCATCCGCCTCAATCGCAACCTCAGCACCCGTAAGCGCGTCGCGAAGATTGATCTCGGGGAGCACCTCGTTGTCGCCGAACCACAGCCGCCAGTAGAAGTCCTTGATGCGCGTGTTAGGACCCTCGGCAACCTCGTGGATTCAAACGGGAGCGAACCCATGCTCGGCCTGTAGAGGAACTTGAAGTGGAGAGGCACGGAGACGTCGCGGCGGTCCTCGAACAACGCGATGTCGATCGCCTGAGACGCCGAATGATACTTGTGCTGGCCGTACGAACGAGCAGCACCGTAGAGCGCGGCGGACACAGGTATCTCGCCGCCCAAGGTCAAGACGACCTTCTGGCTCCGACGAGGAGCGAAGAGGCGGCACATCGCGTTGTCGATGTGTGATGTTCCCTGCACGATGGTCGCCGGCGTAAGGAGAGCCCTGGGCCAACTTTGACGTGGACCTGCGAGCATCCCAAGCCAGGTCGACGCCTCGGGCAAGGTGCTCCCAACGGAGTAGGTGATCTTGCCTGCCTCGGCAGAGCGCTCGACGCCAAGCGAGCTAGCGATGTTCTCCGGAAGAGGAGAAGCCCTGACACTGAGATAGTCAGCGGTCGGGATGAGACTGAGGTCGCCGCCGTAGAGGCGCTGCGCCAATTGAACTTGTCGACAAGGATAGCTGCGACGTTGTCGAGCATCTCCTTGATCGACTCGTCCTTCTTCGTCGCATGCTTCGCCGCGACAGGGCCCTGGAGGATGCACACGCGCTGCGGGTCCTGGTCGAAGACGGCCTCGATGTCCTCGGCTGCCCACAAAGAGTCCTACCCAAAACGTAAGTCGTAGTTCGTTTTCGGGTAATTTAAACGCACCTTCTTGAACCACACCTCAAAGTTCGCATCGAGAACAGGGATGAACGGTACCGGCTTCTGGCCTGGGCGCTGCGAGATGGCGAGGAAGAACGTCTTGTCCTCCGACTTCTCCGTCATCTGCAATCGTCGTCAATATGTGGACGACAAGCCCACGCGACTCCTCACCTTCTGTATGTCGATCTTGAGGTAGCTCAGGATGTTGATCATCGTCTGCAGAGCCACAAGCTCGCCAGCGCACGCATATTGTTGGCCCTAGACGCGCTGTAAGTGAGGGGACAAACGCAACCTGTTGTTTTCAACATACCTCGACGTTGTAGTTGACGATTTCTGGAAGACAGCCGGTCTTCTGCGCACTGTCATCGACAACCTCACGCAAGGTCGCGCCTGTGGACGTCTTCGACACACAGCTGAGGTTGACTGCGCACATCGCGCAGTTCGAGCGATTCCGTGCGTCACGCCCGACAGCACGCTGTGTGGCGATGTTACGATAGAAGACAGCGTCGACGCGAGACGAGATGGCCAGAACATCCACGATGGGCGCGAGAGCGGAGTGCTCGCCGAGAGTGTCCAGCGAAGGGCGCGCCGCCCTCAATCGCTTGTCCTCGAATGCCGCGCGCTCAGTGACGATGACTCGGAGAGCGATCTGAGCGAAGAGCAGGCCCGTCTTGACGAGGCGCTTGTGGACGAAGATGCCGCCAGAAACAGAGACGATCTTGAGACGCGTCTCGTTGCATTACGTGACCTCAGACCGGACGCAGAACACAAGGCCAGCGCCTGCTTGGAGAGGCTTGGGCTCAACATCCCATTCGAATCACTCCTTCGACTGCAGCGCGCCTCCGCCGCAACCTCGACAAGATACTCAAGCTCCTCGACGACCTCGAAAGTGTTCCCGCAGTCGGAGTTGGCCACAGGGACGATACGAGCCCTCGCCTTGCAGACGTCGCCGGCCTTGAGTGTGGCCCCCCACCCTCGAGAACGTCAGAACCCGCACGTAAGGTGGGCCGGCTTGAGCAAGTCGTCATCGATGGTGGCTGGGAAGATTGCCTTCATGGTGGCCTGGCACATGGTTAGGGCGTCACGAACAACGCAGAGCCGGCACTGCTTACCTGCCAGCCAGTTACGATCGCAGAATCCATCGGGGCCTCGTTCCGGCCCGTCCGTGCTGTCTTGAACGCCTCGCCCTCATTACCTACCACGGCGCAGAACACCTCGACGTCGTTCGCCTCACCTCCAGACCGATACACGTGCCGCGAAGGTTGATCTCGGAAAGCACCTCGTTGTCGCCGAACCACAGCCTCCAGCAGAGGTCCTTGGTACGCCCTCGGAAGCGTCATGGATGTTGGCGTAGCCCATGCTCGGCTTGTAGAGGGACTAGGGGTTAAGCTTGAAGAGGGACAGAGACGTCGCGGCGATCCTCGAACAGTGTGACGTCGATCGCCTGAGATGCCGAATCATATCTAACCACGGCAACCTTGAGTTCGGACTTGTGCTGGCCGTGCGAACAAGCCGCGCCATAGAGGGCGACGGTCACAGGCGTCTCGCCGTCCAAGGTCATGACGACCATCTGGCTCCGACGAGGAACGAAGAGGCGACGCATCGGGTTGTCGACGTGCGATGCACCCTGCACGGTCGTTGACGTAAGGAGTGCACTCAGCCAATGCTGCTGACGAGGGCCTGCGAGCATCTCAAGCCAAGTCGACGCCTCGGGCGACGTGCACCCAACGGAGCAGGCGTTCTTATCGGCCTCAACAGAGCGTTCGACGCCAAGTGAACCGGTGACATTCTCCGGGAGAGGGGAGGCCCTAACACTGAGATGGTCGGCGGTCGGAATGCGACTGAGGCCGCCGCCGTAGAGGCGCTGCGCCAACCTGTCGGCGAGGAACGCGGCGATGTTGTCGAGCACCTCCTTGACCGGCTCGTCCTTCTTCGCAGCATGTTTCGCCGCCACAGGGCCCCGGAGGGTGCACGCACGCTGGGGTTCTCGTCGAAGGCGGCCTCGATGTCCTCGGCTGCCCACGAAATCCTACCAACATATGAGCCACAGTTCCTCGTTGGGCGACCTTAACGTACCCTCTTATACCTGCTCGACGCTTCGGGGAACGGCGATGCTCAGCGACCACGGGCCAGACGAGACACGAAAAGAGTAGAGTATGTTATGTCTACATAAGGCTTCGCCCTCAGTGACAATATAGGGATTAAACAAACAAACGAACGTACCCTCTCGAACGACACCTCGAGAACAGGAATGAAAGGGACCGGCTTCTGGCCCGGGCGTTGTGAGATGGCGAGGAAGAAAGCCTTGTCCTCCGACGCCAGGAGCTGCGCGGTCGCGGCCGGGTACGTCGCGAAGAGGAGCTTGACGAAGTGTCTATGCCGGATCGTAAGCTGAAGGCGACGACAGAACAATACGGAGGTGCTTACTGTGCAGGCATAGCGCCGTCGTCCGACATGACGTTGGTGAGGATGTGTTGCGGCCAACCCACTGCTGTCTGCTGCCGCTTCGAGCGCCGAATGCCCCCTAGGAGACACACATTCCGCTCGCCTGCGGACAACAGTCAAACAGTGGATCTAGGAGTGATTTAGGCAAGGCGTTGCGCCCATGCCATGGTCGGTTCCGGTCAATTCGTTTGCACATGTTTGGTCCGGTGCGATCATGTGGCCACACGTGCTTCGACCGGAGATCTGAGGCTCTCAATTCCGGAATCCAAAGGCTACCTGAGCCTCTCAAACTTGTCGCCGATCCTGCAGTCTTACTCTTCTTTGGACAAGCCGATCGACTTCGTCAAGCTCTTCTTCGCATCTTACCCGGCTGCGACCGAGCAGCTCCTGGCGTTCACCATTGATCAAGTGAACACCGTTCGGCGGTGCATCTATATGGACCGATCTCTGTCGGACTCGTCAGATGTTGGTCACCAGTCGTGATAATCCACTGTACAAATATAATGTGATTTTGTGGGTATTATACACTGCCATTACATGCTGCTCGAGCGACCTCGAAAACCATGGTACCGTTTGATGCGCTGCTTCGGCTGCGACGTGTTGACATTACACACACATCTCCTCAGGCTGGCCTTCGCCTGGAGGGTCCGAGTCCTCCTGAGCGGCCGGTATCGTATCATTTGGTGGTTGTCCCCCTGCGCGCACCCTCGTTTGGTCTTCTCGGCCACCTTGCTCCTCTCAACATATCCCTACAGACTCGTGTTTAGAATGAGAAGGAGCATTGTCAATAAATAAATAAGTTGTACTTATGTTTGATACTTTGGCAGGAAGGGCTTTGTAGATCGCCTCGAACTCGGTTTCGCGTCCGGATGGTCCTTGAAGTAATCGATTTTGAACAAGCCGCTGCTCACGAAGGCTTGTCAGATGAATGAAAATCAATGTTGATGTCCTTCCCGTGCGGTCGTACTATCCGCCTGCACACGTACGAGGCAGTGTCGCTTCTTCGCAGCAGGCTGTGGCTACATAAGTGTGAGTGTGTGAGTGTGAGTTACATAACAAATGCAGACTCTCTGAACGCACGGCGTAAGTACCTCAGGCTTGCGCCTCGTGCGTTTATCACGACATTGGGTTTCTGTCGTACTCTCGGGAGGCGGCGTGCGCCGTTTGGTAGGAGGCGGCGTCACAAAATCTGAGTGGGGATTCGGATCACCATAATCGTTCTGGCGACGTTTGCGTGGCTGGTACGAGCTAGTATGCACGGTGTTCAGCAGCTCGTAGCCAGTAGGACGTCCGGATGCGTCGTTGAATTGAGGTAATCCTTGTGTTCGCAGACCTATACAGCCTTGATCAGACTCTATGGTACGACCGATGTATCGAGTATGGAAAAGGTCAATTACTCTATCTATCAGTCTGGTGCTGTCCCATAAACCACTACCAGGGCGCGCGCGAACACAAGCATACCAGTTCGGTCGTACGAACAAGAATGTAGCTGCTGGTATAACTATTAGACGAGAGCGACGCGAAGCATTCTTTCAGCAGATGGACGGGTCATCTGCGCCGCATGGTCAGGAGTCTAGTAGCGAACCGGACAGGTCTGATGCTGTCGAACCTTTCCAGCTGAGATGGATGTCCGCATGCACCATCATATGTCGCATTCAACCCGTCATGCGCGAAATTTGTATGTCATTGCTCGTGATCTAGCTGGAGATCCTGCGGCCAAAGTATCACCGACTGATCAGTCACATACTAGGGATTCATTCCGAAGCTACGAGACCACCTTGCGCGTCTCCTGGAACTTCAATTTAATGGAGACGAGTACAGCTTGTAGGTCTGAATGTTATATGTAGGTCTTCCGCTTCCGCGCACCGTTGGTTCGCGTCACGGTGGCTTGATGCGATGCTGATGTGGACGCCTGCGGAGCGGTCTCTCCAGAAGCCCGAGCCTCGGAGCCGCTCGCCGAGCGTTCCTGCGCGCACGTTGCTCTGTCTCCTTTGGAAGCTCGTATGTATTGGGACAAACATCCCTCACGAATCGCCGCATCACACTGCAAATTGGACTGTGACCGCATCGAGGCGGGACAGCGAGTCTTCGGTGTGGACGCGCAGCTTCGCAAGCGCATGCCATTCGGCGAGACGGTATAGCAGTGTCATGACGATGTGATACGAGAGAAGGGTGAGAGGCGTCCAGTGAGCCCATGGGCGTGGCGACGGCCTTCTGCAGGGGTGCTTGAAGGCCGCCGATGCGCACCGCGATATCTTACGAGCCCAGCCGCTCACGAGCGCCGCCGAGGCGAAAGGAGCCCTTGGGAAGGATGCGCGGATCTAGCTGGCAGGGAGAGTGAGCTAACAGAGCGTCCAGCTTGCGCCTCTCGTACCCGACCCCTACCCTGGCTGACCTCCGGCCCTGATGCACCGCGCCCAACGAAGCGTCCGGGTTGCCGGGGGAAAGGGCGCGAAACGCCCCGCATTTGTGCCGCGTAGCAGCGGCGCCAGCAGCCCGCACAACGCGGCGGCAGGGGCGGGGGGGCTGCAGGGGGACTGCAGGGGGGACTGCAGGGGGGACTGCAGGGGGGCTTTTGCGGCCGCAGCAGGGCTTTCTGGCCAGATCTTTGGGAAAGGCGTTCCTGTCGTCGCCGCGGCGTCAGCTAAGGGTGCTCAGGAGCCAGCGCCCGGCGAGGGCGTGCAAGGTGCGGGATGTTGGGCTCCACTCAACCGCACGCTCGGCGCCCTCGAAAAACGCGTAGGGAGGCAGCAGCTTACCGTGCGCACTCGTCCGCCTGCGGGGCGCGGCTGGTGTTAACGCTTGCGAGCACAATAAGTCGGAGTAACGACCACGGCACAAGAAAGACGACAGGACCTCGAGAACGGGCACGTCATCACGCTTCGCAAACTCGACGATCTCCCCAGCGCCGCTGTTCGCCACAGAGACAATACGAGACCGCGCCTTGCAGACGTCGCCGGCCTTGAGTGGCTCCGCACCCTCGACGACGTCGGAACCCGATCGAAAGGTGGACCAGCTTGAGCAAGTCGCCATCAACGGCAGTCGGGAGGATTGCCTTCATGATGGCCTAACGGTTACGACGTCTCGAACAACGCACAAAGCCGGCGCTGCTTACCTGCCAGCCAACTACGATCGCGGATTCCATCGGGGCCTCGCCCCGGTCCGTCCGTCCTGTCTTGAACGCCTCGCCCCGACTACCTACCGCGGAGCGGGACGTCTCGACGTCGTTCGCCTCGACCCACAGCCTCCAGTAGAGGTCCTCGATACACCCATGGATGGGGGCGTAGAACATGCTCGGCCTGTAGAGGAACTAGAAGCGAAGACGAACAGAGACATAAGCACGGCGTGCGCATGCTTATCGAATTGGGCGGCCCCAGGGTCCTGGGAGGATGTGGACGCCGAGCGAGGGATGGCAGAGCGCGGGGCGGGAGCCAACTTAGCATTTTACTGGAGCTCATTTGCTCCAGTCACATGACGTCCCGGGGCGCGGCTGCCTGTGTCACACAGGTCACACAGGTCACACCTCGCGCCGCGTTCGTGCACCAACGCCTTCACTGTCGCCGTGCCGCTGCGACGCCATCGCCGTCCACCGCAGAAGTTGAAGCGTCCCAGTTGACTAGGTGAGCTCGTCTTTACGCCTTTGTGTCCCACCCTGTTGAGTCCATCTGTCGACATCTCTTGTCGTCGTATCAAAAGCTCAGCGCCGTGGGGCAAGGGATCGACATGCCCGCGAAACCGACAACGGATGTACCTGCGGGCTGGCTAGTACAGCCTGCCCCCTGCCGGACGCACTCCAAGGAGATGGAGCCGTTCCTCACTCTCCCTTCTTGCCATCAATGCCACGCGCGAAGCCGGCCCAAGGATTGCATATTCTGCCACGAGAGTACGTCGCCGCGGTACTTAACACTTCGACATGTCGTTGACTTGATATGTTGGTTGGAAGCCCGCCGCGTACTCATACCACCGACGCTCGGTGCCTCATCGCCTCGGGTCACCTTTGTGTACCCCGAAGAACACGAAGGGCCAGTACCGCCGATGCATCTATGCGGCGAGACCGCCGTTCGAGCAATGGAGTTACAAAGAACTTTAGTACGTGGCATGGTTGCTCAGCCTGCACTGCTTGCTGAGTAAGGGACAAGCTTCTATGTTCGCAATTTCTGCGGCCCCTTGTGGAGTGCGAGCTCAAGTGCTTTGAAGCGGAAAATCTCGTGGTCTTCCCCCGGGAGCTCTCTGTTCGCGCAACATGCGGTGAGTTTACCGTTGCTAGAGTTTTGAATGTAAGCCAAACTCCAACGTTTCAGACATCTGCCACGACGAACTGTTCTGGCACAGTTCGCTGTGCAGTGACTGTGGCGCAGAGTTCTGCCACCAATGCCACTTAGACTTAGACGATGTCAGTGCGATTTTCTTTCATCACTGCAGAGCATTGATAGGGATTTTGGCAGCTCGAGAAAACTCCGCTCTTGGTGCACACGCTGTGTACAACGGGTCTCCCTCATGACCGCTCGCACCTTCTACCCGTCACTCGGTTCGAGAGAGACGAGCTCAATCGCTCTCTCAATCACATGAACGCACTCCTTGCGAATCCGATCCCCAAGCACCGGGCAAAGCCCCCCTCTGGGTGTGCTGTGTACGAATGTACAGCGAAGGAGTTGACACCTGACCTCCTCAGTCTCATCATGTATCACAAGCTCCCACTCGCAGTTTCCATCGAAAACTTCAGCTTGGACAAGAAATACGACCCTCTGTATTTCGTGAAGCACTTTGGAAATAAGCGAGTCCAACTGGTTGATTGCCGCACGCAGGGAGCTGTGAAGGCGCAGACGGTTGGCCAGTTCCTGGCGGACTTTGGTGAGCCGAAGCAGACGCCGAAGTCGTATAAACTCAAGGTGTGTTGCTGCAAGACTGCTGTGAGATGATCCCTGACGATGAGACAATACTTGATCTGGTTCACATAGGACTGGCCGCCTACAGCAGACTTCGAGAAGACGTTCAAAGAGTTAAACTGGGCCTTCATGAAATCGTTGCCTTGCGGTGACTCTACTCGGCCGGATGGATTTTACAACTTAGCCGCCCACTTCCCAGTCAATGCGTTGCGCCCCGATCTAGGTACGTTGATCACGTCTACTGTCATCCAACCCGTTTTCACTTGCTGCAGGGCCGAAAATGTATATATCGCATGCCTCAGTGCATGAGGGCATACATGTCGGCTCTACTTGGTTGCATCTAGACGTGGCGGCTGCTGTCAATATCATGCTATGGGCGGGCTGCGATGATGATGGGAAACCAGGATGTGCCCGATGGCTCATTTTCGCACCTGATGATCGGGAGCGCCTGCGCTGCTTCCTCCGCAGGAAGCTTGACGTTGCGCAAGATGTCGACCCACTGCTGGCGCAGAATGTCTTTGTTGACGATGAAATGGTCGAAGAGCTCACAGCTGAGGGCATCCGCGTGCATAAGATCGCACAATACCCAGGTGTCGCTGTCTTCATCCCTCCCGGTGCTCCTCACCAGGTGTGTGCCACGAATTTGTATGCACCCTTCTCACTGACATGGTTTGTAGGTTAGCAATGCTGTCGACGCATCAAAGATAGCAGTCGACTTCGTTCCGCCAGAGTCTCTCGAGGACATCCAGCAGCTAATGAGAGAATTTCGCAAAGATCGGCTGACACCAACGGCGACTGTAGACGATGATCTTCTCCGATTGAGTGCAACCGTCTGGTATGCATGGCTTTCGATATCAGAGAAACATCGCAATCGTCAGGCTCCACCAGGTAAGGTTATATATTACTTGCATCTGCGAATACATAGCCTACTCAACACTTTTGCACAGCTGCAACGAAAAAGCGCAAGAGGTCTGATGTCCTCAGAGTTGGTCAGGTCGCGCGCACACCTGCAAATGGCTATTGTTGGCTCTGCCCCTGCTGCAACGACCTCCGCCTCAAGCGAAGGGGAGGTGTGATTGATCACATGTGAGCTAGCAGACCATACTCGCTATGCATAAGTTACTGAAGGAACTGCTGCACAGGTCAACGAGACATGGAGGCACCTTCCCACCCGCGAAGCGTGCAGAGCTTTGCGATGATGGTCGCGTGCCTGAGGAGAAATTTCTCTTGATGCTTGAGGCCTATATCAGAGAATTTTTCCCGGAAATCCAAATCGTGCGGGCAGTCATCCCCGAATCAAACTAAGGACGACCCTCCATGGCTGTTTCACTATGTATTCCACTCTGCGCTGTATATCACTTGCTCAATGACAATCCTCAGTGTTCCGTACCACTCATGGCCAGTTGCAACCATAGTCATAACATCCCACCATGCCTAAATTCTTACAGCCCATCCTCGCGTTGTCGCTCGTTCCGAGATGTTCAAATTACACATTAACTCATGACCCAACACGAGGATGATGGGAACACGATAATGCAATAAGAAACGGTCGCGCTGGCTGCTATGTCCGGTGTACGTGCACACAACAGGTTATACATGAGTAGATCATGATAAATGTAAAGGGAGCGGAGGCAAAGAAGGGAACAAACACCTCAGCCACTCTATGCAGCGACGCGCGACGGGTTGCGGGCGAGCGTCGCGCCCGCACGCTGGGCCCGGATACTACTAAAGCGCTAGAGCTCCTCCGGCTTGACAGAGCGGTTGCGCAAGATGCTGATGTTGGTCTCACCGCTGCTCGCGGTCAGCACACCCTCGCGACGCTGGCGGAGACTTGACGATCGTCGCCTTCATCGTCAACTTGATCCAGTCCAGAGGGACGAACCAAACGATGTCCTTAGAAGAATGAGCGAACGTCAACGGCAGCAGATGTGGCGAGACTTACCCAGATCCAGACGATGCCAACCCAGCCACCAGAGATACCATGGGTACTAGTGAAACCCCAGTCGGCGTACGCCGCAATGATCGTCGGCACGAGCTGCGCAATGCAGAATGCGCAGAACAAAGCCGCCGAGGGACGCTCCATGAAGAAGCTGTGCGACCGAGTGACGAAGATGAGCGCCTGCGAGATGGTGGCAACCTGGAGGTAGACCACCGAGTGCAAAATACGATCGCTATGGTTCGTCGCAATCGTAGCACCGCCCTCGAACAGAACACCGAACTTGATGCAAATAGTAACAAGGGTGATGCTGTAGTTGAAGGCATGTCAGTATAAATAAAGCGCGGACAACAGCGAGGACGGACGTAGACAAGGTGAGGTACGAGCCGTAGGCCACGGCGTACGAGAAGATCTCGGCGAAGTCCCAGCAATGGTGAGCTGGTCGCCGGTGACCATCTTGATCTTGACGCCGAGAAGTATGGCATCGTCGAACGTCTGCTCGGTGTCCGTACTGGGAGGGTCGCAGATAGGAAGGAGACCAATGAGCTCGAAGCCGCCGCCGTCTACCTCCTCGTAAGCGCACGCAGACCGCCCGCAGCAAACTCTTCGACATCGGCCTAGATCTTGTTCTCTGCTCCTCGGTCTTGCGCGTTCAGCTCGATGGCGATACCGGCCATACCCTTGGTGGGGCGCGTGAGGTGGCCAACTGCCTCCTCACGGTACGTGATCTCCGCACGCTTGCCAGCGGGGTTGAAAGGCTTGAAGGCGAGCAACTTGATACCGAAACGCGCGCGAGTGGTGACGGTGAGAGTGCCGACAGCACCATGTCGATAGTGTCCTGGTCCTCGGAACGCGAAGCGTACGCAGCGAGAAGAATGGCGTCCTCGCGAGAAAGGGCCGTAAGTGCAGATGGCAGTGAAGCCGGGCGACCCTACGATTGACCCGAGGTGCCTTCACACACGCGGCCGCAGGGCTCCAGTGGCTTGCATTGGCATATGGCAGGTGCGCCTGGTGTCGCGAAGGGGGATCCGTGAGCGTATTGAAGCGGAGGTCGGCGCACTGCTAGACCTGAAGATGGAGCGCGGCGTTGCCCCCGGCAAGGTGCGATGCGCTCCATCGCGCAGCTTGTCGGGAACATGGTGCTGCGCCGCCGAGACACGTTCCAACCGCTGGCTAATCGGAAGACGGGCGCGGTGCGCACCCAGCTGTCGTGCTGCGTCGTGGCGGAGGAGCTTCTCTAGTTTGAGCCTGAGGACATTGATGTTGACGTGGACGCGGACGCAGACGTGATGGACGTGTCTGACGATTCGGACATGGAACAAGACTAATGTATTGTGCGACGTGGTTGGCCGGCGGAGGTCGGAAAGGGCAGAATGGTGAGCATACTCGGTGATGGTCGCGCGGCGTGGACGTGATGATCGTGGCGATGTAGCCGTCGCAGTCGATGGACGCGCGAACCTGCTCTGAACCGGGAGTAGCGTGCTTGACGATACAAACAGCGCGGGGCATGTCCTCTTACGAGGAGTTCAAGTTGGTGCAAGAACCGATCAGAGCAACACGGAGATCAGCAGACCAGTTGTTCTTCTCGACAGCCTCCTTGAACTTCGAGACCGGAGTCTAAGAGTGCCTGCGTGCTCGGTAATGAGTCCGGTAGATCCCGGAGTGACTGCGATTGCTCATTGGGGTCAAGACGATGGACGTCTAGGAGCTCTTGAAGTTCGAGGATGGCGTAACTCTGCGTCGCTAGAGTCTGCTGGTGAAGCGCACGCAGGCGTTGCTCGCGTTCCAGGGATGTCTGCAAAGAAGCGATCTCAGCCTGAAGCTCGTCGATTCTGGTCTGCATGACTAGTATCAATAACGACGAGACACTTCGCGCCGAGGACGCATCTCCCAAGTCCATTTCTGACGGTCTCAGATCCACAGCAGCGAAGAGAGCCATGAGGAGTTATACGCACCATTCTGCAGTGGCTTCGACGATCGAGACTGCTCTTCAGCTACAAGAAGTAGCGGCTTATCTAGCCCGTTGTAATACGGCATCAGCGCCATGAAGGTACAAAGAATGCTACATTCTCACCGACCATAGAATACTCCCCGCCTCCGAGTCCCTCGCTGCCGCTCGCAAAAATCTCCTCCGACTAGCTCATGCGCCCATTGGCTCTCGGTCGTCTGTGAGTTGAGGGGCCCGCCTTCAACGTAGAGGCTGGTTTGCATTACTGATCAGGACCACGGGCCAGACGAGACACGAAAAGAGTAGAGTATGTTATGTCTACATAAGGCTTCGCCCTCAGTGACAATATAGGGATTAAACAAACAAACGAACGTACCCTCTCGAACGACACCTCGAGAACAGGAATGAAAGGGACCGGCTTCTGGCCCGGGCGTTGTGAGATGGCGAGGAAGAAAGCCTTGTCCTCCGACGCCAGGAGCTGCGCGGTCGCGGCCGGGTACGTCGCGAAGAGGAGCTTGACGAAGTGTCTATGCCGGATCGTAAGCTGAAGGCGACGACAGAACAATACGGAGGTGCTTACTGTGCAGGCATAGCGCCGTCGTCCGACATGACGTTGGTGAGGATGTGTTGCGGCCAACCCACTGCTGTCTGCTGCCGCTTCGAGCGCCGAATGCCCCTAGGAGACACACATTCCGCTCGCCTGCGGACAACAGTCAAACAGTGGATCTAGGAGTGATTTAGGCAAGGCGTTGCGCCCATGCCATGGTCGGTTCCGGTCAATTCGTTTGCACATGTTTGGTCCGGTGCGATCATGTGGCCACACGTGCTTCGACCGGAGATCTGAGGCTCTCAATTCCGGAATCCAAAGGCGCTACCTGAGCCTCTCAAACTAACGGTGCTGTAACTAACGGTGCTGTAACTAACGGCGCTGTGGACGCCAGGCCACGAAGGCATCACGGGCAACGGCCTCGCAGACTTCCAGGAACGCGCGACGAGTGCAGAGTAAAAGAAACGCACCCAACAGGCAACGCTAGTACTTCAAGCCCTTTGTACCTACCAGTCGACTGCCCTTGCAGCGACCCATACCAGACACGACGCCACATACTCCAAGACTGCCCCCCGCGCCCTCCTGCGCGCAGTCACGAGCACGACCATCGACCTACCGACCATCCTCGGCACCGAGGAGGGCATAAGCTTATCACTCCGGGGGTCGTCGCGCTTTCTCGGGAGGTTTCCAGCAGGAATGCTTTTGAGGCCATAGCGTGAGTTCCGGAGGATACTAGACATGTATGCTCACTCCGCAACTGACTGACAATGCATACTCAAGGTGTCAAGTTGCCGTGGTTAGATATGATTCGGCATCTCAGGCGATCGACGTCACACTGTTCGAGGATCGCCGCGACGTCTCTGTCCCTCTTCAAGCTTCACCCCTAGTCCCTCTACAAGCCGAGCATGGGCTACACCAACATCCATGACGCTTCCGAGGGCGTACCAAGGACCTCTGCTGGAGGCTGTGGTTCGGCGACAACGAGGTGCTTTCCGAGATCAACCTTCGCGGCACGTGTACCGGTCTGGAGGTGAGGCGAACGACGTCGAGGTGTTCTGCGCCGTGGTAGGTAATGAGGGCGAGGCGTTCAAGACAGCACGGACGGACCGGAACGAGGCCCCGATGGATTTTGCGATCGTAACTGGCTGGCAGGTAAGCAGTGCCGGCTCTGCGTTGTTCGTGACGCCCTAACCATGTGCCAGGCCACCATGAAGGCAATCTTCCCAGCCACCATCGATGACGACTTGCTCAAGCCGGCCCACCTTACGTGCGGGTTCCGACGTTGTTGAGGGTGGGGGGCCGCACTCAAGGCCGGCGACGTCTGCAAGGCGAGGGCTCGTATCGTCCCTGAGGCCAACTCCGGCTACGGGAACACTTTCAAGGTCGTCGAGGAGCTTGAGTATCTTGTCGAGGTTGCATTGTCCAACGCGTGTGGGTGCTGCAGCACCGGTCATAGGTAGACGAAACCGGTCGGTCGTTTACAGGCATACAAATAGTGTGTTGCCAATGTACGATAAGTCATGCGAGCATGTTTCGCCATAATACACCCTCCACTGTGGGCGCAACGCCGGACTCGAGACTGCGCGGCAGACGAAGTGAGATCACATCAATGACATTGTACTATGTATGGCTTAGACGATCGAGGCGCATGAAGTAGCAGTAGCAGTCAGAGAGGATTCGGAGCGGCTGCCTCGAGTCTCCGGCGAGCTCATCTCAGTCAAATGCGTGCATGAGCTGTCGGGCCTCCCTGACCAATGCGCTCTGCGTCTGAAAGGCGCATACGGCGCATGAGATCGGTATGTGTTTATATCGAGGTAGAACACACACTTACTTTGATGGCGCTTTCAAGCCGGAGCTGCAACTGCAACTGCTTCTCGCGGGCAAGGCATAAACGGGGGATATTCAACGCGCAAGGGCCCTGCAGGCTCTTCGGGGCAGCGACTCCTCGGCGGTACGAGATCTGGTACAATGTCAGCTAGACGTCTTGCTGATATCGTTCTCCACGCACCCTCAGAGCGACAATGGCATCCTCCTGCCCTGCCTCCTGTGCAATCAGCGCACACCCCATTGCCTCGAGCTTCTGCAGGGCGCCCCTCACGTCTCCTGCGGTCATGTCGGGGTCCCGCTGTGCGAGTCTTCGCCCCATTGCAGTGGAAAGGGCGGCCGCCTGCATCACTGTCTCTTCGCGCTCGCGGAACTGCCTGTGTAAGACCTCAAGCTCAGTGCGAACACGCGCACGAATGTCTTGAAGCTGAGGTGCGTCGAACAGGGGGGAGATCAACTCCTCCAGCGCAGCCTTACAGGTATTTTGTGTCAGAATATGCCGATTTCTACAATGATGTGACAGTACTGACCTTTGGTGCAGCTAGTGCACCGATGTACCAGCGCCAGTCGCGGAACTCGTCTTGCACCGCGTATTGCTCACGCTCGAGGTCGATGACCTTGAGCTCGAGGTTCGCGAGCTTCAGCCCCAGCGGGACAGCCTTGCGAGGGCTCGTTGTTCTCTCCAGCACTCGGTAAGCGGCCCGGCACTCCCCTTGGACCGCCGCGACCTTGCTTGCCCCTCGTTCAAGCTCGGCGAGGAGCACGGCGGCCGTCTCCATCGCATGCTCGCGCCGCATCTGGCGTCCATCCGAGCGGATTCTTTCTATGGTCGCATGCCTCTGCCGGGCGTTGTCGTGCAGCATGGACTCGCCTGGAAACACAATATCCCCACCCACGACTAGGAAGCCAGCAGGGGGGAGTGTGCTGGAAGGAAACAACAGGGTAAGTCAGAGTCAATTGGCAACGAGTGGCTTACCACTCCACTCTGTAGGAGAGCCGGCTTGCAACAGCGATAATGTTGCGGAGTCGACCTCGCAGCTCAACGAGGGCGTCCGAAGCATCGATGTACGACATGAGGGCAGAGGGTGCACGCTGAGGGTCTCAAAGCAGCAGTGAGTGGAATGGTGCAGCAGCGCAGATTTAATGTTTTTAATTCTATAATATACCTGACCCACATGGAGGCCTGGCCTTCTCGGCGGCGCTGGCCTGGTTGGTAATATTCGGCCTCTTGCCCACTCTGGATAGGCCGACGTATATGCCCGCATCCTGTGCAGGGCGCGCCCTAGGGTCCGATTGTCGCGCACATTGTTGTCGATTTCTGATTCTTCTCGTCGCATACCAGCCGGGTTGTCGTAACGCTCTCACCCACAGGGTCAGGGTCATCGATCATGAAACTAAACGGGTTTTAATGCTTTTTTTTCTAGAGTTCTTACTCGCGATCGGTGCTGCGCGGTCTACGCGCCGGAGAGCTCCGGCACACGAGATCAATCTCACGAATTAGCTGTTTTATTAGAACTTCTCATGGGGAGCGCCAGGCCCGTGATGAGCCAGACAAGGTGAGCCAAACTGCCTTATTCTGTCCGGCGACTGCGTCTTATGTCACTCGCAGCGCCGGATCCCTGTTTCGGCTACATGCAACGCCGGCCCATGAGAACTGCCATCCCAAGCTCTTTGTTCCTCCTAGAGGTACAATAGCAGCTCGGGATCCTCCCGAATGGCCTTAGGCTGCCGCTCAACCGATATATTTACGTCGGGACAGCTCATCCGTCCCTCTGTACAGTCGCCCATGCCTCCAGGTCTAAGGGGGCGCATGAAGCGCGGCAATGATGGAAGGCGTCGATCGTAAGTGCGAGCTTCCGCTACAGCTGTTCGGGCTAACTTACAGGGCCTCTGTCAATAGTCGACCGCTGGTTCGGAAGCGTTCCACATCTGACAGCGGCTCCCGCGGTCACTCCCCCACTGGCAGTGGACCAGCCTCGAAACGGCCTCGGCCTACCGCCTTCGCTGAGTCCCTGGTGGGTCATACCTCGTAAGCAGCTGCTATGTTCTACTGCTTCGCGGTACACTGACACCGGTGTGGCCTGACGGCGACAGGACTGCACAGCCCACAGGAACCCACGACTCTGCCGAACAGGTAAGTCGCAATTGGCCGTTTGCCGTTGCAACACCCTCGGTGCTCACAGCACCACCTATGAGGCTGCCCTTAAGTGTACCGGAACATCGCTGAGCAGCTTGTCGCCATTCAACGACAACGACAGCGAGGAGCACAGTTGCTGGTGAGTCGAAAGCCCTCAACAGCATGCGCGATCATTACTGGCTGATGTTGACAACGCTTGTGTAGCATGGATGCTGAGCCGTCGGATAAGAATTACAGAGCACCCTCGGTTGTGACTTACGAAGGCATGTTGATGCCGCGTTCTGTGGCTGAAGAGATGCAGCGAGCAGCAGTTGATGGAGATAGCCTTCGGTGCGTGGCTCTCGGTGCAGCAGTACAGTGGTGTTGATATAACTCTTCCATGGTCCAGCTTGTCTGACGGCTCTTCGAGCGCAGGCGCGAGATCGACGGTAGGCCCAGCTTTTGTTCATCCAATTACACGCCGACTTATGGTGGAACAAAAGCCTCCTAGCCGCCTTGGGGGCGTCGAGGATGTTGTTCAGTCCGTTCTGGATGCGCTGAGGCATGTCCAAGCCCATGGGCAGGGCTCGTCTTGCACCACCACTACTGTCACCATCACGACAGCGTCTGGCGACAGTGTCAAGACGACTACTACGACGATCACTGCGCGGGTGCCTGCAGCAGAATCCGACTGACATACACAGGCTCACGTGTATGTTCGCTGCGTGGTCTTGAGCGCGACAAATGTCGACGCCGTTGCCTGTACATATACGTGTACCCGCTGCCCTGCTGCTCAAATATCCAACTGTATGTTCTTGCACGCTAGCATGCCAACGATCCCATGCGCCACAGGAGCTTTGAAGCACCCTGTTTGTGTTTTGAAACACCTCGCAGACCTTGCAGGGATGAAGACGCGTCGACAACAAGCAACGCGCAAGCTCTCACTAGATCTCACTAGCTGATGTCTGAAGATCTGGTGCCGCAGCGTACCATGGCGCTCTAGTGCGTGTTAGGTACCCTGCTATGGGGGCTTCAAGTTGTTGAGGGCTCTCATAGGCGTCGGCACTGGCCGCCGACGACGCACGCGACCGCGAGCTTCAATTGGGCGTATGACGATCGAGAGGGCGAGAGAAAGCGAGATGAATCGGAGGGCAAGACCCGGATCATTCGTGTTACACTGATTATGATGATGTTGAAGTAACGCGCATATACCCTCAGATGGCTCGGCCAACATAATGAACAAACAGACCTTAATGGATTTATTGACGTGCCTGAGACTACAGTACACAATTAAGATAACACCATGACGAGCTCCCATCGGGCGTCCTCGTCGCGCGTGTCATTGCTGATCTTGCCCCCCTCGGGTTGAACTCGCCCGGATAGAGATGGAGTACAGCTCGGGGAAATCGAGCGCAACACACACTACAACGCGGCGTTCACGAGGAACTACACACCGTCTCGTAGAAACGCTTTGAGTCGTCGTCCGCGGAGGTCACAGAAGTGTAGAGCACGGGCTTGATGTGGTCCGTGAACAGATTCCGGTCGCTCGTGCCGTCCATAGTATCTGGCACAGCGAGGCCGTGGTGGAGGATGCCTTGAGAACGCCGAAGGTGATTGTGCCGGTAGACCGCGCGTAGAGCGTGCAGTGGCCCGTCTGGATGACGGAGCGCACGGCGAACGTGGTAGGGCGCCGGAAGATGGAGTGCACCTTGCTGTCTTCACGGTTCCAGGGCCGGACCTCGTCGCCGAAGAATAGGTGTACCCTTGCTGTAAATCTTCTACGTCGTGTAGACGCAGCTGCCTACGCGGGTCAGACGACCCATGGTGGGCGAGTAGTGCAGCGAGTAGGTGCGCAGACGAGCGCGCGCAGGGCGAATAGATGAGTGAACAGACGAGTTTCGGAGTAGATGGACAACGAGTGGGTAGACCGGCGAATGATTGGTTAAGATGTGGGGGTGCAGGCCTGCCGATAGGCGAACAAATGAGCCAGAAAAGAGCCCGATGAGTGCGTCAGCGGATTTGCGAGTAGGAGAGTGAGTAGCACAGGTGAATGAGCGGGTGAATGAGCTGTAAGAGAGGCTCGGTTGCCAGCGTACTGGCTATTGTAGATGAGGTATCATAGTAGCAGCGTACGTAGTACATGCAGCAAAGGCGTACCTTTGGCCCTCAAGCCTCCGTGCTTATCCTCCTCGTCCTCGTCCTCGTCCTCGTCCTCCTCCTGTTCCTTCACGAGACCGGGATTTGCGTGGACGTCATGTGAATGACAGTGGGTTCGAGCAGCTGATCGAAAGTCGCCAGAGCTGTGCTTCGCATTGCAGCAGCATAGGTGGCTTGCTGCGCTTCATTGCAGATTGGCGCGGACGGGTTGCTTATTGCCAAAGCCGGGGCGAGGCAGACTCCGAGCAGAGTTGAGGACTGAGGGACTTGTACGGACAGAGAAGAGGAAGAGGCGCCCAGTAAGCGCACGCCGCACGGGCCTCGGACATCCGAGTAAATGGCCCAGATTGAGGGTGGCGAATACCGACTAATCTATAGAACAGGGGAATGGTTGGCATCCGTACGTTTTCCATGGAAAACTTCGTCATTCTGTGGTATTCTCAAAAGGAGGTTTTCCAGATCGGCGCCGGGCTTCGCTTTCGCAAAGAGCATCCTCGCAGCTTCCGCACAAGCTTACCCGCGTAGTCGCGTATCGAACGCTCACACGGTCGGAAGGGTGCGGGGAAGGGCGCGGAAAGCAGGTCCCTCGGCGCATACCGGCGTAGAACGCAGGAACGCAGGAAGTCGGCGTCGCGCCGATGCTTTGCAACCACCAGCGAGTTGCGCTCGAGGAATGAAACGCGAGAGGGGTAAGGACAGTCCAACGGGCCCGCGGGCAAATTGACGATCCTCTAGGGGGCGCTTGGCGGCCATGGTGCACCCCGCGACATCCCGCGAGCCCAACTGCTCACGAGCACCGCCGAGGCGAAGGGGGGGCTTTGGGAAGGATGCGTGGACCTATCTGGCAGCGAACGAATGGGGCGCAGGGAAGCATAGGATTGGTTCCGGCAAGCCACGCGATGTTGGCCGCCTGGGTTGCGTTTGAGAAAGCGCAGCGTGGGAGGAGCCACCGAAACGTACCGCTTGCGCCCCTCGCCGCCGACCGTTCTCCCAGCTGTCCTCCGGCCCCCCGGCGCTCAACAATGCGCCCGGGCTACCGAGGCACGAGGGAAAGGGTTGCGAAACGCCCCGCGTTAGCAGCCCGCACGAGGGGATTTTGCGAGCGCGACACGGCCAAATCGTGGGGAAAGGCATCCCTGTCGTCGCCACAGTGTCAGCTAAGGGTGCTCGCTGGGAGCAAGCGTTCGGCGAGGGCGTGCAGGGCGCGGGATATTGGGCTCCACTCGACCACACACCTGACGCCCTCGACAGACGCGTAGGGAGGCAACGGCTTACCGTTCGTGCTCGCCCGCTCTGCGGGGCGCGGCTGGCTTGGGGCGAAGGGCACTCGGAGCACCGGGGTGGGCAAGGAATGGCGCATGCTGGGTGTTCGGCGGGCTCGCGCACTGCACTTCTGGTGTTTCTTTTTCGATCTCCGCCGACGTATGCACGTGCCTCTAGAACGGCTGGTTCCGAGACTAAGCAGTCGCTGACAGCAGTTGGACGCGACATACGGCTCCAAATCGCTGCAGAAGCAGGCTCTCACTGGGTCTCAGTCTTTCAATCGTGGCAATTCCGACAAGCGAACTAACCTGAAACGATAGTCTGCACGCAAGCACTCGCCGGCCAGGAAGGCATCTGCAGGCTCTATTGCCACCCGGGACTGGGCGTCCGTTCACGAACCGCCAACCGGCCGCTGGCCACCGCAATGCACGCCAAGTGCACCATGTCCAGGGTTGCCTAAGCCGCCCCTTCTACCATGCCATTTCCGTCCCTGCATGACCCTATTCCCGATGCTCTGTAACCTCAGCGGGCCGCTCGTCTGCGCCGGTGAGTTCAGTGCGATCCACCAGCCATGTCATCGAGCGGTCCACCGACTGAGTCATGACATCGCGCACTCGAAGCCATATCCGTTCTGGGCCAACCCCTCCTCGCGCTCAGACGGCGCGCGCCGCGTCGAACACCGAGATGAGCACGTCGAATGGCATCAGTCCGTCCTTGAGCATTGCCGCCACATCCGGGTCGATGTCTTCGTCACCCTGCGACCGCACATTGAACAGCTGGTGATATAGCGCGGGTCCTCGGGCGACAGGGACCGTGACATAGGCGAGTTAGACCGCTGCGAGTCGAGTTCTGAGCCGACGCCGGGCGTGAATGGGTCGAAAGGGTCCTACTCATCGCTGTGCTCGCCAGGGCGCATAAACGAGCGGAGGGACGAGCTCGGCGTGAGCGTACGCGGGAGCAGTGCGCTGTCGGGAGTGAGAAGCGTCGCGATGGCTAATTTGAAAGTCGGACAGCTTGTGCGCCCTGAATCCTGAGGCTTGAGGTCTGGCGAGGGCGTCTCAGCCGGGAGCTGCGATAGACAACGCGGGTTGGACGACGGGGCGGAAGGAACGCGGCGACCCGATTGAGGACGCGGGGAGATTGGGCGTGAACTGTGCATGCGTGATCAAAGGAAATATGCTGGGAGATTCGCTGCGCACTGTCGCAGAGAACGATGATTGCTGCAGGGCACCCACTATTGCTGCACAAGGCGAAGCGAATTCGGGATATGAGCGCGACTGTGACAGCGGTCAACAAGCATGTACGTACCCTAATAAGCTTCATATTGACTGCTTTCGAAATTCGACTTCAACCACCACCTCGTTGTCCCGGAGTTCTCGGACGAGACAGACTCAAGCTTGTCTTCAACAAAGCCCTTGAGGAGTATAACGAGGCAAAGGCCCTGGGCTTTACCACGCACCGTCATTCTCGGCCCTATCTCCTTCCTCATCCTCATCCTCGGCAAGGCCGCCAAGGAGGCGAAGCTGGGCTTCCAGCCCATCTCTCCCCTCCCTAAGCTGCTCCCCGTCTACACGTGTCTGCTCGCTGACTAACGCACAGAGTCTCACCTCTAAGCTGATGGAGGGCATGCTTATGGACCCCATCACCATCCTCAACTCGTACGATATCTCCCGTGAGCTTCAGTGCATGCACCTTGAGCTCGCGTTCCGCCACGAATCGACCTCGAGAAGACCGACATCAAGGCCATCAAGGACGCCATCCAGCTCGACAAGCCCGCGCTCCGCTGAATGTATACCTTCAGCGAGCTGTCGTCGTTGAAGCTGTTCACCACTGGTTGCAGATGCACTCACATTTCTGCTACTCCGACTGCACACGATATCTTTCCGTCAATCCAGGCACTCGAAGCGGATGTCATCTCGGTCGAGGCGTCGAAGAGCGACGCATATGATTTTGTGAGCATTGTTCAATGTGATTAGGTCTTGTAGCCGGCGCCCGCCAGTGGTTGTATTCTGTGTTTCGCGATCGAGATGTTAACCGTGGGCGTGGAGGCGGAAGATTATCCTCGTCGTCCGGGTCCGAATCTGACTCGGAGTCACTGTCAGGGTAAAATGGTTGCATTTAGAATAATGGAAGAAGGAGCTCAGGCCTCAGGCACGGGCGAGGACTAACAGATGCATTACTTACTTACGTGACGCGGCGTGGCCGTTCGAACTTCGAAATCGCATCGCAGCGGCATCTCTGGTATGGGTTTTTCGAAGCCCGATCGACAGCACACGCGAGCTAAGTGAGCTATGTATAGCGGATGTATAGCGTCTGAATTGAGACTAGCGGGTGCGGCTTGGGCGCGGCCTTCAATGCGCGGATGGGTACGTAGGTACGAGACAAACCAGGACAAACCGGGCTGTCGGAGGCTGTGCGGAGGCCGTGGGCCTTGCGACGGAATCGCATCTGGTTAAGATATTACTTACAAATGGATCCCCCCTTCTCCTCCTCCCCTTCTCCTCCTCCCCTTCTCCTCCTCCTCCCGCCGCGTCTCAAAATCTTGATCTCACCTTGATCTCACCACTGTACGCCGCTCACAAGAGCAGCTCGCAAGGGCTTTGGGCAGCTGCCACGCAAACGGAATACTCACAATCGCGCAGGTGGAACGGCTCTCAAGCACAAGCAGCCGTACCAGTGCCTGCCGAGCCGTCGGAGATGCAGGTAATGGAGGATATCGCTAGCCATGTCACCGTGTGTGGTGGAACTGAACCGCGTCCTGGTCGGGATAGTCTAGCGCAGAGGTAAGTTGAGAGCGTTCCTTTGTTCCTCATGCGCCATGCCGCTGAGCCACAGAGGGCCCTTACATATAGGAGCTCGAGCGACTGCGACTCTCTCTTGAGCGATCAGAGCGACAATTAGCGTGTAGCGAGGTACGACTTTCTCATAGCCTGAGATTAGACTGAGCGCTGAACGCTCTTAGTTGGTATGAGTGGCTGTTTTCTTCCGCTTTGATGGCAGGATTAATGAGCCGTAGAATATAGAAGGATGGAGAAACCAATTTGATAACGGCCGAAGGGCAATGGCTGGGCTGGAGGTAAGACCCATCGACCTACCATCGACAGGTGCCAATTGTGCTCAACACTTTGTAGCGGGTCTGTCGTGCCTCTCTTTGTCAACTTGAATCCTGAGACCTACTCACCCTTGCAAGGAGCTGGAGCGCTGGAAACAGGAGGCGGGACGCTCTCAGGTGGCCGCTACCCACCTGTGGGTCTGTGATCTTCTCCCTCATCCCTTCTCCGCCAATGTTGCGCCATATTAATGATGTTCATAGATGGTATTTCCTATGGTCGTTTGCCGGTTGGCTCTACGCTTGCTGATGAATGGCGTGCAGGAGAACGAACGGCTCGCTCTGGAAATCCACAGCCGCGATGCAGCCATGGTGGCATTGCATTCTGTGAGTCTCTCGGGCTGTCTGAAGCTACAAGCGTAGGGTTAATTCTCGCCGTTTAAGGATGTGGAGCAATTACGGCGCCAACTTAGAGAACAAGATGATGCAGTGGCCAACATGCATGCAGTCAGTTCAACCGAGTCAGATTTGAGCCTCGTGTATTTCTGATGCACATCCATGGCAGGGAGCCGACCGCTTGCAAGGACAACTCCAAAACTATGATGACACCATGAGGGAATTAAAGGCCTGTCACTCATCCCTCAAACCTCACTTCAGCGCTCACTTCCCTCCACAGATACGCTCTGACCAGATAGATCAAGCTATGTCTTGCCCAGTTTGCTTGGAGAGACTATGGAAGCCGTGGTTGTATGTACCAGTTTTCACGCCATTTTGCTTTTCTTACTGATCGCGATGCGCGTTCAAGTTTATCATGCGGGCACACCTGCTGCCTATCGTGCTTGAAGTCCATCTTTTCGCGGACCTTGGCGGAACACAAGCGACAATATCCAATGCTCAATAACGATCAAAGTGGAGGAAGTGATCAAAGAGCCGGCTCGGGAAGTACAGTGCACAATGCCGAGGCATCTGTTCAGTCCATCGTACCCAGCGGTGGTGCCTGCGGCCCACGATACATATGCCCGGAATGCCGGGCGGAAGTTCAGAGTGCACCCGTAGAAGTGCACCTGCTCAAGGACGTTGCCATGTTTGTCGCCATGCTACGGGGAGAGGATGTTTCTGATGCGGGAAGAGTTAGCACCGCAGCTGCAGAGGCCGGTTTCTGTGCACGCGGCGCCTTCGATGAGTTTTTCACTCAGCAGCCACGCGGCGCCTTCGATGAGTTTTTCACTCAGCAGCCTTAAAACCCACATGTCTACTTAGTAGCTCTCTGCACGCCCGCGATGCGTACGCCCCGCGGTCGACGTGCATCCTTGTGTCAATCAATTGGCAAGTCCCGCGTGATGCGCACGAAGGGACTCGCCTGCCCAGGACAACTTGTTGGTCTCAGATTGCGTGGGCGTGGTTCCTGCGGCTTCGGCAGTCTCTATTAATTGATCCAGGGTGACCCAGCCTTCCGTGGATCCTACAATCATCCAGTCAAATCCATCTCGATGCATGCGTCCGTGGTTGCCCGCCTCATCCGTTCAGGTCTACAGCAGTTCCTGAAACCCTTGTCCGCGTCGCGCCGCGCACGTGAAAAAATGAAATAAATCGAAAAAATCAGGAAAATGCTGGAAAATCGGAAAAAGGGCTGCACATCTCGTAGACACCGTAGAACATCTCCTGGGAGCCGAAAGGTGTGCGCCGCGCACCTGAACGGACTATCGAGGGTCGCCTTGTGTGAGATGAACGTCGTGCGATGCAGTGGCCACCCAAGACTGCGAAGTCACAACCTTTCCTGGATTGCACAACCCCTCCAGCAGCTTTTTGAAGGCTTGTTATGATTTAAAATAACATCTAACCTGAGTAGGCTGGCATTTCATGCAAGGGCAACACGAGATCTAGACAGTCCGAGATAGGGCCTAAGTCTCCAACTTCCTGAGGTCTGACCACCCGTCAAATGCCCAACTTTCTTCCTTTCAGATCATATCTATGTAGTAGCCTTATTTACAAGTGATCCCGGGCACACTCCGGGTGAAATCGAGTACCCATAGCTGCGTTCTGCGACGGATGCTCTCCGAGCTCCTCGGCGTTAGCGCCCGTCGTCGCCCGCCACGTCGACCATCGCACGACGTTCATCCCACGCAAGGCGACCCTCCAAGCCCGTTCAGGTGCGCGGCGCACACCCTTCGGCTCACAGGAGATTATTTACAGTATCTACGAGGTGTGCAGCCCTTTCTCCGATTTTCCAGCATTTTCCAGATTTTTTCCATTTTTCTTTTCATTTTTTTCACGGGCGCGGCGCGACGCGGACAAGGGTTTCAGAACTGCTGTATCCCGTTCACCGACTCTTCCATATGCGCATCCCGTCGCTTGGCTGCATGCCCGTTCACTCGCTCTCAGGCTCCCGCTCGCATACCCACCTGCGTGCTGGACGCGCCACCTACCACATGACTGTCTGCACGAACGACTGGACCCTCCTCGATCTCGTTAGCGTGCAGGACCCGAGAAGGATGACGGCAAGACCCTCCCCAGGAGATTGCGCCTCTCGACACCTCACTTTGGCACCGAGTCATGCATGCACTACGACATAACTATCTACGTACGGTACACCATGCGCCGGCTGGGCATCGCGGCGCGCACGACGACACAGGTCAAGATCGACTACGAGTCCATCCTCGACCTCGACTCACTCAGGGCCTGGCGCTCAAGTTAGCATCCGAGTCATGGGCTCCGATGACACGCGCATGATCCTCCCGCACCGTGGGATGCACGCCAGCACGCTCGCCATGGATCTCCAGCGCGGCTGGCTTGTTGGTGGCATCACCGCGCTCAGCGGCAAGGTCGACCTCACTACACGCTCTTTCTCTTCCTCCGGTCCCTTGCACGACGCGATCCCGTGGCAGTTCCCATGACTCGGCGAGAAGGGCAGCGCGATCGCAGGCCCCACAAACCAAAATCGACGCGCCCGAGCACGGACACGAGGGGTGGGAGTGTTGAGCGAAGGGAAGGCAGACAGACGAAAAATGAAAGGTGAGCTCTGTTGTGTGCCTACTGACGATTCTTGTTGCTGGTCACTGTGGTCGAGTAGGTGCCTCGACGAGCAATCAGGTCGTGGTACCTTTGCGCGCCCACAACTCTGCGCAATCCGCTCGAATGTCCGCGCGTCCGTCCGCGTGTTCGGCTTGCCTGCCCTCTCCTCCGCCCGTCCGCCCGCCTGCCTACACGCCCGCCGCTTGCCCGCCCACACGCCCCGAGTCGCACTCCCTCTCGCTTACGGCCCCTGTCGCATGCGTCTTCTCGCTCACGCTCTCGTGCACCTGCTCGGCCGGCCTGTCACCCACTCGCCCAAGCAATCGCCCACGCGATCGTCCATTCGTCTACGCGCTCACTGGCCTGCGGACCCACATACTTGCCCGTGGACCCACGGACCTGCTCTGCACCCGCCGTGCGGAGCCCGTACCCGCTATCGCGGGTCTGTACCCGAGGTGCCATCGCTACAGTACATTGCTACAACTCTTATGAACGTCTCTATGCTCACACAACGCTTCACGCCGCGGCGGGGTCAGGGTCGGGGTGCACACTGCCGAGGTCGAGCGAGTACGGCCGAGAGCGGATGACTGAACGGGCCGGCAATTGGGCGTATAAGTGAGTACCCACTCTGAATATGATATTGTATTCGTAGTTTGGGTGCTGTACAGTATTGAAGTCAACTTATACATCGAAGTCAACTTATACGCGTCACTGAGAAATCTACAAAAGCTGCTAGACCAGCCGTGAAGCTCAGAAACGAGGTAAATTAGGCACTCAAGCACATTTAGGCATGTTAGGCACGATGACGCTTTCCTAGCGAAACCGAGGTATGTCCATGCTTCTTCGTATTCATCTGTCTGACATGCTTCCTAGGTGTCTCCAGAGATGTCGCGTTTCTGTGCGATCTGCGAGAGGCTTTAGGTTATAGTGGCGAGAAGAACTGGCAACAACATGAGAACGGAAAAGAACACCAGAAAAAGCAAGGTTCCACAGGCAAGAACTTGAAGGTAAGGTCGATCACGTCGTTCTTCGCCGTTCGCCCGGCTGGACCAGTCGCAGGACTCGCGGCAGACGTGCCTGCTCCACTGCCGCTTCGTGCTGCAAGCTTGCAGCGACGTCCGAGGCTGTTCACGAAGATGCTGTTCGCAGCGATGATCATGCAATGCGTCATCATCATCGACAGTGACTCGGATGACGCTCCTATCCCCGAGCCTCTGTGTGCAGTCCTCAATGGCTTCCTGGGCTATGGGGCGACGGATGAGACAATCGCCGCCTTGATTCGTCGCGGTCCGCTTGGGATTGATGGCCTGTGTGGATGGCTCAAGTGGCCTGACATCCCGACCGATCGCACGGTGATTATGGTTCCATGGTCGTGCGCACGATCACTCACCTTGCGCCTTATCCACAGCAGCGTTCTGTAGCGGATGCTCTCCTCCTCGGCGTCAGCGCCCGTCGTTGGCCGCCACGGTCGACCATTGCAAGACCTTTGTCTCACGGAAAGCGGCCCCCTCGATAGCCCGGTGTGCCGCCTTTTTCCCGGTTTTCCCATGATTTCCTCGATTGATTTCAATTTTCTACGTGCGCGGCGCGACGCGGACAAGGGACTCAGGAATTGCTGTAGCGGTGACGATGAAACGCTGCTGGAAAGTCGACATAGCAATGGCGATGGGCTACGACGACAGTGACGGGAAGGCGTGGGGCAACGGGCAGGCAGTATGCACGAAAAGGTGAGTCTTATTGTTGGTTATAGCGCGGGGCTCATGACGGATAGCGAGCGCGAGTCGTCGGGCCTCAGTACGCGCTCGGTAATGAGAGCGAAGACCGAGGGTACAAGGGACTCGGAGGGTGCAAGGGCGCGAGACAACACCTCGTGCTCTCAGTCCGAATCTGGACTAGAACCAACAGCTGCAACTCTACGGTACCCTCCGCCATCGTACACTCATGCATGCCACTATCACGCGGTCGACTTCAGGCTCGTCTGCACCGTGTGTGGCTGACGAGAACTATGGCGGAATCATTCAATGCTTTAGTAAGGCTGGACTCAGAATTTTTCGCCTATACACCCCATATACCAGCAATAAGCTGAGCTGAGAAACATTTGAGATATAGCACGGTTTATATTGTGATGCCCGCCTAGTGTAACCTCAGAAGACATTGCAAAATAATGGAGCACGTAGTAGCGACAAACGCAGGACTCATTAGCAATGAATCTTACCCGATATTCTGTTTGTGTCGACTTACGTCACACTGCACGTATGCTGGATTTATGCTGATTGAGCTCGGGCTGTGTTCCTCGTAATGATCTCGTGGAATTCTGGGCCTCATACCGAGACCAGCATGACTCATCTTGGGATAGGTCCGAGAGGATTCCGCTTGCATCACCGTGGTCATACGTAGGTTAAACGCGGGACTCATTGGGAACATATCAAAACGCATCATGTTGATCACATGCGATGCTCACGAGGAGTATATTTTTCACGATGTTGGCATATGACATCTTATCACTGACTGGTCACATGCAGACTCCTACCGGGATGCGGCTCGCATCTCGCCGCTGATCTCAGTGGCCAATGCTTCCGGTGAGAGTTGACGTTGGTCGAAATGTCGCGGCCAAGGTGGTGGCGGTGGCGGTGGCGGCAGTGGCGGCAACAATCAACTGTGATCCATATAGACGCCCGTTCCCCAGACGCCCTTCCCCGCAAAATGAGCAAGGTCCGTGTGCTGCGGCGTCACGGTTGTGCCGCTCGCCACGACGATCGCAATCGTCTCTTTCCAGTCATACCAGCGGGGGGCCCGCTGATGCGTCTATGAGATGAGGACGAGCAGATCACCCGAACTTGAACTGGCTGTGTGATTTGAACCGTTGATGAGTCCGGATCGAGTTCCCCTGACGAGTTGTCTGGCCGGCCAAGCATCACTTCGGCTCCGTAAGATTGTTGAGTGGCATGGCACATTGGCAACATACTATAGTCACTCACCACAGCATGACAAGATGGATGACTGATTCCTAGTGACCGACAATGGGCGCTGCGCAGGGGAGTCTGTAACACGTACGGTCGGGCGTTGCGACGAAAGGAGGAAACATGCGGGATGGAATTAGTCTTGCGCCATCGTTCTCGACTCTCTACAGTGGGCGGTATGATACAGTCAGGCAGGAGACATAGTATCGGATGTAAGCGAGGAGGAACATGCGTGCTCTCTGTACGTACGTAGATGAGCCCCCATATTACCCCCATACGTGGTGATCATCGAATTTAATCGGTCTTACATTCACTGCGCCGAGACCGCGTCAGCTCGCATGAGGTTCCTGGTCGGCCAAAAAGTGTAGGAGCTCCGGAGACAATGAATGACCGTGATTCCATACGGTGATGTGCGGCTGTCCTAGGGAGGCTTCATCCTTCATGCATGGATGACAGAAACATCCCAAGGACTGCTCGCGGAAGGGCATCACTCGGCGTCGCTGGCCGCCGCGACACCTCCCCAGTCATGAACAGTTTATGGCCGTCAATCATCCGCGCGAGCTGAACGCATCCAGTCATTTGAACCACGTTTCGTGATTAATCCGCGGTGAAGGTTCAATGTCTGACCACGTACCTGAGAGTCACAGCGAGGTTCGGGCTCAGTCAACATGGATGTATTAGAACCGACTCCGGCGGAAGTTCAGACCGGTGTGTTGACGCTTCCTGAACCGCAAGCCTATTGTATGGTCGTGACCGGTGTCTTCCCCATCCTGGACATCTAGACCAAATCGCCGGCGTCCGCCTGCATGCGAGGAAATTTCTGGGAAAATGCAGGTACGTAACACCCCACCCTACAGGCTGGTCAGTCTCCATGGCCCACCGGAGGTTGGAATGAACCCGGAACTCCACAGCTCAAGAACGACTAAGCTTGTTTGACAGCAAGAACATTCCTACCTTCGCCGTCTTCTTCCTTCTCCAGCTCGAAGATCCGTACAGCTGTGTGTGAAGATAGTACCACCCAGACGGAGCCTTTGCACGGAGCGATCGCGCGCTGCGGCTCCACAGGCATGAGAGATCCCGGGTGTCCGTCCAGCATGACCAACGTGCAACGAAGCGTTCAATGTGGACTAGCAGCCCTCCCACGAGAATCCTATAGTTGAGACGAGTTTCGCCGCTGCCGCCGTGGGCATACACGACAGAACGGGATCAGAGCATACAGGTCCAGCCGCTACTAGTCGCTAGTCTGTAGACCCAGTCATAAGCCATGGAGATACCTTATTCTCTCCTTCCCGTCTACGTAACGTCCCGAACTTCTCGCTGGTCTCGGTCGCCATTCGAGAAGTCACCAGTGCGTGTTCCGCAATATATTGAAGAAGCTGGCGCCATGAGTTTCAGCCGAATGGTCCGAAAGAAAAGGGTATCGCAATACCGCTGTTCTGAGTAGCCGTCTGGACAGGCTCACGGTATATGGTCTTTTGCCGTTAATTCTCGCGCCAGTTGTTCCCACACGAGGCACATCTGATACGTCAGGCATGAGTCCTCTTATCTTCCAGCACATCCTGCTTCAATACGCACCGATAGACTAGACAGCCGGCGAGATCGCAATGCAAGAGTTTCGATAACCTGGATCAGAGGAAGGGTAGCGGAAGGGGGACGTACACGTTGTCATGGGCTCATCAGCGGACCTGATCTGAAGCTGATAGAAGTACGCCCTCCCAAAGTCGCACTTCGGGCAAGTCGCTGCGCGTGGTAGGGAGTGAGCGACGCGGGCGGAAACGGCGAAGAGCAGCGCAGCGGACGCCGCGGGATGGGGTACGTACCAGCGGTCGAGTCAGCGTGCTTCCACATCTCTTCGCCACCTAGAACATCGTCAACCACCTTGCGCTTCATCTTGGTGCGCGAGGTCATCTGTCACGAAGTACGGCAGCAAAAGTCAGCGTACAGAGTTCGCCGTCCCAGATGCCGCCAAGGTCACGGACTTGCTTAGTTATCGGGAACTCGTACGCACAGGTGTTGCATGCCCATTTGTTGTAGCCCGTCTCCGCCGATATAACAAGCAGATTCGCGCAATTTGGACAGAACAGCATTGTAAAGGTAATAAAGGCCAGGTGAAAGCTGGACGAGTCGCAGTACGGAATCGGCGCTAATCCAGATTTCGTTCAGATTTACTTCATTAGGCGCTCACGATCACGATCGAACGGCGGCTCGTACCGGCCCGGCCCTCATGCAGGAACTTGAAGGGAGCACAGATCTTGCTCCTCCCAGGACAGAGTTGAAGCCTCTGTTACTGTATTATCATCGCATTTCCTAATTACCCAACAGTCAGCGCGATCCTTCCAGCCATTAAATATATGGACTCATCAGGTCTGCTTGTCTATAAAAACGGCGCACTACATCATGGGCCGCCGTATTGACTTGTGCAGGGGCCACTCATGCATATGGCAGGCGTCAGTGACGTTTGTGCAGTCTCCCCAAACAGACGTAGACATTTCTTTCAACCTTCGTGCCTCAGGATATCCGGGTTCAGCCAACTCTCAGCGGCCCGGGGACGAATGTGAAACACTGTTTACACGCCGCACCGGAGTGCGGGATTCCTAATTTAGAAAGTCCCGAATGTCTCGCTGTGTCTCGCTTGGCTCCTCCCATCGTCCTCCTAACAAGTCTGTGGCACCGAATCGTCTCTACGTAACTCTAAGCGAGTCTACGTTCCTGAGTGTACCTGCTAGGGCGAGATAACCCTGACCGAATGTACCGTCCCATCACGCAACCGCAACCGTCGACAAATCCCCGGCGGCTGAAATCATGATTCAAACAAACATATCAAGTTTAGCGGCGGGCTGTGCTGCGGATACTAATCAATACTCCATGAGCTAGCAATCCCCCTTGCTGACCCCGGTCCCTTGTCTTCAACCACCATGAACAGGCTCTCCAGCGACATTTTCCATGTCGGGGGTTCGTTGCGGTGGAAGAGAGCAGCCGCACCACCACAGGTGCGAAGCGCCCTCTGGCGCACTTCGTGATATACATGCTGAACACAGCATGTCCTGACAGGGCGGTCTGCTGACGGGCGAAGATCCGAGTGTGTTCAGTACCGCCGATCCTCTCAAGACATGGATCATCCAACTAGGTGCGTGCATTGCAGCCAAATTGCAGCTCTTTCTGAGCGGTCGACGTGCAGGCGTCATCCTGCTGATGACCCAGCTTCTCGGTCTCATTTTGCGGAGAATTAGGCAACCCAAGGTCATTGCGGAGGTCATTGGAGGTATTCTATTGGGTGCGTGCATCAGACAGTTCGTGTTAATCTCTCCTCATCTCGAGCGATCCTGCAGGTCCGACCGCGTCTGGGCGCATCCCTGGCTTTACGCAACACATCTTCCCCTCAGTTGCCACTCCCTACCTCTCTCTCGTGGCCAACATCGGACTATGCCTCTTCCTCTTCCTCGTCGGTCTCGAGATCGAATGGTCTGTCGTCAGGCGCAACTACAAGAAAGCGCCTATTATCGCACTCGCAGGCATAACTCTCCCATTCGGCCTCGGCGCGGCACTGTCGAAGCCATTGTACCACCAGTTCATCAGCAGCTCCGTCAAGTACACACACTTCATGCTCTTCACGGGTGTCGCATACTCCATCACTGCGTTCCCCGTGCTCTGTCGTATTCTCACCGAGCTGAAGCTCCTCGACACTAACGTCGGTATCACTGTGCTCTCCGCGGGTGTGATTGATGACATCGTAGGATGGACGCTGCTTGCCCTCAGTGTGGCTCTCGTCAATGCTGGCTCAGGTCTCACATGCCTTTGGATTATGCTTATCACGATTGCATGGGGCATCGTCCTGTTCTTAGCCGTCAAGCCCGCTCTGCACTGGTTTGCGCGGCGTACGGGCTCAATAGAAAACGGCCCTACTGTCTTCTTCATGACCGTTACGATTCTGCTCATGTTTGGTTCGGCCTTCTTCACGGATATCATCGGTGTCAGTGATTTTCTCCTTGAATCTGTGCGCGGTCAATGACGTCTACTTAGGTCCAAGCTATCTTCGGAGCCTTCCTGGTAGGGATCATTGTTCCTCGTGAAGGCGGACTGTGTATTGCCTTGACGGAGAAGCTGGAAGACATGGTCCAGATCATTTTCTTGCCACTGGTTAGTTTCCACAGTAAATCGGACAGGGTTTGACACTTACCTGCCTCAAGTACTTCACACTTTCCGGCCTGAACACTAACCTCGGCTTGCTCAACGATGGTACGCCTTCCCTTAGCCTCCCCTCGAGCGACGTCACACTAACAACAATTCCCCCGTTATTCAGGAATCACCTGGGGATTTACAATTGCCATCATAAGCCTGTCTTTCACCGGCAAATTCACAGGTTGCACGTTGGCAGCAAGGGCCCTCGGGTTTCCCTGGCGCGAGGCCGGGACAGTCGGCTCCTTCATGAGTTGCAAGGGGTATGTCGCGCATCTCCTTCCACACGCTACACAGTACTCAGACTTGCCACGCAGACTCGTCGAGCTCATCGTGCTCAACGTCGGCCTCTCGGCGGGGATCCTCACTCAGAAGGTCTTCTCCATGTTCGTGCTGGAGGCGGTCGTCCTCACGTTTATGACCACGCCGCTCGTGAACAAGTTCTATCCGCCCTCCATGCGCGTGCGCATTGATCTCCACAACTCGCACACGGACATCAAGTCTTCGGAGTCGCGCTCGGTTGCAGACGAGAAGGCCTCCGAGGTCGAGAAACTAGGCGCGCCCTCGCTCGAGAAATGGAGCGAGGTCGAGGAGCGCAAGTCGCGATTCACGGTCGTCCTGGACCGGATCGAGCACCTCCCGGGCATGATGGTCCTCACGCAGCTTATCCAGCCCCCACCCGCAGTTACGGACGACAGTTCACCCAAGGAGAAGGCCGCTCAACGCTCGGACGTGTCCATCGACGCCCTCCGTCTGATCGAGCTCTCCGACCGGACGTCTGCGGTGATGCGCTCCTCGAACGTGCAGAATATGCTGCACAGGGACCCGTTGCTGAACATCTTCGGCACGTTCGGCCGGCTCAACCGCGTCGCCGTCTCGCCGTCCCTCGCGGTCGTCCCCTACGAGGACCTCTCCTCGAGCGTCGTCGAGCACGCGCAGAGCTCCGGCTCCCAGCTCGTCCTCGTCCCCTGGGTCCCCGCCCCGCCCGGCGCGCCAGACACGCCATCCGGCAGCGCGGAGGCATCGAACCCCTTCGAGGCGCTCTTCCGCGCGACGAGCTCCGGCTCTCCCCAGGTAGCCTCTACGCTCCACGCCAACTTCGTGCGCGGCATCTTCGCCCAGGCGCACACGGACGTCGCGCTGTTCATCGACCACCAGCACCCGAGCGAGTTCAGCCTGCCGACGTTCGACGGCCAGCACCACGTCTTCCTGCCGTTCTTCGGCGGCCCGGACGACAGGCTCGCGCTCAGCTTCGCGGTGCAGCTCTGCTCGCATCCTGGCGTCACCGCCACCGTGGTGCGGGTGACGCAGAGCGCGTTCGACGAGCTGGACAGGGTCGGCTCCCTGGACAAACAGAAGATGGCCCATCTGGGCGACGGATGGCCTAACGAGGCTACAATACATTCGGTACGTTCCCGCTCTTGCCATTCACTCTGACCATCTGTTCACGGCGAACCCTAGATTGCTTTGCCGGACACGGTGTATGACGCTCAAACGACCCAGACCCGCCTGCAATCCGAGACAGCGGACAACGTCGTCTGGAATCGCTACAGCTCCCGCCAACCCACTGACAGCCCACTGTCCGCCGCGCTGTCCCGCATCCAGTTCTCGGAGACCCGCACGCCGACCCCTCTCCACGCAGTGATTGAACAGGCGCACACACTCTCGGAGTCCGCGGCTGAGCGCCGCGCACAATTTATCGTTGTCGTTGGCCGATCGCGTCGCTTGGCTGTCGCGAACCACCATGAGGAGATCACACAGCTGATCGAGCAATATGGTGGAGGTTGCGGTGAGGTGAAGAAGACAGTCGGAGACGTGGCTGCGTCCTTCATGACCGCTCGCTGCAAGGCCGACATCGTTGTCCTCCAAACGGCCAAGGCTGGATAGATTTAGATGTGCTATATATGCTCTCCAGATCTACTGCATGATACCTATTTGTACCATATTGTGAAGTCGCTGTGCCGTTTGTACGTGCTACAGGAGACATCGATGTAACATACTATCCTGCATTGCTAGTGTATTGTACATCATCCGCTTCTAAAATCAAGAATATATGGAAAATTAAGCGAGGAAAAAGATACTGAGTGCGCGACCGATTCGGAGCGTTGGACTTGCGACGGTGGAGGCAGAGAGCGATGTCTCACGCGGTAGCCTGGAGGGTAATAACGTCAGCAGTGACTGGTGAGCGCTGAGCAGATGGGCAGAAACTCACTCGTCCTGAGGTCAACACACGCTGTACGCACACGACGTACGGACCAACGTTCGTCAAGCCACCATGGCGCCAAAACGCCAGCGAGATAATGCGCTGAAGCGTCGGTCTCGGACAACCATGGCAAGCTCTCCCATTGGCCCTGTGTGTGTCGCTCTTCGTCGAACCCTTATTGGTTCGACTGCATCGTCCTCTACACCAGACGCATTCGTATGAGACAGTGCAGAAGGAACAAGAGCGATACATACCTCATTCGAGAGGGCGACGCGGAGCGCCTCAAAGCCGACGCCTGTTCGCGACCCGGGGCGCCCTGTTCTGCCCCGCGCCTCCGGTCCGAGATGCGCGGGGCTCGGCGAGCGACTTGTTGATCGGGTTCGCGGTCAAGCCCATGGAGCCGAAGAGGATCTCGCCCTCCGACACGTCCACCAGGTTCGAGGAGCGCATCTTAATGAAGGAGAGCGACGACGCGTTAGACATGGACCAGTCAGGCGCGGGGAAGGCGCTCACGGGAGGGACAGGGTCGTAGGGCGTGCCCTGAACGCCGGGGACGGGGACATAGCTAGAGGCGGGGTAGAGCAGAGACGTCTTACGCATGGGCTTCGTAGGCGCAGGCGTGGGGGACTCGTCGCAGGGGAACTGGAGAGGGACGAGGCGGGTGGCGCGGCGGTTTGTGGTGTCCTGCAGCTTAGAGGTGCGCGTGTGCTGAGACTTCGCCATGGCCTTCTCGAGCTTGTCGCCGAGGCTCAAGAGACGCCTCGCTCCCTCGCTTTGGATCGGCATAGGGACTCTAGGTAGACGATGTGGCGCTCGCAAGCCTCCTCGCGCTTCTGGTTTTCTCCGCGCGGACTGGGCATGCTTGACGTCCTCCTGTGCGTCCTTGAGCTTCAGAGACATGACTTGCAGGTCACCTTGTAGGTGCGAGCTCGGCCTCGGCCGTGTCCTTCTGCTTCTCGATGGTAGCCGCGAGCTTGTGCTCTTTGACTTCGACTCGGAGACGGGCCTTCTCCGAACGCAAGAAGGTAAGCCTCTGTTTGAGCTGGCCGACGGCTTCGCTGTACTTCTGGTCCCATGCAGCTTCCACGGCCTTGGTCTTCTCAGCGGCCTCCTCGCGAACGGCTTTGAGTTCCTTGTGAGCGGAGAGTACCTCCGCGTCGCGCTGGGCGAGGGCGGCTTGAGCTCAAGTTCTCAGCCTCTAGTTCTTCTGCTTCCGACCCGACGTGCAAGAGACTTGAGAGAGCATCATACAGAGCGGCCTTTGGTCGACAAGTTTCTCGTTTTGGAGGTAAGCTGCCGACCTGAGACCCGCGGAGTGAAGCATAGTCTGAGATTCGCGAAGACGCTCCTCGTAGCCAAGAAGACATGGTCGTTGTTGGCCTCGCTCAACCGACTTCCAGTTCCTCGTTGCGGTCCTGCAGTTGATTGATCCCAGTCATAGCTAGTTCCAGAAGAGACTCGAGCTCGGCGACTTGAGCCTTATGGGCTTCGCCTGGATGTTGGCAGTAGCGAGCTTGTTGCTCAGAGAGTCGACCTGGCCATTCAGCTCGCGACCTCAAACTCGAGAGCGCGGGTCTCGTTCTCAGTCTCGTCAGCTTGCGCTGTGCATCGACGGACATCCCGAAGTACGTCTCCGCGAGATCCTTGTACTTGATGATCTTGCGTGCGGCGCTGCTGTCGGTCTTCATCCGGGCTTTGAGCGAGGTGTTCTCGTCGTCTCGGGCCCTCTTCTCACACTTGAAGACGCCGTCATCGACGAAGGTGACGCTCTGCGCCGCGGTGTCAGTATCCGCAACCCCATGCTACGAGACTGCTCACCTCTTGGCCTGCGGTAGATGACCGCTCGACTCCGGAGACCTCGGAAGGAACGTACGATAGCTTGGAGAGCCACAGGGCGGCGGCACGTCCACCCTGGGCAACAATAGGTAAAGTGTATGAAGGCATGGTAAGATAGATCTTCAGATATATGGGACGTGGTAGGTTATAGCCTGTGAGATGAGGGATGGGACGAACGTAGGTAGAGAATCCGGTGATGAAGTCGTCCGCTTTTAATGCTGGCATCGTACCTGTATTCTGGACGGTCAGCCCACGGTCAGCCTCAGAGGCTCGCAGCGGTCCAGGCAGCCCAACCCGGAGGGCAGTCAGGATTGTAATGCCAGCCGCCCAATTCAACTAGCAGTTCATTGTGACTTGCCCAATGTATGAGTATATGGAATGGCTCTGTGGTCATCGACATGATCCATTAGGAAGTAAGGCACGAGTAGTAAGCCTGAGTTCATGTAGTCAGTATCTCGAAGAACAGAGGCAGAGAGGTACCTGTTGTTCGCCCGCGGAGTGGGCGGTGGTTTCGAATACCCCATCATGAAAAGCACTCCTGCAAACAGTCGTCTTCTATGTTCACGCTTGACTTCAGTCGTGATTTTGCCTACCCAGGTCCAAGTCGCGACCGGTGCCTCTGAGCGTGCCAATATATGCCGATGCGGAGAGACGACCACGATGCAGCTGGAGTACAATGTAGTATATCAAGCAGTCAATCGCCTCCGGAGTCGACCGGCCTCCAAGCAACAATTGCCAGTAGTATATTTGCGAAGCAAGAACACGAGTTGACTGAGCGAAGGATGCCCTGGACGTCGGGAGCGCCCATACAGGGCAAGTACTGTGCTCGGCTGCACGCCGGTGGCAACGCTCCCTCACTCGCTCGTTCATCTCTACACCTATATGCACGGCACACCCGTTAATATCTAGGCACCATACCGGACCATAGGCGAGGACACTCGACTTCCATACAGCAGTCGAGGGACACCGCACACCAGCGGAAGACAAGCATGTTCGGCGTGCGAAGCCCTACAACAAGCAACTACGAGAGACTGGAGGGCGGCCATGGGGTGAACAGGACGGGGAGTGCCCTGCGCTTTGCAGGCTGGAAGAAGTTCGCGTTGGCTGCGGTGCTGATCGTCGGGCTCGTATACGTCTTCGGGCACCGCAAGGAGAACATCATCCCGCATGAGATACCGTGTAAGCTCGCCGGTTCCTGCTCCTCGAGCTCTCACTGAGCTGCGCGAATCCTGCAGCATATCTCCGACCAGATTGGTCTGGAGGGGACAAATCGCCACTGCCGCCAGTAGTGCCAGACCCTATCCCCGTCCCCGTACACGACGATGACATGATTCCCCAACCACCACCGGGGCCGCCGACGGGTCCGGAGAACGACCCTGACCTCTCAAAGACCATCCACTGTATTGCACCATACAAGCCGTCGCTGCCCCTCGTCCAGTATGCCCTCATGATCGACGCCGGGTCGACTGGCTCGCGCATCCACATCTACAAGTTCAATAACTGCGGCCCATCGCCGGTGTACGAGTACGAGGTCTTCCGCATGACACAGCCCGGTCTCTCGTCGTACTCCGGGAGACCACAGGAGGCGGCGCAAAGCCTGGACGTGCTCCTCGACGAGGCGGTGAAGATCATCCCCAAAGCCCTGCAGTCGTGCACGCCCGTCCAGGTTAAGGCGACAGCGGGGCTGCGGCTACTCGGGGCAGCTGAGAGCGCCGCCATCCTCGACGCCGTCAAGGCGCACCTGCACACCAGGTATCCCTTCAGCCTGAAGGACGACGACGGCGTCGTGATCATGGACGGCAAGGACGAGGGCGTCTACGCCTGGATCACCGCCAACTACCTGCTCAACACGATCCGCGGCGACTCGCCCGCGGGCACGCCCTCGTACGCCGTGCTCGACCTCGGCGGCGCGTCCACGCAGATCGTCTTCGAGCCCGTCTTCGGCAAGCCCGACAGCACGCTCGAGCCGGGCGAGCACAAGTACGACCTCGCCTTCGGCGGGAAGACGCGCGTGCTCTACCAGCACTCCTACCTCGGCTACGGCCTCATGCGCGCGCGCCAGAGCGTGCACCGCCTCGTCGAGTTCATGGGCTCGCTCCGCGGGACGGGCAGCGGCGCGAACGCGACCGTCGCGAACCCGTGCCTCGCGCGCGGCACGCGCAAGGCCGTCGACGTCGAGGATGCGCACGCGCCGGGCGGCGCGTTCGGCGTGACGATGCTCGGCGCGGACGTCGGCGGCTTCGCGGCGTGCAACCGCGTCGTCGAGCTCGTCATGGCGAAGGACGCGCTCTGCGAGGTCAAGCCGTGCGCGTTCGACGGCGTCTACCAGCCCTCGCTCATGGAGACGTTCCCCGCGGGCAAGGTCCTGCTCCTCTCCTACTTCTACGACCGCCTCCAGCCCTTCCTCGACGCGGACCCTGCGCTCGCGAAGGCCCCGCTCTCCGTGTCGACCTTCGCGACGCTCGCGCAGCAGGTCTGCCTGGGCAAGCCGAGCTGGACGCAGCGCTGGGGCGCGAATGCGGCGCTGATGGCGGAGCTCGAGGGCCGCCCAGAGTGGTGTCTCGACCTGACGTTCATGCACGCGCTCCTCCGACTGGGCTACGAGCTGGACGGCGGGCGCGAGGTGCAGGTCGGCAAGAAGATCGAGGGCACGGAGCTCGGCTGGTGCTTGGGCGCGACGCTCGCGCTGGTCGGCGGCGACATCAAGTGCAGGGTGTAGTGCCAGTGCCACCATGTCTTGCGTGTTGTAGCGGATATCATGGACAGGTCATGTATCATACGTGACACTAATAGCACGCTCTGTAGGTGATTCGTGCTCGTCGTCTATTTATCTTGGTTTTCGTGAAGCTTAGCTGGTGTTGTGCACTCCACTGGCGACTGTGTGTACTGACAGTGGCAGATTTGTGGTCTCCGTGGCATAGCGCCACGGCACAACCTGAGTTCCATTGTAGTAGACCACACGTACGCTGGCAAAAGTCTTACGCCGTCTCGCGTCAAATGCACAATTCGCTTCATCTCACACAACACGAACAAGAATACAGTTGTTCACTTGAGTGTATTGCAGGACAACATCTCTGGCCGCGCGCTACTAACTAGTCGCATCGACACATTACCGAAACTATGGGACGACGCAGGACGAAATTTCAGGGGAATATACGCAATGAGGGACATGGGGAGGGGGGTACGACGCTGCTCCTAGCAAGTGGGGTGGGGGAATGGTGGTGGGTACTAAGGGTACACGAAGCAGCGAAGGCCGCCAACAGGTGGAACGGCGGCAAGCAATTGGCTGTATGGTAGACAGTAATAGGAAGCGATGGGGAATGGGGAAGTGGATTGGGATGGGAAAGACGAGACGTATGAGTAGCGAGTAAACGAGACATATGAAGCATAATGTACGCGCAGACGTGGCAAGCGTCGTTGAGGATGGCATAGATGGTGGACATGCATGAGGATGACGATGACGATAGGGACCAGCACGACGACTGTTCACGAGGAACGGTAGGAATACAAGAGTACGTACGGCGTTCACGGGTTGACGAGAGGGACCTCATGGCCATGGCTCCGAAGGAGCGCCTCAAACATCGCCGCCCGCGCCTTGTACATCTCCTTTTCCGTTCGCTCCTGCTCGATGGCCAACTCAAGTTCGCGTTGGTACTCGAGCTTGCGCTTCCGACTACGCCGCGCCGCCAGGGTATTTTGCCGCCTCTTCGCCTCGATCGCATCCAGATCCTGCGGTGGGAGGTCTTCCGCACGGATCTCGTCGTCGTCGTCATCGCCGAACGCCTGAGAGCGTGCGCGCTTGCGCGCGAACACGGCGGGGACCTCCTTGCGCGATGTCGACGAAGGCGTTACGTACTTCCGACCTTGGATCGGCGCGTCCATGGGCACGAGCGACTCGGGAGTGATGTTCTTCCGAGTACCGGTCGGTCCATTCCGTCGACGAGACTGAGCAGATGTCGACGGCGACGCAGGTAGTGGAGGAACGCGGGGCGACGGGTGGAGGGATGCGGGATCGAGAGCGGGTGTTGTCGGTGACGGCATCGTGTACAAGCCGTCAAAGCTAGCGGTAGCTGGCAGCGGCATAGGTTTTTGCGGGGGCGCGTCAGCCTTCGGCGGGTCGTGTATGCTGCCCATCAGGCCCAACGAGCCACCGAAGAGCGACGGTCCGTCGAAGTTGTCGAAGTCATCTGCATCGGCGATGGCCGGACTGGTGAACATGTCCGCGCCAACGTCGGTGGATCCGACCACAGGAGTTGTGAGGAAGTCATCCCATGGGGACTCCATCGGCGACGTGAGGTAGTCTTGGAAGTCAGCCACCGACTGGAACTCGGGAGATGCTGAAGAAGCGCCGAGACCGGGCACTGTCAGCATGGTGGCAGGCGCGGCGTCGAAATTGTATTCACCTTGCAGCACCTCCATGAGCGCCTGAACGGCGACCCCGTCTTCGACACCGGCATCGCCATCGGGAACCGCGTCCGCGGCGGATTGTTGCCTATCCTCGGGCATTTTGTTCAGCATTGCCAAATAGTTGGAGCACAGAGAGGAGAAATCAGAGTCAATATTAGAGGTAGACGCTTGGGTAGACTCTGAAGGAGAGTTGGAAACTGTTGTCGACGAGTATCTTGTTGTACGAGGCACAGGGGGCAGAGACTGGGGGAGGCCATGGTGGGCGACTAAGTCCGAGGTCGAGTGGAAGACCGGGTGCGATGTCCGAGGACGATCAGGTGCGCTTATCGATCCATACTGGGATGGGGCGAAGCTTGGAAGATGACTTCCAAGGTTAGTGGGGGGGCGAGTGAATCCATACGAGCGAGTAGATGGTCCGGGTTGGTCGCGAGATGGCAACGCGCTTACAGGTAGAGGCGGAACATTCTGGCGACGGTAGAGTTGTTGGTTACGAGGGTACGGAAACAAGGCGGTAGTGGGTTGGGGGTCGGTGGGGGTGGGCGGCACCGGCGACAGTGACGACCGGCGGCTTTGTCTGGAAGGAGACGACGTGCGCCTTGTCAGTTGTGGGCTCTCATGACTGGAGTCTGCCATCTGAATGTCCGTCGACGACGCGATACGAGGGGACTGTGACTCGGATGGATGCGCGGACGCCACCCTCGGGGGAAATGATGCCCCGACTTGGGTGTGATAGTGGGACCAACTGGTGGACGCGCTCTGCGGTTCGCGCACGGAAACGTTCGGACCCGACGCGGATTCCTTATAGGAAAACGTTGCGAACATCCTCGCGTCGATGGATATGCAGTAGCAGTAGTGAAGCTCTGCAGCAGAGCACAAGAATGATGATTGACGATTACGCCGGACGGACGGAGGCAGACGGACTCGGGAGGACGGAAGGAGGACTCACAGTTCTCTGACTCGGACCTACCTCGAACAGACCTGTTCTGCTCGAGACGAACGGGGGTGGTGGTGGGAGGAGAGGGAGATGGAATGCGCACTGACTCGTCCTGCCTTTTTATCGCTCAAACTTCACCGCATTTCACACTCAGAGGCGCGCGTGTCCTCGTCCCCCGCCTGCGCGCTGCCGCCCGCCCCGTAATGGCAAGTCGCGCTTTCATTTTGGCTAACTATCCGGCACATTCGCCGCCTCTCGTCCAATCCCGACGCCTGCCCCCCTCGGATTCGGCCCAATCCTGCGGAATCTGCGGAGCGCGGGACGGGCGTCTGCGAGGGGCCGAGGACGAGTCACCGCTCAGGTCGCCAAATCAGGCACGATGATAAGATCGCATGCATCCGCTGCGTCGGCGTGGCCACATCCGTAGATACGCATCCCCCGCCCCAATCCGACTGCGCGACACGTAGCCTCGCGCAGACATCGTGCGCAGAGCACAGGCGGACACGTACGCCTGCAGCACGCGTGGCGTTGCGTGGCCGTCCACGTCTGCAGAACACGTTTCTCGTCGTGCGCGCCTCCGTGCACACTCGAGTCCCTGAGCACGCATCCTGGGCGGAGGGCAGCGCAGGGCACAGGGGGCACGGCTGGGACGATCGGCGCAATCACCATCGATGGGGGCAGCGGGAGACCGTCGGCGGGCCCCGGTCCGCCGCCGCGACGGCGTCCGGTGCGCGCCAGGTGGACTGCGGCGGTGCGCGCAATGTCAGGGACCGCATGCTCGCGGGGGGGCGCGCAGGGACGATAGCGGCGGGCACGCCTCTCCCAACCACACCGATCAGCCGAAGCCCGACGTCGGAGCGCCCTGCCCCAGATCTTCCACCTTCGCGGTGCTCTAATTGTGGGTGCGTGCGTCCACGCGGCTACCGCTACCCGACGTCCAATATTGTCCATGCCCCATCAGCCATACTCAGTCAGTCGTTTTGTCCAAAAGAATGCTCACCGAAGCGAGCCCGACGCGCATCCCCGCAAATGCATCAGACACTAGCGGTGGCCAGCGACGCGTAGCACCATGGGCGCATGCGGATGCGCTGCCCGGACGGCACTTACCCCAATGTCCATATTGCTGCTGGCTAAAGGTGCCTGCGCACCGCCTGCGGCGCGTCCACTGCCCGCGCACAGAGTTCCGAAGGGCCTGACGTGGGCTCATTGATCACCGCGAGGCACTTGCTGTGCCGAGCCGTCGCAGCAGAAGCTCCCCCGCAGACGCACACGGGACACTGCCCGCGGCCAGGCCAGTCGATCACTTACGCACGAGCATCTCAGTTTGACCCCTGCCATACCGCATCCACCGTGGACGCGTCAGTGCGCGGCTTGGTCACATCCCCCGCGCGTCGGAATGAATGCGGGCTCGCTGAGCTGGTCGCGTAGGCCTCGGAGGACCAATTCAGTGGCAGACGCTTCAACCCGAGAGGACGGTATGCGAAGCTATATGGGTGGGGTGAGACGAGGGAGCTTGTTGCTGACCGAGCGCACAGGTCCGACCGTCGCGGCTGCGAATGACAAATCCGACCAGTCCCAGCAAGTCCAGGGCAAAAGTTGTGCAAAATCACTTCCATTCAAGAAGGCAAGTACAGCAGCTTACCAATCAACCCCAGTCTCGAAGAAGGCTCTGCGAAATGGAACGGCGGCCCGCCAAATCGTGTCCCCGCCGCGATAGTGGCCTGCCAATGAGATGCGCGGAACGAACATCCCGCCAGACACTCGCCACGAAACCAGCAAAAAAGCCACAAAAACAGCCGAGCCAGCGGACGGACAGGCAGGACCCGCAGGAGTAGGCGACGAGCAGGGGGACTCGAGGGAAAGCGGGTGCGCCTCGCGTTTTGCGCCTTTTTATGCGCCCACTCGAGTCAGCGCAAAGTCAGCGTGTAAACCATGAGACCTTCCTTTTCGGGCCCAATCGATCGTTGACTCAATCGCCGCGTGGCTACCGGGCGGATCGGGATGTGGCGCGGCACCTGTAAAAGGCAATCTTCTGTGATGCACTGCGGGCGCCTTCCTGTGTTCGGCCACATCATCCGTGCAGCCCAGCCACGCACTGGCCGTGCCGAATAAATCACCACCGGGACCGAGAATAGCGGAGAGACAATGCGACGGAAACGAGGTGGACCAGTGATGACCGGTGGGAACCAACATGTTACACCACAGAACAGATGGAAAGAGTCTCGGAGCCGCAGGGTCCGAACGACCCCGCCAATAAATGAGAGCACACCCAGAGTCATCCCGAATACTAACTAACTACCCAAAGCCGACGCCTCTGATCAAGCGTCCGGCCCACCACCAGGCAAGCTCCCCCCATTCGCCCTCACCTGGCTCGGCAGCACAGGCACAGGCGGCGCGTCGGGCGCGCTGAAGAACCCCGCCGCCGTGATGCCCGTCGCCTCCACGCCCGCGCCCGTCCCCCGCTTCGCCGCGCCGCGCCCGACCGAGATGCTCCCCTTCTGGCGCGCCGTCCCGCGCTCGATGCTGATCGTCGAGCGCGCCCGGTGCACCGTCCCGTACGGCGTGAAGCTCGACGGCGCGCCGCTCCGCCCGCCCGCGAGCGACGCGAACGCCGACCGCCCGCCCGGCGACGGCGGCGGCGCCTTCGCGGGCGTGCGCGGCTTGTACGGGAGCGGAGGGGGAGGCGCGGGCCGCCCGGGCTTGTGTGTGCCGTCGGGGCTGCTGCTGCCGCTGGGCCCGAGGGGCATGACGAGCATCGCGTCGTCGATGTCCTCGTCGTCGTCGTGCGCGCGTCTGTCCCGCATCGAACCGCTCGACGAGGCGGGCGACGCCGGGCGGGGCCCGAACTCCCGCTGGGGGATCGCCTCGCTCCTGTCGGGGACCTCGTCAAACACCTCATAGTAGCGCTGTATACAGAGCTTGACGACCGCGCCGAGGGTCGTCTTTCCCATGGCACTAGACGTAGGTGATGCAGAGAAGGGTGCGGGCCCTGAGGGAATGGAGCACATCATGACGTCGCGCAGCGGGCTCGTTCCCGAGACGAGGTTCGGCGTGATGACCACGGCGAGGTTGTTTGCGTCCATGCGATTCGTCGCGGAGCGCAGCGAGACCTCGTGCATGAGCTCTGCCATCTCACAGTCAAACGCCGGTCAGATGACTACGCGTGTGAAACGACTCACGGAGGATATTCGCGAGCAAAATGTACGAGCAGTGCGGCAGCTCGGGCATGAGCGTTTCGCGGATGTACATGATGGAGGATATGTCGGAAGGGTCGTCGCTTGGCTGCGGACACCGTGAGATCAGGGAATAGAGGTGTTCAGGGAAGAGCGGTGTGGGTAGGTCCCGTAAATTTCTTGAGCAGCACTGCGGCGAGGTGAGGATCGCCGAATGTGTCCAGCGAAACGACGTTTCCTATACGATTGCTGGTCAGCGAGATCACAAGGGAACACATTTCTGAGACTACCTCTGTCATATGCTTGCTGGGCTTGCCTGAGCATGACCGAGTTCGGTGACCGTCGGAAGAGTCCTTCGTCCTGCAAACCTGAGGTACCTGGTTAGAATGTATGGACCCGTCGGACTAGAGGTCTATACCTGTTAACCGCAGGTACTGTATGCAGTCCTTCACGACCCGCGGCAAGCCACCCTTCTCTCCGTCATAGCCCATTAGTTCCTCGAGCGGAACTCCAAAGAGGTCCGCTCGTGTGGGCGTGGGCAGAGTAATTTGCTTCTCGTGTTTGAGGTTCTCCCTGACGAAGGCCCGGGCCGTAGTTAGCTAAAGAAGAGGATCAGAGTCACAGGCTTACTGGTATACGGCTGGCGGGATATCTATCTGTGTGAGGGGTATATGACATGCAAGCTCCGATAGTGTGGTGATATAAGTTATCTTGCGGAAGAACTTGGGACTACAGGTGTGTAAGGCGTAAGCTCCCGACACTGAATAATGACGGGTCCCAAACCCTACCTAATGATGGTACCAGCCAGGGAGAAGAGCACTAAAATGACAGCTCAACTCAGCAAGCAGGACACGACAGAGGTCGACTTACTCTTCGTGAAGAATGTGGAGTGTACAATGAACTGACTCGCTCGTGTGAGGAGAGACGATAGAACGTTGAAACTGTCATGTACTCACTAGTTTCTTCAGATTCTTACGGTACTTCCTGCTGAGACTCCGATACGCCTTCCATACCCAGTTCCAGCCGGGCGTATGTCGTCCGCCAGCGGCAAAGAACACCACTGTGTAGTCAGACTCGACTGCGGATAGTCAGGATACCGCATGCATGTGATCATGAAAGACATCACTGACCGTAAAGGTCCAGGTACGATAGCATCCGACTGCTGCCATTTCAGTATGTGACGCCGCGCAAATGGACAGCAAACTCACACTAGCAGCTCATCGTAATTGATCTCTCGTGGGTCCGGCAACCCTGAAGCGTTCATGACCACTCTGAAAATACGTCTCCTCAATGACATCACGCGCGAGTAACGGCATCCCGGACGTACATTGGTCTTGTTCTACGCAACCGAGGTACAAAAAGGCTCAATACACACAACTCATACAACGAAGAATAGCACTGACTCGTAGTCCACCCCTGCCTGGAAGATGACACGGCTCATCACGCTCTCCAAACCATCATGTCCCTGCCTCATAGTGTCTCCATCCATAGTCCGAGTTCGAGAGGGTGCGCCAAAGAAGTTCTTCCTTCTCCAGCCAGGCGATGAAGGAGGGGAGTCCATGCGTATCCCGGGCATGTTTGCGGAAAGCGCAGCCAGTCGCTGTTTGAGCGACATGGGATTCGAAGCCATCCTGGGCCGCCTTGGTAGAGTCCGGCTGACTCGCGTCCAGAGCACTCAGCGCAAAGTCAGTGTAAGCCGGGACAGCAAGTCGTTCAGCAGTGCGCGCAGAGAGGGAAAGGCGAGGCCGAGATGTGGCGAGTGGGATGTAGCCTGGCAGAGCGAGGGCGCGCTGCAGGTGGCGGGAGAACAGCGCGTATGGGCGCTCGGCGTGCGCTCGGGCGCCTCCCCGAGGCGATCCTCGTCCAAACCGGTCATGCATCATGCAATCAACAGCTCCTGCCACTGTGACTTGTCTAGCAGCCTTGCTCTGTTCTGCGCAGTCCCATCACGATCCTTCTCAATCTCGCTCGTCTGCGCATCTGTCTTCCGCTTATTCGACATGACTGCGGCCTGCCGTTTATCATGTGCCTGTGTGAGAAGATATCTGCAGCCTGAGGCAACAGCGACGTGCGCAGGCAGGCGCAAGCCAAATATAACTCGTCCCGCGGTCGACGTCGTCTCCACCGAGCCTACCCCGACCCCGCACAGTATTCAGCCTCAACCCCTTTCTCTCTGACCACCACTAGCTGAGCTCTGCCCCAGGATGGGTGTCATCACTGTGGGCAATCTCCTGCTCTCGTTTGGTGCGGCCGCGTTGGGCTACGGGCTCTACAAGCTTGTCGAGCTCTTGCTTGCACCCCTCTTCTCTCCTTTGCGCGACTTGCCCGGGCCATCGAGCCCCAGCTTCATCTTCGGCCACCTGAAGCAGATATTCGACGCAGAGAACTCTGTGTTGCACGAGTCCTGGACAGAGAAGTATGGCAACACATTGAAGTACAAGACTTGGTTGAATGTGAGCGACCGGGCGGTGTATCCGCGTGGGTAACGCATGAGCATATTGAAGCGATGTCCAGCAAGACAGGTTGTACACGCTCGATACGAGAGCGCTGAACCATATCCTCAGTCATTCTAACGACTACGAGAAGCCATCACTTGCGAGGTTCAACCTCGGCAAGGTCTTGGGCGAAGGTATGTCGACCTGTTTCAGCCTCAAACGCCGGATGCTTCACATATCATGTGTCACTAGGCATTTTGGTCGTAGAGGGTGAGAACAGAGCAGTCATATCTTGAGAAACATACTAAGTGTCCAAATAGGCGAGCAGCATCGCCAACAGGTATATATCCTGCTCTCGTGCACGGCATGATATGGCTGACACTATGCACCAGAGAAGAATCATGGCAAGGCTTATTGATCTTGGTCATGCAGTTCATACCGCTCACGGCACTCCGTAGAACCCCGCATTTGGTCCTACACAAATCAGAGAGCTGACAGAGATATTCGTCGAGAAAGCCCTCCAGGTACATCCATATTTTTGCCATCAAAGACTTTGCGCTCACTCAATGGCGGTATACTCCCAGCTGCGCGATTTCTGGGACGCAGAGATCTCCAAAATCGGCGAGCCCGCCAGGCTCAACATCCTCAATGGCCTCAGCAAGATGGCGCTTGACGTAATCGGTCTTGCTGGTTTGTGTCTCTGTATGCCCCCGCACGATACGTGCTCAGGGTGCATATTCCATGTCACAGGCTTCAACTACACATTCGACTCACTGAACACCGAAGGCAAGTCGAATGAGCTCCACAAGGCGTTCGAGACCATGTTCCGCTCCCTCGCGGGCTTCTCGCTCTTTCCCCTGCTTAAGGCGTACATCCCGCCCCTCCGCATTATTGTACGTCACTCCAATGCCCGGCTGATTCTGTCTTACCTGCAATGCTAACACGCTTGCCCTTCTCGACAGCCCGACGCCCGCTCGCAACAGATCGCCCTTGCGCAGAAGGTCATGCGCCGTATCGGCCTACAGCTCGTTGCGGAGAAGAAGGCGGAGATCATGAAAGCAGTCAGCGCGGGCGAGAAAGGCGACGACATGCTGCATAGCCGGGACTTGCTCACGCTCCTCATCAAGGCGAACATGGCCACCGACATTCCGGAGAGTCAGCGCTTGTCGGACGAGGACGTTCTGGCTCGTGAGCAGCACTCGTCCATCTGCCTAACCTTTTCTGACTTTGTGTAGAGGTGCCGACGTGAGTGCGAGGTTGATTGCTGGGTCGTGGTATCCAAATTAAAGCTGACCTCCTCAGATTCCTGGTCGCCGGCCACGAAACGACCTCCAACGCGACCGCCTGGTGTCTCTTCGCGCTCACCCAAGCCCCTACCGTCCAGCAGAGGCTGCGCGAGGAGCTCCTCACCGTGTCCACCGACAACCCGACGATGGACGAGCTCAGCGCGCTGCCGTACCTCGACGCGGTCGTGCGCGAGACGATGCGCGTGCACGCGCCCGTGCCGAATACGATCCGCGTTGCTGTCAGGGATGATGTGATCCCGCTCGGCGAGCCATACGTCGACGTGCGCGGCCAGGTGCACGACGCTGTACGCGTGAGGAAGGGCACCCCGATCTTCATCCCGATCCTGGCGCTCAACCGGTCGAAGGCGCTCTGGGGCGAGGATGCGTTTGAGTTTAGGTGTGTGCAGACATGCTGCGGGTGGGTATGGGGGCCCGTGCTGATGGTTGTGGATGCGCTTTGTAGGCCGGAACGGTGGGAGAACGTGCCGGAGGCCGTACAGACTATCCCGGGCGTGTGGGGCAACCAGATGAGCTTCCTCGGCGGGCCTCGGTCCTGCATCGGATACCGCTTCTCCTTGGTAGAGTCAGTCGCACTCTGTTTCTGGCTCCATGCTGTTGACTGACGTGCTCGATCCACGCGAGTGTAGGATGAAAGCCCTCATCTTCACTCTCGTCCGCGCGTTTGAGTTCGAGCTCGCGGTGCCCGCGAGCGAGATCGTCAAGAAGGCGACCGTGGTGCAGCGTCCGCTAGTCAAGAGCGAGACGGAGAAGGGTTACCAGATGCCGCTGTTGTTGAAGCGGTATCAGAGGGTATGATAGTTTCGCAATCAACCTGTGTATCATTCGTCGTGTATCAGTCGGACAGAATCCTGTAACCCATGTCTACTTCGCTGACGAACAAAGCACGGGCCCTGTTCGACTTGCCACTTGATATTGTTCCTTATTTGATCAACCAGAAACCCATGAAACTCGGGTATGCGGTGTGCTATATAGGTAAAGGACCCATTAATATCGTGACTACACCAAATATGACCCTCAGTGCAAATTCTATGTACCTCGATTCAAGCTCTGTTTCTAATACTCGTGGTTGAAAACACCCCATCGAGTCCATTGACAGTCGATTCTTCTCTGCATAAACGGGTTTACTACTAGTGGTATCTGTGAGTATCTGTCAGCGAATGCGTTACTGACACAGAATTGCTACTGTACGGACATTGCAGGGGGGTCAGACCGCGCCGATATTGCCACTAGCAATGAGTCTGCGCGCTCGTGCTCGCTCTTGCGTCCGCACGCGACATATGGGCGGGAAAAGAACCATGACACGCTCCCAAAGTGGGATAAATCTTTCCATTTCCACCGCCTCCATCTCTTCAGGATCCGCAACGTATACGCCATTCGTACCGAGTTTGAACCGGACATCTTCAGGAAGGAAATATGATAGCATCATAGCTACCCGCTCGGGATCGTCAATCGTGGACCACGCCAGGTCCAAGACTGCTAAGTTCGGTAGAGTATGTAAACTCCCGTCGTCATGCCACTCGTCTTGGTTGGGAAGTAGCTCGGTGTACTGGGAAGGTTCCTGTGCATCAAGCAACACACCGAGATGGTTAATTCTGCCGTAATTTTTGGCGAAAGCGTATACGCTTCGCAGCGTGGCGTAGGACGAGGATCTTCTCCAGCCCGATACCCTCACCGAAGTGTTGACGTCCAGATACTCCAAATCGGGCCACGCGGTCGCCGCATCAATGAGGACTCCATCGTCGTATTCTGTAGACCAGGGTATGGCCGCAATCTCGAGACGACGCAAATTGCGAAAGATGAGTAAGTGACGAAGGTGAGACGACGATATCGCGATGTTAGGGCATGTGACCAGGTCCCCGTCGTCGCGACAATCCAGCAAATAGAGTGCGGAGAGGCTCTCCGAGGCACATTGTGAGGCAATGAGGGCAAATAGTGGCTGGGAGAGTCTCGATTGTCCTGTCGTTTCCAACTCCACCTCGAGAGTTTCGATCACGGGAAGCATGATCGAAGCGAGTTGAGGGTAGCATCGCACATCGCACGAGCGCACCTCTAAGTGCTTGAGAGATGGGAATGTCGAGGCGGGAGTGTGGAGACATGTTCGCGTGATTTGAGAGATATTTGAGCCAGACTCGACGTCCCCACTGGATGAAAATCGGATGACCATCGTCTCCAACGACGGTAGGGATGACAGTTTTGCGACATCTTGAACTACGAGTTCAATATCTGGGCATTTGATACACTTGAGGTTACGGTAGCTCGCGAGATACGACGACAGTAATGACGTCGACTCAGCGGACTGACCCCTCCAAGCGGAGCTGACTGCGATGGATTCCAAGAGAGGGCAAGTGCTGCGGAGAGCAGCTAGAACAGATTTGAAAGTCGCCAGGGAGGCCTGGTCGTCGGGGTTGTCAGAGGAAGGGATACTGAAGCTGATGTACCTGAGCTCTGGACCAACAAGGAGATGTAGGAATAGGGACATGTTGGGATAATGGTTCAGCGAGTCAGCGAAGACTGGCGACTCGTGATCGGAGGGCCATTCGATACTTTGTAAACGGGGGACGATAATGGCGCGGCGACAAACGGAGAGCATTTGATAAGTTGCCAACGAGATCTTGTCAGCACGGTATCGATGCCTGATATGTTCTCCGCGGATTATATGTCTGACCAGACATGCATAGTTATCGAAGACGAGCCAGTCATCAGGCTCGACAAGAGCTCTCGTCAAATTCTGCGAAATAACATATTTCAGAGAGAACACAATAGGTTGACACATGATGGTAACTCACGATGGTGCGTCGCGGCAAAAGCCACCGATGTTCGTCAGCCGGTCTGTCTATGATCTCCCATGCATCAGACGGAAAGAGCCTAATGAGAGGCCCAATGTTGGAAAGTCTCTTCCACAACACGCCGATGGCTGGTCTACGTAGCGATCGGCATGTCCTTGCTAGCTTTGCCAAGCTGCTGCTATTGCGTTCCAGATGTGTCAAGACTAGGAGCAGAACCTCATCCACACGGAACGCGCGATGCATATGTGGATGAGGACGAGTCGAGGCTACACCGCCAGTTCTGAGCCAGACCGTAATAGTTCAGGGCGACTTCAACGTTTCAATTGTTGAACGGGTTACGGCTAAGTAAGTTAGCTGCGTATTGTCTCCACCACAAACGAATTGAGTCCAGGTAAGTACTGTATCGGGCCGGGATCTCGGCCGGACATGGTACTCGGTCAGTCGACGACCGTGGGCTCATTCCAAAAGTTAATCACAAGAAAACATATCAGCAGGTAGAGGAGGATTGTGAGAGTCGACTGGTGTGCGTAATTTGTCGTAAGACTGGGAACTGAGTACTGAGCCTACGGCGCTCGACTGACCGAGTACCATGTCCGGCCGAGATCCCGGCCCGATACAGTCAGTAACTTACTAAGAAGTACTTACTTACGCCAGCTTGAAAAAAGGTTTGTTTCAGCAGACACACGTATACCTACTCGTTCTTTTGACGTATGCACACGCAAACTTGAGTGGAAGCTATACTACTCACTGCTACAATACTAGAGTCATGTCTACATAGGGCTCGGCCCTCGCGGACATAAGGGGAATAAATATATACAAAAAGGTCGCAGCGCGCACGCAGTGTGGTCGAGGAAGGCTAGCAGATTTAATGCGTTGTCTTGAGCGGCGACAGTATTGAGGAGCATGTCAACTACTGGACTTGTTCAGCAACAACGAAACCCCAACATCAGTGGGGCAAGCGAGTAGAATACGGTCGAACGCACCGTTTTGAATAACTGTGTACAATCTAGATCGCGTTGGACTCACCCGCCGCAATAAGTGCCCGTTTGCATTCTTCTTCCCGCACTCTGTGGAGGACTGGTAGAAGGCTACTGACAGTGTCCCAAAGCGAACCAGATGGCGCATCTGACTCCGACCGATCGCCCCGAGGTTCGATCGGGATGTGATGGTCATGGATGGCGGAAAGGTCTGGAAAATAACGGCAGCGACTTCCCATGGGTCTGCGATTGGCGACCAAGATACATCAAGTACATGAATATCAGTCAAGCATGTAACCTCTCCGTAGCAGTATAATGGGCGTCCCTGCTAAGTGGCTGGTCCGCGTCGAGCGAGATGGGTGAGATGTCGGCAATGCTGGCCAAGAGCTATGACACCGTGCAATGTAGCGAGGCAAGATGCTTTTCTCCAGCCTTCTTGGTCCACCGAAGTATTCAGGTACAAATAACGCAGCATGGGCCACGCAGACGCCATATCGATGAGGACATCGTCGTTGTACTCCGTGAGCCAGGTCGGAGCATTGATGTCGAGAGAACGTAGATTGGAAAAGACGAAGAGATGGCGAAGGTTCCGCGGCGATATGGCGATGTTTCGGGAGGTCCGCCAGTTCGTGCCGGTATAGGAATCGCGAATGACGATGTCGGTCAACGTATTGGGAGAACATTTTGAGGCGATGCTGGCGAACAAAGGTTGCACGAGGCCCGGTTGCGACTCCACGTCTGTGTGAAGCCCCAGTTTCTCGACCATGGGGAAACCGACCGGAGCAGAAGCAAGCCGTGCGTAGCATTGCATTTGACACCGATGGATAGACAGGCTCTTCAAGGAGGCGAAGATCCGAACAGGAGGCGAGCTCTGTGTACTCTCCAAAGCACTCGGGTCTGTGTCGCTGTCGGACATGGAGATTGACAATGTCTCCAACCTCGGGAGTAGCGACAGTTGTAGGACGTCGCGCACAGTGAAATGGACGTCCAAACAGCTGATCACCTTGATATGCCGGAACATTGCGAGGTGCAAGGATAATTGTGCAGGTAGCCGATGAGGCGATGTTCGTGAAATGGACTGGGAATTGCCGATCCAGACCGTGATGGATCCCAAACCTGGGCATGTAGATCGGAGTGCCTCTAGGATGAATTGGAGATTTTCCTCGCCGATGTACGCCACGGTCAATGTAACATGCCTAAGCTGCGGACCGAGAAGAAGACGGAGATACGGGAAAGTCGCAACACGGTTCCTGATTGGGAAGGAAGGCCACTCGACGATCTGCAAGAATGGTAGCAAGCTGGTGCGGCGACAGCTGGCGAGCAATTGCCATGTTGCGAGTGATATATGCTCGAGTTCGTACCGAAGCAAAATTGGCTCTTCCGACTCGACCGTGTAACCAAGATACCTGACCAAGGATGCGTACTTCTCGAAAGCTAGCCAGTCTTGGGGGGCGGTCGGTGCTCTTGTCAAATTCTGAGAAGATCGCCGTCATTTCAGACACATAAGTAAGCGTATCTATTCTACGACTCACGATAATATATACCCGGGGCGGCTGATTCATTTGACTTCCATGCTCCTTTATCGTCTCCCATGCATCGGCTGGAAGAAGCTTGATTAATGGGACAAGGTTGGATAGTCTGTTCCACAGGATACAGACGGCAGGCCCATGGAGCGACCAACAAGTCCTTGCGGCAGCAGCCAGAGTATGCGAATCCACCTTCAGATTGCCCAGAATCAACAGGAGGATTTCCTCCACTAAGATCCCGGGGGACATTGGAAGCGGTATGTAGAAGCGGGTGCCCGGGGATTGCAACGATGTCGATGAGGAAGGAAGAGGTTAATCTGTGGCAGTTCCGTTTAGCATCCGCCGCTTCCGTCCAGATAAGGCAAGCATTGTCGTTCGTGCTCCCCCCATCGAAAGGTCATGTTTATGGTCTGCGTATGGAAGACTAGGTTCGTGCACCCACCTGTGTAGAAACCAGCAGACTACTCCGCGTTGTACGGAGGGTCGGCACTGGACTGTGCACGACGTACACGCCAACTTTCGCTATGTCCAGGTGTGATAGTAGTGACTGATGGTGTTCTTGGCTCCCCTCGAGTCTACAACGGAACGGTACTCAACGGCGGGGGCTAATGAGGCACTAGAGAATATACAAGTTTGACGATACTGCGATACTACGATCTTGCACCACTCCCCTATAGCGCTCGTAGCTTATCAAGAAGAATGGCCCATTCCACGACGGTGACCCCACGTTTCAGCGCGTATTCCTTCACCTCCCGATTCCGCGTGTCCTCGGTCAGGCGCGCAATTGCTCTCAGGTGCTCCATGCGTTGCATGCCAAGCTCGGAAAGTATCGGTGCAATGTGCAACAGGGACGGCTCACACGAGGCGAGGATGAGCTCGACGGGAGAGGTTGATGTCGCCTTTGTTCCATCCGTAGGTGGCGCCATCGTGGTCATGGACCCTGGCATCTGATGGTTCAGGGACGAGGATTGATGATGAGAGGGTTTCGGTACGTGAGGACCCGGCGAGCTGACAGTACTACCGCTATGCGGTGGGGTTTGCGGGTACGTCATCACAAACTAGGTTGATATCGGTGAGCAGCGACAGTTCCAGAGAGCAGTATGTACATACTTCACTCCGATCTAAAGATGACCGTCCGTGAGTATGTTTCTTAGTCGGAGACGTTGGCGATGTTGGGCTGTTAGGCATGGCCTCAGGGTTGAACGGCCGTGGATCCATTCCCATGGTCGCGAATGGAATAGTGGAGATGCTCTCGGAACGCGAAAGCACCGGCATGAGATATCCATCCTTCGGGTTGGGGCGATAGGCCACCATGTACTGCAGCAGATGGTGAGTGACGGCGTTGAATGCTCAGCAGGACGCCCACCTCGCTACGCTCGTACGTTGCTTTGGCCGTCTTATGCATGTGTGGCTCTCCTACGTGAGCGCCCTTCGTGCTTCCGTTTCCTGTCGGCCCATCGCTTACGACCCGCCTTAGAGATTGAGACGGGGCATCCTGCGGTAGACGTGACTATTGGCGACGCTATGCTCGTCGTCCCCCACGGCTGTCCCCGCGACTGCTTTCCGCGACCCGCTCGCGCCACAGGGAGATAGTGCGCTCAGGCCCGTCGTGCACGACTTTCTCTTCGAAACCTCGAGTTTGCCCTTGCGCCCGCTCACCCGCCTCGTATTCTGCGGCATGTCCGCACCACCCAGGCTCTTCCTGCCTCCTCGCCCGCCCGCCTCGACCCCGCCTCGCTCCCGTTTCGATATATGTACCCATTGGAACGGGCGCTAGGCAGCGGCGGCGCCGGTTTTCTCTCCGAAATCTCTTGCCGGTGAAACTCGTCCTCGTTGCTCATCTTGCGCTCGATCTCATTGACATAGTTCTGGTAGCCACTGATAGACTCCTCGTATTCGAGCTCGCGGTAGGGGACGTTCCATTCCGTGGGCACCTCCGTCGTGATCGCGTCGAAGTTATCGTCCAGCGCTATGCTCGTCGGCGGGCGGGTCGGCCGCCGTGTAGAACGCGGCAGCGCATTGTAGTTACGGCCCTGGTGCAGGCTGAACTCTGCGTCTTTGCACGGTACGAGAGGGGCGAACGAATGATATGATGCGGTCATGTTTAGAATGAGGAAGATGCGCGGATGAATTGACCACACACTTACCGCTCGCCTCGTCCTTCATATACATGAGTCTCGCCGAAGAACCGCTCCGAAACGCAGCAGGATGAGAACTGGGGAGGACGTATCGATGGGTCATACGGTGGCTGAAGGACCATATCAAGTCGCAACACGCGTTTGCAGCGTGTTACGGCACGTGCAGGGCTCTTCGCGATCACACCCTCACCAGATTCTGTTCGGGGCACTCGTCCGCCTCTTCCGACAAACGATTATAGGAGATATCAGTAGACTGTTTGACCGACGCGGGGTCGCGGATTCCCAAATCGAGGGCGAGCAAATGCGGGGGTCGCTCGGATCCGACAAGGGCATCGGTACAATTGGCGCGAAGTTCGATAGAGTGTATATCTGCAGTCCCCCTTTCGCTCCACACATCTGCGCGTCATGAGATTCCAGCATGTACTGTTACGCAACGCCGGGACGCACTTACCGAGATGACGCGGAACTTGATCCCAAGGCTAGCCCTCTACCTTGCTCACAGCCGCCTGGTCTATCTGTGTGGCAGTTCGTGAGCGAGGCTGAACACCGAAGCTGATGATACACTTACCGCATGACCTATTCATGAAGTAAATAAGTACAACACTACTCACGATTAGGACGAATCCCCAATAGGAAGAACGTTGATCTGCTATTCGCATGGCTAGACGCTTGTTTACCTCCGATGAGTTTGAAGAGTACATGAATCATACTCCGGTGAGTGCGAGTGCTCAGTCTGACATTGTGCAAGGGATGTGAAATTTACAAGAATACACTGAGACCATTCAGGTTGGTCAGACTTTACTTCAGAGCTCGATCAGCGGGATACTTACTGATGAGAATAGAGCACAAATATCGTGGCTAAGGCACAGTTCTCCTCCCTTCAGGGCGACCCGAGTACACCGGCGGAGGGGGCATGAGGACAGTCTCTTCCACGAATGTTCTGCGAGACAAGGTGGCACACTGCGGGTTCGCACCATTAGCTGCTTGTTTGACGTCGGACGACGGCTGAGGGGGCGATCCTATCATTGTGCCTCTCGGAGAAATGGAAGCTATGTCGCTTCGGTGGCGCGGGGTACAAGCAGGTACGGGATGTGGAAGGGCTCCGTCTGAACGAAGGAAGATGAAGAGCCGTTTTGTGGGCGAGAGGTACGGATCGCAACCGTACTTCGTGTCTGTGGCAGCATATGAGTTACAAGAAGCATGTCAGTTACAGCATACCATCAACTAGGCTTTCCGATTCTTCGTTACTATGGCCCTTCTCGGTGTCAGGCTCGTAAAGCGAAAGCCGCCGTGGTAGCGGTTTGGTCCGCTTTGCCTTGCACCATGTGACGAGTGAGACAGTCATCGGGATTCCCCAGAGCACGATATAAATGAGGAAGCCGACAGCAGCTGCAGGAGATTGTGTCGCCGAAGAGTAAGCTATATAGTACGACAACCCCGAGTAATGAACTCACCGAAGGCCGCAATGTCCATGGGGCACATCCTCAACTCGCTGCCAATGAGCATGCATTTACGCTGAATCTGTGCGGGGTCGAGCTCGTCACGAGTAAAGTACTGGAGCAGGATCGTCATCGTGGTGACTGCGTGCGAGAACCTAGGGTTGTCTAGGCGAATGCCAGAGCTATGCAACGAATGACTCAAAGAGCGTGAGTGACAAAACATACAAAACTGCAGAGACATAGCGGAAGCGAGAGTGTATGCTGCAGCATGACTCGGGGCTGACTTGCGCAGAGGATTCCAGACAGAACGGTGCTGCAGTCAGAACTGAGACTACTTGGTTGCCAGGCGGCTCAGAACCTTGTGAGCGCAGACGTCAAGTTCATGCATTGCTGCAGAAATGAACTTGAGTCGCAATTGAGTCGGCAGGATAGTTGGCGGTAGTGGACACCTGTGGACACGGTCGCCGTCGTGACGGGCGGAGACAAGCCACGCACTCAGCCACAGCAACCCAAAAGTGGCACAGCCACAGACGCGTTAGTCACGCGTCACGCGTCGCGCATATATAAGGGCACGACGCGACTTGTTGAATGCAATCAACGCCTTCTCTTCCCGCCATCACAAGGCTCCCTCAGTGGCACCCTCTCGCATCCTCATATCTACCCCTGTCCCGTCGACAATCGACCTTCACTAGCCATGGCACGTACCAAGCAGACCGCCCGCAAGTCCACCGGTGGCAAGGCCCCTCGTAAGCAGCTCGCCTCGAAGGCTGCGCGCAAGACTGCGCCCGTGAGTGTTGTCGAGTTGGATAACTCGGTGTGGGGTGCTTTGCTCATACTATTGCCTCTGCAGAACCAGACCACTGGTGGTGTGAAGAAGCCCCATCGCTTCCGCCCCGGAACGGTCGCCCTCCGAGAGATTCGTCGCTACCAGAAGTCGACCGAGCTGCTTATCAGGAAGCTGCCCTTCCAGCGGTTGGTCCGTGAGATTGCGCAGGACTTCAAGGTGCGTGTGGCCAGTGCCGTCTACTATACTGGGTAACTGATGACATGCATTTTGTAGACGGATCTGCGCTTCCAGTCGTCCGCCGTCATGGCTCTCCAGGAGGCTGCTGAGGCATACCTCGTGTCTCTCTTCGAGGACACCAACTTGGCTGCCATCCACGCCAAGCGTGTCACCATGTGAGTCATACTGTTGTAGTACATCTCTGCGTATGTGGGCGCTAACCCCTTTCTACAGTCAACCCAAGGACCTCGCTCTTGCCCGCCGTCTCCGCGGTGAGCGGTCCTAAGTTGTTCCCCAGCCAAGCAACGGCTGGCTCCATCTCTATGTCACGTTTTCTATATTTTTGTCATCGTTGTCCACGTGGACTTCTAGTCATGTAATACTGTACTACTTACCTCTATGGAACCGGCATGAAGTGTCGGCGTTGAATGTCATCCTATGTTTTGCATGCAATCCTGGCTGTTGCGGCGTTGCGGCGTATTTGAGGTGAATAGGCGTGAGCAGTTCTCGAGACGCGGGTGGTGCATGGTGGATGAAATGTAGGTTTCGTTGTGATACGAAAGTACTAAAGACAAACACCACGTACGCATGTCATGAGCCTACGGATACAGCATGAACGCTGAAGGATTCGCTACTGTACTCTAGGTTTAGAATAGATAAATGCTGGAACGTGTCAGAGAGAGACGATGTTCTGGCTTTTAGACACCGCCACCACTCTTCTCCACCGGGATCCTCCTCCTTCGGTCTGCTCCCCGGCCTGCTCGGGGCCGTGGAGAAGAGTACGTCGCGCAGCTCCGCACAGATCTAGGGGGAAATGATGTCAGAAATTCGCGCACACCCGCCAGCCCAACTAACCATCTCACCTCAACGAACTCATCAAAGTCGACACCCTGCGCCTTCGAGAAGCCCGCCTCCTCAAGGACGTACTCGTAGTCCTTCTTGTTCACCGCCCCGTACCCGGGCAGCGCCTTCACGAGGTCGAGCACGTGCTCAGTCGCCAGCTTCTCTCCGCGCCCTTCGCCGCGCCCGCGAACGCCGCGCGCAGCTGCTCCACCTCGCCCGCCTCGAACTGCGCCCGGCTGTACACCATCTCCGCGCCCGCGCGCCGCCTGCGCTGGCCCGCGATGCCGAGCGCGCCCTCGACCGCTCGAGCAGGCCGTGCGGCCCGCGGCGCACCGGCTCCGCGTTCGGCGGCAGGCCCATGCTCGCGAGGAAGCGCGTCGCGCGCTCGAGCTCCGCCGCCTTGCGCGAGCTCGACCACTTGCACTCCTCCGCCATGATGTCGAGGACACGCGGGAGCGCGTCGAGCGCGGCTTGCGCGTTGAGGAAGGAGAGGCGGCACCGGCGCGCGATGACGTCGACGGCGGTCTGCGCGTACTCGTGGTGCACGGCGTAGCGCACCTCGGCTTCAATGACTGGGGGTGATGGGGTCAGTGCGTTGGCTAGGTAGAGAACACATTAGGAACGTACAGGGATAGCTTGCTGCCAACAGGACACCATGAAGGGGCCAGCTTTCGCCAGTGGGCGCTGCGTAGGAACAGACCGTCCACGCGCGATCACCATAGTTGTCCGCGAGGTGCTTAGCCACGTCCGTAGAAAGACCGTACTGAAGCGGCTCGATCAGCGACCGCACGAATTCGTCAAGAGACGTCACCCACCCGTTGAATGAGACCAATGAACATGTTCCTGCTCCAGCCGTCGCTGCCAACCAGCCTGAGGCTCTCGGTGACACACCCGCTCTTCGGCTTGAGCGCAAAGACCTCGACCGCCTTATCGACCGTCTCCTCCGCCATCGCGCGGTACGTCGTCCACTTGCCACCAGCGATCGTCAGCAATCCGCTGTCGCTCACATGGATCATGTGGTTGCGGACCAGGCCCTCCGTGCTCGCCGCGTTCGGGTTGCGCACGAGCGGGCGGAGGCCGCTCCACGCGCTGAGCACGTCGCCGCGGCGGACCTTGATGTCCGGGCTGAGGTAGCGCCGGACCTCCTCGAGCACCCAGCGGATCTCCTCCTCCTGCGCGCGCGGCTCCGTCTCGACGCGTGCGGGCGTGTCCGTCGTGCCCGCGATCGTGTTCCCCTGCCACGGCAGGAAGAAGATCACGCGCCCGTCGCTCGTCGCGGGGTCGAGCAGGCCCATCGTGCGCGGGGAGTAGTATTCGGGAGCGTGATGTGGATGCCAGAAGACGCCTGGACGATCGGCTTGTGCGAGGGATTGTCCATGGTGAGCAGCGCGTCGGCAAAGGGCCCCGTCGCGTTGATGATGCCCTTGGCGCGCACGTTCCACTCTTGGCCGGAGAGCCTGTCCTTGACGCGCGCGCCGTGCAGCTGTCCGGAGGAAGTGTCCTTGGCCAGGGAGGTAACCTCGACGTGGTTGGCGACGATCGCGCCCTGCTGGACGGCCGTCATGATCAGCGCGATGTTCATCCGCGAGTCGTTGTGTTGTCCTGGATGGCAATGAGTCGTGGAATATGCGACAAGACAGAACATACATACCGTCATAGTAAACCAGTGCACCGACGAGTCCGTCCTGCTTGAGCATAGGGAAAGTCTCGAGTGCCTTCCCCTTGCTCATGAGGTACGAAGACTCCATGTTCTCTTTGCCTGCGAGAACATCGTACATTTTGCAGCCTACCCAATAATACGGCACCTGCCAATACCTGAGGCTCGTCAGCCTTCTGTAACCTGTGGAGTTGCCTTGAAAACAAAAACATACTTGTAAATTGGCAACATAATTGGCAGCATGGCCGACAGATAGGGTGCAGTCTGGAGGAAAATACGACGCTCATGAAGGGCCTCGCGGACAAGCTTGTATTGCTCGTAGTCGAGCTCCATGACTGCCTTTTGGAGGTAACGGACACCACCGTGGACGAGCTTCGTGGACTTTGACGAAGTTCCTGAATAATAAAAAGAGTAGAGTGAGCATGACCGGACGTAGAAAAACTATTGCAATGGGCTGGAAGATGCAAGGGCATTCACTGAGGTAGCGTCCAAGCTGTGCAGTTCGACTTCCAGTACCAAAGAGGCGATTGGCATAGATGCTCAAATCAAACGCGTCTAATGACTGAGCATGATCGAGAGGAAGCCCGTGAATACGTCAAGGATAATACTCGGATCAACTGTCGACAATGACGCAGTGCGCGCAGGTGGGCTCGCAGCGGAGGGAAGCTGGGAACGGCCTGAGAGCGTGAAACCATGGCTGCCCAGAGTGTAGATGCTTTGTTCAGGGGCCAGCCCAGCGAGTGGTGTGAGAGGGGACTCGCCCTTCCAGGATTCCAGAAGCATCTGAGGAGCAAATGATATATAGAGGGTGACTCACCAGAGCTGAAATCATCCCGTTCCACGAGGGCGACCTTCAGACCTCTGCTAGCAGCATCGAGAGCGACACCAGCTCCTGTCGCACCACCTCCGACGATGAGGAGGTCAAACTCTTCCGTATATTCGTTTCCCTGCTTGACATCGGACGCCTTGAGCGCATCAAGCATGTTCTGCCTCGAGGGGGGCGTCCATGGTGGCGGGGGCCTCCGCGTCTCCTTCGTGGAGGGTGGATAGGTTGGGCCGGAGTTGAGATACCAGTACCCGCCGCCTGCTGCGACGAGGGTGCCGCCGGAGACGATGGCAAGGGATCTGCGCGAGAAGAGGGCGCGCCGGAGGGCGGCTGCCTTGGACATGGTGGTCCTCAACGAAGAGGAGGCTTGTGGGTGTGCGCTGCTGGCAGAGGCAGGTTGCAGATCATCGTGCTCATGAAAAGGGGCACCGACTCCCGTCAAGATCGGTGCACGATCCGCCCTCGGCCCAACTGTCTCCCCGGTCCGCGGCCCGACGCACATGCCTCCCCCTGGCCTGCCTTGCTCGGAGATGCTCCCGTCGCGCACACACATCCTGCGCATTCATTACTGTCTTTGTTGACCCCCTTTCCACCGACGCAAACGAGGGGGACCCAAACGGATTTGACAGAATCCAACCTGGCCCAGTGTCTCGCTAATTCACCTTATCCTGGGCCGACCACTCCAACCTGACGCCCAAACTCGCCTCACAGATAAGTAAGCGAATCGTCTTCGTTATTTTCTTTCTCGTGATTTTGTTGTGCTCCTGCAGCTGTGTGCTCAAGCCTCAGTATATGCTCTGTACGGTACAACCGCGCCGCGATGGAGCTTGCTACGTCCATAGTACATCACATGAAGCTCCCAGCGCCGCATAGTGGGCAAAAGAGCCGAAAGGACACAGTACCCCGTCACCACCTTGTCATTGCGTACTGTACAATATGCGTGATTATATGCGACCGAACCACAATGTCATCAACAAAAGCAACGTAGACGTCCAACAATTTGGACCGGCTGAAACGCGGAAGACGCGTCTGATTGTATGCATCACTCGACGAGCGCAGGGAGCTCGTCGTCGCTCGCCCTCCGACGTCCGGCAGCAACTCCGGGAATGTCGGCGGCGACGGGCGAGGGGCGGGTTTGCCCCCCGGTGCGTCCGCTCATACAGGAGAATGCGAGTGAACACGTCCTCTACCACCGCGTCGTGCATGTTCCTCGTGCCGTGTGCACCACCGCTGGGTACGCGGAAGGAAATCTGCCGGCGGGACGAGGAAGGTGATCGTCTACGACTTGCTGCGACGGCGGGTCGAGCATGAGTTCGGAAGGGATCGTCCGTCGGCCTCGGTGCCGGCGCCGCGCGGGGAGGGTCAACCTCAGGAATCGACTCCTCGTCGGAGTCATCCTGAGGTCCCTAAAGTCCCTGAAATCTCTAGCTGTGGGAGCGAAGGTCACCCTCGGACCTGTGCGTCCTTGTCCTGTATTCAGTGCCCCGCGGTGAGCACGCATACACCGAGCCAGTACGCCAAGACGTACCAGATGCGTCAGGCTTCGCTGCATGTGAGCACTCCGTACGGTGTCCAACCGTCTGATATGTCTCCTCTTCCGCAAGCCAGTCCTCCAGCCCCAGTACATTCGGCGGCTCCCACGTCCGCACCCCTGATGCGTAATGCGACATCGTCCCCGTGAGACGCAGGGTGAGCGAATCCGGGTCGATATCAAACCTGCATGATGGGCACGTCGTCTTGCGCGCGAGCCATGGCGCGAGGCAGCTGCGGTGAAACAGATGTCTCCCGGGGCAGGGGAACACCAGAATCTGGTGTGGCGACGGGTGGAACGGGAGCAGCTCGAAGAGCGCGTAGGTCAGGGTGGCCCCGCTGAGCTTTCCGAGGTCCGCCGGGTCTTGTGGGTACTCGATGAGGTAGTCATCCCTGCAGATCGCGCAACCCTCGGCGGCCTCGCCGTCGCCCCCGCGCAGCTTCTCGTACCTCAGGACGAGCTCGTCCGACACGGTTTCCAAACCGGCGAGCAGGGTCTCTGCGCGCTGTGGGTCGTTGTCCACTGAGAGCCTTCGCGGGACATCAACCACTCCAGGAGGTCTATAGACCTGAACGGAACCTGTATCGTATGTGCATTAGCATGCCACCCTGCGACCGGCGGACAGCGCAAGTTTCTCTTGTGACCACCCGTCCTCACCTCAGTGCCCTGCTCCGCAAAGTCGTCCTCCAAGAACTCGTCATCTTCGTCTTCCCACTCTTCCTCCTCCTCGTCGGAGTACGGCTCATAGTGCACGGTGCTCTCCGCCGGGCCGCCAATCGTCTCCATCCCGCGCCGGAGGTCGTCGCGCACATCGTGCTCGTCCCAGCCCGAGCCGTCAGAGTCCGCGTCCGAGTCGTACACATCCGCGTCAGAGTCCGGGCCCTCGTCCGAGCTGTCCGACACCGTCTGCAGGGACGGCATGCTGCCCGCCTCGCTATCGCCGCCGTCGCTCGCGTCTGAATCCGAATCTGAGCCGCTAGAATCCGATTCGGAGGCTAGAGGCGGTGGTGCATCATCGCCTGCAGCGCTGTCAGCCGCAACAGTGGCGGCAGAATCCTCAGGAGCGGGAACGGGTGCTGGTGCTGCGCGGCCGAGGAAGGGCCTCATGCCCATGAGTGTGTCAGTGAATGCGTTGACGAGGTTGAAGTCGACCCGGAACCGCCCTTGGTTTGTGGCCGCCGCGCGAGAGTCGTTCGGTTCACCGGCGTTGTCAGTAGACTCTGGGTCGTTATGCGTGCCTTGTGTCGCATCCATAGAGCCCTCGGAGAAGTTGAAGTGCAAGTAGAGCTGAAGCTTGAGAACAGCGGACCGTGGGTCTCACTGGCAGTTGTGGACAATGGTACAGGGTTATCCAGCTTACTGGGACCGAAAGCTTATTTGGTGCAAATAGTTATCTGTATTACGTATGTATAAATTAAAGTTGTGACCGTTACTTAGTCTAAATATAGCTCGCGACGCGCTTCAGCCACACCGGTTGACCACCCTCCTCCTCTTCGATCCTTCAAGTTATTGCACTGTACAGCTATGGATGCTGGTACTGCTCCGGGACAACCAGCTGGCTCGCTGACCGCAGTGTTTACACAGAAATCGTGTGTCCAACACCGCTACATACGCTCCCGCGACACGTCCTGCATTGTGGAACGGCCTGAGCGCCTACGCGCTGTTCATGTCGGCCTGGCGGCAGCGGTCGCGCGACTGGAGGAGTCGTTCGCTGCCCCACGCGACTCCAACGCCAAAGCAGAACCCAAGGAAGAACGCGTACCCCCCGCGGCTGCTCAAGGAACGGACGCTGACGAATTGCTACGGCCCTTGGGCGGTTAAACCTCGCCACCCCCTCTTCTACCTCGCGCTCACGCGTTCCGGTACAACTGATACAGAGCGACGCGTCGGTCGACATCCTAAACAATGCAGCCGTGAAGTTTATTCATGGCGACATTGAAGGAGACGTGTACCTGGAGAACTTGAAGCGGTGGACTGCAGAAAGTCGCGCGAAGATCGACAAGGGCGAAAGCGAGATCCCGGAAGGTCTCCCCCAAGGAGATCTGTACTGTACGTGTTATATTACTGTATTTGCGCTTGTACCCACAATGCATTTTGTACCAGTATGCCCCGAGTCGCTACTTGCAATACAAGGGGCCTTGGGCACCGTCTGTCAGGCCGTCGATACCGTGGTTGGTAGCATTCCGGACACTGGAATCTCGCGCGCCTTTGTCGCGCTAAGACCGCCTGGTCACCATTGCGGAGAAGTATGTTGACCCGTTTGCAACATCACGTCGCTTGATGTCAATGAATATCATTCAGGACTCACCGTCTGGATTTTGCTTCGTGAACAACGTCGCCGTCGCCGCCGCTCATGGTATGCAAGTCGTACATCCACAACAGACTGATCTTCATACGCATCCGTAGCGCACCTTAAGCATGGGATTAATCGCATAGTCGTGCTCGATATCGACCTTCACCATGGTATGTCACACCCGCCCTCATATCCATCAAGCTAAAGTGAGAGGCAGGGAACGGAACACAGTCAATCGTCTGGCAGATTAACGAGGAATCGTACAGAAAGGCGCTCGAGCAGGAAGCCGGTGCACCTCTAGACAAGCCCGGTCTGCAAGTCTACTACGGGAGCATCCACGACGTCCTTTCCTATCCATGCGAGGTGACGACTGTTATACCTCCTCTAAAGTTCAGTGACAAACGCACGAGGGCAGGATGGGAAGCTCGAGCTTGTACAGGCCGCCTCAGTGTCGATCCACGGACCGCACGGTCAGCACATCGAGAACGTGCACCTCCGGCCGTACAGCTCCGAGAAGCAATTTCATGACGAGCTCTACACCGGCCCATACTCCAAGCTACTCAGCAAGGCCGCCGAGTTCCTCGACGAGACAGGTGGTCCGGGCGATGAGTTCTGGTCTTCATCAGGTCCGTCCGTCTGCTAGTGCCTCTGACTTCAAGCATGGCCCTGATGCTTGCATGTACCACAGTTGCGGGTTCGACGCGAGCGAACACGAATACCCTTCCATGTCTCGACACCAGCGCCACGTCCCGACCTCGTTCTACCGCCGCTTCGCCAACGACACGCGAAGGCTCGCGGAACGCTATGCCCGCGGGCGCTTGATCAGCGTGCTCGAGGGTGGGTACAGCGACCGCGCGCTGACGAGTGGCGCCATGGCACACCTGATCGGCCTCGCAGAGGCGGAGGGAGCTGCGGTAGACGAGAGCTGGTGGAGTTTGGACAATCTAACCGAGGTAAGCATGCAAGTACCTTCGTGGAAAGCAGGTCTAAGGTAACTCGCTAGCTTGAACAAGCCACGAAGAAACGGCGGGGCGGCCGAGTCTCTCAGCCTACCGCACCCGCGCCGTGGCTCGCCCGAACGGTTGAGGTCTTCGCAACCATCGACTCTTCGCATCTTGTACCTCCTACAACATCCACGCGCAACGCGGTCCCGCCCTCTTCCCGAGTGCTCAGGGAGCGCAAGACACCTCATCTTCCGTCTAAACAGAAGTCAAGCACGTTACCGAAGAGATCGGACGCGAAGAGGACCGGAGTTAAGGGGGACCTTGGAGTAGAGGTTATGGTCAAGCAAGAGGAGCCGGAAGGAGATGAACTATCCGACGACGCGTCTACGTCCTCGTTGTCTTCGCTTTCGGACGCTCTTGACGATGATCAAGCGCCGAAGAGACTACCTCGCGTCATATTGAAGCTTGGACCTCGACCCGCCGATGCCGACGTGTCATGACGGCTCATTTGGATGAGTCGGGTGAGTGAAGAATTTAAGTAGCTAGATAGACAACAGAAGGTGATAGTAATGTAGCGGTAGTTGCGATGATTATGCATTTTGTCTCGCTGTCAGACTCACAGGCTCGTGAGTGTGCCGATCGCCCATTCGTAGACGCCAAGGAAGACAGCGCCTCCGGCTGATATCCACAGTGTCCTTGGAACGACACCACTGAATAGTGCTCGCGGTCCTTCTGAGACATAGATTTGTTTCAGACGGGCAGGCAAAGAGGGCATGCTGTGCTTGGATGTGTCCTAGGGTCCCGAACCTTAGCTGACGCGCTCAGCTATGACACGAGAACGGGTACGCACCCTCATATCCAACATGACCCGAGTTTTCAACACGTCCAGCGGTGTAGTCAGTGCAGCAGCGACGCCCCCTGATACACTCCCACAGGCGGCAGCCTCGTATGCATGTAATGGTCTTCGTCCCAGCGCTTGAGACAACCGGAGTTTCAGCAGCTCGTACAGAGGGAACTGTAGTGACGTGAAGGGTATCTGTGCTCCTGGCTAAGTTGAGTGGTACCATACCAAGGGATACGAGCCACGTACCTCCCTCATGACGGTTGTCCCAAACCCTCTATAAAAGCCACGGAGGCCCTCCTGCGAGAGCACTCGTCGAGCGGCGGCGAATGACGAGCCGGCAAGGCTGCCGTACGTCGAAGTTTGCATGCGCGTCTTGATGACTTCCGTAGGTACTCTGATTAAACAAGCAGCCTGACGTGGTCCTGCGGTAATGAGAAGGTGCAACTGCAAGGATAGCTAGACTGTCGTACAACTTCGCCGGTGGACGCGGCCAGCATGTGCGTCACCGGGGCCATGTTCTCCGCCAAGGGCAGCGTGCGTTTCAGTGTGTCGTAAGTGCAGAAGAAAACAGCGGCTACAACGCGTGTACGCTGAGCGAGACGCATGCAATAACCGAAGAGCACGTACCTCCCGGTGCGCTGCCGACCACGACACTCCCGACACCTCTATAGACCCCATTGAAGCCGCCTGCAGGCACAAATCCTTGTGGCGACTGCAGACGCGTTTTGATGGTGTCAATGGGAAAGAAGAGGAGGTCGACGGCTGTGCCTGCGAGCCCACCGGCCTGGCTTGGTCAGTCGAGTCTCGACGACTCAGAAGATCGAGGCAGAGACATACCACAAGAGAATCTACGAACGTCGGCCCCTCGACCATGGCGTCCCGCAAAGCTTTGAGGTGTCTCTCGTTCAGCTACGCAGCGACGGATGCCAGCTTGCCGTCGACTGGTGAACGTCCGTCCGTCTATAGCTCAGGCAAGAACGCAGCTGTCGGACGACCGAGGGTCCGCAAACGCCGAAGCGCTCAAGATCTCAGATGTACCACCGATCACCGCAAGCGCCCGCTGCAACCCGGCGCTTGCTGTCTTTTCGCGGACTCATCTTGGACTCATCTTCAACTCACGAACTCTGGGACGCACGACGAACATGGACGACACTCTGGAACAGCCTAATTCTGTCCCAGTTACTGAGCAGATTGACCGAGAAGAGGATGAACAGTCATCAGGCGATGAAGACCAGGGGCCAGATTGGACGAAGCTGCCGTACGCTCGCACTCAGCCTGCACGAGTTCTGCTTGACTGACAGATGCATCAGCTCTCTTCCCACTGCGCGACCCTTCATCCCGAAACGTGGAGAGAAGGACTTTGAGCCTACTACTGCGGGAGGCTCTGGCTTGCAGCGCCATGTGTTGGACCGTTCGAGACATGCGATGCTGGAAGCCTTGTCTGCACCGCGTACCATCTCTAGGTACATACTTACATTCATCGAACTAGATCCAAGGAATTTACTCCCTTCGTCCCGCTAGCAAGTCCATCAGTTATGCTGTCTGGCATCCAGACATTGCCCGAGCGCATGTCACCGTGAGCAGAGGCATCCACTTCGCAAGCATGGGTCATTCCGTGGCAAGGACGGGGACGGTAGACGACGGCGCGAAGAAAATTCATAAGAGACTCGAACTGCTACCTGAAGAAATTCTTTACCTCGTAGAAAGAGGTGCAATGCTTTGCTGGAAAGCCTGCGATCTGGCACCGGCAGACATCCCAGGCCTAGAGACCGTCGACGGCGTCCCCATGACCGTTCAACAGGCCTTCGCTGAGGTAATAGGGACGGAAGACCTCACGCTCGAGAAGTATCAGGTAGTGTATCAACGTATCTTGCAGAGATAGACAGCTGATAGGATTCGTAGGTGTTTGCATATCTGAAAAGGCTAGGGTATGCAGTTACGCGTACCATACCGCCCAATGCCGACTATCCCGTCCCACCGCCTCCTGAACAGCCTCAAAGAACGTCAAGAACATCGTTTTTTGACAGAGTTCTGTTCATAATGCGGTGGCCGCTCCGCGCTCTGATGCACCTGTTAGCGCCGCGATTTGACTGGTGGCGACCAATTCGGCTCAGTTGCCTTCACGGTACGCATGACATCCCCACATTTTATCATGGGTTATGCTGGAGTAGCGTCTCATGCATGCCCATAGGAAACTCATTCCGGTCCCTGCGCTTCCTGCCGGGTGGCCATGATGTACCTCTGCACGTCAAAGCACCTCCACGGGCTCCCGTCTCTCCGTATCAGATATTCTACAACGTCTGCAAGCCATCCACACCCTTCAAAAAGACCGCGCCTCCACCGCCCGACTACTCGGTAGTGGTTGTCAAGTGCGTGTCATCTTCTTGAATCACCGGACTTCACTCAGCTTGAATCGTAGCGCGCGGCGCACACCCATGCCTACGCTGTCGGAGTTGACTGCCTTATTCGACGTGCTGCCAGAACTACCACCGCCTCTTCCTCGCAAGCGTCAGCCTTTCGCTCAGCAGAAATCTGTCGGTGCTGGTCCTGCACCGCCCCCAGCATCTGCCCCGAAGACGATGCCATCTCCCTCTATGATGCAGAGACTCTTTCCTTGGGCGTTCTCGTCACCGGCGCCCGCAGAGACGACGCGCAAAGTCAACCCATTCCTGTCGTTGAAGACAGGGAAGAAGATGGTTGTTATTGCAGCTGTTGACGCAGGCATGATCAGCTTCTTCCGCTTCGGTGAAGGTGTGTTCACGGAATGGCCCATGACATGATGCCCTCAATCTGTCATGCTGGCGTCCTCTTCAATAAATCACCATGTGGTGGTCGTTTAGGTTTACTGTGAAACACATTTTTGTCATCATGAATTCTGCCGCATATGCCATCACCAAGGGCAGTGTGACTCGAATGCAATCTCGTCCTCGGTACAACCTCGGTCGACTGGAAGTGATTCCCAGCCCTGCGGTGCGATCCATCTCACATTGCATCGTCATAAAGTCTGCGATACGACATGTGCTAACACATAGCTACTGAACCCACGGCCTCTGCTCTAAGTATGAGCTTGCCTCAGCTCACAGCTGTCACCGAAGTCAGCCAAACGACAGACGCTATGTTATTGCCGACACCCTTGACTTCCCTTGCGTGAGTGAAGGGGGCTATATACGGCTTGTAAACTGATACATATTATCACAGAGGATCATACGTGTGTAACTTAGTCACGTATATCGTCCGCTCTGCTGCAACAGTGTTTGCCTTCTCAGATACTGGGGTTCGCCTTCAATTGGGCACTGCAGGGCACATGTCCGTCCAAGTCTGTGAGTATTCACTTCTTGGATGTGCTGTGTCTTGAGGAGCTCACCCTTGTTGCAGACATCTACTATCTGTGTTTTCCAAACGACTCGATTTACCGGAAATGTCTAGGTGGGAGAAGAGAGCGAGGCGGCAAGATGCACCGCATGCTGAATGCATATCATTGCTAGTTTATGCCGTGTGCATTTATGAATGGGCCCAGACTGCATTGACAACTTCGGAAATTTCCACACCTTCGTCACAGGCGACTTGTTCCCCCTTGCAAGTGGCGGGAAGATGTGGCTTATCATGTTCGTTATGCCCGCCCTCACGGCAGCTACAGTGCAGTCATTCTATGCATGGCGTATCGCAGTGGTATCGCAAAGCCGACTCTTCTCAATTATCGTTTTAAACGTATGTGGCCTGTCATCTTGATAGAGGCGCAGTCCACACTGATGTGTACTCAGGTCGTCGTGGCAGCATTCTGCGCAGGTATTGTAGGCGCGGTGAGCTTGAAGGTACGCGAGCTGGATAATATTTGAGGTTAATATTGACAGTACCGCTTCATGCCAGCGAGACGTTTCTGATACGGCCGTCACATGGGATGTCGCTATGAATGTAAGCAGCTCGTCGCTCAAACGTTCAGCACATGTCCTCACAACCGTGTGGATTTTCAGGTCTGGTTATGGTGCAGCGTCCTCGCGGACTCTATGATCGCGGGATTTATGGTGTACACCGTACGTACCATCAGTCCTTCGAGAGGATGTGTCAACTCATAGGGAATTTCGGCCAACCAGTTGCGACGCTTCAAATCTGTGCGAAAAGACAGCAATGTATTGATCAACCGCGTTATCAAAGTTGTCATCGAGACTGGTTGTCTCACAGGTACATAATATCTCTCTTTCCTCTCAGGAACATACTTAATGTCTCAGTCATCGGCGCTGTTATAACTCTGGTCTGTTGGTTGGGATTCTCGGTCCGTGTTATTCCCTATGGATATGCTTCGGTGCCGAAGCGCTGATCAGTGATCCTAGGGAATCATTACTGCGACCTGCCCGTCAGTACATCGTTATTCAGAACCACTCTATCTTGTCTCATCCGTCGGCAGATTGCTGTTTCTATCCAAATTGTGACAGGAACGTCCGTCATCGTTCCTTCACCTTGTTAACATCATTTATAGATATGCGAACACGTTGATGATCACACTGAACAATAGAGCTTTCATGCACGGCGAGATCTCCGACGTCAACATACGACGGAGTCCGTTGGTTCTGCAGATGATCAGCCGACATACCGAACACGCCTCGCCAACCTCCCCTTTGACTGCAGGCAGGCACTTTTCTGTTGTGGTCGACCTACCTAAGCCTGCGACTGCACATGTCGATCATGAGACCTGTAAGGTTTGTTATCGAGTCTAGGCTCTGCGCAATATGACTGAACCATCACTGCGTAGGCGATAGCATGAATTGAGGTGCGGAGGGCGGACCAAGAGACGCTGCCTGGTACACTGGCAGGTCCTCGAAGAGAGAGCTTGGCGGTACCTACATCGTGTTCGACCCACTTTCACAGAACGTTGATAATATGGCGTTGTTGCATGTGTGTGAGGACATGGGTCCTCATGTTCTGCTACGGCCCATGGTCGCCAAGGGTCCCTCTTTTGTATCGTGTTTGCCCAAAGAGAAGACACCGAGAAGTGACAAAGTATGGCCCCTCCAAGTTCTTCGCGTACGTGCATTCTCAGAGTCAATTGCATGAACAAACTCAATGCTTTGCAGATATACATATGCAGGTACTGCGGACAACATCATAATTAGCATGGGGATGTGACGTGCGACAGATTTACTTGATCCGACGCCGGGGCCGTCAGCCTTTTCCGAGACGGATGCGATACGTTGTCCGTGTCGTGTCTCGGAGAGTGATACCAAGTTGCGTACGAGACAAAATTGAATCTGGCTCTGAATGTGGAGTGTCTTCGTCATTCACAGCAGCAGTGGCATGACCAAGGTATTGCAGATATTGGTTTGTGGCGAAAATTAGTCAGATACGACATTTTGGCGCATGTAGGACGATGTGACTTGGATATGGCCCGGACGCCTTCTTCATCAGTACGTCGGGACGTGATCTGGCGGTGCGGTACATCCGTTTCATATTGCTTTGCCACAAAGTCTGCTGAATGACACTGGCAGAACAACATCTCCGCTGCCGACTCACACAGTTGCTGGAGCCGAACGGTCTAACAAGGGGAGGGTCTTCCCTGCGCGGTACTTCGCCTGCTGTGCGTGGGTCTCCCTTTTGAAGGTAAAGTATCAGACCGCTCATGATGATCCTGAACCTACAGTAATTGATTCATAGGTACGAAGCTATCATGATTCAGCGAACGCCCCATTGGGCGAAAGCCACGTCGTGCGGCGCGATCTTGTGCTAACGGAGCGCTACCCCCCAGTACGGTGCAGTATATATTACATGCCGTTGTCTGTCTCATGCTGTATCCATCTCTGCAACGCATCGCCCACGTCGTCGACCTCAACGACATACAGCTTACGAGAGCTACGCTCGCTGACGCTCTTCGACGTGTAGTGCCAGCAAGCACTTGTCCCTAATAGTGAATCCACGAGCTCATATGTCGACCGTTCCTTCTGTTTATTCTTTCTTGTGAGTTGGAGAAGACATGTTATGCCGGATTATTTCATCATCATGAACACCTCAGCTTAGGGCCTACCGTACGTTTTCTCTGCCACGTCAGTGCGTGAACGGCCATGTCCTGCATGTTTAATTGGATCTCGTAGTTCCTAGGATCCGCATATAACTGGGCGTTGCAAGGCATCCTATCTGTGCAAGTTTGTGAGTCGTTTCAATATGGAGGCTATATATGGCTGACGGACACAATTGTAGACATTTACTATGTGTGTTTTCCGAAGGACTCAACCTTCCAGAAATGCCTAGGTACGGTCTATGTATAAGCTAGGCGCACGCACTCTGAGAAACCCTTACAGTCTATCTTGTCTGCTTCTATGAATGGGCTCAGACTATCCTCATAACCCAGAATCTATATTGTACTTTTGCTCTGAAGGATGAGCAATGCGACATCGGGCAACTGGAATTCAAAGCTTAGCTGGCCATGTTCCTAATGCCCACCTTCACAGCAACCACTGTTCAGCTCTTCTATGCTTGGCGCATTCAAAAGTTGTCGCAGAGCCGACTCTTCTCAGTCATCATCATCTTTGTGAGTCACATAAGTGCCTTGGCTGGACAGTCTACTGAGCTGTGCACAGGCAATCCTGTTCACGTTATGGTTTGACATTGTATCTGCTGTCAGCATGATGGTACGTACATTAATCGATGGTAACCTAGGCGTGACAATAGCATATGCATTGAGCAGCCAGACAACCAGTCATTGGCCGGAATTGTCAACGTATCTCCGATGGTAATTCGTATCAACAAGTATCGGACGCCTCAAGCTTACGATCGGAACTAGGTCTGGTCGGCTTGTGGCGCCACCATAGATGTGACGATATCCGCATTCATGGTCTATTCGGTGCGTCTACTTAATAGCCACAGTGATCGTGTTTCTGTTGACAAATGATTTAACCTTGATCCAGTTACATCGCATGAAAAATGAATGGGCCAAAACCGATCGGTTGGTCAACCGCATTGTAAGAACGGTAATTGAGACGGGGTGCCTTACGGGTATGTCTCGCATTCTTGTCATATCATTTTCGGTGAATTAATCGACGTTTTAGCCATAAATGCAATTGTGGTCGTATGTTGTTAGTGGTATATACAAAACGTGGTCAGTCTCGTAATGTGTCTGTGGACGACAATCACGTTGACAAATATCACTAGGCAAGCTGTTTGTGAGTACACGTCAAACCATTTCGCACTTCCAGCAGCTTTTTGACCCGCCGATAGCTTGTTGCCTCTGCCGAAATTGTGACGAATCAGTATTCACTACAACTCTTACAGTGCTGATGCCAGTTCCCTCAGGTATGCCAATAGCTGTTGGTCTCACTGAACAACAAAGTCCTGTTACGTAGAGAGGCCTCCGAAGTCGACCTAGGATTTCGTCTAACTCTCTCGGTGAGCAGTCGACAGCCTACGGCGCGTACATCGTCGATTGTTCAGGGCATGGGCGCAGGCGCTAATGCTCGACTGAGGTCGCCCTCCAGGAAGCTGGAGACGCTGATGATCACTCCGAGGTCTGTGAATTGTCAGAGGCAGCATGTTCATTGGCTGACCACAACGTGCGTGATAGGTTACGAATGATATCATGGCACGCTCTGTCGCATGAACGACATTGCGCTTTTGCGGACGGGGAGGCTCAGGAGAACACATTGACATCTCTGTTTGGCACGTCTCACCAGCTACAGTACACATAGAAGTATCCCGTCTCATCACTCTCACCATCCCGCCCTTCGTATCTATGGCGTCTCGGCCTCTTATATATGCTATCTCTTTGAAACGGTTCGGGGGCGACCTGAGGTGCGCTGCCGTGTGAGGCCGTACTGACACCTATATTACCCCCGCTTCCCATGCCAGTGGCCGCCAGCGCGATACATCCTGTGCCTTCAAGCTTCGAGCTTCATTGCCACCACTGGTATCTACGGCACATCAACTATGTATTTTTGTTTTCACTGCCTCAGCTGCCTACTGGCCTACTAATCACCATCTTCCATATTGATTCAGTGACACCCAGGCCGCGGCTGCATCTGCCAGTGAACGCAACACTCAGGCCGGCGGCGCATTCCAGTCTAAGCGGCACCTGAAGATGTCTCGCTCCCAGGGTCTGTCCAATGTCGGCAGCGCCGAGCGCCACCGTACAGGAAGACTGTCAGTCCAGGCGATGCAGAGTGCGGTTGTACACAGTACTGGCGGCCAACGCCCATGGTATAGTAGTACCGATCACCATCGCCTGTGCACCCTTCGGGCATATAAATGCTCCTCTGGCACCTCGCAATCATAAGCCGATTCCTTTGAACCCCCACATAACCTGGTCTACTACTTAGCAGGACTCGCTGCAAGATTATCACATCACAGCCATATCAAATTCGATGGACTGGCCACAGTGGCAGTACGTCTCACTCTTCTGCCATCGGGCTCCTGGCATGGCTTATTGAGAATTTGCCTCAGATTGACCGCTGATGTGCGTTTTCTGAACTGTGCTAGTATGGGGTGGTATTCACGAAACGCCGTGACGCCAATAGTTGGTGGGCCTCATCTTCAACTGGGGACTGCTGGGCATTTTATGTCTTCAAACCTGTAAGAACAATCGTTTGATTGCGTCGTCTTGAGTATCCGTTGACCTACCAGCGGAATCCTAGACGGATATGTCGAACAGTCTGCTCTAGAGCCTGTAAGACATAGAGCTGCAGGTTTGGCGGACATTTTCATCTCACTCTCAACCCTGTACTGATGCCGGCACCTTCGTTCTTAGTATACATCCTCTTCCTGTTTGAACTGGTCCAATCAATACTCCTCGCAGTGGAGGTCATCCAAGTTGTGGTCGCTGTACCATACGTGGACCTCTTCTGGTTCAGCGTGTACATCGTGTCGCCTATAACATGCGCCGCAACTCAATGCTTCTACGCGAAGCGTATCATAGAACTGTCCAGAAGACATGTATGGTCAGGTTTCATCGTCACGGTGAGCATAGCACGGCCGGCCATCTCGATGCTAGAGTCTCCTGACATCATACAGTTCAGCGCAGGACAACTTATAGCCGGAATCATCGCTGGCATTTCTCTCACAGTGAGTAAACCGTGTTTTCGCCCCTTGGTAAACCGTGCTGATTGCGTCATGGCAAGCTGGAACAGTGGAGAAGACCGGGTCCTCCTTTCGCGCTGATGGTGTTTGTGAGTCAGTCTTGTGCGCGTTCAACTCTCGCTGCGAATGTCTGAGATGCTCTCCAGATTTGGCTGGTGCTCAGCATCGCCGCAGACCTGATCATAGTCGTGTCGATGAGTATGATGGTGTGTTACAATTTGACCTTCGAAAGGATGATAGTATATCTTACCCCTCTGTTGCGCCGCCAGCTATCCAAGGCGAGATGGACTTCGTATAGCCAATCAGCTGGTATTGCGACTCGACTGACCACAATCATCGTCGAAACCGGAAGTTTGATGGGTTCGTAGACCATCCTTTCATGTCTTGTCGTCTGCATGCTTAATCTGCTCCGGTGGACGTTAGCATGTGGTCCGATAGTGGCATTTGGCCTGCAATTCTCCGTAAGCGATCATTTGCACTCGGTAGCGAGATGTACTAACGTCGTATTCTAGCCGCAACCTGTAGCAGGGTTCTCGTGAGTCGTGTATAGGGCATCACTTATCCTACGCTGACGATCATGCCTTGCAATAGCCTTCTCCTGCTATCCAAGTTGTAAGTAGCCATGTCTAACATCGTCTCGCCTCCCTAAAACCATTCGTCAGATCCGCATGCACCTTACTCGCTTGCCTCAACAACCGCGCTCTGAACGGGCAAGACGTATATTCCAGTCTCGATCTTGTGGACGATCCTAGTATCAAAATGGAGTTGCATTCGGGTGTCCATGGCGGCGCTGGATACGAGAACCCCGGCGCGGGGCTCGCGTACGTACAGTACGGGGCATAAGAAATTGTCCACGTATGCACTCATCTGGCTCAACGAACTACAAAATGGGGATTAGTATTTATTTGGTGGTACGCGTCATGGTCGTATGGACTGAACCGTGTATAATATATACCACGTCCATAAATAATAGCCTCAAACTCGCCTTTGAATTTCATCCAGAAACTTTCCGTCATCGTGCGCGGGGTCGACTTGCAATCGACTTTGAGCTTCGCAAAGTTATGTTACTTCGAATGCCCACCGGCGATGCCAACTTCGTCGCAGCAGCACGCGACCGCGCCGAGTGACGAGGCTGTGGCAGAGATGTCAGTCTATTTTGCGCATGATGTTGACTAATGCCAAACCGGGCACGTAGTAGCTCCCATTACGCCATACGCGCCCTCGCTGAACCTACTTTCGCCCTTTGAATCGCGCCCTCATCAGCTCGAGCACCAAGTCGAACAACCATGGACGCGTCGTACAAGCCTCGCCAGAGCAAGCAGCCAATCGTCTTCACCGCGTTGGCAACCCTCGCGGCTGCGCTTCTGTTCTGGGTCGTGTTTCTCAGGCCTACCTCCTCGCCTACCGCACCAGTGGTGACCAAGGTCTGATCGTCTTTTTCTCCGCTACAAGCATGTCGTCTCAAACGGTTGAATGTTGGTATAGGCCGTTGCGGTCCTCAAGGGCGAAACTGGCGCAAGTGGCACAGTGACGCTCGTCCAGACCGCTCCCGGAGCCAAAGTCACGATCACCGGCGAATTGCAGGGGCTCGACCCCAGGGCGGAGCGGGGCTTTCACATTCAGTGAGCATCGGTTCGTTCGTACTTATATGCTACTGTTTGCTGAGTCTCAACACGACCAAAGCACCGCAGGCGACCTGTCTTCGGGCTGTGCCTCAGCCGGCTCGCATTTCAACCCTCTCAGCCAGGCTCATGGCGCCCCGATTGACGTCTCTAGGCACGTCGGCGACTTGGGAAACATCCAAAGCGATGCGCAGGGCGGATCTAAATTCACTATCGAGGATTCGTTGGTGTCTTTGAATGGCCCGCTGAGCGTAGTCGGGTGAGTCGCAGAGCCTTGTAGTGCCCTTATATGCGTCTGATCCACGGCGTCAGTCGCGCTATCGTCCTTCATGAGGTCAGTGCTAGCGTTGCCTTGGGCTCCATGTTTCTGTTGTGCTTATGCGCGGTGTAGGGCACCGATGACCTTGGGAGGGGCAAAAACGAAGAGTCACTCAAGACGGGCAATGCCGGCGGGCGTGCCGCTTGTGGTGTCATCGGTGTGTGCAATTGGTTCTCTGCGTGAACATTTGAGTTGACCTTGATCAACAGGCGTCGCGCAGTAAGAAGGCGAGGCAATTGTTATTGAATACGACAATGTACTTTTTGCTGGAGATCTTCTCGTACGATCAAGCAAAATGACGGCGGCCTCGTCGCTTCCGTCTGTGCCACTATGCATATTGTGCTGCCATGTCATCTCGCCGTGGCAACGGTCTGCATCGCCTGTCGAGGTATGTGGAACCTCACAGGTATTCCCAAACCCATTTTGCGGTAAACTATCGTGGGGTTACTGATCTCTCCGACTGACGCACATAGGTGAATTACTAATTACACAGCGCCCTACGTGTGACGCCTAGGTATTGGTCAAACGTCAGCGCCGCCTGCAGCATTGTAGTCACGAAGAATGGACAGTCGTGAGTTGATTGACTTGCACCGCGTCCGCGCAGTTAAAGGAAATTGCCTCTCATATAAGGAGAGCAGAATCAGGACGCATCTTACGTCCAGACCTCTCCCCACAATATCGTTATATCTTATTGAACCTCTCGGTACTGCGTGAGGCGTTATTGTATCGATCTAGGACTTCTGGCATCGCGTCCATCTATGGTGACGGAGATGTGATCAGCCTCGAGCTGAGTATAGGCTGCCAATTCATAGGCGTCATTCTTATGCTCGTGTAAGTCATCGTTTCACGTTGCGGCTCTGTTGTACATGTGCTAACATGCTCGTTGAACAGGTTGTATGGCCTTGCATGCGCGCAAGTGATGTACTACTATTACCACTACCGCACGACAAGCTGTATCTCCGATGTCTGGTATGATAGAGTGAGTGATGCCTACTGCGCCAGAAGCGGCTGACGATCTCCTTCAGGTCGCTGTTCTCTGGTGCGTATGGGTCCATAGGCACGTTCAACGAGTCACGTCTGAAAGGCAGCCGATGCGCCAGGGTCATTGAGACGGCAACGGTGGTCCTCGACTCACAGGTGATTGGCGCATGCAGGGAACAATGAATCAACTGAGGCTAATGCAAGTATCGTGTAGGTTGCACATACAGTGGTCATCTCCAAACATGCTACTCGGTCCTTGCTGTCCTCGCCGATACCGGAGTACGTCTTATGCGCATGATACTCCTAATCCTCGAGATTGACCCTCTCTCGCTCTTGTGCAGACTGTCGTTTGTGAGTCGCACGATATTTCCGTTGTCAGCTACCAACTTTGTGTCCTAGATTGAGTTTGTTCTCGGGGTACGCATCCGTAGATAATGTTCGATCCCCAAACTGCATGCTCTTCCAGGCTACAGCTGTCCTCGTTGTGCAGTTGTGCGTGCCGACTCGGACATCTGCATGATCTGGCTATTTCTGATGACAGCACCTGAATAGTTTTTACCTGCATGGTACATGGACACGTCAGTACACACTATCCACTTCTGTCGCTGCGACTGACATAATCTCGTTCCAGTAAGCAACAAGCGCTGGTATACTAAGATGACGATCGCTTTCATGGTAGTTCCTGGCATACCGTTGGCATCGCTAGTCTCATTGACACGTCCCTAGGTCCTCATAGCACTTCTATCACTAGGTATGCCGTCTCTTTCCGTCAAGGACTTGGAATCCCTCTCATGACTTGGGCGTTGCGCTCGAAGCCGCCACTATCGGTACGTCTTGATCAATCATGACAGTCATGCTGAAATTACATGAGAATTTAATCATCCTGTTGCACATCAGCATTCTTGTGCGTATATATTGCGATGGACAAGTCACCTTCTTTCTAATCTCAATTCCAGCGTTACTGACGAGTCGGCTGTGAAGCACGGACTCAGTTTTGGCATGTACACTGATCCGCAGGTACGTCACGTCCCGTCGCGCAATGTCGCCCATGCACCGCCTCACTGCTGTCTTCACAGGAGCCACTAGAGATATCTCTCCTTGCGCTCTCCGCCTGCATCGTGGATGTCTATATCACCGTGGCACTGTGCTGGCATCTGCGCGAGAGGCAGAGGGGATTGAAGAGGTGTTTCTCAATTCCCACCCTCGTGTGTGACGAATTCATGATGGTTCTGACAATGAATGCAGAACCCACGCGCTGCTCCACAGACTGACAGTATACGTCGTCAATCGCGGGATCCTCACCGCGTACGTCCTCTCGTATTGACTCTCGCGAGACTCTATCAGCTCACGTTACGGTGTTCAGTGCCACACAGCTCTTATCATTCCTCACGGTAAGTGTCATCAACTCTCAGAACTTGAGGCGAGCAGTGGCATTGAACCTCCTCTAGTATATACCGTTCTCGAAGAAAATCGTGTACTTGTGGCTCACCTTCCACTTGCCAGCCAGCAAACGTAGGTTGTTCCTTCGTTAGCCGCCGTAATAACTCTCACATCCCTGTGTTGGTTAGTGTACTTTAACTCCATGCTAGCAACGTGAGTACGTGACGTCGGTATTTGCATCTCGTTCACTCATGATAGCACTCACATAGGTTGAATGCACGGCGGAAATTAAAGGAAACATGGATCATGATGTCAAGCTCTCGATACCAGTTGGCCGGAGTAAGAGCCGAGCGTTGAAATAGTGTACGTGTCGGATTACATAACGTCCACGACGAGGTGCGTAGCAAATCCCGTGTTCAAGTTGTGTATCATAGCAACTGGTGTAGGTCACCGACGCGCCGGTGGTCCACAGACATCGCAGTGGGAAGCTCACCGTACAGCTTAGGGTATAGCATGGGTGCGACCACTCGCCACCGAGTACAAACGGTGTATGCGTATCGGCTGTACAAATGATGCCGACACTAACATTCGTCTCAAGTACTGGTATTCGTCCGTCTGTACTACTACATGGGTCGCACTATGTCATGATCTTGCTGCGACGAGGTTCTACATTGGTGTTAATTCCCTGCTACATCAGTGCATGAACGGTCATGGCATGCATGTTCAATTGGACCTCGTAGTTCCTAGGACTCGCATTTAGCTGCGCGTTGCAACGCATCCTGTCTGTACAAGTTTGTGAGTCGTTTCATCTTGAAAGCTATACATGATTGACGGCCACAATCTTTTAGACATGACTACGTGTGTTTCCCGAAGGATTCAGCCTTCTAGAGATGCTTAGGTACGGTCTATGGATAAGCCAGACTGATGTACTCTGAGCACACCTCACACAGTGTATCTTGTCTGCCTCTATAAGTGGGTTCAGACTATCATAATAACTCACAATCTATATTATACTTTTGTTCTCCAAACTCCCTTCGACGATGCGACCTGGCCAATGGCACAAGATTCTTGGCTACCTATGTTCCTAATGCCCGTCTTCACAGCAACTACTGCCCAACTCTTCTATGCTTGGCGTATCGCGAAATTGTCGCAGAGCCGACTCTCCTCAGTCATCATCATCTTTGTGAGCCACATGAATGTCTTCGCTGGACAATACTATATTGAGCTGCGCACAGGCCATCTGGTTCGCGTTCTGTTTTGGCATCATATCTGCTGTCAGGATGAAGGTGCGTATACTAATGACGGTAACGTACAAAGTGCACCGCAATGACCATTGATCCTAGGTGAAGCTTGAAGCACTGCAGTCTGAGCAGCGTTGGAGGGCCGGTAGCGGCGGCCTACCACGTCGGCTTATAAGAGGATATACGTAGCCCCCGAACGGCGGCGGTCGTTTCTGTGCCAGCGTTTCCCGATGCTAGTGCAATCTACGGCCGCCTGCGCTGATATCAACTTGGCAATGACCATTGATCCATTCTCTGGCAATCCGTTTCACGAATCTGACTCCTTTCAAATTTCTCAGAAGACAGTACTTAAAACCGGTCAAGTGCCCACGTCAAGTTCGGAGCTGCTCGGAGCACCGACTGGTTTGGAGCGACCTCCGACTGCCTCGGAAATCCACACCGCCTCTCCCATTCAGATGGACACTGCCAGTGGGATGCTGTCCTACCAAGGCAGCAAGTATTCGCAGTGCCGCGGCGGTCAAGCCAATTCAATGCGATGTCCAGATATCTATATGTAGGCCGGTGTCGAGCCCACCACGGTCCACTGTGACCACTGGCACAATCTCAACGATTATGCAGATGACTAACCTCACGCCGCGTTCGTTCAGCTCGTTTTTCATCGGCATGACCTTGGCTACTGCGTATGCGACCAACTCTCGTCACACCTTTCCAACTACTGACGTGGAACTTCCAGATTATATGGCTGCACTTGTGCTCAGCTCATGTATTATCTTAAACATTACTCAGATAGAGACGGTTCAACTATGCGAAGCCTGGTGAGTCTTTGAGTGACGAGTGATGTCCGTAGTGGTGTTTATCAAAGTGATGCTTCACAGATAGTTCTTCTCTGGTGCGAACGACCTGACATTTGAACATGAGTATATCTCAATTGCTCTCAATTAGGGCACTAGATACGTTGTCGACAATCCTGAGTGTGGATGTGCGTATTCCCCGTTGCTACTTTTGATTTTCTTGTGCCTACAGACCGATTCAGGGTACCTGGTACTATATGGTTCAAAATCATGGTACAACGTCTATATCGTCACTGCCAAGGTATGTCCACAGTTGTGCAGCCAGCCCTTCCTGACGTGTTCTGCTTTTCAGGTCGTCAGCGGTGCGTGCATCCATAGACCTTGTGCGAACAGTTCACTGATGTCCACCCAGCTAGAGCATCTCACCTCTGTATGTAGCTGTGGCTTGTGCAGATTTGACGCACGACTTACAAAGATCACCAGGCTACTGTCACATTTGCTGTGCGGAGGTCTGGTTCACCCTCATGCACTTCGACAACATATACTGACCATGATCTGCTTAGTTTCGACATCTTCACGTTGTGGAAACGTGAGTCTCGGATGCAACTGTCTATTCCTAGAACTTGTGATGATGACGAATGCCGCTTGACAATTGAAAGTGTCTCGGCGGCAACGGTGCAGAGTACCATTAGTTGTGACATCCGTTAGTCAGTGCGGATGATCACCATATCGTGTGTATTAACGTAGAATGATTTCAAGAGCGCGTTGTCGATGATCGCAATTGGTAGGTAAAGCACGAAAGTCACATACCTTGTGTGCCATTCATCCTAACACGAGGTCTCAGGTTCTGCGCTCTGTGAGTATCATGGGCTCGATCATAGCATTCGTCTCCAGGTCGCTGATACACGGGCCCGCAACAGCAATGCTATATGTCCACTCCTTGAGTTGACGACAGCCCAGACCATTCATTGTGACCTTATATCAATACGATCACAGAGGCTACGACTCCCAGCTCGTTCGCGACTTGTGGGAATTGCTACGCGAGCCAAAGGTCAGTTACAGGCCCAGCATCATATGGACCACACGACATTGACAGGAGGCAGATGCAAATCTCAATACAAACGCTCACGGCCTTCATGGCGAACCTCTTCCTATGTGCATCTCTCTGCTGGGTAGTCCGAGTTGAAGGCGCCAAACTGGCTCCGGACTCGATGTAAGCTCCTGTCCATCTATATGCTACAAGGCGCATTGACACCGTCATGATGTTGCATTAGCATGAGGTCGACGATCCGGAGGTACACCTTATACACGGTCTTCCGAACCCTGTTTGCTGCGTGCGACCACCCCGCTTCCTTGACCGTCTTACAAGTCATCGCTAACCCGTTGTCAGCCTGGTCGAACTGTTCGCATTCATTTTGGTCAGTCGTTACGCTCATCGGCGGGAACCGCTAATCTCAGTGAAAATCAGTACATCGGTTGGTTAGACGACGACTGTACTATTGGACCATATTCATATCCCATCCAGCAAAGGTGAGCCGCCATTCCTGGATTGTTCGAAACGTCAGCGCTCATAGCCTTGCAGTATACGTCAACTCTATCCTTGCTATGTGAGCATGATACACCGCGCAAATATGTGAGAACCACTGACGATGTTGTACAGGCTAAACGCTCGCCACTCGTTGGCTGGTACGGCAAAGATGGCTCGACATATTTTGAGGACAGCATCATCTTCGCGAACATGCTAGACGTTGAGCAAACCACGGACGAATCCGCCTAAAGCACCGTGACTCCGGACCACGCAGACTCGTGCCTCGCCGGCTGTAGTGAGTCCCCCACAACACGACTTTGTCGGTGGCACTGTTAACCGAGCACAGCGGAAGACTATCATACCGGGGTCGCTGGCGCACGTATAGATACTCGGCTGGAGAAGACGGGTCATCACAGTATTTCTAGTGGATATCCAACGTTGTTAGCCAAGCAGTCGCGTTCCCCCGCCAGAAGTCAACTGGTAGGGGTCAATAGCACAGAGACATCGGTCTCAACGTCGAACGTTGTCGCCGTGCACTCGAGGACTAATAGCTAGATAAGGCTGGATTATATTCAACGCATTACGATACGATAGCAACTACGGTCTAATCACGGTGTTGTGTCTATGCTACATGTTCTACGACTTATATACAATGTAACGAGCGCATGATGTTATGAACGATTGGCACTGGGTTACAACCAGGAATCTCTTCGTGGCACAGTAGATCTATAGTGGATAACGTTGTTCAATGTGGGGTATCGGCAGGAGACCTTTGATAGGTCGTCAGGGAGTTCTAGGCGCCTCCTGGAGGGTAGTGGCCTTGCTGTGCAGCTCTGTAGCACCCGAAGGCCCCACTTGTAGCCTAGCCAGACGTCAGAGGGATATGGCATATGGAGTCCCTCGATCTCGACGTCCTTGCGCTGCCCGCTTCGTAAAAGCATGAACAACTTCTGCGGCAGGAAACGGTCTCGGGCAAGCACTTTGGCTGGCACCTGGACCTTCCGAAGCGGTGCGTCCGCCTTTCGTCGGACCTTGACGAGATGCATCACCGACTTGAAGAAGCGAACGCCGTGCTCCCCGTCTAGCGTCGTCGGCTCCGACTGGCCTCCAAGGGTGAGGTGGGTCAACCTCGGCAAGAGGACGTCGTCGGGCTCGACGTGAGAGTGCAGAGCGGCGAGGCCCCGGACGAACTGGTGGACGTGGAGGCCGACGAACGCCAGGTGTTCGATGCTCGGGAACAGCCTCAGGAACTCGCTGAAGCGTTGACCCACGATGAGTGGCGACGGATCCTCGGGCGAGCCAGGCATCTGCAGGCGCAGAGATCGCAGGTTCGGAAACTTGCCTTGGTCGCCATTGGAACCATCGTCTCTCAGCGCGTCCACATACCAGCCCGCGGTGACGTTGAACTGCACCTCCATGTCCTCGATCTGCAAAACCTCCAGCTGCGGCGCCTCGAGTAACTCCAGAATGGTCGCGTTCTGAAAGTAGTCGCCTATCCGCAGACTCCGGAGGGCAGGGAAGTGAAGGGAGACGTGCGAGTCCAGTTTGTAGCTCGACGTGACAGCGAGATGTGTGAGCTGTGGCGCGGCGTTGGATAAGACGTGAAGGTCTGACAATGTCCATGGGGCGCTCGCCACATCGAACGACCTCAAACGAGGTAACGACTCGTTGTCTTGCATAGGGAACGTACACCTGTGCAGCTGCACATGCTGAAGCTGTGGTGCGCCTGCGGGGAATGGCTTCGGATACATGTTGCCGTTGCCACTGAGTAGGCCTGCTTCGAATGGACATTCGATCGCCATAATCTCGAGCGACGGTGCGCTCAAGTTTTCTTGACCCAATAGAGACATGACGACGTCCAGAAGGTCCGGGAACGGAGTGCTGACATGAATTTGTCTCCACCGAGGCAATTCTTGAATGATAGTGGTGACCAGCGTGCGCAACGCGGTCTGAGAGACCGGTCGGCCTGACAAATTGGCGCCATTCTGCATTGTGATAATAATCTCCACATCAAGAAGGCGGCGTCGGGACCGATCCAGGTAAAGCTGCAACACGGCGGGAGTCGTGGTCGCTGACAAGCGAATGTGGGTCCAGAGGCGCGAGTAACTGAGGGCTATGGCCCGCCATCGTCGTGAGACTGCGGACACAGCAAGCTCCGTGGGGCAGGGCACGCGTCGGACTGTTGGTGTTGCGTCTACACGAGCATCGCATGGGGGAAGCTCGCCAGCGAGCACGAAGATGTGTTCCAAGAGTTCGTCAGGCAGACGGTCTATAATCATCTCCACCTGTGGCCGGCGTCGGCTGAACTGGAATGCGCAGAAGAGCGGTATGAGCAATGGTGTCCGGAACCAGTGGCGTAGACGTACACACCTGGGACAGAACTACCTTCGTGACCTGTTTAGTGATGCGCTTCATCCCGAAAAGCGAGTTCATGACAGCCAGGCAGTGTCTGCACAGGGGGCGAGATGGGGCTGGAGCATGCTCAAGCTGCCTTGTTATACCTCGTACACAGACAATGTGGCCTTGCGCGTGGTGCAAATGAGGCCTCACTCACAGTCAAACCACACTAATCAGGGCAAGCACAAGCCACTGACCCAAGCCAAAGGCACCGTGGCACGGGTGGCGTCGCTAACCTGAGACGGAGCGCGATAGGTCAGTCTTTGTGCTGTAGTCATGGCGATGAAAACATTCTACTCAAGCACATATCAAAGCAAACCAATATAAATATGTGGGTGTCGTTAACGTATGTACGCATGGGTCAAAGCAACCTGCACTGTGACGAGTGACGAGTCGCGCTTCGCAGTTGCCCGCCACTGGCACCAATTAACCATGTCGGAAGTTATCTTCTGACGGCTTGGCATCGCCACAGAGAAAATGGCAAATGAGTGGCGGATGGCGGGGTGGCCGAGTGAATCACTGAAGGGTCGAAACGTTGACGCGTTGACGAAGTGAACGACTCGACGGTCAAGTACCGTGACCGTGACATGGCCTTGCTCGTATTTGCATGTGTTAGGATCTAAAGGTACTGACTTCTAAACACGGTATGCCTTAGCACGGCGGTCGTTCAGTGTGAAAACTCGTGCGACATGTTGGTACACAAATATACATGCGGATCAACGGGGAAAACGGACGTAGAGTGGACATGCGAGCCATTAATGAGCGTACCTAGCTAGAACGTGCAAACATAGCAAGTAGTATAGTAACGCTGAGAAGGGTATCATCTACATAAGGTATAAACTTATATGACCATGCGTAACGACATAAACCAGCATAAACCGTAAATTCTACATGAATAGCAATGTGACGGGATTCGTCAGAAAGCAAGTCGTTGGGCGGACACTAGTACCACTTCGCGAACATCCATGATGTCCACCGTGACCGTGGCTTTTCTGCCTTCTCCTCTTCACCTTCCTCTTGCCTGAAGTGTTCTTGCTCCGCCTCTTCTTCCACGATTGCTTCCTCGACCACCGCTTCGCGGAGCGAGACAATGCTCATACCACCTACTGATGCCTCGGGCTGCATGATGGGCGGCAAACCCAGCGTGCTTCTCGACCGAACATTCGAGGGCCGCAAGGCCATCTCGTGGTCGGAGAATGAGCGTATTCGACGATCGGCGTTCGCAGCGTTGAGGAAGGCAGACGGGAGATGTCGCTGGTACCCTGGCATACCAGGTCCGAGCGAGGACGACCGCAAGCCGCCCATGCGTGGTGGGCCCCCATTCGGAAAGCCCAGTTCCGCCATTTCAGGCGAAGCCATGCTGCTCGTGTGGCTATATTGTCGGTCGCGCCGCCGTGAAGGGGGGTGCAATGAGGGCACGGTCTCCAGCTCACGCTCCATGTCAAGGCTGCCGACGCGGCTCGCGATGTCGGAGGGTAACTCTATATGCTCCGTCCCGTTCAAGCGTCTTGCACGCCCGTCGAACGAGGCCATGCGGTGATCCACGCTTGCCGTGCTGCTGAGGAACGAAGATAGGCCGGTCACAATGAACTCGTCTTCGTACCAGTCGCCCAGTCGCCCCACTCCAGGCGAGTTCGTCAATGAAACTCGCATGTTGACGGTGTCATCCAGATTGAGGAGGCCCGCAGGATCTGCAGGCAGCCATAGTTCGTCCTTGATGGGTTTGACATAATACGGGTTGTCGTAAGGGTGATCGGAGGAAGACTCGTCGTTCCACCTCGGGTGCGGTGGGTGTCTCGTCACGGCCGGCTCCCGTGGTGATTGATCGTTTTCAGGAATATGCGGCAGAACGTCCACGAACGATTCCTCGCCATCAGTCATGCGAGGAAACGTAGTCGGAGAGCCAGGCCGTAACACGTCGATGGAGGGGCGGCTATCCATCGAGGAGAACGGATTACCATGCCGTTCACCTCTGTGCTGCGGTCGCCTTGGAATAGTCGCATAGCCATTGCCTATCTTGTTCGGGAACTGCCAAGCGCGTATTGCAGGAGGTAACGTATGCGACGAGTCGGCTTTGGGCTCAGCGATAGTTGACGTCTCGGTGACGGTGACGTTTTTGTCCTTTGATTGCGCTGCGTCCAATACGGCCTCAGGAACGGCCGCGGTACCGCACATAACCTGGCCTTCCAAGAGATCATCTTGCTCAAACTTCGCCCGACAGATCCGCGTGAGTCTATCAAAACAATGAGCGACTGGTACCTTGTCACTGCGGCTGCATACATACATAACCTTGGTGAAGGCCGTCAAAATGATGAGCACTGCAGATACGCCCACATTCGCTTTCTTCTTGAGAACGACCATATAGGCTAGGAAGACAACCTAATAATATGTCAATGAGGATCTCGTAAAGCTCTTGGATCACTTTGACTGACTTGCGAGAGCATTAGTCCTGATTTAACAATCCCTTCAGCGACGACTCAAATGAGCAAGTGGACCAACGCACCATCACACGAGTACCGTATTATGCGTATCAACAATGTTTGGCCATTCCCCTCGTAGTTTTTGGCATAGACATGAAGAAGCTAAGCGGAGATGACTTTAGTTACGGCGGACATTCGCTCCATGATAGCCTTACCTGATTTCTGATGACAACTAGAACGACGATCAGTCCATTTTGTGTCGTCGTCCGAAGTCATACCACACACCTGACTCCACGCAGAAGTACAGAAACGCGAACGGTATGATCAACGGATTGAGGACGGCAAACACCACGACGATGTGCAGCACCAACGTGTGGTTTGGTAACCAATCTGAACATAAGTGCAGCGTGTTAGCAAGGGACGCATGTATCAGTCGGAGCAGCGCGCTCACAATAGTAGTTGAACGTTCGCGGTCGTATGCCCACCGCGCGTTTCCTCGGTGTGACTTGCCTTCGAGTGTTCGGATACATAATCAGCGGGAGCTATGTCGAGTCAGTACCAGTCCCGATGTTCCTGGGAATTTCTCTTACCCCAACTGCGCAGAGTCGTGGTGGTCAGTACACGGAAGCACATGTGACGGATATATCCACTCACACAGCGCAAGTTCCAAACCCCCGTGCATAGCCATTGTGAAGATCACTAGCACGAGACGTTGCGTTAACTCGAATGGCAGTCATGAACGAGATGTAGTCTTACGCCATCCAACGTAAAATGGGCCGGCAGTCGGAAAACTGTCCGCGACCACCTGGATCACCTCCAAACCCGAGGTCGCACTGAACGACACGAGGAAGGATTGCACCGCAGCGGTGCCGACGCAGAAGAAAACGAGCACGTTCACGACGAGGAACTTGTAGTACCGCGTCATGATCCTGTCGTGCAACGCTGACAGTGTTGCTATCGTGTGCGCTTTCTTTGCGATCAGCACTGTGTAGGAGTTCAGTACGACTTGGTTGTTTGATTGGCATGCGGGTACGGCCACTTACACAATAAGAGTGGAATCAAGAGAGCCAGGAGTGACACGAGCAAGGTGGGCACGAAGGACTGGATAAGCTCTTCTTCCCAGGGGTGCTTATCCAAGTAAGCTTTCTGCATTTCGTCAAGCACGGTCAGTAACGCTGGTGTGTAGCAACAGGCCGCACTCACCAGGCCAGGCCAGAAGGAACTGATATTCTGAATCGACACGAGCGTCACGAAAAGCGACACGGGAAAGATCCAGAAGACCGTGAAGCCCCTGCAAGAAGACGTCAGATGTTTACCCTCGGGACTCAAGCGTACACTCACCAAACGCCTATGTTGACAAGCCAGTCTTTCACAAACTGCACAGTATCGTGAGATCTTTGCCCCCAAAACGAGTGCCCACACCTACCTCCACCTGAAACGTCGGCTTCATCAGCCTATTCCAATCCAAATCCTCATACGACGGGGCCATCGTCACGAAGCACTGTAGCGGGTTCAGCGGGTGCACCGCCAAGTATTTGCACGCCCTCCGGGCGTCCGCGGGGTCCTCGAACGTCACGAACGCGGTCGACATCGGCTCGTACTCGCCCGGCGCGCGCGCGCGCTTCTCCGTGATGACCGACGAGAGCAGCTGCAGCTTCGCGGTATAGAAATCGATCGTGGGCACGACCTGTCCGCGATAGAGCGTCGAGAGCCGCGTGAGCGGCTGGTACGCCTCGAGCGTGCTCCGCGGGAGGCTAAGGAGCGCGTCCCAGACGGTGCGCTCAGGCGCGATGGGTGTCGCGGGGGAGAGTTCCTGTGGAGAGTCGGTGAGAGTGGGGAGGTAGTCGGGCTGCACAGATTCCCTGGTGAAGAGGCTACGCCCTCGTTGTGGTTTCACGAACGGTTTGAGCGTTTCCACCAGGAGTTGGTCCCTGTACTTGGAATCCCCCCTACCGTCGGCCCCGCTGCCCGACTGCTCACCGACGTTCGTGATCGAATTGATGCCCTTACCCTTCGCGGCCCCGGCTTGCTGCTGCTCAAGAGAGGTCTTGACAACGACGAGTGCCCGCTTTGCGAGCTTGATATGTGCCGTCTCAAGTAGACGTAGGTACTCTTCGCGGCGCATCAGTAGGTTGGCGAGCTCGGTCATCCTACGGACAACGGCTACACGTTCGATGGCTGGGACGTCTCCGGTGGCAGTAGGCGACTGTAACTGGTCGAACCCCCTTTGATCTTGCTCCTCTGGCTCGCTTTTGGGAGACCCTGGAAGAACGCGCCAGTTACCGAGCAGACGCGACATTCTGTTCAGTAGGAAGGAGACAGACTTGTTGAAGAAGCCTGGCTGGGTGGTGCTCGTGATGCCCAGCGCCGGCTTTGCAATGCGTCGGGAGAGGTAATACTCAAAGTACTCTTTGAGGTCCTTCTCGGTACGCAGCCCTGGCGGGATGTTCGTGACCATGACAGTCCTCAGGCGGACACCGCGATTCAGTCGTTCCGTGTCAAGGGGGACAGAGGATTTGAAAGGATACTGCGGATGAGGATGGAGGTAGTCCATGAGGTTCTGCTCATCGATACGCTCGCGTTCCTCGCCTGCAGCTACGATGTTCCGAGCGCGAAAGTGGAAGACGCCCTTCATGAGCCATACGAGGAAGCCGATCCAGCTCGCGGTGATCCAAATGAGCAAGAGAAGATGGATCCACAGCAACGATTGACCCTTGGCCGTGCTGACGAGCGACGTGATGGAGGCGCGGGTCATTGACTTTGGCGACACCGTGCCGTCGGAGAATATGGAATGGATGGGCAGCAAGATGGGAAGGGTCGTGAAGGACTGGATGAGCGTGTACCACCAGCATCCGCGGAGGAAGCGGACATAGAGAGTAGCGTCAATCCCCCGCAGCTCATTGAACTTGTCTTCAGAAACCTTGGTGACTTCTTTGACCCAGCCCAGAGGCCATCCGCGAGGCGTCGGGGGAGAAGGATTCCTAAAGGCAGGTTAGACAAGACACTAGAGCAGGTCATGCCACGCGACGAAGGGGGAGGAATAAACACGGGATCGATGCATGTACTGTACCGTTTCGACCATAGGTTCGCGGGGTGACCTATGCTATGACTTGGATAGTTCACCGGTAGACAGGGCAGGCGGCGGGTGACCGCCTTTGCCAGCACTGCGCCGCAGGCCCGAAAATGCATTCGTATACTTGTGACAGCCTACGAGAATCCTTAGTTCGGACCCCTCTGTGACCTATGATATGAAACCCTAGTTCGAGGGGGGCGACCTGTGACCGAACCGATGGTCGAAACGGTACAGTAATGTCTACATAGGGCTCCGCCCTCTCAGTGACAATAAATGGAACAAACGAACAAATAAGACGGTAGAGCAGAGGAACAACGCACTTTGCCCATGTTCGGCCTTGGTACAGGCTGGCGGCTATAAGCATACGAGTTGGGGGCGTTACATACGGCGGTGAACTCACTATCCAAATTCCCAGGACTCGACACTACCAACTCTCTCATCGCGGTTGACACCCCTCCGCTTCCTCTTCATGCACTCATGGGCAGTGATGCAGAGAACGAAGATACATCCGGCAATTACAGACTGATTGATGAGACCACTATATGTGTCGTACGTCAAAGTCTAGCAATATCATGCAGCTGCCGAGCTTACCTGTAGTTCTTGGAGAACGGGCGCGACTGGATGGTGGCCATGAGTTCGTGAGGGGTCGGACGGGGCGGGGCAGCTCAGAGCATGGGGCTGAGGTGTGTTCTACACCCGTGAAGGAGGAGGAGGGAGGAGGAGGGATGGAGCTGGAGTCTCACCATCTCGCAACCTCGCGAAGGTCGCGAAGCCTCCGTCTGGGCGCTTCCGCGGTGTCAGAACATCGCGTATCGCGTGCATGTGACACATGATCGCCATCGTTAGCACCAGCCACACCGGTTCGGCTTGGTTCGGCTCACGGCTGCCCGTGGACGTCGGTGAGCGTCGGTGACGCTCCGAACTCGGACTGAACAACGGACTTCACCTTCGACTCTGACTATGTCTGCCCTTCGTTCTTGCCAGCGGGCCTTCCCAGTCCGCGCGGCGGGCCGCGGCCTCGTATCTGCCCGCTCTATGGCCACGGACTCGCAGAGCGCAACCCCAGCCAAGGCTACCGACGATAAGCAGATTGAGCAAGCCCCCCAGCGAGACATTGTAGCGGCCGATATTGTCAGTGGTGCTCCTAGTAGGTATCACATCCGGATGCAGCGGTCGAGGTTTACTTACTTTGCTCTCAGCTGAGCTCCGCCACCGCGCCGTCCGGGTCTTCCAATACACGCGTAGCACGACCCAGAGTGGAGACGCGAAGTCGAAACGCTGGCGGATAGACTGGGATATCCTCCCCGGTGGTGGACGCTGGGAGAATCCTCTCATGGGATGGGCTAGCTCGTAAGTTGTCGTTCAGGCTGGTCCTAATGTCGCTCATACGCTGGCCGTGCAGCGCCGACTACATGCAGGGTACCCGTATTGGTTTCCGGACGAAGGAGGATGCCATCCACTTCGCGGAGAAGCAAGGTGAGTGAATCTGCCATTCGCAAAGACGGCGTCTCATTTGCACTGTAGGATGGGACTACTATGTGTACGCCGCGATCCGCTCACCTCATGTGAATCATGCTTATATCCTTCCAGTCAGCAACCTGAGGTCAAGGTCAGGCCCCCCAAGAACTATGCGGAGAACTACCTCTACAAGCCTCACAAGCTTCGTATCGTCCGCACGAAGTAGCATAGTAGCATATCATGACGGCAATCTAGAGCTGGTGCTGGAAACACTGCTATCGCGTGCCCATATGCACCTCATCCAGCGGATACTTCAATCTCTCCAGTCTGACATATTTGACATTGTCCCTATGGAGCTTGCATACAGGGTATAGTGTGACAGTACATGGCGAACAAACGACATAGAGAAAAGCAACGATGCAACGCACAGCGATCAGCAACAGCAAAAGTAGTCCAAACTTCCAAGTTCACAGCTCAGCGCAAACCGTCAGTTAATCAAAGTAATTACTCCCATCAAACCCCACAATCTTGCTCATCGGTCGCAAGCTCATCACCGGTGGCTTCTCTACGACCGCCACCCGCTCATCCTCATCCTCATCCTCGTCCTCGCTGTCCGACGCGCGGTGCTCCGGATTCGGCCGCCCGACGATGCTCACGATCCGCGAGAATGACGGCTTCGCGGGCTTGTGCACCCGCAGTGTGGTCGCGTACTCGGACAGCCTGCCGACCACGGCAGCATCGAGCTCGACGTCGAACAGGTCGAGGATGTACCGCCGCACTGGCAGGCGGTACTTTTGCGAGGAGATGGTGTGTAAGGCGCGGAAGTACATCTCTGACGAGCTGAAAATGTGCCGGTACTCCGGCCGCGTTTTCATCCTGCGGAGATGTCAGATGCAAACATATGAGAGGGAAGAGGGACAACTCACTTCGCTAGAGATCGTGAGGCGGTGTTGGCGATGACGGTGTTGGCGAGGTTGTAGATGGCCGCCATGACCTCCATCTCCTCTTCAGTCTTCGGCGGCTCGAGTCGCACATCGTCATCCCCTTCGTTGGCGACGCAGCCCCATGGAGGTATCTGCAAGACAATGAGCACAAGAGTACAAAATGGAAACCTTACGACATACATAGGTGAATTTCTCGACATCGACGGGCACGCAGATACCCGTCGGGATTCCCAGGGGAGACAGTGTTGCCTCCCAATGGTAGTCGTCCAAGATCTCAGCGCCTTGCGGTGTAGATGCAATTAGCCCAAGGACGAAGAAACACGTTCTGGGTTATGGCGTGAGCTCGGATACATGATCAAATCGAACTGAAACTTACCCTCGAACCGAGAGGACCAAAGATTCCTCCGCGATCTTGATGATCTCGGGGATGATCTCTTCGTCTTCCAGCAAGGTGAGCCCACCCTCGGTCGCCCCGATATTTCCCTAGATGAACCAAAGTCAGCGTCAGCCTCCGACAAGAGCCATTAACACAGCTTTCAAAACGCACGACCGCCCAGAGCACGCTTTTGAGCTTCATGATCAAGTCATGGTCCACGCTCTCAAGGCCGTGCTGCCTGATAAACTCTGCGAACTCTGCGAAATGACCCTTCTCCTGCAAGACTTGATACCCAAGCTCCGTCTTCGCCATGACGCCGTAGAAGTGCGGCGGTACCATGCTCTCGAGGGTACTGATCATCTACTTCAACATCCATGACCGTGCCAGTAGGGGCGGGGCAACTCACAGTGCATCCTCGTCTTCGTCGCCGCTGGGGCTAAAGATCTTGGCCAGGAAGACTTCGATATACACCACGTACTGAAGGTTTCTCTCCTGAAAGCCCGATGCTGTCAGTCACGAGCGCATGCTCTCTTGTGCTCAAGCTTACATGGAACCATATGTCCATCTCGCGGTCAATGTAGTTAGCAGAATACAAGAAGCGGAAGCCCATCGGAGTGGACATGAACCTATTCAACTCATGAGAGACTGTTCAGAGCGAGCATACTGACAGACATACTTCAGCATGAGCGGATGCCCCATCTCGCCAAGATGGTCCAACGTCGGCTGCATCTCGACAACCGACTGGAGGACATCCGGGGACTCGCAGGCCTCCTCCAGGAACCGCACAGCGACTTCTCGGACCTCGATAGCGGGGTCGTACAACTGCGTGAGGAGAAGCCGGAGTGTCCACGAATTGGTAGTTGCACTCGCACGGATAAGCGCGCCCAAGTGATTCGTTGCAAACTCTCTAATGTGCTGGAGAGGAGTCAGCAGAGACCAGATTGAAGGAATCGATGGCAGAAATACCTTGTAGCTAGAGGTGAGCGCCTTCGACAAGACGATTCGCGAATGTCCATCACTGCACGACGGTAATGAGAGGGTATTGACAATCAGAAACAGTGGCACGCACTAGCTATAGTCAAGATTCTCAATGATACCCTTCAGCAAATCTTCGCGACTCCTTAGCTCTGTCAAGTGGTAGAACGCAGTAAAGAGCTTGAACTTTTCCAACAGTCTGGGAGCTGTCAACACCTCGGATGGTTTGCTCATGCACGATGATGACGTACTCAAGTCCTTCCTTCCGCTTGCTAAGAGTGCCGAGCATCTCGAAGTAGCCGAATGTCAGTGTCTCATTCATCCGTTTTTTGGAGAAGATCGGATCGGATGTGGGAGCGCCGTTGAACTGGTGGGTGGTCAAAGGACGTTCGGAACTTTAGGGATGGGCAAATGACTCACCGGGTCAAGTTGGGCGAAGCTCTTCACAATCTGGTTGAGGAGGTCGTCTTCACCCAGGAACTTCACGCCCTCCGACGAAGTCAAGAGAGCGTTCAACAGCTGACAGCCTAAGCGAACCCAGCGTATATTTGCCTAGTAGACCAATGCTGCTCAGAGGCGTGCGGTTCTCAGAGAAGGGTACCCTCACCTTCGTCTTCGGCAGCTCAGAGAACTTATGGCTGAACGGATGGAAGAAGCTCATTAACTTGCGCATATACCGCGACACTCGTATCGCCTCCTCCATCCTCTTCGGATTCAGGAGCGGACCCTCGATGAGCTCTTGCAGGACTTCGAAGTTCCACTTCGAGGGGTCTTTGGCGGTCATGACTTGAGAGTCTAACAAGATTGCTTGGAAGGCCTTGTCGTCCATCTGCATCGCCTGCTTCATCTTGTCCTGTTGAACCTGCCTCTGCCCGCGACGCACGGCGTCCTCCACTGAATTCGCTCTGCATAGTGTGAGTACAGGACTCTCCCGACGGAAGACAGAGCGTTAGCTACCTTGGACGTGTATCGCACTTGTCTGTAACGGGCGCAGGCTGGACACGTGCTCGATGGCGGTTGAAGCTGTCGATTGAAGACAAAGCTGAGTTACCGATGATGCGATGTTCGCCAACCGAATAGTCGGATGCCAGGTTGAACACACGTGGAAGAGCCTGAAGACAATTCGTTAGCTGACAACACCGTGTCACTGACGAAGGATGGTTACCTGAATGTGTGCCGCGATGGACAATGGTAACACCCTGTTCGACATCTGCAAGATCTCTGCCATGAGGAGTACCGCTTTGCGAGAGAGGTTCGACCCGACTGGACTCTCTTCCAGCATGCACGTGAGTGCCTAGACAATCCAGTTCGTCACGTAGTCGAAACATCGGGATTCACACTCACGTCCAGAAGCCCAGCGCCGCAAAGCACTTGGATCAACAATGCCAGGAAGTGCTCAATCAGCTTGACCGTCACCTGTGGTCTTTGCGCAGGCTCGGGCAAGGGAGGAAGCTCCTTCTGGTCTGACGTCGCACTCTTGCGGTAGACTGTAGGGAAGGTAAGCTTCCATTACTCGTCTGATTACACGAAATCCTCACTCGTTAGGCGCCTTCCTGCGATGAAGGCTTGGTGCCAGTCAGGTGCCCTGATGTTCAATAGGTCAAAAAACATGTCCAGAATGACTTCCTGCATGCAACGAACGTAAGCATGGCGCCCCCGAGCTGCTTCGACACGCATACGTACGCGGGTCTCGAGTGAAGGTATTCGTAGGCCATCGACCAAGGAGCGTATGGCTAGCTTGTCTTGTATGCAGAAATATATGAGACCTGACAAACCATTGTTAATGACGTTGTAAAAGCGGGATGGAGTCACATACCACTCCATGTTCGGAGCATGGAAGTGACCACTCTCGAGCACGCTCTCATGCGGTCGACGTGTTCCAGCCCCTTGCCATATGCATCCGTCACTCCAGATAAGGCCATCTATGGAAACTCAGTAGACCGCACCACCACGTTGTAGCTACTCCCACCTCCAAGTCGATCCCGGGACGTAGATACGCCCGAGTAGATGGGCAGTCCACGATATGGAGAAACACAGACGCAAGGAGAGGCGCCATCTCAGGGGGGCCATCAGCAAGAGCGTGTAGCAGAACCCGAATACCACCCGTCTTCGCCATCAATTCGATGTCGATGACCACTACGACAAGCCTTGTCAGTCTGACAGACTACAGTGAGAACCGCAGCAAGGAGAAACCCACAAATCTCTGTCAGCGTCTGCAGGCATATCGGCCTAAAAGGGTCATCCACGCTCTCCGCAACTGCATTCAGAGCGCGCAAGACTGCGTTCGAGAGCGGGACCGCACCGGCACCACGAGCGTTGGTACCACCCGGACCCCTTCTCTCTGAGCCAATCTCCACGATTGCACGGATGAGCTTGATGACCTGCTCCTTCTCGACAGCATATTTGTTGTCGCGGGAGAGGGACTTGACCATGAACCAGTCAAGCTTCTGCTCCTTCAGACGTTCGACGGAGTGGAAGTCAACCAGCGAGTGCCTGATGAGCCGGTACGCTGTTGCACGAGAGTGCTTCAACGAGCGATCGGAGAGTGAGGGAAGAACCCTGCGGTGATCGATTGAGCTTGCTTTTATGACGCCACGCAGTACACTCACGCTTTCACAACCTCTTCGACCTCTAGCTCGTACCGGACGCGTAGGTTGCGCTGCAGGACAGTGACAAGCCGCGTCATGGCCTCTACTCTCGCTCTCTCCAGATCGCCGCCGTTCGCCACGGTCACGCTGGACATGACAGATGAGGAGGGCGAAGTGGACGGAGAGGCGCCTGAAGGCGACGGTGCAGCAGGTGTGGAGCGATACGAAGAGAGAAGAGTCCTCATGCAAGAGTTAGCCTGCTGCATCGCTGAGCGGAAGTCCTCTGCAGCTTCGGTGGTATGCTTGACATGCATAGGTGGAGGTCTGTGCGGTCTTCCCTTGCCATTGATTGTAGTCGTCTCAGGACCTTGCTTGCGATTGCCTTTGGAAGAATCTGTGGCGACATGACGATGGTTCAAAGGACTTGGAAATGGCTCACAAGTCTCAATAGTGCTAGTTATGGCACTAATCTTGTTCTTGGCGACCTCCAGTTCGGACTCGACCTGTAAGCGTAATGTGTCCTACGCCAGTTGTCCATAAGCGGATAGCACAGCCGGCAGGGTGTATCTCACTGTCAATGGCATCTGCAGCATATTCTCCGCTCCCTCCTTGATGGCATTAGCAATCTTGAGTTCAGTGTGCAATTTCTCGAACTACATGGAATATCACGCCTCCAACCAGTGAGACAAAGTCATGAATACGCACCTGATCGGGTACCGCCTGCTCTTCTGACATATCAAGTCCCCTGCTGTCCCCATTCGTACCAGAATGGGTCATGAAGGACGAGCCACCATTCGCGAGGGTTGTGCCAGTCAGGTTGGTGTACGCTGACATCCCCGCGTCACCTAGACGCTGCGTCGAGCCAGACGACGACGCATGGTCGACGACGACGGAAGGCATCTCCGAGCTGAGATTAGTGCTGGAGGCAAGTGGGAGGTGTCGCTATGGTTGCATGCCACAGAAAGGCAGACCCACCGGAGGTTGGGAGGCTCGTCAGCGATCGCCTCAATCCCCGGACCCAGATCCGGATCGTACTGCAATGTAGATCACGTGCCAGTAATTCGCCGTACTACATTGAAGCTTAAATTCAAGCTTCGTATGTTCACACCTCGCTTTGTCCTCCCAGTACTTGCCTTTAACTTGTGGCGATTCCATGGACTGCGCGGAAAAGACGTGTCTCTACATTTTGCACTTCCACCAACATCTTCCCATAGTTACCCGTGGATCCGACTCTTCAATTGCCAGTGCCAGTGTGCACCGTCTTCCTCGTCTCGTCGGCAGATTTCCTTCCCTGTAACAATGGTACAAGCGGTGCGAGGGTCATGCTCGACGCAGTGGTAAACTCGAAGGACGTATTCACTCACATTCTTCTCTTTGAGCGTATGTTCCGCCGAGTCACTGTCGCGCAGATGGAGGAAGACCATGATAGCCTTCGTTGGCATAGACGCAACACCGTTATTAGACCGTAGCTCCTATCATATCGTAACACGTTGAATATAGTACAGCCTTACATAGCTATTAATAGACCTCAAGTGCACGGCGAAGTTGAGGTCTCTGGTAATGAGCCCCCCAGTGCCGTTGACTCCTCGCGGCGGAATGCGACTGTCTGGCTAACAGCGTTGGATAGCCGCCAGAACTCAAGACTCGTCTGAGTGTGGTACCGTGTTATCATGACCCATCTTCTCCAGCCGAGTATCTATACGTGCGCCAGCGGCTCCAGTACAGTGCCATCGACAAATTGTGCTGAGGGGAACTCACTGTAGCCGGCGACGCACGAGTCCGCGTTGTTCGGAGTCACGGCGGTGCTGCAAGCAGATTCGTCCGTGGCTTGCTCTACGTCTAGCATGGTGGCGAAGATGATGCTGTCCTCGAAGTATGTCGAGCCATCCTGGCCGTACTCAGCCAACGAGTGACGAGCATTCAGCCTGTACAGCTCCGTGAGTTGTTCTCAGATACTTTCTCAGCGTATCATGCTCACATAGCAAGGATAGAGTTGACGTATACTGCAAGGCTATGAGCGCTGACGTTTCGAACAATCCAGGAATGGCGGCTCACCTTTGCTGGATGGGATATGGAATATGGTCCAATAGTACGAGTCGTCGTCTAACCAACCGATGTACTGATTCACTGAGATTAGCGATTCCCGCCGATGAGCGTATTGACTGACCATAATGAATGCGAACAGTTCGACCAGGCTGACAACGGGTTAGCGATGACTTGTAAGACGGTCAAGGAAGCGGGAGTGGTCGCACGCAGCAAACAGGGTTCGGAAGACCGTGTATAAGGTGTACCTCCGGATCGTCGACCTCATGCTAATGCAACATCATGACGGTGTCAATGCGCCTTGTAGCATATAGATGGACAGGAGCTTACATCGAGTCCGGAGCCAGTTTGGCGCCTTCAACTCGGACTACCCAGCAGAGAGCTGCACATAGGAAGAGGTTCGCCATGAAGGCCGTGAGCGTTTGTATTGAGATTTGCATCTGCCTCCTGTCAATGTCGTGTGGTCCATATGATGCTGGGCTGTAACTGACTTTTGGCTCGCGTAGCAATTCCCACAAGTCGCGAACGAGCTGGGAGTCGTAGCCTCTGTGACCGTATTGATATCAAGGTCGCAATGAATGGTCTGGGCTGTCGTCAACTCAAGGAGTGGACATACAGCATTGCTGTTACGGACCCGTGCATCAGCGACCTCGAGACCAATGCTATGATCGAGCCCGGGCCTTGATACTCACAGAGCGCAGAACCTGAGATCTCGTGTTAGGATGGACGGCACACAAAGTATGTGATTTTCATGCTTTACTCACCAATTGCGATCATCGACAACGCGCTCTTGAAACCATTCACGTCAATACACACGATATGGTGATCATCCGCACTGACTAACGGATGTCACAACTAATGGTACTCTGCACCGTTGCCGCCGAGACACTTTCAATTGTCAAGCGGCATTCGTCATCATCATAGGGTCTAGGAATAGACAGTTGCATCCAAGACTCACGTTTCCACAACGTGAAGATGTCGAAACTAAGCAGATCATGGTCAGTATATGTTCGTCAAAGTACATGAGGGTGAACCAGACCTCCGCACAGCAAATGTAACAGTAGCCTGATGATCCACGTAAGTCGTACTTAAATCTGCACAAGCCACAGCTACATACAGAGGTGAGGTGTTCTAGCTGGGTGGAGGAGCATCAGTGAATTGTTCGCACAAAGGTCTATGGATGTACGCACCGCTGAGGATCTGAAATGCAGAACCCATCAGGAAGGGCTGGTTGCACAGCTGTGGTGGACATACCTCGGCAGTGACGATATAGACGTTGTACCATGATTTTGAACCATATAGTACCAGTTACCCTGAACCGGTCTTAGGCGCAAGAAGATCGAAAATAGTAACGGGGAATACGCACATCTACACTCATGATTGTCGACAGCGTATCTAGTGCCCTAAATGGAAGCACTGTAGATATACTCATGTTAGAATGTCAGGTCATTCGCACCAGAGAAGTATGATCTGTGAAGCATCACTTTGATTAGACACTACGGATGTTACTCAAAGACCCACCAGGCTTCGCATAGTCGAACCGTCTCTGTCTGAGTAATGTCTGAGATAATACATGAGCTGAGCACAAGTGCAGCCATGCATTCTGAAAAATCCACGTCAGCAGCTGGAAAGGTGGGACGAGATTCAGTCACATACGCAGTGGCCAAGGTCATGCCGATGAAAAACGAGCTGAACGAACGCGGCGTGAGGTTCGTCATCTGCATAATCGTTGAGCTTGTGCCAGTGATCAAGGTGGACGTGGTGAGCTCGACCCGGCCTACATATAGATATTTGAACATCGCTTTGAATTGGCTTGACCGCCGCGGCACTGCAGATACTTGCTGCCTTGGTAGGACAGCATCCCGCTGGCAGTGTCCATCTGCATGGCAGAAGCGGTGTGGAGCTCCGAGGCAGTCGGAGGTCGCCCCAAACCAGTCGGTGCTCCGAGCAGCTCCGGATTCGACGCGGGCACTTGACCGGCTTTGACGGTCTTCTAAATGAATTGAAAGGAGGAGTCAGATCCGTGAAACGAACTGCCGGAGCACGGATCAATGGACATTGCGTTGATATCAGCGCAGGCCGGGCGGCCGTACTAGCTTGCACTAGCATCGGGAAACGTTGGCACAGAAACGACCGCCGCCGTCCGAGGGCTACATATATCCTTCCAGAGCCGACGTGGTTGGCCGCCGCTACCGGCCCTCCAACTCTGCTCAAACTTCAGTGCTTCAAGCTTCACGCGTCCGCGTCAGCGCTGAGCGCTCCCCAGCGCGCTTACCGTGATCGGCGGTAAGTACATCTGAGATCTTGAGCGCTTTAGCAATCGCACTTGGACGCAAGTGCTCACCTCTCTGGACGACGTCCACAAGTCGACGGCAGGGCGAATACGCGTTGCTCGTGTCGCTGAATGAACACGAGATTGTCGTGGAGGACCATGACCGAGGGTCGACGTTCGTACGGTTCAATCTTGTGGTACGCAGTCAGTAAGGTCTCACTGCTCAGATCCAGCTTCGGGCTCGGTCAACCAACTATATTAGTAGGTCGGTAGACTCGCAGGTACGGCCGTCAACCTCCTTCTTTTCCCCATGGCACCATAAAGATGCGTCTATACTCGCGACGAAGCTTTGTGAGCGCAAGCGGCTTCAACGGGATCTACTGGGGCGTCGGGAGCGTCACGGTCGCACCCAGAGGTATGTATCATACACACCTTCTGTACAGCCTCGCACGGCAGCGCACCCGCCACCCCGCAGAGCGTAGTCCGCTTCCAGAGAGATGAATATAAGAGCTCGAGACGCCATAGATACGAAGGTTGGGACGGTGGAAGTGACGAAACGGGACACTTCTAAGTTATGTGTACCGCAGCTGATGGGACGGGTCAAAAAAAACTACCAGTTTTGATACGTTCTTCTGAGCCTCCTCGTCCGCAGAAGCGCAATGTCGCTCATGCGACAGAGCATGCCTTGATGTCATTTCGGAACCTAAGCACGGTCGTGGTCAATCAATAAACACGCTGCCTCTAACAGTTCACGGACCTCGGAGGAGTGATCATCAGCGTCTGCAGCTTCCTCGAGGGCGACCTCAGTCGAGCATTGAGGGCCTGCGCCCACGCCCTGTACAATCGACGATGTACGCGCCGTAGGCTGTCGACTGCTCACCGAGAGAGTTAGACGAAATCCTAGGTCGACTTCGGAGGCCTCTCTACGTAACAGGACTCTGTTGTTCAGTGAGACCAACAGGCTATTGGCATACCTGAGGGAAATGGCGTCAGCACTGTAAGAGTTGTAGTGAATACTGATTCGTCACAATTTCGGCAGAGTCAACAAGCTATCGGCGGGTCAAAGAGCTGCTGGAAGTGCGAAAATGGTTTGACGTGGACTCACAAACAAGACGCCTAGCGAGACTGGTCAACGTGTTTGTCGTTCACCGATACACTATGAGACTGACCACAGCTGGTATATACCACAAAAAACACACAATCGCGATTGCATTTATGACTAAAACGTCGATGAACTCATCGAAAATAGTATGACAAGAACAACGAGACATACCTGTAACGCATCCCGTCTCAATCACCATTCTTATAATGCGATTGACCAACAGATCGGTTTTTGCCCATTCATTTCTCATGCGATGTAACTGGATGAAGGTTAAATCATTTGGCAATAGAAACCCGACTACCGTGACTAGACGCACCAAATAGACCATGAATGCGGATATCGTCACATCTACGGTGGCGCTACCAGCCGACCAGACCTAGTTACGCTCGTAAGGCGTCCGATACTTGATATCGATACGAATTACCATCGGAGATACCCTGAAAATGGTTGGCAATATTACGTTGTCTGGCTGTACGATGCATATCATGATGCTACTGTCACTTTGTGCGTTACCGTCGATTGATATACGCACCTTCATCATGACAGCAGATATGATGCCAAAACATCACGCGAACCAGATGGCCTGTGCGTAGCTCAGTATAGTACTGTCCAACGAAGACACTTCTGTGACTCACAAAGATGATGATGACTGAGAAGAGTCGGCTCTGCGACAATTTCGCGATACGCCAAGCATAGAAGAGTTGAACAGTAGTTGCGGTGAAGACGGGCATGAGGAACATAGGCAGCCAAGCATCTTGTGCCATTGGCCAGGTCGCATCGTCGACGGTAGTCTGGAGAACAAAAGTATAATATAGGTTGTGAGTTATCATGATAGTCTGAGCCCACTCATAGAGGCAGACAAGATAGACTGTGTGAGGTCTGCTTAGAGGACGTCAGCCTGGCTTATACAGACCGTACCTAGGCATTTCTGGAAGGCTAAATCCTTCGGAAAACACACATAGTAAATGTCTGAAATTGTGGCCGTCAATCATGTATAGCCTTCAAGATGAAACAACTCACAAACTTGTACAGACAGAATGCCTTGCAAAGCGCAGCTAAATGCGAATCCTAGGAACTACGAGATCCGATTGGAAATGGAGGCCATCACGACCGTTCATGCACTGATGTAGCAGAGAAGACGTACGGCAGGCCCTAGACTGTGGTGATCATGAGATAATTTGTCATAACAGGTCTCTTTCAACTCACGCGAGAGACATAGTTGACCAGTCGGACGATATATTAGTCATGATGATATGAGCCCGTGGGTTCACTATTTGGGACAAGCAATTGCTGGGTGGGACTACACGTTTCAAAGCGTCAGCGAGCGTAGCCCTCGTAATTTGTATGTCGTAGAGGTTGACGACGTGTACGGTGCGTTGCAGAGGCGGATGCGGCATAAGGCAGGCAGCAGCATGTAATATATACTGCATCATACTAGGGAGTAGCGCTCCGTTGGCACAAGATCGCACAGCGTGACGCTGCCTAGCGTTCGCTAAATTATGAAAGCTTCGTAATTGTTAGTCACAGTGGGTTCAGGATCATCGTGAGCGACCTGGTACATTGCCTTCGCATTGCAATTCACGCACAGTGGGTGAGGACGCACACCGAAGACCAACTCCATTGCATGTTCCTCATCATTGTCCTGAAAGAAGTCCTGATATGACTGAGTGAAAACACCTTCACCGAAGCGGAAGAAGCTTATCATGCCCGTGTCAACAGCTGCGATAACAACCATCGTCTTCGCTGTCTTTGACGATAGAAACAGATTGACTTTGCGCGCCGTCTCTGCGGGCGTCGGCGACGAGAACGCCCCAGCAAAAACAGTCTCTGCATAAGAGAAGAAGATCGCGCCGTCTTCGGGGCATGTGGTGCAGCACCGGCACTGGCAGCTTTCTGATGAGCGAAAGATTGACGAAGCGGCGGTGGCGGTTCTGGTAGTACCACTGTGGTAGCACATCGAATACGGCAATCAACTCCGTGAGCGTGGGCATGGGTGGGTCCCCGCGCTATGGTTCATGCTAAGCGAAGTCCGGCGATTCAGGAAAATGAGACGCACTTGACAACCACCACCGAGTAGTCGAGCGGTGGAGGCGGTCTTTGCGAAGGGAGTGGATGGCTTGTAGACGTTGAAGAAGATCTGAGACAGAAGCTCGTGGAAGTGCCTTGACGTACAGAGGTGCATCATGGCCGCCCGCCGCGCAGGAAGCGCAGAGGCTAAGATGAGTTTCCTACATAGGACCATGTATGAGACGCTATTCCAGCACGATCCATGATCCAACTTGAGGATGGGCCTTGATCATGCGTACCATGAAGGCAACTGAGACCAATGGGTCGCCATCAGTCAAATCGCGGCGCTAACAGGTGCATTAGAGCACGCAGTGGCCACCGCATTATGAACAGCACTTTCAACTTTGTCAATATATGATAATTCGAGGCTTTTCAAAACGCGAGTGAAGAGCACGAACGAAGTGATAGTACGGGCTGGCCGATGGGAGACCGTCACGCCTTCAACGCCCAAGCTATTGCACGTCGTATGAGACACTTCGATGTTCGCGGTTCCTTCGCCCAGCCGAGTGATGAAATCAGATAGAGTGAGGCTGTCTGAGCATCCGCGTGCGAGTCCGAGTCGATGTGACGATCTGGATCGTACAGCTTAGAGCCACGCGTTACGGAAGGTCTGAGACCTCTATGACTCACAGTTTGACTCACCGTACTGAGCCTTTGATCCCGCTCACCGACATGGGGCGTGCAACATTGCCTTGGCATTTGAGGATCGGAGAGCCCTATATGCCGGAGCATATGTTAGACACTCAGTGAGGACGAAATAGACGCAGTGTTGTACTCGCCTCGGCGCACTCCGAGATGGAAGCCCTGTCGCCAGCGAGCTGCATAGCCAACGTCATTACAGTGATCCAGGGTGGAATGGCACAGTATGGTCTGTCTCCGCCGAAAGAGATAACAAAGGACCGAAGGCCCCAAGCAAGCTTAGTTAATTCTACATACGCCGGTTTCCGGGCGTACGAATCGATCCACCGTTGGCGTCTCGATTGATACGTCGTTTGTTCCATAGACCGGCTCCTGCAGGATCGGCCACCCACGCGCTGCTGCCCTGAAGCGTAGGTCAGAACGCTGTAAATACCCCGCCGAACCGAGTCCGACTACGATATCCCAAACATACAATATCAGCCACAGCTTCAACGGTAGGCAACCGGCGACATGTACGCACCACGGAGCCCTGATATTTCGCGCGATCCTCTGACGAGTGAGCAATGTGCTGGTAGGCTTTGACCTCCTTGGTCGTGTCGCATGACCGCATTACATGTATTCGCTGCCTTCCGCCGAGAGGTAATTCTTGTCTGACTAATAAGTAGCTGTGGTCGAATCTCCGCGGGTTCCGGCGGCATCGTTGAGTAGCATGACCAGCAAGCTCGTTGCTGCCGTGATACTTGTGAAAACCGTCCCCACCTTCTTCCAGCCCTTTCTCTAGTCGGATTCCGCAGAACATTGCAGTCTAAGAACACGATGACGTCGTGCGGGCGACGGGCGATTGGCGATGAGCTGCCGAGGCGCTGTATGTTGAAACGAGAGATCGGAACTGTCTTGATACACGCGAACACAGCGTTACGACCGTCTACTCTCATTGGTGAGTGGTACACGCAGGGACAAGCAAATTCGCCCGAATGCGGGCAAAGTCGTCCTCCGCCAGCGTCGTGTGCGTCTTCAAGTACCCCTCGACACCGCCATACCTCTCGCGCACATGATCCAGCAAGACACGCATCGTCTGCGGCCTGCAACCCACATTCGAGGTGTGGTGAGCTCCCGGGCGCACAGATGCCGCGTGTGACGTACTTTGCCGTCGCCATGTTGAGCGTGCCCGCTCTGTTGTCGCGGTAGACCTGTTCCTTCTCGAACCGCGCGACGAGGAGGGGCAGCGCGGGCTGCAGCCCGACGGTGGTGAGCGTATAGTCCTCGATGATGTCCTCGTCGCTCGCGCCGAGGAGCTGTCAGGCCGAGTGTCAGCTGCGGGCGCTTCCAGACATTCACATAAACGCACCAAAAGGATCAGAGCCGCGAAGACACCTGTACGGTCCTTTCCCGCTAAGTGCATATCCAGCGTAAGACTGCTGTCAAATAGATACGTCGTCATGGCCGCGGCTCACCGGTGCAGTGTAGGAGACAAGGCTCATCGGGGTGATCGCGCAGATGGAGGAGGACCGTCTCCACGGCACCCCCTCCGCGTTCCAGGATCTCAGAGTACAATACCATGAACGCCTACGATTCGAAACATAGCCGTCAAAGTCGCCCAGACTCGGAACGCACGGGATGCAGGACCCACCTCCGACTCGCTCGTCTCGAACTGCTTCAATCTACGGCGGCAACAACATCGGCCGGCGTCCATGGGGCTGAAGTGGAATGGACGCGCACCTCTGAGCTAGGCCCACCGGGTCGAACGACATGTCCACGATGGGCGCCCTAATGAACTGCACGCCCTCTATCCCCGCGTTCGCGCTCTTGTACTTCGCGATCTCCACGTCCGCCCGGAGGTCGAACACCTTCTTGACCCCCAGCGCGCGGAGCGCCTCTGCCCCGCTCGGGGTGACGCGACTGGGCTCGCCCGACCTGAAGAGGTGGTGCGGCTTGACCACCGCGTCTGGCGAGGATGAGGAGGGGCAGTTGCCGAAGTCGCGGATATTGATGACACCGTCTACGGTCACGAAAGGTGGTGAGGAGAGCGTGGCCGCGACGACATCCGGGGCGATGGTGGGAACCCTGTCTCAGTCGTAGCCATTAGTTCTTCAAGTCACTTGTGAATACTGACAGGGTCGCTCAGCACGACGTTGGCGGGAAAGTGGGAGGGTGAAGCGTGCGATCTACACAATCTGTGTGCACTCGTCCTCATGGCGACTCGGCGCAGCGACAAGACCCGCCATTCTGAAACTGGTCCACCTCCAAGGTGACCGCGGCAGTATGCATGAGAGGAGAGTACTGATATTAGGAGGTGGACCTCGACAATGTACAGCACAGTTCGGTTTGACTCGAGACGCCACAATCGGTGCGGCGAACACAAGCTGGGCTGCAATCCTCTAGAACTCGAACGTTACGTTCATCGTCCAAGCCTCATCGTGCCACTCCCTTCAACGACCTCAGCGACCGCGGCTATGGTCTTTCCAAAGACTACGAAACGAGTACGACGACCGACATGGCAAAATGCCTTGGGGCCTCAGAATATTGTACGTGTTGTAAGTAAGGGCTGTGAATTCGAAGAGGGACACAAAGCGTGGGCCGGTGTACACGATGGAGGAGATCAAGAGCCGCACTCGGGAGTTGTTAACAAGCTCTGGTGACCCCGCACGCTGTCACCCATGTTGCCAGGATAGCAAGAGAAGTGCTGCAAGCACCCGTCGGAGACGTCGCCGTGAAAGTGCGCTTCCTTGCGCGCACAGTGGCTTGAATCTCAGTTCTCATTAAACAACGTTTATACAGAAGCCATACTTCTTGACACTTCTGCATATAATGGTCAGGGGGCGCTTTACTGAGTAATATACGCCGTCGGCGTCCAGAATACGCATGTAGATGTGACCAGCCAGCTCGCCCAAGAACTCTCGCACATCTCGAGTTCGGTCGTCCGGGCAGATGACGCGTGGTCATACGGGGCACTCAGGGCTCAAGTACTCGCTGCTGACCTCAAGCATTCCCAGGACAGGTGCAGCCCGGCCTTCCAGGGAAGGGTGATCGTCATGCTGCTATTCGGTAGCAAGATTCGAATCGTCGAAGGGAGGCACGAACACACGATGTTCGCGCTCCGGTTTGGACGCGGAATTCTCGAAGTTGCAAAGAGCATTGGAGCACCCGCCCAATTCAACGGTCGGTGGTGTTTTTCGCTGAAAGCCTGAAATGCTGTATACAAGGTTGCAGTCAGGAGTCTCCATTCTGATTCAGCGCGGCAATTGGGAAGACATCGTGGACCCAACTCCGGTGCATTGGCGTCCTGCGTTCTTCTACTTACTGCCGAAATGGGCTTATTAACGGACAGACGACCCAACGATAGGTCGTCGGGGCCGGGAACCCCCCAGAATGACGAAGCATAGCCTTTGGGCGCTGACGAAGCGCGAGGGATGTCCTTCAAGCTCCTTCGGAGGTTCGACTCGGAGGAGTGGCCGGGCAGCGTACACAAAGCTGGAGGATCCGAGGGATTGCCGGCAAAGACAAGACGCGTTGGCGCCGGCGACGAGTGCGCTTCGCTGACGCGTGACGTCACGCGTCTTGCGGATGGCCGGTGGCTCAGTCAGAACGATGCTTGGCCTGTCGCCGCAGGACAAAAAGGCGTCGGGATCTCCTCGCCCTCGGGCTCCGGAAATGATGTGCCATGACACGACTTAGTGCTCGTATCGCACAACCTGCCGCCCGACGCGTATAAAAGCCTTCCTTCCACCCTCCTTCTCCTCATCGTCCCCTACTCCTCCTCCAATAAACATCACAGCGATGCCGCAGGACATAATCAACGCCCCCGCACCCAATGTCGACTTCTTCACGCCGGCCCAGTACCCTCCTTCGGGCACTGTGATCGACAACGGCAAGCCCATCCCGACTCTCTTCCAGCCTATCAAGATCGTGGCGTGGAGTTCCCAAACCGTATCTGGGTGAGGGATCCTTGTATCAGGAAGCCGTTCGAACTTATCTGAGTGCATTGCCTATCGCAGCTCTCACCCCTGTGCCAATACTCCGCTCAAGACGGAAAGTACACCCCATGGCATTTTGCTCACAGTAAGCGCGCGCCATTGCAGGTTCCCCGTTATGCCACTGACCATCCTTATCCAGTGGGCGGTATCGTGTCGCGCGGCCCGGGCCTCAGCATGGTCGAGTCCACCTCGGTCACCCCGGAGGGGCGCATCACGCCCGAGGACCTTGGGCTGTGGTCTGACGAGCAGATCGACTCCTTCGCCCAGATCGTCACCTTCGCGCACTCCCAGAACCAGAAGATCGGCATCCAGCTCGGGCACGCCGGGCGCAAGGCGTCCACCGTCGCGCCGTGGCTCTCCATGGGCGCGACCGCGACGGAGGCGGCGAACGGCTGGCCGGACGACGTCGTGGCGCCGAGCGCGATCCGGTTCGCCGACGCGTTCCCCATGCCGAAGGAGCTCACCCTCGCGGGCATCGAGCGGCTCAAGCGCGCGTACGTCGACGCTGCCCGGCGGGCCCTCCGCGCGGGCTTCGACGTCATTGAGATCCACCACGCGCACGGATACCTGCTGCATTCGTTCGTCAGCCCGATGTCCAACAAGCGCACGGACCAGTATGGCGGCAGCTGGGAGAACCGCACGCGGCTGACGCTAGAAGTCGTGGACGCCGTGCGCTCTGTGATACCCCCTGACATGCCTCTTTTCCTCCGGTACGTCTTCACATTCACAAACTTAAACCTTATATCCGGTCTCACTCGGATCCTGCGCCCAGGATCTCGGCGACCGACTGGCTCGAAGAGACCCTCCCGAGCGAGCCGTCCTGGACGTCGCAAGATACAGTACGGCTCGCGGGCCTGCTGGCAGAGCACGGCGTCGACCTGCTCGACATCTCCTCCGGCGGCGTGCACCCCGCGCAGAAGATCCGCGGCGGGCCCGCGTACCAGGCGCCGTTCGCGGAGGCGGTGAAGAAGGCGCTCGGCGACAAGATCCTCGTCTCGTGCGTCGGCGCGATCACGAACGGCGCGACCGCGCAGGGCGTGCTCGACAAGGGCCAGGCGGACGTGATCCTGGTGGGCCGGCAGTTCCTGAAGAACCCGGGGACGGTGTGGCAGTTCGCGGAGGAGCTGGGCGTGGATCTCACGGTGGCGCACCAGATCGAGTGGAGCTTCATTGGGAGGGGGAACGTGGGGAGAAGCAGCGGGACCCGTCGAGGAAATTGACGGCTGTGGGCTTCTAGAGCGCGCGTCTCGTTCGATCGGGGATGTTGGTCAGTACATAGATGGGCTGGATACCGTAGACTAGACATTGCAGAACATGAATACCACGTCAGAAGAATCCGCACGTAGTCGGGCTTGGGCTGGAGGCTTGGAGACTGATGGTAAGGATCGGGCTCTGCTCTTGCATTGCACGGTGATCAAACCGTTTTTGCATGCAACATAGCTTCTCATTAGATTAGTTCGCCTATATATAGTTCATGCAAGCATAGTCATACGAAATCAACGTGGAGATACGCACCGCTGGGCATGGCTGGTTCCATCCGGACTCGGGATGACCGCAGAGGCTGGCGAGCCGTGTCTATCGTAGGGACCAGCTCACCCCTGATGAGACCGGGGAGGTGCAGCGCGGGCATGACCGACAGAAAATGGACCACGCGATGTCGCATATGTCGGCGTCTCGCAGATGAGGATCCGGAGGCAGGCGAGTTCGTGGAGGCGTAGGACGCGGAGCAACCGCGGAGAGGACGATACTAGATGCGCAGCTCTTCCAGCGCGCGAGGAGTCTGGCGGGAAGAGCATCGGTGACCGGCGCATCCTCCAGTCGTCTGAAGCTTCGCCTCCGAGCTCTGCAGAGCTGTCGATGTCCCACGCTCGGCGTCCCTAACCACACTCAGCGTGATGATCGTAACATTGCATACCAACCACGACCCAATGTCGGGTCCGTACGGATGCCAGTCACCATCCAGTGTGATACTTGCCTCGCGGACAAATGGACCGTGCGCCACTGCATCGTCCAATATTTCGAAGTGCAATCAGAAATGCATCTAGACACCCACTGCACGCAGCAGCGCAAGGCTGCGTGACGCGTTACAAAGTCGACTGTATGAATACGTCGCTAGCTTTCAGCTCTCACTAATCAAGACGGCAAACAATGAGAGTTCCGCCAAGGCGAGGACAGCTGCGAGGTTCGCAGACGACGACGTGCGATTGCCTAGAGATAGCGCACGGATAATGCTCTACTCGAGGAGGGGGAATCATGGCCATTAAGTATTAGTCGCGTGTGGAAGCGGATAACCTCCAAAAGCCCTCCGCCCGGCAAGCTACCGTAACCGTTAAGTACGCTGTCACAGAGTTTGGAGATAACGCATACCTTCATTCACCGTGTGCGCTCCGTTGAAGTGATCATCGCGGCCAACGTGTCCATAGCGGAAGATGTGCTGCGTTAGCTTCCAGTAGTGCCTCGTGTCTACGAAACAGTCAGATATGCCACATATATGTGGCTATTGTGCACACACCCGTGTTACCTGTCAATAGAAGACACGGTCAGGTGCTTCGAGTTCACATAGAGCATCCGACGCACCCGTCGAAGACTCGGAGCCATGAAACCTTCTTTGGTATGCCGGTTCTGTTGGAAGTGCTCAAGGCGCCGATCACAGCACCAGCCAAGAGCTCGTAGGGGCCGCTTCCGAAGGTCGGTGTAACCGGCGCAGGTTCGAGCTGCGTGCCATACGCGTCCGACATCTGCAGATGACCGAAAGCCGATTCCTCGCTGAGGTCGCCATACTGCACACCGAAGGCATCCACCGACAGGTTGAAACTGTTGGCCGTCGGTCCTACTGTCTGCGCGATGTGTAATTTTACGGTGTCGACCGAGCTGGTGTGACGTTTAGATGATCCCCGTGCCTTTCTCTGCGTCGTAGAATTCACGTACCCGACACTGTCAATCCTGTGGTTCATGATGAAGTACGCGTTCTCAGGCAGTGCGTTTGACTTCACGCCTCCATGTATGATATCAACCGCCTGCGTCGTCCCAGCAAGAGGCCCAAACATAGCGTCGGTCTTGAGCAGCTCCGCTTCGAGCTTCGCTAAAGCCTTGTCATTCTTGAGCGACCTCTTGACCAACCTCTTCAACTTCGTGGGGAATAGCGGATCGTGCTCTGCCTGACATTGTAGCTGGGCGTAGTACGTTGAGGTGCGGTTCAGATGCGGGACGTGGGGGTTCGCCTCGATGTGCTTGATCAGCGCAGCAAGCATGCCGATTGACTGGTCGTCCCGTCAGCGTTACAGGGCCTGTACACCACCGAATGATCCCACGTACGGTGTGACGGGGAGGGACACTCGAATGGCCGCCTGGTGTGGAAATCTCGAGCCTGGCATCAAGCTTACCCTTCTCAGCCACCGCAGGGCTGGACATGAGCGCGTCACCTCTGACTGCGTATCCGCCTGGTTGAACACAATGTCACAATGGCATCGGTGGTCCGAGCGATGACTGTACTCACCGCCCTCGTCGACAATGATGGAGAACGAATCTTCGCCGTGATGCTCGAGCAGGTAGTCCCGAATAGCGGTAGCGCCCTGCACGACGTCACTGGTTAAAACGAGACCTATCAATCGCTAGCGGAATATGCTCACAGCACGGCCACCGCGTTCTTCGTCCATACCGTATGCCAGTACAATAGAACGAGCTGGTTGGAATCCTTTTTGCAGGAGCGTCTCGACAGTGGTCCTAACAGTAACAGTTTATCGCAGACACTGGTGACATCAATCGGAGAACTTACAGAGTACTGATCAAGCCAGGCTTGTCGTCACAGCTACCACGCCCCCAGATCCATTCGCCTACAGCGGAACTCATTCGATCAGCGCATCCCGCAGCATACAGTGCACTTGCCGTCATAATAGCCAGAGAAGGGAGGCTGAAGCACTGGTCTGCCGTCGACGGCTCAACGGGAACAACATCTTGGTGCGCAGTCAAGAGCATCGGCTTCAAAGAGTCGTCAGACCCTTGCCAGTGGTAGACCAGGGCGTAAGTGTTCGCGGTCGCCTTGGTCAATTTCGCATGTCTGCGCAGTATCAGTCGCCTCGAGTCAGTCACACATAGCGAGGGGTACATACACGAGGGGGAAGCGTGACTCCAAGTATGCATGCATATCTGCGAAGATATCCCACTTGGGATCTTCTCCTGGGGTGCCCATGTCATCATACATCTCGGTCCTTGATGCGAGGCTCAGTATATTGCTATGATCTGACTTCATGAACAAGAAACGCACGGGATCTGGATAGCACCGCTGAGTGATCCGTAAGCATGCAACCGGAACTCCTCAGTAGCGAACTCGGCCTCGAGGACCTCGAGTAACTCAGAGGATGACGACGGTGTGATCGGAGCTGTCTGGGGCAGACATCGCTCATCCGCAGAGTCTCGAAAGCCGCGCGGTATGGAGGCAGAGTCGACTTGCACTGAAGGTGAAGCCTTGGCGCAAGAAGAGCAAGACAGCATAGAGTAAGAATGATACGGAGAGCGCCACCGACGCGAGACTTGCGCGAGTTAGCATTCCCATCTTGGAGAGCGAGATTGAGGTCTACAGAAGCGGTAGAGTTCACACCAGATTGGTGAATGGGAAGCTCCTTCTCGGATGCCATCCTGCGTAGATGGGCGCGTTTGAGGGGGCTCCAGAAGACAGAAATCTCACCGTCGGTCCTATATACACCGCGCGACTTTCCATCCCAACACCATTGCTGACTCAGATGATAGGCTTGTAGACGGCATTGCGGAATCCCTGCTTATCACTGAATTAGCAGGCACACTGAATATTTAACAAGTGCCGACGGCAAGCAAGATCAGAGAAATCAGGGCGTCGCTACAAGCAGGAGAAAGGGAACATTCCGCCACACACGGTGCACAGACTGGATAGACAACGATGAAGCGGAGTCAACGGGGGAGTGCTCGACGCGTCGAGGAGTGGACAACGTACGACAGGCGCCGACATCACTGCCCGGAGATCGCCGGCTGCTATGCAGTTGTGGCAGATAGAGTTCAGCCACCGGCCTCGCATACCTCCTGCAAAGCAGTACGTGCCGAGGCCAACGTTTCAAGACTTCAAGATGGGTGCGTATACGCCGTCCCTATGCCCGTGTGCGCCATGCTAACGTCGGAGGGCAGTTCGCTACGCCGCCGCCGCCTCCGCCCCAACCCCGAGAGGAGTACGTCGCGCAACCATGTCTAGAGGTTGAGATATTAACATCACCCTGTAGCTTCCCGCGCTCGCGGGGAGTACCTCCGCACGCACTTCAAGAACATGCGCGAAGTTGCGGCGGCTCTGACTGGTGCGTAGCGTATGAATGTGCGGTTGAAAGGAGACGTCTGAAGATGATGGGCAGGTCTCAAGCTGACCAAGGCCTACACTTACCTCAGCGACGTGAAGGACCACAAGCAGGTCATTCCCTTCCGTCGCTTCTCTGGTGGTGTCGGGCGTGCATCGCAAGCGAAGCAATTCAAGGCAACTCAGGGTGCGTAGAGCCAGTGCGACCCTTGTCTTCGGCGCTCACCTTCCTTCAGGTCGCTGGCCTGAGAAGTCCGTGAAGTTCATTGTGCGCCTACTCAAGAACGCCGAGTCAAATGCTGACGCAAAAAACCTGGACTTGGAGGATCTCTACATTAAGAACATTGTCGTCCAGCAGGCACCCGTACGTCTGACATAGCGTTCAAATCATACAGAATGAAACATAACCATCTGTCCGTATGACAGAAAACCCGCCGCCGCACATACCGTGCGCACGGTCGCATTAATCCCTACCAGGGCCACCCCTGCCACGTCGAGATCATCCTTGGCGCATCCGACGAGGAGGTCGAGCGGGCGAAGGACAAGGACGCCGTCGCGACTTCTTTCCCTGGTCTCAACAGGCGGCAGGTTGCCCGCCGACGGATCGAGGCTGCACGCGCATAAGGTGTAGTGCGTGTAGCGAGGAGCGAGGGGTCTTTGCGCAGGTAGGCGCTATGATGATTGCTCGAGGCACCGAGCGGCCGTTGTCATCTCCATGTATATGCATTATGCCATATTGCCAACCCACGACTTTCGAACACGACATATGGTTAATGCCTTCTCCTTGTGTTCTTGCGGGTCTCAATAACTCGGGCGCAATCGGGCCCAGTCTAACTGATTGATAACATAACGGGAGAGTGCTACTTGATACAGGCTGCGGAATAAACGAGAGTAGAGAGCACATCTGTGAGGTAAGGAGTGTGGTAACTGCTACAAAGGATCGTGAGGGGATAGCGTCAATTGGATAGCTGCGCACATAACAATAGCAGGTGAGAGCACAGTGCAGATCAGGAGAGCAAGACAAGAAACGATATTAGGTGCGCCTGGCATCGGTGTCGTGAGCGATTTCGGTCTTGGGATATTACGGCTTGGTGGAGTCTTCATTATTAGTCTAAATACGGTTCGGCCTTCAAACTGCGAGCAGGCAATGAGCCAGGATAATGCACACGACAGCAGCGATAACCGACCTCATCTGCTTGTAATCACTTATGCATTCTTCCCAGACTTTGCCCTTCAACTGATCAGTGTTGTGCTTGATCCAATCGTAGACCACGTCGACTTTATTGAGGGTCGTGTACTCGCCGCGGCACTTCTCGAGGTCTGTCGGATCAGGGTCAGAAAGCAGCACGCGGAGACAAAGGTAGGTCATACTCACCACGGATGGTCCGTCGCATGTTGCGATAGTACTTGAGCGCGATCATCTGCTCGGTGGGTGCTGCCGTATGCTGCGCCGTGAACTTGCCGTCATGGAGGAGGATCTCGCGGCTCGTCTTGATGTCTCTCAGTATGGTCACTACGACAACAGAATACCATTAGGAACCACATTCCTGGAGTGCGGGCGATTACTCACCCTCAAGTGGTACGGTCGGCAAATTAACCGGCAATTCTGCGCGGTATTCGACGAAGTTTGAGCGCCCAGTGAAGAATTGGCCTAGTTCGTCGCGAATGTCCTTGAAATATCGCAGGACAGTGTCGTTCGTCAGGATGAGCCGCTTAACGGGGACGGTGGTCAACCCGAGATAAATCGAAAGAGCGGAACTGTAGTTCCGCATGGACTTGCAGACCTAACGGTGCGACACAATCAGCCCCCATCCTGGCATGCATAGTTCTCGGGTGACTTACCGCCGCCACAGTGACAAACACCGTCACAGCCTTCGCGCGTAGCGTCACATCGCTGTGTTGCACGACGCTCTTGGTCACCCAGAGGGTCAGCGCCTCCGAGAACTGGCGCCAATTCTCGAGCTTGCGTTGCAAATCGCGGTCCTCGAACTCGATCAGCTCCCGCGGCTGGAAGCTGTGGAACAGCTCCGCCTCCATGGCGGTCAGCTGGCGCGCGATCATCTCGGGTCCGCCGTCATCGTGGAAGTAGGTGATGTCGAGCGCGTTCCAGTCCTCAGGACGCGTCAGCGCGGAGACGATCTGGTCGAGGTTCCCGCGGAAGAGCGCCTCGGAGTACATGTCTTCGGCGATGTTGGCCTCCGTACGCGCCTTCTCCTTGTCGGCCCAGCTACCCCGGTTGCGGATGGAGTCGATGAGCTGGTGGGCGATCTCCACAGGAATACCTTGGTCGGCGGCAAAGCGACTGCTCAGCACTCCGATTCGAGCCAGCAGGTCGGCCTCGGTCTGCTTGTCGAGCCCCTTGTCCCAGTGAGACTCGAGCCACAGGCAGATCAAGTGGGCGACATAGATCCGCGTGCCGTCGTGGCGCACTTTCCAAGCAGTCGACAGCTGCTCGTTGAGGCCACGAGGAGGTCTCTGGCCTTCTTGCTCCATGATCAACTCAAAGAGGGCCTGGGCGGTCGTGAAGGTCGGTGAGAACAAGAAGAACGCGTCGATCAGGTCGGCCATGTCGTTCTTCACCATCTCCGTCGGCTCAGTGAAGATGCGGATCAGCCCACGCACAGTAGCCCGGGTGACGGAACCGTCCTCCCCACGAACGACGTCCAACTCCTCCTCTTTCACGGTTGGCAGGTCGGGTCGCTTGGAGTCGGCATCGGGGAAGAGGGCCAGAGAGGCTCTGACGTTCAGCGACTGGGGCGATCCGTCGGTCACGGGCGACAGGAACATATAATCCCAGCCGAGCGTTTCGGAGGCTAGCGAAGGAGTGTAGATGCTGGACTCGCGCACAGTTCGGGTTTCCAGCGTGACATTCGAGCCCTGGTATGGTCCGCGTGAAGCTTTCGCAACGGGAGTGGGAGGAAAAGAGATGTCGAGCGCCGCAATGCACCCCAAAGAGACCTTGCGGATCCGGTCAAAGAGGCCAGGTTTCTTCTCGACCGACGCCTTCTTTTCAGCCGGAGCCTTCGGGACGTCGTGACCAATGGTCGCCGCAGTGGAGATTATCGTTTCAGAGTCTTCTGCGGCGGGGTTCGACATCTCCTTCTCCAGCTCGACGGTCTGCAAGACGTTACGGAAGTTGGACATGGTCATCTCCATGAGCTGGTACCCCGTCGCGAGCACCTCGTCACAGTTCTTCTCCTTCGCGCGGACCTCGATGGTGTCGAAGTAGCTCGACATGAGCTGGCGCGAAAAGCCGAGTGCCTTCGCTGCTGTGTTGTACGATGCTGCGTAGCATATCGACCCGGCAGACCCAGCAACGATCTGTTCAGCCTCAACGAGTTGCTCCAAGTACACTTTCGCTTGCCTCGACAGGCGGGAAAGGTCACGACGACAGACGACCCCGTGGAGTTCGTAGTAGTTCTTGAACACGGGGAAAATGTTGTTCTCCACCTTGTCCACGTCCGGGGCAATACTTCCGCGCCTGGAGGGAGCCAGCGACGAGACACAGCGGGAAAGACGCGAGGAAGTGTCATCGTCCCACTCGCCGCCGCTATCAGAGAACTGGATGGGTGTCTGTGCCAACGGGGAGAGGAAGGCACGAGGGACGCGGGTGTCAACCTTCGCAATTGGCCTGCTCGCCGTCAGATAGGAAGGACCTCCAGTGGGCCCACTGCGTTGACGAGGAATCGGATCCGCCGGCTGCGCGTCCATTTCCGGGACGTCCTGCGCAGACCACGATCCACCGGGGACTCTCTGGTTTCTGTCTCTGGCGTGCCCATCGTGCGCCTTACCGTCCTGACTCGGAGTTGCGCGAGACTGCGACGGACTGAGACCAAGTCCAATCTGGTCGGCAGAGGGCTTCCGAACATGGGGACGCCTAGTGAGAGAGTGCGACTCCGCATCTTGCGTTGGAATAGCGGAGAAAACGGAGCCATCTCCAACGATCGTCGTTGAGGTCACGGAGGGGCGGCGGGACAGCCTCTGAGATGGGGGAGAACGGGGAGGGGAAGAACCCATGGGGTACGGGAGCGTGATAGACGAGGGGTCAAGCTCGGGGACCTTTCCAGCTGCCCGCCCGAACGCCTGAGGACGAGGCGGCGACTCACGAATGGAGGACTTCTCTGATCCGTTGTTCTGCGAGCCAGAACGCTTGCGGTTGGGGATGGGAACTCCCGCTCGTGAGGGAGGTGAAGAGCCAGTCATCTTGTCGTAGGGGTTGTTGTCGAGGGGGGTAATAGTGGATCTAGCGGTATCTCGAGGGACCATCCGCGTCGGATGGCCAATGTTCGGTTTCTCGCCAGGAGGGAACATTGGAGAGGGTTGCAATAGCAGTATAAAGCGAGGTGGAGAGCGAAGATAGCACGATGACAGACGGAAGGGGATATGTCTAGTACAGGGTATGGACGTAGGGGAAGAGAGCGTTTTGCAGTTCGACCTGTGTTTAGCAGACTAAATACAATCTCTTAAGCGAGGCGGCCACGTCTGGCCATTACCTTGGGTCCGGGAGCCAATGTTTAGGCGACAAGGTAAACGCCCTAAACCGGAAATGGTTGCTACGTTGGCCGAAATACCTTTCCCTGTTTGGCAACGCGAGTGGCCAACGCCTAGTCCTGTGATCACTCCGGCGACCAGGAAATCTTTCCCCTTGTCCTCGACTTGACCTCCAAAGCTGTTAACCGATGAAAATGTCTCCGAGTGTTATCAAGTATTTAGAAACCCGGTAAGACTCACCTAATCGATATGAATAGATGGGCCATCTGCACTTGAAACATGCTCTGATCTTTGCCAGTGCTGCATGTTCTGGATCCTAGCCCTTCCAAAATGCTTAGTAACGCCCAACTCTATCCAATGCCAAGAGTCTAGGTAGGAGACCGACCACAAGAAGTGACCGCCGTCCGCCTGAGCATCCGCTCTGCAGGCCATGTCCACTCTCAATGCTACGTGGCAGCGGGAGCGACACAATTTCAATAGTGACGTCCTCAGCATGCTTAGGCGAGAGCTGTGGGCATTACCCACACAACGGCCGCCTGACGCCAACTTTTCAGCATGAAAAGATGGGTTTTCGCGCAGAAAGAGGTGAGGGAGGTCGAATTCGGCTAGAGGAGCGGAGGCGCGACCCACTGAACCTGCCAAACACGGAGTGGTGGCAATCAGCGGTCGTTCAGTAAGCGCAAGGCAGGTTGTTTGTCCCTCCGCCACCCGCACCGTGCAGCCGCCGCTCAATGAAACAGTGAATGTGCTCCCCGTTGTCCTCTCTGCACGCCCTCGCGACCTCTCAAGATGGATGAGATCAAGGCCAGAGAAGGATCCGTCAACTTCCTGGACACCGTCGAGGGCGAGATCGCCTTTTTCCGCTCGATGATGCGCGCAAGGCCGGTCGGCCTCCACCGCCACTTCCACGTCCTCACTATTCGCAACGCGATCCTCAGAGACACTGGTCGGGCCATTTCTACGGACGCCCTATGGGAGAAGCTGCGAAGCTGCTATGACATGGACATTCTGGAGGGGATTGTAAGTGCCAGCTGCTTCCGTTGGACGCTGGCGGTTGACCCGCGACAGGAGGTAGACGGCTATGACCCTCCTGACATACATGACATCCCTTCTCCGTCCTCTATACCTGTACGATCCCCTTCACCGTCAGACAACCTCTCAATGCACCCCTTCTTCCGGCATGAGTATTCGCTCCCGCAAGAAGACACGTTCGACAACCTCGTATTCGCGCGACGTATGCGCGGAAGCGTGTCCTTGCCGTCTACCTCCCCCGCACCCTCCCCAATACCAATCGGTCCGTCAGCGCGATCATCAAAGAAGGGTAGGAGCAAGCTCAAGAATATGGCTGGGCTCATTGGCGGCGATAGTGATAGCAGCGCGTTGACCCAGGAGAGCGGAGACGAGAGCATTGCTGCCACTCCCAGAGACAGTGTCGCAGCTGGGACGGACGCGGGCACAGACTTCGCAGAGGAGGAAGAGGCAGATGGATCCCCAAGTAAGGCCAACCCATGATTTCCGTGCCTCGTATATTAAACTCATGCTTAGGTCCATCTCTAGCATCTCGGGCGAACAGGAAGCCCACGAAGCCAGGTAGAAGGGGGAGCAACGCTGGTAGAGGACGCGGAGGGTCCACTGGGAGGGGAAGGGGGTCAAAACGGGGTAAGCGGTAGGAACTTAAGACTGTACCTGGCTACTGTTTGCGCCGACAGCACCCGTTCACCTCCATAGTCACAACGCATTCCATTCCGCATCCATAACTTACGCTATAGTATACAAACTACAAGCACTGGCACTCCCCTACGCCCGTCCTTACACTGTAGTATCTGATGAGTATTCGAGGTTCCGATATTGCCCATATTGATCTATATTACATCGCCTGCGAGGGCGGGAAGTTAGACGTCGCCAGGTATGCGTGCACAGCAGCGGCAGCGGACGAACGGCGAAACATTGCGGGTATATGCAGGCACCAATAACGGGCTTTGGCTGGGGGGCCAGCAACGGCTTGTGGTACAAACAACGCAGAGATCCAAATGCGCGTGCTGATTGAGCGGGAGAGCGGGGACATGTTAGAACGTCGACGCCCATGCCTCGAGGTCAAATGTCGACGTTCGTGCATTTTCTACCCAAGGATGTTTCTACAAGATGTGGTGAGCACTGGGGGTATACGATGAAGTGCCGTGAACGTACCAGGAGATCTTTAGGCGTCTTCCTTATATCAGGCTCCTTGAACAGACAACTTTCGACGAAGTCTTCCGCCTCCTTCGGGAACCGTCCCTCCGGCGTCAGCCGCGGTGCAGGTTCGTTCACGATATGCTGCAGCAGCTCCAAGATGCTCATCGTCATCCCCCCGCCCTGCAAGCTTACACCCTTGCTCTTGCGCTTCTTCTTCTTGTCTTTCTCCTCCTGCGTCCTCCTAGGCGGCAGTGGCCGACTAGGAGAAAGCGTGCCCTCGAAGTCAGAGAGATCCGAATCGCCGTCAGAGTCGGAGAAGGGAAAGCGGCCCAGAGCAAGCTCGATGAGCGAAATTCCCAATGACCACACGTCGGACTTGACGGTGTACTGTGCGCCTTGGATACGTTCAGGCTGAAATAGTTATTAGTATCCGGTCGCTACGGCTACGCCAACAGGCAGATATAGCAACGCACGCTCATGTACGTTGACGTCCCCACGAACGTGTCCGCAATCGAGTTGATGAGTTCTCCAGACACACCGAAGTCGCAAATCTTGATCTGCCCTTGTGAGTTGAACAGGATGTTTGATGGCTTGATGTCTGGGCGCGGTCAGTTCCGCACACGAGTAAGCGAGGACGACTGCTTACCTCGGTGGATGATGCGATGCACATCATACAAATATGTGAGGCCCTCCAGCACGGCAAGCGCGACCTTTGCCACCACGTCAATGTCAATGGCCCCAATCTTCTTGTAAATCGCATCCAGCGAGCCTTTGTCCATGAACTCCATGCAGATGCAGATGTTCGGATCGGAGATGAACGCGCCGTAGAAGGAGATAATGTACCCAGAATTGCAGTCATGCATGATCTGCAGCTCGCGCAGAATTTGCTTCCGCACGGACGGCTTCGCGTCGATGAGGACAATCTGGATGTCAAGATGACGCGTAAACAAGGCGGGTGATGGCACGTTCGAGACACTCTCACCTTCTTGGCCATAATGGTCCCAGTCGGAACGTGCTCCACTTTCTTCACACTGCCCCCGTTGCCCTGCCCGAGCTCTTGCATGTCCCGCAGGTCCTCGTTCCGCAGGTCATACTTCCGCTCCGAATTCAGATCCAGGTTCGCGAGGGTCGACGACAGGGTATTGTGGTAGTTCGTGCGGTTCTCCGATGCAGAGATCGAGGCCGTGGGTGGTGCAGAGGATGTGGGGATGTCGACCGTCAACATACCGTTCTCGCCCCCAGTGGCAGAGGCGGCGGTGTTGTTCGGGATCTTGGGTGCCTTGAGGGTCATCGGCGGTGGTCGTTTCTTGCCCCCCGGAGCGGGCGCGGCGCGTAGGGGCGCGGGCGCGGGCTCGGTGGGGGATGCTGATGGTTTCGTGACATCGAGCTGGAGAGCCTTGAAGTTGCGCTTCTTGCGGACGGGTCCAGCGGCAGCGGACATCGTGGTCGTTGGTCGCAAGTGAAGGAGGATCCTACAGAAGACACTGGACGCGTGCTGGGGGCAGCGGGGACAGGACACCGCGCCGCTCTGCGGGGGAGAGGGAGGCGGGAGTCTGAGGAGAGGGCGCTCGACGGTGCAAGCTCATTTCGACCTGGGGACGATTGTCTTACGTAACCTAACAAGAGTTTCCTGAAAGGGCATTAGGCGCCCATGGGCGGTCCCGCCACCACTGGCACGGCCACAACTTTGACAGACGGCCACTGATTTACTTATTCGTCCATCCAGCGTCCCTATCTGCACATGATGATTGGCGATCAAGCTTTGGGACATCCATGACACGCGCTGCTATCACTGCGACGCGTCAGAGGCTGAGTACGTTGTAGCGCGGACCCACCGCCGCGCAATGGCAGAGCGCGGGCCATTGACGCAGATGCGGCTCATACACGGCTCGAACGGGCGACATGACAGGGACAGGCAATCAGACGTATGCTCGAAGGTGTTTGAATATGTCCTACGTCACGTCAAACGTTAAAATCATGTCATGCGTGGAAGTGAAGTATCGCTACTACTAGTAATCTGCTACTAATATACCGTAAATGCCGTGGGACAGGTCGTACAGTTCGTGGAGACATGACAAGGAGAAATACAGGTCGAGAAGAGGAATACAACTCGAGAAGAGAGAAAAGTCGCACTAGGTCATAATGATAGGGTTTAAGGTAGAGTAAGGAGGACGCGCGGCTTGAGGGGTATCACGTAGGTCGAATGGCAGTGAAGTGTAGGGTTTGGCTGTTTAATCGACGAACGTCTCGCTGCCGCGCCTCCATGTCGCCCGCGGTACGTATCGCAATGCCTTGTCATTCATGCGTTCCTTGACGGTGATGTGCAGGTTTGGATCGGGTGGGAGATGGCGGGCCCGGCCGAGATGGATGCTGAAACGCCAAACGCTTCAGTCCGTGATCCGCAGGTGCCGTGCAGCTCGAAACTCACCTCCAGGCATTGTGCCAGCGGCCATTCGGCTCCTGCCAATTGTAGTTCGTTGGAAGGAGCTCGAGGATCCACCACAGCGGCATCCTCTTCAGCTCATCGTGCAACGGCTGCACCGCATGCTGCTTGTCCAGGCCCGCAGCCCGCTCAAACTGCTCGCCGTCGCCATCCGAGCTCGGCTTTGCACTGGTCCTATGGCTCGTGCTGCTCCCCGCCTGCTTGTCGCGCCACCGCTTCTCCTTGAGCGGCGGCGTGACGGGGAAGTCGGGGCCGGTGAAGATCGAGTCGGGGATGTTCGCGTCGTGCAGCGCGTCAGTGTCGAAGACTATCCCACACTGTGCGCGCACGATCTGCTTGACCATCCAGCGGAGGGTGATGTCTGCGAGGGAGAGCTTCTCCGTATCAGGGACTGCGCTGCCCCCTATGTCTGCACGACAGGACCCAATCAGCCTAGGAGCAAGCGAACCCACGCTGTGCTCACCGCAATGGCAGCCTGCGAACCAAACCTCCAGCACGTCGGTGCCATGCGCAGGCTTCTCTTCCCATCCAAACTCAGCTGCCGCCGCCGATGGCAGGTTCGCCCATTCCAGACCTGCAGACTCAGAGTGGTGCTTGGAATGGTGCTTCGAGGACCGCTTCCCGAGACTCTGGCGCATCTTCTCCGACAGAGCCGCAATCTTGCTAGGGCTCGGAGGGGGGAAGACACCCTTCTTGACCGGCGTCATGACGTTCTGCTTCAGAGCGCTCTTGTCCGTGCACTGGTCTAGAGGGCTGGGCCGGTGGTACAGGTTTGGGCGGAACTTGGCGCGGTGCTGTAGCAAAGTATGTCAGACAAGTCATACCTTATCTAGAGTTGCCGCTGACTGCGTACCTCGTCCAGTGCCAGGGCATGTCTGAACGTCTTGATGGTGGTGTTGTTCGCGACAAATGGCAAAGTCTTGCTGACGAGACTGCCTACGCTCGCGACAGTGTCCCTGACGTGAGCGCAATTGAGCTCAGGCCGCAGAGCGATACGAAGTCAAGGACTCACCAGACGCCCACGAACTCGATTTGGACTTCTCTGCAAAACGTCTTCTTGAAGCCTGCCGCGATCGTGATGCTCTCGGCATCCGTCCGCTTGTAGAGATTGTAAGCGAACGGGATCTGCTCAGGATTGTCCCTGGGGAGGAGTCCAATCTACAAGGTCTATCAGTACTCATATCGTACTGCAATGGTAGTCCGCTCAGACTCACCTTGTGTATCATTCCAGCTAGGGCTCTGGCAGTGTAGGCTCCCCTCGAGAATCCTGAGGCGAATGCGCGTCAACTACGCGCCGAAACACGATATAACGAGCGTGCGCACCGAACAGAGAGATCTTGTCGCCTGGGCGGTAGTTCTGCATGAGAAAGCGATATCCGTCTCGGACGTGGGCGTCGAGGTACCTATGGACGGATGAGCTTATGCGTCGTGAAGACAGGCGGGCAGCTCACCAAGCAACTCCCTGGTCGAGGACCTTCGCGGCCCAGGAGAACACTGGGGATACCACGCCGGGATTCAAATACGTGCCGATGCCCGGCTATTCGTAGTCGATCAGGACGGATGGATCCCGGGATGAATGCACGCCGCCCACCTGGTAGTAGCAGAGCTGCCCGGCATGCTCTTGATTCAGGAGCGAATAGAGCTTGACGACGTTCGTGTTCTGTGCCGAGTGTCAGACCAGCTCGATGTCCGCCTTCGCCCGACGCGGCGTATCTCACCTTGCCGTTGTACTCGTTGGCGGTGCCGTCGAAGCACATAACAAGCGTGCGGGGCGTGCGGGTCATGTTGGGGTCGTCAGGGTCGTCAGGGTCGTAGCGGGTGGAGAACGCGTTGGCGGCGACCTTGCTGAAGTCGGGCGTCGGTGGGAGGGGTACGCTCAGCGGATCGTCCATCTTATAACCGTTGTGTTTCGGTGGACGAAATTGATCTCGCTGTCGGCGGCCGGCGTCGCAATGGAAGGCGAATTTGGCAGAATGAAGGGGGGCGGTGCCCCTAGTATACAATAAGGTCGAAACGAGTGGGATGGGCGGCGAGGGCATGCGACAGCGCTGAGAAAGTTGGGGTTGGTGACCGGCGCCGCACTCACCCATCCACCATCAGCACCTGCCAGATTAGGTCTTGCACCGACGAATGTGGCGGGACTCTTCACTCGACATTCTCGGAGTCACATCCCCCATTGTGCCGGAGAGACTAGAGGGGGGAACCGAGTGCGTCGCCAACGGGGTCTGCGCATCGTAGCTACCGCAGTCAAAAGCAGCTGTCATCCGTCGAGCACCGAGAGAAAGCGTCTGACAAGGGATATCATGATGCTGATCAGCGCTGGGCGGGCCGTGTCGTTTGGTAGCACCATGCAGCGAGCGGTGCACGTGTGGCCCTCGGACTGCCAGTACTTGCATACCGCTGTTACCTGTATAAGTACTAGTAAGTTGAAGTGCTTGACCCGGCTTTGGCTCCGAAGCACTGCTTTGCTTGCTGGCAGCCGCGCTGACCTTGTTTCCTTTGGGAAACATTGTAACACAGCGCAGAGTTGGCCCTAAGTCGGCGACCCCCAGGAGCAAACGTTCGACGAAATAGGCTCCAGTGCCAGGCTATGTTCAGGAGTGCATTCTCGTTTCCGAGTCAGCTTCGCGGCGCTCGTCCGAATTGTTTCATTGTTCGCTGTGTCTCGACAAGCACCTGCATTGTGTATGTATTCTCCGCAACATCTCCATTATCTCGATCAGGATGACCGACATTCGGTGCGTTGTGCATCTGAGGGAAGAGAGGCTTCAGCGCGAAGGCATAAATAGCCTGTAGTTCGAGGTCAACTCAATGCGAATACCTCGCTGTCCGCCTGTCTCAGAGTCACTCTGCTTGCGCCTCCAGAACCGACTCGGACAGCCACCGCCTCACAGGTTCCTGACAACAACTGTCCGTCGCACGCCCCGAGCCATGATCAACGCGAATGAAAAACACGTCACACTACGAATCATTTGCTTTCAACCAGGGTGCGTACGTTCGCGATTGACGTTGCCCGCCGACGTCGACACCAATCCGTCTGTCATAGACCTGCGCATATCCGTGGCACAGCTCGCTGCGCACTACCTGCTCTGATGCTCAAGGCCGAGTGGCATCGTCCGAAACAGCTGCCACTCCATCGTACCGTCGATGAAATGCACCCGTCTCGTAATGCCCGAAACCGACACACAAACAAACGGTGCCGCAGTGCCACGCTGACCAGGCAAGTCCCTCATCTCGTCGTTATGCTCCGCCGTAAGTAACGTCAGAGGCACACGGGACGCTAGTGATCTTTTGCGACACAAGAGACGTTCGCAGCAGCCCGTTCTCAAGCGAGCTCGTGTAGACGAGGTCGATGAAGTGTGCACGCCGTTTAGAAAGCCCAACGACGAAGTGGCGTCAGCTCCGTGAGTCTCGTACGCATGTACACCGCCGTGCGGGCCGCCTGCGTTCATGTTAGAGACAACACAGGTGAGCTGGCCAGCTGTCATCGCGGCTATGGTCCGAACTGACGCCTCATCTGCAGAGAACCGTCAGGTGTCAGATCCTGAGACTGCACCAAGCAAGCCTCGGGTAGTCAGATAGAATATAGCTGCAAGGTAAGTCCCTAAGCACTGATCCAGCAGTGTCGTATGGCAGCCCCGAGCCTCTCAGACGGCTGCCTCTACGGATTCAGTACAGAGCAGCTTTGCTGATGTATGAGCTCGTCTAGGAACGAGACGACCCCAGTGTACTCCACTTCAACAGAAGAGAAAACGGGACACACCCACGAGGGCTAAAATAAGAAGCCACCAAGTCGTCTTCGCATACTACTCGCTGCGGCGGATGATGGCGGGCGCAGCAGAAGAAGAAGTCACGTACAGCGACTGATAGTCGGGGTCCATCCCAATAACGAACCACTCACCGTCATACCATTCTCCTGACGAAAGCGGAGGTAAACGCACCGCATGGGCACAAGGGTCAGTCGACCACCTGGAAAAGGCAATGACAGCCCTTGCCCGGACTCAGACTCGGCCGGAGTGTATGTCCGGCGCAAATCACTCGTCAACCGTTGGACGCCACCGTGAGCATTGTGACTCTAGTAATCAGTCGAGTCTTGCCGACGAACACGTTCTGCACCGTAGGGATGGCTTCACCTCCAGCGTATTTGAAAGATTATACACGAGGCGAGGCGAGGAGAATTCCCAATTGATGGAGCGGTAGAGCCTGGGGAGAAGGCCGGCGACCGCACATGAGAGACAATCGAAGCCTTTAAAAGCGATACCCCATTGCCAATCAGCCCACCAACGACCGCCGAACTCAACTCAGCGCATACCTCCACACAGAACGCGCAATGGCTGTGAGTGTTGCGCGCCGCAGTTTATGTTGAGGCCAGCACTGACGTATGCTTCAGGGACCTACCACTGTCGGTTGCTCAAGCACCAGCATCGTCGCTAGCCAGAATCCCTGCGCGCACCCAGCATGTGCATGCGCAGAACCGCCGAGGAATGACCTTCCCGGGTATCCTATGTCGGCGGCTTGGGTAGCCGAAGTGTAGGTGAGAGGAAGAATGAACAGACCTTCATACCCGGAACTCATGATTTAGTATTAGTGTATCCATGTCGTATTGCTTACTGGACCTCGTCTTGGACAGTGTTCCACCAGTGTTTCTGTGAATTACGAGATTGCTCGGCGTTCTGTCTTGCGCGCGGCGGAAACAGTTTGACAGCCATTTTACATCCAGACATATACGGTTCGAGGAGTATGTCAGCGACGCTTCAAGTCGGATTGTCGAGTTGTCGATATACATAGCCAACGTCTAGTTCTCGGACAGGAGCCTGTTCACGTCTCCTTGCCGGTCCTTGGACGCTACGGATTTTGTCTGGCAGCGCTACAACATTGCGATTGTGAGCAAAAAGGCACAGGTGCTTGACTAGAAACGCACCTCGCAGATTCTGCGTATACGCTGCAGCGATCTCTCTGTCCGGGCTTGATTACTACATACAGTTTCTAAACTCGCTTGACGACCTTTGCCTTCCTGGACGGATCTTGAATGGTCCTCAATGCTCAAAGGATCTGAAGAGCGTCAGCCAGGATTCTGCTTGTCGTACAATGGGAAGCCGGGATCCATTCATAGCGTACCGCGCAGAGACTTGTTATAAAACGTTGAATGCAGACCTCGAGGACGAGGACCCAGGAGGAGATGGTGCGGGGGCACTCGGAGCTGGCAGGTGACTGGCGTTTCTGATCACATGCTCATCCTCACGTCGCGTCGCGTCGCGATGGTCGCGCCCACCGGGTCCTAATTACCGTTAGAAAGTTGTGCTCTCCTCTGCTCACGCGCCACCACCGTCTCGCATGGCAATGGTGTTGAGAAACAGCGCTGGAACTGGTCAACGTTTGATATGTAACATCATCATCCGGAGGCACCGTCGATGCCCGCCGTTTGACTCGGAAACGTTGCCCAACCTCCCAATGCTGTTAGTATCATCGTTCTATGTGGAAGTGATGGCACAACGCGGAGGTTATCAATGAAGGCGTTGAACTGTTCCATTGTGCACTGTATTTCGACGAGCATATGCATTCTCCTTACCATGGAATGCATTGTGCATGAATTCTCCCCATCACTATCCCTATTTGTCTGTTAGGCAGACATGACCAGATTCGATGCATTCTGCGACCGAAAACGGGCTCCAGCGCGCACGTACAAATAGCCTGTAACTTCGTGAGTTCAGCACTCCAACGCGACTATCCTGTCACTCTCCGTCTCCGTTTCTTGCGCTCTCAGCACTGAGAGACATCCCTCATCAAGCCCCTAACGCCGTCCAATTCTGTCAAACATTCGAAGCAATGATCAGGACCGACGGAAAACATGTTTTGATACGGAGGACGAACTCAAGGTGCATAATTCTGCGTCTGATCGTTTTTGCTAGCGTTGATACTGATTCAGTCGCAACAGGCCTGTGTATGTTAGCGAGACAGCGCGCCGCTGCGCACTAGCCACTACCAGCTCTGATGCTCAATGTCGAGTGGCGTCCCGCAGACGCCGTCCGAAGCGAACATCTCAGACAAACCAGCGACCTGGCAGCCGTCTTGAGATACAACAATATCGTAAGCCTTAGTCCGAACAGATCGCCGACACAGCATGACTTACTTCCCATCGAAGGTCCCTCACATCTAGCGCAAGTCCCGTTCCCGTCACAGCACTTCAAGTTCAAGGGCCACCCGCTGTGCTACGACCCATGAACTGATGGCCGGAGAGTAGCAGGAAAGCGACCGCGGCGATGGTCACTCGTCGCACGAATACGCCCCAGAGTCGCATTCACCACGCGGCCTACGACCGTTGAGGGCAGTGGCCGAGTGGCGGGGGCCCTTTGTGCGCGGTCCCGTGACGCGACGCGAGCACAAAGCAAGGTGGCTTCAACCGCTGTGGCCACAACCCAACCCGACTCTTCTCATTCCCCGACGTGCCCCTACATATCCTACCCAAGTAGACCCCTATCCATCATCACGATGCCATCACGAACCATTGCGGGCCGTAGCTATATCATGTCGACTGCCGCTTTGCTCCTCCAAGCTGAGGAAGAGGCGGCCTCAGCCAGGACCTTGTCCTCTCGCTCGGGGATTATCGAAGCACAAACCGACAAGGTCGACGGACCACAGCGCGAAGAGAATTATCGCAACGTCCCTGTGCGACACAGGAGATACCTCCATCAGCGGCCCGCGGCCAGCATTGTTCCTGGAGGGATGCGCGATGTCGCCACCACCGCTCCGGCGGCCACAGCAGGACCCTCTTCTCAATCTGACGACCAGGGATCACACCCATCGCGACGGAACGTCAAAGGAGGTTCGCGTCGGGACAAGACGAGCGAAGACAGACCATCGCGGCAAACGAGCTCGCAAAGCTCGGGTGAAGGGGCACCGCGACGGAGTGAAAGGCTCCGAGCAAAGGCAGAGTCGCCTGCTGACAAGCCAGAAAAGGCATCCGGCGCAAGTGAGTGAAGCGACTTCAGCTATTGCTTGTGCACATGCTGACAATATGATTTCAGACAAAAACCGGGAAAAGACTTCCAGTGGCGAGCCAAGCACGGCTCAGCCAATCGATGCGAAAGCGAAGATTCCAGCCAGGTAAGTCGTGATGCATGTCGTTCTGTCTGCGAGTCTGCACTGGCAATATGCGAGTGGTATCGATGGGCCACCTGTAGATGGCTTTCATGAGACGCGCATTCCAGTGTTCGAACCGCAGAACAGCTCCGTTAACATGTATCACCGTCTAGGAACAATGCGAAGCCCACGAATGCCGCCGTGATAGGTCAAAAACGGGGACGAGACGCGCCCAATGGCGTGAGCGACCTGGCCAAAACGGAGAATTCATCCAGGAAGAAGGCTCGTGTAACGAAGACAACCGGAGTTGACCCAATAAGTGGAGGACTCACCATCGCTGGTCCATCCACAAAGGCGACAAAGGAGAACACTTCGCGCAGAAGGAAGAAGTCGGCCGCCTGAACAGGACAATGAAAGTCCGTTCCCAAACGAATGTCGTTATCAAATTGCGAGTCGACCGTCGGGCACCACGACGGATAACGTAGCCTTTGGCGATTGGTCAAGCCGCGCCGACGAACAACACGTCCGGCATGCAGAGACAACTTCACCTCTGCAGGACCGCACGTGAGGAGGTTCCTTGGTTGATGGAATATCAGAAGTGGAGAAGCAGACCGATGATTGTGCAGCAAGAGACAATCGAGAGCTATAAAGGCGATGCCCCGGTGCTCATTCAGTCTAATAACGATGACACGGCAAAGTTCGACGCACCTGTCCAGTAGAAAGCGCAATGGCGGTGAGTGCTGTACACTATGTCAGCGACCTCGAAGTCAGAGTCTTATGGGTGCTTCAGGACCTACTACCGTCGGCTGCTCGTCGACCTGCGAAGAAACACTGAGGCAGCTGCAGCGTCTCGTTCTCAGATAGGAGCTTGTCCAGTCTCTACGTCTCCTCAGTAGACGTCGCGCACTCTGTCCAGCAGAGCTTCGACGACTGTGAGCAAAAAGTCGAGAATGTCACTCAGTTGTACGCACCTCGCAGACTATTCCGTGCTGCCGCAATCACTGTACATATCTAGTCATCCTGGCAGATTTGTGTATATGCTCTCCCTGACTTGTTCTACGAGCTTTTCCTTCTTGGTTGTATCCTGATTTATGTCTCGAGGGGTTTGAGGAGCCCCAACCAGAACTCGGCTAGTCCCACGATGGGAATTCGAGAATCGAAGTCCATTCATGACCGCAATTGTCGCAGAGCTCCTCGAGGACAGTCATGATAATGTTCGGATGCGATGACGGTAGCGAGTCTAACTATAAAATACTCGCGACGTGCCTCAGGACATCCTGTTGGATGCCACCTTGAGCAACAGGGCCTTGGCTATTGGCCCAACGTTGTCAGCCTCATTTTGCACCATAGAATGGCTGAACCTCCGGCGACTGTTCACGAGAGGCGGACGCCTACGTGAGCAACAGAAATGTGGGGGCATCAGACGCGGATGATCGCGCAGAAGGTGACAATGTGGATGCCTGAAACAGTAGGGGAGCTCAGACTGAACGGGCAAGGGTACGGGTACGGGCAAGGGCACGTCACGGGACGGTCCGGCCGCACGGCGACTGTAGGGTTAGCAGTAGGGGCTGCCACGTAACGTTAGGATTTGTGCCTGTTTGTGCAGCGGTAATTGAACAATACTTTGGTCCCGACAAGGTATATAGAGCACGTACATCCGTTTAGGTAGCATGATAGGAGGCAGCTGGATCGTCATCGCAACATCCTCTAATACTTCGAAAACATATACCTAAGTAGGAGAGTACGTGTTTCTGCTTTCGGAAATGTTATGTTACCCGATTAGTATATTCCGCTTTCGGCAGGCGCTGGCACTTTCCCGCACTCGAGTTCAGCTGTAGTAGGCTATATTAGGTGCATCGTGCGTACATTACTTACGAGCCATGTTGATTGTCATCAAAATGATTGTTCTCTTTGTTAGCCTGTGACTGGGAACCATACTGATTGTACTATCGAAATACTGTCTGTAACAAAGAGCAGTGGCGTAGAAGCTCGAAGAACTAGGCTAGGGTTAACGGTGGCAGCATCTACGCTAATTGTGGCTAACCCTACAGTCGCCGTGCGGCCGGACCGTCCCGTGACGTGCCCTTGCCCGTACCCGTACCCTTGCCCGTTCAGTCTGAGCTCCCCTAGTTAAGTCGTTACCTCAATACCAACTGAGCCTGCCGAGGGCGCCAATACGCACCTTCCCGGTATAAGTGCAATCGTCGAATCGACGTCTCAATGCGTCCTACCACTCAAACACTCGCAGCGCAGCTAGCCAGAATACCTGCATGTATTCAGCATGTGCATAGTGGAGACGTCGAGGAAAGCCAACCTGGATGCACCCCGTCGGTGGTATGGGTAACTGGGGTGTAGTAGGTAAGCAAAACAATGGGTAGGCCTTCACAACTGAAACTAGCGGATTGCGTCAGTGATTCTAGGTTGTGGGATTGACTGTAACTTGGGTCAGATATCACATCAACGTTATTTCTATACATCCAGGCTGGTGCGAATGTTCACAAACGACTGGACGACTTCTCAGCGTTCAATCCGGGACAAGTCCTGCATGTGAGAACAACAATCGTCCGTCTGATATACGTTTCATGTAAGACTTCAGCGGCGCTTTGCCATCTGCATTGTCAGATTGTCGATGTACATCTGCAACGTCTCGTTCTCGGACAAGAGCTTGTCCACGTCTCCCTGGACGCTGCGTACCCTGTCTAGCAGAGCTACGGCGGCGTGACTGTGAGCAAAGACAAAGCCCCCAAAAGACTTTGCGTAGGAACACACCTCGTAGATTCTCCTGCGCTGCAGTGATCTCTCTGTCCGAGCCCGATTACTGCTTGCTCCCGAGCGTGTGTCTTTGAACTCACTTTACGAGCCTTTCCTTCTTGATTGCATCCTGAATGATGTCTCCGGTGCTCGCCGGGTCTGACGAGCCCCAGCCAGGGCTAGGTTCGTCGTACGATGGGAATCCGAGATCCATGGAAAGCGCACAACGCCCAGGCTATCGCAAAGGTAACAGAGGAGTCGGGGAAACGGTAAGTACGAGGGCGCGACCACCGTGGCTAACGCCGCAACGGGTGACTGTAGCTCTTGATCACATGCTCGAATACGCGTCGCGTCGCGTTACCGTCGCGTCTGTGCGCTCTTGAGTCTCCATTCATCCTCGACCACCATCTCGCGTGGTTTGCATCAAGTCGTTCACTTGGCTGTGGCCGGCTGCTTGTCATCTACAACTCGTCTAAGGATCCTTGCTTACCGGCGCGTTGGTATGGCGAGTCTCGACAAGCTAGCCATCCGTGGCATCCGGTCCTTCGACGACAAGCAAATCTCGGTTATTGAGTTCTTCACGCCTGTCACTGTTATCGTAGGCCACAACGGTAGCGGTAAGACCACCATAATTGAGTGTCTCAAGTATGCGACCACTGGCGACCAGCCCCCCAATACGCGCGGTGGTGCGTTCGTTCACGACCCGAAGATGGCGAATGAGAAGGAGGTGAAGGCGCAGGTCAAGCTGAGGTTCTGGTCTGCAAATAGGACTAGGATGCTTGCCGTGCGAAATCTATCTGTGACCATGAAGAAGACTGGTGCTCTGACGATGAAGACATTGGAGAGCATCTTGGCCGTGGCGGATGAGAAGAAGGGGAGCGTGAGTGGCTTGCGGTTCTTCTGCGTGATTACATCCTCATGCTCGGCGTAGAGAGGAGCTATTTCAACCAAGTGTGCGGAGATGGATGCAGAGATCCCCAACTTGCTTGGTGTGTCGAAAGCAGTGCTCGAGAATGTCATCTTCTGCCACCAAGAAGACTCCTACTGGCCCCTTGCCGAACCTTCCGTTTTGAAGAAAAAGTTTGATGATATCTTCGAGGCACTAAGTACGTATACTACGCGTGATATCACGACGCGCAATTCTAAGGGCATCCAGGTACACAAAAGCCCTCGACAACATCAAAGCGCTGCGGAAGGATCGTGTGGCCGATCTGAAGGCGGAGAAGGAGCGATGGAGTCGCTGCAGAAAGAAAAGACCCACGCGGATAAGCTGAAGACGCGTATTTCCGACATGTCGAGCACTATCTCGTCCAAGCAACTAGAGTACGAAGAGACGAAGAACCGGTACAACGACCTCGTCAAGGCGAACGCACGCTTCTACGAGTCTGCGACGAAGTTCCGCGAGACATACATGAAGGTTGATACGCTGAATGAGAAGAAGTCACGCTACGAAGCAGAGCTAGCTGATGTTCGAGAGAACGTGCGCGAGTTGGACGGTGAGCATGTACGAACTACGCTCCCTACTGTCGTAGTCTAGACACAAGTGCTTCTAGGTACCGATCAGGAGCTAGCGGACCGCTTGAAGAACTTCGATAATCATGTCATGACGCAGAAGCAGAAGCAGCGAACCGAGACGGATAAGGCTCAAGATATCCAAGAGGAGCTTCAGTCTGTCAGGAAAGAGCACGTTAAAGAGATTGGGCAGCAGGGTGAACTCGTTGCAGAAGAGAAGGTGCGACCTCGTACCTTCGTCCAGTTGTATGGGTGCCAACTTTGGACAGGCACAAGAACTACTCATCGCCGAACGCGAGGAGCTCATACAAGAGATCAGCGCAAGACATCAGATCAAGGGCTATGATCATACGCCGCTCGACAAGCGCGAAGTGGCGACTTTATTGAGAAGCTCAAGGACTTGCGTAGGCGGCAGAACTTGGAGACCGACAAGTTGCAGGTATGTTACTACTCTGCACATTCATGCATACCACGGAGTTGATCGGCCGTGCAGGAAGAGAGCCAAACACGCAGCGACGAGTATAATCTACAGTTAAGGGGCTTGCATAATACCGTCGAAGGCCATAAGCAACAGAAAGCCGGCTTGAAGGACCGGATTGTGAGTCAACTGATGCTCATGCTCATTGAACACTTCACCGCTAACACGCTCTGCACAGACGGCCACGCAGTCTAGACTAACTCAAGCCGAACTAGAAGTTGACCGCGCCGGGGCACTAGCCGTGCAACTTCGTTCACTTCAGACCGACATCGAGGAGAAGGAGCGCCGCATCGAGAACTTGAAGGAGGAGATCAAGGCTGGCAACTTTGACCAACGGCTGTCTGAGATGAACACGAAGTCGCGGAACATGGAGTCCCACCGTGACGAGCTTACAGCGGAAATCAGGACATTGAGCCTCCAAGCGGACGCGCGCGCAAGGCTCGACTTGAAACGCACGGAGATGAAGAGCAAGACTACTGAAGTGAAAAACACGTAGGATGACTGTCCGTCCTATTAGGCCCGGAGCTGATCAATTTAACAGAGTCCAGATGAGCAATCCGAAGTTTCGCAAACTTGTTGATCGAGACGCGCAACCTGACACAATGGAAAGAGATCTTGAACGTGTCGCTATGTGCGTCCCAGTACAATGGTATTCATCGATGTGCTTACAATCGTTAACAGTGAGAAAGAGCGGGAGCATGCCGACCTCGAGGCGGACTCCAATATTGCTACCAAGAACTTGCAAGTCGCAGAGGCTACCCTGTCTAGTCTCAAGTCTCAGCTCAAGACCAAGCAAGACGAAGCCAAAGGTAACTTGGACACCGCAGTCACTCGCTTTGCGCGTCTCATTGGTGACTTTTGTTAGCAATGGACAGGAAAATATCAGCAGGCTTGACGTTCAAGATCGACCAGGAGGATTTCGCATATGACAACGTCGAAGGTGGTCTATCGGATTGTACCGAAGAGCTTTCGTTGGCCCAGGAGTGAGACGCCATTGACTCTAACAGCAGTGATCGTTGGCTCACGGACACGTTCACTAGAGAGCTCGGCAAAGCAAGTGGAGCCGACCGGATGTACCGATCATTGCTCAATGATGGTAAAACCAAGAAGTGTTGCCCTTTATGTGCCAGGAACATGGACAGCAAAGTCATGGCGACCTTCGAGAAAGCGGTAAGGTCTCCGATCAAGAGATGATATCAATCTAACAACATCCTAGCTTCAAGACCTCATCAAGAAGACTACGCCTGAGTCTGTGAAGGAGTTGAGCGAGGCTTTAGAGACATGGCAGAGAGCTTTACAACGAATACAGGAGCTAGCTGCTCTGAATAACGCGCGTAAGAAGCTGGTAGATGAAGAGATCCCTTCTCTGCAGGCTGTCATCAAGAAGCATGAAGATGATTACCCTCGTCTTACAGAGAAAGCTGAGAAGGTAAGATCCGTCACAATGCTCGTAGAGACTGATTATGTATGTTCTTTATCATGTACAGGCGCAGAAAGAGGTAGACACGCTTTCAAGAGAGCTCAAGGATATAGCTGCACTCCGGCAACAAGCCAGTCTCGTCTCGCAACTGCAGAAGGACATAGAGCGATTGAAGCGCGAGACTTCCACCATTGAATCCGAGTTGATGACCACTGGATCCACAAAGACTGCGGATGATCTCCAGGAAGAGCTTGATAGCCTATCCGCCAACATGTAGGTCACTCATCTTGCTTGCCCTGCGGATATTCGTACCTAGCTAAACGCACCTCAGGCGGACCAATGACCGAGACAAACAGACTCTCATGACAGATCGCGAGCGCCTGAACAACACTCTTCGCCTCTACGACTCAGAGCTCAGTCGCTTGAAGGTCCGTGAGAGCGAGGTAAAGAGTCAGGTGCGCGAAAAGGCAACGCTCGAGGGCCGTATCAAGGAGTGGAAAGAAGACATCTCCAACTTCAGCACTCAGCTCAAGGTAAACCTATACCTCTGAGCGTGATGCCAATGCTTCATGTGTTCTCTTCCTAGGAATTGGATGCCAAGATATCCGATGCGCAAGCACCCATCGAGCAGCTTGAGCGGGAATGGCAACAAACGCAACGCGAGCTCAGCACCAAAATTGCTGAAGCACAGCGAACGTCTCAAGAGATCAATATGTCAGCTGACAAGCTTGACAACAGGACGAAGTCGATAGACCGGTACGTCTGTTCCAGCATCTTGACTTCAGCAACTGACTGGCTGTGTGAAGATATGTGAAGGAAAGGCGTGGTCGTCGGCTTAAGGAGTGCAACGAACGGGTCGAGCAGCTTGAAGAGCAGATCAAGGAGCTGGGCATGGAATTAGAGAAAGTGCAGAACAACATCCGACTGATCGACAAGGAGATCAGCGAGAGCGCTGCGTCTATGTCAAATCTTCGCGAGAACCTTCGCGTTCGCCGTCTTCGCCACGACATTGCTACGACTCAGGCAGAGATCGATTCCATTGACCTGGAGGAAGCTGCAAAGGCCAAGCGTATTTTCGAGGAGAAGTACAACATCGAGAAGCAGAAGGAGACACAGCTTCAAAGCACGGTACGGCTCGGGGCGCGTCATGTGCTTTCGTCAATACTGACGGACCGTACAGTATGCGCATATAGGTGGTGAGATCAGCTCGTTACAGCGCAGCTGGAGACCCTGCAGAGCGATATGAAGGACTTCGAGAACATCAGCAAGAAGTATCGAGATCAGCTCATCAGGGTCAAGGTAGGGAGCGTGGTTATAGCACATGCAACAGCTTACACAAGGACACAGATGTCGGACATGGCGAACAACGACTTGGAGAAGTATGCTAAGGCCCTGGAGAGGTGAGTTGCACATCGCACTGCCGGGTCTTGGATGTTGACAACGACTGCCAACAGTGCCATTATGAAGTACCACACGTTGAAGATGGAGGAAGTCAATGACACCATGCGCCACTTGTGGAACAAAACCTACCAAGGCACAGGTTCGTTCGGGCTAGAGTGTATTGAGCGTATTACGACTTTCTCCGTAGACATCGACGGCATCAAGATACGTTCAGACATTGAAGGTGGTATATCGAAGCGGTCCTATAACTATCGTGTAAGCCCCACCATGCGATACGGGTGCTCCTCCATGCTGACCTGTTCGTCGTGCAGGTGGTCATGACCAAGGACAACGTCGAGATGGACATGAGAGGTCGATGCTCGGCCGGCCAGAAGATGCTCGCCTCCATCATCATTCGTCTTGCTCTAGCAGATCCTTTGGGCAGAGTTGCGGCATCCTCGCTCTCGATGAACCGACGAACGCGCTCGACACGGAGAACATCGACGCCCTTGCGCCAGCTTGGTAGAGTAGGTCGTTCGTACTTCCTAGTATGTCGGCCGTTGAGCATATTTACTGCAGCATCATCAACGAGCGCAAGAGCAACTCGAACTTCCAGCTGATCATCATCACACACGACGAGAACTTCCTGCGGAAGCTCGGCCAGAGCGACGTCATGGAGCACTACTGGTAGGTCTAGGCGACAGTACACTTTGTTCATTGACTAACGAGCATCCCAGGCGTGTCGCCCGCGACTCTCGACAAAAGTCTGTCATCGAACGTCATAGATTCGGCTGAGTTGTATGACTGGACGTTGCTGCTACGATGCCTTCTACTGTTGTCCTCATTGCTATCTCGTTGCGCGGTGCATTGCTTCCCATCTACGGGCCCGTTACCTGCTCCTGTCGATTATTGTATCATACCATCACTGACTTCGGCTCCGCACATCATGTCATGCCTCTGCAATAGAACACGAAATACAGTATACGACGAAGGTGATAATATGAGGTGATAATATGTGCTCGCAGAGCGAGAAGTCCCAGATACACACCACATATGAAAACAAACACACCAAAGCAAAACAAAAAAAAAGTCGACAACGAGCATCTCAAACGAACATCAACCAACCCTCACACCGCCCCCTTCTCCTTCCTGAAGCTCCCCCCATCGCCCGACCCCCCAGACGCGCGGCGCAGCTCCGAGCCCGGTATGAACGCGTCCTGCGGGCGGGGGATGATCTCGACCTTGACGCCCTCCCCGCGGACGCGCTCGGCGTAGTACGTGTGCAGCGCCTCCAGGCGCGCCTGCTCGCTCACGTCGCTGTCCGTGCGCTTCGTGAGCAGGTCGAGGTCGAAGGACGGGTGGGGCGTGTGCGGGGCGGGCGGGCTGCCTGGGCGTGCGCGCCGGGGGAGCGGCGCGGAGAAGGGGCGGAGGGTCCGCCAGGCGTGCAGGACGTCCTGGGGCGCGTTAGTCTCGATTCGTTCTCTCGGGTGGAATGGCGTGGGGACGTACGGATTGGCTGGCGAAGAGGAGGAAGATTGCCATGCCGACTGGAAAGGGATGAGACTTGATGCGGGTTATCGCTTTAATGGAGAGTATGCGTACGTACCTGAGGCGGTGAAGATGTCGGGAAATGCGGTGCCCGGGTCTCCTAGTGCGCCGAGGTTTGCCCTGCGCGTGGTCGTAAGCATCACGCACTGAGAGCGAGTGGAATGGGGGGCGCACAAGGCAGCAGTCAGCATGTACAGCGTTAGGAGCCCGACGCGGATCCGGAAAGCGGTGTCAGCTTTGGCGGAGTGCTGTCGGGGTGGCCGGGTCTCCCGAGTCCTAAGTTGCTGCATGGCGAGGTGCACTGAGGTTGCGTTCCGTCAATAGGGTTGCACCTGGGTGGGTATTGCGCGGTACGTGCTCACCGAAGAACCCCACAGCGATGATACATACAGCTGCAGAGAATGCGTTGATTGCGATGGCACTATGCGTGATCGTGAGTACAGTATAGTACCTCTCTAGGCTCGGTTCTGTACTCACAACGTCTTGAGATTGATCGCACAGTAGAAAAACCTCGTCGTTCTATCTACCTGGTCGGGATACTCCACTCCCAGCTGACAGTGTCCATCAGCCCCGCAGTAACTCGTCTGCAACGCCGAACGCCCGGACCCACCTTCGCCGCGATCGCACAGAACACTCCCAAGGTAATATACGGCGACCCAAGCAGCTTTACGTGCAAGAATCAGCGAAGGTTCCGAGCGGCGCCCGCGCTGCACATACCGTCACTCTCATTGGCCGGGACGCCTTCTCCCGGAGCTGGGACTTGCCAGGAGTGCACGAGCGCCATGTCCGGTAGGCGAGGGTTAGAGTCGCGACGGACGTCCTGGCTGAATGCATCAGACACCGCTGACTGCATGGGTATACAGCGGAGCTTACATAGGGAAGACGCCGCTCATGAGCGCGGCCTGAGCCGTGCATAGGCCCTTGGAAGGTTCAGGGCCAGTCGCTTCTCCTGTATACAGTCTATACAATCCAATAAGTTTGTATTCGCGCGGGCACCCATCAATTCCATCAGTGTCTATCGGGTTCATGCGAGACTCACAGGAGCGACGAGATGACGCCGGAGAGGATCCACGTGCAGCAGAGGTTGATCAGGGTCGAGTGCCGGACCACCGAGCGCGAGAGCACGAACGTCGCGACGAGAATCGGGAGGAGGACGTGGTCCGCGGCGAGCTGGAAGAAGAGCCAGACGGCCATGTCGGCGGAGGCGCTCCCCCGAGCTCGTCCTCCGTGACACCTGCACCGTGCCCATGCGTCAGCGAAGCGCGGACGACGAAGACACGCACGGACGTACGTCTGTAATAGACTGATTCAGTCAGGACGGGCATCACGGCGGGATGGCTGGGCTTGGGAAAGGTCGTTATGGTTCTCCCCGGTGCGCTGGGGCGGGAGAGCGGAAGAGAGTAGGACGCGGCAGGTGCGTGTCGCGCGGCCTTACCTCAGGAAGGTGCTGCGCGAGCGGAGAAGATTCTGGCGGGTGGGGGGCCCGGGCACGAGGATACAATGAGAGGGGACACTGCCATGAGGGTTGGCGTGGCTTAAGGCGGAAGGTGAATGGGGGACTGAGGTATCAGCAGCGGTGGACGGAGGAGAGGTGACGAGCACAGCGAGTTGTGCACTTAGTGACTTACAGTAAGTGAGCCTTCACAGAGAATATGATGGTGAGGATCATCACAGACGGAGAACAGAATGTTGCCGCATTTGCAGTAACTTGAGGTGATGTGCTGCCCTTCTGGCCACGAGGAGCCCACCCTTCACTGCAACACGTTGCAGGCGGCATCCTGCCCATACACTCGGAATGCTGCATACACTGTAGCGAAGAACATGACTCGCGCATGGCCGGTGCTCAGAGAGACTATGATCGTCCATGAATGATTTCACGGCTCGAAGCTCATCGTGAGATGCACTACGTATGCATGGATCTATGAAGGCACAATGAGCCGGCAAAGTGAGAATCCTGTTCGGGACGCCTACCGTCAAACCATCCAGAGAGTTTCTGCGCAAGACGCAAACGCAGATCTTCATGCACACTGCTCCAGTGGCATGGCATGATGAGGACCTGCATAGGTTAGTGTGATCACCAGTGCTGATACGATCGCGCTTGCGGATGGAAGCAGTGCGTAGTGTCCACGCTCAATCCGCAACAATCACTTTGTAGTGCCAGAATTGAACGAATCTATGCTGCTCAAACGTGTCCTTGCGACATAGGTGTTCGTTTCACCGCAACTGCCAGGATGAACGTTAACAGTAAAGGGCAGAGTCAAACTAGCGCTGGAGGGAGGTGGGACGTCTTTCCTCTCCCCGCCACTGCAGTTCGCTCTGGCGAATTGGCCGGGGTCAGACCCCTCCCATACCAACTCTACGCTCACCGCTGCCTCAGATAGCAAGCTCCCACCAGCTACGACCTACCGCGGCCGAACGCGCCCATCGAGCGGCCGAAACAGGCGCGAAATCACGACCCATCGACGGAGGCGCGGCTGGGGGCACTCGAAGCAGGTAAGTGCATTCTGGACAACGTCTCGTTCGCGATGGCCGTTGATCCAGCTCCAGTTCACGACTCCAGCGGAACAAATGATAGACGTTGAGACCCTGGGAGCGCAGCCGAGAGCTATAAGGCACGATTCACCGTGCAGACGATCGATAGACATCCGCCTTCCCCGAGCTTGAGCCATGTCCGCCTACTTCACGCGTCCCCGGCAGCCCACCGTCTCCTCGCCAGCCGGGAGCACCGTCCTACGACCGGCCCATCACGACGCGCACGACCAACGCCTTCCCTCGCTGGACATCGACTTTGGCGAGTCAATATACATCTTCCCTAATCCCTCTTCCGTGCCACCGAGCCCCGGGTCTTCGCTCTTCTCCGCACCAAGCGACCTCCCTTCTTCCCTGAGCTCTCCAGCCTCCTACATCGAATCTCGCCGCCGTCCGCGTGGGCGACACCACACCTCCAGCTTCTCCGCGCAGACCAGCACCAGCCGCAGCCGCAGCGAGAGCGCGAGCACGAGCACGTCTTACCTTCGCGTCCACCATCCCCTCTCGCCCACCACCCCTACCGACACGGACGCAGATGCAGATGCAGACGCGTATCTCGACGGCGACATCGAGGTCGAGCTCTGGGAGTGGACAGGCGAGTCCGCGCGCTCCGGCGAGGGCTCCGAGCCCGACTCGTGGGTACTCGAGGAGGAGGTGCAGCGCGCGAGTCGGTGGGGGCTCACGGACGCAGACACGCACGTCCGTGGGCGGCCGTACCCCCTGCGCGCGTCGACGTCCACCGCGCACGCGCGGATCACACTGGACAACGCGCGCCACCGGCTGAGCCTCGCGTCCCTCCGCTCGCGGACGCGCTCGAAGTCGAGCAGCGACTTCAGGCCGGGGAGCGCGCAGGCGCCGCAGCCGCGCATACGCATACCGCTGCTGTCGTTCTTCGCTGCGCTGCTCTCGCTCGACCTGGACGACCCCGCCCTGCGCCTGCTCACACAGCCCGCTCCGCCCGACGGCCAGTCGATCCTCTTCCCCGGGCACCCCACAAGCAGTCTCTCTCCCCCGGAACCCTCCTCGCCTTCCTCTGACAGCTCGGACACGAGGTGCCATAACTCGGATCGCTCGGAACTGACGCCCGACCTTCCCTCCAGCACGCACGGTTTGCAGAGGCTGTTCTCCTCGACGACGGAGCCCGCCAGCGCTGCGTTGCGCTCACTCCGTGCGGGACTGGTCGCGATCCCGATCGATATCGACGTGCCGGGGGTCGCGGGCCTCGCCGGTTTGTTCCGCGCCGTCGGGGAGGCGTATACGCGGGGCGGGCAGGCGTGGAAGGAGATTTGGGCGGGCGATGTCCTGATGTCCTGAATCCCGTTTTGTTGGATGTCTTCTGGGTACTAGCGTTGGCTACGTACGTCACTCTGCTTTCCACGATCTGTTCTTTCTCGCCCTCGGTTTCTCTAGCCTCTCCATATGGACCTTGAACGTGCGTGTCTGGGATGTTGTCTCGCTGTATTGTAGTAGACTTGGGCTCTTGTACGCATACGCACCCCTCATATACCGATGTACGCAACTAAACTAGATCCCACAGTAGTACAAAAATGCCAAAGGGAAGAATGATTGTCACCTTCGAGTCTGTGGGTTCGAGTAAGCAGCGTATGAAACTGCTCCGAAGTATAATGGCTGGCTCAGCATCATTCGGTACTTCCAGGGCATATGCGACACTGTTTCTTTTCATTCATCGGGTTAGTACAACTTGAGTACAACATTCCTTCATACTGCTACACTAATTTTTGGCCCCTCTTGTCACTACTTCACAACCAACGCGATATTTCAGCCGACGATCTTGCCGTCGACGATCTCAGAGGACTCAAGGATACTGATAGCCTCCTTGGCCGCCTTGATGCCGCTCGCCATCATCGCACCGAAAGTCGGGCCCATCCGGTTCGAGCCGTCGTGCTCAGAGAGCTCCATACCTGGTCACCACCATCAACACCGTGACACCCAATGCGCGCGGGCAGACAAGCGGGACTCACCAGTCATGACGAGGCCCGGGGCGACCTCGCGCGTGCCGTTGACGATCGCGGGCTCCGCGCGGTTCATGTCGAGGCCGCGCATGTTCCCAAGCTCCTTGAGGAGGCCCATGCTGACGAGGCGCTTCGCGGAGAACGCGCCCATGGGGCCGTCGTGGCCCGTCGCGGAGACGACGACGGGCGCGGTGATGACGTTGGGGTCCATGCAGCTCTGCGTGTCGTGGTTGAGCGCGACGAGCGTCCAGTTCGTGACGACGCCCGCGACGCGCTGCCGGCCCGCGGCGTCCGCGCGCACGATGAGGTCCTCGACCGCGGTCGCGTTCATCAGCACGACGTTCGGGAACGCGAGCACGCGCGAGAGGACGGTCGAGGTGAAGAGCGCGGCGTGCTTGACGACGACGAAGGCGCCTTCGTCTTCGAAGGGGACGCCGATCTCGGTGAGGAAGCGGTCAGCGGGCTTGCGGACGACCTGTGGGACGTGTTAGATTTGGAGAGCGGCTGGATGCTGTGGTGCTTGGCGTACCATGGGCGTCATGAGCTGTCCGCCGAGCCATGCACCACCACCTTCGCGGGAGCGAGTGAGACGTTGGGACAAGGCGCAGAATAAAGACACGTACCGGAGCAACACCGGCCTCGATGATGGTGATCTTCAGGTCGGGCCTCGTCTTTGCGAGGTGGTACGCACAAGAAAGACCCGCGCTACCTGCACCGACGATGACGACGTCCGAGACGGCACGATCGTACATCTGGGTGAAGTACCTGGCGACATCAATGAGCAAGACGCATATAGCGACGATTTGTATCTGCGCACCGCTTGATCATGGCACGGGAGACCTGCGCCTCCTCATCGGGGCGAAGCGGTAGTTCCCGTTGTAGTCCTCCAGCACATCATACGAGCCGTTCGTCACAGTCCCGTTCGTCTTCGTGGCGAGCTTGTGGAAGAAGACGGCCTCGTCGGTGGGCTGGGGCAGGGTAGCAGCAGGGGGGGCCATGATTGCGGATGCGGGTCGGCCGGGCCCTTGCGTCGAGAGGACTTTATACCGACCAGAGGGACCCCGTCGGGCCCGTCGGAGTGATTGCTCCAAGTCCCTCGCATCCTCGATTCCGTATTGCGTAGAGTGTGAACGCATCCGGAAGCGCCAGCCCGGCCTATCTTGTGCAGTCAGTGGGTCGGAAAGGACGCGGTGGCCGTCACCCGGGCGGTCGTGAGTAACTGTGGGCACGTTCTCGGTCCGGCGTTGTGCCATCAGGCAGATAGTATCAGATAAACGGATCTCTTGCAGATTGTCTGGGAGAAAGAAGCCGGTTGGCCATTGACATCTGCCTCAGAGTTCAGTAGAGGGGTCCCGAGCGAGCTAGTGGCTCCGTCGTGATCAGTGAAGGTGCTGCGCTAATTACCATGAGTGCCTGAGTCCGAGCCTGCCTAGACTGACCTGTGCTGTAAGGTGTGTTCACTCCCAGTAGTGGTCTGTTTCTAGGTTTCAGAGGTACTCACATGTGTGCTCCTGGTGGATTAACCGCTGCTATGTAAAGCGTCCGAACCCCACAGCACGGCAGTAGAAGCCGCCCTTAATTTGAACCGTTGGAATAGAGTAATTGGGCAGATCCAGCAGGTGACACGAGATCGACGAAGCTCGCGGCTGCAGCCAGCAGCGATATTATGGTTGGTCTAGAAGAACAGCTATCATCAATGAGAGCGATGAGACATGGGCAGCTCTCGATTTGACAACTCACTCAGCTTTCTTATCCTCCGGTACCTATTCGATTGGGTGTCTGTATCGCGCCGCAAGGGCGCGTGAGATCAACGAAGTCGGCGGGCACTTAGTACCTGCTCCCCTTGCCTGATGGCCTGCCGCCAAGTCCTACTGTTCTCAGAGTCTGAGGAGATCACTTGAGAGATCTCGAGACAGCAGAATGCATACTCCAATGTGAAGTAGACCATCGGGAACAGTTATGTGCATGAACCAACTGAGTCTACAGCTTGAACACAGTGAGCCCGGGTGACAACTTGGTAGTGAGCGGTGGGGACGCAAGGCGCGCGCTGCTACAGGACACCGTTAGGCCACCGTGGGACGACGTCCAGCGTCCGTGTCGCCGAGCCGCTAAGCGGACCTTTCTATCTAACTCGGACCCCCTCCAGAAGCACGACGATATGGGGCAAAGCGGCCAGGAATGTGCGACCCGCCGGGGCGCTGTGGGGACGAGCGACACAGCACCTGAGAAACGCCCTTGACGGAGTAGAAAACGACTCGCCTGCGTGTCCCAGGCAGCTTGGCCGCCTCATATCGCCCCCTCACCGCCGCCCCAGTGCACCCTGACCGCAGCAGACCGCGACCCGCACGATGGCCACCGCCCAGCAGAACTACATCCTCACCGCGGATCCGCTCTCGCTCGATCGCATCAGGTCGATCCTCAACCGGCTCGAGGACACGATCATCTTCGAGCTCATCGAGCGCGCGCAGTTCGCGCACAACCCCAAGATCTACCGCAGAGGCGAGTTCGCGGAGCTGCAGAGCATCGGGTTCAAGGGCAGCTGGCTGGAGTGGTTCTTGAAAGAGACGGAGTCCTTCCACGGTGTGTCTAGCCGAGCTTCAAGTTGCGCGCAGCCACATATTCTCACCTGGCCTCACCAGCCAAGGCACGGAGATACACGAGGTGAGCACAGTGCTCACCACCAATACTCGCAGGTAGTAACCGCTATCTCTAGCCCCGATGAGTACCCGTTCACCGACCTCGCGGAGCTCCCGCAGCCCGTCCTGAAGGGCGTCGAGCTCCCCAGGATCCTCTACCCGAACAACGTCAACGCCAACAAGTCCATCCTCAGCTTCTACACCCGTTCCATCGTCCCTCGCATCACAGCCCAGGCCACACTCGCCCTCGCCGCGGCGAAGCGCGCCAAGGGCATCTCAGGCGACGACGAGTACGAGGACGACGGCAACTACGGCAGCACCGCCGTCCTCGACGTCGAAGTTCTGGGTGCGATCAGCAAGCGGGTGCACTACGGTCAGTCCCCCGCACTCGTCCCCCCGACCGGCTCCTGACGCTCACACGACCGCGCCAGGCAAGTTCGTGTCCGAGTCAAAGTTCCGCGCAGACCCGGCTGCGTTCATCCCGCATATCGTACACCCCAACCGGGCGGCGCTGGACGCGCTCATCACGAAACCTGAGGTCGAGCGCAAGCTCCTCCAGCGCCTCCGGAAGAAGGCAGAAGTTTACGCGCTCAACTTCTCCCCAGAAGGCGAACCTAGCGGCGACGCAGGGCGGAAGATCGACGTCGACGCGATTGTGGAGCTGTACGAGCATTACATCATTCCCCTCACAAAGGAGGTCGAGGTACGTTCCCCTTGTTGAGAGCCGGTTGTATGACGTTTGACCCGGCGGGCTAGGTCGACTACTTGCTGGTGAGATTGGAGGGCATGTCACAGGAGGAGATCGAGGAACTAGCAGCGAGCAAGAAAGCATAGAACGTGTACGATAGAATGTGTACGATAATGCATGAACCTCTTTCATCCGATTATCTTGGGACACTCAGTTCAAATCCATCATCTGTTCGCCACGCAGGTGCCATAGACCGGTCTTGCCCGGACTCAGGGCCATTGAAATGAATTCACATTACATTGATTCCCCACTTCTGTATAATCCAGTAAGAGAAAAAAGCCATCAAAGAACGAGTGTCGACTATATGGGAGCACGATGGGTATCGCTCGAAAGATACACAAAGTTAAAAGTGAAGATATAATGTTAGGAAAACTGATGAAGCAACGGCGGACTTAGCTCAGGTATCCCCGTGGACGACACCTTACGATATGCGGAGGCAGAACGGAACCGGAGATGATGCATGATGAAGGGAAGCAGCAACGAGGAAGGGAAACGCCTCACAGACCCAGGTCTGCAGGGACCGTGCCGTCAATGCATCAGTCAAGCGGATACAGGGAAGACGTCGACGGTGACGAACCTTGCAGCAGCTTGCGCGTCTCTTGCTCGCTGATATTCGCCGTCGCGCGTCTCGCGAGCAGCTTCTCCGTCCTGAACTTCTCATACAGGACCTCGTTCGTGCGGATCTTCAGCATCTGCCAATTCAAACAACACTCAGGACCACACTCGACCGTGCGCAAAGGCACACCACGACGCACTTTCATATACGTGGACAGCACCGCCGTGCGCATCGCCGCGAAGTCACAATGCTGCGGGTTCAACACGTCCACCGTCCCCCACCTGAACTTCCTGATGAACACGCCCCTCAGATCCGCTGGCGGGCCCGCCAGGTACGGGAAGTGCTTCACCGAGGAGCTCGGCGTCGACGGGCTCGCGGGCGCCGTATACGCCGAGTCCGCGACAGAGTGCGCGTGCCCGTCTTCCGAGGGCGCCGCGCCCGAGCCCGAGCCCGTGTCGGTCTGCACCGACTGCTGGTCGAGCGGCTTCGCAGAGCGCCGCCGCTTCACGCGCTCCGGGGTGATGAGCGCGAACGGCAGGATGTCTGCGAGGTCGCTCTTCGCGACGACACTCGCCGAGAAGCGCACGCTCGCGACGCTGTCCACGTCCGTCGCGTCCGGCTCCGCGCGCTCCCTTGCTGCGAGCTCGGAGAGGCTCATCCGCGAACGCGACTGCGACCGCGCCCTGCTGGTCGTGTTCGTGCGCGTAGTGCGAAGTTTGATGACGGGGCGCGAGCGCCGCTCTTCTGGGTCTTCTTCAGACTCGCTCTCCGTGTCGTTGGTCCCGTGGCGTTTGCTGGTACCGTTCCCGTTCCCATTCCCGTTCCCGTTCCCATTCCCGTTCCCATTCCTGTCCGCAGGCCCGTGTCCGTTCGTCTCGGGCTTTGCAGTCGCGGGTGGCTCGGGGCTTATAGGGCCGAACACGCCAAAGTCGAGGCCCGCTTCGAGGAGGTCGCGGCGCACGACGCGTCTCATCTCCGCGAGCGTGTCGTCGGTCAGCGAGTCCGCACGTGCGAGCACGGGGAGGACGTTCGCGCGCGTGCTGAGGCGGCGGATGACACGTATGTCGGCGGGGGACATCGTCAGCTCTGCGCCGGCCTCGTCGTCGTCATCGTCAGACGTGGAGTCCGAGAAGGACAGCTCCGGCGGGTTCGTCTGCCGCGAGATGGTTGTCTCGGAGCGCGACTTTATCGGAAGCGAGGAGAGGGCGCGCCGGAGGGATGTGCTCATGATTGACTTCGGATCAATCATGTAGATGCATCTGCGTCGTGGTGCGGGGTGTGAGACGAGGTGATGCTGCGGGCGGGTTGATAAGGACTCACAGATGGATGTGCTGATCGCCTTTGCTCTGTCGGATGACTTTCGATTCCTACATAATGATGTCAGCCATTGCGGAGCCGAGATACTGCACGCCGCTGGGAGGCGGCGAGATGAATTGGGGAATAGTGCGGGCCAATCGGTCGGTGCTGACGCGCCAACTGGGATCAACGTGCGACTCCGCGACAAACACGCACCTCGCCAAGTGTATCTGAGAACTGCGTGTCCATGTACTTGACCACCACGGAGACTTGCCGCTCCAGCTTGAGCTCGTGGCCCTCCTGGAAGTCGAGGCCGGGCGTGTCGATCACCGAGAGGAGCACACGATCGTATCGAGATTCGCATATTTCGACGCATGTTGACTGGATCGAGTCGGTGCGCTTCGGGGTGCCGCGGAGGAAGGTCTCCATCGCAGCCCTCTGCTCGGGCGTGGCCGTGGGTGAGATGTCGGCGGTGTCGAGGAGGAGCCGGAGCAGGGACGTCTTTCCTGTCCCTTGGCTGCCAACCACCTACAGTCACGCTGTCAGTGGGAATGCATGGATGCCACAGGAGTGGCCACGCACCATGATGTTGAACGTCGTGGGGCGCGGGCCTTGCGGAGGCTAAGCTTGGGACGCGAGTGCTTGCCTGCGCGTCTCGAAGGCAGAGGGCGGCGGCGGCGGCGCCGACATGTACAAGGAGGAAATGGACCCGCCTGCAGGTTTGCCTGGAGACGACCATGGGACATGGAATGGAATGGGACCCTGCGATTCGGTGTCAAAGAGTGTCTTGGCCGCACCTTTTGAAGGAGTTTGCGGCGTCTCTGGGACGGCAGAAAGGTCGACGAGGTGTTCGGGCCATGGTATGCCTTGCGCATTGAGCTCTGGGAGCGAGGGCGAGTGGCGGACGAAGGGAGGACCGGAGTGGTCGGCCTCTGACAGTGACTTGCGCGGCTTGCGGCGGAAGCTGAACATAGCTCAAGCTCGAGGCTTCGACAACGTGGACAAGGAGATGAACGTGCGAGAGGAGCCCGTGCGAGAGCCAGCGCAGAGCAGCACGGGGAGGAGAGAGTGGAGACGGAGAAGGAGTATGTGAAAGTGGTTGGGATCGCCGCCCGTGGCCTGCTTTCTCTCCCCTCTCTCACAAGCGCCCGTGTCCTTCTTCCAGAGTCTAGACGCCCTCGCCTCGAGGCTCGCCCATACTTTGACTGGCGCCGCCCTCGCCACCAACTCAGTGAGCGACGGCGAACGACGGCGAGCCTCAATTGGGCCATACCATCTCATTCTTATCAGCCGTCAAATCCACACGGCGCAGGGCCTGACCACTTACCATGTTTCAATTATCCGTTTCGCTACAAGTGGTATGTAGGCACATGTTTCACTGGCCACACACGGTACTCACAGATCATTCGCTTTTCGGGGAGAAACAGCTTGACGAGTAGTTAACAGTGCCATACACCAGCAGGGTTGGGCCAATGCCAACCGTGTAGGGAGGGCGGTACATATATGTATTCAGAATATTCAGGCGTAGTGCCACAGCCCGAGGATTGACTACAACTCACAACTTGACCAGGAAGAATAGACAAGTACTGATGCGGTCACCCTGCAGTGGGACCATCTAGTATGTAGCAAATGCAGTCCCGCGCGTCTCCGCCGTGCACATGTCAGGACGTGGACAGCACCGTTATGGCAAGTCGCCTGCCCGATCAGGCAACTTTGCAAGCTCCCATCATGTTCGCTTCGTAGCCACGCCTAATAGTTTGTTGGACGCGGACCTGTTGATGGATCTATCCGTTTGGCATCGTCAACATCATATGGTAGATCACCTGCAAGGCCCCAGCTGCAGGGACGACCACCGATGATCGAACCACAGTGCCGTTCAGGTCTGAGCCTGTCTGAGCTACGTGAACATCTTTCATATCGAGCTTCCACTCAAGAACATTGCAGCGATCCTTGCATCAAGCTCAAGCTCGACGGCAGCTGAGGAAAAACGATCGTGCAGGATAGAACATTCCGGGGTAGCAGCACACCCCCACACCGCCGCACCACAGTCCAGGAAGAAGGCTGCCCAGATCCAAACGCAGCGGCACTGGCCACGGATCCACAACCCAGCCCAAGCGGAGCGACAGACGGTCTGTCAGTACGTGCGCCCGTCGCACAGGCGGCGACGAATAGATATGCTACTGTACACATGCGGCTCCGCTCCCGTGCGGCGACAATCGAAACAACCCAGCGACGACGGCAGTAAATACCCTAACACAGCAGAAGAAAGCAATACACAGTTACACACGAGGCAAGCGTCCTCCACAAGTAGTCTAAAGAAGAAGAAGTGCGTTCGCGCGCGGGCAAGCCGCAGGGAGGCCTAGGGAGCTCACGGCGCCTGCATCACCGCCACCGCCGCCGCGGTGCAGACTCCGTCGCCATCCGCATTTTCTTCACTGGGTGCCCGCTGTCTGACGGGCCGCCGTCCACCATCCCGATGCTGCGCGTCGTCCCGTTCGACGCACCGAACTGCACAGGCACCGACGGCGACGAGCGCGACGACGTCGAGCCGGACGGCCCTGGAGTGGCTGCCGCCGCCCGCCCGCGGCCCCTGCTCGTGCCCGGGTCATTCACGTAGTTGCACGGCAGCGAGCGCCGCGAACAGCTGCCGCACGCGGGATGCGCCCCATCGCACCTCGTCTTGCGCGCTATCAATGATTGGCACTAGGTATCAACGCGTGCCTCGGGTCCGACGCACATCACCAACACGCACCTCTGCAGACGTTGCAGGCCACAATCTTCGAGCCGTGATTGGTCGCGCGCGTCTTCCCAGTCGCCGCGGCGGACGTGCGCCTCCGCGCGGTCATCTGACCGTCCTCTGACTTTAGCGACCCTATCGACGGCGGATCTTCCAGGGGCAGGCTCTTGGACGCGGAAGAAGGGGGTGCTGATAGTGTGGCGATGGGCGGAAGCTCCGGGCGCGCGTCCGTCAGCGTCACATTCCGCAGGCTCGTCGTGGCCTGCTGGATGGGCGGGAGCGTCGTCGAGCCTGCAGACTCGTCCCGCCTCTCGATGCTGCTCAGCGGCGGGAGCGTCTCCCCGAGCAGCATGCTCACGTTCGAGTTGCGGCGCGAGGTCGGCTGCGACTGCGACTGTGGGTGCGACGCGACCGAAACCTCCGGGGACTGAGAAGCGTTTTCCATATCCATGGACTGGTCTTCTATGCTCTCGCCCTCGCTTTCACTGCCGCCGAACTGTTTCCGCGCCTTCCTTCCACCACGCCGGTTCTGGCTCGCGGTGTAGTCGCAAGGGTTCGAGCGCTTGAAGCACTGGCTGCAAGCAGGCCTGCCGCCGTCGCACTTGAGCTTGCGCGCTGGAAGACACCCGCGTCAGTGCGGGGAGAGGAAGAGTCGCGGGAGACAGAGACGCACATCGGCAGAAATTGCACGCGACCGTGATCTTCTTCGTGCGCAACCGTTGAGACCCTATGTGAAGATACGAGTGGTCAGCATAGCAGCCGAGTATACCCTTCGATGATCGCAGTGGCCATATACGACGACAACTGGTCTCACGACCCCTCGCGGAAAGAAAAGATGACTGACTCGAGGAATTTGTCGTACCCGGCGAGCCTTCCGAGGGGACGCCCGAGGGCACACGCGGTTGAGGGGAACCAGCAGACCGCGAAGCTGCGTCCCCATTCAACGAAATCGTGGCCGGGCGAGCCGGGTGTGGTTGTCCCTTCGTGGCAGCGTGGGACGGTGTAGTGTCTATAGCAAGGATGGGGCGAGATGCATGAGAAAGAGCGGGGAGTCGGGGCGGCATTGCGACTGGTGCATGGGGCGCCCGAGTTGGAATAGGATGCGGGAGCGGCGGCTGGGTCTCCGCCCTGAACTTTTGGAAGAGATACTCTCTTGTGTATTTTTGCAGAGTCTGCCACGGACACCCGAAAGACGCAACTAATCGTCAGTAAACACTCATGGAAGTATCCCCGCGCGGTAAGACGACTGTACCTGCATGTGGTGAAAGATAGCCCCGCGTAGTTGTACAAAGTCACAGTGGGTTGTATCCATGACATCGAGGAAGCCCCATCTATAGCTCCGGATGAACTTGCCCGGGACGATTTTAGCGAATGTCTGTTGCCTGTGGTTAGGAAAATGTTGTAAAGGAGTGTACTGGTGCGCCAGTTCGGTGCGAGACGGTGCGGGTCTAGCAACGCCGTCACTATGTGAATAAATATCCGGCGATATCACTGCGTAGGGCAAGCGCAGGTAAGAGGGGGAAGACATCGAGGTCGACGGCGAAGAGGTCGCCGAGGACGATGCACCGTTAGTATGGCCGCCATACCCATTTGCATTCTCGAGCTTTGGCAGAACGTTTTCAGACGAGTCCCGGCGAGAGTACTGAGGGTACTGCGGGAACGTGTCCAAGTCGAAAATGCCAAAGCCGATACCAGCTTCTGCCAGATCGCGCCGTACGGCCGTCTTCACAGCTGCGAGGCGTTCGTTGGTGAGGATGTCGGCGCGCCCGACGACGGGAAGGACGTTGACGCGCGTGGATAGCCGCCGGATGGTGGCAATGTCGGCGGGGGGCAGGGCAGGCCGACAGAGCAGGGGGTTGGTGGTCACCGGAGGCTCGAGGATGACGGGGTCGATGTCGGACATGCTCCCTGCGCGGCTGCGGGTGACGAGGGGAACGGGGGGCGCTGATACCGACGGAGGCACTATGGTGTCCGGATCCAGGAAGTAGATACACCTGCACAATGTATCAGATAGAGTCCTGCCTGATTAGGACGGGTCCGGCGACACTCACAGATGGACGTGGTGGTCGCCGTTCTGCGCCTTGCGCTCCTGCAAAGGATTCGAGCTTGGGCAACGCGCTTTTGTAGTGATTGAGAGAAGCGACTTACGTCGTCTATGCTTTCCGCGAAGCGCGCGTCTACGTGCCGCAAGATATCGGTGACCACACGCTGGGACGCGGCGTCGTCGACAAAGTCGAGGGACGGCGTGTCGATGAGCGTGAGGGTGAACTCGTGGCTGTCCTCGCCCTCTGCGGGTGCCAGGTCGACGTTGGCGGAGACGGCCCGGACGTGCGAGGTGTGGCCGCTGCAGCCCTGGACGAACTTGGCGACGGAGGTGAGCTGGTCGCGCGAGACGGCGGGAGAGAGGGGGCTGGTGTCGAGGAGGAGCCTGAGGAAGGAGGTCTTGCCGGTGCGACGACCAGCGACCATGAGGGTGTAGCCGGGGAGGTCGCCGTCCGGGTCGCCGGCGGCGGTGGACGGGCGGGATGCGCGGAGACCGGCTTGCTCGTCCATGACCTGGCCGTAGGGGCCGTCGTCGTGGACGAGCTGGTCGGGGCGGGCCCTGTGGTCGGCGGCGTCCATGGTGGGGACGTCGAGAGCCGGAGGGAGTAGCGAGGATGTGCGGGGGTGGGGTTCCAGATCACCACTCGCCCATCACCGCGCCCGCGCCGGCAGACGCCCGTCCGCGTTCCGGGCAGCGGGCGCCTCCGCCATCCTGGCAGGGCCCGCCAGTGCCACCCCTCCAGTGGCCATGCCCCTGCCTCCTCCCCTTTTACGTACGCACACTCCTCCCGGGGCGAGAGCATTCTATTACTTTTGCGTGCTATCCTCTACGACATTAGCCATTATTAACGTGGGATTATCTGGACTGGGACCGCGAGTAGACCATAAGGGAGTATAGCGATGTAGAGTGTAGTGCGCGGACATAACTTAGCTCGAAATAAACATAAGATACCGGCGGGAACGGAGCGGAAATCAGGACGCGTCTGTCACCGTGGCCGGACAACGCCAGACAACGTCTGACACGGTGCACGCCCTCGTCTGCCGCGAGGATCATCCCCGAAGCACCCTCCCAGCTTCGAGCGCCGGGCCCCGGCCCTGCCTGCTTGCCTCGCGCTCAATCTCCGTCTCGCACGCACCGCACATTGCGCTTCGACGGCGTGCGTGGCGGCCAGCAGGGGGGGTGTTCGCGCGGATCGAGAGCACCGGGCCCGACACGGGTAGAAAATCGCAGAGGCAGATTGAGCCAGGCGGTGTGTGATTAGGTCGCCAGAAGGCGATGGTCGTTGTGACAAGAGGCGCCCCGTGCTCTCAGGGTGGTCTGGCGTCCGTCGACCCACAGGCACGCGCCTACCGTTCCGGCGGCGTCGACCCGTCGTCCTCCTCCTCGTCCGTCCCCTGCCCGCCAGAGCCCTCCTCGGGCACGTCCTCCACCGAATACTCAGACCCAAGCGACTCGCCCAGCGGCCCCAGCGAGAAGTGCCGTTCTTCGCTCGGACGGCCCCTAGAACCAGAGCCCGGCGGCCGCCCCGGACTGGGGGGCACAGGCATCGGAGGATCGTGGCGGAACATCGCGTGAGGGTACATCGCAGCTTCCTCGTCTGGTGGAGGGTAGTACGGATCCGGAGGCTGGAACGTGAACTGCCCAGATAGCGGAGGCAGAGGTGCCTGCGCCTGCGCCTGCTGCTTCGCCAGATTCTTCTTGCCAGGCCCGCGCCGCTTCGGTCTCCCCGGCGGGTACTTGCACGCACCTGTCTCTTCGCGCAGTTGCCACACAGAGGCTGGCCGTCGCACCTCAACTTTCGTTCTGCGAGGAAGGAAGGAGGAGAGCAATCAGCCACACGCTCAGACAAAGGTACGGCACATGTCGATCGGGACACTCACTGCGACAGAAGAAACACGCCTTCTCCGTCTTCTTACTCTGCTTCCGCGGAGGCTCTGGAGACTCACCCGGCGTCCTAGATGGCGATCCTGCACGCGATGCACCCGCCTCGACGTCCTCTGCGCGCCGGCGCTTACGAGACGTCCTACGAGAAGGCCCCGGTTCAGGTGGTGCGTCCTCCTCAGGCCTCGCCTGCTCACACTGTCCTCCGTGTCGTTCCCATCATCTCCTGAATGCGTCGAGTGTGATGTCAGCGAGGGCTGGTAGCTCCTCGGTTCCGAGAAGAGTGGCCCAGTATACCGGGGCGACGCTAGTGTCTCGACTTCACCCAGTGGTGGCGCATTCGGATCGTAACTGTACGGCGTGCTGACTGGCAGCCGCGCTCCTGCGGATATCGGGGTGCCATTGTGGCGGGATCATATTGTGTAGAGCTCTGGAAGGAGAGCGGGAAGGGCGGACGAGCGCCGTGTCCGAACCCAGGGCCAGAAGGCGCACGAAAATCCGGCACGCTTTCGTATCCTGCCATCGGACACAGATCAAAAGGGTGTCTGCACTGCTGAGGCGTCCCAACTTACTCTGCAACGGTGGCCTCTCCGCTTCGGGGATGGGCAGGGCCGTCCGACGCTCTGAAGGGCTGACCGAGCGCCTGCTGCCCGGGCGTGTTCGAAACTCGACGGGCGACAGCTGCCTCTCGCCCTCGCCCGGCCGCTCTGCGGTGACCGGCGAGCCGCGCGAGTACGGCAAGGGCGGGGCGTGGGGCAACGGATAGAGTCCCCGATCCTCAGGCTCGAGCAAGCGGCTCGGCAGGGGCCTCGAGCCGCTTGCTCCAGCTGAGCGACGCGGCGGCAGCGAGCGTCCTCGACGGGGGTCGTCAGGGTGGCCCCCGCCCTCCGGTTCCAGGTGTCGGCGCAGGTACCCAAGGGTGGGCGAGCCGTACTCGGAGCGCGCCTCTGGGATGCGGCCGCGCCCCGCTTCGTACGCGCGGCTGGGCCCCGGCTGGGGAAAGGAGTAGCTTTCTGGGTATGGCTGGAGCGGCTGGCGCGAGGACGACGCGACGGGATACTCGCCGCCCAGTTCGTGATGTCCGCCGTAGCGCGATCCTGGCGGGGGGAAGCTTGAGCTGACAGGGGTGAGCTGGGGTGGCGGATGGGAGTACGGGGCCGCAGGCTCGTGCGCCTGCGGCATCGGGTAGGAGTAGCCATGTCGTGCGGGAGGGAGCCTCTGCGGCTGGCTGGACGGCCCCGCCTGTCCCTCCCAGTAGGGCCGCAGGGTGGGCAGCCGGGGCGGCTCTGGTGGTGGCAAAGACAAGTGTTGAGGATAGCCATGCACGCTTCTGGGCGGAGGCAGCGCAGGCTCGGTGGGAGACGTACCTCCGGGCAGGATAGACTGCAAGGGGGGCAGCTGGGGCGCAGCGGGTCGCCGGAGGTAGGGATCGTCTGAATAGGTTTCGATGGGCTCCGCGGGCCCTCTTCTGGGCAGATCGCCTATACGCCTGTCCCCTTCATCGAATGCAGCTGGCGCGAGGCTTCCGACGTTGTAATCGGGATCAGGAAACGAAGGAACAGGGCGAAACGCACGCGAGCTCGGATCCCAGCCTGCCCTTGGTTCTCCGCTCGTTGAGGCCTCTGGATGATCGCTCTGGCCCCCGTGCTCAGGGTTGTCAATGAGCAGCGAGCGGAGGTTACTCGGCAGCGAGCTTTGACGTCCTGGATCGCCTCCTCCTCGTCGCTCTGGGTGCATGTGTGGCCAGCCTCGGGACAAAGGTTACCACAGGACGTCGCGGTCGCAGGATGTCGCTTTGTGCGGCGGCGGGGGCGGGAGCAAGACCAGTAAACCCATTCGACGGCAGGATCGCGGAAGAAAAGAGGGGGCAAAAACTGCTGTCCGCAGAGAGGGGCGGATGTGGCCTAGGAGCCTCCCCCGTAACGGTGCAAGGAGCGCACGGACAATCCCCTAAGGTTTGCTCCCGCTGCAGCACCGGTCAAAGAGGCCCAGTTCAACCATACACCAGGCCGGACGAGGGTCCGCCCGTTGCGCGCATTACTGGATCGAGGAACGCCTCGGCATGGCTGGTGAGTGCATCCGCTCAACCGCTGCACGGCGAAGTGCGATGGTCAAACTCAACGTGATTACCTGATGCGCATTATTATCGTCGCCACAGCCGCAACAACATTGTCCACCGCACACGGCCTCGCTCAGATCACACTCGTTCGCTCGCTGTTCACTCAAACATCGCTCTCAAGGCCCTCGTCTGCGGAGGGGACTGAAGATTTCGTGCTGATTGGGTGCTGGCCATATCGTGGGCAGCGTTCCAATCTGCTGGTTCAGCCGGTCACAGGTCACATAATCGAGCCGAAACACGATCGACTATCTGGCGGCGCAGAGGGCTCCTAAGAACAGCTGCCGTGTTTGTCCATTCCTGCCCGCTGTGTCGGTAACACCGCCGATGCGCCACTACCAATCCGCGTTTGACTCGTCCGCGATCCCCCCGAATCTCGCTCTCCAGCTTGGGCGGCCGCGCTGAGTTGTGGCTGGCGGGCGCGTCGGTGCCAGCCCTCCGCACTGGCGCCTCCGGCCGGTCGGGGGCACGCCTCGTGGTTTACGCACCGTGCGACTCTTGTCACCAGGAGGCAGATTTGATCAGACGGGACCGTCCAGAAGCAGCTACTGAGCCCGGCATGGCAAGGGGCGTGCGCAGAATGTTATCTCGATTGTCATCAAATTAAATGCTCGCTGCGTTTCCCGCGTATTCCTTTAGCAGTAGCGTCGCTTGTCACATCGTCCTTCGGGCCACTGTACTGTAGCTATGTGGGCGAATAACAGGGAATTTAGCTCGCATCCGATTGACGGTGCGGAGAGGCCTGCGGGCGGGCAGCGATCTGGACGGAGACGAGCATGGCACGGACCGGCGATGGTCGGATTGGACCTGTCAGGACTCGCGCGCGTGGCGGGGTTTGACATTTGTGTGATGTGTCACACAGTGACGCCCACCCTCAGCGCTACGTGACGTGTATCCGTATCACGACGCACCAGCCAAGATCGTCGACCAGAAGGATGCACCACGCACGGCCCTCGTCCCTCCATCCGTCCAGGCGGTCGTGTCTGACCACGTCTCGACGATGCCTCTCGTCGTCGAGAGCTCGGTGCGCGGAGAAGCCCGTTATGAACCGGTACAGCCGCACGGTCACTCAGCCGAAAACTCAGGGCGCGAGTCAGGCTATGCTCTACGCGACTGATGGGGTGAAAGACGACGAGGACTTCAACAAGGCGATGGTTGGCGTCGCCAGCGTCTGGTAGGCCCGCTCCTCACGTAGATAGAATTTTTACTGACTCTAAACTTCGCAGGTATGAAGGCAATCCGTGAGTAGCAAACGACCTAATTGTACAGCACTCTCACCTCGAAAATCTCACTCGTACAATTTTAGCTGCAATAAGCACCTATTAGGTCTAGGTCAGCACGTCAAGAAGTCGCTAACTGACGCTGGTATCATTGGCTACCAATATGGTACCGTTGGGGTCAGGTTTGTAGGGCTACGCCGCACGCCGTGTCGCCCTATTGTCCTGATTGATCATATCGTCGCAGCGATGGCATCAGCATGGGCACTGAAGGGATGTCTTACTCGCTCCAGTCGCGAGACCTCATAGCGGACCAGGTTGAGACCGCCGCAGGCGGTCACTGGCTGGACGGTATGGTGGTCATCCCTGGATGCGACAAAAACATGCCCGGTGTGCTGATGGCACGTAAGTGTGTCGTCCGGTCTTCGCACGACGTTTTCTGAATTTTCTGAATTTTTGTTGCCAGTGGGGCGACTGAATCGGCCCGGTATCATGATGTACGGCGGAACCATCCGCGCAGGATCTTGCGCGGGCGCGCCGCAGCTGGACATTGTTTCCGCCTTCCAGGCATACGGGAAGTATTTGCAAGACGGCCGGACGGAGGCAGCTGAGCAGGCGCGGTACCAGACCATTCGCCACGCATGTCCCGGTCCCGGTGCCTGCGGAGGAGTAAGTGCGACGCCGCCCCTATCCTGCCCGTCTGACAGGGGCTCCCGCGCAGATGTACACGGCGAACACAATGGCGAGCGCTGCGGAGGCCCTGGGCATGGCCGTCCCGGGATCATCCTCCTTCCCCGCCGAGTCCCCAGAAAAATGAACGAGTGTGCGAGCATCGGACCCGTCATGCGCAACCTGCTGGAGAAGAATATTCTCCCCCGGCAGATCATGACTCGCTCTGCGTTCGAAAACGCGATGGTGACCGTCTCCCCGCCCGGGCGCCTTACACGTGCTCATGTCAGATTTAGGTTCTGACGATGATCCTCGGCGGTTCGACAAATGCCGTCCTCCACCTTATCGCCATTGCGCACTCGGTTGGTATCAACCTCACGATCGACGACTTCCAAAATGTCTCGGACCGCGTCCCCTTCATTGCCGACCTGAAGCCCAGCGGTAAATATGTCTTTGAAGACGTGTACAAAATTGGCGGTATCCCAAGTAAGGCTCTTCCTACTGTGCCAGCCTCACAGCACGTGTTGAATGTTGACCCGCAGAGATCTTGGAATACCTGATGAGCAAAAATCTCATAGACGGTAATAACTTGACCGTCACCGGACGAACCCTGGGCGAGAACCTGGAGCGCTGGGTGCACGAACACGGTAAGCTGGACTTCACCAGCCAGGACGTGATCCGGCCGCTCGAGAATCCGATTAAGGAGACTGGTCACTTGCGGTCAGTCAAGTCTTGTCACCCCAAATGACGGACGTCCACTGATCCACCTATTGTAGTATCCTTCGCGGTAACTCGCGCCCGGCGGAGCCGTCGCTAAGATCACGGGAAAGGAAGGCCTAGGTTTCACAGGCAAGGCGCGTGCCTTCGACAGCGAGGATGACTTCGTGCGCGCCGTCGAGAGTGGATCGATCAAGAAGGGCGAGAAGACGGTCGTCGTGCTGAGATACCTCGGGCCGAAGGGTGGACCGGGTGATTGCTCCTTTCTGGCCTGCGAGAGGAATTTGTTCGCTGATAAGACGCCACAGGCATGCCTGAGATGCTGAAGCCGACGAGTCTTATTATGGGTGCGGCCTTGGCCACGACGTTGCCTGCCTCACGGACGGGCGCTTCAGCGGCGGGTGAGTCCCTCCGCGCCCACGTCCTCTCTGGAGGTTTAACCGGGTTTATGTATATTCAGCTCGCATGGGTTCTGTATCGGACACGTTGTCCCGGAGGCACAAGTAGGAGGCCCTATTGCTCTGGTGCAGGATGGCGACATCATAGCTGTCGACGCGGTCAAAAATAGCATCGAGTTGCGGGTCTCCGAAGAAGAGCTGGCGCGCCGCCGACAGTCCTGGAAGGCCAAGCCGCTCAAATTCACTCAGGGGACTCTGTTCAAGTACATCAAGACAGTCGAGGACGCTAGTCATGGATGTATCACGGATGCATGAGGACACGAAGGGTGATTCACCGCAACAAAACACCGCTTTATTACACGGGATCCGGAGTCCATTCGCTAGCCCTTGTCGACATAGAGAGCATATCTAATGGCACTTCCTTGGTGGTCGATTATTGGCTTACCACCATCACGGCGTGACTCGCGAAGAATGCAGCTAGCTACACACGCTAAATTCGGGTCATAGGTGTCCCTTACGGTGTGACAAATCACTTCGGACACTAACATGCGTTCCATGTGTGTCCATAGCCGATTTTGACAGGATTCCAGTGCTCGCGCAAATCTCCAAGATCGTCAGTGACTCAGTGTCACTGACCCCGATTGGGACGATCATGGCAGCTGTCAGTTAGACTCAGCATCGGTTGGCTTGCTTGGAGTATTGTTCAGGCTGACGCTCGCCGGCTTTTATGGTCGGCAGACTATGTTCACGCCCGAAATTAGGGCGAGTGCATTGATGACAATAGTGGATGGCGAGGCTGCTATACAGATACGCAGTACACGAGCAGTTATGCCTGCACAATCCGAGGCTATGTCGTGAGCTCCTTTCCAACCGTCGAGAAGGTACAGTGCCCTTGCAACAACGTCCACTGGTCCGGACGAGTTTCAAATCCTCGACGCTGCGGGATCAGCAGCAACAAGTGTGCAGCCGCGCCACAGACGTCATGCTCACCAGGGGAGACAATGGAAGCCCGCCCTGCCGCGGTGCGCATGGCGACGATCAGCTGCCCCGCGCGGACGCCTTGACGCGCCGTTTCTTCTCTGCTTTGGGCATCTTGTGCTTGCGCTTCTCGCGCGCCTCCTCCTTCGTCGCCTTCTTCCGCTCCTGCCGCGGAGTCAGCACGGCAATCACAAATAAGCTCGCCCGCGGAGGCGCACCTTCTTGGCCTCCTTATCTTCGTGTCGGTGTCCCCGAGGTCGCCGCTCCTCGAGCGCGCCCTTTGCGTCCGGGTCCCCGTCGGACTCCTCGTCCTCGTCTGCGGAACTGTCCCCTTCATCTTCCGTCTTGCCCGAGCCTTCATCAGCAACGTCGTCCTCGAACCGGACCTTGGTCCCGTTGGTTTTGACCTGCACATTTGACTTTTCCACTGCAGCATCCTCCCGCGTGACCAGGCCGATCACGTCTTTGTAGATGAGCTGCGCGCCTTCGCCGCGGCTGAGCGCGCCCACGTCCCGCTCCGGATCGTAGACCTCATTCAACGTACGCGGGATGTAAGACCGCATGAATACCGCGTCCTCCTGCGCCGCATCCGCCCTCGACTGGCCCTCGTCCCCAGACCTCTCCTCGCCATCAGCATCGGCGGGCGCCTGGTCGGGCTCCTCCATCCACCGGCGCAAGACCGCGGCGGGGTCTTCCGCGCTGCCCGGGGGCACGAGCGACTCCCGCGTGACGAACTCGAACGCGCGGCGCAGGCCGACGGCGGGCACGCCGCGCTTGGCGAAGAAGTCCTCGACGTTGCGCAGGTCCGCACGGAGGAAGTCGAACGCGTGCGGGTGGTCGTGCTCGACGGACTGTGAGACGTCGATGATATAGAGGTGGCCCTGCGGGGCTGTCGTGTCCGCGTTCGCGCCTCGCGTGGGCTCCGTGTTTTCGTTTTGGGTGTGCACAGTCTCGGCTGACGCTTCGGAGCTTGGTGGCGGTGGGTCTGCCGGGTTGCTTGCGGCGTGCGGCGGGGCTTGAGTGGGTAAGGGAGTTGTGTCTTCGACGTGGTAGAGGATGTTGTACTCGGAAAGGTCGGCGTGTACGAGCTTGCACTCCACGAACATCTTGCGCGTCATGAGCAGAAGCTCGACGTACAGTTCCGGAATCACAGACTCTGGGATCTCAGCGTCCTTCAAGCGGGGTGATGCCCTACATGAATAGGGATCAGGATCGTCGAGTCTTCATTTGTCAGGTTGCAGGACCTACCATCCCTCCCTGTCGCCTACAAAGCCCATGACCAGGACGTTTTCGCGGACCTCGACGGGCTCTGGACACCGGATCCCAGCTGTTACCAGACGCTTCAGGTTCCGCATTTCCTTCTCGGCCCATACGCGGACCATCTTGCGGGGATTGTGACGGCTGGATGTGTAGTCAGTTACTACACCGGACGGCTGACCTACAGTCGCACTACGCACCTGTACCCTCGCCTGAAGCGGTACTCTCCTGTAACATACTTGTCACGATCCTTGAATACCAGGATGGACGTCTTGTATATCTTCAGAGCAAGATGCCTGCGTTCAGGCGTGACAGCGTGGTATACGTTGGCCTACGGTACCGAGTAGAAGAAAACGGAAATATATTGAGCAACGGGTAGATACATGGTCAAGAGAAGCCCACATACTTCCTTGCCGGTACTGACACACCCGTTCACCTCATATAGGAGCCCTCTCCCGATCATTTTGAACAGAATAATCCTAGTCCGAGGGTCGAGCACCTGCTCGCTCGTCGCGCGATCGCTCTTGTCTTTCATGTTCGCGGTGGATGAGGGGCCTTTCCTGTTCACGCCTACGCCAAGATCGTATGGCATGTCGATGTTGCGGAGGCGAGAGGAATATTTAGACAGCGCTTGTAGTTGGTCTTCTGTCTTGTCCATAGTGCGTGTGACGGTGGAGGAGCTGGCTTTCGCGGTCTGCTTCGGGCGGTTGACTGCAGGCAGCGATGCGACCGCCGCGCGGTTGTCCATAGAGGATGTGACGCCTTGCGCAGCACCCGTACGAACAGCTACATGCTGCCGGACACGGTTGTATTGCTTCGTGAAGTCTGTGTGTGTGGATGATATTCAACGCCCTCAGGACCAGGCGAAGTAGGAGACGCACCTCGTTCAGCGATCTCCCAATCCTCGTCTTCAGCTCTGAGCGTCTGGAAAGCCTCCGCTTCCATGCATCCTCGTCGCACCAAATTCATCTTGATCTTCGCTCTCGCTCGCAGACGACCATTCTAGGAGCTTGTCCTCCTCCGGAGGTACTTCGTCGACATAAGCGTGGCCCGCGCGGGGATCGACGGCAGTCGAGTTGTCCTCAGGTGCGTCGTCGAATTGACCTGCCTCAACCGTCAGTGCTTGCGTTTCGGGAGTCGCAGACATGGCTGCATTCGAGGATCGAGTAACTTATCCGAGTCGGTGGTGGTCAGAATCTGAGAAGTCAATCTCAAGTTTGAGCAGATCTGCCAGAGCCGATCTGATGGGCGGGTGCACGTGTTTGTCGCCGACCTCGAGCGGCGCGCGCACTTGCAAGTAGTACTGGTCTTTGACACCGGACTCGAATCTGTTCGTGAAAGGCCGTTCGGATTCACAAATACAAGTGAGGTGCTTCTGCTCTATCCATGTCAATCAGGCAAAGGATACCGTTCCGCTTCTCGGAGAACCCGGAGGACGACCATGTCCTGGACGAACAAGGTGCGTCGTGTCTAGCTCGCCATGAGCACAACGTCGTCGAGCCAGCATCCGCAGAACAAGAGGAGCTCATAGAAAGCCTCAAGAACCAGAGCTATGCCGCCGCGTCGCAATACATGCTCCTCGGCCAGGTCGTCATCACACTCTCCACCCTACTGTAAGCCCCCGTCCCCTGCCCACCCGAGCCCGCGCAGCCACTCACCCCCGTGCCTCCCAGCCACGTTATCTACGTCCTGAGATGGGACAAGATCTCACCGCTCTACGCTGTCCTCCCCTCCCGCTGGCACCCCGCGCCCTCCGTGCCATCCCCTTCCCCGACCTCTTCGCCACGCTGAACATCTTCCTCCACGCCAACCTCAGCCTCCTCCTCCTACCGCCCCACGCCACCATCCGACGATCGCTCTCCTCCCTCCCACCGCCCCTGGAAGCGTACTCCCTCCCCCTGCCGGTCCTCCACCCTCTCATAGCGAGCTTAACCGTGCTGACACCGGCGCTGGCGCTGCTGCGGCAGTGCAGCTGGCCCGACGTGGCTTGGTGGTGTGCCCCGCTGGCGATGTCCTGGTTCGTCTACTCCTGCGCAGTTGGACTGACCAGAACGTGGAGGAGATCCGTGAGCTGGAGCGTCTCCGCTACGACGCTCGAGGCGCATAGCCACGGTAGCACCCATCGTGCTCGAACCGTGCGCGCGCAGATGTAGGTAAGTCGCCTTGCGCCGTCGTTGTGCGGTTGCTGAACGCAATGGTGACCTTGTCCTTTGAGATTACCAGTCTTGCTTTGATATCTTGCGGATCGTGCATGCTAAGTTATGCTATACTGACCACAACAAACACCTGCGCGGCTCTCTGATTGCTGATCATCACACCGACCACCATTCCAAGAACATCTCCATGTATTACCACTGTCCACCGGGAATACTCATACAACAGACAGACAGCGGCCGCATTGTACGTATGTATGAACCATCTGCACAAAACAACGCCACGCAGACCTGACGAGACAAGACAACTGAGCATTAACAGGGACGCATATAGAGACGCACGTATATCATTCCGGAGCAACGACGGCCGCAAGCAGTGCGCACCGCCGCGTTCGACGAGGATGTGTACGCCCGACACAGGGGCCGAGCCTGGGCTAGGAGGAGAGCAAAGACGAACAACAAAAGAGGAAGAGAACGAGCGTCCTGCGCGGGAGAACGTGGGGCTTCCGACAGCCAACTGCTTATGTACCTGCTCCACGTCCGGGGCGCGCCATTCTATGTACGTCGTCCGCCCACCGCAGACGGACGACTCGCTTTCTTCCGCACTGATAGACGATTCCGCATATTGGGCCTAAAGGCGTGAGAGAGCTTGGGCTTGGGTCTTGATGGTTATGTTACTGAGTCGAGAGGTGTTGCGGGCGGTGAGATCACACCCTGAGCGCCCGCGGCGTAGCACCGACGCCCTTCGTCTTCGCCGCAGGCGTGACTGCGGCAGCGGCGGCCGCAGCCATCTTCTGCGCGCGGAGGAGCGCGCTCTTGTTCGTGCGCGGCGCGATCGTCGGGGCCTGCATACTGGTCGGACGCGGGCGCGGTTTCGCAGCTGCGTCCTTGTCCTTCGGGGCGGCGATGCCGTTGCTATTGCTGGTGCTGGCCACGGACGGCGAGCTCATGACGCCCGCGGAGGTGGACGGCCGGGAGGGGGCCCGCTGGGAGGTAGTAGTTGTGGACCTGACGGAGGACGTGGAGGTGAGGCGCGACACGGCGGGGCGCGTGGGGGTCTGGACGGACGCCGCGGAGGGCGGGCGCGAGATGATCGGGCGCGCGGAGCCCGTCCCGTTGAAGGACGTGCGCGACGTGGACCTGGACGGGGTCTGCGCCGTAGGGGGGCGGACTGTCCGACGTCAGTTCACGCAGCACACGGAGATCTCGCGCGGAGTGGGGACTCACACATGTACGACGTCGGCGGCGCGGCATCCTTCTGCTGGCGCAGGGCCGCGCTCTTGTTCGTGCGGGGCGCGACCGTCGGCGCCTTGACGCTCGCGACGGTGAACGTCTCCCTGCGCTTGTGGCCCGGCACGCCCTCGAACGTGGCCTTCGCCTCGTCGGCGCGCTTCGCCATCCCCGAGGGCGCGACCTGTATCGAGTGCCTCCTGCTCTCTTTCTCGGGCATGGGCAGGCCCAGTCGGAGCGCAGCGGCACGGGTCATGCGGGGAGCCACGGCGGGCGGCGCGGTGCTCGCGACAGAGATCGTCGAGGTGCGCTTGTGCCCGGGCACGTTCTCGAACGTCTGCGCGAGCCTCTCCTTGGTGAGGGGCACACGCGGACCGCTCGTCTTCTCCACAGGGATCCCAGCGCGCAGCGAGGCGGCGCGCGACATGCGGGGGACGATATCGGGCGCGGCGTGGGTCGAGGGTATCTTGCGCGCCTTGAAGGGCGACTTGCCGCTCCCGTCGCTCGAGCCCATCTTGCGCAGGGCGGAGAGCACCGAGGACGACACGGAGCGGAGCGAGCCGGCGGTGAGGCTCGCGCTGCCGACGTCGGGGAGGTCCGTCGTGGGGAAGGGCGGCGAGGACGCGAAGATGGCGGAGATCTGCATCTCCGCGGTGGGCGCGTCCGGGGAGCCCAGGAGCGCGTTCTGCTGGGGGGACACGCCGTAGAGGGCGCGCAGCGCGTGCGGGGTCTCTTGGCGCGCGACGGCGGGGTCGGGGTGCCCCATGAGCGTGGCCCAGACCTCGACGGCGCGCCGACGCTCGAGGACGTACACCCAGACGGGGCCCCTGGAGGGAGGTCAGTCACATCCCTTCACGGCGCACGTTGTGTGCGTGACAGACGGGAGGTATGGCTTACTCGGCAAAGCACTCGAATTCATCTCCGAAGAGCTCATACATCGTCTCCGGGTCGGTCTCCACATCGAACTCCATCTGGCGTTCCTTCACGATCTGCACGATCACGATCGCAGCGCGTCAGTATCACCCGAAGAAGCACGGCGCGCCCGAGCGGCGGCGCGGTACGCACCTCGAAGCCGGCCTCGGATATCCTGTGCTCGATGTCGAAGCGGTGCGGGAGCGCGTGCGGCTTGATGATGGCGACGGTGCGCGTCGACACGGCGGAGGGCGACAAGGTCAGCGGTGTAGCCTGGGGTATCGGGGTCGAGGGTGCCTCGAGCTCAGATTCGACTGCAGGCGGGGCCACTTCATCGACATAGTAGCTCTCGGACTCGGGCAGGAGCTCCTGGTTGTGAGGGGGGACGGTGAGCCAGTCGGGGTGTGCTCCACAGGGAGATCGTTGTGCGCGACGTCAGACATAGCAGCCAAAGCCCAAGTATGAAGGAAAGGAAACGGAAAGGTGAGGTTAAACGAATGAACGGACTGGCTGCGCAGACGGGGTAGGGCGTGGAGGAGGAACTGGAACAAGCGGAAACCAAGACAACCGGGAAAGGCGCCGAGCACGGGAAGGGGAAGCACGCGGGCAGGAGGAAAGTACAGAACGGAGAGCCTCTGGCCAGCGCAAACGGGACGGAGGAGAGGAGGTGGTGGTGGTTGATGAGATGCGGCGACTCCCAGCTCCCCAACTCCCATCCCACACCTCCGCCCGGACCCGTAACACCCCGCGCATCAGGCTCAACTCTCCAACTCCTCGCTTCATCCGCAGGCCTCTTTCTCGGGACACAGAGTGTAGCATAGGCAAGAGTCTTCGTGAGTAAGTATCAGAGGTAGGAAATCACTGAATCCGTCGACAACTTGTCCGAAAAGAAGATGAGAAGTGCGCGATCGAGGGTCGGGGTCCCGCCTCTCGGTCACACCACTTGCTATCCCAGACGCGTCGGTCGTTGTTACACGCGGCTACCTGCATGCACGCAAGAGTGACAGAGGAGTGATAGCACCTATTATATACTGCAAGTTGAGCATGAATGGATACAATGTTGTCTGCGTGCCGGTAATAAGTATTAGCAATGCCCCATCCATACTCTATGTATCCGCAATCCTCCGCCCGTCACCCACTCCGGGTCTACTATCGCCGCACACACGGCACCAGCGAGAACCGAGCTCACGAGCTGCCCGAGCCCCGCGACTGCCACCACTTTCCGACCTTCTCCTTCGAGTACCGCAGGCTCTTCACGAGCCCTGCGCTCACCACGCCCTTCATCGACTGCACCGTCGACGAGTAGCGCACCAGCTTGCGGATCTCTGCGGAGGCACGTCAGCGGCCCATCGGAGGTAGACGAGTCAAGTATGCGCACCACTGTCGATCACCTCGGGCAGCTTCCCGTCACCCGCGAGCCGGGTCCAATATACAGCCTCGTCCGCCTCCTTCGGGTGCACCTCCGACGCGTACCGCTCCGTGACGCCCTTCAGGAGGTCCGCCGGGAGCTTGCGCAGGTGCGCCGCGCGCGCATGGGGGCTCGTGTCCTGCTGGATGCTCTCCATGTGCGCGGGCCAGTGCACGCCAGGGAGCGCGACGACGAGGCGGTGGTAGAGCTCGCGGAACTGGTCGCCCTGCCGGCTGACGATGTTCGTCACCTTCCCGCGGTTCTCGCCGGGGAGCGCCATGCGCACGTCGCCCGCGTAGCTGAACCCCGCGATGCGCGCGAAGAGCTCGCGCTGCGTGAACGTCTCGGGGAGCGTCAGCAGCGCGGTGCGCACCGCGGAGGTGAGGTTGACCTGCTGCGTGAGCCGCACGCGCGCGTCGTCCTTGATGATCCGGATCGGCTTGTGCATCCGCCCGGCGAGGTAGAGCGTCCGCCAGTTGAGCAGGTCGGAGCACATGTTGTCGACCGTCGTCACACCGTACTTGATGGTCTACGCAAAACGGAGAGCAGTCAGCCCTGTGAGCCGCGCACGACATGCACACACTTACGACCCCCTCCATCGGCACAAGAGTGTTGAACCACACGCCCGGGGTCATCTCCTCAACCCGAGAGACGAACCTGAGCCCAGACCCGCGCATGCAGCGGGTAATGCCCGGGGAACTGGTTCATGTTGATCGAGTGCCAGTGCGCCGCATGCGTGACGGCGAACATGAAGTCGAGCATCGGCTTCTCCTCGTTCCTGTACCCGTCCTGCTCGAACACGCCGGAGCCGTACGCGAACGCATACCGGATGGGCGCATTGAACTGCGCGACGATGCTCTCGAGGAGCGCGCGCGTGGAGTCGGCGACGGGGAGGATCTGGTTGCGGCCGAAGGTCGGCGGGAGGTGGGCGAGCGTCGGGTGGCGGAGCGGGCGCGCAGGGCGGGGCTGGGGTTTATCCGCGTGCGCACGGGGGGCTTCGCGGCGGGTGCTTGCCTGGGACGGCGGCGGGGGCGGGGGGAGGTGCTGGGCATGGGGGTGGGAGATGGACTCGGTGGCTAGGGAGCGTGAGGCGGCTGCGAGGGTGCGGTGGGTGCGGCGGCGGTCGGGAGCATTACTGGGGATGTGTGAAGAAGAAGAGAGGCTAGTAGGAGTGCATATGCGATGAGGGTGTCTTGTGCAATGCGAGGGCGGGCGACGGTATGCACTTACTTATGCGGCCGAGCATGTGGGGTGGGATTGGTCCCTCGTGACAGTTCACCTCCCCAGCCGATCCAGTCCGTCTCCTCCATGCACCCTCATTCTGGCGTCCGCCACTCAGACGGTCTAGATCCCACAGCCTCAACTCACCTTTGCTTCTGACACCACAATGTTCTGCGCAGCGTCTGCGGGCATGTCATCGCCACTGTGTTCCTAGACGACCCGGCGAAATAGGGTATCGTTTGTCTATTATATATATATATAGACAATGGAATGGCCAACAGGACTTCCATATCGTGCGCGCTATCAGGGAGCCGGGCAAGCCGCTCAGCTTCGCCTCGTGCTAACTTTAAGTCGCAGGTATTTAGCTACTGCGTCGTGGTATGTAGCACCCACGTCCCACGACTCGCTAGCACCTCCGCTACACCATGAGTCACCATAGGAAGCACCAACCACGGGGAAATTTACAGAACAATCCCAGTTCGATCCCACATGCCCTGAAAACAGAAACGTATGTACCTTCTACCAGTCGGACTAAGATCCGAACGCCATCGCTGTAGCATTGACTGTGTAAGACTGCAGTGCTAGCACGGTATCGACCGGAGGCTCAGTGATCGAAGCAAGTAGTCGAGACATGGCTTTCTACCAAGATGCCTGTCGCTTTGCTCCCCCTTCCGCCGGACCTGACAGAGAGGATACCACTCGATGTCCATTTGCAAGTCATCGAATGGCTCACTGGCGATCCACGCAGCCTGTGCAACTGCGCCTCAGTCTGCCGAGCATGGTATAGGCAGAGCGCTCGTCAACTGTACACGAAGATCCACATCAAGAGCGAGACCATGTTCAGGTGACTCGTCCAGTCGGGTTCCGAACACGCGCGTGTCCGGGAGCGCCTGGCAGATACTCTTGAGTTAGTCCTTACTCGAGGTTCAGGACGTGCCTCCGAGTCGCTCACCGTGACGTTTGTTGAATGTCTTCCCGCCCCCCTCCACCACCTATTCCTCTCAGCCCTTCACGCATGCGAACGCGTCACGAACCTGACACTCTACGGCGTGATGCTGGAGAGCCACAAGGACCTGGTGCGCATCATCCGCGCCGTTCCGCAACTCCATCGACTAGCACTTGAAGGGGACCTACGTTTCCATCGTGCAATTCCAGTCGCCCAGGCGCAAGACCCTGCTGTGCGCTCTGACGATGCCCTAGGGCGCCGATCGACCCGCAGCCTTTTGAAGCACCTACGCGTCACTGTCTCGAACAAGGACAGCCTCATTTCGCTCGTCGACTGCCTCATACATTCATCATTGTGCGTGTGCGTCGAACATCTGGAGTGCAGCATCGCGGGGAAACATGTAGCCGCTCTCAATAACCTGCTCAGAGCGATAGGGCCATCCTTGAGACACTTCCGGGAGCTACCCGCCCTGACCGAGACGTGTGAGCGTTCAGTACATGTAGCCAAGCAACATCGTGACCTGACTCTCACTCTGCCTAGTTGCCCATTTGGATCTACATCGCAACACGTCCTTGGCGACGGTTGGGTTGTACATCGGGTACTATTCTATTTGGAGGCCGCAGTACTCGGTTTGGAGGGTGTCTTCTCATCCATCCATAGCCCAAACATCACGCACATCACCTTGCAGTTCAACGAACATCCACCGACCAAGCGATCCCAACTTGCAGGATCTGCGACGACATCCGCCAGCGACACATATGACGGGGTGCGAATCCCTTTGCACGAAGTGATGGCTATGCCTGTCTTCGACGGCCTGCGCATAGTCGAAGTCGGAGTCGAAGTCTACCGAACGGAGCCTCGGGATGTAGCGTCAACGTTGTCTGTGCTACTTACCCCATGGGAGGAGCGTGGAATCATCCGTTATAGTGGGGACGGGTTGAGTACTAGATGCGGGTAGGTTGGCAGTTCATGCATGGCCAAGCATGTGAATATCTGGCACGTAGATGGTAATGTAGACCTGCGAAGACTCAACTCTCAGCGCTCCTTGCTCAAGCACCTTCAATCTGTGACAGTCGCATCTGAGTCTGGAGTGCACGGTCTGGTATGTGGCAGTGTGTCGGAGACACGTTCAACTAGCAACTACTGGCGGAAGACGCATTCAATCCGGAGTCGCTCCCGGGACTCCCGAGAGACGCCAGAGCTTCTCGCTCGGCATTATTTGAAGAACTTCTTCTCAAACGTAAGGTCGTCGTAGCTTGAGCAGTTGCACTAAGAGACTGCCTGGTTCGCTTCATATCGGGGTGGTAATTCAAGCAACAGCTTGACGCAGCGGAAACGATTCGTACTTAGTAGCTACTACTCAAGATCGGATAGTATCAGACAAGTACTGTACATTGGAAACCCCTCCACTGCACTGTCAATCCAAGCACTCGTCGGTCTCGAGATCCGCCTCCAAATGTTGCAGAGCAATTGCCTGGCAGCTTCTTTTGTCCCGTTTACTAAGGTTCAAACGTTCGAACGTTCATGGCCCAAATATACCTCATGCACTCACCGAACAGACGAGTACACCTCCAATGACTTTGAAGTGAGCTACACACAAGGACATAGCAACACAGCAACACCACATTTCAGCACTACTATGTACCTCCCATAACGATCGCCATCCGAACTACAGAAAGCACAACACAAACTTAGACACTACCATCAAGAACAACCAATTAGATAGTCCATCCGTATATGCCCTCACTTCTGCTCAGATTCCCGATAGCTCCCCGTACTGAGCACCGAACTAATGCTTCCCGTCCGGCGCGACCGCACCAGCCTTCGCCTACCCTGCGCGTATCCCAAACTCACAGCGCGCGCACCCCCCTCTCGGCCGATCCCAACCGGGGCTGTGCCGCTCGCCTCGCTATCCAAATGCACGGGCACGTCGCCATTCTCGCTGCGCGTAATGGTGACCTTTTGGTCCGTTGGCGAGCTTGGTCCTGTCCCTGGCCCCGGGCCGCCGAGTGCCCACGAGACCTCGACTCCGCGCCGGATGCTCCAGAGCCAGACAAGGCCGAATACGGGCGTCGAGAGGAGGACGTTCAGGACGGGGAAGAGGTCTGGGTACCGAGCGGGTGGAGAGAAGAGTAGCTCAACGAGGTGGAGTGCCATGCAGCCAGTGTGGACGATCTGCAGCATCGAAGACGATGTCAACCAACGAGAACGTAAGAGACTTATGTATAACTTACCAAGGACAGATACTGGAGTAGTGAGCTTGGTCGAGCGGAAGGGATTGTAGCCGACCAATCGGTTCCACAGTAAGGTCATGGCGATGTACGACGCACCCAAGCCGTCCCGCTTGAGCAATGGCCACATACTACAGATATCAGTATCCAGCGAACGAGATGATCTGAACGGTGTACCGCACCTGAACAAAGCCACATTGCTCACGAGCATTCCAATCTCCCACGTCTCCGACGCCTCGTTCGATGTCACCCCAGAGAGCAGCAGGGTCAAGGGAGCAACGGAGCAGAACAGTCTTCTCGTGCACCTGGAACGAGAACAGGAAGAACGACATCGACGACGTCAATAGTGCATACGGCAGAAGCGGCAGCGTCGGGGCCGGCTCTCCCGCCTCTGCCTTGCCCATGTCCTCTGCCTTCGCATCATCGTCCTTGCGGGGCTGCAAGCGCACCCTCCACCCACTATAGATCAGCCCCGCCGCACCGGGCATGAAACCAAGCGCAGTGAGGCACGTCGCGAGTCTCACAAGGGCTTTAGACCCTAGACGACGGCGCCATTTCAGCACGACGTCGCTCGCGCACCAGAAGTTGGCGACCTTGTCTTCGAAGAGCCCGCGGTTGAAGGGGAAGATACGGGTGACGGGGTCGAGGATGGCGGAAGGAGGGGCGAAGGGCGGGAGGAAGGGGAGGAAGAGGATCAGCATCGATGCGAATGTGACGGCAGCGAGGCGGACGAAATGGCGGGGTCTACCTCAAGTGCAATCAGTCCAAATGGTTCTGTCAGCGGGCTGCACAGTCATATGATTGGATAACATACCCTTGCACACTGCCTAGATACAAGCATTTCCCCAGTAGATATGATCCGACTGCAGGGGCATAATACAGTGCCATTTGTTTGAATCCCAGACTTAAGACAAACGCTACAGCACCCAGTAGGTCATAGCCTCGGGCAAAACAGACCATAGCCAATACGGTAAGACCTGCAAAGTGTCAATAGCCGATATGATGCGGGAAACATGTGCATACCTAGCATGACAGAGTTGTATTGAAAGTGGCCGAAATCAATGAGAAGTGATGTGGGCTGCAAAAGGAGAGTGAGGAGGGCCACTTCCTGTGGTACTGTGAGTTGCATTCAACAATATTAACAGAGTTGTCACCTGAGTACGTGCTGAACGATTTGCGTGCCAGGTCCGCACGAAAAGGAAGAGTGCTGGAAGATACACTAGACTATCAAACACCAGTACAGTGGTGCGCATGTACGCTTTGCTTTCTGGACTTTCGATCCCACGAGAGTCGTCGAGGGCAAACCACGAGGCGTTGATCCACGACCCACTGCAAGATGTACAACGTCACGTCACGGTTCTGGAATCACTCATAACAAGACAAGTACACGCACACTAGACCACACGCCCATGACACATACGCGGTTAATGGGGGATAGTCGAGCCCCCAATACTGCAGATCGTACTGATACCATTCACGCGCGGGCAGGTGTATGGTGAGCTCCATCCAATGTCGCTGGGCTTCGTAGTCACCATACATTGCGGTGTACCCTGTCCTGAGCAATAACTCGATGAACACCTGCATAAGCGTCAGAGGTCATTTCACTGGTACTGACCGGAGTATGAACCGAGTCCGATCGACCACTTCACCCAGACCGACGCAAGGACGGCACAAGGCACAACCCAACGCTTCAGCCCTTGCTTGTGCATCCAACGCACCCACCGTCTGCCCATACCCCCGACATGTTCGCTGTCTGGTTTTCGTCGCTCGTGTGGATACGCTGAGAGAATCGGCGAGTCCAGAGACTGCTCGTTGTCCCTGAGCGAACTGAAACTGAGCTGCCGGCTTAGGCGACGACGCGTCGTTGATGGTGACAAAGTGTGTGGGCCATTCAGTGAGAATGGCGATACGGGTCGAGAGGACGAGGCGGAGAGCGTCGGGGAGCCTAGCCAATGTGGGCTTTCGGACGCCTGTAGACTAAGATGTTTGCGCGGGACAGGCGCAAGGATGTCCGGTCCAGACCTGTGATTCTTAAGGTTCGAGGTGGTATACTCCCAACGTCGTCCGGAATGCACCCACCCATGATTGATACTGCTTGCGTGCGTGAAACGCGCCTGTGACAGTGGCGTTTTGAGACGCAACGGTCGACTTGATTGGGCTGTTGCCGACGTCTGCGACGAGAAAGAAGTAGTTGAGAGTCGCTTGGACGGCCGAGAAGATGAAGATGAGCTCTCCAAAGGGAGGTATCCAGACGACTCGTCCATGCGTTCGGAGCAAGTGAGGGTACAGGTGTAAGTAACCGAGTCTGTTGTATTTGTTGTCGACACGTCGGCTACTTATTGGTGCAATACTATTGGAGTGATGACCAGTAAGTAAGTATTGTATTATAGTGCTCCTTACAATCAGTAAGTAGTATAAAGCTGTTAGTGCCGGGCTTATGTCATCCATAGCACTTGCGAAGCCCGTGCGATCGTCCTTCTTGCTTCCTACTTCCACACTGCAGTACACCGATCTTTGACATGGGTATGATGATTCCCTCGAGAGACAGAGACACGCCGGCAGATAGAGTGCGATCCTTGATAACACAGAAAGAGAACCTCGAAGCCGAGCTGGACGCACAAGTCTCCATTCTGAAGGCGAACTCCTCTACCATGAATTCGCCTCTGGTCGACGCAGAAGGCTTCCCGCGCGGAGACCTCGATGTGTGGGCTGTCCGTCATGCCCGTGTGCGCGTTATCGAGCTGCGAAACGACCTGGACGCGCTCAGGGACACGATCGCGACTGCGTTGCAAGGCGTATTTGACCCCGCAACGTCGGCGAAGTCAGAACCGTCTACAACGCAGGAGAGCACTGGGTCTTCCAGCAACACATTATTACCATTCGCGACGGTGAACGGTGTCGCGCCGGGCAGTCCAGCGGCAGCAGCGGTGCGTGTCCCCTATGGCGTCTCGGACGTCATGACCTTGCTGCTGAGACTTGAATGTATCAGGGCCTTCTTCGAGAGGATCTGGTACTTTCGTTCGGCTCATTGACGCGAGCATCATTCCCTTCGTCATCATCCCTGCAGCCGCTGGCTGAATTTGTCAGTACACGTGAGAACGTACGTCTCTAGTCCACAGTTCCTTCGCCTGCTTTGCCTGACGAACTCTACAGCGACAAATTGCAGTCAAGGTGCTCCGAGGTTCCGGGGAGACGATTGACTTGACTTTCACTCCCAGGAGCGGGTGGGGAGGACGCGGCCTACTAGGGTGCGTAGTATTATCCACGGTCAGGTCACGAATACTTAGGCTCACCGGATGGGTAGATGCCACATCGTCCCCTACAGCGGGTCATGATAGACCTCGTACCTTTTTGTAGCGCTTTTGCCCGCGTTGTATTGATAGCGACACTGCAGTTCGTCCCGTGTAACATTACTGTAATAGGTTATGCCCACTCAACACAATCGTAGTGCTGTCTGACCGTCGGGTGTGTGAGATCAACATTTCAACATCAATCGTTGAGTACTACCAGGCTGCTCAGGGGCATTATAGGTACTGTCGAGAACAGTCATGGTCGTACAGGGAGACGATCTCATTGTAGCCAGATTCATAGTCGGGAGGATACATTGACTGCTCTGGCGTCCGTGCCATAGACAACCTCCCTATCCTCCTGAAGGCGTTGCAACTGGGTTTGTCTAGCTCTGCGCACGTCTTGGACCGCCTGGGTCACACCACCCTCCTCCATCCACCTCTTGAGTACGTCTACATCAATCCGACGTGTTGCGGCATTGGTCTTGCAAGCCCAGACAGCATGCTCAAGCAAGAAGGCACCGCATGCCACATGCGACAGCAGGAACAATGCCGGCCGAGGCACAAGAGGCGGGATGGGCGCCGCGTACGCAGCCGTCAGGTCGTCTAGGGCAGATCGGAGAATGTCAAGCGGCGCCCCGAGAGTGCTGTCTACTTCAAGCTCTGGGTTGTATGATGCAGAAACGGAGTTGACCCACTGTTAATCATGCATCAGTGATTAGGACTCCCCAGGCAGACGGGCGAAGACTTACGGCAACGAATGAATCCAGAACCGCCCGATCGGATGCTGCACGGACGACATCCAGAGACAAAACTGTGATGGTACCTTCCCAGATTTTCTCGACTAGTGCATCTTGGATCATCCTGTCAGGATTGCCGCACACCGTCAGTTGTCAATGACTAAAACATGCAACACTGCGCTGAGAAAAGGGTACGGACCGTCCGAGCTCAGTCTCCGTCATGTAGCCCGCTCCTCCAAGTGCGGCCATACACTCCTCCATCGCCGTGCACGCTTTTTCCGCGGCAAATGCTTTGACAGCAGGGGTAAGCAGCCGCAGACGATGTGTCTCGTCTTCAGTCGCAACGCCGCATTCGACCCTGCCCAGCAGCGCGACTGTCCCGAACAACATGTGCACGAGGGCACGGTACACCAGAGACACTTTGGCGAGCTCCGCGACATGGAGCGGTGTATCCTGCAGCAGTTGGCTGCCGCCCTTGATGGCCCTCACTTGGGAGTACGCGGTCGCGATTGCCAGGCATCTGCGCAGGTTTCCCACCGACGCGGTTGCGGAATGCACACGAGTGATGTTCAAGACAGGCGTAATGAGCTTCACACCCTGGCCGGGCTGTCCCAGCAGATATGCCTCGCTGCCCTCGAGTGACAGCTCGGCGGTTGGGACGGCTACCGTTCCAAATTTGTCCTTAAGGCGATGTACGAAGATGCGGTTCGTGATTGCTGAAGGTCTCGGTGCACCGGGCTCCCGGATGAGTGGAAAGCGCAGCGGTATGAGGAACAATGATAGAGCACGAGAGCCCTCGGAAGCAGATCCGGTACGTGCCAAAGCTAGTGCGACGTCGCTGTCAGTTGCGCTGGAGAACCACTTGAACCCATCAAGCGTGTAAGTCGGACCATATGGACTGCTGTTCGAGGTTCCGGTATCTCCTGGAGCAGGCATAGCTACTGTCTCTGTGTGTGACACATCCGAGCCTCCCGGTCGCTGATAAGGCCTCCGTATGAATATGCAGTTACCAAATGCTCGCGACATACCTCCGTCATCCACTGCCCAGCTGTGAAAGCGACTTCAGGGTCGCGGCTGTTGACAATCAGTTTTCAGTGCGATCATGTCAGCATACTATAGGGGAAGACCGACCTGATGAGCCGAGGATATATGTCTTGTTTCAACGCCGATGTTCCAAGGAGTTCGAGGACTAAACAGCAATCGGTGAGACCGTGTAAATTCTGAGTCTCATGATACGTGTACTTACCTCGTGCAGAACCGTCTGTCATGCTCAGCGGGCAATCCACCTGCCAATGATGCTCAACTCTAACTTCAGTACTAGTCACGGTAGAGGCATTCATACCGACTGCGAATCTCCCATGGCCAGCAGAATCTTAGCGAAACCATGGATTCTGCTGTGTTGCTGGTGCTTGCGCTCGTAGAATATTCCGATGATGCCTTCCATCTGCCACAGCGCCTTCATGCGGCGCCAGCCTTCTGTTGTCTGCAGGTCGTCCACTCGGCGGCCCCAGTTGTCATATTGGACAAGCTTGGGAGCACCGGTGAGTTTGTTCACAGACCGCAAAGCTACATGATTTGTTGCGTAAATGTAAATGTGCCAAGGAAAGGTGTCAGCACGCACTTGTAGTGACTTCATTGCCGAAGTGACTCAGATCTCCCTCAATTTCGACAAGGGCATCTGACGGTAAAAGACGCTTCAGAAGGATAGGAAGGACCGGATCAGTATGATACGGATGTCCCTCTGTGTATGGAGTCTGTTATTCCGAATCATGCGGCCGTGGGATAAGATGCCATGTCAATCATTCAATCGTATAGTAAGTACCGTCCTAACGTACCTGCTGAAACCCTTCTTCGATACGCATGACAAGAGGGCAGTGAGCCGAGGACACTGGCAGCAAAAACGGCTACCGGCGCCCTATATATTTGTAGCTTCCCAACGTCAGGCCGTGATATTCAGGGGTTCAAGGAGACAGTGACAGGTCACGCTGCCTGAGCATGAGGTAGGGCCGTACGTCGGGGTGATCATTCACCTCGCTATGTCGAAAGCACCATCTGACACTATTTGTGCATGATGTATGAGACATCTTGGTTGGGGCGGGCGGCATCGTGTTTGCTTGGAAGTCTGCTACTGCGAATCGCCGGGACAGCCTTCGGCGAAGTGAGCCACTGTGCGGAGGCATATTCACATATGATGGTGACCACTGACATCGTGTGTCGTTGCTGTGGCATCATTGTCACAGTCCTAGTGCGATGAGATATGCACGTATAACAACCTACTTACTCCTTTGCAGACAAGTGGTGGTGGCCTCAGCGCGCGATGTCATCTTTTAGGACGAAGTTGTTGTGAAATGTCGAAGCTTGCCAGACGGGCGGCGCTTGCTGGCCCGGGAAGGCTGCCGTACTGGCCCGGGAAGGCTGTCGTACTTGGCAGTGTTCCCAAATACGTAGACCACTGCAAAAATATAGGAATTACACAACATCTATCGAAGACAGTTATAGTCTACATCATGCACCGCACGACCTACAACTCGGAACCTAATAACTAAAGTAGTCGCTACAGCCAATGTCGTACTCGGATGACGACGTTTTGGAGGATTAATGTAACCGGCCACAAGAGAGCACGTATCTCATCTAGGAGTCCCAGATAGCACCGAAGGCAGGGATTCCACGACTCATCATACCGTATACCACTTTCTCCGTCAAGGCTGATTGGAAATGATGACAACGGCCTCCGCATTGAATGCCTGGACCATCCGATACGTGAGCTTCACGAGGTCTGGCCTGCCGTGTTGGCGAGTATCTTGTGACAACGTGTCAGCATCACATAGAATTCAGTGACAGAGGTGAGCATTCTCACCATAGATGACAGATCCGGGAGCCGCCTCCAGTAGCGAGTCCACGAGCTTGTCCCCGAACGTCTTCCGCACCGCGGGCGCCGTCCAGAGCAATTGGATCTCTGTCTTCTTAGCGAACACAACTGGGGCTATCGGGCCAATGCCACTACCAGTCGCGACCATCACCACTCGACGGAACATCGGTGTGACGCGCACGACACCGTAGCAAGGGACACCGCGGATCCAGATCTTGTCTGGCGGGTTACCAATTTGCTGCTTCGTCCAGTCTCCGGCACGCGAAACGACCGCCGAGTATCCCTTCTGGCCGGGCTCAGAGATGGTGGCGAAGGAGTGCCACTCAAGGAGAGGGTTGAGGGACATGCGGGTGAAGTGGCCAGGCTGTGTGTTCACTAAATACGATGTCTTTGTGAGCGGACATCAGACAGACCGAGCATGTGATACTCACCGTAGTCGAAGTAGAGTCGCACGCAGTGTTCCGATAGCACTTCCGCACGGACTGGGACCTTGCGCAGACGAGCCCATGGCAGGATGATAGAAATCGACATGATCAGCGTGAGCCAGAAAGGAGGCGACTGGGCTACGGCGTGTCCGAGTGTCTCGTCCGGGCTCTTGTAATCCTTGACGAGTAGTATTACCTAGTCGTGTGATTAGGTGAAACTTCCTTCTGATCTTGACTCCAGTGTGCACATACCTGAGCCCATACGAGAGCAACAGCAGACCATCCGACGAATCGATGAATTATCTCAAAGGCATCGTGGTGTTGGATGCGGAACTTCGGCCAAGCGAAAATAACCATCGCCAAAAGTAGCACCAAAATGACATAGGACACAGTGAGGGTGGCTACGCTCGTCTATGCACAGGTTCCGTCAGAATACCGACAGAGGCGGAGATAGATAAGAAAACTTGCCTTTTCTTTCTTGATCACCTCGCGTGTTGCCTGGCCCACAAACAGGATGAGCCAGACGGTCCCACTGACTCCGGTACCTGAGTGGACTGCGTATGACAGTCAGCATGCAGCCAGTAGACACTTGCACAGGATACTTACTTCCACCGATCGAATACACTCTCGCTAGGATGCGCCGGATCCACAGCGGCCACCTAACAAACCTTGGTCAAGCTGCGTTCCGGAATGCGATGCGAAACATGCGACTTACGACCGCGGGGCCAGACAAGCCACAGTGAAGAACGCGTTGATTACGTGCTCCTGTCGCATGAGGATGGCAGTGAAGAGGTTTCCGATGACAACCCTGCTGAGTTGCTCCGCGTTCGCGCCCTTGACCGCGTACCAGATGAATACGCCCAGGTTGACGCAGAAGACGATACCAAACAGTCTGCGGTATAGCGACATCATCTGAAAGCGGATGTTGCGCAGATAATGGCCCTGGATCTTTTCGGGAAGCTCGTCCTTCTCGTACCCCAGCCATACCTCGCCTTTCTCCGTCGACGAGACATCGCTCTGCGATGTCGATGCAGACGTGGAGGACACTTTGACCATGGCCTGCTTGAGGTCTACCACGGTCACCTCTGAGTTGTGGGCAGGGTCCACCTGCGAGCCCTTGGGCTCCTCTGAGATTGACGAAGTAGTGCTCATGGCGAGAGGGTGATGCGAATGTGAGAAGGATGTCCGGGGAGAAGTAGCTTGATCGAGGTGATCAATGCAGTCTCTGCGACATATTGCCGTCTCTATTATACCTGCAGATGGAACACAGGCGATCCTTTACAGCTTGCGAAGTCTGTCAAGCCCCGATGCCGACCTGTCACACCCTCGCACAGGTGGCGTTGTGAGAGGCCGACATAGGAACATCAGGCGGAGCACGGACTTCTTTTCGAACATATTCCGATTTGGCTGTGAGGAGGGCGCCAGGAAGGACGCCACGGCCGGCGCGTGGCACATGCGCGTTAGAAATCTGAGGAAATGGCCGTATCCAGAGCGCACGCTGTCGATCTCGAAGTGCAGATGTATTGGCCAAATGATGCGGGGTCACAGAAGTCAGTCAGCTAGAAGCATTTGGTGGGGTTTATTACCGCAGGGGGGCATCTCGCCATCGTGACGCGAATAGTTGGTGATTCGGTCCCTGAAAGCCATCTCCGTAATTACCACCTTGTCAAGTACCGTTGTTGAACATGTACTGCCTTGGCCTAAGCAGTTAGTAGGGTGGATGAGTGCACTCCTTCCGACGTTGTCCGGACGTTTGAATTGTAGCCGCACAATCACCGATAGATCTGGCCTGGCAGAGGATATGTTGGAAGTAACCCGCGGCAGTCACCCCGTGTTGGTATTCGGAATGAGGGAGCGCACAATCGGGAGCGCGAGTAAATCCCAGATGACAGGACCGCAAGAGCGCCGCAATGCCACTTTGGGTATCGTCTCTTCTGCGATGCATTCCCAGTCCTGTCAGCAATCCTTTACAGGTACTGCAAGCAGAACTCAATGCTGCTACCTTCATGTTGTACACATGAGCGCGACTTCCCGACGCGAAACGACTGCATCGGTGTCGCACCTTGACTGTGTGCGCTGCAGTCTGCACTGGGCAGGCCGCGAATGCGACGTCGACGCGCCGGAGTGTGAAGCAGAACTTCTGACTTCGCGTGAGACAGTTCGCCGAAGTTCGTGCAAGCTAGACGCAGCGACCGGAGTAGGCACAGACAACTGAGACAAGTGAACATGGTGGCTGTCGCTACGAACCTGCAAGCGCGCGCAACGCCGGCCCCACCAGCTCGTCCGCGCTCCGCTTCATTGCGCCACAGATGGGAGATCTTGAATTCGATCGCTAGCGCTCATTCGCGAGTCGCCGCTGCGATCCATTGCGCATAGCAATTTGTTATGTCCGGGCTGAGGTTACTGTCAAAATCATACATTGTGTCGCTCATATAACGTAGGAAGTTTAGAGGCATTGTACAGATATAAAGCCGAACATAGAAGCTGTCTCAATACCAAGCTGCGGCACTATACCGATAACAGCCTACAGGACGAGTCAAACATAACTGAATGTTTGTTGTCTCCGATCATCGATCACGTTCTTTGGCAATTACACAGGCTAATCCCTGGTAACTTACATCATACTATGCTTCCGCAAGATGCTTCTTTGGTGTCACAGTAGTCGCGGACGCCGAACCAGGTTTTGCCAATTACTGCTTCGCGCGATCCAGTGGAAAGAAAATTAGCAATCCATAGTGTAATACTACTTATGTTTTTGTCAAATGCTTCATGCAACGAGCCGATGATGTACTAGCAGCGACTCTTCAATAGACAGATAGTAATCTATCACGCCTGTAAGGTCTTGACAATCTCTACTGCGTTCTCTTCGTCATAACAATCGCGTCTTACGAAAATCATCACTCATTTCTTGACTTGGCCTCCGCCTGGCGCCCGCATCCTCAGGCAATGAGACGCGCTTACATCGCACACGTGACCGTGTCGGTATCCGTGCGTAACCGCGGCGTGTACGCGGGGTCGCTCGTCGGAGGGACTGCAACTTCAAGCACCAGCAGCTATGTCAGCCTGCCTCAGATTTACCCGGCGGGTCAGTGCGTACGCATCTCATCGTGGCGTTGATGTATCCATCAGGAAATGACGCAGGTCTGGAAGTCCTTCGTCGAGAACAAAGGTGCGCGTCGCGCTGTAAATTCGGCCGCCATCTCGCGCTCACTGTCACCGACGTGCTTTCCACGCCATCTGTTGATTGGCGTGGCGGCAGGACATGATCAACACTGCTTTCCTAACGTATGCCCCCCCCCCACACACACACACTCAGAACCCCACGTGCGGCTTTAACATCTTTACCCACAGCTCAAGATCCTGGATGCGAGGCCCGGGTTGCTGCAAGCCTCGCTCAAGATTGAGCCGTACAACCGTACGTCCAACTCGCTCTTGTCTCGGCGCGGCCGCTTGGTAAACGCACGTACTCACGTCATGTCTTCTGTCCGTCAGTAAACAGGGTCGGAGTGAGGCCGCGGTCCGTCTAGTGTGCTCGGAGCTTCGCTCAGCTATGACATCTTTCAGACCGTGCACGGCGGCCTCATCATGTCTCTCACAGACACGATGGGTTCCCTCGCTGTAGCGACGAAGGGGCAGTACCTCACCGGCGTCTCCGTCGACATCGGCACCTCGTTCGTCAAGCCAGGCGGTCGGGTAGGCGATGAAATGCAGATGAGTGCGGTCGTGGTTGGCATAGGTTCGTCGAGCTGCGCGATCTCTGCACCGCATAGGCGGGGGCCGATCCGTCCGTATGTTGACTTGCTGCCTTGCGCCGCTGTCTTCAGGGAAGTCACTGGCGTACACCCGTGTCGAGTTCTTCAACGCCGCCGGGCAGCTGGCGGCTTACGGCCGTGAGTACACGCATGCGTACGCGATTTGCGTGACCAGTTACTGAGCGTCGTGCTTCGCAGACCATACCAAGTACGTCGGCAAGTCCGCCGGGCACGAGGTAAGCTTCCAGTTCCAGGCCTATCGACACCTGCCGGCTTGTTTGTGTACTCAGCGCGACATATGTTGACAGAACGACGTCAAATTCTCGGAGGATGGCGAGTCCGTTCTGGAAGGGAAGGACCTGGATGTAGACTAAGACTAACAGACGTGCACGTCTCTGCGCGCGCGCCAGAGGCAATCTATGTGGTGCAATACATACTGATCTTGCGTAGAATGGGCAGAGCTTCGCTTTCTCTCAATTCTCTCCACTATCCTGTGCTTCTCCGGAGCCGCTTGGAGGAACGACACTAGAACGAGGCTAAAATTGTACGGGGCGAAGTGCTGGACCTGCTTCTGCTTCTGGCGGGAATGACAGCCATTGCGGGCGCACGCCACAACGATTGGCGTGCCTGTCGGTGATCCCGCTCATGCTTCTTGTACCTGCTCCAGCGGAACCAGTCCGGAACCGGTCCTACCTCACATTCCTTTGATCGTGGATGGGTGGGCGCTCCGTTCAATCTTCTATGAGAAGCTCTGTACGCAAGGCAAGAATGCTGCCATGGTCGAGATGTTCAGATACTGGGACAGACACCGAACAATTGTCCCGGAATATGCGCCTTCGCCTCGCCAATAATCAGTCACGTCTGGTTTCCGTCCAATAAAATACATATTAGCGAGAACAACATGTAGAGTCCCTTGTTCGATTGCGTACAACAGTCCCGTTCAATAAATAATTGCCAGAGTTTTATGATTCGCTCTCCCTCGCGCGCTCAGATATCACCTAGCAGGCGTTTGCTGCAACGCGTCATCAGAGCACTGCTAGTTGATAATGATTAAGGGGATGCTTACAGAGCCAACGGTGCATCGCTCAGGAATGTCGGTCCGCCAATCATTTCGCGCGTCCACACGTCCCGCACAAACCACCCGACATGGCCCACCGCGCAGCCCATGAGGTCTCCCGCGGCCGCGCGCCAGGTGCCGTTGAGCATCCACGCAAGACAGACGAGAGCGAGCGGTAGGTAGGGCGCGGTGATCGTGATCAGACCGAACAATGATATCGGTGTGGATGGGTGTCGTCGCGACCACAGGTAGATGGGGACGAATGCAAGTGGGGAGGAGAGAAAGGGTAGGTTGACGAGAGGAGAAATTGCCTATACAGAATGGTTGGATGTCTACTCATAGTCGGACGATGGAAAGTACTCACAAGGAGCATGATGGCGGATAGTAGAAGCAACCAGAAATAGTCTGCTTTACGATTTGCGAACGACGACTCTTCCAGCATACGGCTGTATCTCATGCTTCATGCACATTCGCATGAGTCGTATAGTAAGCAAGCAAACGCAATGTGTACTCACAAGAAGAACATGTGGAAGACAAAGTCGAGTGAGATGGGACCGAAGTACCAGAATGTGGTCAACAATCGCCATGGCTGACAGGGAATCAGTGAGTGAGCATGAACCTGCTTAAATACACGCACTTGTGCATTCGTGAAAGCAGCTTTGTAGCTGAAATAGAGCTGCAGCGGGGTGATAACCTGGCATTGCTGTATGGGCACACGTTCAGCCACAAACGTCATAATACACGGCGAAGGGGTGCTTACTACTGCCATGCTTGTGAGCACCGCCAGTGCGAGCCATGCCCGTGTCACTGGTGGTATCTGGGTCACCCATGCCTCAATTCCGACAGGCATTTTGAGATGGACGAAAGTGAACGCGACTCGGCGTCGGCGAGACCAAGGTGTACAGTCGAGCGCTAAGACTGAGCGCTTGCTTCCGTATAACGTGGCTTCGCGAGTGCACGTGGCCAGATCTCATCGCAACCACTTCGCGGTGTCGACTCTTCCTGTCCAGATGACCGGCATTCTAATTGACCACGGTGCACTGTCTTGCGCGTACTATACTTCACGCAAAAGCTCGGTAGGTTCAGTGTTACTTATCACAAATTGATGTGAGTCCGTTGTCATTCTGCTACATCGGATATCCAAGCACTACTTACAGTTACACACAAGCTGCAAATTTACTACAACAAGGGGACTGTCAAGGTACAACATAATGCGCAGTAGATTCCAACGCTTCCCGCCTCCATCAGCCGATCGTCAGACGGTGGCATTGTCAAAACCCGTCGACTTCCTCCTGTACTTGAACGCCAGTGAATGCCGCCCTGCTCCATCTGCGTGCATGTCTGAAGTCCACCGAGGACCCTTGGCGGCGGAGTCTCTCCAGGCCCTTCGGCTGCGGGAGAGCGTCTATCCTGGCCTTCTCGTCCACTTCCTCTTCGTGTGAATGAATCTCTTTCAGAGCCTTGTGGGCTACTGTAACGAACAGGAGAAGGCCTGCCAGAGCTGTGCAGATCATCTGCGGGAAGAACCCAATGCTGTCTGTACGACATTCAGCATTCAAGGTTGTGACCCTCGCGATCAGACTTACCCAGAAGGACGCCTGTGGAGCTGTGTCAGCACGAACATTGCTCATGAATTGTGCGTAATGATTACTCACCGTCAAATCCAGGTGCGTCTGGCATCGCATTCCTCAGCTGAGGGATAACAAGGAGCACGGCCAAAATGAACAGTATATACTGTGGTGCCCTCTCGCTGTCTCCCTGCATCCATGCGAGTACGACGACGATCATCGTGGCATGCGCAAGCATCCAACTGACGCAGAAAAGGAGCATCGCGAATAACTTCGCTTCGGGAGGCCGTTGGATGTTCAGAATGATATCGTCGCTCGGGCCTGACACTCCGTTCGAAGCGCTCATGTAACTGTCTACCTCGGTAGGCGTAATGGCAAAGCTGGAAGTAAGCTTCAGCGTCGTCATAGCGCTTATTGAGACAGGGTTCTTGTTGCTGTCTGTAACACGGAGCGTGCTGGTCAGTTGGTAGGTGTCGAAGGGATACATGCGCGCTTGATGTACGTCGAGGACGTGGTCACTGTCGAATTGGCACAGATTCTGTATACTGCAGGACAGGTCAGTTGTCTCGCTAATCGATAATGTAGACAAGCAAACCAACCTGATTCTTTGACCTGTTTCGTTGGCTGTCGGAAACTGTGTCGGGTCATACGTCGCTTCAGGGTCATCCCCGCTACAGGACTCGTTGGTGGAGCGCTCACGCGAAATATGATCGCACACTGACCTGTCGACATACACGTTCAGGGCCATTGCAGGAAGACCACACGAATTACTGCCGTGTGTACCCTCTGAGCCAGGGAGAACGAATGCTGGACCACAGCCGATCATGGACCATCGGATGGTGACAGCAGGCTCATCGACATCGACGTCGACGTTGTCGCCAATCAATACTATCTGCAAGATGGTTTTTAAGATCGCATTTATCGCAGCTTCAGCTGAGATGCCTTACCCCGGGATTATTTGCCGCCACACTGTCAAGCAACTCCTTGAAGGGCGGCTCATCTTCCTCCGTGCCGATGAAGGCGCACGAGAGCGAGAAGATGAAGAACACGGAGAACGCAATCGCCATTCCTACGATGAACCGACTGCCCAAAGGGAGTACGCCCGCCCTCGTGCGGCTGAGCACTCTCTTTGCAGGGGATGGTTTTCTGGGCTTTGTGCCGCCAGATCTGGCATGTTTGGATAGGGTCGGGTTGGAAAGGGTTGCATTGGAGGGCGCCCTGATCAGCCCGGTGGTAGAAAGGAATGAATGGCGAGTGGACATCGCAGCGCAGGCGAAGGTGAAAAAAGGGAGGGCGACAGGGAACGAGTCGGCCTCCTTGGGGATCACTCGAGGGCGGCGCGAGCAACCTTCGCCCGCTCTACATGGCGCGCAGTACATATAAGCCGCGTGGAGGCGGGGCTATGCTTAATTGCCCGCCTTACGTGCATATCGATTTGGTTCTGGGAAGTCCATCAAGAACGTACATTTCCTTTGCGAGTGAACTCTCGCATTGCGCCGTGGGCGGAGGTCACACCTGTGCACAGAAGGGTGAGACATGATGTCAAAGAAGGGAAGAAGCGTCCTTGATGAAATGGACGAGTCAGACGTTGTCATTGTTCGTTCAACACTACAGTACTACGTTCGCGGATGCATTGACTGAGCTCTTGCCAGCTAGTCTATTGTGTTAGACTCAGTATCATAGGACGTAGAGATCAATAGGAGACATCCACACGAGCTCAGACAATGTTCTGGATGGTCTAGCATGTGGTCGGCGTTAAAGGTGCATCTGGATGTCGGAACGGAAACTTCGCTTCAGTTTTGATGGCAGCCTTCACGCATGAAGTACAGCTTGCACAGAACCGCAATGAGCATGTTGAGTGAATGCAATACTGGTAGCCATTGACGCACCTTATTCTTAGCCTCACCTGGGCTGGAGGTAAGACCTTGAGGATATCGTCCATGTCCACGATCAACTGAGCAGCTTCCCGAGTCTAGTGACTACATGTCGAGTCGGAGACGCTGAAAAAGGGAGATCGACGAGGAAGTTGAAGAAGTCCAATTTCCGCATTATCCCCGCACAAAGCGCCCGGATGTGCAAGACACTACTTACGGCGCCGGCAGCTGCACTGAATGGACATTCCTGTAATGCTAGTATTCGCATCCCATTGTCTATCAGTGCCATCGGGGTGATACATAGTGATCCCGGCGCCAGCTATGGTTGGCCAAGCATGTCTCGCATGACTCGGATCTCTGCCAGCGGTCCACCTTCGTCTCCTTCTTCCCCGTAAATATTCAATACGTGAGTCGCGATCAGAAGATATGATTTCGCGTCACTCTCCAGAGGGTTCGCGGCCGCAGGCTCTGGATACATCATCACAGCGTTCCATGCTGTCTTCGCGAGCTCCAGCGCATGCATGCCTGATACAATACAATCCTTAGTGCGCTCCACAAAGGACATTCGGAATGGCTAAGAATAACGCACCTATTTGTGGGTAGTTGGCCGGATAGACGAGTGAATAGAGCGCCAGTAGGGTCAGACCGGTTGACAATGCTTCTGTGTACGGACCCTCATGCGAAGTCCTACTGAAAGTCTCCGATAGTTGGGGTAGGTACGACTCGTGCAAGACCGGGGCGAGTTCGACCGGCATCTCCTGGAGAAGAACAGAGTCCTCCCGTAACTCAGCGACCCTTCCCGCATCGCTTAATGCGTATCTCCGAAGCGCGCTCTCCAGGTCGTCCATTTCTGTAGATCCTTGACGCGGGGGTGGCATCGGATGCACGCGCTCCACGATGCAACACGTAGGGCAAGAACACGAGAAGCCGTAGTTCGATTGCAAAGCTTGTTGACGGGTCTCCACGGGCAGAGCCGGGTCCAAGTACGGGATTGTCACCTGTAAGCATATTCCGAATTCACTTGTCTAGACAGAGATAAGCGAGGGGCTCCGTACCTCCTCGTCCTCTGCGATGTCGCGCAGTGCAATGACTTCCATTCGGACAGGCTTCGATGGGGTTATGATGTATTTCGTGACAGCGTTGGGAGCGCATGAATGATTGAATAGACGGCTGGCGAGAGGGAATATTCCATGCGCGTATGAATTGAGATGCGAGTGGACAACGAAGTTGTTGTTACCAAAGCGGCTGTGGTAGTCCTTCGCCACTACGGCTTGCAGAGAATCAGTCACACGCTGGTCCAAGGAGACCGGGAGAGATGCAACATGGGCCAGAGGGCCTCTCATGAGGTCCATGAAGATACCGAGGGCGCCATCACGGTCTTCGCCGCTCGTGGGCGTATATTGTCCATTTCGGTATGCCTCCGCCAGCAGATGTGATAGGAGGACCGCGTCGACCTGATCGTGACTCGACAGAGTCTGGTATTCCCGTGACGCCATAAAGCGAGAATAATGCTTGCAAATCCTCTTGTGATGTGCGATCCATTGCGCAGACTGACCTATTCCTCCTTCAGTTGAAAGTGCCGGTGACACTGTGTCCGCAGCCAATGATCCGCACATTCTTTACCGCAGTACAAGTAAGAGGCGCAGCCTGTACATTTTCGCAACTGGACGGCGTCCGAAGCTAGCCTGTGGCAATAGTCGCACCGGCGTCCTTTCTCGGTTTGTAACAGAGCAGTTGACAATGCCGGCACAGTCAGAACGACCTTCCCCGCGACGATAGAGGATGATGCAACCGCTTTGTTCCGAGCTGACGAATGCTCTTCAAGGCGAATGCTTGCGTGTGTCAAGTCCAGAGCGACCATTTCGGACTGGAAGCGGGACAATCACTGCCGTCAAAGGCAGACGCGTCATATAGACATCTTGAGATACGTACGGATGCGCGCGCACAGACCGCTGATGTTGGCAGAAACTGAAGGGGCTTGTCTCCGCCGAGACGAGATGTACAGGAAGGGTCAGCGTCGGTAGGTCGGAATTGGAACGTCGAGGCTCAAGCGCTGGCGCTCACCTCGCGAATGATGGGGCACCGTGGCGCAAGTATGACATAATATACTGAATATGGCAGGTCTAGTGGTTCACCATCCGATCATACACCCACAACAAATCTCTACATTCGAACAACAGTTCTACATCTAGAATCTAAGGTCGCGGTTCAATTGATACAACGTGGGTGCAAATCTGAAGCATGACGGTCATGAGAAGAGAGATGGCAGGCTCGAGCGGCGACGACGGCATCCTCAAGAGTCCCAGATGGCACCGAAAGCAGGGATGCCTCGGCTCATCATCCCGTAGACGATCTTCTGAGTAATGGGTTGATTCGCGATAATCACGACAGCCTCCGCGTTGAACTCCTGGACCATGCGGTAGGTCAGCTTGACCATGTCGGGGCGGCCGTGCACCCGAGTGTCTGGAAACAACGCGTCAGCATTGCGGTGTTTGAAAGCGAGTTACTGCCGCACCATAGATAACAGAGTTAGGCGACGCCTCAAGGAGGTCGTCAACTAGCTTGTCGCCGAACGTCTTCCTGTGCGCAGGCGCTGTCCAGAGGAGCTGGATCTCGGTCCGCTTAGCGAAGACTACGGGAGCGATGGGGCCGATGCCGCTGCCAGTCGCCACCATTACAACCCGACGAAACAGGGGTGTGACGCGTACAACGCCGTAGCAAGGGATCCCCCGGATCCAGATCTTGTCAGGCGGGTTGCTGATTTGCTGCTTTGTCCAGTCTCCCGCCCGAGAGACGACAGCGGAGTAGCCCTTCTTCCCAGGCTCAGCGATAGTCGCGAAGGAATGCCACTCGAAGAGCGGGTTCAGCGACATCCGCGTGAAGTGACCGGGGTGCGTATTCACTGCAGCGCGTGTGTCAGATTAGATACTGCGAGGGGGGCACCGACGCACCATATTCAAAGTAGAGGCGGACGCAATGGTCGGAAAGGACTTCGGCCCGGACGGGTACCTTGCGAAGCCGGGCCCAAGGAAGGATGATCGAGCACGTTAAAACAATAACTAGCCAGAACGGAGCCGAGTGCACGACGGCATGTCCGAGCGCCTCGTCTGCGGGGCGGTAATCGTTGATCAAAAGTACCACCTGGAGGAACACGGCCGCATTATGAGCGTGGGAAATACAACTGAGACATCGATTATACTGACCTGCGCCCAGACAAGCGCAACGGCCGTCCAGCCCGCGAAGCGATGTACGGCTTCAAAATGGTTGTGATACTTCACACGGAAGGACGGATAGGCGAAGGTGACCATCCCCACGAGCAGAGCAAGAATTACGTAGGACAGTGCCAAGGTGGGAGCGCTCGTCTGCATAGCATGTCAGCATTCTCGGTGAAGAATAGAAGGGAGGGGAACGTATGGCTCACCTTGCCCTTGTCGATGACTTCCCGGGTGGCTCTTCCGACGAAGAGGATAAGCCATACGGTCCCGCTAATACCGGCCCCTGAATGAACTTATCGAGGCGTCGGTCGAAGGAAGATCGCGAGGGAAACCACACGGCTACTTACTTCCACCAATTGAGTATACACGTGCTAGAATACGACGGATCCACAGCGGCCAACTGCAACCATATGAGCGAGGCACGGTCGAAGACATCGGCGCTGTTGAGTGCGTACCTTTTTGGAGCAAGACACGCCACGGCGAAGAAAGTGTTGATAACGTACTCCTGGCGCATGAGGATCGAAGCGAAGAGGTTGCTGATGACCACCGTGGCTATCTGGCTGGCGTTCGCCCCCTTCACGCAGTACCAGATGAAGATGCCGAGGTTCGTGAAGAAGACAATACCAAATAGCCGGCGATAGAGAGACAGCATTTGGAAACGCACATTCCGGACGAGCCTTCCCTGGGTCTTGTCGGGCAAGACGTCGTCCTGGAAGCCCTCCCATACCTCGCTCTTCTTGATGTCGGCCTTCTCGTCCAGGGTCGAGGCTGACGAGCTGTACGAGGGGAGCCGCTTCGTCTCTGGCATAAGATCCAATGCGTTCTCCGGATCGCCTGGGCTGCCATGGTACACCGGAGGTGGAACAGTCGGTGCGGAGGGAGCAGGAGTCGATGCGCCACTGGTCAGCACGGTCGCCTCAGGCATTGCAGCACGCTTCTCTGTCATCTGAGGAAGAATTTGTGAGCAAGGGAAGACGATATGCAGGCGTTGGGACGTACCTCGTAAAGGACGTTAGGAAGGGGCAAGAGCGACAGCTGTCCGCAGAGCTACCTGAGCCCTCGTCCTTGCTTAAATACTTGGAAACCAATTCTGGTTGGCACACCCATCCATAAATGACCGTTACATGTCACGGCGGGTCATGACCCCCATGAGGTATACTGCAACCCAGCGGTTCGGCAACTCCACACTGAACACTTCGAGGGCACGGAGTGTTCGCACGAATGATACCAAAAGATATGTTTCCGTGACATGACGCCCGCTCGCCTCGGTTCCGGCGAACATAATGGCCAGATAACAGGCCTGTATTCGTCGGAGCTGGCGGTGAAGAGAAGTCTGAGATGTACGATCGGTGTCGGGAGGACTTGGATCTGCAGAACGAAGTCAATGCACAGGTTGCAGACGTATGGGATCTGCCAGAGTCACAGAGTCAACGGATAGCAGAACGACGGTCGGACTATTCATCGAACCAGAAGGTCGCGAAGGTGGAGATCGTCGGTGCAGTATGGCTTCCTTGGAATGCAAACTTACCGGCAGTACGTGCCATTGCAGAACGAAGTACACATGGAGCACTGACAGAGGCACCATCATAGCTAAAACGTGCAAAGTCTTCCCAGCCATAGTGCCGCGAAGGCATTGCGAAGTGACGCTCACAATCAAGTGGCGAGCAAGATAGACAAGATGACGAGAACAGTTCCGTTATCGCTTTCACGGGCCAAAGCGAGGCCAAAGTACTCCCCGGGCTACTGCCCGAGCACCACCGAGCACCTGGATCGGAGAAGCGTCAGACCCGCATGCATGCGAAGAAGCATGGACTTCACCCACTTCCACAACGGGTAGCACGCACCAAACCCAGTACAATCCGACCCAAGCATATGGCTTCGGCTCAAAAGCCCGAAGCAAGCCTCTAGGCTAAATCGCGGGCAGTAGCTGACATTCCACGACATACTTACCTGAGACGCAGACTGAGGATCAGTGATGGCTGAACGGCGCGCAGTCGCTACTGCTCAGCCGATGGGCTATGTCACGGCGGCTTCGGGAGTGCATGCGGAAAAGAACAGCGCGCGCCGACTGCAAGCGACTGCGTAGTATGGCCATGAGTCCATGGCGGGAGTTACAGTACCAAGTAGGAGGACAGGCTGAGGGTGGTAGTGGCTCCCGATCTCGGTACGCGCCGACGCAAATCTCAGATCGTTCTGAGATCCTAGCAGCCTACTGCAGTGAGTGGGCCGTCTGGGACCCGCGCCGCCAACGACGACCTCGCCTGTACACGCTCCCACTGGGTGAACGACAGTGGTATGGGCCGCACCGCGTTTTCGGCCTGAATCCACCCGAACCTACGCAAGGCTAGCGCTAGATTCAGTGAGTGGTTGTGGCCAATGAGTATCCTCGTCAAGCAAGTGAGTGACTGTCTATTGCTTCAATTCCACCCCGGGCACATTGATGGCGTAGTAGCATTTGACAGTGAACACAGACCGAGGGATGCCCGGAAATGCAGGGTTTTTGATTGACAGGAGAGCACCTACTTTGAAGCTACCACATGGGTTCTACGTGGGCCAATCTGCATCCCCAGGCCCCCATGATGAGTCTCCGATTCGACCTGATCGCTTCATACTCTCGTCGGACATGGATCCATTACAAACCGAAGGAGCTTCTGCCTTTCACTTTGAGTAACGTCCTGCCTTGGATTCGTGACTGTGTTAGACATCGGTTGGTGATGTGTACATCCTGACGCAATATCGTGCCAGGTAACTACTGGTACAACTGCCTCTGGAACTGGCAGTGGAAGCAACAATGAGAAAGCCTCCCCCTCATTCCTCACGCTCTTCGCCATGATTTATTCTAAATCACAACATATATTCAAGAGAGTGGCGGCGAAGAAGATAAGACACTTTGCTCTGGATCTATGTTTCGTGTCACTTGGCATAAGGTGAGACCCGCTCTGTTATCGGTAATGGCAGAATCACGGACATGTAGCTGACCTACTGCCATACTCACCGCGGACTGTGATCCGTATCCGTGCAGGACAGGCTATCTTTTTGATGCCTTTGCCATCTCGGGCCTACAGCAACGCCGCCCTGCATTATTCATTGACGTGCTGGCCTCTCTACGTCAGGTATGGGTCCTCACTTTGATCGCCTGCGTATGCGCGACGGCCCACATCGCATCACGGAACACGTGTTCTGTTTGCGCAATGCTATGATGCGATAGCAAGCAGACCCCGAATGGTGTTGACGTGCCCCGCCTGCGCAGCGCAGGAATTCTCGCAGAACATCTGCGTCAAGGCTATCCTCACATTGGAAAGCGCACTGACACGGATGTCGCAGGTCGTCCCAGCATTGGAAGATGTTATCATCCTCCACGAGCCTATCTCCGACCAGCTCTTCTTCGTGAACTTTGCTTTGTTAGAAGCAAGGTGTGCACGGATACCAGGTCTCGGAGATCATCCCAGACGCCAGGACGATCCGCACGGATGGCCCTTCTTTGTGCAACTCTCCGAAGTGCCCACGCTGGTCGGTACCGAGTGCATTCTCACGTCTTTTGCTGTTCACCCCATCGTTCTCACATACACATTCTATTCCTGTCATTCTGCAGGTGGAGTTCCCAACTCTGATTGCCAGTCTCCTACGCGAAGTCTGTGCAAGAGGCGAAAAGTCCGCCGGTCTCTCACGTCCGATCGCACTTACCATCACTCAACCTCTTGACGTCGTGGATTTGGTCCCGCTCGCCGCTGCCTTGTTGGAGTATCCGGTCGCCTACGTCCCTGCCGACGCAGATCAGACGGCCTTCTTGACAGGCGTCCCTCTGGACGTCTACGACTGCGTGGTCTCTTTCATTGGTGCCTCTGATGACGAGGCACATCCCGAAGACGCACGCGAGCATACGCTTCTCAAATTCTCAAGCCCTTCCTGCCTGTCTGAGCAATCCACGGGTCTGTTGCCCGCTAAAGTGATGGAGGCACTCCGGGACAGATTCGGGCCAAGACTGAATGCGGCGGAAGGACAATGGAGTCTGGCGTGCGGCACACGACGGAGACACACGATAGAGTATCGCTCTAGCCTTGGCTCCCGCCATAGCTCCCACAGGTTGGCGGTACGTCTGTCCTATTCACAATGATACATGCACTGACAGCGAGCTGGACAAGCCCAGAAGCAATAGATACTGAGCACGGAAGGCGAAGGCCGCTATTCTACGTCGATGTTGGTGATTTTAATATCTTCGTACGGCTTATCCAGCTTGTTCGTCTTCACGTTCTCTATCGCATGGACCACCTCAAGCCCGGAGAGTACCCGCCGAAGATGGTGTGCTTCTTATCGAGCCAAGGCGTAGCCGTGGTGGTGATGAAAAACTGGGAGCCGTTCGTATTTGGTCCTGCGTTTGCCATGCTAACGGTGTACGGCCTGCATCGATCGACGGGGTCAGTAAGACCGTGTGAAACATGCGCTCGCTGCGTATGGCGTACCTATCGTGCTTCAAGTCGTCAGAGAACTCATCCTCAACTCATCCCCCCATATCGACGTCCCCCCAGTGCCATCGCCCAACGGGTCTCCCGTCTGGATCATGAACTTCGGAATGACACGGTGGAAGATGACGCGCTCGAAGTATCCACTCCGGGCGTGGCCGACGAAGTTCTCTACCGCCTTTGGCGCTTGCTGAGGGAAGAGCCTCATATGGATGTCGCCGAGCGTCGTGTGAATGGTCGCAGCGTTTGCAACAGGAGAGGGTCCGCCTTTCCCGACGGCAGATGTGGATGATGCAATGCTCTGCTCCTCGCGGGTGGGTCGTTCGTTGAAGATGTCACGATCTCCCGACTTGTCGTCCCTGGAGATGTCAGCGTGAGTACTGCACACCAGATATTCGGAGACAACTGAAGACGCACTCCGGCTCAGAACGGGTGAACATGTAGAATCGCTGTCGCTTGTAGCCTGTGCTGACAAGCGTAGGATCCCTGGCAGCCTTCTCCGCCAAGAGCGGGTTAGCTGACGCGGCCGCTGCCTAACGAAAGCACGCAGTCAGAAAAGCACCGCGCCAAGTTCGTGGGAGGCACCAACCGCAGTTGTCAGCCCTCTTTTTGCTGGAGCTCCTTGGTACAGCGTCATATTCATCCACCGGACGGTCTCGTCCTTCCCCAGAAGCCGCACGACGCGGTTTGTCACGGTGTTAACCACTATCGCATCAGAGCTCTCAGATGGTGCAATCCATGGAGGACGGCGGTCACTTACCCTTGATACCGAGCAGGGTTGGTAGAGCACAAAGGCTCCGCTCTCGTCCCAGACCGCGTTTATCCACCGCCCCGGTACGTGCCCATCCGGCCCGGGAGCTCCAACTCGCGCTCGGCGGCGAGTCGGCGCCCAAACTCCATATCCTCCACCTTGTAGATAGCCGTTCCCGCCTGCTGCATCTCCTGGATGGCTTCAAGCGACTCGTCATACTTGCGCGTCAGTTTGCCGGTGAGGAAGGAGAATATACGGATTGACGGTCTGGAAGTGAGAACGTAACGAACGATGCTGAGTCCGGTGAGAGCGTGATGCACGTCGGAGTGGACTTCGACTTAAGACCGCGAATGTTCGTCAGCAAGGGGAGGAGATGCTTGTAAGGATATGCACCTTCTTGAAGTCGTACAATCGTCGTGCTCTTGAACGACCAGAGCCCAGGTACGTTCTTCGGCTGTTCAAAGGTTCCCTCGGTTGCCAGTACTCCACAAATCCGCCCTCATCAGCGGAGATGACACAGTCGTATCTGGCACTGTACTGCAAACCAGCCGGTCACTCGAGATCCCACTGCTGCAGGCGACACTCACGTCATGACGTGTACAGGGAATCGGTGTATTTTGTCGACCGTCTCGAGAGGCTGGTCATTGCCGCGTCCGTCGTACAGTCGTATTGCGCCAGAGTTCCGGTCTGAGCTGCAATATCATTAACCAGTCAAGCTCTCATATAAGTATTCCAACTTACACCGCAAGCAGGCCCTGGGCTTGACCGCGTCTGTGAACCCAACAACACGCGTGAGGCGTGTAGCCCAATTTGATCATGTTGATCATGTCTAGAGAAGCGATGTGAGGGAGCCAGACAAGATGCGAAGGCAGGCGACGCACCGAAGTTCACCACGTCGAAGACCTTCGCGGTGCCATCTTCAGCCACACTCGCGAAGAGCTGCCCGTCCACGCTGGCCGTGACCCCGACAATGGGAGCGAGATGCGCCCGGTAGTGCTTCACGAACTCGATTCCGTGCTCTTGCTTCTTCCATAACTTCAGGTGACCATCGACGGAGGTGGTCAATAGGAAGTCAGTTCTGCGGAAAAGCCGCTTCAGCCGCCGCCCGGACAAGAGAGACAACGAGCTCACTTGGTCATGATATTGAAGTTGATGACATCCCGGTGCATGAAGCTCTTGTAGTAGCGATCCGCACTGGGGAGGTGGTCCAAGTAGAGCTTCTCGTGAGGGAGGACTGCATTCGCGCATTGCCATAGCGTGAATTCACGGGCAGTAGCTCAGCATCCAACACACACCTTTGCGCTTCTTCTTGCGGCGCCATTTGCCCTGCCTCAGTGGCATGGGCATCGGACCAACGTCGTCGTCTTCTCCTCATCCTCTTTGCCGGAACTGGTGAGGCGTCCATGGAATCCTCTTTTATCTCTTCCTGGCCGTTTCGCGACCGCTTCCCAAGCACCTTTCTACCTTGTTCTCTTCCGACATGTCTTTTGTTCGTGAGCAACCGGACAGAAAGAGGGCCGCGTCGTGTTGGATCGGTGAGTTGCTGGTGAACGAGACTCAGAGACCTGCTTGAGTAAGCGCCGGACGCGTCAACTGACGAGGATCGGCGTCGGTCTGTCGCGGATATCCAGGTTGGTGGCAGGACCCGAGACTTATCCAGTATACTGCTCAGCCACCGACGCGTCGACAAAACCCAACCGTTATTCGAACGGGTACGATCGCCAGGAAGTCCAAAACCAAGTCCACATAGATGGTATAAAATAAACGAACACTACATGACAACACACTCGTCCTTCAGCGGACCCTCCGCCAGGATAGCCTTCTCCTCCTCAGTCAACGGCAGCCCCTTCTTCGCGCGGTTCGCGATCGCCTGCCGTCGACTCTCGCGCTCCGCCTTCGCGCGACTTCACGACGAACCCAAGATTAGAGAATTACAGTACAGTGGATGGATGTTAGCGATACAGTGTGGGGATTAGGCCGACGCGAAGAGCGACGGCGGGACGTGTGATAACGGTTTGAAGAGATTAGCGGTGATCGGGTCAGTGGTAGGAGCGTTTGCGAAGACGTCGTGTCGATTCGTTAGGTGCGTGGGTGGATGCAGGTGGGGATGGGGGCGCAGTAGGAGAGCTAAGGCTTCGTGAGTGGTCACTGAGAGGAATGTTGTGAAAGTGTACTCACCGATCAGTCTGAGAGAAAAGGTTGGACCGTGTCGACGCGGACGAACGGGTCGAAGTGGATGACGAGGATGACCCATCACAGGCGGTTGAGGGGCGTTCCTCGCTTGCGTTGTGGTGCCCCGCGCTGTGGTACCAGCAGAGTGGGAAATGTTCGTCGAAGCCATCGCTCGCTGGATGGTAGCCATGGCTGCTGAGGCCTGTGACGACGCCGACTGGAAGGGGCTGGCGGATGACGACGCTGACTTGGTGGGAGCGCCCGAGGAACACATATGCGATGTTGGGAAGCGGTGCTGGGGGCAGAATTGCTGCTTGCATTTCTGTGTGCGAGGTCAGCAGAGACGATCACAAAGAGATGAAATGAGGCTCTGTGGTGATATGGTGACCGGTCATAGACCTTAGTAGGAGCAGGAACAGCACAGCCCAGAACGCGACAGGACATCGCGTATAGGCAAGACAACGTCCGGGCGTATAGATGTATAGGCTCCGCTTATACCCCTCTCGAGCCACCCAATTGCGACGCGCGGCCCACCACATCACCACTACCCAAAGTGCACATAGGCAGAGAGTAGAGACTCACGTCACATTGAATGGGGGCATACAAGACCTTGCCGCACTTCGCCCGCGCGCAAGTCGGGTGCGAGCTCTTGCGAGTCTTCCCCGTCATCACAGAGCACTCCGAGTTGATGTGCATCTCCATGCGTATGTTCGGATCCTGCCCGGGAGGGACAGCGACCGGTGTGTTGCAAAGCGGACACGAAGGCGCGACGCGATTGTGCTTGCTCGCGTCGAACTTGTCGCACTTGTGCGCCTCCGGGAGGAAGTGTTCGCCGCAGAAAGGGTGGCTACAGTGGTGGCACTTGAATGGGAGAAAGTCGACGAGCATGCAGGACGAAGCTGAGCATTGCTGGCCGATGGCCAGGAGTCCCGCGTCGCGTTCTGGGGTTGATGAGCCCGACATTGGTACGGATGAAGCGAGGGTGATAGGTATGGTGGTGGTGAGAGATGAAGGTAGATAGAAAGTAGGTCGTGTCGGGCGTAATAAAGAGCTGAGAAAGGGGACGCGCGTCCAGCGCGTGGATGAGGTGAGCAAGGAGGACACGCAAGCCTGGTGCACAGCCTGAGCAAGGTCAAGCACGGCGTTGTGGCGGCTTGTGGCGGGGCGCGAGCAGCCACCGGAACGTTCCAGGTCCGACTCGTCCGAGTCCACACTTCCGGGTTGCATTACGCTCTCTCGCACTGCTGTCGCTGCCAGTGGCCGTCTCAACCTCGCGCATTCACATCTCGCAAACCTCTGGGCTTTCGACTTGTCGTGGGCTTCCTACGTCGTCCATAACGCCTTTCTATGCCAAGATGTCAACAAGACCGCGCCTGTCAATAAGCGATCTTCTGCACCGAGGCGTACTATATACGCTGGTTGGCGTCAGTATCTGGGGATAGTCATGATGGGTGTCGTACACCGAGACACACTACGAAGAGGGCGAGGTGCGTTGATCGTTGATCTCATGCGCTCTTGCAGCTGACCCCGATTTCACAGAGGTCAGTAGAATTCGACGAATGTTATGGCGCGGATGAGCTCACGCCGTCTGTTACCAGGCCCTCGCATTGCAGGAAGCCAACTCTAATAAGGAAAAGCAGGTAAGGTGCATCACGCTCTGTCAGGAGGACACTACAATGCATTGCGCAGAGCGAGGAGAACGAGATCGCGCTCGCACAAGCCGCGCAGGCAGCCCTGGACAGGAGTGGCAAATCTTGGTAGAAAACATGTCTGCGGGCCCGCGAGACGGTACGTAGACTGTCTTGCCGTACAGTTTCCTACTTACCGCTCCTCATTAGATGTTCAACCCTCAGCGCTTTTGTCACACGAACGTCCCGCTCTCTTGTTGTCTTGCTGTATCTATTTATTACTTCGTCGCTAATGATCACCGCGTCATGCATTACACAAATTGTGATGAGGCACATGTACAATCTGAGAGTCATAATATATGCCAGAAGGCGCAGTGGGCATGTTGCTGCTGCCTATGATGCCTGCAACGTATATCGCTCGAGCTCTCGACTTCACCACCAGAACAACGCTCTTGTTTGCAGTTGCCATATTTGTCGGAACATCGCTTGGGTTCTCCAGGTTTCGGCGTCCCGGCCCGGAAGCCCGTGGCTGAACAGACTTGACCGAATTGGGAACCGTGGGCAATTAGCCGCAGCCTTTGTTCTCCAAATGTGATAAATCGCACATGTCCTCGTGTCCTAAGTTCAACTCTTGTTAGTTACCCATCACCTGCGCTTTGCTCCTCCCTCCCCTGCGACCCACTTGGTCCCCATCCCCTGTCTGAGTCGAGCATTAGCACACTTCACATCGAACTTAACCACCATGAACACAAACCTTTTGAACGAAAACGCCCTTGGCGCGTTGAAGCGCGCTGAAATACAACAACTGGCGAAGGTACGCGTCTTAATTACGCGTCCCTTCGCGTCTTCGTCCAGCTACTGACCATCGTGGCGTTCAGCGCGAGGGTCTTCGCGCGAACGGAAAGACATTAGACATCATCGACGCGTTGGTGTCTAGGCATCCCGATGGCGTTGAGCCGTGAGTTGTTCTTCTCGGTGTTGTCCGACAGAGGAACCAACGCCACATTAGATTGAAAAGAGAACAAGGGCCCGTTAGGAGGTCGAGACGTCTCGACGCCACGGAGCCCAAGGAAGAGGAGGTGGAAGAGGAGGTGGAGATCCAACCCGCAATATACGGCGAAAGTATATCGCAATGTAAGTCATCATCCCCATCATCTTCGGAGCGTCACTTACCCTTTCTTAGATAGACCGCCACGGCTGAGAAAGAAGCCGAAGGTGGTCGTCGAGGACGCGTCCGACGAGGAGGATGAAGAGGCTGTCAGGCAGCAGCTCATCCCGACGCCGCCGCCGTCATCGCCGCCGCCACCGCCGCCACCGCCGCCATCGCCGCCACGTCGGGAGGAAGCACCGCCTCCGGCCGCCTCGACCCGTGTCCCGGCCACTGGCTTGAGAGGTATGCTCACCTAGTTCTAGTTGTAGTGCGCCACTGACGAACCTCTCAAAGATGCGCGTGCGGAGCGCAACTCTCCAGCGGCTCGGGCCCAACCCGTGCCTCAGTTTGTTCAAGGGTCATCAAGACTCTTTGAAACTGAGGCACCGGTGCAGCAGCACCAGCGGGGACGCCTTACGACAGGTGTCCCCGCTAACGCGGCAGCATCAATGCAACAACTCCAAACAGTGCCAGATGGCATCTCATACGGCACTAGGGGCCTCTTGGAGGTCATGGACCAATTCGGGATCAAACCCCAGCCACTCGGAACAGAATGGGAGCGAGACCTCAGCCCCGACTACGGCCCGCTCAACTCAGCGGCGGATGCTGAGGGACCGACTCGCAGCACCTTCTTACCTGGACGCAGGCCCCAGCTCTCGCCACTCCGGATCTCCCCCTTGTTCCACCTCCGACCCGCCCCCGCCAATCCGCCCCCGCGCCTGTATCAATCGACGCCGCGCAACGTCGAACTCCCACCACGGCCGCCCGTCTTCACGCGGCCTCCTCCTCCGCCGCCCGCGCAACCCGAAGCCGGCCCGTCGAGGCAGCCGGCTCAGGCGGGGCCTCCGCATCGCCGCGCGCCGTCGTGGTCGCAACTGCCCGAGGAAGGGTCCGACAACCCATTCTTCGTCCGTCGGACCCCAACTCCTGAGCCTTCACCCTTCCCGACGGGCGCGCTCGGGCCGTATATTCACCAGCAACCAGTGGTACCGCGGAGCTCTGTCCCCCAGCTGCAGCCAGTCGCCGGCCCTTCAAGGCCCCGCCTCGATCCGCACGATGGCCGTTTTAGGCTGCCCGAGACGCCGGAGCACGTCCGCCGAGAGCGCCGCGAGCGTAAGTGTTCGTGTCTTCGAAGGTCACTGAAAGTTGCTCACCTGCCGTTATGTATAGCCTTCGTGGCTCTCAGCGACGAAGAGGTCGCAGTGCGACAGCCGCGCCCCTCCGTGTCTCGGCCTCAGCGTGTCCCTCCGCCCGCAGAGATGACCTCGTCCGAGGACCAGGAGAACGACGAGAATGACGAGGCGGCCGCACAAGCCATGTCTGCGCCCGCGCCCGCCGCACGAGCCGGTCCGTCGGGCCAACCCAGCAACGCTGCCGACAATGAGGACCAGCCCACCAGCCCGCTCGGAGACGTATACAACGCTTTCCTGGCCTTCGCGGCACAAGACGAACCCCCCGAGCCTGTCAACGATATGGAGCTCAAGAAGCGAGCATACGCCACGCTCCACAGCGAAGTCATCGACCGCCTTGACGACGACGTCGAGTCGGGCGAGTCGGAGGTTGAGGAGGACGTGGAGGACGCCAGACTCGCGGAGTTGCAGAAGCAGGTGCATGCGGTGTACGATGCCGCCGTCGTTGCCGCTTTTGCCGCCGACGGGGAGGCTCCGGCGCGGACCAAGGGGATGGACAAGGCTATCGCGCTCAAGCTCAGGGATGAGGCCCGTGCCGCTGTCCAAAAGCTGTACGGTTTGAAGGCGAAGAGGAAGCAGCTCAACGAGATGATCGACTTCCTGAAGGCGCAGTCGGACTTGGTTGCAGAGTGGGTCGTCGAGATGCAGGCGAAGCGGATAGTCGCCGAGAGACTCATAGCGGAGCTGAAGGACCCGGCTTCTGGCTGGCTGCAGGGGAAGTGGAGGCCGTCGCTTGCCCAGATGATGCTGGCTGCAGGGGAGCCTTTGCCAGACGAGGAGCCGCTGCCAGACGAGGGGCCGCTGCCAGACGAGGACGACGAGAGTGCGTTCTACTGGGACGAGATCCCTTCCTCGGTGGAAAAACCGCAGAGGCCGGGGCCACCAGTGGACATCGACGACGCCGAATTCTTCGGCAGCGAAGACTTCGAGCCCCCCAGTCCGGCTCCCCTGCAGCCGGCCTTCGAGTTCCGGCCACGAGGGCCTCGCCGAGACTTCAGCTTGTCGCCCCTGCCACCGTCGTCCCCTCCCGTCTCGGATTCATTGCCTGCCATCGAGCAAAGCCCGGAGCCGGTGACCCCCCTCGACGTACTCGGGGTGCTGTGCCGCGGCGAAGGCAGCCCGATTCGGACGAGCTCGACGGCGAATCCTTCGAGTCCCCTGACAGTGGAAGGCGCCCGAAGGCTTTCCATCCATCGAAAATGGTTGACGAGGCCGAGCGAGCTACGCGCGCTCAGCCCCAGGCAGGGCCCTCCCGGCGGGCTGACGCTCCCGAGGCAGGTCCGACTGGCTCGTTCGCGCTGCGGCCTGCACGTTTTACGCCCAAGTCGGGCCGACCGTCCTTCGACGTGGAATATGGTTCGTCGATCTCTCAGTTCAAGAAGCGACGACGAGGCGACGACGAGGACGAGGACGAGGACGAAGCGAGCTCCGACAGTGGTCGGGAGTCGGGTTCTGAGGGTAGTGAACACAGGTGAGCATTGATGACGTCTGATTCTTTCGCGCAGTCCGCTCACCCTGACTTCGACGCAGTGCCATCTCTCAGCCGACGGCGGGTCCTAGCCAGCCGCGAGGCTATATCCCCAAGCCTGTTCCAGGTTACAACGGCTTCGAAGGCGACGACTCCGAACCGGACTATCCATGGGGGGGATCCTACGACGAGCGAGACATATATCGGGTTATTGGAAGAAGAGAGAGCCTGATCCCGTCACCCAAACGCATTCGTCGCCGCTGATGGTAGGCTACTGTCCTGCTTGTGTCGTGTATATCTGTGTATTCCATATTGTAGTATCCGTCGCGTAGTTTCTCCTCTTTTGTCCTGTTGATCTGGGGATTGTACAATTAGCATCGTGATTTTCCTCGAGTAGCAGAGTAATCAAATCTTACCTCGCACGCATGTGCAGAGGAACAGAGGACTTGCTCGTTCGTGCGTCCGTGACTGAGGAGTGACGACTCAGAGCAACTCTGCAGCCACACCGCAATGGAGTGTGTTCTACAGGGACGAATGGCATTATTTGCAATGACTCGATGAGGGATGCAAGCCATGCGACGGTGTAACATGCACTGGTAGGTATACCAATTCCCAAAGGAGACTTACGGGCCATACATTCCCCTGCTTCAGGGTACGTACTACGCTTGTCCCGATACGCCTCGGCCACGCTCAACGTAAGGCCAACCCTCTCTCGCAGTGAGCGCGCAAACGGCACTGAAGGACATCGTCACCCGCCGACCCTCAGGGTTGTCGGTGAGCGCAAGCACAGACCACGTTTTGCCACTAACAATGAGTGAGCTGACGATGCAGGAAAATGACGAAAAAGGCACTCACAGGGGGAAAAAAGCAACAACGTCAAGAGCATTCTGGAGTCTCGACGAGCGCGAGAACAATGGCAATGGTCAACCTGCAAATCGACGGGAGAATGCCACTCGGGATAGGATGATGAGTCTGCGACGGGAGGAAGAGCGGGCGAACATCCCAGTTTATGTACCCTACCCAGACCTTCTCCTCGTGGCTGAACCCGCGTTCCCAGGAGCCGGAAAGGTGCAACAATGCATGACGCAGAGACAATCCAAAAAAGCCCAATCTCCCTTCACGTGCAGTTTTTTTTCAGATGAGTCACTGCAAAGGAGAGGAGGCCGGCAAGGAGACAACCTCCGAAGGCTTGCCGGGTCGCACAGACAACGCACAGAGTCTGGCTTGCGGTAGATCGCGATCTGCGCAGAACGAGCCGCTATTCCCAAACTGGGCGCAAGCAGTCGACTATAGTCACGGGTGCAGTGCCTGCGCCGAGCGGCGAGCGTACAGCGCCCACGACCCAGTCAATATTGCCACCGCATGCGAGATCGCGGAAGAGTCCAAATGGGTCCAGTTCCTGCCCATGCGGTGCGCGCATGCAGGCCAGGCTCAGGTAGCCTTTCCATTGAACCACCATGTCCTCGACACCCACCGTTACCTTCACTTTCGTAAGTGTTCAGCTCGCCGCAGGCCCTTGACGTTAGTACTTATACACACGCAATTTCGCACAGATCAGGCATGGCGAATCGACGGACAACCTGGTACGTACACTTTCATGCATGATATGCGCGTAGGGTGTGATGTACATGCGACAAACACAGACAAGCGCATGGGCAGGTTGGAAGGACGCACCGCTCTCTAACCATGGTGAGTTCCGGTGGCTTGGCTATGTCGGTAAGCTGATTTTGAAGCTTGAACGTTGCATGCAGGCATGAACGTGAGCTCCGTCTACAATATCGACAACGGGGTGGGCTGACCAGCGGAGTATCACAGCAAGCCAAGGCACTGGGAAAGTCATTCGCGAAGACACACTTCCTGGCTATTCACGCTTCCCCCCTCAAGCGTGCACTGTGGACCGCTCAGGCAGTCCGAGACGCGCAGACCGAGCAGCCACCTCTCACGACGTCTCCCCTCCTACGCGAGCAGCACTGGGGAGTCGCCGAAGGCAAGCCATGGATCATGCACATGGAACAGGGCCTCACCTTGGAGGAGCACTTCGCGCGCGGCCTTTACCCGGTGCTACAGTCCCGCTCACAAAAGTTCCCGGAGGGCGAAAGTCTGGACGACCTCGCTGCGCGCGCAAAGAAGGCTGTCGACGAGTTGTTGATGTCCTACATCTGGCAGGCGGCAAGGGCGGGAGACAAGGGCCTCCACATCGCTATTGTGAGCCATGGACTCTGCATAAGCGAGCTTATCCCGGCACTGCTCGTCAAAGACGAGAGTGGGGTACATCCGGGCCACCGATACAAGGGTCTTCTGAACACAGCTTGGACGAGGGTCACGGTGAACGTCAAGGCAAGTGGGTTCTCTGTGTGCCGGACCCGCAACGTGACGCGCATCCAGGGCGCAATGGAGGGTGTGCCGATGGACTTCCCGGATAACCGGCCTCCTCCACTCGAAATCAAAGTAACAGACTTCAATCGGCATGAACACTTAGACAGTGTGGTGAGCGGTTTTACATCTATTGTGACTGTAACCTGTCGGCTGAAGACAATCGCCAGACTCGCCAGAAGGGCGGCATTGGGAGCTCGGAGTACGACCCCAACCAGCAGAGTATCCGTGCGTTCTTCGGCGGTGGCGGGAGCGTCCCTGTCGAAGAGGGGCGGGCTGCGAGCAACGCTTATGACGAGACGAACATCAATATCCGGAACAAGTGACCGACGACGACGACGACGAAGCAGGGTTTTGTGGGTATGCGTACAATTACAAGAGTATAGCGCTAGCTTTGTAGAATTAGCCAGGAGGATACCAGGGACGGGGACAACGCACTGTATGAGCCTATGTCTAAACCTGTACCCAATCTCATTCACAACGATCCTATGGGGAGCCGTAGGGCAGGAGCTTCTTCAGCCGGACTGTTTGTGAGTCGTGCGAGTAGGCGGTTTGCGCCAGGCGGTTCTTCCGCGCCATGCTCTTGTTCACGTTCAAATGTTTGTGCCCTGCATGGCCCTGAAGGGTGCCGCAATCAAGCAATGGAATCAGCATAACACCCCGAGCTCGTGCGACGCGCGACGTACGCGCTTGAAGATGCCCGACGCAATTGACCGCCACCGTTTCTTCGCTCCGGAATGGCTCTTGAGCTTGGGGTACGCCGCGGCGGCGGACGTCGAGAACAGGCGTGCTGTCGATAGCACCCGCGAGAAGAGGAACATGCCGTCCACGTCAAGACCGAACCCAAGAGCGTAAGCAGAGCTCGAGACTGTGGTGGTGGCGGGAAGTCGAGGTGCGTGGGGCAGAAAAGGTGGAATATCCGCCACGTGCTCGGCGTGTCTTGGGCGCTCTCCAGCTGAACTCGTACGTCGAGGGCTTCGAGCATCGTGGACATTGACCACAACCACCACAAGCCATGACCAACCCGCAAGACGACGCTGACCGTGTACGAGAATATCATACAGGCTATGGAAGAATATTGTACTGACGGTTCCCCTACAGATTCGCTTGAAGCGATTGGCGAAGCTTCAGTCAGCGAGCCCTTCGCCCGCGGCATCTACATCGACCACCCCGCCGCCGTCGACGCTTCCTCCTGCGCTCGCACCTCCCAAGCCTCGACCGGTGCAACAGTCCGCACCGAAGCGGCCTGCAGAGGCTGCCCCTGCGCAAGTGGCACCAAAGAAGCGACCGCAGGCCGCACCGGCGCACCTCGATCTCCCAGCCTGGGAGGATGAGACCGTGGCCCGGGTGTTCAACGTGACGCTACGGGTATGTGTGATGGTTCTTAGACGGGAGGACGTTACCTGACTGGCTGTGCAGAAAGATGTCGCGGAGCAGAGTGGGTGGGAGGTCGTGTGGCTGAAGCATCTCGCTGCAGAGCTCGAGTCTGAAGGTGTGATCGTAGCGGACGTGTTACTGGCGAGTCATGCTCATGGGTTGACTCGACAGGCATGCAACAACCCATCCGCCTAAGTGGAGACATCGTAGACCGTCTGCTTATATCGCGCCTGGAACTGGACCCGCAGTCCATGTCGTAAGTAAAATGAATCTCTAAGCAAACCCGCGCGCTGAGAGAATGTAGGGACGACCTGGAGTATCTTGCAGTCATCGCTTCTCTCCCACCCCAACAGACGGTCTTCGAGTACCTTGTCGGCTGCTGGAAGCGCTTGAATGCCAGCCGATCTGCTTTCCTGAAGAAGGTAGACAGTCACGTCTGTGCTCCGCCTATACCAATTCTCACTTCCGAACAGAATTACACTCCAGTGCAATCGCAACAAGTCATCGACATTCTTGAGAAGTTGCGCGATTTGATCATCAGCTACGCCGGCTTGACGTTGCAAGAGCCGGAAATGTTCCCCCAACCAACTGGGTATGTTGCCGCAGAAGTGGCAACAAACAGGCACTCATCTACGCTGTTGACAGTAAACCGCTTGGCCCGTCAGAGCTTGTCGCACCGCTCCTCTCCCTCTCTGCACTCAGCGGCCCCCTTCTCTCCTCTTCCGCTACCTCCACTGACACGCTCGGCCCATCGGAAGTCGATCCTTTCCTTCAAGACCTAGTCAAACGCTTCGAACCCGACAACGAGATTGACGGTGTTTTGGAGCCTGTCGTCAACCAGCTCTGCTTCCATGAGTCGCTATTCCGGCCGGAGGGCCTCGGGGGCGGCGACGGCAGCTGGCGCGCGGTCATCAGCGGGCTAGAGGCTCTAGTGAATATCAAGAGCATCGCGGTCATGATCACGCGGCTGCAGTTCTGGAACCCGGAGGCGACGCCGCCGACGTTTGAGCGAGTCAGTCTGTTGGGCCCGCTCCTTCGGTTGGGTGTGTTCGACAAAGAATGGGTAAGTGAAGTTTGAAGGCCGGAGCAGGGAATGAGGCTGAATATTCCCCAGCCGACCATCGCGAACACGTACTACTCGAAGTCGAAAGACCGGTCGCAGGCTGACATCGCGTCCTCAACTGCCAGTCTGAGAGGAACTCTGAAGAGTCTGCAGTCTTCTCTATTCAACATATTCAACGCGCTCGTTCGTGCATCTCCCGATTCACGAGAAGCTGTGCTGCAGTACTTTGCGCGAGTCGTTGCATTGAACGTGAGGCGAGCTGGAATGCAGGTGGGTCCTTGTGGGTGTACTCAACAACGTCCCGGACCTGACGTACGTATATGTGGCTTAGGTTGATCCAGATACTGTTGCATCCGACTGCTTCATGGTCAATCTGCAGGCCATCATGCTACGCTTCTGTGACCCGTTCATGGACGCGAATTACACCAAGGTGAGCTCGTTCGAATCCGCTCGTGGTCGAGAAACTGATGATAAGAAGATCGACCGCATCGATACAGCATACTACGCGCATTCGTCTCGCATTGATCTGAAAGAAGAGACTCGTATCAACGCTGCGAGCGAGGAGTCGGAGCAGTGGCGACAGAAGAACGAGGCTACTGCGACTCCGCCGACCTTCATCTCAGATATCTTTTACCTCACCCTTGCGGTTAATCACTACGGGTACCAGAAGACGATATCTACATTTGAGGACTTGGCGAGGCAGTACGACGAGATGAACCGGCACTTGGAGATGCTCGAAGGAGATGGGAGCTGGCGAGGAGTAAGCTCTTATGCACAAATCCTGGACGTTGAACTGACGAGCACTCCAGAGTCCTCTTCAAGCTCGCGTCGAGCATAGCCTCAATGCTGTCAAGACTGAGATGGACAAGGTCATGGCCTCGCAGCTCGCATATACAGTACAACTGTCAGATCCGGAGTTGGTCTTCCGTTCGATCAGCTTCACGAACTTCGTTTCAACATGGCTCATTCGGCATGTTGACCCGAGGCACACACATCCGAACCCTCCTGTAGAGTGCGTGTTCAGCATTGTGCTTGATAAGCTCAGCTTGACGTCTTTCTTGTAGGCTGCCTTTGCCGCGGGAGGTGCCGGAGTCGTTTAGAGTGCTGCCGGAGTACATCATCGAAGACATTGTGGATTACCATCTGTTCGTTGTTCGGCAGAGCCCCGATAGCCTAGAGCTGTCTGGCAAGAACGAACTCTTGATATGGGCGTTGACATTCTTGACATCAACGTGGTACATCAAAAATCCGTTCTTGAAGTCCAAGCTGGTGGAGGTGCGTATCATCTCTGCGGGTGATTTGTTTTCATGAGGCTAAGAAGTTCGCAGGCTCTCTTTTATGCTACGCTCAACTGGGGCAATCAGCGAAGCGTACTTGCCATGACAATGAACACCCATCCTATGGCGCTCAAGTATCTCGTTCCTGCGCTGACCAATTTCTATATTGGTGAGCATCGTCTGTAAGTCGGTGATCATATCAGGCTAATGACTTTCCAGAGGTCGAGCAAACCGGCGCAAGCTCGCAGTTCTACGACAAATTTAGTGAGTGCCGTCCATGATGATTGAAGCAAAATACTGACCATCTTGCTTCGTCAGACTCGAGGTGCGTTACATTACTCCAGGGTGGCGTTTCTGAGCCTTAACGGCATCATAATCAGGCGGAACATTGCTTACCTCTTCAAAGCCATCTGGAACAACCCAACACACCGCGAGGCCTTGAAAAAGGAAACACGCACGAACATGGAGAAGTTCGTGCGCTTCGTCAACCTCATGATCAACGACGTGACGTACCTCATGGACGAGTCGCTGAGCGATCTGGCTAAGATCCATGAGATCCAGACGGAAATGGAGGACACAGAGACCTTCAACGCACAGCCCGCGCAGCACCGCCGCGAGCGGGAGAGTGCGCTTCGTACGCTTGAACGGCATACGTCCGGCTACGTGCAGCTGGGCAGGTCGACAGTCGAGATGCTGAAGGCGTTCACGGGAGAGGTCAAGGAGCCGTTCATGGTCCCTGAGATTGTCGACCGTCTCGCGGCCATGCTTGATTATAACCTCGACGCTCTCGCCGGTCCGAGATGTCAGAACTTGGTCGTCAAGAACCCAGAGAAGTACAAGTTCAACCCGAAGCAGCTCCTCAGCGATATCATCGACGTGTACCTCAACCTCAGTGACCAGGGCGAGTTCGTGAGGGCTGTAGCGGCGGACGGACGTAGCTACCGGAAGGAGCTCTTCGAGCGCACGGCGGGTATCGCCAAGAGGCGTGTGCTCAAGAGCGACACGGAGATCGAGAAGCTGCTCATGTTCGTCGTCAAAGTCGAGGAGAAGAAGGCCACACTAGAGGCAGAAGAGGATCTGGGAGAAGTCCCGGAGGAGTTCTTGGGTGAGTGGTCGCCTTGTTGATGCGTCTCGATATATGTCCTCAGCAGGTCCCACCAGACCCATTGATGTACACCGTCATGCGCGATCCCGTTACGCTGCCGTCATCTCGGGTGGTCGTCGATCGTTCGACCATCAAGTCACACTTACTGTCCGACGCCAAGGATCCTTTCAACCGAGTGCCTCTTGTCTTAGAGGACGTCATTTCAAGTGAGTCATATACTCGTTTCTACTTTGTGGTGTACTAATTAATCGATTGTCATGTAGATCTGGAGCTTAAGCAACGCATAGATGCATTCCTGTCCGACAGGCGTAACAAGCACACTGCGCTCGATAAGCCGGTAGAAGAGATTGTGAAAATGGACGAGACCGCTTGATCAGTAATTGTAGCATAGCGAAGCATTGTAGGATACCATGCAAGATTGTATGTAAAGAGACAGGTGAGGATATAAACACGGACGATTGATCTTGGCACACTAGAGTGTGATTTGCGAAACTGTCGGTACAAACGCCGTGATACGTGTAGACTCCGCCACGCTTTTCAAGCATCAGGTATCAGAAGGGGATTGGCAAACTGTTTCGGCATTTTATGGGGGGTTGTTCCTTGCTTGTGCGGGCACGATGTACACAGCTCTGACTCGGACTGCATGGCTAACTTCAGAGTAGTCAATCTAGTTCCCATGATTCTCGGTGCACGAGATGTTGACTACCTCCAACCCAGTGAACGATATTTTTTGACAAATTTTCCGTGTACATAGGATGTTCTTACAGAGTCCCAGATGCTCACCCTAAACAATTGAAGTAGAGAAGGACCCATAGGCCCGCATCGACCCTAGGCTCCTTAGGTGGCCGAGATCCCGGCCGGCGTTAGTACCCGCGAAGCTGCGTGTGCGCTCACGTCGAACTTGCCGAAACACAGCTCGATGCGCCGTCTGTCGCACTTCCTGACGAGATGGTGGAAGTCGTGGTGGTGCGAGACGTGCGCCGCCGTGCACGTCAGCGTGCGGAGCTCGGGCAGCGTGTCGAGGCTGGTCAGCGTCGTGTCCGCGAGCTCGTCGATGCACAGATGCTCGAGGGACGCCGGGAGCTCGGAGGGCCAGTTGAGCGATTGGTAGAGGACGAGCTCCTCCAGGGCGACGCACGCCTTGACGAGCGCGTCCATCTCCGGGCGCCCGATGTGCAACCGTAGCGAACTCAGCCGCGGAGCGTACTCTATGAACAGGGCGAGGTAGTCGTCGTTCAGGACGGGGACGTGTAAGTCCAGGATTTGGAGTGTGGCGCGAGAGGACGAGAGGAGCCAGCGTAGGGCTTCGAGGGCGGGCAGGTAGCGCAGAGAGAGCTCGTATAGCTTAACGGGCGCAACGCCGGAGGGGGCCGGGGCCCGGGGTACCTCGCCAGGCGGAGGAACCGGACAGTAGGGAACACGTCCAGGAGCTGGTACAGTACTGCTGGGGCGTCGCTCTGGCCCTCCAGCGAGAGCGCTCGCAGGGGCTGACGTCCAGGCGTAGCTACGAGCGCTTGGAGCTGTTGGATGTATTTCGTCGAGATCGAGCCCTTCTCCATGACGAAGAGGGAGAGCCGGTAGAGGCGCGGGAATTGGTACAGCAATGCCACCAACGTGGACGGGCGCCAGACGTGCATGTAAGGCCCCGCCATTTGCGTGCTGTTGACGTCGAGCATGAAGTCGAGGTTGCGGACGTACGCCCCCAGACGCATGCTGACTCCGGAGGCAGCGTGCCCAGAGAGAAGATGCCGATGAATGGCAGCTCTTTTGAAGCTCGGCCTTGCGAAAGCCGGTGAGGCTAACGGAATGGAAAGAAGCTGCTGGGCAGGCCTCACCCAGGCTCTCGAGACGTAGCAGCAATTGTGTACAGTCTTCCGGTCGACGCTATCGACCCGCGCGTAATAGGCCTGTTCGAGGATATGATATATGAGCTCCGGTGGGATGTCAACGAATGGCATTGTGGCTCAAAGTTTGCGCTTGCAGAGCCGGCACTATGAGGAACAGGGATGTCAGTAACCATTGTTGTTGGTCAGAGGAGTCTGAGTGGTTACCTGTCGCTGGCGGTTGTGAACTATGTACTGGATTAGTACTCAATCACCGTGGGTCGTGCTTCTGTGATGAACTCGATTGTGGCCGCCTACTAAGATCTGGGCTAATCATCCGAGGACAGATGAGCTACATGTCGTGAGAGCGTTGAACAGAACGGTTAATACTGATCGCGGAGCACCGCACGGCTGTTATGTGACCTACCTCGCCTCAGAAACCGGCCACGTATGTACAGCCTGAGCTGGTGAAGGTGAGTGGCACGCTCGAAGAGCATAACAATAGTAGTGGTTTCTGTGACTTTAAGGCCAAACGAGGACTGGTCTCGTGTCATGATCAGTCAGCAGGCTGCAGATATCGGGCGTCCTGATCGTCTGATAGGACGTAGAAAGGTAAATGGTTTCATTCTCAAGCCAAGCCCAGGCTAGGCGAACTTATCAGTACGTCGAAACCCTCTGTACCGATATTTACTTGATCACTTACGCAGGCATTGTGCACAGCTGCATGGCATATGCATGCGAACTAAGTATGCATGTAAGGTTCTGTTTCCCTGGGGAAGGGCCAAATGGAATGCATATGATAGCCGCCGCCGTCGGTGGCAACGTCTACTAGAGGGTATACAAGAAAGGTCAAATGGCCTAGACTTGACAACGATTCTTGCTGAGGCAGCTTTCGGTCATGAGTGGTCTGGTCTAGCTTGATTGACCTGAACATTTGTACCTACCGCGCGAGACATCACACGGTTCTCAGTACTAACGTACTGCGATCGCTTTCACTCACCACATTATATAGCAAACTTATCGGATTTATGCCATGAAGGCGCTCTTTGTGTGGTGGGCAGGTACAAGGAGCGCGATGGACGTGCAAATACAAGCGAGACTGTTGCACTCGACGCACTGGCATGTTCAAGTCGCATATCGGCCATTCGCGAGACCAGCTCGACTCAGGCGTCGAACGGAGTCACACGAGCCGCACATTGGCAGTGGACTTTCACGCCAGACGATGCCTAGCTGTAGAGGCCATTAAGTACTTATGGTCGTACAAAGAGAACGGATATTCTTGACGGAGAACTCGCCTTCAAGAACGCGCAGAGTGATATGAGGGCGGCGCAAAACGGAAGCAAGGTCCAAATGGGCAACGCTCGTCGCGCTGCTCCGAACGGCCGATTGGGGCGACGGACAGCCTTCACGTCCATATCTCCCCTCCTGCATCCACCACCCACTGACCTTTCTTCTGCCCTCCCGCCGGCATACTCGCTGCCAATGAATTCGTCTCAGCAAGTACAAATAGAGCGCCTGCGAGAACTTGGCATACCAGAAAAGACAGCCAGATTCGCAATCGAGGTAAACCGGCTCAGGACCATGTCGGACGCGTCTTGTTCTCACAAATCACCGACGCAGAGCAAAGGCGGGAACTTGCTGGGAGCTGCAGAATATGTACGTGTTTAGCTAGTCCCGAAGTTCGTCGCACGCAGTTTCGTTTCATCGTTCATTGTCCCCGGGATCTTGGCGACGACCAAGCCATCCCACGTTTCCGTCAATTGCCGTGTGGGCCCTTCTCATCAACCTTGCTCGACTAATTGAACACACAGGCCCTGTCTGGAGAAGCAGCCAACGCCGAGGTGAGCGCTTCGCCAATCCTCCATCTTCCTCTCCTCCTCCATCATGTCCGACGGGCCACCACGAAGACGGAGTTGGATGGGAAATACACCGTGGCAGCCCGCGAGCGGGACGCGCTGCCCACGCCGAGGGAAGGACAAGAGCAGTTGTTCCAACATCAGCTTGGCGCGTCTGTTTCCGCCGCGACCTCGACCACCACGCTCACCACGGCGCTGCCTTTCCAACGCTCCAACTCCCTCTCATCCATCGCGTCTCTCCTGCCATCGCGCCCCGGCACCCCCGTTTCCAAACGCAACTCCGTGAACCAGAGCGCGCTGACTAGGGAAGACCCGATTCACAGAATGCACTCAGCCGAAGCACCTCAAGACAGTCCGACGCGGGCAATGTAAAGCCTGCAGAGGCCGTCACGTCGTCGCGGGCGCCGGGCGGCTCGTTCTCGCGCATGTCGCTCAGCTCAATGATGGGCGGCCTCTCCTCGCTTTCGCTCTCGCGCGGCGACGACAAGGAACGCGGCCGTAGCGAGAAGAAAGACAAGACAAGAGCAGCGGCCTAGTAGGGCTCCGTTCGAACTCGTACTCGGGCACGACCGGCGACGCGCAGGACGCTGCGCGTGGCCGCACACGCAGCCAGTCGCCCTTCCGGCTGCGGCGCCTCCGCACGCGCGACAGTTCGCCAAACGTTGAGGCACTGTCGTATTCGGACGCCGAGTCAGACTCGGAAGCGCCCCAGATCCGCCCCCGCAACGCGTTCTCGCTTGGCGTGACGTCCGACGACGAGGACGCGGATGACTCTGAGGAGGAAGACGACTCAGAGGAGGAGTGGAGTGGCGAGGAGAAGGACCAATTCGACCCGGTCACTGAGCGAAATACGGAGCGCAACGCGCTCATCTCTGGGGACCTCGCGGATCAGGACGTCGTCGACGTGCCCGACCCGCTTGGGGAGGGCGTGAATGTCGTCGTGCCGCCGGAGCCGTATTTCCCCTCCACCCTTAACCACAGCGCGCACAATCCTCGCCGCAGGAAGTCCATGCGACCGGACCCTCTGCCGCTCGATACGTCCCGTCCTGTTTCCAACGCGACCGATGCACCATCACGATCACTCATGGAGACCCTGCTCGTGTGCTCAGGGAGACGGGCAGGAGGAACAAGCGGTATGTCCTCGCGAGTGACCTGAGTGACGAGAGTCGATATGCACTTGAGTGGGGGGTTGGCACGGTGTTGCGGGATGGTGATGAGATGTGAGTTCACCTTGACCTATGCGTAACAGCGAGATTTGAACATAATCACAGGCTCATTATCACCGTCATTGAGAACGAGAACAAAAGTAAGCTTCCGTGTTCAGCGTGTATTGTCCATTCATGACACTCGTGTGCCCAGTCGATCCTCCGGTCCCCAACCAGGCTGACCGTGCAGCCAAGCTGCGCGCTCAGCAAGAGGTGCGTACCGGTAGGCTTCTTTTGCTAGTACCCCTGACGTTATCCTCCGCAGCGTCAAGCGTTGGCGTACATCCTCGTCCGACAAACCGTCAGCCTCCTTCAGCGCACACGACTTCATGTCACAGTGTCATGTCAAGCGTGGCACGCGAAGAACCGGAGGCACATGATTTTGGGTGAGTGCGCTATTTCGTTCACAGATGTCAAAGAAGATGTGAACGTGCATGGCATGCAGATATTGTGGACTACGTCGAGCCCGCGATGTGATCGTTGGTTCTCGCGGTCTGGGCCATCTGAAAGGGTAAGCTGGCTCCGTCGCCCACACGCAGTGGTTCTCATCGCCCTCGTAGAATTCTGCTCGGGTCTACATCCCACTACCTCGTTCAGGTAAGCACCATGTACAACGTCGCCACACTGGTTTCTCACTACGTTGCCACAGAAATGCTCAGTACCCGTCATGGTCGCGCGTAGGAGACTGAAGCGTCCTCCTCGCCGCTCTGCCCACCTCGCTCCCCACCGTGCCCGCGTGTCACTCGCCCAGGCCGCCGGCGTCGACCGAATGGCGCCAAAGGTCGATCAGGATGTCGCCGACATGCGTGATCAGATGCAACGAGAGGAGGAAAACGCGAAGGATACTCCCCCGCACCCGGAAGCAGACGACGACCCTGATACGGAGGCGGAGGGAGTGGAGGACGCGCTTGGCCGGAAGGTTGCTGGCAATTAGACTGTGAATGGCTACCACGTAGCTGTGTGAAGGTTTGTATCACAAGTAGGATACGGCGGACAGTGGGCGGACTCAGAAGACGTAGGCATTGTGTGTCCTTAGAATATATTCAGGCGTAGATTATTGAGTTTGTGGTGGCTGTTTCGTGTACATTCGCATGCGAGAATGCATTACATGTATTATGTGCTAATAGGAGAAGTGGTGTGCTACCCTGGCGGTTGTGCTGAGCCTCTATGATCAGTGGATATGGCCTGTATCTAGGAAAGTCCTATGTGCTCGGATTCTAGTGTGCCACTGACGGCGAATGAACCAGGATGTCATGACGATGATTCATCGGGTACGCTTTCTGCGCGCCGCTGGGTGCCACTGCCCGGTCCCACCTTGACTTCTGCACCAGCAAGCGCGTCTACCTTGGGCACGGACGCCAAAGGGTCGAGATGACTGAGGTCAATGTCCTCACGTCGCTCCAAGCGCTCGGTGATACTGAGGTTGAACTTGAACAGGCTGAGCTGCGTGTCAAACGCAGCGCGGCGCAGCTTGAGGATTTGCTCCTGAGGGAGGGTGCTTTTTCTGACCGAGTACGAAACAGTCCCTGGAGGCGTCCGGTGAGCAGTGGTTCGAATGAGCGGAGGGCAAACGGCTTACAGCCACCTCGTTTCGAGGCGACGGCCTCGGCGCCGCTGATCTTGGTGCCGCCCAGGTAGTGCTGCACTCGGACGTCGAGCTGCACGACGGGCTTCTCGCCGCCCTTCTTCCACTCCGCGGGCTCGATCCAGATGCGCATGACGCTGGCGTCGGAGACCGTCTCCCAGGTGCAGTTCACGCTCTGCCCAGCTTCTCGTAAGTCTCCTCGGTCATGAGACGAGACGCACGACACGGACCTTGTTAGGGAAATGGGTGACGATCTCTGTGAACAGAATCTCCAGGAGGCCGACGCATTTCGAAAACACGCGGTCGCCATGGGTGTGGCCGAAGAGTCGCATGTCCATCTCTTCGAGCGGGATGTATTGGAACCCAAAGATCTCCCGTATGTTGTGGTAGGCGACGAAGACACCATCCATTGCACCTATCCGGGCCTGGAAGCTACAGGCAGGTTAGCGCGTTGAGCCTGGCGGAGCGCCTTGCAGACGTACCTGTACTTCAGGAAGGCAGAACGAATCAGGTCGTAGTACTCCTTCTCGAAGCTCATCCATGAGCCTTGGATACTTCTGATCTGGTAGTCGCTGTTGTCCTATACCTTCGTGTGAGACCAAGTACTATGTCTCTATATGCTGGTCTGAATTTACCCTGTACCTCTCGAGGTCGTAGCGGATGGGCACCGCTGCACGGGTCTTGATGTCAAAGACGCCAGTACCGGGAAGGACCGGGGAATAACAATCCAGCTGTGCGCGCATCATGAAATTGTTATGCTGGAATAGGCGTATGAGATTGAGCATTGGGAAGTAGAGATCGCAGAGTGGACCGCACATACAATCGCATAACGATATACCTCTTCTTGAGAGCGCTTGATCAAGGGTGTCGGGCTTGTTTCATGAAATGTCTCTTGAAGTTCCTGAGCCGCACTGTGAAGAATCTCTCCATCACAAGACCCTAGAAATGTGCGCATTCAGTACATTTCGCATTCAGGTTCCAGAAGCCTTAGCTCACCAACTGGCTCAAAATGGTTTCTGTCGAACCCAACTGGGCTAGGTGATCGGCATCGGAGTCAGTTGCATAAACACCATTTTTATATCGAAGAGAGACGGAGATCGGCATTCGTTGTCCAGGCGTGAATGTATTGGCCTGTAGCCAGGACATCTAGTAAGTACATGATTGTAGAGAGGGCCAACTTTGCCCACCTCACGCTGGTAATGAGCACTGAGCGATGACAAATCAACGGGCTTGTTTTCGCAGAGCAATAGGTATATCTGGCTGAGCATTCCAGTCAACGAGGAAGTGGATCCGGCGAAACGGCAGTTGTGCTTCTTCGCCAAACTCAGTAAGTCCTAGATGAAAGGCATGCGGTCAGCAACATGGGACTACGAGCTTATATCTGGATAGCTCATACATTGTCACGAGAGCTAGGTACGAAACCTTTCAGTCGTTCGAAGGCGAATTCCGAGGTACTTGGCATTTCTTTGAGGTAGCTCGGAAAGTTGTCCACCTTCGTACGAGGCTCGGTAAGCCAGTGCACACCAGGGCTGCCATATGATTGAAAATTCATAAAGAAAGCTGCAGCAATAGGGCGGAAATCACTTAGTGAGGACTCGCGCAAGGCCGTGCTGCAGAATCGGGGGCTGTAAATACTCCTTTCGCTCTGGAACGGGCACATCTTGATTGATACATGAGCGACGATACGACGCAGAAACGCGGAGGTAGACACAATATACCTTGAAGTTTGATGGCGTCGAATGGAGAAAGTAAGCCATGCACTCGATGTCCCTGTTTTCGGGGAGTGCCCTTTGCACGAGCATGCGGAACTAATCTTGGAACAGGGCCGCGGGCCTCCTTCACCTTTTGACGGCGGCGCAGTTTATTGGATAGTGTCCTCTTGGTAGGCTCAACCGACGGGGCGGGCAGTTTAACATGCAGAGGGCCATAGCTGGTGTCACGGTCTTCAGAAGGGTCGTCCTTGAATTCGACACGTGGCTCATCCTCGGCGTGATGACCAGGAGTTCGGTATTTCCTGAGCAAAGGCAGGGTGGCATGGATCAATACCTCTGTCAGAAACTATGGTGTGGCATACGCACGGGAGAACTGCCCGACGATCCTGATGCTATGGGTGCGCTCTCATCTCCGCCATCGCTCCCCACGTTTGTGTTACTCGCGTGACTTTGTGTTGCGACAGACACAGTACGGTGTGTAGTAATCAAATTGAGATGTCGGAGAGGCTTCAGGGGAGCATAACGCACACGAAGCATAGAAGTGGTGTATAGAGACTGGCCTTCTGCCTCTGGTCACACAACGGGAATGTGAGGACAGCTATCCCGGGAAGCACAGCGAGACTCGGAGGGACAGACAGAGGCAGACCAGAGACCTCAAAGCTTAAGTTGAAGTTTGGACGCGTCCCAGTAGTAGGCCCTCCAGAGTCACCGTTCAATTCTTCAAGCTGTCCTTCGGGATTTGCGCCACAGCACTGCGTCACATGATAAGCTCTGAACGTCAGTACCGCGGGCGGACGTTTGCCACTTGCCAGTTGCCGACTGTGCAGCTCAAATTCATAGCTCTCCTCGTCGCGCGATTGCTATGCAGGCCATCTCCAGCGTCACCAACGAGCCACCTTTGCAGCCGCTGTGTATAATTTCTTCTAGGAAACAGGCCGTTAACAAGTCCGGGGCTACAGAGGTGTTTTTAAGCCTCGCAGGTACTTACGTCTAATAGCAATGATACTGGTGACACAGTGCACTAATTCCTCCACGTAGAGGCCGATGAAATCGAGGAGAATCTTGATGTCTTCGTATGTATAACATATTACATCATCCTTCGTTTAGGTCGTTGCAGTTGTCTCAAGGCTATTGATGTAGGTTTGTGTATACTGTCGCGAACCGCCAGGCATGGATCATGGGGTGATGCTTACTTGCACGTCGTGTGGTGCCATGGCATGTTATGGGCAGGACGGAGACTGCATTCAGCCAAAAGCTGATGTAGCTTTTGACCCTAGTGCCTTTGTGTGCCCGGTTTGCATGCAACGCAGCGGACGGCGGTGGAATGTAAGTAGGTCAATAACGTCCTATGATTGTGCTATGTACTTAATCATCTCATGGCACAGTACATTGCGTCAGACATCGTGAAGCATCTCATAAACCCTGCTGTCTCGGTGAACCCGGTCTTGCTCGTTACCGCGTTCTTCGATCGTCCGGGCTACTTCGGCCCTCTCCTCTCCACCCAAATGCACGCGGAGTATGATTTGGTGCCCTACCTGGTATGTCCATGTTCTGGCTGCGTCTCGTGTGGCCCACCGTAATTTCTGTACTAGATCAACCACGTCGATGTCCATCTTACAGTAGAGGGTACTGGCCGCCGCCTGGCAACGTCGACTAAGCAGGCGCGAGAGTGGTTGAAGAGCCAAGAGTGTCTTAATCCTGCAATGCTGCTGGTCATCGAAGCACACAGTGACCCCCTAACAGGCCACCTCTCTTATCGCCGGAATAAACAGCAGAAGTCCTTGGTAGCAAGTGCACGTGAAGTGTGTTTCGTTCCATGCTGTGTGCACCAGTCCAGTTGACTCACGTCATGCAGGTGGCGAGCATGCTGCTCAGTGATATCTACAATGACTTGCCTCGGATGTCAGGGCTGCGTGGGCTTGTACTCGTCGCGTGTGGTTTTACTGTCACCAATCAAAGCATGAACAGGTTTTAAAGCAACTGGTCTATGAGTACGTATCACTAATCATGCTCTGGTGAATCTACTCATCGCATCGTGCAGAAAGCGCTTCAACTTCATCGTTGGTTTTGTTGCAAGTGGTGTCGTGCCACCCATGGTCGGCATCCCTCTGCTGACGTGCATTTGTGCTTTGTATCTGAAGCACAAGCAAATCCTCGATGCAGTTGTTCAAGCTTTCGGTGCCGACTCCAACTGTCTCAAGACGGTGGGTGTGCACCTCACATATCATGACCTGGTGGGCAAGATCCAGCAGCATGCATATGTGCGGGGTAACATGGGTCGTGCATGGGGCATCATGTTCCAATGCCCGAATATCGAGTGTTCGGGATGTTCTGCAGACGTGCGGCCCCGCAAACATAAAACTCACGACACCTACCGGTTCCGGTGCGATGCGTGTCACTACAGAACCAAAGAGTACATTGGTATGCCTGCTTGGATTGAGCTAGTTGGCACGGAGCCGCCAGTGTACCGTTATCCACTCTTAGTCAATGGTGAGGAAGCCACCCGGTACTTCATTGGCAAGCTTGAATTGGTGGAGTGGGAGAAGGTGGAGGATCGCGAAGCATAGACCGTACTGTTCGGACGGACGAGCCTAGTCCGTTTCTTAGACTAGTGTTATGTGGAGTTCTAAATGGGAACATTGTCTACAATTTGCTCAGGCGAAATGTACGCCGCCGTCGACAGGCCCGGGTATGAATGACGGGCCAAAGGTAGCTATTGGTGCCAGTGCCGCACACGAAAACTCGCGGACGATGTGGTGCCCATGCTATGCACGTGATTAGACGCGTCCCCGCTGCGCCGGCGCTCGAGAATCGAGACGACTGCCGCTTGGACGCGGAAGGCTAAGATCCACACAGCCAGTGTCATTGTCGGGCAATCGCAGCCGTGTTTGACTTACACCTCCATCTCCCAGTCGTGCGACACATTTCTGGCCCGGAATCATGGCCTCCTTCTTTACCTCTCTGTTTCAGTGGTTCAGCGGGCAAGTCGGGTCCCGCCAGTATGATACCGACGGCTGACTCTAGTTGTTACGGTCGCACCTAATCAGGCTATTCTTCTCCAAGCAGGCTGAGATATCAGTCGTCGGGCTGCAGGTATGCCAGGTGTTCTGCGTAAAGGCCGTCTCACTGACCGCTGTGCACAAGGCGTCCGGAAAGACTTCCTTCGTGAACGTCATAGGTTCCGGCCAGGTGAGTTCTCTGAGCGCTAGCTTCTCCCTGAACGATGCATGCTGAGCAGGCGTGTCCTGCATATCGCTCAGTGGAGCGAAGAAGTCGTTCCGACTGTTGCCTTTAATTTCCGGAAGGTCCGTCGAGGCAACATTACTCTCAAGATATGGGATGTTGCAGGTGCGCACTCATCCGTGCATCTATTAACGAAGCAGTCGAGACTGATGCAGCTGCTGCCCGTCAGGCCAGCCAAGATACAGGTCAATATGGGAGCGCTATTGTAACGGCGTTGATGCTATCATGTATGTCCATGGTGATATCGCCGTCTTGATGTGCTAACCAGAGTATACAGTTTCGTGGTTGACTCTTCCGACGTGCGTATCACTCGATGTTCCGAATGTCGCCCCCTCACTGCCGCCCACAGAAGGAGAAGTTCGACACTGCTCGATTCGAGCTGCACCAGCTGCTGTCCCAACCCAGCCTCAACGGTGTTCCGTTACTAGTCGTGAGTAGTATCTGTAATGCTCGGGGCCGCTCTCTCACCCGAGTCACCGCAGCTCGGGAACAAGAACGACATCGAGGGTCACGCTCCTGTGAACGAGCTGATCAAGGCGCTGTACGCATGTCTGGGCTGTTACTTTGTGATCGGACGGGCTAACCGTGCGTATAGGCAACTAGACAAGATTCAAAACAGACCTGTATCTGTACGTGCTCTCTCATATGTCAGGCGCTCAAGGAGATACTCATAAACTTCTCAATGACATCAGTGCTATTCGGTACGCGCAGCTTCTCTTCTCATGATCTTCGCACCTTCTCACGTTTACGGCAGTGCTCGATGAAAAGCCAGCACAACCTGTGAGTCCTGTTGTCATCTGCTCCGCCGTTTGCTAATATCAGCCATAGAGATATTGTTCTACAATGGCTAGCGGGGCGCAGCCATTGATCCTATCTTGTATAGTAGTGCGCCAGAGGGACATTGTATCTCACATACGGGTGTACAACATCATGACTTACTCTCACTCACGACCCGCTCACGTAACCCTCATGACTCCCCATTCGATGAGACGTCTCATAGAAGCAATACATACTAACAACCAACGCAGCCCTTAATCCGTATCCATCCGGTCACCACCATCCTCCTGTCTCGCTTGCTCCTGAATCGCATTCAAGAACGCCTCAACCCCAGTTCCCGCCTCCTCCGGCAGACCTAGCCCCCTCACGAGCCCACCGAGCAAGCCCGTCCTCAGCGCCTGGTCGAAGCTCCGCACAGCACCCCGGAACTGCGGCGACGCTATGATCTGCCGCAGCGTCTCCTCGTTCGGCGGCGTCGGCAGGTCGGGTGGCAGGTACGGGAAGAGCGCCTGGACGAGCTCGGGGTGGGAGCTAAAGAGCGGAGTGAGATTGGCGGGGTCAGGATGTCTACAAGGGAGAGTTCTGGGCGGAGTGGCGTCGGTCAGCGTCGAGGGAGAGGTTCTGGGCTGACGAACCTGGCTGTTGTTGTTGCGCGCCTTGTGCGGCGAAGGATGCGAGGATCTGCTGCATCTGCGCCAGTTGCTCCGGTGTCGCCTGTGCACCAGAAGTAGCCTGCGATCTGAGGCTACTGTTAGACGCGTCATGCTTGGTCGAACTGAATGCTGAACACGTACGTCGAAGCAGCTTGTGACGAGCCCGCGGCAGGGGCGGAGGATGTCGATGCTTGCGGCTCAGAGCTCGCACCCGGTGCGGACCAAATTGGGACCATCTGAGGGTCAGTCAAGAGTCGATTGACGTTGCTCACGAACTCGGCATCTCTGCTCGAGTCTGCGTCCTGTTCCGATGTCAGGTCATGGCACTGCGCTGTATTTAGCTGTGAACTACCTGCATCCAGAACTACACATCATGAGAATGGCGCAGCCAACTTGCTGAATGGGAGACTCACAAATGTCTTTGGTTCGAGGACGAGAATTTGAGGACATACGTCCGCCCCCATGCTGACTGGTCCACCTTTACCAGCGTCGCTTCGCCAGGGAACAGAATCAAGTCCTACATTAGACAATGCCCACTCAGTCACAGACCAGACACCTCGTGTTGTAGGCACGTACCTCCTCGATATCATTCGTCGACCTGTCCTTCCACATGAAATGCAGCAAGCCGTCTTCGCCATTCTGCAGTATGATCGCGCCCTTCGTCGGCTCCACGTCGACAAAGTTGGTGTTCTCGCGCCGGAAGCACCGGCCAGCCTTGAACGCAATGCGCGGGTCGGCCATATTCACTTTGAGAGAGTTAGAACCTTGAGCAGCGAGGGAACCTTGAAGGCGAGCGCGAACCTGCGATCGGAAGCGCCTGGACCGGGACGCGTCACCTCCGCGCTCGGTCACGCGTCTGTCACACATGGATCTGAGATGCATGATCTGTTCGAGGACAGATCGGGTAAGTCGGGTTGTTCGAATGCGTCCACTGAGGAAATGCAGCGTCGCTTGTTGCATGGATTCAATAAATATATATGACGAGTACAATTAACCAGTGTATGTATGCTACTAAGTAGCTGATGATGCGTTACAAGCGAAGCCTTTGGTAGAAGCGAAGAAGTGGAAGTAACTCGATAATCAAACACTAATTATCGCGGAACATGTCGATGAACATCTTGAATCGTCGATACGTTGAGGATCAGCTTTTCAGCAGACAGCCGGAAGATGTCTGGCAACGAGACTCGATCAGCTTCGAATACGACGGTACGCAGCGAGCTGTGTGCTTACAGGGTTGCTCCTGGGGGACTTGGCGTACCAGACGTCTTCTCCAGTCTCGGACACGTCGACCGCGAGCGTGGCACCATCTTGTAACATGAGCTTGTACGATTGCAAGCCGCACGAAGTAGTTCGCATGCACCATCCGATTGAGGCTATGAATCTTGTTTCCGGATTGCCATGACCATCCGAAGAGCCGTTGGAGCCGAGCCGGTTCATTGAGCCAGATCCAGACTTAGCACAGGACACAGGCAGCGAGGTAGGCGGACGTGCTGAGCCGAAGCCAAGGCTAGAGCTAGTATGAGACCCGAAACCAGTATTTGTGACCCCGAGTCGTGACTGTAGACCCGTAGAGAATTTCGAGGGACGCGGAGCGAGCTCGATAGACGGCAATACACTTGCGCTAGATGAAGATGCTCTGGTTGCCATAGTCGCCAGGGTACCATCTTCATCGTCAGGTATCATCGCACCCACAGTTGACGTTTGCGATTGAGCACGACGTCGACCTAGCCCAGTGAGTCCATTCTCCGGATGTGTCTTGACGCCATGTTCATCGAGACTGTCATTGTCGTCCTCAGAGGTCGCCGCACGCTGTAGCATAGTGTCTGCAGCAATTTCTTGTCCCCTGAGCTCTCTTTCCTGAGTCTCCAGCGCTTCACAGAGTCGCAAGAACCTAGCCAGTTGCTCCAGCCCGTCTCGTTCGCCAGGCTCAAGCGCGGCTAGAGTATCCTCCGAGACACAGAGGTAGTTCATCGCCAGCGGAAGCACCTTCCGTATCCATTCGCCCGTGCCCGCCTTGACTTCGGTGTGCGCAGAAGGGATGAAGCGCGCAATCTCGACCGCTTGGCGTCGTCGTCGGAGTGTGATACGCATATGCGGCTCATTGCTCATTGAGGGGTCAGTCGCCTTCAAGCTGTCTGGAAGGGGGCCTCTGCCGAACGTCAGCTCGATGTCGCCTAACGGCTCGTTCGCCATTAGAATGCACTTGTGGTCTGGCTTGTACAGTACCAACTAGAGAGAGGGCATGAGTGGAATCATGGGAGAGAGAATGAATTAGTGTACTTGGGGTATGCGCTGCTTGAGTTGATTTACGAGCCGGTTCGCATCTTCGTAGGCTTTCCTATACGCCTCAGGCAGCCCACTCAGGGCGTAAGTAGCCAAAGGCTCTGCTAAGCAACACGGCGTGCTCAAGTGGGGTGCGCTATAAACATGAATCTACGAGATATCATCAACCCATGGTCGTCCACGGACATCCTTGACGGGAGCGCACGTACCGTGTCACCGTCAGGACTGATCAACAACACTTCATTACCCTTCTTGCCCCGCCGTCTGTCGCCCTCTCGAAAATCGACGAGCAGAGACTTCGACGGGAGGATCACGAGCTGTCCATGGGCAACCTTATGCGTCTGTGGGCTGAGATAGGCCGTGGATATTGTCTCCGATGCAGAGTGAGGAACCGGTGGCGCCACACGCGGTGCTGAGACTGTCCGCCTCTCCTGTCGCGGGATAGGCGCTTTGGATGTCACGACAGCAGTGGACGGGGTTCTTGACCGCTGCCCTATCGACGGAGCGCCAGATCCCACGGCAGTGCGCTCCTGCGACGACTGAGATCCGATACGAGCCTTGTGCGTCGGATGCGGGACGTTGTGGCCCTCGACAGACTGCGGACGGGAGAGGAGAGGATGTCCTATTCCCGGAGTCCCAGAGTGTTTTCCGATTACCACTTGTGGTATGTCCTCGTCATACGTTATGTCTTCCCCGGAGGCGACAGACGCAGTGTCGTCAGTCAACGCAGGGGTTGTAGGTATCGAATGTATCCCCAGCTGCCTCGACTGAGATGAAAGGAATCGCAGGGCTTTGGTCCCCACGGAGCTGGATTGCGGTGCAGATGCGAACCGTCTTGCGACGGCAGAAGGCGCAGCGGATTCGCTCAGCTCGTCACTGAGGACCCTCCGTAGATCGCGGTTCCGGGTGTCTGTAAGAGGCGTCCTGCCTATGGCTGGCTCGGGCTGACGATCAGAGAATGTGCCTCTGGAAGGAGGGGCGCCTTTGGAGAGCAACGCAGGATATTTGGATTGCTTTATAGGGCGCGGGGTCATTTCATTCTCTTTGTCAGAGCCTTGCGGCGGAGGTGGGCGAGTGAAAGGTTCCACATTCAAGGTGGGCTCGAAGAATGCATGCGAGAGTATGCGGTGCAAGGGAATGCGACGATTTGGGTCCTGCTCGCAGAGAGACATACATATGAATGCGAATGTCAGAGGACGCCAGACGTACTTTCTGTAACATATGACGGATGAGATCTCTAGCGTCGGGAGAGGAACATGGGGTGCATTAGCCGCAAAGAACGCCTCAATGCGAATCAGGGCTGATGTGCGGAGGTGTGATACGGTGCACTCACCTCAGTAGAAGGGGTACCGGTAAGGCAGGTCAACATCAGGCAGCCGAGAGACCATATGTCAACACTGAAGCCGTGGGAGCTGTGAGAGATAATCTCTCTTCATTATAAACTACATCAGGCGTGAGACCCGAGTTCAAGTAGGGGTAACGTACGGAGCAGTATAAGCGTTTGTTTGACGAAACATTGAAACTGTTGGATTCATAGTTGGTAACCGGACAGCCTGTCCAAAGCACGACAGCTTCTGCAGAGCGACTGTCAACGCAACTAGCATATCAAAATGAACCAATACATACGGCGCGAAGGTCGTCTGTGAGTAGTGTATTGTCCGGATTGATGTCTCCATGCAGGACGCGCTGCTTGCGCAAGTATGTGAGAGCATGCACAAGGCTCTTCACAATTCCTCTCAGTTCTTCCTCAGACAAAACTGATGGGCAGCGTGAACGGAGGAGACTTGACAATGATCCTCGAGGGCAATATTCTAGCACCTGGTACTTGTCCGATGGCGTAGAGAATTCGGAGAAAAGAGTGACGATGCCTGGATGATGGAGTGTTTGGTGCAGAGCGGTGGATTCGTTACGACGATCCTCCGAGGCCTCGTTAAGTTTGGAGTTCGAGGTCTGTGCCGGCATCAGCGTCGTGGTGGAGAAGAGATGGTAATCTGTCGACGCACCTTCTTGAGGGCTACTTGGCGGTTCCGTAGGCGACCGCGTTTGCAAGTTGCGCGATACACCACGGAGGTGGTGCCTCGGGCAATCTCCTCGTGTACCGCATAATTCTGGCGACAAGAGTCAGCAATGTGATTCAAACATGTGAAGTGTACTGACTGAGATGCTGTCCAACTCCTCAGCTGCATGGTCGGAGCTGCAACTACTGGACCTTGAGCGCATTGGCATCTTCTTCGCTAACGAGAAGTCGTAGATGTTAAATAGGTGGGTCTGTAGAAGGAGAGCTGTCCCCGGGAGTCCCTCAATGAGATGAATCGTCGAGTTGCGACTCGGAAGATGGTGGTTCGTCACGACGGGACGAGAGTCGAACTGTGACAATGTCGGTGTCGGTGACAAGGACATTGCCGCGCCGAGAATGCGGGGAAGGTGATCGGATGATCGAGCTTCATACAGACGCGCATCCAACATGGCCTCCAGCAACGACCACTCCCAGGGCCCACGCCTCCTTCGCGCCCAACCACCCCCTCTCCTAGGCACATCGCATAGTCGTCATGTCCAGCGCCGCTGAGACCCTCCCCGTCTTCACCGAGACTTCCGCATACTCGCTCGGCTTCGTGGCGGTCGTCGGCCTCGCCGCGTACTTCTCGTCCAAGAAGTACCTCCCCGCAACCGCAAGCCAGCAAGACAAGTTCACTTGGATATGGCTGGTACGCTCGTGGCAACAACACAGAGGATTGTGTGCTGAATGACCCCAATGAGTAGGCTTTCGACGCTATGATCCACTTCACGTTCGAGGGCTCGTTCCTTTGGCTGTCAACTTTCGGGCGCCAGGTTAACACCAGCGAGGGTCCCTTCGCGGAGCTATGTGCGACTTCCGCTTGTGCCTCTAGCATGAATGTCTTGTTAACAACGTGCACAGGGAAGGAATATACCAGGGCTGACGCTCGCTGGGGCTTCTCGGACCCGACAGTCGTCTCACTCGAGATTCTGACAGTGCTCGGTGCCGGCCCGCTATGCTGCTACATCCTCACGCAGCTCGCCCGGAACGATCCCGCCCGACACTATTGGATTGTCGTCCTCAGTACCGCGGAGCTCTACGGAGGGCAAGTCTCATCTGATCGCGAAGCAGAGTTCAGTCCGAGTTGATCCCTTCTCCAGGTGGATGACATTCTGTCCAGAATGGCTCACCGGGAATCAGTACCTGAACACCGACAACATCCTTCATTTCTGGGTCTACCTCGTCGTGCGTACCTTTCTGTCACCGTTCTTTGTGAGGAACGCATACTAACAAGCTGCGTCACTCACACAGTTCATGAATGTTATGTGAGTTGCCTGGAAACACTACCCAATGGTGGTTTGCTGATGATACCGCACAGCTGGGTGGTCATCCCCGTCTGGCTCATGATTGACTCCTATGGGCACATTGCCAAGTCGTTGCGCACGGTTCACGCCAAGACCAAGCAGCAGTAGGGGGGTCGCACCGTCTGGACACTCCGGTGGAAACCAAGTCAAAATGAGCTGTGCATTGATTGATATTCCAACGTTACTCACGCTCTGGTATACCTGTGATACTTGCTTACGGATCGCTGGGTGCTCTCCGATATTGCTCTATCTATCTCGCTGTCTTGTCTTAGCTAGCACACTCAATGAACGCGCGATTGGATCAACATTACATGTATTATAGACGTACGACGCAGATACCACAGCTCAACAAAGCACGATCAACACAAAACACAATGGTACACTTCATCACAAGAGTCCAAGCTTCAAGCTTCAAGCTCAAGCAGATACCGGCCGCCTCCCTGCCCTCCCCAACATCAACGGGCCCATCCCATTCTCCCGCATCCTCGCCTCCACCATCCTCCACTCCCGCTCTGCCCGCGGGTCGCGCTGGAACCACTGCTTCTGGTCCAAGAACACCGGGCGGAAGCGACGCGATCTCCCCCCATCCTCGTCCTCGTCGAACGCAGCGAGGGCCGCAGAGACGCGCCGGCGTGCAGGACTGCGACCAGGGCTCGTATGCGCAGGGGTAGCACGACCGGGCGTAGTCCGCGCGGGCGTCATAGGCATGCCCTCCGCTGCCTTGGGAGGCCGTCCACGGCGACTGGGTGTCGACGGGCCAGCGACGGGGGCGGGAGGCGCAGGCTTGGGCGTGGGCTGCGGCTGTGTTTGTGAGCGTGTCTGTGGCCGCGTGGGCGACGAGCTGTTCCAGGGGCTCCGCGAGCTGCTCCGCTGTGCGAGGAGGTCGAGGGGAGACTGTGCCGAGGCAGACTTCGCGCTCGGGAAAATCGACGGCTTCGGCATGGTGAGTGCGGGGAGGGGCGGCGGGCCTCCACCCGAGGGGCGACTCGGCTTAGAGGGGGAGATCGCGCTAGGGTTCGGCACGGCGGTTGGTAGTTGTGTAAGAGGAGGCTGAACAGGCTCAGCGGGGGTGGAGGACTCAGTTTGCGTAGGCTTCGCGGGAGACACGGGTTGGCTTCGTGTAGGCTTCGCGGGGGAGGCGAGACGCGGACGCTTGGATGGCGTGTCGAGGAGCTCGGTGTCTACGTCGCCGAGCTGTGCGAAGGCGACCTTCCGCTTGTGAGTGGGTGTCTTGTGCGGGGAGAGAGAGGCCTCCCGCTCGCTGTCTGTTCTCAAGGCAGACTTGGAGGGTGTCTTGTGGGGGGACAGGGAAAGCTCGCGTTCGCTGTCGGTCGCCAGGGCAGACCGGGAAGGGGATAAAGACGGCGTCCTGGTGGACGGTGCAGATTCCTGAGTAGCGGGCACTGTTGACGCGGTTACACCCGCGACATGTGTGGCCCTGAGCTCCGCTACTTTCCTGCGTACCCTGTCGGCCGCGTCTTGACACGACTCCTCGAGAATCTCGACGATATCTTCGTAGTCCCGGCGCGAAACGTCGTACCTCTTGAGCGTCTTCTCAGGCGTGACGGAGCTCATCTACCCAAGCCACCTCAACATCCTGAACGCACCCTCGCAACAGGACTAGCATACCTTAAACAAGCTCTGCAAGACCCACACAAACACAGAAACCTTCAATGATTCACTAGGAGGGTGAAGCTCCTCGGGGAGCTGCCCCGTCTTCAGCAGCGACTTCTCCACATCATTCATGCACGCGGCAACGAACGCGGGTCTCCTCAGTTTGTTCTGCGAGATCAAGTCTTGATATTCAAGCGGCGCATCTCCTTGCTCTTGCTCCCGCGCAGCGACTGCGTCTAGGGCGGCGCGGACGGTCTTGACTGTGGCGCGCCAGACCTTGGGCGCGAGGCAGGACGCGGTCTGGGCCACCTTCTCAGGGACGTCTCCATTGCTCGACCTACGCGTTCATGAGCACTATCATGGGCATGCAGAGCTGCATCAACGCACCCTTCCGAGGCGAGGTACGCACAGACGGCTGGGAGGCCGGAGACAGCGTCGCGTAGGTCATATCCTGTTCCGGGCCCGGTGGACAAAGAGGCTATCCTGAAGAAGCTCAATGCGAGGCCCATCGTTTCTTCGTTCCCACATAGCCGTTTGATAGCGTCTTTCTGAACGCGGGACATGCTGTCTGGAGAGGGGAGTGATAGTGCAGAACAAGACTCGGACAAGCAACACCGGGTCGCGTGTGGGCGTGACCACTGACGCGTGACGTCACGCGAAACCGCTGGGTTGTCTTTGTTCTGGTCCTGGTCCAACCTTTGTCTCGCAGATTCTGCGTGTATGATCACCTCCGCCCGACATACACAAATTCGTCATGTCGGCGAGCGGGACCAGTGATCAACGAATGACGGCCTCGGTGTGAATAATCGAGGTAACGCTCATTGTTGAGCACTAGTCAATTGTATGCAAGTTCCCTGACATGTCCTTCAAGTATCTGGCAAAGTTGGTACATATGTATTTACTACTTCTCAACATCATACCTGACGTCCCTACCCTGAAGACAATCACAGCTTCTGGGAACTCTCAGCGGAGGGCAGCTCGACGATCTGGTCGAAGCCAGGGTAGGCCGGCAGGTTGAGCTGGAACTTCTCTTCCATAGCTCTACGGAAGATACAGTCAGTAGGATGTATATCATCGCGCAATACACGGGACGGCCACTGCGAACGCACTTTGGCACGAATCTGCCGCCAAGGAAGTGACGGCCCTTGAATCCCTCGAGCCCTCCTTCGGCGCAGTCAAACTGAGAAGAACATCTGGATTCAAACCGACACCCACAGCGTTGCCCTTCTCGACGTCCCACCCCGAAGGGATGTCGACCGAGACGATGGGCAACCCCGACTGGCTGATCAGCGGAAGGGCCGCATCGAAGGGCGCGCGGACGGGTGGCTGGAAAGAGAAGCCGAAGATGGCGTCGAGAATGACATCGGAGCGGGCGAGTGCGTCGCGGAGGGGCTGGACATCGCTGCTCGGCGCGATGGTCTGGATGTGCATATTGTCGCATTGCGTCTTGAGGCGCTTTGGTGGCGATTGAGACTACGGGTAGGCAGAGCGTGCGTACGTGCATACCTGGTAGATGTCTTTGGAGCCGGGCTAGAAGAACGGTATCGAGATATGTTCCAGTATGACAAGGCAGGTGTGTGAGGCTTACCTTCGGCATCCAAATGGTAGCTTGTATCCGAACATACCTACAGAGACCATGAGCCAGACTCAGACTCAGACTCACTGTTGCCCACCAAGATGCCTCGCCGCAACGAGCCCATCACCTCCCTGGTTTCCTGGCCCACAGCATACGAGTACGCGCGGGTACTTCTCCTGCTATACACTGTCGCAAGCGTCTGCGCACATGCTAGACCCGCAAGTTCCATCAGCTGTCGCGACGGATGCAAGCACCCACTCTTCAGCATGCCGCCTTTCTCGATGACCGAGAGACATGCTACGAACCTGGTCGATGCTGAACGCTCCAGCAGCGTTCATAAGCTCCTCATCGATCTGTGCAGTGCCGCAGTGCCATAGTGAGCCTCTTGGACAGCGTCAAATGGAAAGTATCCACTTGTTGCGCGAGCTTCGCCGTCAGGTAGCGTAGAGACATGGTGGTCGCAGTCAGGCGAGTGAGCGGAAATGAGTGTAGCAGTCAGGTCGATCGGCGCTGACAGTGACATCATGTGCAATATCCTCCGAGTAGACTGCCAGGCGCTTCGTATGCGCGTTGAGGGAGAGAAATCATACAGTAAGGCCGACGATACAAGATACAGCATCGAGGCGAGCAGGAGACACATCACAAATAACGATAATGTTAGGTTGCAAGCCATCGAACAAGACCGCCCATTGTACATGCGCACATCCCTCCTCCTCGCCGCGATGGCTGGACCACAAAACTCCGCGCTGCGAACCTCCACCCTCCTACTACGTCTGTGCCTCCGACTCCACCGCTGGCCCGGGCTTCACACACACCCTCCTGTGTTCCTCCCAATCGAGCTTCTGGTGGTCGGGAGAGCAGTACTTCACCAGCTTACACCGACTACAAATCAATCCCGCAAACCTTGCCTCGTAGACGCTACCATCACTGCCTTCACTGCTGCCCGCTACGCTGCCTTCGCTGCCCCCTTCTTGAATGTGCACACCGGGCACAACCTCGTCCGAGAAACAACATGACAATCGATCCAGTTGCATAGTTCCTTTGGCTTCGCCCGTCGGCCGTACCGGTAGCGCACCTTCCGCTTGTCGCAGAGCACCGCGGCGGTCTCGAGACCTTGCTTTGGAAAGCGGATGAGCTCGCAGCAGTTATCAGTGCAGCCGGGGTTTGGGCAGCCACTCGGAAAGTCGAAGTAGACGTCTTTCGACGGGACGAAGAGGGAGTTGGCAAAAAGGATTTGGGATAGGACATCGTTTGGTGTGAGAAGAGGACGACGAATGGTGGTCGCTTCTCGTAGAGGATCGCTCGAAGTGTTAGGTCGATTTGGGGGAAGCATGGTGTGCGGCGGTTTCGGTCAAGCATGTGGGTCAGGGTCATGTCTAGAAGAGGGGACATACGGTCGGTAACCACCCTCGACAGTGCGAAAAGGAATACTGACGGTCGTGATTGATCTTCTCCTCGACGCTGGATTTACATGCTCCATTCGCCGCGTTTCTGCACACGTACTTGAAGTACTCTGTGATTTGGTCCATCTCCTGTCGTTTGAGATCGGTGACGATGACATATATCTCGTCGCAGCCCCGATCGTGCATGCCGCGAAGGAGCATCAACTCAGGTAGCTAACTCAAAGCAGTCATCAGCGGATGGCTATGCAGAATGGCGAGGAGTACACACCATACTGAATATTACAGGCATCATGTTGAGCCGCGACATAGAATGGTGGTGATAGACATGCGTGACCCATGTGCGGTCGAGAGGAATGAGGCGCCCAGTGTCGACCGTGCGCGTGAAGATGTTCTCGGGGACGAATACGCCCTTGCTCCAGAGAAGGATCTGCTCCTTGCAAATGTTCGCGTTTGCGGCGTGTCGGCGCTCCCGAACGCGCTGGAACCAGTCATAGTAGGCATCGGGACTATGGGGGCGCTCGAGCCATTTGTCGATCAAGAGGTCAGTCGCATCGTTATCCAGTTTCTGGCAGACGAGCTCGCTCATTGAGAGATTGGGCGGTATAAACTTTGAATAGCGGCGTGTAGGCATTGTGGAGGAGGAGGGCAAGGGGGTGGCCCTTTGAGCGAAAGAAAGGCAGGCGAAACACAAACGATCGCTCGCGGTAGTAGGTGGAAGCAGTGTCCAGGCTCTGTCCACGGGACCCCGCGCCTGCACGCGAAAAAGCCGGCCCTGAACTCAAGGTGGTACAGTATCCAATCACGTGCGTCAACGCGACCTGTTCGCGCCGCCCCTCTTCTGTCAGTGGTGGTCACTGAACGCCTCGGACGTTCAGACCGCTGCGGTAGACTCCCTTGTCTACTCTACCTTCCTTTGATTTTTGTATTTAACGAACTGTAATGAAGCTCGCGCCGCTCCTTTTCCTCACAAGAGTTTTTCGCTTTGTAGCGGGTGCGAAGAGCCCGATTCTTTTTCCCAGCGTTGGAGACATTCCCCCGACAATGGAGGCTAAATTCAACCATTCATTGGCAAGGGAACAGGTATGGTTCCCCACTTATACACTGCAAATAGAGTCTTGACGCCCGCAGTGCAAACCATGGTTCACCGTACGGAAGTTGTCAGATACAGAGTGGGTGCCTCTTGATCTCACTGTTGACTTCAGATTCTCCGCGAACTTCGGGCGAACGTGTGCGTACTAGTCAGTGCTGGGAGTATGCCCTTCTCTGGGCTAACAGCACCGCTGCGTAGATTCAACGACGGCAAATGCAACGATCAGGCGCGAGAGGCTCTCAGACTGACCTTTCATGATGCCGTAGGCCGATCACGCATGCTGGAGGACTCCGGTTCATTTGGGTGAGCTCGAAAATCACGAATGATTTCTCTGTGCGCTGACAATGCACTTCAGTGGCGGTGGTGCGGACGGTAGCATCATCCGGTTCGCAGATACCGAGCTCGCCAACCGTACGTATGCGATAACTGTGTAAACTGAATGACATCTTAACGTCCTACAGCTGCGAATGATGGCTTGGAGGACATCGTACTGGCTCTCAGAGATGTCGCCGATAATCACAACGTTTCCTACGGTGACATGTAAGCTTGCTGACCTCCCCTTGTGAGGCGCTTGTAGACCAATTGGGACCAGAATACAATTTGCAGGTGCGGTCGGGCTGTCCAACTGTCCAGGCAGTCCTCGCTTGACATTCCATGCTGGACGACCCGATGCCGTCGCACCATCTCCGCCCGGTCTCGTCCCGTCGCCGACCGACTCCGCGGACGTCCTCCTGGCGCGGATGTCCGACGCCGGCTTTACCATAGAGGAGACAGTAGCACTGCTGGCCGCCCATTCAGTAGCCAGACAGAAGACGATTGATCCAAGCGTACCGAACGTGCCCCTGGATAGTACGCCTGAGGTCTTCGACACCAAGTTCTACTCAGAGGTAACCGTGTTCATTTCATTCAGACTGGTAAAGGGGTCTCTGAGTCCGCGTAGATGCTATTGAACGGCACATGCTACCCAGGCAAAGGAAGGAGCACTGCAGAGGTCAAATCGCCGCTCAAGAACGTAATGCGGCTCACGTCCGATGCTGCCATCGCCCAGCACCCCAGCACTGCGGGCATCTGGCGTTCTTTCGCAGGTGAGGGGCGTTGATGGAGACACATGCTGCCGGGCTAAATTGGCGGGCACAGGCAACCACGATGTCATGCGAGCGGCCTTCCGAGGGGCCATGCAGAAGCTCGCGAATCAGGGCCACGTCAACCTCGTTGACTGTTCTTTCGTCATTCCTACGCCAGCGCCTTTGGCGAGGCAGACTCCTTCCAATCCCTCACCGCACGGTACGCTCGGCCCGGGACTTCCGAACAAGGGCTCACGACTTGCGGTGAGGACTGGCACAACTGTCCCTTATGTCAGCAGAGAAGCATCAAGCCGCTCGCGCGCCGGGTCCAGAGTTGGCCCATGCCAAGCTGTTGGCTCTGCCTAATCGAGCAGGTCTCGCGCGCCCTCCTCCCGATCCCGACGCGACGCGATGCGATGCGCTCCACCGCGTCTCGCCAAACGCCTTCGCCGTCGCCAACGTAGCACTGTAGATTCTATTGAATATATTTCCTCCTTTCCTCTGTTCTGCTCTACCCTCGCCGACATGTGCCTCCACAGAATCAACCCATCATACAGTGAGATTCGTCGCAGGACTATAGAGGTCTATGGTCAACGGCCCTGCATCCTTCAAATTCAAATATGTGCTGCTATCCTCCGCGGCGACTTGAATGTCGCAGCCTGCGCGCGCACCGGCTTTGGGAAATCTCTAGCGTTCATGATGCCCTTGCTGTTCAGCTCGGACTCGATCATAATTGTTGTTACTGCTTTGAATCTCCTGGGCTCCCAAACTGTCGCTCGGCTTGAGAAAGCTGGGATCAATTCCATTGCGATCTCAGGGAAGAATGATACAGAGGAGACTGCAAAGGTATGTACACTTCCATGATTGTACACTATTCGAGTTGGTTACCTCTGACTGTGTTGTAGGCAGTAAAGGCCGGACAGTACCGTCTTGTCGTCGTGAATCCGGAGGTTCTCATGAAACCAAATGGCCATTTTGAATGTCTGTGGGACCACGAACCCTTCACGCGGCGCCTCCTCTCCATTGTGTTCGATGAAGCTCATTGCATCAGTACCTGGGGAACATTCCGCCCCGACTACAAACATCTGAAGCGCCTTCGCTATTTACTCACGCGCTGCCCACACGTCCGTTACTGCCTACTATCTGCCACCCTTTCAGCGACAATCCTCCACGACATCTATGACACTCTGAACCTCACCAAGGAGAACACACTCGAGCTTCTGCGGCCAAATGACCGGCCAAATGTCTTCCTCGCCGTGCGTGAGATGCAGCACTCTGTGTCTTCGTTCAAGGATCTGGATGACTTGGTCGCACCAAAAGTCAATGGCCGGCGGCAGTTAACCAAGAAGAAATTCATCATTTTCTTCGACAACATCAAGGAGGCTGAAGCATGCTGCTTGCACCTACGCTCTCTTGTTGGTCCTGAAGACGAGAAGAAGCTCATCTGGTTCCATTCGATCATGTCGGACACTTTCCGCGAGGACGAGACTTCCGCGGTCGCATTGGGTGAGCGTACCGGTGTCTGTGGCACTGACTCGCTTGGAATGGTGCGGCAGTACAGTCCATCAGTATGCCGTGTTGGGCCACTAACCTGCATTCAAAGGGCATCGACATCAAGGACATCGAGCTGATCATCCAATGGAAGCTTACCTGCAACATGGAGACATTGTGGCAGCGCTTCGGGCGAGGTGCACGCGATCCCGCCCTCGAAGCTCTCGCAATTATCTTTGTTGAGCCGAAGTACTTCGATGAACCCCCACTTCCACCAGCCAACTCTTCGATTCCTGAGCCTGCACATCCATCGGAGTTGCCAGTGAGGGCTGAGACCCATGGAGACCCAACCAATGACGTCTGGGCGAGCCTCTTCACAAGCCCAAGCTACAAGAAGAATGTCAAGGTTGTGCGTGTCCCTGTTCCTTCAGGAACATCGCAAGGTGTGTCGTTCTCAATGACTCGCATGACTCAATCTCCCACTGATCCCATGGAACTAGCCACATCCGAAGCAAGCCCTGACAATGAACAAACAAACACTCACGAGGTGGCAGCTGCTGGGACAAAGCGCCCCGCAAACGTCGCATTGGACACCTTCCCAGTGCACGAGGAGTCCGACGGTCCTCATGGTCGGCGCCGCAATACAGGCAAGCGCCGAGCTATAGCTGTCGAGCATGCGGTCGATGCACCTTCCACGTCCAGTCACAGTCCCGAACGCTCCACTGGTGCTGATCTGCCCTCAGTTCATCTGCCGACTTTCTTTGGGCCCCGCGATGCAGATCTCCGAGGACGCTACAAGGGATTCAAGCCTGCAAACAAGACCGGTGAGCGATTCGTGCTATCGAAGGCACTGGAGCAAGACGTCGTAATACAAGACTTTGTCAACGCAAAGACACGCCGCCTAGGATGCCGACGCCGTGTTCCAAGAGCATACTTCGGCGGGGACGAGAGTACGTGTTACAATGTGTCTCACTGACACCACCGAACCTAATCTAGTACGACAGCACATGACCATCGGAAGTGTGATCCTCGCAATGTTGATGGATGTTCGCGCTGCCGTCCCCTCAAGTCTCGCCTCTGTTGTGACATCTGCACGCCCGATCTCCTTGAACAAATGAAGACTCACCTGGCAACGAATAACGAGAAAACTTCGGCTGGCGAGGCTGCTCGCAAGAAATCAAACCTGCGAAAAAAGGCGAAGAGCCCCAAAGACGAGGAGTTCGAGGCACGGTTACGTACCTGGCGAGACTCAGCAGCTGTCTCCATACTGCCCAAGAGTGCCCTCTTGGACTTCGGCCCTGAGGCATTTCTTGCTGACGAGCCCCATCTCGAGCGGATTGTTCTGTGTGCGCAGCACCGGAAGCTCAGCTGTGCTGCCGACGTTGCTTTCGAGTCGAACTGGGAGGGCGCTATTGAGTACAGTGGTGTGATCGCGGGGCTCGTCGAGGAAGTATACGGCACTGAACAATCACAAGATGAAGACCGAGCGGAGCATAGCACCGCAGTGGCAGGTTCGACAGGGAAGCAGGTGAAAGGAGGGACCGTCATGCGGAGATGTGGGAAGTGTGGGCAGACAGGGCACATTGGTGCGTCATTGAACCATACAGCGCATATCGCATGATCCACTTACTATGTACGACGTCGCACAGCCTCAAACCATGGCTGTCCAATGCATCCTAAAAATCCCAGGAACATCGAACAGCCCTCTGATCCGTGCGCTCAGGCTCATCCTCCGTCTCGACCAACCTCGACGTCTTCTAGTGGACACAGGCAGCCACCACGCCCAGCCGCATCTCCGCGTGCGGCGTCATCCAGTATTGCAGACCTTCCGGCACCTAGCTCTCGCGTGGAGTTCACTGCTACTGCTGAACGTATTCGCAATGGCAGCGCACCGAACGGCATTCTGGGGCCGAGTATGCAGCTCCCTCGATCGGGCGCGTCTACGCAGCCACAACGTGAACAGCCGACTACGATTTCTGGCACAGCTTCAGTGACCACACCTACCTCACCCCAAGCTTCCGCACCATTCACATCAATGCCTACCTACGCTGCCGCGCCCTCCTTGATCCACTCTACCGCACCGACCGTCCCAATGTTCCAAACTCAAGCACACGGCGGGGCACCATACATCGCTCCGACCACCATTCCTGGCAGCTCGGGTTCTCAGCAAGTAAGTAATCATCCGTATGCGTACCACACATTCCCTCCTCCACCTGGCGCTATGCCCGGGCCTTATGCGTTTAGTGGCTACACGAGCTGGCAGCCACCATATTTCCCGCAACCAATCCCTCTTCCGGGTCGCCCGCTTGCGTCCACGCCCGGCGCGCCTTCATATCCTCAGAATGCATACTCTTACACAATGTTACCGCCATCCTCGAGTCCCCCTCATGACTAGCATTCCCTGTGCCCTACTATGGCTATCCCCATCTGTGTTGCATCGAGTTTTATAGCACTACTCGATCGCAAGGTCCTCCGCATCGATCGTCTGGCTTGTCTCTCCATCACCTTCTGCACTGTCTCCGCCTATCTCGGCCTCGACACCTGTAATCCCTTGTCGCTTCGCCGTCTGTAGTATTCCGAATCCTTCGCGTAGCTTGTCCTTGACACTGTACCCCTTCCTCCCTTCAACATATTCGTGTGTGTGGTTTGTCTGCATGTGGTAGCGTACCTTCTTGAAGGTCTCGGTCATGTCGGGCTTCGTGTGATTTATTGTACGGTTCGTCATGCAAAAGTTGTCGGCGATATTGACCTGCGACATCCGGTATATGTCAATCAGCCCAGACTCCTTTAACAGGTATTGAAGTGTTCGGTTTGAGAATTCGCCACCGTGTATATGCTGGCAATGTTTAGTAAGGTTGATATCTCCTCATGCTTTTCGTTATGATCTTACCTTTGTGTATAGATTGTTGAGTTCAACAACCCAATCAATTGCGCGGAATTTGCCTGGCAGCCCGCGCAGATTGCACAACCAATTAAGACGAATCGCACGCCTACAATGAACAAGCCACGGTGAGATACTATGGCACAGGTGTCAAGAGACCCGCAACGTACCGAAGACCCTCGGGGTAGACAAAATGGACATCTCTCATGAAATCTCCGAAGTACGTTGCATACTTGCTCTTACCCGTTGCTTTCCAAATGTACAGCCATTTCACGAAGCATGTCTCTAGCCGCCCGACATCGCCATGGTTCATCGCGTACGTAGTCTCTTCATACAGGAGGTAGTCGCGGTGGCGAAGCTGACCTGTCTCAAAGACAGCATCCCGGCGAGCCGCATCTGCGCCTGGCTTGAAACCAGCTTGTGCGACGTACCGCGTGACCATACGCTCCGACAACGCAACGATGTCTTCCCATCCTGGCTGCCGACGCTCTGCCCATTCTTCAAGTGTCTTCACGTCTGGATCGCCGCGGGATACCTCGACACGCCACACATCTAGACGACGCGCGATCCCATCGTGCTTGATGAGGTCATGCATCATTCGGAAAGGTGTGTTCCCTTTGAGCTTTCCTGTGTCTTGAGGTCGAAAGATACCGCCGTGGTATAGCGTGCTACTCGGGTCCGTATGCGAGTGCTTGTCCTTCATGTACGTCCTCCCGATCCCATCCGCACATGCCATAATTGCATGGAACACGCCAGGAACAATGACAACAAACTGGAGGCGATGCCAGCGCGTCTTCTCGAGCGCGCGTGATTCAATAACGCTGCGAACGCGCTCAAGCGTCGAAAGGTCCCCGTGGATAAGAACCACTTGATTGTCAACCCCTACCACCGGTTTCGTGTCCGAATCCGATGGTTCACCAACACCACCTTGGGACAACATGTCCTGTATGACCTGGACATTCCCCTGGCACGTGGACTCATTGATATTCATGGCACGGAGTGGGTATTGTCGTGTTTTGGTAAGTGGAATTTGTTCGATGATCTCGGGCGGATTTGCGTTGTGCTGACCGCGGAATTTCTTGAAGTAGGAAGGTCCATACTCAACGAGGTCGTGCCTGAACTGCCAAGCCTGAAAACGCTGGCGTCGACTTAGGCTGGACGAGTGGGAGTCATCCTCGGGGTGAAGATGCAGCAGAGCGTGCGAGGTATGTTTGCTGTTGCTCGCGGAGCTTCTGTTCTTGAGGTTATACCTGCTCTTCTCCCAGATCGCATCGGAAACCATAAGGTCTTCCTTCTTGACATCGTGCGCAAGAGGGATCATCGTGGCAGACGTCAGATGTGCGAGGGACCGGTCCCCCTTGTCAACCGTGGGTGTCCCGACATTGAAAGCGACATCGAAGTTGTCGTACGCGTACGCCGTAAGCAGCTGCTGTCCGACTTGGCGGCGTTTCCATTCGGCTTTGCGTGCTAATGAACTGACAGCGTTGTTGATAGATGATGGGCTGATAGAGAGCCCAAGTTGAGACAGCATCTCGACGACTCGGTCAGGGGCATTGCATGCATGCAGGAAGACACCGATGATGCTCGCGAGGGCATTGCATCGTTGATGCGTGCTCTTCGCAAGCATGCTCAGAAGGGATACTTTTCGCTGTCGTAGTTTGAATGGTATGTGTTATCTCATGAATTTACTTGGGCCGAAATACTACTCGTACGCACCACTGTCCGCAGGCTCTCGGGTTTTGAACGGGTAGTACGTACAGGTGCCTCCGTCATCCTAGCGGCTGATTCCATTCCGTAGGATGACCGCGCCGTCTCGTCACCGAGCAGCAGCTCCTCGTAGACATCAAGTTCCGCCCAATAAACTTCCTCCTCGTCATCAAGATCCGCATCCTCCGTGTCAACAAGCGCGCGGCGCTTTGCAGGGTTCTCTGCACGAGCGGCCTTGCGTCTAGCACGCCGCTGCTCGCGCAGTTTCACGAGCTCGCTGTCCGCGTCAAGCATTACATCGAATAGGCGCCAGACATGCGGTGCGTTCGTTTCCATTGTCACCGCGAGTTGTCGTATGGTGAATGTCTCGAGCTTTTCCGGCGAAGCAGAGTTCGCATTGAAGTGTAGCTGTTGGTCCAACTGCGAAAGCTTGCAGATCTCGGATTGATAGACATTTGAAGCAACATGGACTGCCCACTCTAGTAGCCGTGTAGGCTCTGGGCCCTGGAGGAATGCATTCAGGACCACAGGAAGGTACTCGCGGATGGTCCAGGCAAGTGGGTGACTCGAGTTCCCGGGGGCAGCCAAGGCTGCGAGTATATGTGGCAGGGATGTTCGATTGTAGTGCAGAAAGTCACTGAGTTCATTCAGAATGCCGTTCATCTCAAGGCAGTGTGAGTGCACGAAAGGAGGAAATATATTCAATAGAATCTACAGTGCTACGTTGGCGACGGCGAAGGCGTTTGGCGAGACGCGGTGGAGCGCATCGCATCGCGTCGCGTCGGGATCGGGAGGAGGGCGCGCGAGACCTGCTCGATTAGGCAGAGCCAACAGCTTGGCATGGGCCAACTCTGGACCCGGCGCGCGAGCGGCTTGATGCTTCTCTGCTGACATAAGGGACAGTTGTGCCAGTCCTCACCGCAAGTCGTGAGCCCTTGTTCGGAAGTCCCGGGCCGAGCGTACCGTGCGGTGAGGGATTGGAAGGAGTCTGTTGGCGAGGCCGCCCGCGCTCCGTCTGAGCACGGAAAAGCATTAGGTGAGTGATGCGGGATGGCTGACACGTGGATGCTATTCCTGATGGGTGTCGTGCAGTGTGGTGGGAACCCCGCCCGAGCGCCGCTGGCTTCAACTGGGAATCGCAGCGTCCATCACTTGTCAACGTTCCGCGTCTCTGCTGTAACAGCCTAGTTTCTGTATCGATAGCACTGTAGCACTTCGGCACTTGGTTTTGTCCTTGTTGACTGTCACGACGCCTACGGATACCCTCGAGTGGATGAGGGTCCCAAGAAAAAGAGACCTTGCGACCAATAAGTTACATGCGGTGTGCGAGCAGTAGCTGCATACATACTCAGTCCAATCCGACGTTTCAGCATTTAGGAACGCCGTTTGCTCTCCGGCGATGACGCGGGAGCCTCCTGAGTAGCTCTGCTGAGGACCATGGGTGCGGCATCGAATGAAACCGGGGCCGCTGCGCGACTGCGGACATCCACTCTCTCAACGACCTCCGCGAAACGCGGCGCGAACGCCGACATCAGTGCCCTCGCACTCGCCCTCGACGTCTCCAGGATAAGCACCGGTAGCTTCCTCTCGAGGCTCTCATGCCTGGCTTTGAACGTAAAGAGAATAGCGTCGAGGAGCTTCTGCGTCTGCGTGTCGTCGCGAGACCGCTCCAGAACGTGCAGACACTCCAGCGCGGGGCACGAGGTCTCAAAATGGGAGAAGAGCGGCGGGAAGGGGAGCGCAGGCGGGCCCGTCGACGCCATGAGCGAGAGGAGGACATCGTTAGCCCACGCGCCGCTCACCTCGATGTGGCGCAGCGCAGGCATGGAGGAGAGCGCGGCCTTCCAAGTGCCCATTGACATTGACATGGCCGAGGGCGACCCGGAGGGCTGTGGGTGATGGCGTGCAAGTACGTGCAGCCGCTGACGAGCGCCTCGATAGAGGAGAAATTCCTGACAATATTGGGTAGGTCGTCCGGTGCAATGAAGAAGCGTATGGTTGAAGACGTCCGTGGCCGGTGCATGGTGAGCATGAAATTGCTCGGCGATATACGGCAGAGTTGGGTTACTGGGGGGTCGTCAATGCAGGATGAGGCGGCTAGTCCGAATCGCGCGAGATTCTTGGGGAGCAAACAAGAGAGGTCAATGGTGCCGTGTGCGTGGAACGTCAGTGAGGTCGTATGTGGGAAGGAGAGACGGTCGAGGAGCTTGGAAACTGCGCCAGGGGTGTTGTGAGCGACTTCTAGACTTTGTAGTGCCGGGAGCTCGACGGCGAGGAGGTTAGCGATCCCTACAGGCCATGGCAAGAAGGCGGACAATAGTGTCAATGTCTGCAATTTTGGACAGTTCGAGAGGATGGAGAGAAGTCGGGGAATCGGAAGGTATGACCGCTCGCCAAATCGAGTCAGAACCAGACTGGTCAAGCTTGTTGGGCGTTCTGAGAGACCTGGCCAGTTCACGGCGTGGAAGCCGTCCATATTGAGCCGTTGCACCTCGTGCGCATGTATATCCAGGGAGAGGATTGGTCCGTGAGTGTCGTCGGGCAGTAGACAGTCCTTGAATTGCCCGAGAAACGGCGAAGCGGGTTGGATCAATGACAAGATGTCTCGTATGACAGTTTGACTAGTTGCAAGGTAGACTCCTTCTATTCGTCGGGAGTGGAGAGAGAGCCACGCGAGCGTGTCTTTGGATACATGCGTAGACCCCGCTTCAATGAAGGATACGCGGATTGGGCAATCCTGCGAGCGCACGCAAAACTCGCGAGCAATGGTGGGAAACTGTAGATCCAGGAGAGTCCAGAAGTCAGGAGCGCCGAGTAAGAGGCTCCTCCAGCACCTGCAGACATGGCTGTATGCAATCGTCCGGAAAATGCGCTCTGTGTGGTATTGGTACGGGTTCATCGTGAACTCCAGTACCAGGAGCAACAGCTCTGGAGGAAGGGTGGTGATAGAGATTGCATGCGATGCGACGGTAGAAGTGAACGAGGACGGATGGGACATCGGGTCACGCAGCCTGAAGCCTGTTCGAAAGTGCCGAAGGAATGAGCGGTGCGGCTACCTGGCTAGGGCCTACATAGGTTCGTCAGTTCGGCATGGACTAAATAACACCACAGAACACACCGGTTGAAAGGACGATGCAGTCAAGATGAAACTCGATGTGAGAGCAGACCTTGCCCTCGAGCCAAAGTTATAGGATGAGTACTTGGACGCGATTGACATATAACATGAATCGCGGAGGAAAATGATGTATGTAGTGTGCACGAGACGTGCCAAGACTTGTGGAACAGTGTTGTACTCAGGCAACCAAGCACGAGTCATGTTCCCAGTCGGGCGGGTCGGCACCGCCGGCCGCGGGTGGTCAAGCCGATGTTCGAACGCCGTCAAACAATGTCAGTACTAGACAGTACTGCGCCTACCGGGGGCGCTCCGCGCATCGACCGAGGATCTCCTTGGTGAAGGTGGTTTGGTGTCTCCGAGTCTCCGAGTCGTCTGAATCCCTTACAAGACAACAAATCACTGAGACAGCAGCAGCCTTAAGACAACGAAGGTTCGCAACAGATATGCCCGTCAATCGTGGTCGTGATATTGCAGCAAAATGTCAGTAAGAGCACCGGGACACTGGCAAGGCTTGGCCAGCACTAGAACCTGCACGGCTTACGTGACCGCACACTACATACTTTGTGAGAGACAGAGACTCACTGAAGTTATGAGGAACGCGTATTAGAGCTTGCCCCGCGGGCAATTCCGAGACCAGTAAGTGGCGGCCGTGAGGTGATTAGCCCCGCCGGACTTCTGCGCGGGTTGTGTCGCTAATCGACACGGCGTGGTAGTAGCCTTAGGATTGAATGATTGTCGGTTGTACGTAGCAAGGATTGAGTACTGAGTACTGAGTACTGGCCTCTCTTTCTCGTGGACGAGGTAAATTAAGTAGTTGGTCAGCGGCCAAGCTGTGCCTCAACCTACATAGTCGCCCAAAATGATAGCAGCGGTGTAATATCACATGGCACGTGACTGCCTCAGCCACCGACGCGTTGCGCCGCAACTTAACTTGCGCGCCTGCCTCAGTCTCTCAGGCTCAATCTGCCAGAGGGTTCGTGATTGTCGAGTCGTTGTCGCTTGTTGCCCGCCTCATCCAGGCTTGCTGTTGACCCGGGTATTGCTGTTGCAATGCGGTGCTTTATCGTGCTTGCTGCCGCCTCCTTGGCCTCTGTCTCTGCCGCATTTCCGGATTCAAGCTCCTTTCGCGCATTCGGTCCGCAGGGTATCAATCTATGGAAGCTGGATGTAGCAAGGGAGAAGCACAGCCAAAAGCTCCTTGTAGATCACTCTATAGACTCCCAGACGTCCGGACAGCTCCCTTTATCTGCAGCGCCGAACCAGGAGTTTCCGGAGCACTATTTCACTCAGCCTCTTGACCACTTTTCGAACAGTTCTCACACCTTTGGCCAGCGCTACTGGATTAACACTCGGCACTACAAGCCAGGCACTGCCGCCCCAGTCATTGTCCTCGATGGCGGAGAGACATCAGGGGAGGACCGAATCCCGTTCTTGGACACTGGCATCGTCGAGATACTTGCTAGAGCCACAGGTGGTGTAGGCGTTGTATTGGAACACCGGTATGCAATCTTTAGCTTCTGTAGTGCTTCATTGACACTCACAAGCAACGTAGCTACTATGGTGCGAATCCGTGACTTACGGTGCCAGACGTTCTATGGATTAACATAAACTCAGGGAACTCCGTGCCCGTGGAGAACTTCACGACAGACTCCCTGAGGTACTGGGCGACTCTGCCATACCACCTTTCAACGTCTGATTGACTCTTCCAGATGGCTTAATAATGAACAATCGGCCGCTGATTCCGCCTACTTCATGGCCAATGTAAAGTTCCCTGGGGTTGACGAGGACCTCACTGCCCCTAGTCACCCTTGGATTTACTACGGAGTAAGTCCGCGGCCGGAAGCCGTACCCATTTCGGAACTGACCGCGCACTCTGACAGGGGTCTTATGCCGGTGCGCGTGCGGCGCACATGAAGATTCTCTATCCGGATCTCGTATATGGCGCGATTGCCTCCAGTGGTGCGTCTGTTGCTCTAACCGGGTTGTATCATTCAACGGCGCCTCATTGCAATCCAGGTGTTACGCACGCGGATTTCGAAAACTGGCGGTACATGGATATAATTCGGCGCGCCGCCGAACCAGAGTGCTCCGCCAATCTCGTGCACTCCGTCGAGTTCATCGACACCGTGCTCTCCATCCCACACCTGCGCATTGCGTTGAAGCAGCTCTTCGGCCTCAAAGAACTCGAGCATGATGAGGACTTTGTTTCGCTGTTGTCGGTCAGTTCATGAAGCATGTTCTCGGCCAGGCATGTTGAGGACTGACTGAAATATTCTCTTTGTGGTAGAGCCCCATGGGCTACTGGCAGGCGAAGGTGTGGGACCCGAGCGTCGGCAGCACGGGCTTTGAGGAGTTCTGCGCTGCTCTTAGTAAGCCGCTCGGAAGTGGAGACCTCACAGCGCATGAGGTGATCGGATACAATGTCGAGACTCAAATGATTGCACTACCAGGAGGCTTGAACGTACCGAAGGTGGTTTACAACTATGCGCAATTCATCAAGGAGGTGCGCAAATATCGACTATGACTACATGCTCGTTGTAATGTTATGTTATCCAGAACTACGTGTCTCGTTGCCCTGAGGGCACATCGGTTGATGAGGTTGGCCATACACTTGAATGCTAGATCGTATTGCTTACGTACGACTTAGTGCTTCGGCACTTACGACGACTCTGCCTTCCAAGATACATCCCTCGACGCGACGTGGAGACTCTGGCAATTCCAAGTCTGTACTCAGTGGGGATATTTCTTCGTCAGTACACTGGTCACTTTCATGCACCGCACCAAACTCATCACACCAGATCGGATAGAACGCTCCCCCACCGGAGATTCCGAGCATCGTCTCACGCCGGCTTACTGTGGACTACGAGGCCAAGACTTGCAAGCAGGTTTGTGAATCTACCAGGTTGAAGAGAGCGTACTCACAATTTGACCCTTCGCGGTAGGCTTACACACCGGGCGAGCACTTCATTGTGCCTTCTATGCCGAATATAACCGCTGTGAATATTCTCGGCGACTATTACATCGCTGCGGACAGACTGGCAATCATTGACGGCGAAGGTGAGCATTCACCTCAAGTTGACTGCGGGTCGTGTTGCACGTAGATATCCTGATTCGCACCGTGCAGTCGACCCATGGAGACCTGACACTCCTCATGCGGACGAAGCTCCTCTCCGCGCAGATACAATCCTCCGTCCCTACAAGGTTATCCCCGGTGAGTTGCACGTGAACTCATCCTATGTGAGCGCAATGACTGACGCGGATCTTCGTATCTGCAGGAGGTGTTCATCACTACGACGAGTACGGCTTGCGCGATCTCTCAGCTGAGCCACCAGAGATCGAGAAGATCCATCTGGAGATGATCGAGTTTGTGACGGAGTGGCTGAAGGATTGGCAGCCTCCCAAGAGGAAGAGCTGATACGCTACTTAATTGTTCTTGAGCCCTCTTAGTAAATCTTGAGGATAGCAAACTATGTGTAAGCTTGCGGACATGACGGATAGCCGAGGATGTGCGCCAAGCTCGCGCGCCATGGCAGGATATAGACCGTCCGACCCGTGGAATCTTGATATCATGCCACCGGTATTGGTATGGACTGTTTGTTGATCCTTGACGGCAACACTGTCGACCACTAGCACTGCCTAAGCATGACTCGTGCGCAGCGGGGACGTAGGACCAGAAGATCGAGAGCACGGGTACGCACATCTTTCCCACTCACTCAACTCAATTACTTCGACACACTTTCCACTTCGGGGGCTTGCTCCGATTGCTCCACCGCCTGTGCAATTGTAGCGTCTCCCGCAACGCTTGCTATCTTCTGTCTGACTACCACGTTCGTCGACTATGGGTGCTGAGCAGTCAAAGTATGAAGGTCCACCCGAGGTGCTTGAGGCCAGGGATCTGGCCTCGGTAGCGAAGTACATGAAATCGTCCGCGTGTAAGAACGTGTTCACGATGGTGAGCGATCGATTTACCAGCGCTCATGAAGCGGTTATGACGTCCTTGGAATATGTCTGCTAACTTCGGTGCTTCCTGGCCAGCTCGGAGCGGGTGAGTAGTCTACAGGGTGTAGGCAGGAAGCGCGATCCTCAAATTTGTCGTGCGTACGTCTGTGTTGGCAGGTATCAGCACATCGGCTGGTATTCCCGACTTCAGGTCGCCAGAGACAGGTATGCAATGATGTCATGCTTTTCGGTAGTATGTCACTGACCCTTGTATAGGTCTCTATGTAAGTCTTGCAATCTGAGAAAATAGGCATGACTCAATGCCTGGCAGGCAAATCTTGCTCGCCTCAACCTCCCTCATCCGGAGGCCGTTTTTGAGATTAACTACTTCCGCGACAATCCCAGAGCCTGTAAGCTACGGCCTTGGGCAAAATCTCTCCGAAAGCCTGACTCGAACGCCTTTCTTTCAGTCTATACGCTCGCTCATGATTTGCTTCCCGGACGCTTCCGGCCCACGGCGACGCACTCTTTCGTCCGCCTTCTCAACGACCACAAGTTTCTACATACATGCTTCACACAGAACATCGATACTCTGGAGCGGCGCGCCGGCGTCCCAGGGAACAAGATCGTTGAGGCCCATGGGAGTTTCGCTAGTCAGCACTGTATCGAGTGCAGCACCGAATACGACGGCGAGAAGATGCGACAGGCCCTCAAGACAGGCGAGATTGCGAGATGTCCAGAGTGCGACGGCTTAGTGAAGCCGGATATTGTCTTCTTCGGAGAAGCAGTAAGCAGTCAAGGTTCTAGTAATACGCTTGCTTTAAGGTACTAACGTATAATTCTTCACAGCTCCCTCAGCTCTTCCACCAATCGGTCCCGAACCTCCGCAACGCTGATCTACTCTTCGTGATCGGCACCTCGCTCACAGTCCAGCCTTTCGCCTCCCTCGCTTCTCTTGTCCCAGCTCACTGCCCGCGCGTCTTGATCAATCTCGACCCAGTGGGTGACTTTGGGAATCGATCAGACGACGTCATCTGTCTAGGCAGATGTGACGAGGTAGTGCGCGATCTCTGCAAGGAGCTGGGCTGGGGCGACGAACTAGAGGCGGCGTGGAAAGAGACAGAACACAGCCTGGACGACTTCGGCGAGGAGGGACTACCGGAGAAAGGCCCTGGACCGACTGTGGCGGAAGAAGAGAAGCAACTCGAGGAAGATGTGGAAGAGATTACTGAGAGGTTGAACGCAGTGCTTGGCGAGGTCTCAGACAAGGCCTCGCCAGAGACTGAGGGGAATTCACAGTCTCCGATCCTGAATGGGGCTGAAATTCCAGTACTCGAGGACGAACACCAGACTCAAGCTCTCGAGAACCCGGTGCATCAGGAGGCGGCAAGGGATAACAAGGAGACGAAGGAGAAGCTATGATAGACATTGATGAGGAGTCAGCGGATATATTACGTGCATGCAACTCTGTGTCTTTGTATGGCTCGGATGCGCGTGCGGATATCCTCTACTGCTCTGTTGAAGATTAATCACGGTTGAGCCCCTGTGACACCCAGATGGCGAAGGAGGAAGTCGGAGGCTTCGTCAAATAATCCTCCTTCCCCGCCGAACAACCCCTCGGCATCCTGCACATAGTCGAAAGAGTGTTCCTCCCCTTCGACCAATCGGAGCGTAACATCCACGTCTGCGCGCCGTAAAATGGCGTGAAGGTTGCGAGACTCGTCCGCGCGGATAGCCGTGTCAGCTGTGCCATGTACCAGGAAGGTCGCAGGCCAGCGGCGAAGTCCCGTTGTCGATTTCGATATGGAATACTGCGGGAACAAGTGGAGCAGATCGCTTGGAATAAGAGACATCAACATATCGGCGTCCAATTCTCGCCCGGAGTGTGAGGGTGTGTTGGCGGCTCCTTGCAGGGCAGCACTAAGGCTCGGTTCATGGTGGCCCGTGTAATAGTCCAGGTAGGTGCCTAGCTGGAAGTATAAGCGCGCGAGCTGCATACGTGGATTAGCAGGATAGCCCGGCGTTGGCGAGGAAGGTGGATGATAAGCTAACGGAGAGTTCGCAGTGGCAGGTAGACGGCGACAGGCGGGGTACAGATACTCAGAGAAGCGTGCCGGGTCAAGAAGTTCGCGCCCGCGAAAGAAGACTTCCTGCTTTGGCATGAAGTAGTGGGTTGTCTGCCGCGTCGTTGGTCAATGGAGCTGGTGCACGGATTTTATGTACCTACCAGCATATCGCCGCCCATACCGTACATAGAGAGGATGACCTTTGGGCTCGGCACCGCGTGCATTGCAGCGAGATATGCGCATAGTCCTCCAGAACTTGTTCCGACGACAGCAATGCGTCCCGGGTCGATCTGGAATATAGGAGTAGTGATTTCGGCATTGTGACCGTTGTTTCTTTGCAAGAGATGGCCATTCAGTTCGCGCAATACAAAGTGAAAAGCGTCTTGAACATCCGTTAGGATGTCATGTCCGGTAGAAGGCGGTGCAAGGCGGTACTCGACGGAAGCGAATGCACACCCTGCGGCAGTCATTCGCCCTTCATAGAGAAGTCAGACGACATTCACACACATAATCTACAGAGCTATACGTCTACACAGCGAAGTGCAATACGTACTATAAAGCCAGTGCGGAAACCAGCTGTTCCTGTTGCCAACGGTCAAGCCACCACCGTGGAAGTAGACTACGATTGGACAGCTGGAACCGTCTGCCGTGTATGATGGACGATGACAGGATGGGGAGTACACGTCCATCAAGAGGTTTATTCCGTCCACCGCCTTGAAGGCAAACGTCGACGATCCGTTCGTCTGTTGATCACTTGCGTTGGACATCATGGCGATTGGGAGAACGAGAGGCACACGCCGATCTGGAGATCTCAGAAGACGATAAGTATGTGGGGAAAGACGCGTGGCACGTGATGAGACGCGACTTGCTTGCTTACCGCCACCACGACGCGTCCCGCTACTCCTTCGCGCCGCAGCCTCTGGACTGACACTCTTCAGGACAGCAATTAGATGCCACTGTGTAGCACCTGTCCATTTCTGTGACCTTACAATGGCGACAGAGGCTCTTCAGCGCCAAATAGCTGGCAAATGGCACAACTCCTTCGCCCGTCTCAACCGAGACCGGGAGGGCATCATGGGCTTGCTTGGATTCAGCGAGGTGTGGTCGGACACCCGTACAATTGCTTGCTGAAACCAATGATACGGCAAGGCGTGGACACTTGCGACAGACTTCCTGCACCCGCGCGATCTCAGTGATCCCAGTGCAAACAAGGAATGGGGTAGGTCCAACGCGCTCTGTTGACCATGCTTCCGCTAACGTATGGGACGTAGACATGGCTGAAGTTAGGGTAGCAGTTGAGACCTTGAGCAGGTCCAAGATGCTTCCCTTATTGCTCGAGAATTTCCTCGGTGCGTGATCTTCTCACCTCTGATGTTGGTTCTCACGTCTGGTATCAGAGGACATGCGCAAACAGCAGCATCTCATCGCCCGTGACGTACAACAATTCATGTGTCAATATGAGGTGGGCTTTCTGGGCCTTGTGAACGCGATAATCGTCCTGACAGCAAACAGGGAACAGAGGATATTCGCCATATCGCGTGTCTGATCTACCGCCTAATAGAATGGTACAGAGCATGGGTGCCCATATCCGAGTGAGTGAGCAGATTTTCGCTATACTGACATAGTGTATCCTTCGCTCTGATGCGCTCCCACAGACTAGGCCACACAATCTTATCCGCATACACCCTTACTTTTCAGACCCACGTCTACTCTGCTCTCCCGCCCTCTTTCTCCCGCGGCTTTAAGCAGCTCGTCAACGCTACGTTTGATCTTGCGCAGTCCTCCACTGCACCAGCTTGGCTGCCGCCGACGCCACCCGCGCTGCAGTCTCCAGTACCTCACCCACGACCCGACCTCTCGCTTTGGAATGCGTTCGAACAGCTGGGCTTACTTGATCGCCACGAATCTCTCATATCGAGTGTGTGTTATGAACACATCGAAGCACACATCCTGGAAACATGTACAAGACGGTGGAGCGAGAGAATGCTGCAGCCTCTCAGAGAATGGATGACCAACAAGATTGTGCCGTGGATGGTCATGCCGTATGCAAGAGGCGCAAGGTCAGGTCAGTAGTTTTCACTTTCACAGTGAGCATGAAATCATATAAATTTTCCCAATAGCGGAGGAAGCGCGATCAATGCTACAGGGAGTCGGCTCGAGATTTGATTTTCACGTATGCAAAACACTGAGCGACCTTCGGTGAGTCGCCGTTAGTGTGCCTCGTATTTTGCTGCCTCATATTGACAAAGACATGCTGAAGCACGAAGGAAATCTTCGACATCATCATAGACTTTCCAGATTCCCAGCCCGCCCTCGAAGACCTCAAAGTGAGTACTCCCTTGCAAGTATGGTAGCTGGTACATCTCAGACTGCTCGTAGGAGTGTCTTCAACGTGTGGACCAGCGTTCGCAACTCGTGCAGACGCTGCGGAAAGCGTGAGTATAATTGTGTTGCATGCTCAGTGGTCTGATGCCGACCTGTCATTGACAGTAACAAGAAACGTCTCCTTCATCCTGGCGCAGACACCAAGGACATACTCATGCAATACGTCTCGATCATCCGCTGTCTTCGCCTGGTTGACCCTCCTGGCGTACTGTTGTTCAAGGTCGCGGATCCTATTCGCCGTTATCTGAGGTAAGACATACCGCTTCAAGCTGATGTGTTGCCTGCTCAAATATATCGGACTGTACAGAGGGCGACCCGATACAATCCGCTGCATTGTTGCGAGTCTTGTCGGTGACGGCGAGAGCGGCGACTCCCTCGTGGATGAAAATGAACCGATTCAACCGCTGCAGCAGATGCAAGTCGAAGATTATACGGACCCTAGCTGGGAACCCGAGCCGATCGATGCAGGACCTGGTGAAACAATGTGTATTCATGCGCCCCCAACATTCGTTGAAACATATAGACAGACTTCCGCGCGAACAAGCCGAGCGACGTCATCAGCACGCTCGTCAGCATTTACGATTCAAAAGACTTGTTTGTGCGCGAGCTGCAGGTGCTGCTCGCCCAGCGGCTTCTCGCGATCACGGATGGAAATTTCGACCGTGAGGTGCGTGAATTGATCTTTTGCGATGCTATTCCGGGTCTTATACATACCGTTGACGGTCGCAGCGGCGGAATATCGAGATTCTAAAGATCCGGTTCGGCGAGGCCGCCCTGCAAGTGTGCGAGGTCATGCTACGGGACATGACCGAATCCAAGCGGACAGACCAGCATGTGCAGTCCCAGAAAAACGTCAGGATGCAAAATCATATCGTAATATGGCTCATCATGCTGAGAGTCAAATCACGTACAGATGATTCTCCATCCGACCATCATCTCGCGACATTTCTGGCCGCCATTGCAGGCCGGCAAGTTCATCATGCCTGGACAGTTCAAGGAGTACGCTGCCAGAAGTTCCCCGCGTCCATCGTGCATTCATGTGAATTCGTAGGATCCAAGACAACTATGCTCGAGAATTCCATGCGTTCAAGCAAGACAAGAAGCTGCGCTGGCTCCCTCACCTGGGTACAATTCACCTTGAGATTGAGCTCCAAGATCGCACTATTCCTGCCGATGTCCCGCCCTTGGAGGCCGCATTTATCGAGCTGTTCTCCGAAAAGGGTGCGTCCATCATTGGTCATTCTTCGTGTCGGCTCTGAATCTTCCTTTTTATAGATACATGGACGGTGGACGAACTGATCGCCCGTGTGGGTACGGTGGATAGGCCGGCGACCCTGAAGGCACTCACAACATGGGTTGACATGGGGGTCCTAAAGGAGGAAGTGCTGAATCAGTACAAGCTGCTGGAGGTGGCTCAAGATGAGGCTTCTGCAGCACTGCCCAGGCCAGGTAGGCTCATCTTCACTGCATATTGCCATTTTCTAATGATATTGCAGCTCGGATGATAGAAGAAATGCCGGCTACCTTGACAGTGGACCAGCAGCAAGCAGAGCAAATGAGGGTCTTTTGGAAGGTATGGAATTTGTCTCTGTTCTTGGCATGTGGAAATTCATGCAATGCTACCTCCAGTTCATCGAAGGCATGCTCACGAATTTGGGAGCACTGCCTCTTGACCGGATACAAACAATGTTGAAATTTGCACCGGCCTATGATCGGACTATTGAGCAACTCGGGGCATTCATGGAAGCAGCAAGGCGGGAGGGATTGGTAACTGTGACCAATGGTATGTGGAAGTTGAGCAGGAGCTGATGCATCTTGAATTGTATACCTTGAGTATGTAGCATTATATGGCCATGAGCCATGTCTACTACCCTGGGGTGTCACTTACTGCCAACAATTGCTGACTCGAAATGCCGCCAAGAGGGGCGGCGCTACCTTGCTCGCGCAGGGCTTTGGAAGGGGACATCGACAAATACAGTAACATTTGAAAGGTAACAAGGCTTCTGAACGTACAAAAATTGAGGACACTGCTATTGTACAAGACAGAATTGATATGGAGAGGTCGGGTGCGCGAGTCGAAATAAGCACAATAATATGAGCATAGTCCAGATATGAATAACGCAGCTTCGACTAGGCATCAGGGAAAGCGATTCCCTCGAAATTCGACCTGCATCTCACCGGCGGTCATTTACGATCCCAGTGGCTCAGGAAACGTCGCGCGCGATCCAGTGTCTCACGGCATGAGATTGTTGCTCAGCCCGATGATCGGATCAAGATCCCGCGCGCGGGCCGTGCTTTCAGTCTCGCAGACCCAGCGCAGACCCGGTACATATTGGAAGTGCCAGACATTTATGAACATACTGGGTGCCAAATAGAGCTTGGCGAGCCTACCTCGACGAAGGGTGTAGCCCCCGCGGTGCACGTTGATGGGAAACTGCCAGGGAATCATTCGCCTCCTCAGCTACAGTCCACATTCATTGTTGCCAATGTTGGAATCTCCGGGTGAGTGCCCGAATGCCAACACACCACACAGCAGCGTGATGTTGCTGTACCTGCCATATGGTACCTCACCATTGAATACGGACTGCTAAGGCAGTTCAACTCATTGGCGGCGCCTGTATCTACACTTCGCACGTTTGCCTCCCTGCGCCAGCGAGGATGAGACAAACTGCGCGAGTTCTTTGAATGTTTTCCGTGCACGCTCGCTCTGCTCACGCAAATTTTCCTGCTGCCAGTACTTGGCCACTGGTGCTTGGCACTGCTTGCTCTGACAATCCACACCATGTTTGTGAGCTATCCGCCAGCCAATTGGCCCTCTTCGTCATTCGGACTCGTCTCGAGTGCGTGTGTGTGTCGAGGCAAAGCCACTGAGCACGTGAGAATGGGATGTTCCAGCCATCTGGGTCTGAGATTGCGGATCACTATTGCTCATGCCTGAGACAATGGATTGGCGTTGATCATTCCTGAGACTGTGTCTCACCTATGATCCTCGAACTCATACATGGCACCAAACGAGCAAAATGTGGCATACACTTTTCCTGATTAGTAACCTCCATAACTTAAATTGGTCCTCGATGGAGAAGCGGAATATCGTACAGATGCAGACTTAGAGTGCCGCTGCACCAGCGCTTGTATTCGCAGGCTAATGCAGGAAGACAGACACTGCATTGTACCCGGCAAAACTTCTGTGAGGCGCCTGAAAATTGGCACAAAGTACGTTGAGTGCTATAAAATGCTCCTGAATCACTTCACTTTGCTTAGAAAATCATGCCCCGTGCACTGTTCAGGCATGCAGGTCGCAGTAGCAGCCGCATTTAACAGGCGCTTGCGGGTATTACCTTACAAGGTAACTGCCACCACCGTTGCCCGGTGTTAGCGCGAAATGAATAATTCTCGTTCATTGAACACTGTTATGCATGGTCATACATCATGTACTCATTTACCTGTAGTTGTTTTCCACAAATAAACTCTTCATAAGTGTGAAACTGTCTGACACTCTGAATATTTGGTGTTGATGTGCCTGCTCATACGGTATCGCTGCTCACGCATGTGACATTGACAACAGCCACAAACAAGTGTTCAGGCACCCGGCAACAATTACAGACGAGAGAGCCTTGCTCTAGCGAGCAAGGGACTCGCATGTGGGTGGACAGTGGCAAAAAGAAAACTTTCAAAAACATTGCCCATTGGCTGGATTGAACAACCGACCTCACCATTGCGGAAAGCTGTACAGGGCTGGCTCCTACGAGTGGCGCGCTCTACCACTGAGCTAAACAGGCATGGTAGCAAAATACCAGTACAATATCATGTCCTACCAAAGTGAGGAAGTTCTGATTCAGAGGACCAGTGGTGAGTATCATGATGATGATATTAGTCTCTGTCGGGTCTCTGAACCTCACAAACCGATTCCATTGCCCGTCCATTACTATACGAGTGTCGTCAACCCGTGGCTTTGCCACGGGCTGACGGGGCTGTTCTTTCATTCGCTGCTTCATGTTGCCCATAAGGTTGCAATGCTTGGGCCTGCCAGACCTGGGCTTCGCCACAGGTCTGGTGGCAGTTCTTTCATTCTGTGCTCCATGTTACCCCTAAGGTTACATGCTTGAGCCTGCCAGACCTGGGCTTCGCCACAGGTCTGGCGGCGGGTTTTCATTCACTGCTTCATGTTACTTTTAAGATTACATACTTGGGCTGGCAGCAGCTGGATCATTCAATGCTATGTGTTGCCCTTGTGGTTACATTTTGATTCAATGTTTCCCGGCCTGCAGTACACTCTCCTGTGTATACATTTGTCTTGTGATTTTATAATCTGCTGCAGGGCATTTCTTCCATATTACCTCTGTTTTTCCCATTATTTCCCAGTATTGATGTGTCCTGTTTCCCCAGTACTGATATTAGTCTGGTTCATTCAATGCCATGTGTTGCCCTTGTGATCACATCTTTATTCAATATTTCCCGGCCTGTGGTACATTTTCATTGATATCTCTGTCTTCTTCAAGTTGGTGTTGGTATTACTGCTGTGTTTCCCATTATTTCCTGGTACTTATTGATGTGTCCTGTTTTCCCGGTACCAATCTTCCTTATTTTCCCGGTATTGAAGTCTCATTTCCCAGGGCTGATTTCGACTATTTACCCTGTGTTGATATCCCAGTGCTGAGCTGTCCTACTTCCCAGCACTGAGTTGTATTTTTCTTCCCATCACTCAGGCTTCCCATTTATAACCTATTTGTATTTTTTTCTACTCATGTTTCCGTCACTTCCCCCCATTTCACGCGGAAATTCAGCCTCGGGGACACCTCGGGCTGGCTCGCGCAGGCGCCCGCGGGCGGAAGACGCCGGGAGCTTATGGGAGGAGGGTGCGCCACATGAGGCCACGCGGCGAACGTGGACGCCACGCGAGCATACGCGAAAACCACGCGAGTTACGCGCGCCACATCGACACCGCCGTCGCACTCCTTATAGATAAAACGCAGGTATAAACTACTGTACAATCCCCTCGAACGGGACGCAGGTCTGGGTGGCGCATTTTAACGCCCACAGTTGTACAGACCGGCGTCCGCCGCGTCTTAGCACGTTGTTTGCTTGTTGCGGTTAATAAATGCTGAGTTCATCATCATCATCATCTGTCGGGTCTCTGAACTTGCCATGCGGCCACGAAGGTTGGTGCTATCGACATTTGGCTGATGAGACAGCCTACGCAACTGTCTATGTGCGAAATGCAGTTGCCAATGGCTTTGGGTCCCGCGCTCCCGCCACAGGGGCGTGGTGGAGGCGCGCATGTCTCCGCCGCGCCGCAAGTGCACACGCATTGTATGTACTTGATGGCATGATATCGATACTCTGGAGGCTCCACGTTTCTATTTTGTGCAGCCAAGACGATGATCATCAGGGGAGACTTTGTGCATTGTCCTCGTCTCGGAGAGCTTCTGGTCCTACATGATCAAGTACTCGGTACGTCGGTTACCTTAGTCACTATGCATACACATCTGAATGGCTCACTGTCTGCATCGCTTCTGTCAGTCGTCGGTCCCACAGGCTTCATAGAGCATCTGGGAGCCGCGCATACCCAAGAATCTCAGGAAATCCTGAACGATGCGTCGGAACCTCCGATCGTGCTAGAACGAGGCACCTTCCTCGTGCCGACTTTCTGTGACTTGCATTTGCATGCACCACAGTTTCTCTACCAAGGGACAGGCCTCCATCTCCCCCTGATGGAATGGCTAAACGAGTACGCTTTCAAGGCGGAAGAAAGCTTGGATGCGGATCCAATACTGGCAGAACGTGTTTATACGCGACTGACAGAAAGACTGATAGAGAATGGCACTGGAGCTGTTCTGCTGTTCGGAACGATCAAAGTCGACACAAAGTGAGCCGCTGTTCCGTTCTTACGGCCATGCGTTCAGACTCACCATACGCATGCATCGCAGTCTCATCCTCGCGAGAGTGATGCAGCGAGCAGGGATCAGAGCGTTTGTGGGCAAACTCTCCATGGACATGTCCTCGCGCCCAACATACGTCGAGCCATCCGTCTCAGGAGCTCTCTCGTCGGTGATTTCGTTCGTCAGCTCATGTCGTGGCATGGTCGCGCATCTGCCTGTACACGAACGCCTGGTGGAACCTGTCCTCACGCCTCGCTTTGTACCTACGTGCTCGGATGCTTTGTTGCGAAGCCTGGGCGAACTCGCCTCTGCGAAGAACCTTCGTGTCCAGAGTCATATGGCAGAGGCCCACGATCAAGTGGACTACGTCCGTCGAGAACGCGGCAAGTCCGATGTGGAGATATTCGCGCAAGTAAAGAGTCTGCATAGCCTCCTGCTGGGCCGCGTATGATAACACTGCGATCAAAGTCCCGTCTGCTCACACCACGCACCGTCCAAGCACATTGTACATTCCTCGACTCACCCTCGTTAGTCAACGTCGCAAAATCCGGCGCAGCAATCGCGCATTGTCCACTTTCCAACGCGTACTTCTCCGCGAGGCCGTTCCGTCTACGGGAGGCACTTAATGTTGGCGCAAAAGTAGGACTGGGAACTGACATCGCCGGTGGGTATGACATCGACATCATGGGGTGTATGCGACAGGCTGTCACAGTCTCGCGGATGCGTGAAGGACAGGATCATAGCCGTCGCTGAGGATCGGCAGGGATACGATGGAGGGCCCCTTGCCATTGACTGGAAAGAGGCTCTGTATCTTGCTACTCGTGGTGGCGCGATTGCATTAGACCTACCAACCGGTACCGGCGCATTTGCTGTCGGAGCACCCTTCGATGCCCAGTGTAGTAAGCCTCTTCAGCCTCGAAGCGTTGCACGTACATTGAGACCGTCTCCACAGTCCAGCTCTTCGATTCCAAATCAAGCTCTGGTATCGGGCCTCTCGATTTCTTCGAAGGTCCGCATCCAACGCAACTTACCTTGGACGTCATCGAAAAGTGGTGGTGCCTAGGAGATATGCGAAACCGGCTTGCGGTGTGGATCCAGGGTAAACAGCTATGGGGCAAGAAGCTGGGTGGCAGTGTCTGAAAATGATATGCGTTGTATCAATACAGAGTTACACTTCGATATAGACAAACTCCCATAGCGAGCAACCACTGATGTTACATGGAGAGCAAAAACGGATCCCGTCGACCAATGGAAATGAGTAACTTATGCTACCTCTTCCCCTCTCTCCGTGTGTCTGGCCTGCTGGCAGGTGACGTCGCCCCGCCGTTGGGCCCGCGATCATCGCTCGTGCCGAGGTCGACCGTCTGCAGCTCTTCCCAGCTCGGCAGACCGACAACCCCAGGAAGTTCGTCCCACGCCTTCTGTCTCGCCTCGAAGACCTTGTCGCGAAAGGCTTTTCGACAGGGCGTGCAAACGGTAGAGTCGTTATCGAGTTGGTCCACTGCCTGGACCATGAAGTGCAGCGGCCCCGTCCTGAGCATCCATGCATACGACAGGTTTAGCGCGAGCCGCCGAAAGGCCTTCGTGCATACACCTCGCTCTCTTTCACATGTACTGCATTGCTCCTGTTGACTGCAGACGCCGCGTGTGAAGTTGAGGAGTGTGTCGATCCTATGCTGAAACATGAGGGTGTAGTCCTTCATGTCTTGAGCCGACAGCTCAGATGATGGACGTGATGGATGCTCGACTAGCAACTTCGGGTGGTCGCAGCGCAGGATATCGGGGAGAGGGTAGAGGGAGAGGAAATACAAGGCGGAGGGAATCAGGACGGTGGCATGAGATTCCCTAGCCAGATTGAGGACATGCAGGGGATGGACGTATGGATAGGTCGTGCCATTGACGAGAGGTGCCCGAATGGCTTGTTCCACCATGTGGTCATGCCCGCGCAATGTGTAACTCCACGTCTGGGCGAGGAAGCGTATAGCCTGTGTGCGGAGATGCGCGATGAAGTATTTGGTTGAAAGGCGCAAGATGCCCACGACGTAGAAGAAGTCTTCAACGCTACCATCCTGAAACGACCTGAGACACGCCGTCAACTTCTGGACATCGCCGCGAAACAAGCACACGACTCACGCGCCGTCGTACAAGGCTTTGATCAGGCTGCTGAGCTCCTCTGGTAGATCATACATCCTGACAAGCTGGCAGCCGTCGACTCGGTCCACGTCTGCTTGCGTCGGAGGCGGCAGCTCGAACATCGACTGGAAGATCTCCGAGTGCCGAGCCAGCATGCCGCGATGGACCTTGAACGCGACATTGGACGCGTCGGCGAGCAAGACGATGTTGCCGTCGTCGAACCATGGCTCCCCGCGTTCAAGAGACGACGACGGCGGGACTGTCATGTCCGGCGACGGCAGCTTGAGGAGTACGAGGAGATGGTTGCATGGTGGTACGGTGGTGGCGGTGAAGAACGAGTCTGTGCTCTGGGCGTCTCGCCATACTCGCTGCTTGCTCGCTACCACCCATGATCATTACCCTCAGCTCGTTGCAAGCCACGCCTGGCACAGCACTCCTATTCTAGCCGCCCCGTACACCCGTACACAACATGTCTGGGCCGGGCACGCCGCGCTCGAGGACCCCCTCGCGGGTGGGAACGCCAATACCCGGCCTCTCGCGCCTGACCCCACCGTCTGTCCGACCAGCACCGCTCATTTCTTCGAGGGTCTATAGCCATGGCAGCACTTCGACTGTGCCTACCCCAGTCTTGGATCTAGCTCCTATAGATATACTGGCACATGACCCGCACGAGGGTGCTTCGAGCTCAGCATCATCCTTTCTGAACCTCGAGGCACCCACTCCCGAAATGCTTGTAACAACTCCAGAGGCCGAGGTAGTAACGATCGCTAGTGATCAAAGCAGTGTGAGCGGACGAACTGCGACTCGTCCCACAGAGGAGAACTCAAAACAGCGACTACGGGACCAATTGAGACGTACATTGAGCAGGAAGGAGTCCTTCGGCGGTAAGTAACGTCCGCCCCCCGGAGCGCATGCATTGACATGTCGAAGACCTTCAGAGGCGTAGTCGTAGCCGTCATGGCAAAGGCAAGGAGGTTGACCTTCGCGAATTATCTCATTCCGCAGGTACATGCGTTTCCCGAGAGATAACTGTGACATCGCTGAGTTGTGCTTCACAGCGGACACGTATCCTCCTAGACAGTACTTCGTTCTCACCGAGGCCGGGAAGCCGGTTTTCATCAGGTGATGCGATTCGCAACCACAGGTCACCCCGTATATTGATTGCTCGCCTCTAAGTCGCCGAGATCAGGACGAGTCTGACGGGCTGACGTCCACGATAGGAATCATGCAAGCCCTTATATCCGTCTTTCTCGATGACGGGGACAAGATCCGTTGCATCAACGCTGGGAAGACGCGCATAACCTTCCTCCTGCGGTCTCCACTCTATTATGTATGTGTGTCCTCATGGGGCGAGCCTGAGTCTGTGGTGAGTGGCCCCAGTGGCAAACTCAGTGCTGCGCTAATGTTGGAGAAGCAAGACGCGCTTCCATCTTGAATACCTGCACCTGCAGATCCTCAGTGTCGTGTCTGCTGAGCAACTTCGCCGTATGTTCGAGCGTCGGACGAACTTCGATTTGCGCCGTCTCCTGAGCGGTGCTGAGCCATTCCTCTACTCGTTGTTGTCGCGATTAGAATGGGACCTAGCCATGGCGACGTCCTCTTTGCAATGCCTCAAGGTCGAACCTATGCTTCGCAAGAGTGTCGCTGACGTACTCGTACCAACGTCTAAGATTAAGGTAGAACGCAGCCTCCATCTTTCTGTGTTCTTTGTGCTCACGATGCAATAGGACATCTTGTACATGCTCTTGATCGCCCAGGAACGTATCATCACGCTAGTCAGGCCCAAGAAACACTCTATTCATCCGTCAGGTATGACTCGCCCCTAAATTGATCCAACATCTTCTGACCCAGCACAACAGACTTGCACGTCCTCGTGAACACTGTCTACGCTCCATCTATCATCAACTCCTCTGCATCTGCTTCATGGCTACCGATCTGCTTGCCCAAGTTCAACTCGTCTGCGTTCGTGAACGCCTACGTCATGTTTCTGAGGAGGGACGCGGACAAGACACCGGTAACCCCGTCGTTTCCTACAACATCGCCCAGCAGCCAGAGCAGCGACTTGATCAGCGAAGGTGGCCAGAACTCGGAGACTGCCAGCAAGAGCGACAGAGCGAGCGTCCTCGAGAAGGCTGCGCCTGAGATTGGTTTAGTCTGCGTCAGTGGTAGTGCCGATTTCGAGGCCGTCAGAAACTGGTGCGACACTGTCTCTCGGGTAAGCGTCACATCACAGTGCATTTATTCTCGGCATTGACCTTCGCTTGCAGCGTCTGACACAAGACGGGCTGTTGCAAGCGCTTTCAGACGCCATCGACCGCGGCGACACAGAGTACTCGGTGGCAGACCTCGGCATACCAGGTCTTCGTCACTTTGTTTACAAGTCTAGGTCGCATGTACAGGTGACATTGCCGCTATATGAGGATCCGTACGATGATTTGAACGAGAAGCGGAGGTAAGTAAGATTCCTGTCGGCGATGCACTGTGTTCGCTCGAGCTGATTCATCCCAACCTACAGACTCATTACACTCTACGAGGCGTTGTACGATCACATTCACGCGAAATCGGGTCAAGGCAGCACCCTGAAGCTGCAGTATATACGCACAGAGAAAGAGAGCGTTATGGGCTGGGTAGGTTGCACATGATGCTTTGCAATTCGGAGCTGACAGATCGCATGTAGATCACGCAGCCGTTCGAGCTCTACCTCGCGCTTTCTCCGCTCTTACCGAAGAGCGCGATAGTGAATGCGGCAAACTCGGTAGCACGATGGGTACAGAAGGAAGAGAGACGGTTATTCCTTAGAGATGCGCCTGTCTTCTAGACATTCTACCTGGATCTGTGGGTTCGACGTACAATATGTATCGCGTGATGATAAGGACATCCTTCCGTTCGAGCAACAGCGGCAGCAACAGAAGACGTGGAGGCTTGCCTACCGGTGTATGGCATGGTTTATCGAGTGGTGAAAGACGAGGACATCTCCTTAATTACATCAAGCTTGAGTTGCAGACTAGCAGTCTCGGAGTTGCTTGATACCGGCCCTGGCAAAGAGTTATCTACTTCACTGAGTAAATTTGTCGGTTACGAGCCTGTTTGGCAACAAAATCATTGGTAACATCGAGGTCACCGTAGGGCGGCGAATCGTTCGTCACACCGATGTGGTCGTTCTTGCCATAGTACGCAGAATCCAGACATTTGTCCCTGTTGCGGCAAGATAACGATCTGCTCACGGCTGCCACGTGATGATCCGAGGCAGGGGAAATTGTGCCAGCTTGCTTGCGTTCTCTCGTGTTTCCGCATTCGTGTCAAACTCGACATATCCTTTTCTGGTCTTCCCCGCTCACCAGTATGTCCAGCTGGCTAGGGCTCAAGCCCATCTGTCTGGTTCCTCGCGTCTGCCGCACGCTGGTCAACAAGGCCGCCCTCCGACCTGTGCCTCCGATCAGAGGTACCGGAGAGACCCTTTCCTGTCCAGACCGTCACTGACTGCAGTTCGATCTTACAGGCTCCATTGCATCACCACAGGACTTCCTGAAAGCAATCGGAAGGTCTGCAGACACGAAGGTCACGGCAGAGTCCTGGGAAGACCTCTGGAAATTTGATCGTATACGGCTCAAGGAGGCGGGGTTAGAAACCAAGGACCGAAGGTGTGCAGAGTCTTCCTACGTGTTCCGCATATAGATTGGATTGCGGCTTCTTTCTATGTAGATATGTCCTCTGGTGTATGGGCAAATACCGCCTAGGAGAGGACCCTTCTGACTTCTCGCACCCACCAAAACCCAGGAAGAAGATTCGAGGGTACGTCGTCCCGCTTACTCTGACAATAACACACAGTTTCACGAATATCTCCATAGACATGGCCCAGCAGTGCAGAATGGAAAGCGGATTAGGTCGAAGCGGCGCCAGAGTGGACGTTAATCGCTGGAACCTACAGTATAGGAATTGCGGGGGTCTTCAGGAATTCTGCATTTGCTATACTGTGCTGTTGATTCCCCACACATTGCGACACCCTGCCTTATATCGACTATGCGCTCTCATCCAAATGATGATTCATTAGTCAAAGCACTTGTTGAGATATCGTATTTAGCATAGTCTTAGATAAGACAGGGCTCACGCACAACCATCCAGCGTGACGCCTGTGACCGGCCTTCGGAGTAGCCATACGAGGCAGGTATCGCACTCAAACAGGCAGCTGAGCGGCTATTGCTCTTACACTCGTAAACCTATAGAAAACTTCGTGTTTACGATGGCTGGAAATCTGCTCGCACAGTTCTGTCCGCATTTCAAATCTGCAGATTACTGTGCGAAGGAATATTTTTATAACGACTGATTGAAGCCTCCATTAGCTTAGCGCGCCATTGTCACGCAAGCTGGATGGTTGTGCGTGAGGCCTGTCTTATGAGGTAGCAAAAAACCAACTCCGATACGGGGAATCGAACCCCGAGCTACCGCGTGAAAGGCGGTAATGTTAGCCGTTACACCATATCGGACTATTTTTGTAGTGCATCAATACAATCTTGATCGCAGTCAACTACTCCAGGGAAGATTCACACCAGACGAGTCATTCTAGCATTATATTTGTGCGCTGTATTTCGTATTGCTGAGATATAGACCGATATATAGATGTTGGTAAGTTAATTGCAGTGCAACATAGCCCGTGTCTCTCATCGAGGCGTTGTGTGCCTCGTTCACGCGTTGAGGATCTTCGCATTTGAAGACAAGTCATGAATCCTGTGCCGTTCTTGTGAGAAGCAGCACTGAACCCCGATGGTCCAGGTCTTCTATCCGGACCTTTGCCTTATCTGGCAAGATACTCAAAGACGCATGAAGGAGCACTGGTATTCACCTCATGGTCACCTCGAGGTAGGTTTTTAAACGAGCCGGTATTCAATATCGAACGTGACCGCCGAGATCTAACGAGTGATCAGTTCTGCTTCGAGGTGTCGTCGAGGCGCGAGCCTGCCGTGCCACTCTGTGGACCTGAGTGGCGACACTTGGATAGTACGGCCCTCCTGATATAAACGGCTTCCCGTTCGCAACATGTAGCACCTCGACACATTTGTTCAAGCATGCCGAACGAACCCCCCTTCCCCTCAGGTCCGTCTTGCGACTCAGCACAGGGCGCTTGTCGCGCCACAGTCAATGTAGAGACGAAGGCAATAGTCACTAAGTACGCACACACGCACCTCTACTTCCCCTGTGCCTCTCAACCTATAGGTCTCTGTCTGCCGCGTGTGACAGCCGAAAGTCCGATGTGGGATCGGACGCGTGCGACATGCACCGCGAGACGCCGCAGTCTCTACTGTTGCTCGAGAACCAAGCCGGTGTTGTGCAAGCAGGCGTTGGCTCGGAGATACTGCCGCCTCTCGAATCAAGTAGCCTTTTGAAGACACTGCCACTCCTGCCAGCAGTGGAAACGCGCCGCGCTCAAGCACCTGCAGAGGTATGCAACGTAAGTAGACGCATCATCACAGTGGGGCTCAAATCATTCACGACCGTGCACGGAAGGCTTCGACTCATTTGGCGTCGTTAACCACGCCGGGACTAGTGGCGCAGGCACCGATGGCCCCGCCGAATGCTCCCAAAGTTGCATGCCTACAATTGCCTTCGCAGTCACCGAGCCCAGAGACAGGTGCAGCCACAGAGTTGACGATACTGGCGCCTCAGCCCCAGCATCACACCAGCGTCGCCCGCGCCGGCTTTCTTGCCCAGAATCACGATACCGATGATCCTACCACGCCGCGCGAGGGTTGCTTGGACAGACACGGTGTCAATTACCAGCAAAATGGACGGAAGCGGTGACACGGTCGGCCAGCTTACGCCTGAATCACACTTATTCGCTATCTAGAGCCGGTCAGTTTTACTCGATCTGAAGTAAGTGATTTGCTTACGAGTGCTAATCACTAGTAGATGTGCAAAACGTCGTTTGAAGCCGATCTGCTTCGCAGTTTGTTTGATGTCTGTTGTGCGCACTTGATACAAAATCACCAAATGGCACGGACGGGAGTGCATACAGCGTACGATCGAAATATACATCATTTTTCGCCCATACCTCGTGAACGGAGGCAAGGTGCGATAGAGATAGCACTGAGTACCGTTATCTGAGAGCACAGGCAGGCGTATCAGCCTTCTACAGTCATAGAGGCATGTGACGTCGCAGGCAGATCTTGCATTCATGTAGCTTCATCGTGCAAGAGTACATATTCTCGTTGCGATTCGCCGAATTTTATCACTGAAGAAAAGGAGTGCCTACTTGAGTTAGAGTTCGCGGATTGACATCTGAAACGCACCGTCACTAAGCTTGAGCTCGTAGTATCGTGATTCTGGTATCTGCTCATCGTTGACCTGAGTACCATTTGTTGACTCTAGGTCAATGATGAAGGGCCTGTGCGACTACATGAGCGCGGCAGGAGACTACGCAGCATACAAAGACCTACTTCACGACATTCTTGACATCACCAAACTCATTCTTCTCGTGAACCTGTCGGACTGCATGACAATTGAGGACCGGTACTGGATAGCCCGACAGGAATTCTTCAACGTACATTGGATTACAGCGTGTTGTTTCGAGCAGGACGGGTGTTCGATGGCCAAGTCTGCTACTGCACGGTCTCGGCCAATCAAGTACGCACTCTGCCTATGGATGTGCAGCACATCTGACATGGACGAAGGAATAAGTCCACCATGGGTGCAATGAAAGATGAGTCACACTTACCCACTTGCTCCTTCCCCTTGAAGACGTACAGCCTCCAGCCTACTGTAGGTTTGCGCGCCTCGGGAGGTTCGTGATATTTGAGTACTGTGCTGGTGCCATCCACAAGCTTGACGGTTTTGGTCGCTGCGGCTAGTAGTCCTGAAGGGTTGAAGTTCGGTTTAGCCTTGTCTTCCGGCGAGTCTTCACGCTTCGAAGCAGAGCGGGAGCGGTCCTTCGAGTTCCGCGCGCGAGGCGAAGCTGACCGACGCGGAGGACCAGGGCGTGCTCACGGTTGTTGTCCTGTACACGAATCGGTCTCTGTCTCTGTCTCTGTCCGACGGACGGTCCCGATCCGCCCTGTAGCGACCATCGCGTTCGTCGTCTCGGTCGCGTCGATTGCGGCTATCCCTGTCATACTCCGGCCTCCGGTAGTCTTCAACGCGTGTGTTCCGCCGTTCATCTTCCCTACGTCTCTGTCTGTCATGGCCGTCTCGGTCGTCGTAGCGATCTCTGTAACGAGGACCTGAGCCGTATGGTCGATCGGGTGATACAGAGGTTCTCGCCATGCTCGCGCTACTAGGCCACTGAGGGACTACTGACGATAGGTTTCAAGTTTCGCTCGCTATGAGTAGACCAAGATAGTTCGAGAACAGAGAGTGGATTACTAGTCGACGATGTACCAGGTGAAGCACGCAGCCGTGGACGCTTGGTTGAAACAAGGTTGCAGCGCTGAATGTTTGAACGCTCAGACAAGTAGGCGCCCAACAAACCAACTTGCACGCCAAGGCGCTAAATACTCGACATGTCGTGAACACCGTGACAACTTGAACATGTCCAAGGCTTGATGTGTCTCACTGACCCTATCACGGACAGTACATGGCCCATGTAACCTCCGCCAGGGTACGGTGGGTCGTTCGTTGGTGATGGTGGACAAGCGAGAGTGGCATTCGGTTCACTGGCACACATACTAGATTACTAGTCTAATGGCGTCGAGCCCGTCCAACTACCTTGCGATGTGACCTCGTTTTAGCACTGACACCATGCCAAATGCACACGCTGACTGGCCACGTATACGCTTCCCAGCCTACATACCTGCCCTGTCCCAAGGCACCCACAGATTTGGCGCGAGTTGGTTTCCCCTCGCACTCGCATAGAACGACGCGAGGGTACTCATCCCGAGGACCACGTAAAGGTCCGCGCCCGGACGGACACCACACACGTGCAAGCGTCCGCCCGCCCTCGGGGCCTCTTGAAGGCTTTTGATGCGGCCACACTTGCGGCGCTTGACGTCTTGCGCGTGGACAACCTTCCTGAAGTTCATGCAGCTACGCTTGCAGCGCTTGACGATGACCTCCGTTGAAGCAGCCCCCTCTTCCAGCGCTTGACGTCGGCCCATGCTGGCGCAGCCCTCGCTTCCGGCGTTTGACCCTTGGAAGCCTGGGGGGTTGACGCAGCTCAACTTGCAGCGCTTGACGATGGTCCGCATTGAGGCAGCCATCTTGCAGCGTTTGACGACGGCCCACCTTGATGTTAGTCCGTTTGGGACGCTTGACCCTTGCGTCCTCTCCCGCCGCGATTTGAGGCAGCCATACTTGTGGCGACTGACGACGACCTCGTTGAAGCAGCCCCTTTGCGGCGCTTGACTTTGAAGAAGATCGCACTAGAGGCAGCTCGGTTTGCAGCACTTGACCCATGCGTCTTCGCCTATTGCGACTTGAGGCTGCCCAACTTACGGCACTTCACAACGACCCGAGCGCCTTGAGGCAGCTGTACTTGAGGCGATTTCACTCCTAATGCTGCAGGCAGCGGTTGACATGAGTAGGTGCCAACACAATCGACGGCTGACCAACGTACCATCGGCGACTTCAAGCACGTCGCTAACGAGCACCAATGCTATTTGTTGCAGCATTTGACTGCCTCACGGGACATGACTCTGTGATTGTCGATTGGTGAACGGGCAATAACGTGAGTGACAGACATGCGCACCATACATGGGGTCGCCCAGGCTTGCCGCAGTCCCGACGCTGGTCTCAGGCACCCGACGACACTACGAGCACACGACACAGTGGTATGGCACAGGGAAACAAACACACAGGATAAAGACGAGCGAGCGACAGAGAGGAGAGAACGACCAAGAGAGAGCTCAACGACCCGTTCTTACTAAGTGGGCGGACTTGCGGCTGTCGGTGAGGGCTGACAACAGATGTGGCGTCCAACTCGGACAGAATTCGCGGCTGACGCGCAAAGAGGCGTCGAGATGGCTGCGTATGCTTCATATAAGTGAGTACACACTTTCAAATCGGAGGCGGATAACTTACGTTGATGTGTGGCGTTCAAGTTGGTGGTAAATACTGCTGGCGCACTAGGAGAAGAGCCAGCGAGCCCTATAGCCTAGCTAGAACCACAAGCACTGAGCACAGGTTAGACACAGAGACAGGACAACGGATGCAGCCTAGGGAGGGACTTGAGGACGGGGGAAGATGGGACGGGACAAAGGACGGACTGGGCTACGCACGCGGATGGCAGCTTCCTTTATATGCTTCACGACGCCTCTAGATCTGGACGTTCGGCCACGGAGGTTCTGATTTTCCGCCTCATCGATGCGCTCGGGCCAATCACTCGCTAGACCGCCTCATGGGCATTTGTGGGTCCCCACCGTGTCCAAATGCAGAATGATGTGCGGCCGTAAATGGCAACTATGTACGTGGCGCAGCCGGTCCCGGGCCGTTCCGTGTGGGCCAGATACAGCAGACACAACAGACAACAAGCCAACGATGTGAAGTCAAGCCGCCGATGCTGAGAACGGAGAGAAATATATTCTCGATGAGGACGAATAATCAAGGATCGGAACTTGACGCTCAGGACGACAGTCACGTCGATCTGAATCTGAACTAAGTACTGAGTAGCGCCCGATGTGACGAGCCACGCGGCATGATCGCGATCCTGTTCGGAACGCCGGTCAGTTTTTCAAACCCGCTCCTTCTATCGAAGTGACAAGACAGTTCTCCGGGATCATGGTCTGCTGGATTTCCGACATACCCAGTGAGTGCGTTTTGTCTAACGCCGGTCTTGTATAATGTGGTCACAAGCAAGCGCCCAGCATATATCGTCACGGTGACTACGCTTGAACCAGTCTTGACAATTGTGATTGCCCAACTCAAGTCCGACACACAAATCATCTTTGAATGCACAAATCGAACTGGTATACATATCCATAACTTAACATCAGGTACAGTAGATGGTACCCATGTATACGTCTCCAGGGTAGGGACCGAGGTGGTCGAGGAGGTCGGCATCCACGATGTTGGGCACTGAAGAGATCGTGCAGTCGGCGTCGGTCGCATCATCATCGCCCGGACAAGCCACGACTTTGTAGCTCGAATCAGAAACGACGTGTAGTTCTGTCTCGGGGTGTTGGAAGCCCAAGAAGCGACCGGGAACTATGGGCACGGGGTCGTCCACGTTGTTCATGCGAGTAAAGTCAGGTACCTGTGCCGTTCAGCTGTGAGTAGGCGGTCTTATGCACACAGATTGTTGTTGGCATACCAGGGAGTTGACCAAGTCTGCCCAATCCGAGTTGCCGACGCGAGGTGTCCCAAACGTACGACCGACGACCGCGATGTTGGACGGAAGGTTCAGCTTGAAGTACACGGCATCCAACTCGGCAAGTGCTCCTCCTAGCGAGTGGCCGACCTATTCCCTAGGTTTAGTCCGATTGATCGCACTGCTGAAGTGAGAAAACTCACGCAGATCACGGTAGTCGCCCCCTTGGACGAGATGATGCTTGTGCTGCGTCCAAGACAATGCTAGCCGTTTGTGCCTGCTCATTAGCGAAGCCGCTGTGAACCCAAACGTCGGAGGAAACGCCAGGGAAGAGGGAGCTGTCGAGGTTCTCGGTAGCAATGTCGACATCAGTCAGATCGGAGAGGCTATATACACGTGAGTGGAGCAATGTCACCTTCGGCTGTTGGTACTCACAACTGAGTTGGGTCCGTTCCTTCATGGGCAACTACAACCGCATTCTCGGACGGCCAATAACCAACGTAGTCTGTGGAACATCGTCAGCCAATATGTGGTGAAGTTGTAGTGACGCTACGGACACAGTTGGACAGCATTGCCATCACCACCAGTCGTAGTCGTCTCGAACCCCGATACGGCAGAGCACGCCTCTGAAGACATGCATTAGATCGTATCACAGTATTGCACTAGTGTTCTCACTTACCACCGCACGACCAATCTGCAACACTGCTTGATGGACAGTACGCCGCCCGTGCAAGCTGCTCGTAAGGCTGAAAGGCCGACACCTCAGCGGATGACAAGGTCGTCACGCTAGCAGGATTGAGGAATGCTGTGTCGTCTCTTGTCGCGACACGCGCTGAGCGAGGAGCACCGGCAACACCAATGCTTCCCAAGACCAAAGGGAGGACAGCAGATAGGATGTGCATCGCGGTCGTACCGGTGGCTATGGAGAAGCAATGCCGTGTGCTAGATCACCGCGAGGGGAGGACAAGCGAGAGCATCAGCACAGACATGCCGCTCTTATTGTGTGCGCAAACTTCGAAGCCTCAAGTGTGCTCAGGCAGGATTCGCGGACATCACATGTCACCGATGCAGCAGACCGCGTGGACTTGCTGGGAACGCTGGCGATCGTAGTCAACTCTGGGTAGTACATGACTGAAGGAAGACAGCTCAACAGCAGCAAGAATAGCCGGCAGCCGGCAGTGACTAGTCTCGTCGGCGGTGTCTTGCATTATGGACACGATCAGGGAACTGCCAGAACAGGCAGCTTCACGCAGGCGAGTACCAGATGGTCGCCGTATGGCAGGGAGATCCCGTGGTGCTGCCGTTAACGTATCATCGAGCCAACCGAAACTGAGGTCAAACCGCCGATGTGACTGCAAGCTGCGGATGGTACGATCGCTGCCATCGCGGAAGAGAGTCTGGGCGTTGCAAGCACATGCTAGAAGGACCTCCTGACCGGGTTGCATGGTGGGCACTGTCTATAGGGGGAGAAGAGCGGGCGGAGAACGTCGGAGAACGTCTTCCTATTATATCCGCAGTCGCGGCCTTTTGTGTTGGTTCTGCCCTGCGAGACGTGCGTCTCACGACCCGAGCACGTCGCTTTCGAGACCAAAGTGTAAGCTGCGCTTCATTGCTGAGCGCTGAAGCTGAATATTGAATGTCGACTCTGACAAGAAGGGACTAAGGTGTCACGGTCGTGAGCTTGAGCCGTCGAGAGACGCCTGATGCGATACGGGCTGTCAAAGACGACATAGACTGACATCAAAGCCGCTACTGGAGATATCGCTTGAGAACAACGTCGATAACAGCGTGCAGCAAGGGATGAGAGATACTCGCACTGGGCGACCGCATGCTTGAGCATTCGCGTAGGATGCATAGCAGGTGATGATGATGTGGTTAGTGGCGGAGGTGTAGATCGAATAGCCGCCCGTCGCGGTAATCAGATGCAGAGCGCTGACTCGTGACCTGGGCATCGCTGGCAGTGGCAGTGGCATGGACGACCCTCAATGACTTCAAGGGCTTTTGACTTATCCTCGTATGTGTTCACCTACCGTTGCGTCTATTAGTGATCCCCCTGCATCTCGCCACACAGGTAAGTATACGACCAATGTGACGACGATTGAGAACGATCTGGCTGTTCGCCGGACGAACGACCTAGTAGGCTCCGAGCCGGAGATACCTGGACCTACAAGCTCACCCTCCGTGGTGCCACTGTCGTATACAGCCGATCTCCGAGTAAGCTTAATGCTGCAGACTATCCCTGCCACGTCTGTATTGATGTATAAAAATATCGCCTTTACGCATAGTTTCATTTGCTCACCCCCGACATTTGGAGTCTGCCATTTGCTTCGAGGCCGCTGGTCACTAGGGGTCCGGCAACAGTCGACATTTGCAAGAGTCTTAGGGGATATGTAGCGCGCATGATTAAGCTGGCGCCGCTGCTACCGCCTGAAGACCGCCGGATCACCGATAGACGTCGTTGGACATCCGCCCGGAAGCAGTCTTGAACTAGCGGGGGCTGCTCGTGCCGATCCGATCGTTTTTGGCCAGGAATCACCGCTATTGTTCCGGAGAGTCTGCCCCGTGCACTCATTCCGTTTAGTAAGGTATGTGCACCGTTCCATCAAGTGCCACCAGGAATGCGGATGGGACGTCGAGCGAAGCGTGGCGCAGACCTGGCAGTAGGGTGTATATCATCATTCGACAAGGTGCGAGTGCCGCGTTCCGGTATTGGCCATCCCAGGTGCGCGTTAGCTGTGCTTCCGTTGCCACCACTGTCCAGAGGGAGGACGCAAAGTTCATTTATTGTTACTCCTGGAAGGAAAATGTATGTAGGTCTTCGCCAAGAAAAAAGACATTGCAGTCAATCCCTGCCAATACAATGGAGACCCGGGATCTACGTTTCTGTGAATACGTTCTTCTGTTATACGTGGCGACCTTTGAAGAGAGACAGGGCGATTGTCTGGTTGTGAAGATTAAAGAGCATCGGGCTTCAGTTCGTCTGCCGTGTACTTGTTGTCACGGCTTGCGGAATGTGAGGCTTCACGGTCATCCTCGTATGTGTGACAAAAAACGATACTTTACCTCAAGTAGTCATGTAAGCGGACTCGTCTGTATGCTGAGGGAGGTAGCCTTGCTAACCCGCACTGTTGGATCAATGTCACCTGCAATGCCCGAAAAGCAACCCAGTACTCATATATCTTGTTAGGAATCCGTCCAGTCGCTCCTCTGATTGAATTGAGTAAGGAAGCGCAGGTGGACCTAGTAGCTATGACAGTAGCGAAATTATCTGCACTCCGGGTCATTGTCGATTATGTGGGTGGGTGCCTGTGTCTGTCACCCGCACAATCCAGAGCACGCACGGTGCTTCGCAAAAACGTGCCTTTTCCATCCGACAAGTCTCAGCATTACTGTAGTAGCTCGCAGGTGCAGCCTTGTCTTGACTCTTGAAGGCCTAGGACCCAACGACCTTTGCAATGCTTGTCACGATCACGGTGGATACCTTCGTCGAAGAGTTTGCCACTCACTGGGTAACGGTCTCACACACCCACAATGTATCTTTCGAACACCACGAATTCGTGTCAGTCTGACAGCGCCGCGATTCATTTCCCTCGAATGGGGTCCTCGCAATAACACCGAGCGCTGTTGTAAGGGATGAGTCAAAGACGAGATCCGTTCCATCGGGTGCACAATACTCATTCGATACACACCTCGCGCCCAGACCACAGATCCAAGATTTAAGACGGTTGATTCTTGGCTTTCAATGCTCGCGCACATCTATCATCACCGAGGTAGCCGATATGAACGTCTAGACACGCGCGAATTTGTGCTGCATGGCTCGGCCTTCTCGAGCGCGACGAGCTCGTTATCCCGTGTTTGCTCCCCTTCGCGAGTCAGGCCTTCAAACCTCAAACACTAAAATGTGTATCTTCGACGTCAACGGGGGAGTCCGGCAGATCGCCTCGGCCGTTCGTGTACATCATTGTGGAACGGTAAGCCGGCGGCTAAACTTCGAGCAAACTTCCTTCCCAGTCTTCCCTACAGCTCCAACTTCGTCAACGCTCCAACTAGCGCTCTTGTACAGCAGATGAGGCCAGACCATACGCCAGCCTGCATATGCTCTGTGATGATATTGCCCCCTCGGGCGCCGTCAGTATGGAGAACTCGAAGGCTCACATTAAGGGCCCCGCGGACAGAGTGGACGGACCTATGCTGCCATACTGGTTGCGCCCATATAAGCTGGAAAGCTCAGCTCTAGCTGGGCCCTCGGCGCTGTGAAAATAACACAGTTGCGAATTTTAGACCACTGGGGATTGGCTGTCTCCGATTTGAGCGCACCAGTTCAACAGTCGTGTCCCCCATCATTCATGGCAAATGATCCAAGAGAGCCACTCACTTCATAAATCAATCTGCACATGGGCTACGCAGTAAGTGCATAAGATGTTTTACGCTGACGCCTTGATATTGAAACGTTGAAGTTTGAGTCCCAGAATTTGCTGAGATTGAATGTGCTTCCAACAGCGGAGGCCCGCCGTGTAAAGTCGGCGATACCACTGGTGCGTTGAAAGCTACTCCGCCATGGAGGACAAGAAATCTTCGCAGCCCGCCCACTGCCGCAGGTATGCTGCAAATGAATCGTCCGAGTGAGCAGTCGAGGAGATGTGACAGACGACAACGACTCGGAAGCCAGGCCCCAGATGTCCCCGGTATATCATGATCTAGTAGGGTCGCAGTTATCGGTAAGTAAATGACGTAGAGGTTTCACGGGGAATTGATGATTGACCGAGCCTCCGCCCCGGCCCCCCCATCATCCGCGTCGACTAAGACGGCATGTCATAATTAAATCCTTGGCATTGTCAGGCCTTTGCGAGGGTACCATTATCATCCCATATTCGTTCGTAAAGATTGCCCCGCAGGAGGGACTCGGAGGGCATTGCAATCAATGTCCGGAAAAGCATTTAGAAGACAGGGAATAGCCAGAGGCCGAGGCCCCCCCTTCTATGTAATGGATAAGTAGGTGCCAGCATGCTGCGGTCTGAATGCCCAGCGGTCTGGGAGCCATTTGCGATTCCTGAGAGCGCTGCCTGCTGCTATGGCCACTTCATGCCAACAGTACCGCCCTGTCAGGGAATGCCACCGCGCGATTGTCAGCGCAGTAACGGTCCAGACAATATGATGCCCTTCTTCAATCGATTTAGGAAGGGCGCTGTACACCTGCAGACAGTCGAGTAGGACACTTTATCCGTGAGATTAAGTCGAGAAGCGAATGAAAGTGACAGTTCCGGTGTGTCAAGTTCCACATCTGTTCATCGACAAAAACCCACAGAATATGACCGAGGAATTTCACCTCCGTTCTCCGCCCTGGTCGAGTTAACTCGGCGCAACGAATTAACATGGCTGACACCCATTCCAAAGATAACGCAAACACTTCAATCCAGGGCAGCGACAGATAGACGCACCATAGCACACGGTCTGTATTGTCGGAAGTCTTCTACGATCCAGACTCTCCGCACTCGCCGCGCAATTTGATCTGTCGCCAGTAGCCGACCACATTCTCCTCGCGGAACCGATTGAGAAGCCAGATAATGACAGAGAGGAGTCCAGAGAGCATCGCCCGGCCCGGGATAGTCAGCATGACGTTACGACACATCCAGCAGTTCGAGGGGTCGCTGGGTGGCGTTTGAAACGAAGGGACTGTTTACTGCGAATGTCGGCGGATCACAGTGGCTCAGGGCGCTTTCACCCTGCAGATGGTCTCTCAAAAAACCTCTTCAGGGCACTCCCGTTGTTATTCTAGTAAAGGACCATGGGCTGGAATGTGCGGAACGTTCGTTGGCGCCAACCTGAACGCATGCCAGATGGGGAACGATGATACAGCTCGTAATGGCAGCCCCACGGCCCGTCAACCCGGTGTGAGTACTGCTAATACTGCCTGGTTAGTCTGGAAGTACTCATGGATAGATCTAGAAATGACAAGTTCATCATGAATGCACGGACCTTCCGCTAGTGGACTCACTCACGTGTGGAGGAAGACCAGCGTGTGGTGGCGGCCCCAGGGCCTCAGGCGGGCGCAGAATCAACCGTTGACTTCAGAGGCTCCGAGTTACAGTTTGCGGTCTAGGCCTGGTAGCTGGTGCGGTCCTTTCCAGTAGTCACCGACCCGTAGCCTCTTGGGCGCCGGAAACATCCGGCCGCAATCAATACGAACGTGAGTACATTGAATCAGTCGGATTAACCATGGCGAAAGTATATCAAGCTGTTGCTCGCAATGCCGCGAAATAGGGCGGCGGCGTATCTGACGTTGTTCAGTTGCGAGGGGGAGACGAAAGACAAAACCCTATTCTCCGCAGACCCATATGGCAAAGTGCGTGTGCCTCGCATGTATGATGTCCTGGGACTTCGGTAGTCACATACGAGGCGCAGGAGGCCCGTTGACCTGGCCGCCTGATATGGGCCCGTTCGAGAGGAGGTCTAGTGGAGTAGAAGGTCCTCGAACGGATGCCTGATGGAATTCTACACCTAGAATAACGCAGCAGTTGTCAGCGAGGTGCAATAATAGAGTGTGCGGTGACTAGCTTACCTGAACATTTCCGTTAGAAGCGGGGGTCGCCACTGTCATATTGTATGGCGAGCTGGGCTGTGTGGCGACGAACCATCACATGCCAGGGGACGCATATACATTCTGCTGCAAACGTAGTGTTGAACTCTCTTCAAGGTTACGGTGTACATACTGGTGTACTGGAGTCAATGTCTTCGTCATGTTGTGCGACCGGCATGCTTCACAGTAAGCTGGACACGTGAAAAAAACATCCCCACGGCAGCCAAGAGGGACGTTGGAGCGAATGGGTATCACTGAGTGCATTAGCTCTTCTACAGCCTACTAATACAGCAAGCATCAAAGGCTGCTCACATCGCATCTTGTTGCAGAAGCGCGACCGCGTCCTCTCAGACCCGCTCTACGCGCGGATCCGGGAATTCGCATGCCAAAGACAGCGCTCAGCTCCGCAAGGGCGATACGAGAGGATCTTTGGAGATACGTAGAGGGCATTCGCCAATCCGTGAGGGAGCGTGTAAGCAGTTTCCTGGACGTCACATGGAAACCAGAGCCTCCCTATCCGTTGCCATTGAATGAAGCTTTATAAAGGCATCGCACTCACGCCCTACTATGGTGACTCTCGGCCCGTACTTGCTCATTGGTGTGCCTTGGCATTGCGTAGCACATAACCTCGTTCTGCGGGACCGAGCCAGCGCAGCCGCTTCTGGATACTAGAAGCAGGTGCACCGACCTGGTGAGCGCCGGCGGTGGAGAGATGCTGCATAACCACCGCGATAGAGAGGCTGCGGCACGGGGCTTGTCATCCTCTGTATGGCTAAAGAATGCGCACCACCCAGGAAGTGGGGGCGGCGCCGTGCCAGTATGGTGCTTCGGGAAGGTCAGCATCTCAATAAGCGTACGCGCGAGGGGACCCTGGGCGTTAGCGATCTTACCTACGCCTGTCCAACGAACGGCGAGACCATGTGCGTACGGTGGGAGCGACGAATGCACGAGACCGACCCTGAGGTGATCCCTTGGGGGCTTCCAAGGAGCTTCCGTGCGCTCTTTTGACGAGCTCGTGAACGTTTGAACGCCCGAACGACAGGCTTCTGGGAAAGACATCTGCTGTAAGCTCGCTGTCAGGCCCACGATCGCGTTGTCAGCACTACCAAGAGATGAGCCATCGACGAGGGAAACTGGGACGAGGATTGGCTCACGGGCTACATCTGTGCACGGCGACCTGTCAGTGATCCATCAGGAAAGAGGCACGGCTAGGGAAGTCGACGATGGAATGCCAATGGAAAGCGGCGATGGACGAACCGCTTCGTCCGAGGACGCTTTATTCAGGCAATCGCGGTACCGATCAGTGCGAGAGGCGGAGGGAGTACAAGATAAAGTGGCCCGTAGAGCGCGACGAAGTCTCGTAAGCATCCAGTTCGGCGACGAATCTATCAGAGGTTCTACCTGATGAATAATGTGAGCCTCCAGGAGACTAAGGGGAACATTTGGATACATGGATTGCTGACGCAGTAGCCCACCTAGCAAATGCATGAGCGAGATGCTCATTGCTATGGGCATAGAGTTGCTGTTTCGATGAGAAGCAAATGAGTGAAGTTTCCCCGGGTGATTCCCAGGAGGAGAACCAAGAGGATTCTCGAGGCAGAGTGTAGATCTTCTCCACGGCATTTACGCTTGCCGTGAGTCAATTGGTCTGACGGTGTCTGACAGTCGCGGCCTGTGACAGTGTCGCATCTCTCAGACGACCTCAGGACGAGCCACGCAAAGGCCCAGGGCCCTGATCCGACCAAAGCGCGCTGTAGACTGGTGAACGTTCAAGCATGCGAGCGACCGGCGTGGTTCGACACAGTGAGTGGGGATCGCCTCGCAGTCGGAGGCCAGCCTGAGTGCAGCTGGACTTGGACTCCCAAGGCTAGGACTCCTACTGAGCTCGAGTAGGACCGCAGACGGAGCAGGTGCCCCTTTCGCGGGCCAGGGCGTGTTACTGTCGGCTGCGGAGGGCAGGCGCCGGGTGCGGAATGACCATATATGGGTGCGGGGCGGGCGGCCGGTGAAATTGAAAGTGGATGTCGTCAAGGGATTCTGGCGGTCGCGGTGGCGCAGACTGCCTGGCTGTGGCAGGAACGCCCGTGATGGTGGACGAGGCGCCTGGCCCGCTCAGTCGGTACGCCCGTGCACTCAAACAATTATCCTCCCATGGCGTAATCAGGGCCAGCATCCCCCGATAATTGAATTCACCCCAAATGACCCTTCCTCGGCCGAGGGCTCATTTTCCGTCCCAGATCTCCCGCCTCCTCCTCCCTATCCTGGAATACCGGAGGGGAGCGCACGCCCGTCCTCGCATCGTGCGCGAACAGCTATCCTGTTCTGTGGCTGCAGGCCCTCCGCGAGGCAGTCCGCCGCCGCAGCACCGGCGCTGTCCTGCAGATTCAGAGAAACAGTGGTGGTCGGGTTAGGCCGAGCCGAGGCACTAACCACGAGAAGACGCTGACGGGTTGCTGACGGGCTCGCCTGGCGGGCGGAAGACGCAAAGTGATCGACCAAAGCCGGGCCCGATTGGTCGGTGGCTATTCTCCTTGCAATGTGCTCCGCTCTCATATACAGTACTTCCCTCTTCCCTATGACCCCTTTCAACTGTTTCTACCAGCCCGCCGCTTCTTGCGGGAACGCCTCGTTCACTCCCTCCCCGCCTGGCCTTCTTTTTAGGTGAGTGCGACTCGTCTTATTTCGTCGCCGAACGCCTGGCTGACGGGACTCAAATGACGTCCATTCTGAAACACGCCCCTAAGCCATACCTTCCTCGCTCTGCACCCGTGCATGCCCTTCCATAGCTGCCACCACTGACCTACCCCGCGCGGACCGGGTGCTGTGCACCGACTCGTGAAATTATAAACCGCCTGCATGCTCACTGTCATGTCGGCTAACTTTGCCTTCCCCGTCTCGGGCGACAGATCATACCAGGGTACTAGTACTGACGCGCCCGCGCACCTGGGCCACGATGTCGCACAGTATACTCACGGCAGCTCTGGATATCCGCAATTTGCACACGAAGACGCGGCCTTCGCCGCCAGTGGCACCGGGGCTGCGTCCGGTCCCTCAGCGCCTGGCATGTATCACGCACCATCCCATCTCGCGACCCGCACGCACAGGAGCGAGAGCGTCTCCTCCGCGAGTAACTCCCTCTACCACATCGACACGCCGCCCAGCGACTACCAGGTCTCCCAATTCGACGACTCCCAATTTTCCGGCGATGTTGCCACACTCAGTCCTTTATCGACCCGCGATAGCCAGGACGCGGAGCCTTCGGCCGCCATAGCGTCATCGTCTTCGAGTGCATGTGCTGCCGGAACCTCTGCGAGACCTATTGTCAACGAACGGCGGCCTAGCTATGGCAAATCCCGGCGAGAAAAGCCCCGACTCGAACTCGCGCCTGATCAGCCCCTCACCACGCAAGGCAAACCACGCAGCCGCGTTTATGTAGCCTGTGTTCAATGGTGCGGTGCATAAAAACTGCACATCGAGCTGCGCACATCGGCTGACATCCGGGGCTACAGTCGTACCCGCAAAATTCGATGCGACGGTGCAAAGCCTACCTGCCACAATTGTAGCCGCCGCTCAGACCAGAGGAGTCCCTGCACTTACGATGTTGAGCCCAAGCGTCGTGGGCCGGATAAGACTCCCGGGGCTCGCCAGCGGTCCATGACAGCCGGCAAGGAGGATAGTGAGCCGAAGAAAAGGACTCGAAGACGGACGGTGGATAGCCCAACTCCCTCAAGTCCCCCCGATCTGGAGGGCAAGGCACCTCTACAGGATCCTGTGCCATTCACAGCGAGGTCGTTGCCATCGCCTGTCAACATCAGAGCCCTATCGCCCGCCGTTGGAGTAAGCCCGATCGCAGCGTCGTCACAAGCAAGTGGCTCAGGGTCACAGGAAGGATACGCGTCGGGCAGCAGTGATCGACACGGCATGGTGATTGGCCCGACTATGAACACGGCGTCGACGTCGACCCAACCAGTGCCTGTATCCGGACCACATGCCTATGAAAGCATGACATACCCACAAGTACGTATGCGTTTTCCTTCGCTCTGCATCATGGCCTTATTTTCACCAGGGAGACTATCGTTACGTCGACCAACCAGACTACTTGTCGCAAACGCTGCCCACTGCTTATGCCTATCAAATGACCGAATCGGCGATGATGCAACAAGAGCATACCTTTCATCGACCCTTGATCAAGACCGAGATTCCTGCCGAGCCGTCTTTGCGGTACGCCCGTGAGACGTGGTGGGACGTGGTCCTCAGTCTGTACTCCACCTCCTACGAGTACCCACACGGATACCCCGCGCCACTCCCTCCCGGCATGCGAGCGACCGCCATACAGCTCGTTCACGCCGACCTTCGCGTCCTCTTCCGCTACAGCTCGTACTGGCTCTCCTTCCTCAATGTGCCCCACTTGCTCAGGCGGCTACGCGAACATGAGGGGCGTGCGGGCCTGCAGCCAAGCTTCGTGCTGGGTGCGCTCGCTCTGGCGACGTTCTTGCAGAGTTCGGACAGCGAACGGGGAAACGGCGCAGTGGGCCGCGAGCGTGCGCTCAGGCTTAAGGACGAGGCGCAGAGTGCGCTGGAGGCAAGCTTGGCGTCGCGGTGGATCGATGATAATCTGGTTCAGGCGGCTTGGGTACGTAATGCTTTCCTCGATCGCATCTCGGCTTATCCAGCTAAGGCTAACCTGCGCACCACCCACTAGATCCTCGCTTTTTTTGAGATCTGTGCGCATCCTCTGCACACGTCGGAGCGGGTGCGTAGCGCCATCTCGATGCTTGACTCGCTCATACGCTACCTCTCCTTGTCTGTCGTCGATGCGGAAGACCCGCGCGTGACGATCTTCGCCCCTCGCTCCGCGCCCGTCGTCTCGTCGTGCCCGCCGCAACATCGGCACCGCGAGCCGGCGGAGTTCATCGCAACGCAGCAGTCCCCGCCGATGCCGCAACTGCCCAATGCGCCGGCGAAGTGCTGGTGCGCAAGCTACACCCTCGGGCACATGTCGCCGGATACGATAGAGCTCTCGCCGCTATGGAGTCACACCGCCGGCTGGCTCGCCGACTGGACGGAGGCTGACGTTCGCAAGGAAGAATGTCGAAGGCTCATATGGAGCAGCGTTATTTTGATCGCGGGCTACGCGGCGTACAACACGGCGACAGGGAAGTCCATGCCGGAGCTGTCACTCCTGGACCCTGCGAACGTAAGTATTTTCGTCACAAGGGAACCTTGGCTGACGTTGCGGCAGATCGCGGTACTGTTCCCCGGCGAGTCGCTTTTCCCGCCAGGGGCAGGCCATACAAAAGACACAGTCTGGGCGCTGTACATGCGTTCGGTGCTGCTGTGGAACAGCTGCGTGCACATGCGCAACGACACGAGCATGACCGGCGCCGAGAAAGCTCAGTGTGCCATGGACGCTTGGCTCGAGATCGATGTCATCGAGGCGGCGCTCAGCGGGCATACGTGCAATATTGAGCGGACGTTCATGTTTGTCAGCCGCGATTATATATTCATGTGAGTCATTGGGTGTATGCGGCGATAGAGAGCTCGGCACTGATCGAGGACGTAGATCTCGCCTATATCTTTATTACGAGCTGCAGCGGCTGGTACCGCACATCCAACTGTAAGCTACCTTTCGACGTGTTTGTCAATCCCTGCAGGGCTGACGTTCATTTCAATAGAAACGCGCAGCTCCTCCGCCAGAAGGCGGACGAGTGGTGTAAGTTTGCTCTTCCTATTCGCCTGATATGCGACCAATGGTTGATTTTCGGATAGTAACACACCATGACTCTATGGCGAGACGTACCATGTACGGCTTGCACACCATCACTGGGCAGCCGACGAGCTCCCTCTCCGGCCGACCGTTCTATGTCTTCTGGTTCATGGGCCATGTAACAAGGTTGGTCATTCACGCGGTCTCGCGGTTCGAGATCTGAACGCATGTAGAATGGCTAGGATGATCACACTTTGGACCACTGATCATACGCTCCTCATTGCACTGCAGGCGTGCAAGTCCCTGTTCGCGCCTCTGGAGTACCTTATAGCATTATGGCCCTGTGACGGTGCGTTCTTACACTACTCGGTTCAGGTAACCTTCTCAACGCCCACGGTCAACAGAGATACACAGGCGATTCAATCAGCTCCGGGAGCAATTGATTGAAGCCTGCCAAATGGCCTCGGTCGCGCCCCCGGTACCAGCACCCATACGGCGCGACACATCAGCGGCACAATCTGAGTTAGAGATGCTGCTACGCTTGGACCCGTCTCTTTCATTCACGGCGGTCTAACCCCCTGATCAAGCTTGCTTAGCAAATTCTGTAGGGTTCCGAACACTGTACTTAACTCAACGGCATCTGGAACGCTCGAGAAACAACACTGTATCATCTCATCACCCTGCTCTAGTATGTATCGCTGCATCGTGTTTTGTGATCATAAAAGCCGCCACCGTAGTCATCTGGCTGAGGCGCGTTGCGCGCGCTGGCTTGCACCACGCGAATTGTCCTGCCCTAAACTCCTGGTCGAGCGCTTTGTGAATGGCAACGCTTCTGTTCTCATCCGTTGATCTTCGATTGAACTTGCTCAAGTTGATTTTGACGTATCTCATTCAGAATCTCTGATATTCTACTGTATGTGATGGATGTCTATGTGGGCTACAGTTGGACTTCGGGATGCAGCGTAGGACGCGAATTAATGATGTTGACATCCCTTATAGGTCGATGGATGTTCGTCATTATGGATGCCCACAGCGATCTGTAAGAGGGTTTCTACGCACTCTGTGCGAATGTGTATGTTGACAAGGTGTTATAAAGAAGCCTGCAGACACGCTTCGAAACGCCTGCCGGATAAGCAACTGTGCTCTAGCGGCTCTTGAGCTTGCCTGGTCGAGATCCAATCCAAGGTCTTGTGCGCGTTGTTTCATTGGCACAATTTAGCTTTCGTGAGTGCCCAAAAGACACTCAGCGGGTTATCTGGTTCAAAGAGAAGACCCAACAGTGTGAAACCACTTATATATACACTGGTTCATCTTGAGCCTGCGTGCACCTGCGTGTCTAATGATGTCTTCATCAGTCTTGGCCATGTCAATGCTACATATGACGTCTAAAATACAACCATCTAAGACCTCTCAAGAACACCCGAAGGTCACTACACCCTTGCTAACTTGCTTTCCATAGTGATTAGTTACTGCATAAGCCTTGGCGACGTTGTGCCGAAGTACGACCACAGTTGGCTTGCGATTTGGGCATCCTTCCGACCTGGTGTCGCGGAGCGCCGTGCTTGTTCGTGTAGCTTCCAAGCTTGATTGACGCGTTCGCAGCGTAGACCCGGGAGTCGGGCAGAGAGCGTTGCCGGGAGATGATTGGACTGAGTTTGCGGCAGCATCATGGCAGCCACCCAATCCGGTACAATAACCGATTCGTCCAAATTCGTGATATCTCTTCTTGCAACCGAACGTCGACCATCCCTTCGTGCTCGCCGATCACTATCTCTCAGATACAGGCCGATGCCTCCTGACGCACTGCGCCTGCCTCCTGGACCTCCCTTGTCCACGCCTATGCCGCTTTCTGGTGCATTGCAGTCAGATATGTCTCGGTCGTACGCGTCTGGGTCAGCTACTGCAGCCACTCTAAGCGAAGAGCATCCCCCTCCTTCGAGGACGTGCAAGTGGAGTCTAGTAGGAAGAGACTGAAGGATGATCCGCAAGACGTGCCTGCGGGCGGTAGTGAGGCCACTGGACAAGTGGCTACGGCGACCGTAAACGGCGAAGCACTTGCGAACGAACTGGAACAAGAACTGCAGTGCGCATGCTGCTCTGCGCTCGTGTATCGGCCAGTGGTGGTGGTGCCATGTCAACATTTCTTCTGTGGAAGGTATGCGTCTGTGTGTCTCATTACAACGCATGCTCACATGTTGCCACTCAGCTGTATAGTAATGTGGATCCGAGTAAGTCCTACTACTCGCTCTCGGAGTGCAGTACATGTGCACGCGTGTGCATCTGTTCATCCGTCGCCTTCGAACCGGGGACTACATTGGTTGTGCCATCAGTGTACTATCGCATACGCTAACATACATCGCTTCACAGAATGGGGGAACGAACTGTCCTGCATGCAGGGGCATGTCAACCGTTGTCACTCCTTCGCGCGCCTTGCAGACAATGGTCGATGTCCTCCTCCGACATGCGCCGGAAAGAGCGCGACCAAGCAATGAACGCATACAAGCGGACGAGATATACCGGACTGGAGTATCGCTCAGGGTACAGTTATTTCTATTTACTGTCTCCGGGCACTTATTCACTCTGTGGCGTTCAGATTCCTAGCCCGAGGCAACAATCTCCCGAGCCGAACCTCCAGCCCCGGAACACGAATTACGTGCAGCCTTGCCCCCACTGTGCCCCCGGCAACCAGTACGGGTGGATCTGCCCGCAACCCATCGCGGATCCGGAAGTTGACCCTGATCATGCCTGGCACACGGAAGAGGGCGCCCCGCCTGGGCATGCGTATTGCGGAAACTGGTACGCGTCTTTGGTGTATGCGTATCAACGCCAGCGAGCTCACGTCCTGGGCCTCGCAGCGAGAACGTCCTCGCGTCAACAGCGCCCACAACCACCAAGTGCGACTTCTGCCAGGTGTCTTTCTGCGGGATTGGTATCCCGGGTCGCTGTGTGGCGGCACCGCTCCTTATGCAGTATCCCCATGGCCTGTCGGACATCTCCGACCTCATACAGTGTGGCGAGATCTACGACTGCTTCGACTCGAATACCGTAGAAGTGGACATCATGCTCGACTACTTGACCGCACAGCGTCTGACGCCGAGGCACATCTATCGCGAAGTGCGTAAAAACATGAACTGATTGTTACTTCCGGCGACTCACTACGGTATATCTTAACACAGATCGTCGCGTATATACAAACTTCACCGCGCCAGTTTGCGCCCCTCATCGAATTGGACCTCTTCCAGGACGTCCACAACGTCGCAGGTGGGCCGGACCCCGGCCCAACTGCACATCGGAGCCGAATCTGCCGGCTCTGCGCGACCGAGGTGTTCCTTTGGGGCCTGCGCGATTGGTGGGTCCGAGAGCGGAGGAAGGGCTTCCTGGAAGAATACGTGACCAGGCGACCCGACTGTCCTGAAGGGAGTGGGTGTGACCGACAGAAAGACCATGGTGCGCATCACTCCCTAATCAACACTAGTTAGGACTCGGATTCTGACTTGTGGTTCTTGTGACCAGGACACGCCAAGGAATGTAAGCAGCGCTTCCTCCGTCATCGTACCGGAACAATGTTTCTAACCAATGTTCTCACCTAGACAATCACATCATCATCCCGCAAGATGCACCTGCGGCGACGTCTGCGTCCTCTTCTGGAGCTGGGCCAGCTGCGGCGCCCACTACGTCCGCAAGGCCAGCCCCGCTGTATTTGCCCTTGGCGACTTCGTCTGGCGAACGCTCCGCATTACCGCCCTTTCTGCCTCCAGTACCTCCTTACGAAGCGGAAGCGGATCTCGCCCTGCTGTCACAGTTTTCTGCGGCGGTATCTGCACCGGCGTCGTCACAGGACTTCCGGGACGAGGTTGACGCGATGCTATGAAGGGTGTTTCTCTATTTTTGATACCGTTCTTCTGGGCAAATTGGAATGATTGGGAGGTATCATCGACGTACACGGCTCGTTCTCATCACTTCAGCTTCAGGTAGGTGTCTTAATACTCGGCCCCTCATCATCTTCTCATGCCCTTACTGTGGATCGTGTACATTATAGCTCATCTGTACCACATCATGCATCGTTTCTGGAATATATGACTTCGGTATAGCTTCACTCAGCACTGAGAGGCTAACACCTGGTATTGACTATTAAACGCAGCACGGTCTATACAACAATAATAGTGTAGCATCTACAGCAGAATAACAACGAGCAACGACAGCGTACAGCAAGTACAACGTTCATAGATAATCAAGTGCCAGCAGCATAGTAGATCGAAGGTCAAAGGACGAACGCGAACTGCCAGAGACGCGAATTCAAGCCGTGGACCAGCGCTGCACGAATCAAACCGGAGGGTATCCTCCAACATGGTCCCAGTGACTGTCAGTCCGATCCGTCTGAATGTGCATGTCCAGCATGCCGCGCAGCTTGTCCAGGGTCATCTCGCTCGTCCGCTCTTTCTCCGCCAGCCTCCTTCTCTTTTTCTCCTCGGCCTTGGCGAGGTTGAGGTTAATGGCCGAGCCATTCCAGTGCGAGAACTGGCCTTCCACGGGCGCATCCTGCGTCTGCTTCTTGCCAAATAGACGCGAGAGCGTTCTACCGCCGATGCGATGGCTTTTGGGGGACAGTGCTTGAGGTGAGCGGACCAAGGAATCGCCGAATGGCGATGCAGCGATGACGGTCTCCGGAGATGAAGGGGAGTCTCGCCGCATGATAGTCAGCTTGCTGTCGACCCTTGTCCGCACCTGGGTGCCGTCGCGCGTTAGGAAGGCTGCCGGGAGGTCAAGCAAAGGAAGTGAAGCAGCGCTCCGTTCGTCTGCGTAGAATGGCTGAGGTGACGGTTCACTTTCGTCGGGACTCTGAGCCTCCTCGATGACGTCCAGGAATTGCGACGACGTGGCGAAAGAGGAGCGATATCCACAGGAGTAGCCAGAGAAGCGAGAGTAGGGCTGAGGGGCGGAGAGCGACGGAACGAGGATGCCCGGCTAAGACTAGGCGTTGTCGACAAAGAACTGAAAGACGTGGAAGTCTTGAGCGAGGGCGTCGAATCACTGTCATAAGCCGCCCGGCGCGGAGACAAGGGCAAATGGAAGGCAGGGTATGAGGCCTGTGTCGGCGAGTACACGACCGACTCGCACAAATCGTCGGAGAGGTACTCCGTGTCGGACTCCGTATACGTCGAACTGCTCGTAGAGCTTGCGGACGAGACCGGGGCCGACGGTCGGCTAACCGAGGACTCCATGCTGCGATACATGTCCAACAGAGAGTTTGTGCGTGGCCGGGTCCCGATGAGCTTCGTGATCTCCTGCGAGGAACTGCGCTTCTCCACGGTGGGTGTCATCGACTCAGCGATGGCACACATGTCGCGCTCAGTCGCCAGTGAGACGATGCTGCTCGGTCTCGACGTCTCCGGGCTCTTCGATGATGGCCGGGATGATGGAATAACAGACTCGGGCCGCTGAATGGGCGTCGCTGATGAACCTTGGGACTCCGAAGATACACCTAATGTTGTCTTAGGTCCTTACTCCGCGCATCAGAGTGAGATGACGCCTACCTGATTGATCAACGCTCTCGGGAAGGGGCGAAGAAGTTGGGAAAGGCCTCGACAACAGGATCTCGGACATCGCGCGCGGGCGCACAGTCACTGTAGAGCTGGTGTCCGACCTGTCCACTGGCTTCGGAGCTAGATGGGCTATAGGTGAGCTCGAGCATCACCTTCGAAAAGATTAGACCCTTACTACTGCTTGCATTCCTGTAACCAATGTGGGAGGTGCCATTGCCATCGGATGGTCCACGCAGATACGAGGCGTCCGACAAGCCGCGGGGCCGAGCGGCCGTGGTCGTGTCAGATGGTCCATGACCACCTGGTCCACCATTCCCGTTCGCATCGCCATTCCGTGGCCCAGAAGGACCATCCTTGTCCGCGCGGGAACGCCCACCTCCAGGACGCTTTTGGCTGTACGCCTACAACCTTAAGTCAGCCTTGCGTCATCCTCTCACGAACCTCGCACACGTACCATGACAACACGAAGGGCCCTGGTTTTACCCCGCAGTCAGCCCACACTACTAAATCTGATTACAGAAAAGTACGCACCGGATTTGTAGGCTCCTGCAGCTGCAGAGCGTAGAAACGCCGTAGATTCCCACAGACGTGGCATAGCTGAGCGCGCGGTGCATCGCATGCTTCACGAGCGATTGCAAATGCACAAGTTCGTACGTGCTTGACAGCAGTAGAAGTTGGCTCAGTACCGCGGGCGCATGTTGGAGAGGCGTGATCAGGCCCATGGAGTAGAAGTACTGCACCAGCGCCAGAGTGACTGGATATGGCTCCGACAAGTTGAACGAGCGAGGTGTGAGCCTCGGATCCGGTCGCGGTTCCTGCCCGTCGTAGGCCCCAGGTAGTTCAGGCAGCGGCACGTGCTGTGGGATTGGCTCCATTGCCTCTGTCTCCCGCTGCGCGGCCTGCACAAACAACTGACGTTGCTCCTTGAACCAGGACCATCGTTCCTCCAGCAGCCTCCGCGAACACCGGATCTTGCGCCCATCGTCACATAAGATCTCAAAGTCCGCGAGCGCGCCCTCCTCGAACGCTGCCAGTCCAAGTTCCTGTGAAGGGACGTCCAAGACGAGCGGCGGCGGTTGGTAGATGCCAAAGGCCTCCAGATCAATGCATGTGACGTGGTCCCAGCTGAGCAGACGTCGGTTGTAGTCCTCAACAAGGTTCCCATGTCGGTTGCCGAATACGATGAAGCGATTCGCAGCGGGCCATAGACAGCTTCGGAACCAAGAACCTGTCGCGAGAGCGCTGCCGGGATCAATACGTGACCAAGTCATGTTGATGAGATCCAGTGCCCAAATCGAGAAGGATTGGTACGTCTGAGAGAGATAAGTGCCGGCAACGATGAAGAAGGTGCCCAGTATAGCCCCCGTTGGGAACCGAAGACCTGGAGGAAATGAAGTACCAGTCATGGCGGCGGATCGGTCGGACACGGTAAAGTCACCGTCCGAAAGTGGTGAGAACACTTCCAGCTCCCGCTGGACGTCAGTGAACTAATTTCCCAGTCAGTTTTGGTTCACATTCAGTAGCGAAGCCGGAATGCTCACGTTGTAGTTGCTGAATAAAAATATGTCACAGGGATAGTCGTCAGTTGGAGAAGCAGAGTATGGCAGATGACTGAGCGATTCTGGGGAAGTGACAGGCGTAGTAGGCGTTCCATTCCTGTTCGTCTTGAAGCGTGCGCCAGCGGGACCGAGGTTAGACGGCATCGATTGACCGGTGCGCATCTCCTCTTGGGGCAACCGGACTCGCATATCCGCAGTGACAGCTACACTTCGGTATGTCCCACAATGTCGCGAGTACTCCCGCCTCTGCACCCAAACCTTCTTGACGAGGTCATAGATGTACACGTCATCCAACCAGACGTTGGCGAGGTCCTGACCACCAATGATAAAGAGGCGGTCCGCGCTGACGGAGCTAAGGTGGGCGTAGCGCGCATTGGGAACAAACGAGGGCGGTGATGATTCGCCGGATGTGGCGGACGACGGAACCCAGTGTCCAGAGGTGAAGTCGAAGAGACGAACGTCGTTCAAGACACAGAGATCCTCAGGGTTGTCGGACTGAGGCTTGATAGCCATACCACCGAAGATGATGAGATGGTTGCACCCTGATCAGACGAGTCAAATGAGGCTAGGGCAGAGACGGGGCGGAAGACGTACATGCATCCGCGCTGTGGAAGTATCGCGCCTGAGGAATATCGTCCTCCGGAGATTGGGGTAGCCTTTCCCAGTGGAAAGTCTCCAGGTCAAACATGTAGATATCCGAGACCATCCTACGCTCCGATACCAAGCGACCTCCCTGCAAAATTCGCACTTAGCATGACTATATGCGCGTGAAGTGATACAGTACTTACGTAGAGATACATCTTCGACCCGATGACGGTGGTCGACGCGCCCTAGACACGAGGCTAAGTGAAGGTAACTCGCACGACCACAGCAGTATACGCACGACCAGCTTTGGAGGCACATCTCCGGTAGTCCTGCGGCAGAACGCGGTGAGGTCGGATATGGGATACATGGCTGCGCGCACAGAGCGCGAAGGGACGGGAGAGGAGACGTTATGCGGGGGCGGGGAACGTCGGACGGGGTTAGAGATCGAAGGCAAGTCGGGCAAGAGACATTTGAGTGTGAGCAGCGACTCCGAGCACCTTCCTTTTCCGGAATCCCCACTGCGCTACTGCGTCCGGCAAAACCCGCAGCATCGCCCGTGTCACACGTGCCCAGCCGTGACACGTGTCACGCGCGTAACACCGCTCAAGCTGCCTCGGTGGCTGCTGTCGCGCCCTGAGGCAATTGGACTCAGCCTTAGACTTCAGTCCACCCATCCGCAGCTTAACAGCCAGCTGCGAGCCGTACAAGCAGAGCCGGCATAGTGTACTGACCATATTTCCACACTACCTCAGTACCTCAAATTCGCTGCCAGCTCTTTGCCATGCCTGAACTGGACACCCGCTTACGGCTTACACGACGCGCTTGAACTTATTCGGCGCGTGGTTCTCATCTTCATGGATTCTTCCCCGGAATGCCAGCCACGACGTTTTAGCTCCCTCTCAAGCCGCTCCGCATCACGATGCACAACAGTGTGTGGCGGCCGTCTCTCCCTGTGAGCTCGCTCGCCCTTCTCTGCTTCTCGCCTTCGAACGCTATCCGTGACGGCACACGGGCACAGCATTCGGATTGCGGAATACCGTTTTGCTTGGTTTTTCCCTTTTCTCCGCACTCTCAAACATCTTTCCTACGTTTCCACTCGGTGAACGGGGTGATGGGCGATGAACTATAGTGAACCATGGGCGGAAATCACGGGCGCATCTCAGCAGTGGAGCGCTTTACTCAATCCGACCGTACGCAATGAGTGTATATACGCATTTCCACCATGCGGCAAGATATTGGTGCGCGCGTCATAGCCCCCCTCATTCCGACACTGATGGGCTCGTCCCGAGACCTGGTCTCATCACCCTCTTGGCTGCTCGTGGGTCCATCCGGGCCCATCCAATGTGTGAGACTGCCCACAGCGAAGCGGGGTTAGGCACAACACCAAGGTAGGTATCCATAGACAGTTCACAGACGCGTTTGAACGTCTGACTTCCCTAGTACCCCCGTCGGACGCTCGTAGGGTGCTTAGCAGTGAGACCCTGCCGCTCAGGCCTCGAGTGCACTCACAGCTGTACACGCGATCTCTCCATTGGCGGGTGAGTGTCCGCCGATCGAAGGCGCAGAGCTTGAGTATGATCCCCATGATCCTCAAACTCAGCTCCGAGGTTGCACACGCCGCAACTATCACCGAGCGGTCAACCGGTCACGAGTGATCACAACTGACAGCAGTGAGAGGTATTCACATTCGGATGCCAGGTACGGTGCACGCTCTTGCTCCTCCGAGTAGACGTCCATCCTACCTGAGCTCTGCTCGCCGGGTCGACAGCAATATGACAGACAGCGTCACAGGGCCCGGTCAGGGCACATCCTACGATGTGCGTCATGTCACTGTCCGTGTCAAGGCCCTGAGGCAACCCCGTTCAAGACATGGAACAGCAGTTCCCTGTGCTCGGATGGTGGCTCCGCCTGATGCAGATGTCTCAAGTCACTCTAAGTTTCTGCCAAAAACGGAAGGCGACGGACCTGCGGTGGCAATGAACGGACATTAATCGTCCACAACCAGAGAGAAGGCGACGATGAAGGAAGACGTGCCTTGAGGCTTGCCTTGCATCCGTGCTCTTTCGGATCTACGCGACGCGCGGCGAGGTCTGTGGGGCCACATCAGATGCTCATCTGGACGTTCCGAAGTTCTTTGATTCATTCTTTTCGGGCCTCGAGAACAGCGCGTGTACCGCGGAGAGCTGCTGTTGCTCATGAGCGGATTTGGGATGCATCGAGTACGGCTTTAATTTCCATTGGACGGAGCATTCGCATGTCGTCCGTTGACTCATGTCGCTACGCTTTCAGACAGGACGCGATTGTTCCATTCAGGCCACTCTGCAATATTACGTTTGACCGATCTATCGCCTCTCTTCCCAGCACTGGCAACCTACTTCTGTGTCTCTGTGGTTCGGGGTTGCACGTTGCACGCTGGAGGGATATCATACTGTGTGGCATTCATGTGAATGTACATTTGGATCGTTCAGGACCTCGGCGCAACATCACGACGATTGATGCTTATCTGTGATTTTATGTACGGATTGAGTCTGTGGCGAGCTTGACCACACAACGTTATGGAAGGTGACACTGACTTGATGGTAGTCTCTGTTCGCATGATGTGGCTGCCAGTTCAGTTCTCTGATGATCTTGCTGATGATATAGATAGTGCACCCGATCTGGATTTAGCTTCTTGCAAGGAGGTTCAAGACGACTATGATAGCTCCATTCCCTGATCATAGTGGTACTCCGATTATCGTCGCAATTCGAATTCATTCTGGAGCCGCTGATCACTGCAATTGTAACGTCGCTGAGTGATAACTGCACGGCAGCTGCATGTGCGACCGATGCACCCCTAGTATATATACGTTGTCCCCGAGTGGCGCAGAGTGGGCGCGGATGAGTGGAGGAGAGCCAAAGGAGAGCCTCGGCTTCGTACCGAGTATGGCCGAGCCGAGATCAGATCGTGAGGATCGCTCCTGGGGGTGGCATGGCCAACAAGATGACTCGCATTCCTCGTTGCATACACCGTTTACAGACTCCCTCGCCGCCCTTCCGTACCCCATTCGTGCACCCAGCCTTCCAGCATCGAATGTCAACATCCGCCCTGTTCAAGAGACTCCAGACAAGGTCGTCATCACGACTCACGACCAGTATGATGCACCAGAGTCCCTCTCCCCGTCCACCGTAGCACCCTCGCCCTTCGATCAATTCCGGACATGGTTCACCTCCATCCAAGGCGTCGTGCGCGAGCCCGAGGCGATGACCGTCTGCACCGTCTCCGCGTCCGGCATCCCCTCCGCGCGCATCGTGCTCCTCAAGCAGCTCGACCCGCGGGGCTTCGTCTTCTACACGAACTACACGTCGCGCAAGTCGCAGGAGATGCTCGCCAACCCAAATGTCGCGCTCGCGTTCTACTGGAAGGAGGTGCACAAGCAGGTGCGCGTCGTCGGGCGCGTGGAGCAGGTCAGCAGGCAGGAGAGCGAGGAGTACTACCGCAGCCGCCCCGTCGGGAGCAGGGTCGGCGCGTGGGCGAGTAGGCAGAGCACGGTCGTTGCGGATGGCGAAGTGCAGGAAAGGTATGACACGCTGAAGGGCCGGTTTGGAGTGCAGGAGAACAACCCGGACGCGGACGTGCCTCTGCCGGACTTCTGGGGAGGCTGGCGGGTAGTGCCATAGTGCGTCGGCCCGTACTCACCTCAGTTTTACTTATTGACGGGCTCACAGCGAAGTTGAATTCTGGTTGGGAAAGCCCTCGCGGCTCCATGATCGTGTGCGATATCTTCGTGCTGCTGGATCGCCAGAAGATGCACCAGAATGGACGATTGAGCGACTGGCACCTTAATTCCGGTTCCAAACCAAGGGTTCGACGAAAAGCGATGTATCGATAACGGACAAGGACGCCTGTAGGTACGTCCTCTTACAACATTTGGACATTGATCCTCGCTAACGTATGCGCGTGCTACTCGCAGAAAACCACACTTTGTAAACTCGTGTAGCATGGAAAGATGGCCATGAGCAATGGAACTGGGAGATAATGCGAAGATAGAATACAAATGAGCTAGCTACACGCACACTAATCAAGACAAGTACCGAGCATACATACCACTAAGCCAAGTCATGAAGCTGCTGTCGAGCGAGTCCGAGCCGAGGATCATGTACCCGTTCTGCGACGTCCCATCTCCATTTGTCGGCGCATGTACATGGTCAGGCGGACTCGCCGTGCGTTCCGCCGACGTGTTGTATGTCTGCGTCATCCCTAGCCCAACGGGAGCCTCGAGCGGACCGGGGTACGGGTCAACGAAGTCGGGGGGCACCGCGGCGTGATACATGTCGTAGCAGCGTCTGAGTGAATGGTGCGCGTGTCAAATGGATCATCCTCTAGCGAAGGTACTGATGGCGAGGCGTGCGACGACATGACCCCGGAGCGGATGGCCATCGTGCTGACGGCATCCCCGTCGTGGTCAATCCATGAGTCCGTGTGGCTGCTGCGCCAGCTGCGGTATATTGTCCGCGAGCGATCGATGCATGCCTCGAGGGTATGCTGCAAAATCAATGTTAACGGCATGCACGCGAAAATCGCGGTCGACAAGCTCACAATTGACTTCGCGGCGGTCTCACACCGAGGAGCTACCTCGTGGAAGAGCCTCAACACATTATCCAGGACCGTAATCACTTGCGAGGACATGGGGCTTGTGGGTACACGGCCGAGCACCAAGCATAGTGCGAGCTAGACATCGACATCAGACTACATACTCACCACAGATGTCCGGAAATCTACTCACCGCGGATGACAGGCAATTCGACCACAGGATCGAAACCCGCACACACAGCTCCGGCTCCCATCGGTAGCACGTATTCAAGGACCAGATGACACTGAGCGCGCTGTGGAAGGTTGCCAAAACGGATGGGGCATATTTGTGCTTCATCGAATAGCCTTCCGTTACCTTCATAGCGGACGTAAAGTACGCCCTGTGCAGATTCAGCAGGGCTGGCGAAAACTGATCATCAGCATCGTTCTGTTGCGGAAGCGGGTAAACACTAACTCTGCTCGCGATTACACTGGGTCAATGCCTGCTGCATACCCACAGGGTGAGGTGGTGCGACCCCGTCATTGTCGACCATGCGTAGTAGTGGTGGGATTTCGAAGTCGCGAATCCTGGCATCGAGCTCGAGAACTTCCGTGTACCGCGGTGGCTGCGTCGCATTGATAAGTTCGGCCACGGGATACTGACATTGTGCGAGAAACTGATCCCTCCATTCGTGATCTGGATACGGAGGTGGGTTAGCGGGCTGCGGTCCGCTCGAAATAGTGTCCGAGACGTACAGGAAGAGATCACATTCGCGCACGGTGAGCCGAAGAAGTTGTATGCCGGCTGCTTCACGTCCACATGACGGAGGTGGATCGACGGCGGCCGCCTTAACATTAACGCCTAGATCGAACAAGATGTCAATGACCACTCAGCGTCCGGGGACAGGCCCATAAAGGACGCGAGCCGACCATGTCGGAGGCGGAGGACTGGCGGCCAGGAACTTACCAGGCGCACATCTATACTCATCATGTTCCAGAGTAATGCCTTCCGCTTATCCAGCTCTTCGGGAATCATCTTGCCCACGCCATCGCGGTCTGTCAGACAAAGTTCAGGTGTCCGCAAATTTCAACATGGTTCTTCAATACATACGGAGACCGAGCTGCAGAGAAAAGAAGCTGTGAGAAGGCACCTGACTCAGGGAGATGACGAGAACTTACAGTTTGCGCCAGTTTTGCCAGGAGACCCTACCGGAAAGTTACATTGTGGGAAAGCCTCGCGGCTGTAATGGGGACTCACCATCATGCCCCATGTATGTTCAGGGGCTCTCTTGAAGCTGGTAAACATGAGCATGTACCATAACATGAAAAACTGCGAGCCCGATGTTAGCGGATGACCCGTCAGGGTCGGTGCCTGAGACCTACCAATGCGTTGATGGTATCGATACTGGGATCGTCGAGCACACTAGTCTCGCAGAGTGCAGCCCTCGCTAATTGATGGTAGCGTTCGGCAACATAAGGTTCGTGTTGTTGCTCCAAGTCGACCGCAGTGCCCATTGCGATGATCATCAGGAATAGGCTGAGTCGGTGGGGAAGCAACTGCGCAGTCGGGGTGGTGTAGACGCTATGGACAAGGTTGGGAATGAAGCTTTCGCTTGTGTCCGGGCTGTAACTGTCATTGCATGTCAGCGAAGAGATGCATGCTGCGGTCAATGAGCCAGGCTCACTGCCAGAATGCGTTGCGCAGCGCTTGCTCAGAAATTCGCTGACCCTCTGCGCGGTCAGGGAGCATGTCCCGAATTCTTTGCCTGAGATTAGGGTTCAGCTCAGGGTGCATAGCCTCGGGGAAAGGGCAGGAGTGGCTAAGTCGTGCGATGTCATCGGGGATGCCGAGATAGGTCAGACTTGATATAGCCCCGTTTGATGAAGCTACGGCATACTTGCAGCCGAGGACAGTCAGCAACGTAGTGCGGGCGAGGGGTATGCAGCGTTACCTCGTCATGAATGACACCCGGGGAGGTCGATGAGCCTACGCTGGGGTGGTCTTCGTCGTCGCGCCGAGAGCGGTCATGATTGTTTGACTGCTGAGCGCCATTGCGCTCAACTCCGAACAATTCGGGTGACCTCTTGATCGCCAGGAGCTCTTGGCGTAAGAGAGGATGCGGCTCGGTCGAGTGTGATGATTGAAGCTGCCCAAGCGCATCCTCCAGCTGGTGGATGCGCTCCGCCATGGACTTGATCTTGTCGTGGAGCTGCTCCGTGTTGGCAAGAATAAACCTGACGGCGCGCCGATGATTTAGATGTCCCACGAAGTGACACCCATACATACCTGCTACCCTTGCCTCCAGTCAGAGCACCGTCCGGACATATTTCTGCACAGCCTCTTTTGCAGCACGATTGACATGGAAAGACACGGTCGCACTGGCAAATGTCAGGATGTTTGCGCCAAGAGGATGGGCCGCCGCGACCCACCTTTAACTTAAGCCTGGAGGGAGGAGCACGTTGAGCTCTGCGTCACCAGCATTGTGAGCTACAAGATGCGCACCTTCTACATTCTCCGCAGGATAATGGCCGTTTCCTGCTTCTCTTGGAGGATGCGTCCGCCGAAGCGTCAGCGTCAGGATGAACGGAGGGCCCAGCAAGGCTGTACGGTTGGCCGCTGTCGTCGAGTGGGTCGTCTTGACGGGGCCGTTTGGCTGGAGGCCCGCCGTCGCGATAGCCTGACGGCCCTGGCATGGGATGGGAGGAGGTGACAGACAGCATTCGGGATGCGAGAGGTCGGGCGACAAGAACGGACTGGATATGTTTCCGCTGCACGGTGAACCCCGACAGAAGCGCTCGATAATTCTCCCGCGCCGGCCAACCGGAGGGCGAGCGGTACGTAATTATAAATTAACCGGGTCCGACTTGGACGGAGTCCCGTCAGATCCTCGTCCCCGCCTCGACACCACCGTCCGACTGCGTGAACATCGCAAGGCACCCTCGAAATATAGCCTCTCGTGAGTGCGCACCTCTCCCGTTCATGTCCACCGCATATATTCTCTACTGTTTGCGGCGGCCGCTGCAACTCCGAGGCGAACGTCGGCGGCTGTCAGCCTCTGATGGCACATCCCGGCGACTGCACCTTGACAGTGGCAAAACCCGACGATCGGACTCGAAAACCTCGGAGTGATAACATTCTACACTTGCCAGATGCAGACTTGTCGGGAGTGATCGCTGAAATCTGGTATTTCTCGTTTGACAGCTCGGCGCCGCGGCGCCTGTATCCTGCCTGGCCCATGTCCTCCGCTCTCGGCCACCTCAGGTCTCAGAGGTCTCTGCTCCTTCGCGCTGCACCCCGCAGGCGATCACCACCTGCCAGAGGCACGCATAGCGATGCTTCAAACAAGATTAGGGAACCTCGCCCGTGGGCAGTTGAAAACGTTCCTCCAGTGGACCCCCGCCCCACCTGGGTTTTCCCGCTGAGTCGCATTGCGAACTACGTAGTGATACCAGGTATGCCTATCTCCGAATCGTTCCGGGCGCACTTGGTCGTTCATTTACCCGTTCCTTGTTCAGCAACATTGTTATACGCCGTGTTCTTCGCCGATTCGGTGAGCGAGAACACGTCTTCATGCCCGTATGTGCTTCTCCCGCGATGTTCAACGCTCGAGTGACATAATCCTGAGAGTTTGCGTTAATAACATAGGCTCGAAGGTGGCTGGACAGCAGAAGGCCGCTTTCTTCGACTTATCCGAAGCGGAGCGTGAGATCGCTGGGGTGACGAAAGATGTGAGCAACAGTTCCATGGAGGAAGCGGAGTCCCGGCGAGATCGGTAGACACGAATGTCGTACGGAGAAACCATTGGATGTGAGTCTTCTCATGCGTGTTGTGATATATGGCCAACCTGTCCAAGCTATGCAAAGACACTCGTCAGAGTTCCGAGTTCATCAACATCGCCTCCACTTGACAGCCGCGGATCCAATGCTTGAATGTCGCCAATGCAATGCCTTATTTATTGAGCTTGGTAGTCTTCAGTTACAGCACAAAGGTCAACGTCTTTGCAGATGCGACAGCGGACATCCGAGCCACGTCCCAGCCTGTGGATGCCTGGTCTTCAGGCAAGGGACATGATTGTATGGCATGAAACTCGAAGAGCTCTAGCGCACTAGAGGCGGTCGATCTAATGGCACAGACATGGGACTGACAGCTAATATCACAGTGGTAATGGAGCGAACTCATATGCGTGCAAGTCGTATCTACATAAGTGCGTCTCCATTGCGCTGTACAGACCCAGCGATGACCACATCGTGATCAGTGAGTTGTCCGGCCTCTGTATTCCATCATCTATACCGTTCAGAAAGCCGTGCCTTCATATCTCTCACCTTGACCATCTTTGACCGCCATATGTGCGCATCTCTCCCATTCAATGGCGGCCGGCGCGAAACACCTGGCCCAGCAGGACGTTCGTGTTCACTGGTGCGCTTCCCATCCCTACGCGCTCCCCGCCATTGGCCGATCAGCCAATAGGGTGTCACAAATCTGAGCAATCCCATTGGCTGATATCTCATCACGTGCATAGACGCTCGTTATCCGACTTCTTCGGGAAATCCAACTCAACGCCTTCCCCAGCCGCGGATCGTGATTGGCCTGGTGCACCTTCAGCAACAATGGCCCTCATCCTCCAGAACACTGAGCCCTGGGCAGCTCCAGGTAGTGCAGCAAGGTTCAGAATTGGAGTCATCAAGTATTGGCACCGCTGTCACGCTGGATCCCCACAGCCTGACACAGCGCGGTGCGCTTCGGGACCGTCCTCGGGACGAGACGGGTCCTCTACTTAGCGACATAGTATTTAAGAACCCCTATGGGGGACGGGACGCTGTGTAAATTGTCTATTCTCCGTGCAGTCTTTGACACACCGACGCGACCATGCTTAGGACTGCGACTATTCGCTGCCTCCCATGCTATGGTGAGGTCTGCACGCGCATGGCCCTCCCCTCTGTGGCTCGTCGTACTTTCGTCTCCAATATTCCGCGTCTCAATGTCCTGACGGGAAAGAAGGCCACAGAGCCGGCATCCGTGGGTGCCGAGGGACCCCATAGACGTACGTTGCCGTCGATTTTAACTTGTGTCTATGTTCAAGCATGATGACATCCCGCAGGTGACAAGGTCCCCTCGCCACCCAAAAGGGAAGAAGTTGCAACGGGTGTGCCGTCTACAATCAAAGGCGACTGGGTCTTGTTCCATCCTGTCTACACTTCCGAGGAGCTGCGGTCTGTTGACGTAAGCCAGGTGGTCTTCTGCCTCAAGGCGATTTTCACTATGTCCACAGATATTGCACCGAGAATCGAAAACATTTTCAGACCGGATTGCCTACAATTTTGTGAGGATATTGAGGTATGATACCCTCTATCTCGTGTTATGTTACTGATATTCATCGCGGCCGTAGGTGGGGGTTCGATGTGGCTTCTGGCTACAAGCACAAACCCTTCCACCCAATCATGAGAGCATGTCTCTTGAAGAGCTGAGGAAAGGTGGCTATATCATGGACGAACGCCAGTGGCTGAGGGTAGGCCTCCGCCTTCTCATGAACCCTGACCGGAACTTCACGTCGTTTGTTACATCCAGCGCTTTTGTTCTTGGAGAGTATTGCTGGTGTCCCAGGAATGGTGGCGGCTGCGTTACGCCACCTGAGAAGTCTGCGTCTACTGGTGAGTTCGCGTCTGCTGTCTGGGACATTCAATACCTTGTCTGACATTATGGCTCTCAGCGTCGTGACTCCGGATGGATCCATACGCTCTTGGAAGAGGCCGAGAATGAGCGAATGCACCTCATGTACGTCTGCCACGTCCAAACCTCGTTGGTTGGTGTTAATCACCGCTGTTCCAGGACCTTCCTCTCGCTGCGGAAACCTGGGCTCATCTTCCGTGCCATGCTCATCGGCGCCCAAGGCGTCTTCTACAATACATTCTGTGCGTGTCCGACTCGGCGTGTTTGAGGCCTTCCGTACTGACCGGAACTCAGTCCTCTGCTACATGCTTTCTCCGCGCACATGCCACCGCTTCGTCGGGCATCTGGAAGAGGAGGCCGTGATCACTTAGTGAGTGCTCTCCGTTCACCGCGCGACTTCAGCATGCTGACTTCGCTGCCCTCAGCACACGATGCATACAAGAAATTGAGGCGGGCCGCCTGCCGGAATGGTACGAGGGTCCTTCCCCCACGCACGTGGCCTATTCTGACACAGGTTTCATAGGGCGAATCATTCCGCGCCAGAGATCGCAAAAGACTACTGGCGCCTCGAGCCCTCCGCTAAGCTGCTCGATGTCATCTACGCGGTGCGGAGTGACGAGAGCACGCATCGGTTTGTCAACCACAGTCTGGCCAACCTGAAGCCTAATGACATCAACCCATTCGCGCTCCGTGAGCCCGACATGACTGTCAAGGGCAAGAAGATTGCGTATGTACACTGCATTTGCATAGGGGAATAATCCGCTGATGGTCCGCCGTAGTTTCGACCGCGACGAGGCCAAGCAATACGCAGAGAGTCGCATCGTATTCTTGACGAACGCGAGAATCCTTGAAGACCCTCTGGTTGCATCCATTCATAGCTCATGATTATTTATCTGCTGTTACATCCCCACTCACATCTAACCCCGCATAATCTGAACTCGTAACATAGCCCCTGTAACTGACTTTACACACGCATGACCTGATCGATACCGCGAAGCCTTGGCGAGGCTCGCAAAATTACATACCAAGTTCCTGCTGACAAAGCGTCTGGTGCAGTCCACATTGTAGTCAACGTTCTTCGTGATCAAGCAGCACACACTGAAGGTTGGGTTTGTACGTCTTTTTGTCATTTGTCATTTTTGTGACATCTATCCTACTATGCAGTGTGCTATCGGCATATAGTCCATGAATGTCCGATGGCATGACAATCTACTCTACAATTTCCGGTAACACAGCGTCCGTATACAGCCCAAGGCATGATGTCCATAATGTCCATTGGCATGCGGCGCGTTTTGGTTGACTCTATTTTGTACAGTAAGAGGCTTTTTGTTCGTCATACGTTTCTTCTCTGACGGTAATCATCGCCTGGCAACTCAACTCCCCCTCTCTTCCATCTCGTCTCGCTCTGGATTCTCCGAAAACCAGCGGAGAACGAAGCAAACGGACAATGCACCCGTTTCATGAGGCATGGCCGAAGGCATGACCTTTTACTCGAGAACGAGCATCTCGAGGCGCTCGAGCACGTTGAGCGCGGGCGAGGCGTGGTCAGCGGATGGCTTCCTCGCCTTCGCCACAAGGGGCCGTAGCGCCTCTCCCAGGTCCTCCGCGAATCCGGAGACGTCAATGTCGACGCGGAGCTGCGGGTCTTCGTCGGGCGTAACAGGACCCCGGCTCTCGCTGCCCGAGGAGGAGGTGGACGCGGAGTCGGTGAGACTGCGGGGATAGCCTTCGTCTAGACCATACGAGAAGAGGTCCACGGTGCCGATGTCCACCTCCACTTCGACGATCTCCTCCTGTACATCTCCGTCGATCGCCTCGACCTTGGGCGTAGCGTGACTCGACCCGACGGGTGCATGCATGTCCTTCTTTGCGCTGGCATCCTCCTTCTTTGGCGGGAAGAAGGTGGGAAGCTCGAGGATGCGCTCGCGCAACTCCGGGATGGTAGGTCGTGCAAGCGGATTGATGGCGAAGATCTGCTTCAGGATGCGGATGACCCCTTTCGAGATGGGGAGCACGCGCTCGAAGTGATCTTCGTCGACGATGAACTCGCTGAAGGCTTCGTCTGCCGTCACGGCCAATTCCCAGGGATTGAGCCCGGTGATGATGTTGATGAGGAGGATGCCTAGGGCCCAAATGTCTCCATGGCGGGTGGAGTAGGCGTTACGCTCGCACTCCTCTCCGATGCACTCTGTGAAACCGAAGTGAGTATGTTTCGCCTCGTTCTAAACAAAATGAGCTTACCGGGACTCATGTAGGCTGATGTGCCACACCCGAAGGTATAGCTGAGCGCCTGTCGGGTCGCCAGCCCGAAGTCAGCGATGTACACCTCGCTTCCGTCGGCGTTGCAGAGGATGTTCTCCGGCTTGAGATCACGGTGGAACACCTTGCGCTCGTGGCACGCGTGTATCGCATCCAGGATTTGTACGAACACCGAACGGACCAGCTCGTCGTTGCCCGCGTACAGCAGCTCGTCACGGTAGAGTATTTGGAACATATCGCCCGCGAGATGTTCCATGACGAGGTAGAAGAACTGAGCGTCTTCGAAAGTGGCGTGCAACGTGAGGACATGAGGAACGTCCGACACGAGTTGGTGAATGTTGATTTCCTCTCGCTGCTGCCATGTCTGCGAATCCAGAGGACCAGCCTTCTGAACAATCTTCACAGCGCATTCGAGAGGTGCCCTATATAGAAAGTCTGTCAGTCACGCGTAGACGGCTATGAGGGGATGTACGAACCCGCTCGATGAGGTCGGGGCGTGGTGGTCGAGAGCAGTATAGACAACTCCAGCGGCGCCAGCGCCCAGGAGCTTCGTCAGCTCATAACGACCATCTCCGAGGAGTTTGCCAGTGAAGTCAGGCAAGTAGTCTGCAACACACATTGACTGCATCGTAAATAAGACGCGGATGGAGAGTAGTGATGAAGTTGATGTCTTTGCCTGGAACTCGGTCGCCCTTTTATACATTCGCAAGACCTGCGCGGGATGCAACCCGTAGCTTCCGACATGGATACGGAGGTAGGACATCCGTATCCGCTACTGCCTGTCCGTTCATCCTGCTTGGACAAGAGTACGCTCTGTTGGGAGCACGCGGTCAGGTCTGACATGGATGTCGGATGATAGCGGGCAGAATCGTGACGGAAGTGCAATGGTCACCTCCCGTCGCATTTCTGCCTGCTATCATCCGACATCCATTGCGCGGAAGGCAGAGTCCCGACAACACTCATCCGAACCAACGAATGAAGATGAAAATCCGTACTAACCGGAGCTACGGTACCTATCCGTGAGACCCAGACCCTACCACCTAAGAACGTGTGGAAGGGCCCGCTGGGCATCCCGTTAGTTCTATGACTGTTATTAGAACCTCACCCGGCCGGTCCGCCCGACGACTTAGGCACCTTCGCCAATATGATGGCCATGACCAAAAGTTAGGGAGGCTAGCGCCTTCCTGGCTGATTGCAGCGTGGATATAACAGGGAATGCGCTCATCGCATGGCATCATACTTGAAAGCCTGTAGGGCGTCGTTGTAGAGGGCCCAGACAGGTACTAGGTAGTACTTACTATAGTAGAAGTAACTTATGTACTAGTAGAAGTAAGTAGTAGAAGGTCTGAGCGCTAAGTTAAAGCAGCCTACGCGGTGGCGTGACATTAGTGTGACCTGTTATGACGTCTTGTGGATGTCCTATAGCTCTTCATTGGGACGCAGTAGTGTCTCTGTACCTACGGTCATTCATCCCAAACCACACGTCTGTGGACACTGTACCACATTGACCTTGTCCTCTTCGCGTCTCCTTTCTACTTCAATCTAGTCAATGCGGCCCCGGTAATCTGCGGACATGGTCCACTCACATTTCATGCCTCCAACTACTAGCACTGAGGGCGAGTTTCCAATCGCGCACAGTAGTCAACACCGTCTTCGCAGGAGGTTCATAGGTCCCCTCCCAAAGCATACAATCCTGAACTCCTCAGGAAAGAAGAAGAGGAAGCGCGAAGATACTAGCTCCGCAGACCTTGAGGATGGCGACGGTTTGAGGGACGCCATCCACACCCTCGCGCTCGACTTCTTCCTCAGACATGGTGGTTCACCGGAGCACTGGGGAGAGGACCAAGCACAGTCTGTTCGAGAAGAGATGTATCGCCGCTGGCGCCAAAGCGAGTGGGGGCGCGCTCTTCGGCAGCGCAAGGATGCCAGTGCGGACAGACACTGGGTCGGTACGTCCTTTGATGTGGGCGTGTTTCTCGGAGTCGATACACTGGACAAGACCTCTCGGGTTGGCGCTGAAAGTAGCACCTCAATAGTGGCGGCGACCTCCAAGCATGCCAGTGCCCCTGCTTCAACAGGCACGGAGACATTCGTCACTGCCCCTCAGTCCAATACGGCAGGGAATGGACAAGCCTTGGATTCCGTTTCTACTCCGGCTCAGCGATCCAAACTTGAACAAGCGAGCCATCGACCAGCCGTCCCATCTGAGGACGACAGACAGAGCGCAGCGGACTCGTCCACGGCCCTACTCAGTTCGACTTCTCCAGGACCAAGCAGGTCTACCAACGCGCATACAGAACACCCAACCAGCCCGAATGTGCCTGGTGATATCCAGCAACTCCCCTCAATGACGGACAGTTACGGGATGCCGTGGTTGGAAACGGCGCAGCCCACAAGGGCAAGGGCAAGATGCACGTCCATTACTCGGATCCTGAGCCTGCCCCACCGTCGGAGGTCCTCACTCGGACTGGAGAGGCTGTGGAAAATACGAGCGCAGGCGCGGCACAGCAGGCCGATCCTACGACGCATGTTGCTTGGGGAGACGTTATCCTGCGAGGTATCTCTCTAGCCTTTGAACTGTTAACATCGTATTTGAGCCTAAAAGCCAGACAGGATGCTCATCAAATTCTCTCACATCGAGGCAGAGGCACTCCCGTCGAACTTCGACGAATGGCACAACCGCACCACCGGTCACCTTTACAATGAGGATTGGAAGGACTACATTGTCGTATGGCGGAAGGATAGGCTGGAGTTGTACAAGAGCCATGTGCGTCTATTGTCGATATGCTACGATTCAGTGCTCAGTATGCCAATGGATTGTAGAACATGCCAGGTAAAGACTGGATGCTGGGGCATCCCAAGCTTGTCTTCATCGTTCCGCTTGACGCATCAACTACGCGGCTATCCCTGTACTCATTCGTCGACCTGACCTTCTGTATTGTATGTGCGCCTGCGCCCCTGAAGCACCGCTCGAAGAGGCGATGGTTGTACGGATCCAGGAAAGGGCTCAACATCTTCATCTTCAAGCTCAGGAGCCGCAGCCGGGCGACCGACTGGTTATGGTATCTCTGGTAAGAACCCCCCCTCTGTACGTCTCCACCCTCCTCACTGGTCATCCAGGCGCCATATGGGCAACGCGCTCCCCGACTTCCTAGAGGTGCTCTCACCCACACTTGAGACGCGCATCAAGATCGACATGCCCGGATCAGAAGGCAAGGACGTCGCCGGCGTATACGCCGTCTTCAGCCCGAATAACGTCCTGCAGCTCTGCCAGGAGCACCTGATGAAGATGCCAGAGTACCAAGGCCTGCTGGGTGCTCGTCTCGCGGCGGGGGAGGAGCTGGCGCTGGCGTGGCGGTCGGGGATGAACCTCGACTGGGTATGGCAGCTTGAGGACGTTCGGGGGCATCCACGCAAGTGGGCTGTGCTCGCCGGCCTCGCACTCAATCAGGTCAGTACTCCGCCAAAATGTGAGGAACGCATCTAACGACGGCAGCAGGGAGGCAAGCCAGCGCACCTGGAAGTCCGTCTGAAGGACCACCTGCCCACTCGGCTGCACCTGGGGGACGGCACACGCCTGGACGAGCCACCCGCTGTGGAGGGCTACGTCGAGCGTATTCGGCCGAACTCGCAGCTACGCCAGCCGCTCTACCTCACAACACACGATGGGTACCTGTTCACGCTCCTCCCCGCGCACGCGCATCATCCGCCTCCGCCGGGGTTCGTCCCGCCGGAGACGGAGCCGGACGCGCTGTGGAGGGACGAGGTGCGTCGGGGCGCGGAGCAGGTGTTGAGGGCGACGGGGATGATGGACCTGAGGAGCATCGTGGCGGTGAGGAGGGCGTTTCAGCTCTTGCCGAGTCGGGCAGACGAGCTGCCGGAGAGGGGCGAGGGTGCGCAGGAGTGGGATGAGACTGAGGAGTTTTGGCGGGCTGTGGAGAGGATGGAGGGCGACGATGAGGATGTGGGTGGGGAGGCGGGGTTGGCGAGATGCTCCGTGCAGGAGAGGCCGCGGCTGAGGATGCGTCGATCATTCGAGCTGTTGTTGACCACGGGCAACGTGGTGCGCTTCGAGGTGAGTATCGAGCTGTCGCAGGGCTATCCAAGCAACTGACGAGCATCCTCTCCAAGGCGTACTCATGTCAGACAACGCTGGAGTGGATCGTCCGCCTCAGGCCTCTCATATCCTACTGGCGAAGATGGCATCACGCAAGTGCTCATCAGGAGATGGAGCTCGTGCACCAGAGTACTGGGCGCGCACGGATTACTCCTCTCACGCACGTTTTCGAGGATTTGGACAGGGGTCCTGAACCAATTCCTGACCCGGACGCACCCATTCCAGAACTGAGCACCGTTTTCAACTGGTGTGTGCTGGAAGGCTGCCGGCCGATCGTCAAGTGCGGCAAGCTATTTGCTAGGAAGGGGCTGAAGGGCCAGTACAAGTGAGCGTCTTTCTTCGCCCAGTCTGCTCTGCTATTGACACCTTGAGCAGGCACGTCCAGCTCACGCTGGTGCAGGGCAACCTCATCCAGTTCCGAAAGACTGGACGCAATTCGCTCCATCATCGGCCAGACAGGCTGATCAACTTACTCGACGCCTCCGTCATCTCCGGCTACCTCGCTGCCCAGTACCTCCCCGAGGGCGAGTACGACCCGGACGCCCCGCGCGTGGCTCGGCGGTACCAGGACGGCCTCGAGACGGACGACGGCGACGAGGACACCCTTTTCATGCTGTGGCATCGGACCATAAAGGCAGGGGGCGACGAGATCGAGCGGATACACCAGGCCGCGGGAGAGGGGGCGCCGCCGCTGAAGATGAAGCGGAAGCTGGCAGTGTTCCGGACGAGGAGCAAGGTCGAGCGGGATGCGTGGGTGTGGGCAATCAATGCGGAGATTGAGAAGGTTGTGCGGGCGACATTGGGTAGGGAAGAGAGGATTAGAGAGGCGGGGAACGTACCAGGGACATAACGGTATGATATACGGACGATATTGTGGGAGTACTATACTTCATACTGGAACGGAGCGATACTTGCTGTACGACGCTGAACAATGATACCCGTGTTGCGAGCTCATGGATGTAATCGGGCGTATGATAGGAATGCTGAAGCAAAGCTGGGTACGGTACATGCGATGCAGCCAAGCCGCGGGTGACACGAAGAAATATATCTCTATGTCGATTTCTTCGGCTTCTTGACTGAGAGAGGCGACAAAGCATGAGGGCTTTGAGGAAACATATAACAGGAAGAACTGACCTCCATATTTACTCCTCGCATTGACCCTGTTGACCACCGGCCCAAAGTCCAGCGCTCCTCGGACGACCTTATACCTAAACCGCGCCCACCCGCATCAGCACCCACCTGCACACCAAGCACACCGTTACTCACCGCACACCGGGCAGATCCTGCGTACGCCCGCCCCTCACGAGCACGACGGAGTGGTCCTGGAGCCAGGAGCCCTCGCCCATGAGGTACGCGTGGACGGTGTTGCCGTTCGTGAGCTTCACGCGCGCGACCTTGCGCTTCGCGGAGTTGGGCTTCTTCGGCTTCATGATGAACGTCTGGCTGACGACGCCCTTGCGCTGCGGGTTGCTCTCCAGGAGCGGCGCGGTCGGCCGCGGCTTGCGCTGCGGCGCCTTCGAGCGCATCGACTGGTTGAGCGTCATCAGCGAGGGCGGGGAGGCGTGGAACCCGCGGACGCAGGCGGGGTTGGTGAGGAGGGTGGGTGAGGGCGAGACCATTGTGGCCGGGCGAGGGAGGCGGCGGTGCGCAGGAGGGAGAGCATCCTCGGTGTTGTTGCTGCTCCTCCGCGCTGTGAGTGAAGATCGAAGTGCGCGGTTGCCGTTTTGGGAGCGCCGCCGCGACTCGCCCGGCCCTGAACGAAGTCACTCGCGCGTAACCCAGACGCGTCGTCGCGTCTTGCACCCGTCCTTTGTTTGTGCCTTTCACTTTCTTCAACAGCGAACTGCTATGCCTGTCGCGGGCCCTTCCAGACGTCGCAGACGTGACCCATCCTCGGACGGCATCGAGGAGGCCGCCCCTACCCAGCGCACGGACGACGTCGTGAACGACGATGAAGAGGCGCCACCGCGGCGCGGCATGAAAGCCGTCAAGGCTGAGAAGCAGAAGGCGAAGGAAAAGCAGAAGGCGGCGCAGCAGGAGGCTGCAGGCGACGGCGACGAGGACGACGCGGACGTCGACCCGCTCGCGAACTTTGGCGACCAGCCACTCGACAAGGCGCAGGCGCAGAAGATCCACGGGTACTCCCAAGACTGGGACATGATACGCAAAACTCGGCACGTCCAGTTCTATGGGCTGGTGAAGGACGTCGCGACCACCTTTGCTGAGTTCGCGGAGGGAGACAAGGGAGAGAAGGTGAGCGCGGCTTAGACTGGCCCGGGTGCTGTGTCCCGTGTGGCGAGATGTTGACATTGTGTAGATGATGACACAGATGGATAAACTCATGCGCGAGCTCATGGATACGGATGCGGAGCTGGTGTATCACAACAAAGTGCTGCACGACCTGCACCAGCAAGTCGTGCGAGGTGAAGAAATTGTAGCTACAGTTCCCTCGGTGACATCCTGTGACATGGCAACTGATCTGCGTAGACCAACGTCGTAGATAGATACCAGGAGGGGGTCCAGACCAAGCTCAATGAGTATCAGAAGAAGACAAGTCGCCAGAAGTACGCAAGGACAGACGAATATGCGTCTTACAAGCAAGCGATCTTTGTGAGTTGACAGCCCATGTCCGATTACCATCTTGTATGCTGACAGATAACCGCAGGAAGTGCAGAATCCTGGAACTGCGATGCCGCCTATGACAGATCTGATACCTCGAGGTAACTACATCTCATGCTCAAACGATTGGTAACCCCCTCATGTTGTTTACAGAGGACGGAGACGAGAGCGATGAGATGAGGATGACGTCCAAGTCGGAGGTGTCACGCAGGATTACAAGTGTCCGCTGACGCTGACTATCCTAGTCGACCCGCTAACCTCGTACGTCGGACTATATGCGCCGTTCCGGTCGCTACTGACCCGCAGTAACATACAGGCGAGTCTGCAGCCACTCATACTCCGCGACCTCCATCCGAGAGTACCTAGGCGTGCGGGGCGGCCGCAAGAAATGCCCTGCGCTGGGTGCCACAAGGAGATCTCGCTAGGCGACCTGTCGCCGAACAAAGAGCTCGCGAAGAAGGCGAAGGATGCGGCGCGGCGCGAGCGCATGCGAGAAGAAGACAGCGATGATGAGGGCGAGGTCATCGAGTGAGGTGACCAGGGGCCCATCCGGCTTCTTGACGAGGTGTTTTGCAGTGAGTGGAGCCATCGTTTCCGAGTCGTGCTCCGGGCGGTGCTCACATCGCTGTCAGTGTAATCTATGTCTGATAATGTACCTTAGCTGCTGCTTGGTGTAATGGGTACGCTCCCAGCGTACTAAGTACGCCGACGCTTGGTATCCGGTCGGGCTCGTGCTGCGCCCGAGACTTGCCAGATAGTAAACCCCTTCAGCTTCAGGTCTTTGAAGTGGGCGTGCCTTGACCGTATCAGAGACGAGTTTGTGACAAGTCCTGACGAATATATCTTTGCTGCGAACTGACCGGTCGGCGACGTTGCTGTTGTCCGGAACCGAGGAGAAGACATTTGTTGAGGTGCGTTGGCCCTTCGTTTCCATTCGCGAGGATATCGCTTGGATCCGGTTGCGAGGCAACGGCCGTCTCGAGGCCGGTCTGAAGCCGATCGTCTGAACAGGCTTTTGTGCGTGGGAACTCTGGCCGAGGTGTCCACAAGCGCCCATTGCAGACGCAGGATGGCGCGCCACTGCACCGGCTGGCTGCTGCTCACATTGTCCGTATCCAGCACTTGCTTCTACATGTCAAGGTCGCAGCACGACGACATGCGGCGACTGCATGGCATCTTCCTCGCTTGTTGCTCGAAGGAAGTCGCACCAAGATGCCGTTGACAGTTCGCAGACAATGAACATCTGGACGCGGGCGCTTGGGGGCAATGGCCCATGCGGCTTTTGTCCTCGTCGGGGAAGGACTGCCGCCATCCCTGGAGTGGGCCCGAGCTGTGCGTGTTGTGTTGTTTGGACACCTGTGCAGGGCACTTTCTTATCCGAATCTGCACAATCAGGCCAACTGTCAGTATGCCGCCCAGCCGGGGCGCGCCATTCCCCTAACAGGTGCGTAATGTATAAAACCCGGGCCACTGTCCGCTCCATGTTCAACTTGTGAAGTCGCCCTCTGCCTGCATCTGCTCTCGCGTCCCTCGCGCCCAGCGCATCCCCTCTCTTTCCCGCCCTTCGTTTCCTCGCTCTTTGCAATACTGACGCTCTCTTGCTACGGTCTCCTCACGCATCATGCACGCACTCGCACTCATTCACTTCCTTGTCACTGTCGCCGCTCTGTTCGGCGCCGTCAGTGCTGCCCCCATCGCCTCGCCTTCCGCCACGCGTCGAAAGCTTCCGCCTTGAAGGCTGCCAAGCGCGACGACTCTGGCAAGCTCGTCGTCGCCCATGTTATCGTCGGCAACACGTACCCGTACACCATTGACAACTGGACGTCTGACATCCAGCTCGCCTCCGACAATGGTATTGATGGCTTCGCCCTGAATGTCGGTCCGACTCCTGGCAGCCGGATCGCGTTGCTGACGCGTAAGTCTTCATACGCGACCTGTTCACGCGTCATTGCTCCAGTCTCGGGTTTCGATCTAGGTACCAGGCCGCGTCCAACCTCGGGCTCACTTCAAGCTCTTCATGTCGTTCGACATGACGGCCCTGTCCTGTACGCAAGCTCCGATGCCGCCACGCTCAGGAACTACATCACCTCGTACGCGACCCACCCGAACCAGCTCCTCGTCAACGGCCAGGTCTTCGCTTCCACCTTCTCCGGCTCGGACTGCACTTCGGCCAGGGTCTTCTGCCAGGGCTGGAACAGCCAGTTCATCAGCCAGCTCACCGGCCAGAACGCGGTGCACTTCGTCCCGTCGTTCTTCTCCGATACGAGCGCCTACAGTGAGTTTGACGGCGTCATGGACGGCACGTTCAACGTGAGTTTCAGCTGAATGTCATCTCTCGAGCGTGATGACTCATCCGATGACCTGACCACTCAGTGGAACGGCGGCTGGCCTGTCTCGCTCACCGTCCAGAGCGCACAGAGCGCCATTCAGGGCCTGGGGTCCGCCCTGGGCGATGCAACCTTCACCGCCCAGCTGGAATCCGTGCTCAACTCGTCCATCGGCACGTTCTCCACCGACCAGACGTACATCAGCGCGCTCAACGCCGTCTCTGGCGACAGCAAGACGTACATGGCCTCAGTCAGCCCGTGGTTCTTCACCCACTACCCGCAGAGCTCCTACAACAAGAACGTAAGCGCTCACGAACCGATCCCTCGATCATCTCGCGATTGAACCGAATCTGACTTCTGGGACCGTGCAGTGGCTCTACCTGATGGACAACCAGGGGTACAACACCCGCTGGGAGACGCTCATCTCCAACCGCGACAGCGTCGACATCGTTGAGATCGTCACCTGGAACGACTACGGCGAGTCGTCCTACATCGGGCCCGTCGAGGGCGCGCAGCCCCAGGGCACGACATGGGCCACAGGCTTCGACCACACCGGTAAGCCCGTCGTCGAGCTCGCGCGCACAGCGGTACTGACGGTCCCCGGACGCACAGGCTGGCTCGCGATGACGAAGTACTACGCGACCGCCTTCAAGACGGGGGCCTACCCCGCGATCACGCAGGACCAGCTCTTCATGTGGGCGCGCCCGCACCCCAAGGACGCGCAGGCGTCCAACGACGGCACCGGCCCGCCGACGAGCTACCAACTCGTACGTCTCCCCGCGCACACGTCGCACCGTGACACCCGCTGACTGCCCGCGACAGACGGAGGACGCGCTCTGGGCGGTCGCCTTCACGACGCAGCCCGCGACGGTCGCGCTCACCACGGGCTCGGGCACGACGCAGACGGTGGATGTGCCCGCGGGCGTGACGCGCCTGTCGATGCCCCTCACGGCGGGCGCGGGCATGGCCGCGACGATGACGCGCGGCGGCGCGGCGGTGCTCAGCGTGAGCCCCGGCGCGGACGCGTTCACGTTCAACCCGAACCCGCAGACGTACAACTTCAACGCGTTCGTCGCGTATGCGACCGCGAACGGCACGACCTCGTGATGACCCCCTCCCTTACCCTGTCCCCCGTCCCTGTCGCGTCGCCCCCTCGAAAGCGTGACTGATATCTGCGATACCTGTCTTAACGCTCTGGACTTCCTTCAACCCTCTCAACGCGACACCCTGCAACGTCCAACTGCTTGTTGCACCCCCACTTACGCGCGCTCAGCCTGCGCCCCTCTTGATCGCCCGACATACCCGGTGCTGCCCGTCGCGCATGCTTGCCGGGCGGCCTGCCTCCATCCTCCGTTACTGCTCCGCACGCCACGCGTGCGGCCGCCCTGTCACGACTCTGCGACGTCGTCTGATGCGCTCGAAGTGCTCTCGATGAGTCCTGCGCGGTTCATTATGTATATCTGAGATTCGACCGGTGCTTTGTGTGATTCTTGCTAGATCTGCTGTCGGCGCATGCGTCCGGTCCCTGTATCCGTGTCATGCTTGCATGTCTCGGCCTTGTCTGTATTCGTGGTTGTCTGGTGCAACGAAGTGTAATACATATCAGTGTCACGTCTTTGGGTGTCTCTCGGCCTTGCGGCGGGTGGGTTGTTTGTTTGTTACGATGGGTGTCTCACATCTATGAGTGCGCGGTGATAACTTGCGGTGATAACCAGCAACCAACATGAACCTCAATCAACTCTGTACAGCCTATCAGTGCAGGCACTCGGAGCCACCGAAGATTGACGTTCCACATCTATAATAGACAAGGCCAGACATCGTCACTGTTGCGCGACGAGCCGGATCCACTTGTCTGCGCGTCTCGTCGCCACGATCTCCCCGTCCTTGATGACCGTGCGCGTGTAGGACGGGTTGAGAGCGGCGGAGTAGAGCGAGTCGTTCTCGTGGAGTAGGACAAAGTCAGCCGCGTCGCCCTTGGCGGGGAACAGGCTGGCGGGGCCTCGCGCCGCGATGGCCTTGCGAGCAGTGATCGTCACGGCCTCCTGAAATAATTCAGCATGCGACAGGTTTCACTAATAATAGCAAATACGCACAACCAGTGTCTGACATCCCCTCTTAGTCCCATCCTGGAACACCGCCACACCCATCGGGCAGAGCGCGAGCGGGTCGATCGTCCCCTGGGGCGTGAACGCGTTCTCGACGTTATTTACCGCCATCCCGACCTTCACGCGGTGCTCCCGCGCGAGCCCCGGCACGTCGAGCGTCGCGCGCGGTGGCCCCGGCTGCCCCCGGCCCATCATGTACATGTCGCTCGGGGGAGGCCGACCAGGGTGATCGGCAGACTGTTCTGATTCTCCGCGTCCTCGACGGCCATGCGGAAGCGCGTCCACTCCTCTGCGGAGAAGAGAGAGAGGCGCGTTGCGTGCCCGACGCATACGTGCGCTCCGTCGGCCCAGCGGCCTGAGTTGATACGGCTGCGGAGCTGCGCGAGGAGGTACCATATGAGGGGCTCGGCGGTCGGGTCCAGGTTGTAGTCGAGGTGGAAGTCGGCATGCAGCTTGTTCTCGTGGGCGGTGTCAAGGATAAGGTCGATATTGCGCTTCGCCTGCGCGATGCTGGGCTCGACATAGGGTGCAGACCCGACGGCTTGCACACCCTCGGTGCAGCGCCTTCGCGCAGGAGGGTAAAATTCTCCCCCGGATGCTCGTCGCTATCGGAGGCAAACAGAGGGTCCTGCGCAAAAGCTTTGCGTATGTTCGTCAGATGCTGAGCTAATATGAAGAAACCTCATGCTGAGCCTACACACCGCAAATCTGTATATCGCAGGCAGATCGAAATTCGTCCTTGAGCTTCACACCGGTGTCAGGCAATTCATGCGGACCGTCTGGTCCACTCGACGTGTGCGCGCATTGCGGTGACTCCGCATTGTATGCTCTCTATGACGAGCCGCTTGCCTCGGTTGTAAAGATCCGTCAGGTCCGACGGAAAGGGCTTTGGCCTTTGCAGTGACTTGAGAGCTTCTGCAAAATCCCTGCAACAGTTATGTGAGCCGTCATTATCTTGTTCCAGCACGAATGCACATAGGACGCACCCAGTGTGCAGTTCGTCGCATCGACTCAGGAGGAAGCATTTGTCTAGATGAATGTGTGCATGGCACAATCTGTGCAAAGAATGTCGCTCAGACTCTGCAAGCGGGGCACCGGCGAGAATATGAACCCTGGTAGGAGTGTCCCCAACCCTTTTGCATCCAAAATCACGTCGAATTGTTCGCTGAGTTCCTCGTCGCCTCCGCCGGCGGCTTTACTATCGGCGGGTTCGACGCGGTCGACTTTTCCATCTACGCAGGTCACTTGCACAATTGGTTCAATGCCCAATCGTCCACCGCATCATCAGAGGTGGCGGGGAGTCGAACGTTTCTGATGAGGAGGACCTTCCGAGTGGATTGCACAGACGGCTGAATTCCGTGCTGCGAAGACATCGACGGAGACATGATGATTATGCGGGTAAGTAGCAAAGGCAAGTTCATCAACCATCCGACGGACGAAAAGTGCGTATATGACGGATTACAAAGTAACCGGATATCGTGACAAGATAAGTACGTGACGGGGTATCCACATAGTACGAGGGTTATGCCGTGATATCTGGGGGATCATACACCATACATATGGATATACACTGAATGAATGAGAGGAAAGGCCAATGCATGCATGTCCATGATGTTCATACGAGGCAACGGAAGACGTGCATGATAGGTAATGTGAGAGCATAGGACGAATTGCACCCCGTGAATTAGAGAAGGGAGTACTCAGACATGTTCGACCTTGTATCGCTTCGATCTCGTAGTCCGGTACTGGTACTCGTCTTCCTCTCCTTCACTGTAGTCTTCACTGGGTACATCTGTGCCATACAGTTGCTGTCGCTTCTCTCTGTCTGCCTTGCGAAGACGGTTAAGATTTGTTCCCAAGGACTTGAAGAACTCGCTCTAGGAATTTGAATAGCTACTGTCAGAGTGGCGGCAATAAGGTTGAGCTTGTTAGCTCACCTTGGGCACACGGATCTTGGCGCCGGGCTCAGCCGCGGCCTGCTCACGTTTCTTCTTTCCTTGTACTGTATCGGCCATGAGCCAGTCTCAACACTGTGATGCCATGGCATGCGCATACCTTCCTCTGTTCTTCCTTGAGCAGAGCACTGAGATGCTTGATCCACTGCTGCAAGTTGGTCTCACAACGCCTCTTCTTTGCAAAGTCGCTCTCGATGACACCACGCTCTTCCTCAGCGATGTTTTCGTCATCGCTGTCAGGAATAGCGTACGACTTCACCATAGTCGTGCTACGCCGTGGTCTCTTCCGGCCGCGAGTACCCTTCCCCCTACTACCCGAGGCTTCGGGCGAAGCGGGAAGCGAGCTGGCTGGTCTAGGCGTGCCGTCTGTCTCGACTTTCACTTTGCGAGTACGCGTGCGAGAACCGCTACCGCCTGCCACACCATTGCTGTCTTCAGCAGACAGGTAATCGTCCTCGTCGAAGTAAAATTCGATGCCAGCCTCGATATCATCAATCAACGCGAGATTCTGCATATTTGGTGAAATGGTGGCCAGATGACTTTGTGTTGGTACTTACGGGAGGCCGCCCCAGCCTTGCGAGCAACTTGAAGTGCTTGAGAGTGACCGGGATGCGTCCAGAGACGTTGTTGCTATCACTGAACAGGCTGTTCTGTAAAATCTGTTCGCGGGGTTCATCAATTCCGCCCGGGGTTATCTCAGCAGTCGGACTTACATGTGCATTTTCATTGACAACAGCATGAAGCATAAATATCGCAGTCACAGGATGACGTGCCCCGAACTCGTTGTGGATCCATCGGCCAACTTGTACGTAGTCTATCCACGGTTGATTAAGCTCGGGCTTATACCGCGACATGCAGATTATCCACATACCTGACGGATATGTCAACTTGCCCATGTGGTCAGCGTATGTTGCAAACATGTCGTAGAACCTCCTCCGGCGGACAGGAGAGATCTCATCCTTCCTAATCATTGCGGTAAGCGTGTCTTGACCAATTTGGCCCTATATGTGCATCCACGGTGAGCGACGCGCCCTTCGCCTGAACGCAACAGACACTGCGACTTACGAGCTCCTCTGCGTCGCCCTCCATGTCGACGTCATCATCCTCGTCGTCGCTTTCGATGGCGTCTGCATTATTGGGCCCGTCCACACCGCCCATCACCTGATCCACATCCCCTGGGACAGGAAGGTTGCCTTCAGGTTGATGGAGTTGGTCTGCATCGGCGGCACCCGCCCTTCTCCGGATATCGGCTGGGGCGGTAGTGTGAAGATACCGTCGGCTGATGACGAAATCCCTGCAAAGTTTCGCTTCGAACTGCTGGCACGCCTCCTCGTTCTCGGGAGGGGGGAGGCTGTCGAGGTTCAGTCGCAGGTTCTGCACCACATGCGCGGCGATGGCGTCCTGCAGCGCGAGATCCGCCTCCACGAGCTTCTTCAGCATCTTCCCTTTACACCCAACCTCCAGACACGCTAGGGCGACGTCCTGCTTGAGTTTCTTCATCTCCTCCGCGCTGAGGCCCACGATCTCGTGCCCGTACTCAAGTATCCCAACAAACCTGTCGGGCGTGAACTTGTTCACGAGCATGTCGAAGAGATCTTTCCGCGTGACAGGAGCAAGTCCGAGCTCCTCGGTCTTCTCCTTGCAACTGTCGATGTACTCGCGTAGGGGCGCACAGAACGTCGACCTGACATTCAGACTGACGGGGATAGGGCTAGTGTCGGCAAAGAACACGCTGCATAGCATGACCACCCGGACTGTCGAGTCGTCCGAGGGGAAATCCGAGTGAAGTTTCCGCAGGACAGGTTGTGTGTTGGACATGGCGATGGAGCGGGTATTTACGAACAGCTGTATTGCCAGTTAGATAGGTCCCGCATTCAGAAGATTCCCCCCACCTTGAGTAGTTCTTCCACAACAGATCTATAGTCATAACAGTTAGATATATCTAGCGATGCCGCCATGCCATGCAACTTACGCTAAGCTAAACTTCAGCGCTCCCTCCTTGTCTAGGACCTTGAGCGCCGTGTACCCCGGCTCATTAAGGTGCGCTTCCATACACACTTCTGCTGCTACAGTCCGGGTTACAAACATACTAAAGCAAACCATGAGCTGCTGCTCGAGGGAAGACGACAATGGCACGAGAACGGAACCGTACTTGGGATCCAGACTCGTCAATTTGTGAACGTTGTTCACCACCTCGCCCACGCGGCCATCAAATTGCACGGCAGGTTTTTCGAACATTTTACGGAACATGAAATTGCGGAACTGTGACGAGGGGGCAGTCAGCAAGTTGAATCGGTGGCGCGCCTACCATGCCTACCGTATGATCCATGACGAAGCCGTTAGCGCGTGCGTACGGCAGTAGACGAGGTTCAACAGCCAAAACCAGAGGAAACTGTGCCTTCATGGGATCCTGGTAGATAGAAGGGGCGCATATAGTCGTCGAAACGTTACGAACACACTACACATACCTTTCCGCAGAAGGGGATGAACTGCGCAAGGCTATGAGGCGTGTACTACAATCACCGTAGGAACAACTCACCTTATATTTCTCGACCACCTCCTTGAGGGTCTCCCACTTTCCCCTGGACTCGGTCGGTAACCGGCTTGTCTTCAACAATGCGCTGAAGATGGCCCCGTCGTCATCCCCCTTCCCAGTCGGAATATCACCATACATGCGGGCGGCGACCGTCATAAAGTGGGTGAAGACAGGAAGGGGGACACTTCGGACCCATCGGGTCTTAATGAAGTGCACTTGTGCGCGGAAATAATGATGGATCGCACACTGGGCGAGGTAGCGCGATAAATGCGCCCCACTAGAGATCATGATCTATAGGACGGCGAAGAGAGAGTGTGTCAGTAAAGCAGCTCTCGCCACCACAGAGGCATTGGTAGACGTACGTCAATAACCTTCTCGTTCAAAAGCTTCCCCCGCCCCATAGCATAGTACAGCGCATATGTCCTGCCATGACGAGCAAGGAAGTACGAAGACCGGACATATGGGTCCCGGCTGATGGCATAGTACCGTCTTGAAACGAGGCTGAAGCTGGTGGGATCGTCGAGAGAGTTGAGGATAATTTGAATAATCTCGTCTGGAATGGACCGGTGCATGATGGCATGGGTGGGATTAGAGGGGCTACCCCAGGATCGGGAACTGTTATATATCTGGCACGTACCACACAGACGGTCCATCGTGGTGTGGTTTGCGATCCGCCAGAAGACGAGACCACAGAAGATCTCGGGTGGGGGAGGATGTGGACAAGGGAGAGTGCAACGCCTCGGTGTGGCCTGGCAGTTGGGAGTGGGAGAGATATTTGTTTGGCCGCTGCCACAGCTGAGCCGCGAGCCTAGCGCCCCCGTCACTTGGCCAAGCGGTCCGTCCACGGGCGCGCTCTACAATTGCCCAATGCGGAAGTGTGGCGGATGCCATCTCACGTTGGTTGGCTTTTGCGACACAGATCGGCGCGCAAGTCGTCCACATAGCAACCTTAGCAGACCCGTATGTTCGTGCGCACGACATATCCATTTTATCCTTATGCTGCTAAAACTGCCCCTTGTAGTAGTAACTACGCCAGATCCTCCACGGCAGCTGCCACCCACGCACTTGCAAAGACGGATCGAACACGTCGAAATTTGCCGCTTCCAGGCGCTCCAGATACAGTCGGGTCGGCACCTACTCGGGCCGTCAGGTGCGTACGAAAGCAAGAATAGTGGACGCGACAAACTGCATTCAAAATACCGGTCTTGCCCTGTTAGGCACCCCGCCCTCCGCTTGAAAATCTCCGAGCATGTTTGAAGGTTGTCATTGGCCACAGTGGCAAACTCAAATACAGCGTCTTCGATGCCGCTTGCTTGCCCACCCTTGCGAAAAACCTCCTCCTGACTGACGCCGTGCCGCGCCGTGATTTCCGCTGGTATCATCATCCTACCCTGCGACGCGTGATACGGCAGTGCGCGTAGCAGCGTAGTGATACCCTGCGCAACGCCGAGATGCGAAGCGGCATGTGAAAGTGATGACGACGCGGACAGGGAGAGGAGGGATAGTTGCAGGTACAGGAACGTCGAGGATGTGGCTTCTGCATGAGATGTTAGGGAGTCTAGTGACATGTGTGTTGGGGTGTCAAGCTCGGCATCCTAGGACAGACACCATCATCAGACCACACGAACATGCATCGTGGACAATCACCCACCCTCGCGTCGATGATACGTTTAAGGTGATATGTTTGCAGATTTGCGGCTTGACACGCCCGTACCAAAGCGAGCGCTGTTGGATGCCTCGGCGGTCTACCCTACCGTCTCGTGCGCTCAGGCATGGCAACATATGAGGGCGGCACACAGGTACGCACATCAGCGATGTCCTTCACCGCGTCTCTCCAAAATTGCATCCGCATCTTGCCCAACGTTATGTTCGAGACCGCCTCTTGCACGGAAGCCAGTTCCACCTGTGTGTCCATATGTTTCAGTGGATCGACGAGGCCCAATTACAGCCACACATACATAAAACGCGCGCAACGCAATGAAATGTTCCCGGAGCTCCCGTGGCCAGAAGTGCGAGATGAGGAATGACTCATAGTCACGTTTGCGGACCACATCGCTGCAATAGGCTGCAGTGTCCTGAATCCCTCCTTTCTCGGCGTTGGTAGCCATGAATCGCCGGAGTACAGCGCGAGCACCACCCCGAGGCAGCGCCATAAGGCATGTCAGTTGAGATTGACGTCGGGCGGTGGGTCTGAGCATGTTTTGTGTGGACCAAGGATGTAGTACGGAGTTATCCCACCGCTACACGTCCGAGGACCGAGAATTGAGACGAACTCAGAGGTCGTCGTCGGTGACGCGTGAATCACGTGCGTGGCGTGCCGCGGGACGGTGGACGTGTCAAAGACTCAAGAGTCGGACTCGTCGACCGACTCTCACCAACAGGATGTCTATCGCTCTTGAGCGGTGCACCGCCCTCACCATCTTCTAAACTGGACACCACGAATCATGGCCCCGCGGTTTTCGGGCCTGCAGAAGGAAGTCCTGGCACTCTACAGACGGTGCGTGCCACTTGCGACTTGTCGCATGACAAAGCCTGACATCGTGCCGAAACAGGGCGTTGAGGATGGCCCACTCAAAACCGCCTGCTGTCCGAGAGAAGTTTGACCTTTTCGTGCGCTACACATTCAAAACGCGGGCGTCCTCCGTATCCCCACGAGACGTCGCAGCCATCGAGCATTTGCTCCGACACGGCCGGAGGCAGGTGGAGATGTACGAAGATAGCAAAGTTCGGAACTGTTTCGTGAGCACGGAGATGATGGAGTGGGGACAGCGACACGGGAGACGGACATTCGTGAGCGCGATCCTACTTGACCGCTCAATATGATGCAAACGCATGGTGGGCACTGTCTGTAGACTCACGCACCCAAATGAAGTGATATTAAGCAGACCTGTACGATTAGCGTCATCTACGAGCTTCTATTCTCGTTGCTGCTCTGGGAACCAGAACCCTGCGGTGCACTCTCGAACAACCCTGCGCCAACCAGCCTCGCTGCCGACTGTTGTTCAGCTGCCTCCCGCTTCGCAGCATTGGCTCGCGCTGCTTCCTCCATCTTGGCCTTGGCCTCCGCCTGAGCCTGAGCCAGCTGCTCCGATTCCGTTGCGCCCCACCGCCGCTTCCTTTTGTTGTTCGTACGCTGAACGGCACGTTCATACGCTAGACGTCGCTCGTTTGTGACGTACTTGATACGAGCCATACTCTTTCGACACTGAACATGGGAACATGAGCAATACAAGACATGGATGTACGGTGGATGTCAACACGAACCCTGTGCTTCCTCTTGATCTGAATTTGCAGTGCCGGCATGGAGATGCCCATGCGCCGTGCTTCTTCGGCTTGCGTCGCTAGCAGATTGCGCTCCCGCAGTAGGACATACCATAGGGTATGCAGATCCATGAAGCTCTTCCGGCGCAGCTCAGCAGCCGACCAAGACGACCTGTATACATGATTCAACATACACATGTGGCGAGAGATGGCGGATGTCATTCAACTTCCAATGAAGACAGACGTACCGCTCATGGCCTGCGTTGAGTCGAACACATCTAAAGTCTCGTACTTCGCCACGCCGTCCACCTCATTCCTCCGGAAAAACCCATACAGGCCATGATTCGGATTCACGGGAATATCGAGGTGTGGGCGCAGCGCGCCCTCGTTCCGGACCGTAGCAAGTGCGGTTACGGGCTTCGTCGCAGGCCGGCCCTTCGCTGGCACAGAGGGTGCACCTTTTGTTCCCGGGGTCTTCAGCCAGTTCACAAAAGGCCGCGCAGCCTGCAATGAAGGTCGCATGCTGCTGACTGAGAAACTGGTCGAGCCAGTGAGGAACGCTGCGACCGCGAACCAGGTGTGTTGAGCGGAACAGAAGAGGTTGTGTGACGCGTTACTTACATTCGGCCGTTACTGCGTCGTGACATCCTCAGATCCCGATCGACGCCTCCTTCTGAACCTGAGCGCCTCTGCTCATGTATTCAAACTCCTTGCCTTTGCCATTGGCAGAGTCTCAATATTGCTTGCAGATTATAGTATACGGGATTTAGAGAGTGGCTAAGTGAGATAATAAGTACTAGTGGCAAGACTGACGAGGATTTGGGGAACGTGTCGCGTCGCTCGACAAGATGTACGCGTTTCGGAGATCGACCTGCTGATGTAACTCCGCAAGGACGGCGGCGACCAGTGTTCGAAATCGCAACCGCCACTCAACGGCTGTGGTAATACCACCTACCTTGTAGTGCTCCTCAGCAGGTCGTCGCACTCGAAGCTTGACAGGAAGCTTGAATTGGCCAGTGCTCTGTGTTTGCGAAGCCTGCCCAGTGTTCGTACCTGATAAATGGTCTTGATCTCGACATCTATACTTGAAGTCGGTGCGTAGCGTACTATAAGAGTCGCCGTCATCACCCGGTATACTCACGTACGGCCCCGACAGTGCGTACAAGTTCCAGTGGGATCCGATTGTAGGCTCGCCAGCTCGGCATATAGGCAGCGTATCGCGTTAGAAGACACATAGAAACAAAGGCGGCCGCCCATTGTATACGTTCTGGCCATGCCAAGTGCTCCTGTCGGTAACCTCTCCGGGCTCACGCCTCAAAATCAGGATGTTTTCTGCTCGATCAATCACCTCCCAAAGGAACTGCTCATCGAGATATTCCTCACTGTGTACGATTGCGCCGGTGATGATGGTTGGGACATGCTCCTCCCTGAAGTAACCATCTCCCACGTCAGCAAGCTCTGGCGTGATGTCGCAACCAACATACCCACCCTCTGGAACATACTAACTTTCCGGAAGACCTGCGGTATAATCAGTCTGCGATTTATCTCGAGCGGTCGAAGGAGGCGCCATTGCAGATCTTGATTGACTTCAAGGCGGATGAAGGAGCTGCAGAGACGAGCGATGTTATCGAGTCATTGAACACGCTCGACGCAATCATGACGCAGATTATTCCTCATATCTCGCACTGGTATGGGCTTCACATCATCGTCTCTGATTACTCCATGGCCCATCGCGCGTTCATTCGGATGGGTGCGTGTATTAGCGCGCCTATGCTCGAGATGCTACAGATCGCAAACTACCCACGCAAGGGAGTTGGAGAGAACGAACGGCAGGAATTTAGAAGACACGATTTTATCCTGTTCCACGGACACGCGCCGAAGCTCAGCACGTCAACCTTTGGTGCGTCCACGTCAACTGGGCCACATCTACCTTCTTGAGCGGCCTCAAGGTGCTCGAGCTAGGGTGCCACGCGAAAGACGTCCGACCATCGTTCAAGGACTTCGCGCGCATCTTGTGCAACTCGCCCGAACTCGAAAGATTGTCACTATGCAAGTCAGGGCCTGCAGGTAGTCCGGTCGAGTGGCTTGACGGCGTACAGGACCCCAACATGATACAGACCTCTGGTTCTCCGGCCACGGAGTACACCCTGCCATTCCTCTGCCTTCTCTCCGCGAACTCGAATTCGTCTATTCTAAATCCATGCACATGAACCATCTCATCGAGCGCCTTGCGCTACCCAATCTCGCCTCGCTCAGCATCAGAGCCGTAACCAAATATCACGACGCCAGTGGCACTGCACTCCTGGAGACACTCACGCGGCCTTCGCCTGCCACGGGCAGGTCTGTGCTCAGCAAGTTGCGAGAGCTCAAGCTTACGGCTGTGGAATGTAGCGAACCCGCGGTCGTGGCAGGCATGTTCGCAGAGCTGACGGAGTTGCGCTCGCTAAGTCTGCACCAAATCATATTCATGCCTTGGGAAAACGTGCTGATCGCGCAATGGGAGAGTATTGCACGTTCGAACGAGGTTCCCCTTCTACCGAGGCTGGAGATGCTCACAACAACGTGCCTGTCAGGAGAATTTGCGCGCAAGCTCATCAAGGCGCGGAAGGCAACCCGAACGCCGTTCAAAAAGGTGTTCATCAGCCGGCCTAGTGACTTCACCAAGAAGGATAAGCAGTGGATTCAAGATCATGTCGATACGTTTGGGTATTATCGTGGTTCGTACGGGGAAGTCATCATGGAGACCGAAGGCGTAAACGGGATGATTTCATGAAAGCACGATGACGTAGAGTAAACCGCAGAGTATCCGAATTCCATTAAGATCTTGGTACAGTATGGCTTCGCTGACTTGCGACATAATAATGTGTAATGAAGAGCCACCTTGCTCAATATTCAATGCTCAGGCTGCATTAGACTTCAACGTTTGAACGTCCACGGTCCCGGGTCCGCCAAAACACGGTCACATGATCGCGACATAACACCGGCGGCCTCGGAGGGCAGCACCCTCAGAGATCTTCTTGAGTGAGCCATATCTATGGGTATCGTCTTCTATGTCCCCCGCTGCTCGCATCCCATACAGAACGAAACGCAGCGGATTGAGCGGTGAACCGGCGTTCAACTTGAGGATCGGAATGCAGCACGTGCCAAGTGCACCAGAGATTGCAGATTGGAATCTTGATCGACGGCGGACGCGCGAGTATTTCTCTTTGCTTCCGCCACCGTGATCTTCAGCTCACGGACCTCCGTTTGTTCTGCAAGTGTGAAGGGCAGCTCCAGTATTTTGCATTTTGCTAAGGCGAACAAATTACACAGTCGAGGTGCGTTGCCCACTGGCCTTGGTGCCGCCCTGTGGTCGAGCCTGATTGCCTAATATAAGACTCGCTGTCCGCGCGTAAGGACCATCCATCTAGCAAACAGAATTGGAATACCCTCGGGTGTACTGCACCATGTCACAAAATCAGGAGGCACAACAAGCGACACCGTTCTCACATATCCCTACACCAGGCACCCTGCACGGCAACCCGTACTTGCCGCCTCAGGATGGCCGCTGCCTGATTAATGAACTACCGACGGAACTGCTCTCCCAGATATTCCTCATGGGTGCAGACATGGACCCAGCCGATGAGGATGAAGAGGAGGACTTTGACAGTGTGGGCGATGACGAAGACGATGAAGACGAGGCGAACGAGGCGGACAAGGACGAGGAGGAAGACGAGGACGAGGAGAAGCCACCGCTCGAGGTGACCGCCTCTCACGTATGTAAACTCTGGCGCGACGTCACGATCGACACGCCCGCGCTCTGGAGTACGCTCACCTTCGCCGAGGGCCCTCCGTACACAAAATCTGCGATTTATCTCGAGCGATCGAAGGGCGCGCCTTTGGACCTCTCGATCGACGTCACCAAAGACGACGACGATGAGGAGACCGACCTCAACAACCCCGTTCCGGCGCTCGCTGAACTCATGGTCTGCTCGGACGAGCTGGAGGCGATTCTGCAGCTGATTATCCCGCACGTCTGGCACTGGCGCTCGCTCGAGCTCATGGTCTCGGAGTACATCCTCATGCAGTCTGCGCTCGATCAAATGGGCGCGTGCACTAGCGCACCAATGCTAGAGGTGCTGCATCTCTACCACTACGAGGACAGCGAGGAGGGCGAGGAGACCTTCGTCCCGGCGAAATTCAAGGCCCAGGACTTCGTGTTGTTCCACGGGAACGCGCCAAAACTCACGCACGTCGCGTTGTGGGGCGTCCACCTCGACTGGGCCGCATCCACCTTCCTCAGTGGCCTCGTCGAGCTCGAGCTCGCGTACCACGCGAAAGACGTCCGGCCACCATTCAAGGACTTTGCGCGCATCCTGGGCGACTCGCCCGAGATCAAGACCCTCACGCTATGCCAGTCCGGTCCCGCAGGCGGGCCAGTCGAGTGGCTCGATAGCGTGCTGGATCCGGACGCGATGCAGACTTCCGAAACAAACGAGCCCGAAGCAAACACGACGCTCTCGCTGCCCTCCCTGCAGAACCTCGTCATCGCCTTCCTCGACCCCGAATACCTAAAGCAACTCATCGCGCGCCTCGCACTCCCCAATCTCACCTCGCTCGCTATCGACATCGAGGATGCCGACGGCCGCGCGCTCCTGCAGACCCTCACCCGGGCGGCGCCTGCGACAGGCAAGTCCATCCTTAGCGGGCTGAAGGCGCTCAAGGTCGCGGGCGTGCAGTGCGACGAGGACAGCGTGGTCGCAGACGCGTACGCGGCGCTGACGAACCTGCTCTCGCTCAATTTGAACTTTGATTTCGTACCAACGCGGTGGTACGACGTGCTCGTCGCACAGTGGGACAGCGCCACGAGCTTGGGGAAGGACCCATTCCTGCCGAGGCTGGAGTCGCTCATGACGACGGGCCTGTCGGGGAAGGACGTACGAAAGCTCATAGAGGCGCGGAAGGCCATGGGGAAGCCGATCAAACAGGTGTTCATGAACCAGGACGATGACCTCGAGGAGGAAGACGAGCAGTGGATTAAAGATAACGTGGATGAGTTTGAGTATTTCGAGGGCTCGGATGACGAGGAGGATCTAGAGATTGTAATCGACGAGGATGAGGATCAATGGGAAGACGAGCGTAACAGGTGGGTTTCCAGCTCACTGCTTTTGCTTTTGCTCATCATGTGTACTGGGCTGCGAAGAGCCGCGAAGGCAGACACCACAGCAGTACCATATGGATCGACTAATTGGAGCTGGACCATGACTTACTATCCCAACGTCGCGATGGAATCTAAACAGACTTCACTGTCAACTAAGCTATACAGTACATAAGGTAGGGTGTGTACTCCAGAATACAACATTGTCCACGAGTTATGCAAACTAGGAAAGCCGGAAAGAGTAGGCATGAACACAATCTACGTCGATACGATCATAGCTGGGGTGAGCGAGCCATCATGCCCCTTTGCGGCACCTGCGCTAGGCCCAGTACGACGTCGGGAACGCCCTGTTCCTCTTCTTCATCTTCTTCGTCCCAGTCCCCCGACACGCTCTTCTCCTTACCCTTCGGCGAGACGGAGGCGGAGTTCTGCCAGAGCACCGGTCGATGTGGATTAGGCATCATCACCATAACCGCAACCTGCACTGCTTCCGCACGCGGAAGCACGTCGTCCGCGGAAGCCTCTGTTGGCAGAGGGTTGGAGATGTTCGGCGAGGCAGTAGGCGTCGAGGTCGCGCGCCGGCGTGCGAACGGACGTCGAAGGAGGGCGAAAGGGGACGTCGAGGCGTGTAGACCGGCTCCTTGCAGGGAGAGCGTACTCTCGTTAGACTGCATAGACTTGGACGCGGCGACCTGTGCCGCCAATGGCTGCATGGTGCACGGAGGTCAATGAGGGCGATGTGGTGCCAAAAGCGGCACGTGGGCAGTGCAGAGTGAAGGACGACTAACCAGTGTCTCGCTCCATCCCTCCTTCGACGCAGGCCTGATGAAGACGTCCCACAGCGTCGGTCTCTCGAGGATCCTGGGCAATATGGGCGGGCCGCCCCAGGGAGGCGTCAAGGGCACGCCGGCGGCGAGGGCCTCTTCGATTCGTCTCCGGAAGCGCCGGCGCAGGACGAACGAGCGGAGGACGATCCCGGCCGAGACGAAGAGGAGCAGGAAGAGGGTCGCGAGGAACGTGAATCTGGTGGACGAGAAGTCGGACGAGGACATGGCGTGCGCGGCGCAGGCGGATTGGGATTTGGGTTTGCAGGGGCGGCGGGCATCCGCGAGTGGAAGACGAGGTGTGAGTACGGGCTATTAGTGACAGATGGAGCGGCGTGACACCCACAAATAGAGCGAGGACGGCTCAGACGACGACGAGCCGCTGCTGGAGTCCGTCGAGGATGCGCTCGGGCTGGCCGAGGACGTCGTCGACGCTGTCGAGGGCGAGGAGGTGGAGGACATGGTGGACGGTCATGCACATGCGGGACGCCAGATCGCAACCGTCACTCCCGCTTCCAGCCGTCATAGCCACCCCCCATAAAAGGCAACTTCTGCCTGGTACCGCGCAACACATTCGGGGCTACCAGTGATTGTGCAGAGGCGTGCGCATGGAGTTAGCAGAAGGACATGGGAGGTCGACGGAGGCACACGCCCGCAACGGTTCAAATGACTCTGCCCTGTGCCTCTGCTCGGCGACCCGCCCACCCAGTACTACACCGTGCCTTTCAAATTGGCCAAACGCGCGCAGAAGAGAAGCTTGGCAACGTCGCCGCCTCGACGTCTGCATGCTTACGTTCGTGCGTCGTTCATAGATAACCAAGAAGCTTATATGAAAGTAATGAAGTTGTATGAGCGCGCGACCGTCGCAGAGCCAGACCACGCTCGCATTGCATTGGAAAAGACGTTGTGAACTTCTTCGGCATTATTTCCTGCTTGTAACTTGTAAGAGTAATTACATGTCGTCGTCAACGGAATCATTAGGACTAGTGCGAGAGAGCAAAGCGAGGAGAGGGAATATGAGAGGAGAAAAGGTATGGGGGGACAAGCCAGAAACAGACGGGATAATGCACGGGTAATGGGTAAAGAAGGAGGGTGAGGGGGGCACCACGGCCAGTGGGGGCGACCAACACGCCCGCGCAACGCAGACGCAGCGAAGAATGGAAGCAAGCAACAACAAGCGACACACGAGAACGAAGTGCACTCGGGAAGGAAGCTGCCAGCCTAGTCCGTGACGATCGTCGCGGGTGCGGCCATGGGCGCGGCAGGAGCCACTGCGGCGGTCAGACTCGTGGTGGTCGTAGAAGTGGAGGCGTTCATGCTAGCGGAGGAACCCGCACCCGCCGCGTCCGCGAGGAAGCCCGGCTGCGCGTACAGCGCGCCGTACACATTCAGGTGGATGCCCGCCATTTTGCGATGCGCTCGCCGAGGTGCTGGATCTCGGGCATGAGCGGCTCGAGCCCGCTCGACATCTCGGCCTCCGCGTGCGGCTCGCTCCGCCTGAGCGACGGCACCGCGATCGGGAGCGCGATCCTGAGCACCGCGTCGCGCACGCGCCGGCGCATCAGCGTGCTCAGCGAGGCGTCCGCGCGCAGATTCGACCCGGCCCAGCTCGTCGCGAGCTTCGTCAGCTGGGCGTCGGGGGTGGCGGTCTTCGCGACGCTCGGCGCCGATGGCGGCTGCGACAGCGTGGCGATGGATGTATGGAGGACGAACAGCGGGCCTCACTGGCGCGCCTCGTCACCTGCAGAACGACGTCCTCCATCTCCTCCTTCCACCGTTTGATCTCCGCCTCCCCCGCGCACCCGTGTCTCGCGGCGGGCGGAAGCAGAGCCCAAGGTGCGTGGGCCCGACCTCCCAGATCTCCTTCTTGAGCTTGAGCAGATCGTCGGGGCTGAGGCGCACGTGGCCCTGCTGCTGGCCGGACAACACGAGCTGGCGATACAGCAGCAGGAGCATGTACAGCGCCGCGAAGTCTGCCGCGTCCTTCGAGTAGTTCGATATGCGCGCCTGGTCGAGATAGAGCGTCTCGGGGTATCTGGCGAGCGGCCTGTCGCTGGGAGCGGCGAGAGGTACGGGGGCGGGGAGGAGCTGGAGCCGCGCGGTGGCGGGTTGAAGACGAGGTCGACGAGCCCGGCGGTCACGGCGACGTCGATCTGCGTCCGGCGCGGCAATTTTGTGAAGGAAGTGGAGGGGAGGGCGTTGAGAGCGAACGAGTCCGAGCGGGTGGCGAGCTCGCCGTGCGCGGCACGCAGCCACTGGCGGGTGACGTCCATGCAGAGCCGGCCGTTTTCCTTGCTCTCGTGGAACGTCTTCAGCTCGTACTGCGCGGCGCTCTGCACGAGATAGGGCCGCAGCGTCTGCAGCTGGTGGTTCGCGACGTCCTGTCACAGCACGCGTGCAAGTATGAATACCACATGGCACATCGGGATGACACAGAGACACTGACCAGCTTCATGAGCTCCATGATCTCGAAGCACAGCCGGATCGCGCGCACGGCTTCCACCTTGCTCCCACCGCCCCCCGGCGCGCACGACTTCGCGAGCGCGACCATCTGGTCGACCGCACCGTCGCGCATCGGCGCGCAGTGGCACCGGATGATATCCCCGATGGTCTGGAAAACACCCGAGGGGTCAAACAGGCCGTGGTCGATCTCCTGTTGGATCAGATCCGCGTCAAGGACGCTCCGGAGAAGAGCCACATGCGCGACGTTCTGTTGGTACTGTGGATGCAGCGCGGTCGGCTGCACGCACAGGCCTGTCGCCTTGGACATGACCGGCTGGATGATCGACACGAGCACCTCGAGAAGCTCGAGCAGAAGGGGACGGATGCGCGAGGGCGTGCGGACGGTGCAGCGGTTGTCGTGCGCGAACGCGCAGATCGGACGGCCGGTGGGTATGGGCAGCGAGCTGCAGATGCACATGCGCTCGCACGGCCGCCCGTGCGCGTCCACGGTGAAGCAGGTGCAGCCGCACTCGAGCTCGCGCACGATCGCAATCCAGTAGTTCTCCGCCATGTCGCGCTTCCGCCGGCTGGACGTCGGTCGGAACTGCAGCCCGAGTCGAAGAGCAGGTCGTGACCTAGCAAATTGTGAGATGACGGAACCGTACATGTACGGGCTGGGAGCAACGCACGTAGCTGGGGATTGCGGAGGATGGCTTCTAAATCCAGTTCCTTCAACGTATCTCGGTTGATGGGTGGCTGGTGTGAGGGTATATGGGGAGAAAAGGTCTCAATGGGCGACACAGGGACAGAGGAGGATGGGCGGGGAGTGGTAGGCAGGGTGCATATTCGAAGGAGAGAGCCCCTGCTGGGGCCCGGCTCGGTAGCAGATACTATGCCCGTGTCGCGGGTGTCGTGCGTACGTGAACGACGGATCAACTTACGTGCGGTGAGGATGGGGCGGGGCTGTAGAACCGCCTGCGCACGCGTCGGGGGACGAGGAGCCCTGGGGTATATCGATGCGTGGTCGCTTTGGTTTGGAGGGGCCCTCGTTCTGGCTCTCAGTGACGAAGGGGTGGGCGGGTGGTGGTGCGGACAGTGGCTGCTGCCAGGCGGGGACGATGCCGACGTCAGAGTCCGCTAGGAGCCCCAGGCAGCCGAAGAGCGGTCGGCGCTGTTTGCTGGACAGCGGGGCGTCGCGGCGGGGTCGACGAGCATGGACTCGGGGGCGGCGGCCTCGACGGAGGGCGCGCCATCCTGTGTCTGGCAGTGGGAGGACTGGCAGTCGTCCTGGTCAGCCTTGCGCTTGCGGTTCAGGGGGTGGAAGTCATGGGCGAGGTCGTCCATGGGATGTAGAGGGACTGGGCGGAGAGGAGGATCAGAGGCCGGGGAAGATGGAGGGCATATTTAGGGGAGGAGGAACACATGGTAGCAGGCCGCCCGCCCTCCACGCTGCCATAGGCTGCCATAGGCTGCTCCTGCCACAAGGCTCTCGTCCAGACGCCTGCTTATTCTTTCCGCCCTCCGCTGCGTTGGGCTGCCCTCGCTCGTCTCGTATTCTGCTGCGCCTGCTCGCTGCCCTGCCCGCTGCCACCCACGCCGCACACCGCTGCACACCGCACCCAGCGAGCAGCGCCAGCCGATACGCAGCCAGCCCAGGCAGCAGCCGTCCAACGTCTGCGGATCACGCCCGCGCATCTCCGTCTGCAGCATTCGCACGCTTCGCCTGCACCATCGCCACGTTCTGCGCGGGCGTTTTGCACCGTCCGACAGCGATGCACCCGTCGTACGTAACAGCCTATCTGATGCACACCAACAGCCCGCTCTCTGAGTCTCTGTCCTCGTCCACACCCACACCGGCCCCTGCCGCCGGCCGCGCTGCCTCCCGCGCGTGCTGGCCAGACCGACCGGCTCCCGAAGAGTGCGTGGCATTTTGCGTAAGTATGTTCTGGCAGTGGCGCGAGCCGACGCGCAAATTGCCCTGAAACGCGTCGCCCAAAGCGGCCGCGGGCGAGGCACTTTGTTGCGGCGCGGGCCACGTGCGGACATACGCTCCCAGCACGAGGCTCTGCAGCGCTCTGCTTCCAGATCCAGACAGGTGGGCCACTCTGCGGGTCCACCGTGCCCGTCCAGTCCACCACCCGTGGACCCACAGCGCGGACCGCTCGCCGCCGCGTGCCCCCGTTGCGAGCATCCTGCGCCGGCACGCAGCCCTCTCCTGGTTCTGCATCCGGTAAGCTCCAAGACTGTGCGCCGAATCTGCGAGAAACGCATGTCGGTCGCGGTGGAAACTTGCCAGTGCAGCCCAAATGCAGCCCATCGATAGCGTCCCTTCCCGGCCGTTTCCTGCCCCAACCCGGTGCCCTTTCCTCAGCCTGCTGCTCGTTCGAAAGATCATCTCTGCACACATCACCCCGCCTGTCAGTTGACGACTTGGCTCCCAGCTTCATGCAACTGCCGCCTCGCCCCATCACAACAGATCAACTCAATCCCATCCCAACTCACACTGCACAGGGATACAAAGGGCAGCTGTCTCGCCTGGCCGCCACAATCATGCATCCCATGCACGCAGGCTGAGCATGAATGCACAAACGCCTGGCTCCTGCTTTCCAAGCATTCCAACCCAGATCGCGCAATCACCTCCTGTGTCATATCTGCCTCCCGTTCTCCCTCGGAAGTGACAGCTAGACGCGCCTCCTAATCTCACTCCCGCCTCCAGCTCGAACCCGCAAGTATACCTCCAGATAGCACCTCGAGCCTCCGCGTCGTTCGGCTCCTACCGCAAACGCGCCCTTTCTTCTCTCTTCATACAGCAAGCTCTCCTAGCCAGGGTCCCCGCATTGCCGCGACCTCAGCAAGCCATATGATCCACCGGAGCCAGTCAAATGCCCCCGCTCGTGGTCCGGACAAGCCTCCCTAGCCCCGCGCAACCCAGCGACGCCGCCAATCTGTGGAGCCCCTTCAACCACCGAGCCTGCCGCCCACCGTGTCCCTCCGTTTCTGCCCCCTCGTGCGGCCTGCCACCGCGGGGCCTCTGCTGCAGCAGACACCCGTCCACCCACGCCCCACCGGCACGCCAGCTTATCTCATCGTCCGCCGCCGCAGGCTCGCGCTCCAGGCCGCCACCGCTTCCCCGCCCTCGCCAGGCCCCGTCCTTCCGCACTCGGCACTGGCACCGCGCACGACACCCGCATCCAGCACCAAGCATGCCAGCGCCGTCTCACACGTCCGAGCGCATGAACCCCCGGTGTTCTATCACGTCATGCTCACGTCCCGGCGGGCCCCCACTCGCTGCCAGGTCCCCGCAGACGGCCGCGGCGTGCATCCAGGCTCCCCGCGCTCGCGGGCTCTCACGCGCACGATTGCGGGGCGGCGTGCATGGGACTTTGACGCTGCCGCTTTCGGACGGACCGTCCTCGAGGGGGACCCGAAGATCCCGCGCGGAGTGCGAGCAGTGCGGGTGCGACTGGCTTGGTGTGTTATAACGTCGCCAGCGTGCTTCGTGGAGGGGGGCTTGCCCCGGGAGCTTCGGAGGGAGATAGCATGGCCTTAAGGCATTGTAATAGCCCATCCACCGTAGTACAGCGTCTGCATGCTAATTTAAATTGACGTCACTTTAAACATCCCATCTCATCTCGCATAGCCTGGACAGCTAGAGGCCGCCAGTGCTCGTGCCGACGAAGCTTTCCTCTCCGCGCCGCCACTTACACCATCCTGTCTTCTCCCTGAGCACGTTGGATTGTCATGCACGGTCATGCGATTACTATGTACTACTGCTCCGGCTGCGGGAAATACATACAGGTCGTCGAGCGTCCCGTCACAGCGGCTCTTGCGCTTCGTCGCTCACGCAACATCAATGAGCTTCTCTTCCGCCTGTCCGTTCGCCTGCGCGCCGTCCTCCGTCGCCTTCTTCGTCGCCTTGCGCCCGTAGAACTCGGCGATGATCTTCGGGCTGATGCGGTTCAGCTGCTCCTTGGGGAAGATGCGCAGCAGGCTCCACGCGAGGTCGAGCGACTCGAAGATCGTGCGCGACTCGTACGCGCCTGGGTGCGAGAGACGTGTCAGTCAGATGCACTGCGCGCGGCGCGCAGGGTGTGGCGTACCTTGTCCGACGAACTGTCGCTCGAACTTGTCCAAGAACTCGAGTGCCAGCTTGTCTTCGGGCGACAGCGCCTCCTCACCGACGACAGCCTTCATGGCAGCGGCATCACGGCCGATGGCGTACTTGGCGTACTACAACCGCGCAGATGTGAGAACGAGATCGTACTGCCCCGGCCGAGATTACTACGGCCAAATGGATCGGGCTCACCAGCTGGTTTGAGACGTCGCCGTGGTCTTTTCTCGTCAGTTTCTCACCGATGGCACTCTTCATCAACCGCGAGAGTGACGGGAGCACGTTAATGGGCGGATAGATCTGACGGTTGTGCAGATTACGGTCGACGAAGATTTGGCCCTCGGTGATGTATCCTGTCAGGTCCGGGATTGGGTGCGTGATATCTAAGGGCGCATGTCAATCATGAGAGTGCAGTACACAGCCGTCAATACACGCCGAGGTTGGAGATTGGGGCAACGCACCATCGTTCGGCATAGTGAGAATGGGAATCTGAGTGATGGATCCATTGCGGCCCTCGACACGACCAGCACGTTCGTAGATGGTGGACAAATCCGTGTACATGTATCCAGGATAGCCACGGCGACCGGGCACCTCCTCTCGGGCGGCCGAGACCTACGAGACACGCCATGAGTTTCATACATCAAGCTCATCAGCACCTCCGTGCTTGCCTCGCGCAGCGCGTCCGCGTATGACGACATGTCCGTCAGGATGACCAGGACGTGCTTCTCGAGCTGGTACGCGTAGTACTCGGCGGTGGTGAGCGCGAGACGCGGCGTGATGATTCGCTCGATCGTAGGGTCGTTCGCGAGGTTGAGGAAGAGCGTCACACGGTCCAGACTGCCGTTCTCCTCGAAGTCCTGCTTGAAAAACCGCGCCGTCTCCATGTTGACACCCATGGCGGCGAAGACGACCGAGAAGTTGTCCTCGTGCCCGTCGTGGACGTCCTTCGTTGGCCGCTTCACCAGGCCGGCTTGCCGCACGATCTGGGCAGCAATCTGCGAAGAATAGAAAGAAGGAGACCATGAGAAGACACGAGACTCGCTCGTGTATCGAACGACGCACTTCATTGTGCGGCAGACCAGCCGCAGAGAAGATGGGAATCTTCTGGCCACGAGCAATAGAGTTCATCGTGTCAATGGTTGAGATACCTGTCTGGATCATTTCTTCGGGGTATATACGAGAAAACGGGTTAATTGGAGAGCCTACGGATGCCCGTCAGATACAGCATCACCAAGTGAACGGAGGCGGGATCTCACCGTTAATGTCCAAGTAGTCCTCCGCGAACACTTTTGGACCCTGGTCAATGGGCAAGCCGGAACCGTTGAATATCCGCCCCAGCATGTCTTCCGCGACAGGCAGCTTCATGCTGCTTCCCGTGAACTCGACATGCGTGGCCTTGACATCGACTCCTGACGTCCCCTCAAACACCTGCACGATGGCCTTCTTCCCCTGCACCTCTAGCACCTGTCCTCCGCGTTTCGTACCATCCGGTAGCGTGAGCTGGACGATCTCATTGTATGATGGGAACTGCAGGCGGGAGTGAGGGGCTCTAGCTGCGGTTCGTTCATCTCGCCAATGTACATACCTTGACGTTATCTAGTACGACCAGCGGACTTGAGATAGGTCAGCCTAGACTTCCGACAATTTTGAGCGCAGCACTGACCCGTTAACGGCAGAGACGGTACGGTAGTCTATAGGAACACTCCCAGGCTCAGCACGGCTTCCTGCAGTCATCTGGACGCTCCTCACCCAGGTGCGGTTGAACGCTGTATTCCCGCGTCACCGCAGCAGCATTGATTGCTGCAAGCTCTTTGTCGCTTATTCTTGGGTCTCCAGCCATCCTCGCTAGTAGTGGTAGTGGAAGGGACGGAACGAGAGAACAATACTGGAAGGCTCAGGACAGCTCAGATTGGCAGCAACGCGCCGTGTGCGGCGTGCCTGCCTGACGCAAGGGTACAGATCCCTATACCGATGTTCACACGCTTACTACAGTGCATCACTATTACAGATCAACAAACTATGTACTCATACAGACGTCACTGGACGCATTCAAAATCATCATTACATCGCAGCCGGTTGAGCTCATGAATCCTGCGACAGCAACTCCACACAGCGACGAGCAGCATCGCTGGCGGCGGACATGTCAATTGATGACCTATAGAGGACTTCAGCGGGCTGCAAGCTAACATCAACGAGCCGCACGAACCACTCAATATTAAGTAGGATCTCCTCCGCCTCGTCAGTTTCGCAACCTATGTCCTTCGTTTGCAGAACGAGATACAGGTGCTCCGCTGTATCGGAGCGGACCTGTACAGAACGTTCAGCGTGAAGAGCGTACCTCGGGGGAGTCCGCTTACCTTCGGGTACTGATGCGCCAAGAAGCTTGACAGGTGCCCTATACACTCCGCTCGCAACGGCTGCATCGACAGAAGGTTGACGACTCTGATCCTCGATGAGAACGCAAGGACAAGCACACGGAGTAGAGATTCCTTACATCCGCATGGACATCACGATGCGCTGATGATTCTTCAGGCGGGCCACGTTTCTCGTGGCCACCGAAAGCAGTGCCCGGAGGCTGCAGCGACGTATTTAGTACCTGGCGATCAAGGGACCCCCTCCTCTCCCCTTACGTACCTACGGAGTCCGGCGGTATCCCCGGACAAATCTTCGAAGACATCTGACTCCAGGAGCACGTTGAAAGTCTGCAGCACCGGCACGACAATGTTGTTCGAACTGAGATTGCGACTGGCTTGTGCCACGAGATCCTGCGCAAACCCACACTGATCATATCCGCCGGACGGCGTGGCACTGACGGGGAGCGTGCGCGCATAAGCAATGAGGCTTGCCGTGACCGGACGTTGCTGTCATACATTTATCGGCGAGCTCGTGGAGGGTGGTATAATATGACATACCGTACTGTCCGTCTTCGTACTCGCGCTCAAGATAAGGCCTCCAAGGACTGCATGTCGGTACGACTCGACTTCCAAGAGACGCACGGCCTTAGGAAACAGCTTGTCACCCTCGTTCCAGTTGATGGTCTCAACCTCACTAGAACGCAATCAGCACATCATGAGACAATCAAAAACATCTTGATAACCAACCTGAGGAACAAGGTGCTGAAAAGGGTATGGCCATGTATTTGCCATCGTTCTGCTCCAGAGATCACTGGCAGCGGCAACACGAGAAGACGCGTGAAGCACTCCCCCGCCAGCTGCCGGACGTTGTCAAGTCGTTCGATACCTTGCTTCAGAATTCCCCCAACAGCGTCGTGGTATTTGGCTGGAGGAAAATACTCAGCGAAGTTGTCCAATTTCGAGGCCTCTGGGAAGAGGTTTTCTGTGAAGGACGTCAGGCCCTTCACGCACGCCATGCGAACCCAGGAGCCGACGTCTCCGCGCTCATCAGAGGTATAGTCTGTTAGGCCGTCTTGCATTGCGTCGATCATCTGGCACACCACGGTGGGGGACAAATCTGTTGATGGGTAAGCCTCTGATGCTTTCGCGTGTGTGACCAAGGTAACGCACGTTCATTTAGCTTGAAGATAACGCTAGAGAGAATCTGGGGCATCGAATTGAACGCATTCCGTCTTGCCTCGATGTTTACAATTCTTGACGAATTCTATCGCAGTCATCAGCACCCACTGTGAATTGTTCAAGTTTGCTACACACCGTGCGATCTGTGCAGGTGAGTAGACAGTCGATAACTTTGAGGATACCATGTGGGTAGGCTGTGTAATCAAACATTCCAAGCACGCGGCAAATACTTTGTTGCATCGGAGGTGACCCAGAGCTGAAGTCCCGAATGAGTCTGCGCCAGAGTCAGCATGGTGGAAGTCAACGAGCGAAGAACACATGCCTATCGACGATAGCAGAGCAATCAACAAGCTTGCTCACAGCTGCCATCGCACGAGCCGCAGCTTCTTGCACAGCAGTGCTCTTGCTCTTCAACCCGATGTCTACGACCTTGCGCCAGTGCGGCACCGAAGTCTCATCTGAGCTAATCTCGGCCGAAGATATGCCGCTGGCGATGAGATTGCATGCAGCTGCTGTCACCAGCTCATGACGCGGAGACTCTAAAGTAGTGAGAGGGACTTGGACCAGGTACGCAAACGCCTGGTATGCAATAATCAGCATGTCGAACAGTTCATTCTACTCAACTGTCCCACCTTTCGTCTTTCTGCTTCTAGATCATGCCTGGAGTCCCGATACGCAGCTGCTAGATCCGTTAAGACTGCCAGCGCGCCATGTATATCGCCAATGTCAGGGCCCTGCAAGAAGCGCGCCTGATAACACGAACATTAACAGTGAAAGCATGCGCAGGCGCATCTACCATACTTACGGCTTTTGTAGCACACTCTGGACCGAGGGCGGGCAGATCAAGCTCGCAGATTGCCCGCAAAGATTGCGCTCCAAGTTGTCGCATTTGCGGATCCCAGTGTCTCAAAGTCACCGACAACAGATGGTCCGTTAGGGAAGGCGTATACTCCGGATGCCTAAGACGTTGTGAGAAAATCGATGAGAGGTGAAGGTATAGGTAGCAGACTTACTCTGCGACCTCTGGAGCAGCTGTCAAGAAGGCATTTCGTCGGACCCCGACTGAATAGAAATCCGTCTTACGGAGAACATCGATGCCGTGCGCAAAGAGACTCTGCAATATGTTGCGGTCAGCACGGCTCACTAGTAGCTTTCATTCTGCCTTACCGTCCGACCAACAAACTCTTGGAACGTGGCACTAGCGGCGCGGCGTATGTGGATCTCTCGGTCAAACAGAGCTACGGTAACAAGCCTTCTGGAGAGGTTCTCCGCAAACGGAGCAAGTGCGGCAGAATCTTGAGCACGAGCAAGGGACCAAAGTACGTAACATGCGGCATCCCGTACGTTCGAGCCAACTGAGTGGGCGCCTTTGCGTATGTCGAAGTAGAGTGCCTGAGCAGCGTTCATAAAGATCAATCGCACCCACAGAAAGCCAGTAAAACGCTTACCTTACACTGCCAGTTGATGAGATCAGCAAGCACATCGTCCGCGACTAGACCCCTACGGGCCATCTCCGCGCATGCGAGGCATGCACCGTGCCAGGTGCCTTCGGCGATGCTAGGCATGTCGTATATGGTAGCTGCTGCTATCGAATGAATCGAGAATAGGTTGATGACATTGTCGAGTACTTGTCTTGCGAAGTCTGGGGGAAGGCGCTCAGAGATTCGCGCGATACCTTTCGCCGCGGACCACCGCACAAGGGTATCCTAACGATCGTCACAATCAGAGCAAGTACGCGCAGGGGTGGCTTAAGAACCTTGTCCTGAAGCACGGTGAAGAGGTCTTCAAGGACAGTTTCTAGTTCCTCTGGTACGTCGAAGTCCAGTTCAGACGTAGGCTTGCCCTCGTCTCCAGCAGTTGACGCCGTCAAGGCTCTACCTGTAGATCGCGAATCATGATCAGAATGGTAACGTCACAACTTAGCCCCGTACTAGCCTTTGCTACGAATAACCAGCGGCGAGGCAGGTAGTAGGCGGAGCACGATACGGGACATCAACTTCGTGCGGAGCTTCCTGATGAGCGTGTTCTGAAGCAGAGGCGAATTTTCTTGTACAGCATTCGCAACATCAAGGATTGCTGACGTATGCGCCTTCACTTGTTCCACCGAAGCAGACTTCGTGATTTCGCACAAAACCGATAAAAGCCCCATGGTCTTTTGGCAGCGTTATCATGAGTGAAAACATGGTAAAAGTCAACAACATACAAGGAAAGGCTCTACACGGCCGCTAGCGATCTTCGCAGACCATGAGATGAAGCTAGGCAACTTCACGCTTGTGTCTTTCCTGCACGACTCAGTTCTCTCCGCACAAAATGCTCACCCCGATAACGCACCTTACGTAGAGTCTAGCAAGGAGAATTGCAGCCGCTTCTCGTTCCAACCCTGCATTGTTCAGGTACCTCTTACCGAGAGATTCAATCTTCTCGGCCGTTTCTCCTGCGCGCTCGCTTTCGTCAAATTGGTCCAAATCGAAGGGTATCATGCAGACGAGCGACAACCACAACAAGACAACATATCTGATGGGCCAGTGATATCTCACGAGAGCCGGACTGTTCGGTATGATCATGTACTCGAGTGCGATGGTGAGGTCGGCGATTTCATGCGGGAAAAATCTCGCTATGATCCGACATTCTGAGCGAGCATCGATTGCAGAAGATCCAAAGGCACTGACTTATTGTCTTGTAACCGCGGAACTTGATGTAATAGTACATGTGGTCCGCGACTAGGTTCAGACGCAGAGTGTCCTCCGGTGTTTGCTTTGTTTCGACGAAGGCATTCACATAGCCTTTCAGACAGTCCACGACAGGTGTTACCAAGGAGTCTAAGAAGGGATCGAGAAGATACGCTTGTTCCTGATACTCATCTAGCTTGAGAGCAGCGCACGCCCACTTCAGCCAACAGAGAGAACCGTGAACGGGTTACTGCTTACCGTGTCACGTAGTTTCTTGACGATTTGCCATTCACGAGACCGGTCTTCATCGCTTGGCTTTGCCAGAAGGTCCAAAGACAGCAGGAATTGCTGTGTGTTCAAGAAGTCCTGATACTTGTCGAATCTTGCGAAAAGCTTGCGATCACTCGCGTCCTCCTCCATTGTCGACACCGATTGACTCGAAGATCCCTCGCCCAGGTTGTTTGATTACACCGCGGCTGCGCGTCCGAAGATTATGGATCAAAATCTGGATTGAACCGTTGCCAGACAGAAATCTCTCGTCCACTGTACTTAGTGTCGTCGGGTTTGCTGTGTTAGTGAGAGCGGCGGTCAGGATTCAGGAAGAGGTCCCCTTAAGCGCCCGCCGCCGGTCGTTGTGAATCACACGCGTCATGCCGGACCTCGGGGTTGCCTCGGGTTGCTTGAGCGAGGTTTACGGTCGCGATCATGTGACTGTGACATAACGCGCCTCTCCGGAGTCACGTCAGAACGAGATGGCTCACGCGCGCCAGCTCTATTAGTTTAGTACGTGCCTTAGCAGTCGAAGACCTATGTCCTGACTGCCTTATCCTTCGTCCAGACCTCCGAACTACGCTTTCATCGAGACCTTATGAGTTTATTTCTGTACAAATAATATGCCCACGGTCACAGGTGTCTGATTTTGAAGTTTTCCTATGTTAGGGTCCGAGGTTCTGAGTGTCTTCATGAGTTTGCTTACTCGACTCTGGAAGATACATATTGTCTAAGCCATCTCAGGTGTCTGGGCAATGGTATGGGTTTGGTAATGCTATGGTACGTGCTCGGTACGTCTTTGGTACGGAAGTTGACGCCGGATTCCTATTACGGTAACCCCCAGAGCACCCGAAGACCTACCATATTTAGTAGCACCGATCGATAAGTACAGTGGCCAACGCCTCCTACATACCGAGTTCCCGAAGCTCTTTGTGTTCGACATAAATCCATTTGAAGTGCATGTCCAAGTGCGCACAATACTTGAAGTGACCCATTCTGATAGTCCCCGTGGCAGTGGCCTGCCGGGCATCAAAACACTGAATTCATGGCCTCCATATTACGACGGTTTCCGTATGTCTAGCACAGCTATATGTCTCGTAAATGAATGTTATATCCCTGATTTGCACTGGTACCAAAGTCGAACCAAAGCAAACATAGATAATTACCAAAACCTTGCCGAAGACTGACTCATTGGCTGCATGAAAGCATGAATAGCTTCCAGCACCGAGAACAGTTGCAAGTACCTAGAAGCTGTCATCTGCTACGTACGCTGAAATTTGACAAGAACAGAGCTCCGAGACCTGACATTCGGCAGGATCTGCAGTGAGAAACCTGAGTCCTGAGCATACCAAATGCGCCAAAACCAAAGACCAAATACCATCAATCACGCGCGGGAATTTTTGTACAGAAATACCGTCATAAGACCTAGACTCAGATCTAGTGGTTCATCGTCCCAGTGAATGCTTAAGCTATCTGATACAAGGGAAGATAAGCTGCCTATCATCGTGCTTGGACGCCGGAACGGGATCGCCTCCGAGGTAAGGGGTGCTAGGGGGTGCTATTATCAGAGCATGTGCCTGTTCGTCCGCGGTATATATGGCCGTTCAGACAGTAAACTGCGAGCCGCATCCTTCTGTGAGAGCTTCTGTGTTCAGCCTATTCACTCTTCCGCGTCCTCGAATATATACCGTCCGTCGTGACATCTATCGACCATGGCACAGCAGATCAAGGTTGGCGACGTCAACGGCATCCCGATCATCAGCCTTGCGGCCTTCCTCGATGCTTCGAACAAGCAAGTCACGGCAGACGCCATGCTAGACTCCTTCAAGACAATTGGGTTTGTATATCTGGTCGATCATGGGCTACCAAAGGAGAAGATAGCCAGAATGTTTGAATGGGTAGGTCGTCAGGCATTTCCCACAGCAACTGTACTTTACTGACGGTTTGCTAGTCCAAGAAGTTCTTTGCTTTGCCAATGGAAACCAAGATGCTCGCGCCTCACCCGCCGTCTGGCACCCACCATCGTGGTTAGTACAACTGTAATGCATTTTACGTCGCCGAATAATATGTTCCGTAGGATACTCACCTCCTGGAAAGGAGAAGGTCGTTCAGCATGTCTACGACGACAAGGAGCTTGCGAAGATCCGCGCCAAGGCTCCGGATGTGAAGGAGAGCTTCGAGATTGGCAGGGAAGAGGACGCAGCCATGACAAACATTTGGCTCCCAGAGGACGTATTCCCTGGCTTCAAGGAAGCCTCCCTAGAGTTCTTCTGGGTAAGCAACGGAAGGATGCTGCTACTAAACGTCTGTTCACTCATTTCATGATACTAGGCTTGCCGGGAAATCGAGCTGACCATCCTCCGTGCTTTGTCCCTTGGTCTGCATCTCGAGGAGAGCTTTTTAGAGAAGTTCCATACTGCGCCTGATAATCAGCTGCGACTCTTACACTACCCAAGGTTCGCGTTTCGTACTAGCTGGGCGTCTTTCCACTGCTCACTGAAGCTACAGCGTCCGTGTAGATGACCTCGAGAGAGAGGAGGTTGCTCGGATCGGCGCCCACTCCGACTTTGGTAGTATTACGCTATTGATGCAAGACGATGTGGGCGGACTCGAGGTTGAGAACCCCCACAATCCTGGCGAATTCACGGTACTAGTGCCAACTTGTGCTCTACGAACGCGTCAGTTCTGACAGGTCCCTAGCCTGCTACACCCGTTGAGGGTGCTATCATCGTCAATGCTGGCGACTTCCTCATGAGATGTACGCCTTGCAATCAACGTAGCAGCGTGCTCATTCTGATTTTGTGGTATCAGGGTCGAACGACATGATTAAGAGTACCATCCACCGAGTCCGTGCTCCTCCCACCAAGACCAGGGCGGCATGACTCCGGACGTTACTCCATCCCCTATGTAAGCCAACGCACTTGCACCTAACCTATCTCTCTGCTAACGACGCGCGACGAACAGTTCTGCTCTGCGGTACGCACGAATGTTACATCGAGAGGTGACACTATACTAACGAGTGTTCAGGACTACTCTCGCACCGTGGACTGCCTGCCGGGGACCTTCTCGGAGAAGATTCCCAAGAAGTACGACCCAATCTCGGTCAGTCTCCTTTGTCTTTGCTTGGCTACCAAAAATACTGACTTCCTTAAGTCTGGTCAATACATCATGTCTCGCTTGCCGCGACGTATTAAGCCGGCATTACTAGTATCCGATACTTAAAAACGATGCAACAACTCTATGTACAGATTTATGGGCTTGCGCTGTGTACTGTGATTGTCTATGTAGTATCGACCTCTACGATCGCACTCTAAGTAGATCTAGAATTTGTTTGCCAGGCTACCCGCCGCTACCGGTCGTCCAGTCACGTGCAGGAGTCGATCGACGATCTGCCTGCAGTGCCTCACGTCTTGTTCTGAAACTTCTAATTCGCCCTACCATCCCTCAGCTCTGCTCCGACACAGCCCGCACATTTCACACATTTGAGAATTTATAATGCCGAGTACAGTGTCTGCAACCCATTTGCCTCACTCTAGGCCTCAGGGAGTGAAGAGGAAAAGAGGCAAGGTATGAATGCCATCCTCTCGGTGTCATAGGTCCATGTCGACTTCAGCCTAGGATGTAGTCGTGGATCCTGCAACGAAGATACGGGCGAAGTTGGTGGGTCTTTGTCCAACTTGATCCACACCCTAGATGCCCACCGACATAGCTCTGATAGCATAACGGCTTGAAAGCAATCTACAAAGTCGCGAAAAAAGAGAAGACTTTTGAGATCCAGAAACTTATCAAGAAGAAGAAGGATGCGGCGGGGAAGCAGGACAACGTGAACTATGATGAGCAGCTGGCTATATTGAAGGTCCGTGTTCGACACACTGTATGGAATTACGTGCCACAACATCCACCGTGTATGCAGGCATTAGATCCTGAAGGTGCAGCAAACTTGGCGACGAAGACGAAGATAGGGAAAGACAAGTTTCTCTCGCAGAACGAATTTGTCAAAGCGGCGGTAGAAGTCGAGCTGTCGTCCGGATTGCTGGTGCCATCAAAGCTTGGCGCGGCGGCCGGTATCGTCGAGAGTCGATTTCTCAGCTCAAAACGTATGGCCGCTGAGATACAGCGAGTCCTACAAGTCATGAAGGACGAACTCCTGGGCACATCTGGCAGCAAAACCGCGAACGCTTCTGCGCCATCGAAAGACAAGGTTAGGAACGACACCACCGTTCGGGCGCAGGATGCAACGTCTCCTTCGGATGATGAAGACGACCTATCTGGGGAGGAAGATGGAGTTGACGTCGACGTGCAGGAGGGAGCCGGTTGGGAGTCTGGCACGGTGGCTGACAGTGACGGGGAAGATGGGTGGGAGTCGGGCTCTGTGGACGACACGGCTGTCATTGGAGGACGTGCTGGAAACAAGGCCACGGCCGTATCTGATGAGGACGTCGGGGGCCTGTCAGAGGCGAGCGATTCATCCGACACGTCTTTGTCCCCCGCAGCCAAACGGAGGAAACAGCTCGATCATAAGGCCTCCGCAGCGCAAGCGGTCCCAAAGGACCCGAAAGGCAAATCCAAGGCATCTGCCGCCGAATCTACATTTCTGCCTTCGCTGTCCGTCGGCTTCACTCGGGGAGACTCAGATGTGTCAGACTGGAGCGACGAAGAGGCAAATGCAGCTGATGGTGCACGGAAGAATAGGCGCGGCCAGCGTGCCCGGAGAGCGTGCGTTAAACGAAGGCATACTGTCGTTCATTGCTCACGTATAAACTGGCAGCATATGGGAGAAGAAGTACGGGAAGAACGCGAATCATGTCAAAAACGCCCATGGGACATCTATGCGAGATGGACAACGTCCATCGAATCGCGCGAATCTACCTGGTAAAGGAGCACCGAGACGAGATGGACCGGATACGAGACAGCACCGTCCAAGTGCCTACGCAGCCTCTCGTCAACCCGACAGTCGCAGAGTCGCGCACGAAATTGCACCCCCAGGTCCAGAAAACGCCTTTGCACGAACGAAAGCCAGAGAAGAAAAGCCACTTCATCCGTCATGGGAAGCGAAGAAACGCCTCAAAGAGAGGGAGAACCCAGTCATTCTGCCTGCTCAAGGGAAGAAGATCACCTTTGATTGACGGGTCATTGCGTGTTTGGTCGCTGCTGCGTCGTGCGTTATGACATATGAATGCATCACTGGTGTCACCTTCACCTTTGAGGCGCACTGCACGATTCGGTCCGGATGTTCAAAACATTCACGCACTCACCGACATACGCTTTCCCAACGCTTCCCATACGTTCAGAACGTCGGCCCTGAAGGCCTGACAGTCATGACTGAGTACTGGAATCACACATGCTTTCGGCACGATAACGTATGCAGAGGTGACGCAAGTGTATTGAATCATCGCCAAAGCCCAGGGTACTTAACGCCAAGCAGTACATTGGTATGAAGTGCGAATCTAGGTGCAGAACAGAGGCACATCTACGTGGAGACAAATGAAGCTAGATAGCACGACAAAACAGCTCAATTAATTCTTCCTGCAAAGATGCCTCTTCCCGCCATTACTCTGCAACCTGCACTCTCTCGAACACCACATCTCGCCGCATCTAGGGCAGCAAGGGAAGTTGTTCCCCATTTTGTGACAGTTCGCGCAGGCTGTCGTGACGCAGAACCTCGACTGATCCTCAAGCGACTCCAGCACTGGGTGCAGCGGCAGCGGCTTTTGTCTAAGAATAGGCGGTGGTGAGAGTTCGCGCGCAGGAGTCGCCGGACCGGCGGATGAGGGGGCAGTAGGAAAGTAGTCGGAACCTGTGTAGGAAGAAGGGGTGCGACATATAGATGGAATGGTTGGGGAATTCGAAGGTGACGGCGAATGGCGCAAAGAGGAGCCGTGGAATTCGACTGGACTCTCGTCATCGGCGTGATCTGGACCGAAATGACGAGATGTGCGCGTGGTAACGGATGACAGAGACTCTGGGCGAAGCAGGGACCGTAGCGAAAGGCTAGACGGGTTGGTCGGTGCGAAAGAGCCCAGTGTCTCTGTCTCGTCTTGTGCAATATGTAAGACGGCTGGGGCGAGCGAAGGCGTGATCACCAGGGACGCGAGCCGCGGGCGAGCATGACGATGGAACGAGCCTGAAAGCTGCGCAGTGGATGCTGCCCGGACCCGGGACTTGGTATGCGGGGAGCGCCCAATGAGGTCGCCACTTGGAAGCGTCTCGGAGCGTGGGCGAACATGGGAGGGGAGCACAGAACGCTGCGCGACTTCACCTCGCTGCGGACGTGGTACGGCATCCATTGGCGGGCTGTCTCGGCGCGAAGGGAAGGGCTGTGCACTCCTGAGGGTATACCACTGTTGCCCGACGCGTTCGCCCGACGCATGACAGAAGGTGAGCCGGCAGGGGCACTCACTGTGTGCTGGTCCAAGCCTGCTGGACTTGCCTATATGTTTGTCAGTACACCGAGTTGGTCACCGGGGTAAGTGATAGTTCACCTCGGACAGGGGGTTTGACCTCTTGCTACGAAGAGGGTGGCCATTGTAGTGCGAAAGTGGGGTGATCGGCTGTAAAGACGAGTCAGCCATTCGTATTTATGTACGTCTGAGCGAACGATTACAGTAAAAGATGGAAGAAAGGGTGTCACACGACCACACTTACAGGCGTCTCGCTGACAGCTTCTACGAAGCAAATGTTGTGTCAGTCGTTTACGAGATGATAGGGCAGAACTAGACCGCGCTCCGCGTCTCCAGGCGTCAGGAAATATGAGTACCGCAGAAGGTGGAGGGCGGACAGAGACCCCGTATCACGAACGCTGGGGCCGGGTCGCCGCTTGATACGTTCGCTAAGCTAGAGTCTTTGAGTCCTTTACACTTCTGGTGAGATGGGATGCACGCTGAGGTGATGGCGAACAGAGGGGTCGTCCAGCGACTGGTCCAAGCCAAAACATGCTTAACGGTGAAGAAATATCACGGAGCTGAGCGCGGTACGAAATTCTGTGGCTCACCGGCGGCGCAGTCCCGCGAGCCCGCGACTTGCCCGCGACTGCTTGATCTTATCAGATAATTTCCCCACCGTATCTCGGCCCCGATTGGCCCCCGAGTCGTTGATTCTGATTCACGCCAGGTTCACGCCGACCTGGCACGGACTGCTCAACTAAAAAGGCCCAGACATCTATAAATTTTACTGCTAACTACGTGTGAATGCTACTGTGACTGTCGATGCTGTATAGATACAAGTGCGAGTAGACAATGCTTGCAATTAATTGGCCGTAGCGGTCTACGCTAGGGACGGGCTGATAAGAGAACGCTTGGGTGTGATGAGGCAGAAGCAGGAGCTAGGACACAATGGTCGGATAAGAGGACCGGACATCGACAGACCTTCGTGGCAATGGTGCCTAGTCCCATTGCTTCCTTTCAACCTGCAACCCCTCGAACACCATGTTTCTCCGCATCTCGAACAAGTCGGGAAATTGGCACCGTGCCTTTTACACGTCACACACACACCTGGCGACCTGAACCTCGAATGATCTTCCAGGTCAACAAGGGTGGGCCTGTTGTGCCCCAATAACGGGGAGTGGTTCCTCGGTGTCGCAGGTGCCTCCGAAGACGAGACCGTCGACAAAGAATCCGCGGAGGTTGAGCGCCGGAGGTGGCTATCCGGTAGAGCGGATTGATGCTGTTCCGCCGTCATCGATAATGGCTCGGAGGGGATCTCGACCTCAACGTGAAGGTCGAGGGGGGGACGAGATGCCTGGGTGCTTGCCGCATTGCCAATAAGGTCACGGAGGGTACCTTCAGCGGTTCGCGAAGAGAGGCGAGGGTAGACCGGAGGCTGAAGGGCTTCGTGGAATTGAAGATCAATTGCCAATACGGCTTCGCCTTTCAATGAGTGCGGGTTATTGGGGGCGGGAACGAAGAGACTCGATCTTCTGGTGCTGGTGGAGAGGGCGGTGCTCTGTGGGGACAGTGTTGACATACGGGCGGTGCGACTGGCATTCGCCTCTTTTGCGGTCAGGCGACCTCGAATAGCCTGTTGCTCACGGGTCAGCACAGTACCAACGTGTACTCCACATTACTCACTGAGCTAGCGAGCGTCTCGGAAGTGCTTCGAGCGGGACGCGGGCGTCCGGTGTTATAGTGCCTGGAGAGACACGCTGAAGAACGTCGACGGCCCTGTCAGTTGGTGACTGGAGAAAGCGCTGTCATCGACCAGTACCTTGCCGGGGATTGCAACATAGATGATGCACCTCTACACTCTCCCCAATTTCGTGCAAGAAATCTTCAAAATGGCTGCGAGGCTTGGGTAATGCCGGCCATGTGTGATGCGTCCTCTAAGAAAGTTCAGCTACTTGTACAACAGCGTTCATGGGCAAAGTACGAACCTTGACTGCGGGTCGCTTGGTGGATGAACTCGCCGCCATAGAAAATGGCGTCGAGGCAGGAAGGGGGTCAGGACGTGGCTTTTGCGAGGAGTCGACAGCGCTGATGTACCGGTTGCATGTTTCGTTTTATCTTGCACGCACGAACTGAGTGCGTCGCCGAATGAGTGGTCACACGAGCAGCGTTAGGTCAAACCCGTGTCATCATAGAAGCTGACGGAATGACGGTACCAGTCGGACGAACTGCGGACGTACCAATACGGTCAATAGATAAGAGAAGAGAAGATCTACCCACATTCAGGCTTCTACCCCGCATCGGCGAGACACACGCAGCAGTCGAGATGCACGAGAATGCATCACCACCTGTGTACGTACAACCCGCTCGCAGCCGGTGCGCCGCAGCCAAGCAAGCACCACAACGAGCTTCGTGAGAGGTGGCACACGACCTGAACCAGGACTCATGCATCATGCTCGGGTCCAACTCGGGTCGTTGGAGAGGCTTCCGACGAGGTGTCACGGTTGTGATTGACCATCGACGCAACCCTTCGACTCGGACGCAACCCAGACGCAACCTACCATTCGGGCGCTGAGTGGACACGGCCGATGCCGTCGCGGTTTGATTAATATTGTTCGGATTCTGTAAAAGGCAATTTTTGCTTCGTTCATCTGCTCCATCTAGCCACACTAGGCCGTCTCAGCAAGTCTCAGCTCGTTGCACTTCCAGTCAATGTGCGCTCTGCATCGCATTGAAGAGTACTTGCGGCCATGCTGCTCAATCTATATGTAGACCTGCCGCGCCATCCATCCGGGTCGGTACGGTATGTCTTGTGCCGTGACTGCGTCCTCAAGCTCAAGGGCCTGGCCCTTCCGAAGTGAAGCCACAAACTCATTATGAACTCCTCGTGTTTCCTTCGCGTTCCGTTGGCATGCTCAGTCACTGCATGGCCTTCATAACTATGGAAACTCCACGAGGAAGCTGGACGATCTCACCAATGTACGGCCTGATTATCATCGCAGTGGGATGAAGACGTGACGCGGTCGGTGCAGGTTTCCACATACATAGGCTAGCTCATCGATGGGTGTACTTATCCCAAGACGGAAGGCATTATCCCCGACGGCAGCTGTCTGTACGTGCGCAAGCAATTACGTCGCTTTTCGGTGACAGGTTTGCCTTCGATTGTCGTTAGAGAAGACTGGTGACATTTGCACGCGCTTGCGGGCCACATGGGTCGGTCGCGCGGCCAATAGCCAAAACAGAGTATAGTAAGTTGAGCATTCTAGAGGGATCACCGCGTTACTTGGAAGGTATCTTTTCCCCGAAGAATAGACGCTTACAAGAGGGGTTCTAATCGGCAGTGGTAGTCGTGCTTGAACCGCGTCCAACTGCATGACAACCTCGGAGCTGACCTTCACTGACCCCTCTTACCTCTGCGGCGTTCCAGAGCTCCACGATGCTGTAACCTCGACGTTACCTGGCTCGTGATGGTGGAAGTGTGGTTATCCACTTAGTGAGCTCCTCTCGCTGGCCATTGAACTTACCTTGGCATTATTGAGCAGGTCCCCTGCATGCCCCCCCGGTTTGTACTGTGTATTGACCACGGGAGATCGTCGTTCATGCTGCCTCAGCTACGAGGAGCTGGCAGAACGAATGTGCGTAGTCATTGCCAGTATTGTCGCGAACGTGCGCTCATTACTCACCGCCAGCCCGACGTCTTCACCTGTGACCTCCCTTCGTCCCACGATGCTTGCCCTACGTCCCCAGCGCATCACGCGGGCAGTTCGCGAGCGCGGTGGACTCCGCTGCATGGGGAATACCGTGCACAGCGCCTACCAGCGCATGTCCCGAACGGCGCTCCTCGCCGCCAACCGTCTTATGGCTCTGATTACATCGTACGTTTCATTTCTTCACTCAGCTGAGATACTTGCAGGCTCTCGACACCGTGACGCAGCTCAACGTCATTTTCGACTTCCCGATTTCATTCGGCGGACTCAACGTATGTACTATCGCCCCCGCTCGCCCGTGATCGATGATGGAGGTTAGTGAATGACGCCTCGAGAGCTGGGGAAGTATGCCGAACTGGGAGCTTGGAGATGGGAACCCGTCGGGCTATACGCGTGCGACAGTCATCCCGCCGTTCGGCATTTCAGCGCCAGTGTGGCCACGGCAGGGCGGGCGATACCCAGTACCCTGGGCTTCTAGAGGAGATGTAACTGGACCACTGTGGAGGTCTTCCATCTTACTGGATGTGCGTGTATCCTCATGGAGGATGTCCAGATCGGTCTTCCGACTTTACCCACGGCCATCATCCGCGTGTGAAGTGTGCGGCCATCCAGGCTCGCGCGCAGAGCGATTTATCGCTGTAGAGTGGAGCACAAAACTCATCGCACAATGCTTGAGACTGAGGTCTCGAAGTCAGCAATGTATCGCTGGAGCAGCCCTCTCAGCCACCTACGTCTTTGGCACGGTCCAGAGTGCACTGGCAGGTATGTACGTGATTGTGGTGCTGTGAATCCAGTTTCCTGCACCGTAGTGTTCGCCGTTATCGCATTGTTACGAAGATTTACCGCACTGGTCTCCTGGTGGGCTGTGACGCGCGCGACCAGACCACAGACTTGACAGTCAAGCTTGAAGCTTCGAAGAGCAAGTCAATCATGCCGGCGCAACGCGTCGCGGTGGTGGCGATGCCGCCGAATCATTAAGTCACGTGCGCGTGTTACCGAGGTGCGCGCTTGCCCGATGCGGCCTTGGTGTTGAACGTCGAGGAGGACATTCTGCCGCCAACATGAATGGCAGAGGGGATGTCTCTCAGCGCAAGGAGCCACCACCGCGACCTGCTCTCATCACCCCATCTGCCTCCCCTCCTGGCTCGCGGGCGCCTTCGCAACTGGGGTGGCGCATCTCCGTGGACCGGCCACCACCCACGAAGCGACGGCGACTCGGGTCAACCCCATCTAGTCCCTTTTCTGTCTCTACGCCTTCTTCGTCCACTGCAGAGACCGGCTTTGACATACATGAAAGCAGAAAAGCAGCCTCGCAGCGTCTCCTCAACACATGGTCCTTGCTAGCGGAGCGGTACAATCGCCCGCTAGACGAGGACGACATCATCGACCTCCGCGACGGGAGCCTCGTCAAGGATCGCGGTGTGCTTCGCAATGCGGCGAAGAAGTTTGAATTCGCAGGCGACGACGTTCCGTCCGACACAAACGACGCGAGCAGCGACTATGGCCTACACACGGACGACGACGTGGACGAATTGGACGCATTCGCGCCCGGGGCTGATATCTCAGGTGAGCTGGAACTCGAACGAGAGAAGCGACACATCCCTCCGGTGCAAGCGATGGACCCTGCCGACGCGCAAGATCTACGTGATTTTCTGGAGATGGAACGGCTCCGGAAGGAGCAGTACGGCGACGAAGAGGACGAGGAGGAGGTCGTTCATTTGATGTCTCTGGAAAGCGCTACTGGCTCGCGCAGCAGCTCGGAATGGCGGGGCTCGTCCCCTCGGGACGAGCGAGAAGTCGAGGACAATGGCACCGAGGCTTCCGTTGTATCCTACGAAGATGACAAGAATGATGAGGATGATGTGCCTGAGCACCCTTGGCCATCATCGTCCGCTGGAACACCTGCTGAAGAGGATGAATCCGAAGATGAATTCGCCTCCTGGGATTTCGATACCACCACTCCCGTCAAGCCCTCGAAAGTCCCGCGTCCTCCCACACCTGACGATGTCATCGACCTCACCGATTCGCCAACAACTTCTGCGTCGCATACAACGGTATCTCGTGGGCGCTCGAAGGCACCTGTTGACTTGGCGAACAAGCAAGCCGAACCTACGAGAGCGAACAGTATCCGAACTCCTGCCACACAGAAGACTCCTACTGCGTCAGCGAAAGCCTCTCCCAACGTGAAAACGCCTGTTCGAACGAAGACCCCAGCCCGTAGGAAAGGCAGCATGCCCCCACCACCTCTGCCTGTGGCCTCTACCAGGCAGCTGGCTACTCCCCCACCCTCGTCCTCTTCCGTTGTCGAAAGCACACCAGAGACCTGCGTCACTTACATCGCAAAGAGCCTTTCACCTTCGCCGCCCCCCTCACCACCTCCGCCGCCCAAACCGAGGCCGAGGCCGCGTCCGCGATACAAAAGTGTATTAGCGTCATCCAGTGGTACCGATCCCGAGAGCCACCAGGCCGCACCCAGCGTGCGACACGCAGAGGAAGGCCTGAACGCGGTGACTCCGAAAGCCCACAAGTTCAGGCTCGTTCCAGAAGTAGTCATCAATGGACGAGAGCGTACGATAAAGGTGCCGCCACGAGCCTCGTCTTCAAAACTCGATGCGGAGCTGCACACATTGGACGTAGAACCATCACGCGTTGGAGCTGAATCTTCGCGGAAGGGTAAGGCGAAAGAGACGAGCGATCGTCGCACAATCGTAGCCGATGATGTGGACCCTACGCAGGCTCAGTCTTCCAAGTCTGCGAATTCGCCCAAAAACCGACCACAAGAAAGGCCGCCAGCCTCGATGCCAATCAACAGGACTCCGACTCTGACGTCCCACTACCACCGAGGGCGCGCAAGCGCAAGCGTATTTTGTCGTCATCTTCTCTATCAGGGGTGTCCGACAAGGATGATCCCTTTCCGACGATCACACCGATCGTCCCGTCTAGTGCACGCCCCAAAGATGACGCCGGGCCGTCATCTAGCCGTCGCACACCGAAGCCGATGCGCAAACCATTGCGGCGGACGGTCGACGACGACGATAGCGGTACGCTATACTGTTTCCGACTGATCGCGGATGGTATCCTCATCATGATTTGCGGTACTCAGATGATGCTGGACCTGAGCCTCCCCCTCCTCCCCCTCCTCCACGCGCACGTACACCGCATAGGCTACCTCCCCAGCCAACCGAGTACCAAGGAGCCCCTCCGCCGTTGCCCTATACACCGCGACATCGTGACTCCTACGCCCCGTTCCCGCCCGCTGTCGGCCATGACCCTGACGCTCAAATGAAGTTCATGCAGGCAGCGCACTATTTATCATATCTTATGAGCGCGGCGGCAAGCCTGCCGCCTCCAACCGGATACCCGCCTGGTTACCCACCGGTACCGTTCCCGCCTCAGGCGCCGCAATGGCCACCTTGGACGCCGGTGCACCGATCACAACGCTCACAGCGAGATCGACAATCAGACCTCTCGTCCTCAGACGCGGGTCCGTCGGGGTCTGCGTCATCATACCACACCCCGTCACATCCACATCCCTACCCGTTTACCTTTGACCCATCCTACTCAAGCGCCTCGCTGCCTCCTTCGTCGCCTCCTGCGTCGTCATCGGTACACTCGTCGCCGATCGGGCGCTCGCCGTCTCTTGTAACGGGCCGGAGCAAGTCGAGAGGCCGGCGAGTGTCCTTCAAGCTCGACGGCAACGACAGACCTGTCCTTCCGTCTCCTCCTGCCATGAGCGACGACGAGGAGCCGGGAGCCGAGAGGGGCGTCACGTCTCGCAGGCCTGAGGGCCATGAGGCTGATGCGAACGACCGGCCCGCCGCTGCGCGGAAGGCGAAGAGCAAGGTATCTGGCCGAGCAAGCACACCAGCGGTGAAACCCAATAAAGGCAAGGCAAGAGCTGACCTTGTGGAGGAATCCGACGAACCCGATAGCGACCGGGGCAGGAAGAGAGAGCGTGGTCGCACGCCCGGACCCCCCGCGCACCCAGAGCGGAGCGCATCCGCCCGCAGTGCTGGGAGAAAGACGTGAAGGCGTGGTGGATGTCGTACGATGCTGCACGATTATCTTTACATATGTAGCTACTGCCGGTCTGCGCGTTGGGTAGGCATGTATTGCGTATGTACCGACGCTGTACGCTGGAGAAGAGCTGTATTATTACGATCGAAATAATGGCCGGCGGGGGGATCGAAGGGGGAGAAAGGATCACGCAGAGATCGGCTGTGCGGATGGTCGAGATAGGCCCAGGGCAGACGCCACCACCTGCCTTTTGCAGAACTCACCACCAAACCCCACCTTTGCGATTTTCGCCGCAAATACTCGTCAACAGCCTCTTGACTCGCCCACACGACCATCTGCCCGTCTCCCGCCGGCTCGCCTCCGCCGTCCTTGCCTCTTCTCTTCTCCGCCACCACCGCACCAGGACAGCCGCGCCAAAACGGTGGACGAGCATCACTGATCTTGCCGCGTACGCGTCCATCAAGCACTACTAAACATGGTCGGTCCTCTCCCACTTTACAGTATCGCCTCCACTCATGTCGCGGTCACGGTGGCGTAGGGTCAAACACTGTCTATGCCTGGTCTGTACTCTGCCACGCGTGGACTGCCAGTACTTACCGTTCGCCTCTTCTGCAGCGACTGACAAGACGACGGAGAATGGGGGGAATAAGAAATTCTACTACGGGGTCTCTGAGATGCAGGGCTGGCGGTTCAGTGAGTGTCCCCATCCTCGTGCTGTCGTGTTCTGCAGCGCGAGAACACTGCCTGACGCTGTCTGCGCGGGCAGAGCGACCTGTTATCAGGCGAACCTGACATACTTTCATCTAAGCCATGGAGGACGCGCATACCATTGCTCTGAACCTCGATGAAAGCGAAGATGACACGAACACTTTCTTCGCTGTATACGATGGTCACGGCGGTGCGTTGTCTCTCTTCGTGCGCCACGCCCTTGACTCAGACCCTCTGTTCCCGAAGGCGGTGCAGCGGCGAAGTATGCTGGCGAGAACGTACACAAGAAGCTCAAGTCCGATGAGGCATACCAGCACAAAGAGTACCGTGCAGCCCTCAAGAACGCATTTCTGGGCACTGATGATGACATGCGACACGGTGAGCTCCACTTCGCCGACACGGGTCCGCCTTGTACCAAAGAGGTATCCCTCAGCGCCCGAGATGCAAAGGGATGGATCAGGATGCACCGCAGTCGCGGCGCTCGTCACAAAGGAGGGCAAAATATTCGTGGTACGTGAATGCACGACGATCTCAGAGAGGCGTTCTGTTCTTATCGTTGTTCCCGCAGGCTAATGCAGGCGACTCGCGGTCGGTCATCAGTGTGAAGGGGGAGGCGAAACCGCTCAGTTTTGACCACAAACCGCAGAACGAAGGTGCGATATATGCGATGCATCGATCACCATGAAAGCTGACAGCAATGTGGTACAGTCGAGAAGAGCCGAATCGCCGCGGCTGGTGGTTACATTTCATTTGGTCGTGTTAATGGCGAGTGTCTCCACCATGCATGATCATCGACATTGCGTCTAAATCCCACAGCGATCTAGGGAATCTCGCCCTCGCACGCGCATTGGGCGATTTCGACTACAAGCGGAACGACGCGCTCTCACCGGAAGCTCAGATTATCACATGTGACCCGGAGATCACTGAGCATGACATGACGGACGAAGACGAATTCTTTGTCGTCGCATGTGATGGTAAGTCGTGCATATTTCTCGACATGTGAACACGGTTTGATGCGCGCACACTCGATTTAGGCATCTGGGACTGTCTTAGCTCGCAGCAATGTGTGGACGTCATTCGTCTCATGATCTCCCAAGGAAAGGATCTGTCTCAAGTTTGCGAGGAGATATGCGAGCTATGCCTTGCGCCTGACACGAATTCCGGCGCGGGTATCGGCTGCGACAACATGACCATCCTCATTGTTGCGGTCCTGCACGGACGCACGATTGAGGAATGGTACAAGTGGATCGCCGAGCGGACGCAGCAGCAATACGGACACACGACTCCGGAAGAGCTACCGCAGCTCTACTCCCAGAGCAGGCTTGCTTCCTTCAGGGCACGACGTGAGGCATGGGAGGCACGCAGGGCCCAGCGCGAGGCGCATAACGCGTCCTCAAGCTCGTCCCCTGATCGGGAGCAGCGCTTCAGCGATGGTGAGGACGAGAACCTCAGTGGACCGGGGATGTTTGGTGGCTTCGCCCGGGTACTGGGGAGCACGGGCGGCATCTCGTTCCACCCAAGCACAGGCCTCACGATCGATGCACCCTTGATGTTCGACAACGACGATGATGACGATAACGACAGCGACGAGGCGGATATGGAGGATGTGATGGGGATCTACCCCGCGGGCGGGGGCGAGGGCCACGACCTCCCCATGTTTCGGCGGGATGCGACGAAGAGCCTCAAGGAGCAGCTCGACGAACTCGAACGGGAAGACAACGAAGGGGACGTCGACATGCAACAGAACGAGCAGTGGCAGAACGATCCGTCGGTGCAAGGCGAGGCACCACCACCGCCACACCGAAGGTCAACGGAGACGCTACGCCCCAACCGCAGCACGCGACCCCGCCAGGCGGGGACGAGCCGAGTCCGGTGGTGAAGGCGGAGGGGCTGCTGGACAAGAGCGAGGACCCGCTCAAGGTGTAGCATAATGGTACATACCATACCCGTCCCGTTGTTTTCTGTTTTCTGTACTGTGTGGCTGAGCTATATCTATTTGTCGGCGTCTGACTGTCTAGTGTCTCATACCTTTCCCTCCCACCTCCATCCATGCCCATTGTTGTCGCGGTGTATCAATCAGGCTGCCATTCACGACTACGCGTACAACTGGAGCTAATACATGTCCTCATGGTCTTTGTGTACATTTGGCAATCACTTCTTTCCTGCATCCCCTTGCGCCGCAGAACGTCATACCACGTTTCGCAGGAGTATCAGCCCACCTTCGCAGAGACACAAGATTACAGGCTCGAGATTCGGCCCAGTCTTCATGAGAGTGACGCCTAACAACGCCCCTGCAGATCCGCCTCCTACTTTGAGCACCGCTTGCTTAGCCCACTTTTCTTTCGCCGGCGCTCCTCGGTAGATGTATACGTTCCCGCCAAGATCTCTCGAACCGCTCTCAAAGGCGAGAACGGCGCGTGAAGAGACGTGATATGTGAAGCGGGTGTCGCGCTTGCTCGCGAGCACGAACGCAAGCGCAGAGTAGGTCGCCGCATGCTTCCATTCTGGCTTGTCCTCCGGGCTACCCGCCGCACCAAGCTCATACACCACCCCATCAAGCCCGTTCTTGACCACCAAGCTCGGCCTCTCCGCGTCCGTGCCGGGGAAGGACGTCGAGAGCACCTGTAGGGGTGCATCGTCGTCATGACCAAACGCGGGGCTCGCACCGTCCGCGCCGACCCACGTCACGCACGCGCTCCGGCCCACGCTCACGTCCAGCTCGTCGTCCATCTCCTCCTGCGCCAGACTCGGCACGCCGCGCCCGAGCCCCAGTCCGCTCGCGTCCTCCCCGCTCTGCAGCGCGGCCGTGTACTTCTCGAGCGCTTCTCGGATCGCGTACAGCTCGGACGGGTCGAGCGTCTCCGGGACCTCCGTGTCCGCGTCTGCGTCAGAGGTGGCGGAACCGGGGACGGGCGCGGTCGCGCCGGCAGCGGCGAAGACCTGCGGCCAGCGCGTGCCCTCGTGTGCCTTGTCGAGGTGCAGCGTGAGCACGCCGTACCTGCGCTCCGCCGCGCGGTCGAACGTCCACATGCTCGTCCCGGACTGGATGTGGTCCCAGAGCGGCTTCATATCGTATCGCGGGAGCGGCACCGGCGGGTCCTCCGCGCCCCCTGCGCCGCGGACGAGGACGGTGAGCGTGCGGAGGGAGAAGGCAACCCTGATCGCGTCGGTGGGCGTGCTGGACGGTAGGGGGATCGCGACGGTGACGCTGTCGGTGGTTTGCGTCCAGGAGTAGGGCGGAGGCCTCTGCGGGGCATTGAGCGTGGCGCCGTCGAGATTCTCGTTTGCGCGCGGGATCGGGGCGAGTTCGTCCGGCGTGGGCACATAAGTAGGGGCAGGCCCAGCGGCGATGGTACGATAGGACGCGCCGACGAGCATGAAGGAGCGGCGGCTGGCGTCATGGAAGGTGTAGATGGGGACATCGTCGCCTCGCCGATGCCAGAGGATGTCGAGAAGGCGCGTCTGATCAGGGACGGGGGCTATGGGCAAGGTGAATCGTGCGGCCCATATGTCGAACTCGGGACCCTTTGACTGTGTGCGACCGCCTTGAGACGTGCCGTTGCTTTCTGCAGGAGTGTCCTCTCGATAGTGCTTGGACGAGAGGATGACGGTCGCTGCGTCTGGGGCAGTTTGGGCGACATGGTGGATCCTGAAAGGAACGACACCTCTCGAGGAACCATACACTGCAGGGATCGCGAGTTCGAACGTGCCAATCAGCTCGGCAGACCCTGTGCTTTGGATCGTCAGTACATAGAGGCTCCCATAGCCATCGGATACGAAGAGCGACGAGGCGTTCAAGAATCCGGCAGACGGATACTCGCGCTGGGGGGATTCGGCGTCCGGCGACAATATGGGCTTTGGCATCTCAAACAAGAGACGCGTCGCTGGCTCTAGAGTGGCCTACCTTTGACCATGCATCGTTGAGATTAGCTCTATAGTCGTCAGAGGATGTCGGGGCCCACCTCGCTCAGCTTGATGGACACAACGCGGAGCTCCTCGTCTATGTACGCCGCGCTCCCATCTTCCTGGCAGAGCGCAATGTGGTTGTGAGAGATCCTGCTCTGAACCTCCTGGAAGGATACGTGCGAGCGACCAGAGACATTGGTCTGGGAAGGCTTGTACTGCAGGCCGTAGTGGAAGACGGCCTGTTCTTGTGGAATTGGGGAGAGCTTGTAGCCTTCGAAGCGAGGGTTGAGCAGAGCGCGGTCTGACTTGAAATTCGACATCAAGGTAGTCCAAAGGTAGTCGCAGGAGTGCGAGTACATGTGCACGAGCTCGAGCACAAGCCGTGTCGGACCCACTGTCGATGTGTTGTCGATGACGCCACTATGCATCCAAATATGGAAATATTCTTCCTTACCGATTCCGAGTTCCTTGGGCAAGTGAGGATTCGTGGTGAGATGGCCGAGTGGTCTAAGGCGCCAGACTAAGGCGGCGTCGAGCCTGTTTAGGCTCACATCGAGTGTGAAACAGGGACGACGCGGTTCATCTGGTCCGAAAGGGCGTGAGTTCGAATCTCGCTCTCATCATGGCTTTTTTGCCAGGAGCGAGCCACGAGGTGAAGTAGATATGAAAAGAGCGGTTCCCAATCGCTTTTTGAGCTTTGCATGGCGCATCTTCGAGAGTAAAGGTGTACAGTTCCGCTTTTGGACACGAGCGCTTCCGCTTTGGGAGGTGTTACTACGAAATTGGCAAGTGTTGTTTTGGTAGGCGCTGGTGCTGTACGGTCGAAACGTAAGTTACGGGGCGACTCACTTTGCTTTGAAGATGCTCCTGTGGGACGGCACGGGTAGCATCCTGGTTCTATAGTAAGAAATGCTGATATTATTGCCGCAGCAGCCCAGATCAGGGAGTCCCACTGAGTCGGCGTCAAGGATACAGCACCTGGCACTGGCAGCATGCCAATGATGACTCGGATACTGGTATAGTGTACAAATAATATACATCGGACGGTCCATGCAGTCTATCCCAATCTAAGAATACATCCCAGAGAAATGATCACGGTCATCGTCGTCGCGGTCAAGATGCTCATCCTCATTACGATCGCGGTCTTCGTCTCGTCTCTGTGCTCCCTGTGCGATTGCGGCGAAGGTCGCTATATCGTTGTCGCTCGCGTGGTCGTACACTCCCATGATGAGGTTTGCGAGGTTTGCGAAGTTAATATTCAGGGAGGCCAGCGGTATGTCGGAGAGTTGTACATCTGTGGACCCTCCGTCGGTAACGGCCTCAGCAGGGATAGGCGCGTCGATAAATGGGCGCCGGCATGTGGGACAGGTCGTGCGCTAGTCAACACGGTTAGCATGGATGTCTTGGATGCAGCAGGTAGTGAACGCATGTTGCGTGCAGATGTCTAATAAGAGTTCCAGCGACGGACACTCACGCCTTGGTTCACCCAACTAAGAGTGCTGGAAGCAGCGGTGGGGTTTCATTAAGCGATGGGGACACAAGGAGAGACCGGATCACTCACTCCTTGCGGCAGAAAATGTGTCCACACGTATCCTTGAAGCGTGTCACGCCGAGCTGCTCCACAGGATGTGCCGGCGAGTCAAGTGCGAGAGCCGTCTCCTCTTCCGCCAGTATCGCGGAGAACGGCGTGAGACAAATCGGGCACGGCGAGGCGACCTCGTCAAGCTCAACAAGGTCTCGTTCCGTCAGCTTGGGGAGCCCCTCCGCGAACTCCTTCACCTTTCTGGGATGATCCGCCGCGGCGCACGATCAATTCGTAAGCCTCGGTACGACTCGAGAATTTGACTCAGCACGCACAACCGGTATGCAGCATTGTTGCGCACATGAGCCAACACGCCATCGAGGATGATGCCAGGTATGCCATTGCGGCCAGCCTGAGCATCGCGATGGGTTTGAAGCCTGAGGAAGTCCGACATGCTCCGGCGCCGTTGAAGGTTTGGTTGTGGTTGGGCCATGATCTGCTGTTGATATTGGCTGCCTCAACGATATGCGAGATGAGGAGATGCGCTCGACTGGAAGCCCGAGGAAGCTACAGGGCGGAGTCGCAGTCTGCAGTGAAAGCAGTACACACGATCGATTGGAGGCGCCCACCGGGATACGCGTCCTCGGGACGCGCGTTTCGAGCACGTGAGTCGCGACAGAGACTTGTCATTAACATTGACAAGTACTGTCATTCAGCCTTTCGTTACAGACGCCCTCGAGTCCGCGGGACGTTGACCAGTCTGCTTCATGTTTTGACAGTGACACTAGACTTCTGGTAAGTACATGCATTGGGCAGTGTCTCAAGCTTTCTGGGCTAGTGAAACCTCGACGACGCTCACACATTGCGGTCGCTGATGTAGGTCACTCGCCTGACCGGTACTTACATCCAACAACTAGTTGATGCGTACCAATACAATACATAAGTATGGGCCTTCGAAATCCGGAACGAGATGCGCGCAAGCGCCTTCGAGCGGGAGGATCGGTCATCAATACATAAGCCAGTGATCAGACGGTCCCGCAGTACCTAGATGGACACGAGACATCAAGTATGCTTCGGCGCTGTGACGGTGCGCTCCTTAGCTTCACCAGTGTCCAGCATGTCGGAGAGTATCAAGCTTGGAGATGTCAGCGGCATCTCCATCGTCGACTTTGCACCTTTCCTGGATGGCTCAAACAAGCAGGCTGTGGCAGATGCTATGATAGAGTCCTTCAAGGCAATCGGCTTCGTCTACGTGGTCAACCATGGTCTTCCAAAGGAGAAGATTGATGATATGTTCGGATGGGTGCGTACTATATCATGCTACCCGTGTACTACAGTGATTGAGGGGTCTGCCGTAGTCCAAGCAATTCTTTGCTTTGCCGTTGGAAACCAAAATGCTTGCTCCGCATCCCCCATCCGGAAAGCATCCACGCGGTGTGTATAACAAACCTTGCGCGTATACGGCCGTTCTGAGCACTGATGTGTTTGACCCTGTCAGGCTACTCCCCGCCCGGCCTAGAGAAGGTCTCGCAGCATGTGTACGACGAGAACGAACTGGACAAGATTCGTACACGAGCTCCCGATGTCAAGGAGAGTTATGAAGTTGGCCGCGAAGACGATCCTATGGCCAACATCTGGCTGCCAGACGGCATGCTTCCCGGCTTCAAGGAGGCATCTCTTGATTTCTTCTGGGTACGTCGCCACACTCCTCCGAAGGTTCGTGTGGTAGCCGTTTGACGCAGGCTTGCCTCAGACCTGTCGAGAGGTGCAGCTCACTATTCTACGTGCCCTCTCCTTGGGGCTCAACCTTGAAGAGGACTATCTCGAGAAATGCCACACTGCGGTTGATAATCAGCTACGGCTTCTGCATTATCCCAGGTACGTCACCACACATTTCGAGAGAATCTGCACTGCATGGTCCGAGAGCAGCGTCCCTGTTGAACAAGTTGAGAGACACGAAGTGGAGAGGATCGGCGCTCACTCTGACTTCGGGAGCATCACGCTCCTATTACAAGACGACGCTGGCGGGCTCGAGGTAGAGGATCCCAACAAGCCTGGAACGTTTAGAGTCAGTCGGTGTATAGCCACCTGACTCAGCGAGAACTGACAACTCGCGTAGGCTGCAACACCCGTCGAGGATGCAATCATTGTCAACGCAGGAGACTTCTTGGAGCGATGTAAGCAAGGGACATGGTTGGATATATCGTCGCGGTTCTTATACTGTGTGCACAGGGTCGAATGACACAATAAAGAGCACGGTGCATCGTGTTAGGGCCCCTCCGTTCAACAGAACCGCGGATGGCATGGCCCCGGAGCGCTACTCTATCCCATATGTACGTAGCATTACCTCCTTTGCCGTCGTCCAGCATCTTACTGAGAGCGGTACCGGGGCACCAGTTCTGCTCTGCGGTACGCACTGATGCTCGTCCTGATATGTCGAAAAGCTAGTATAACAGTCTCGTTCCTCCAGGACTTCTCGCGCGTTGTGGATTGTCTGCCCGGCACCTACTCTGATGACAACCCGAAGAAGTATCAGCCTATTTCTGTGCGTACAATGCCGACTCTTTGCGATGCATGTCTTGATGATTTTCAGGCCTACCAATACGTCATGGACCGTCTGAATGCCCTGTATTAGTCCTGGTTCGATGCGAATGACATCGCGGCCGGCCGAAAGTTATGTTGCATTGATATCTTTTTTTACTGCGAAACTGCGACCATATGCGAGTCAGCGTTACATGGGCCAATTATAGGCATGCGTCCGATGGCGTGGTCTGCTACAATGTACATCGTCTCCGATGACGATGCTCTCGCCATCGTTTTGACCACGACGTGTTTTCAGTCATTCTTCAGAGTGCTTCTGTGACGAAGACGATGTGATTTACTGTAATGTCCCAAGTCAGAGGAGCAATGACGAAGGACATGGAAATGAATACTTTGCAGTGCGCTCTATATTTCTGTCTTGAGGACCACTTTTCCCAACAGACCATCATGATGCTCAAATATGTCAACATGGTCTCTGATCCACTGCTCATCCTCCTTCGTAAAAACAGAAGTTCTGCCCATGGACGCCTTCTTGAATGGCTTCCCGGTTGCCTTCCGCGCCTGGATGAGCTCGCGCGCAGACTCGCTTGATAGGCGTGTCGTTTTGAATGTCTCTAACTTCGGTAGAAGGGGCTCCTTGTTCGAATGTGCGATGCTCTCCCATTGTTTGATCAGCACGTCCTCCCAATCCATGATCGCGAGTTCATCGTCCAGACTTAGCGAGAGCAACTCAGTCAGCTCTGTAAACATGTATGCAATGGCTGCTTCGTCGTCGCATCCAATTCTTGTAAGGTTGATCTCTCGCAGCTTGCTGAACACTGACCTGCCGGTGACAGGCGAGGGTCGCGCGAGGGCCTTCAGGAGCACAGTACCGCCAACATCGCCCAAGCCGCAAACGGGGAAGTACACGTCTTGGGGACGATGTATCGCCCCAACGGACAGCGAGACGAGGTTGGGCAGCGCGAGGCGTTCGATGAGACATATGTGTCCGTATTCGGGAGAGGCGATCTCGAGACTGCGGAGGGAAGGCAAATGAATGACAGGATCTGCTATATGGTCGGTCTGAATCATATCGGGATTCAGTGCGTCGTCGCGCCACTCGACCGGACTACCCGCAGGCCCTGAATTCGAAAATGACAGTTCTTCGAGTTCGGGCGAGCTGCGCTAGATGCGCGCAAAGTCCTTGAACAACGGTCGGAGGTCTTCCGCGTGGCAGCTGAGATGGAGTTCCTTCAGACCGCTCAGGAAGATGGATGTGGTCCAATTGACGTGGACGCCCACAAGGTCGACGCACTTGAGACTCGGCACATTACCGTGGAACAGGACAAAATCTTGTCTCTTGAACTCCTCCCCGACTCCCTCCGAAGGGTTCAACGCGTAATTTGAAATCCGTAGCACCTCGAGCATCGGCGCCCCGACGCACGCACCCAACTGGATGAGCGTGGGATGGATGAAAGAGTAGTCAAAGGCCATGATGTCGAGTGAATTCCAGCGAGTAATATGAGGGATAACCAACGTCATGGTTGCGTCGAGCTTCTCCAGTAGTTCGGTGGTAGTACGCGCGTCTGCTTTTCCTTCACCTCCGTCGAGAGTTATGACGATCTCCAACGGCGCTCTCTTGGACCGCTCGAGGTAGATGGCAGCCTTGTTGTGCCGCAGGTCATCCGGAAAGTCGAACGCGGTCCAGAGGGTGGGTAGGTTGATTGCGATGTCGCGCCAGAGCTTGCTGACGTGGGAGATGCTCAATTCAGGGAAGTGCCTCTTCCCATCGTCTGGAACGCAATCATACACGATGCGGAATATTTGGACGAGTAGTTCCGTTGGTAGGTGATAAATCCAGCACCGGCTATCTTGAGGCATGAGCCTCAGGTAGGGGTCACCGACAACAGCGCTTGACATGCCAGCAGTGATCGCTGGTGTTTAATTCCTATCAAACTTCTGACGGTACGCTGCCCACACACAAGAGCGGCGAGGCTCGGACTGCGCTCGAGGTCGAGTTACGCTTGAAGCTTGAAGTTCAAGGCACTGCCAAGGTCATACATGAGCATAACCAGTGACGCGACTCATGGCACCATGATATCAGACGTTGTGCAACACACACCGGCGTACGAATTTGAACAGTGAAGCTTGAAGGTTCAATGTGGATGCAGAAAACACACCGGCGTCGCAAGGCGGAGTGAGTGTTACCACTGATCTGCAGTGCACAGTTACAGGGCACCGCCCGAACCTGGTACTTGCCGTACGTGACGGTCACTGGTTGATTGAAGGTCACGCGTGGTCAGAGCGACCACTGACTTTTTGAACGCCTCGGCGCCGCTCAGCGAGCGAGTACGTACATATGTGTCGTTGTACCAGGTTGTAACTTAGCACCTGCTCGGATCCATCATTATGTCACCGTACTTGGCGTCCATCCGGTTGACAAGCATTGTCGGGCAGCACCAGCACGCGTGCACTGAAAACTGTACTTTACTTCCTAGTACTTACTGACCGCAGCGACCAAGGGCCAAGAGTATGATAGCAGTAGTGACCATGCATTCCCCGAACATCAATGAGCTACTTCTGCGTACAGTACATCATCATCATTGACATCTCTATTCGAACTCCCTTCAGCTCCGAGTCCGAGGTCCCGGTAGTACCAAGTGTCCCGTGAACGGATCTTACTGGCTGTTATCCACCTCTATATAGCACTTGAAGTGGCGCAGCTCGTTATTGAGCCTGTCATACTCGTGCGGATAGAGATGGCCTTGCGCGTAAACCACGCCGTATATAGTGTCTTTGACGAGCCTCCGGTCGTTCAGCAGCGGGAACAGCTTCGGCCCCGCGAGCCCGTGGGCCGTGAGGAGGGAGAGGTACGGGAGGTAAGGCTTCTCGCCCAATTCCGGGTGCTCCAGCACCCTGCGCCACTGCGCCTGCAGCACGATGAGCCACTCCTGGCAATTGAAGTAGTCGGCCCAGTAGTGCAGCGTGAACTTCTTTACGGGCTCGATCGCCGTGTAGAAGCGCTCCAGGACATCGATGTGGTGGCAGTGGAGCTCTCTGGTCGAGTCGAACCGGTCGAGCTGCTCGAGCACGTCGGCGCCGACATTGAGGAGCACGAGTAAGAGCTCTTTGCGGTCCGGCTGACCGTCGATGTCGTACGTGAGGTTGAGGGTGGTGACTTTCGGCAGGTCGAAGTGTGTGAGGAACGCGTAAAGGAGCTTGGGATGCACGTCGTCGATATGGAGCGTCTTCACGTTCGGCAGCGGAATCCTCCACGCCACCTTGGTGCTGTACTGTTCCTCGTCGAGCTCCTCGTGGTATTGAGTGCACATCGGAGTCAATTCATCCCAGTACTGGGCCAGTTCAAGCTCCTCGAGCTCTAGCTGGTCCTCGAGCTCTTCCAGGACGTGCTGTACGAAGAGGGCTTGTTGCGGCATGAGGTCGTTGTCCAGCGCCCGCACCGTATCCTTTGGATCTGCGAGCTTGAGCTGGTCAAAGGTTGGAGGACACGACCGGTCAGCTTCTCTCATGTCTTCATCGCCATCGTCGCCTAAGCCGACTGGCAGTGTTGCTCCACAATTCGTTTCATGCTGGCCCCTGTCTATCATCCGGTTGCACTTAGTGCATGGGTCCGGGCGAACCCTGACCGGGCCAGGGGAGCCCCACAGGATATCGACTCGGTTTGTCATCTTGTCCGTCTTCAGATGGCAAATCCGCGTGAGCATCAAAGAGTGATGGAGATCAACGACACTTACGGAGAATTTGACGAGAGGTTCGTTGTTGGATTTATGCACACACCTCCGCCTACTTACGTTCGCGCCGTGGAGAGACTCGCACAGCAGAGTCCTAAGTGACGGTCAGCAACGTATCATAGCTGGAGGCGTCGAGATTGCGCCTTGGATCACAGGAAGCTCACCTCCACTGGATGCTGAGTTAGAAGGAGGCTTGTTGCACGTACGGTAATCAGTTCAAGTCCTCTTATACCTACCATCGTACAAGCACCGCAAGCTCGGCAAGTCTGGCTGACCGACCGAAACAACGCGAGGAGAACAACACCTGCAGCTTTTACATTCCCGTAGCGAGGCGAGTCACAACGCAGCTGTGCGCGCACAACAGTGTAGTGCCCTTATCATCACGACGGGCTGCACATCTTCGATACGCGGGATCTTCTGCCAACATGCATATTGCTCTGCAGTGTGGAGAACAAGGGACGTTGCCAGTAGCTGCGGTGGCTGTGGAGTACAACGTTGACTTGAACGATCGACTCGCGACGTCGGACGTTGAAGTAGGAACGGTCACGTGCGCCCTACGCCGCGTCTGTGGCACTCACCGACTGAGTCTGGCGTACTGACCTTAGGGCACCTGTGGGATGTATATGACGGTCGTTATCGCGGAAAAATGCTTACACTTACGCCTTAGTTATCGCGTAAGATTTGCTACTTAGTTGACACGTGACCCGTCCACCTCGGACTTAGATTCGCTCCGTTTCGTACACTTGGTCTCTACAATAAGTAATGGATATTTCTGGCCTTGTCAACACTGTATATAGATTACAGTGAGTCACAGATCCGTTGTCTGCTCATGCTAGATCACTTGATTCTGCTTCGAGGGCTGGTGAATTGCCTAATGCGGAATCATTAGCCAATTGTGGCAACTCTGTCTGCGGGCCTTTACGCGCGCTGCTGCTCATTGCACGGCGAATCCGGAAGCCCACAAATAATTCTATAGAAGGGAGTCTGTGAAATTCCTCTCAGCATATCATCCTCATGACCCTCATCATCGACGAGACGTATGGCCCGGGATGCTTCAGTAGAATCTCCGATGAGAGCCATAGCATGAGCCTGTGGTTCTCACTATATCGAAGAGAACAGGTGATGCAACACAAAAAAAAGGCGTATGAAATTTATGAAGAGACATCATACATGAAAGAGAATAAGGGGAAAACGCCTGGCGCAGCGGCCCTGGCAGGCGCGATGTTCATCCCGATTAGGCAAGTACCGCATCGGCGCTGGACGGGCGCCAATCACACTAAATTCTAAGTCGGGAAAGTAAGACTTGCCGGTAAGTATTTTTCCACGAAAACGTCACTCATAGATGTACCAGGTCAAAACACACTCTGTCAAGACAGGTTTTTGCGGGAAAAAAAGCACTGCGCACTGTGTGCCCTCTCGCGCAGGCTACATAGAAGCGCACTGGGCCACAGAATCGAAATCAGTGAGGTTGGTTAGGTGGGTTCATACTACGGCGGGCAGTGACTGACACGCGACTCTGTAGGAAGCCATACACCAAGATATAAACAAAGTATCAAGTTCGCACAGAGCCTTAATAGAAAGATGAATTTGGAAGATGGAACTCCTCGAGAGTCTAAGCATCGACAAGGCATGTCATATTGCGTGTTAGAGGACTGTGAGGCACAAGCGGAGTATAACGTGCTCGTAGCCTAAGACGGGTAAGCCTGAGAAAACTCCCGGGATGGTAGCGTAGGGCGCATTGATTCTCCTGTGCTTCACGTCGAGATCCGACAACCTCGTACGAGCGAACTACTACCAGCTCATCAACAGCCCGCCCTGGACACCGTTCAGCAGCGATAGCGAGACACGCAGAGCCTTTGATGCCAATAGGGCGTGATGACAGTGGATTGGACGCGATTGGCCCATTAAGACTGTCGCGTACATGCGCGCTGGCCGCACAGTATGGGTGCAGGCAGCCTTGATGCGCGTGCACGCTTACCCAAGATACAATACTTGCTGACTGCAGCGAACAAAGAGGCAGATCGCGGCATAGTGGCCATATATCCCCCGAATATTTATGAGCTACATTCTGCGTGCAGTACATCATCATCGTCGTCATCGTCGTCGTCGTCGTCGTCGTCGTCATTTGAACTTGATTCGAACCCCCTCCGAGGTCTCGGCTCCAAGCGTCCCGTCAGAATATCGAAGTGGTCGTTCTCCGACGTTATTTTCTCATAGCACGCGAAGTAGCCCACCTCGCGCTCCAGCTTGTCGCGTTCGTGCTGCAAGATATAGCCTTCCGAGTAGCACACGCCCCAAATAGGTTCACCGACGAGGTTCCGGTTGTCCAGCAGCGTGATCAGCTTCGCCGCCGCGAGCCCGTGCGTGATCAGGTGGGAGAGGTCTGAGAAGTAAAGGTCCCGCCGCGATTGCGGGACCTTCAGCATCCTGTCCCACTGCGCCTGCAGCACGACGAGCCACTCCTGGCAGTTGAAGGGCCGTCCCAGTAGTGCAGCGTGAACTCCTTCACGAACTGGATCGCCACGTAGAAGCGCTCCAGGACGTCGATGTGGTGGCAGTGGAGCTCTCTGATCGAGTGGAAGCGGATGAGCTGCCAGAGCAGGCTCTTGCCAACGTTGAGGAGCACGAGCAGGAGCTCCCTGCGCTCCGGCTGGCCGCGGATGTCGTACATGAGGTTGAGGCTGTTGACTTCCGGCAGGGTGAAGTGCGTGAGGAACGCGTAGAGGAGCTTGGGGTGCACGTCGTCGATGTGGAGCGTCGTCACGTTCGGCAGCGGCACCCGCCACTCGATCTTGGTGTTGTATTGTTCCTCGTCGAGCTTCTCGTGGTACTTGGTGCATATCGGAGGGAAACCCCCCAGGTTTGGGTCAGCCTAACTGCCCGATCACTGACTGGTTCGGCATCTCTTTCAGAAGGTGTCGTACGAAGAGGACTTGTTGCGGCTCGCGGCCTGGCTCCCACGCCGGCTCATCCTCTGGGTCTACGAGCCTGAGCTTGTCGAAGGTCGGGGGCTCCGATAGTGGAGCCTCCGACCCGTCGTCTGTCATGTCTTCGTCGCTCTCGTCGCCGTCGCCGCAGCCGACCGGCAGTTCTTGTCCGCAATTTGTTTCGTGGCCGCCCTCGTCGGGCATCCGGTTGCACCTCTTGCATGGGTACGGACGCACCATGGTCGCGCTCGGGCATTCCCAGGTGATCTCGACGAACTCTCCCGGCGGGAGATCCTTCAGAGGGACGTTGGCACGGATGGTAATTCGCGTGAGCATCAAAGGAGAGATGGAAGTCATTGAGACTTACGGAGGGTTCGTAGGGTCGTTGTTGAACATATGTACACACTTCCGCCTACGTTCGCGCCGCGGAGGGACCGCACAGCAGGACCTAGCAACGGTTAGCAACGCAACAAAGCTGACGGCGCCGAGACTGTGCATTGGATCACAGCTCACCTAGATTGAAAGATGGTTGGAAGGAGGTTTGTTGCACGTACGGTACTAGACCAGTCCGCTTATACTTGAGCTGAACAACACTGCAACTCGGCAGTTTGTCTGACCGAGTGCAACAAGACAGGAGAACAACTCCTCAGCCAACCTCCGACTGTTATACTTCCGCGGTCGCCACTCATCACGATGCAGTGGCGCCAGGGACAATAGGTTATGACAACGGTGGCCTAATCATCTTCCAGGGGATGCACGCCTCCGACACGCGACATATTCTGCCAAGATGTGGACCGCACAGACATGACGGACAAGACGTTGTTGGTCGATGCGTACGACGGCTGTGGAGTACAACGATCGACATTCAGCCATCCATCGAGTCGGCACTGCATGGGCGTCTGCCACCTTCGCACGTTGTACGAGAACGGTCACGTGCACCCTACGACGCGTCTGTGGCACTCATCGGACCGGCTGTAGACTGTAGTAGCAGGTATATCTGACGCCTGTGGGATTGTTGGCCAAAATACTTCGGCTCTGCGTAGGTTGATCATGAAGCCGACTCGTACAGTGCTTAAGGACTTGCTGACACTGCATGAGGAGACGACGTGACGTTTCAGACAAGCGACCACTAACGCTGCCGCGCCGTCGTGCAGCTACCTGTCTGCGTACAATTCAGCGAAGACAGTGCATGAAGAGAATTCGCTTGACCCCACACCTCGCCACCGGTGATCAAGAGCACGAAGATCCGGTTACTTCTCAGCACGACCGAGCAGATGAATGAGCCGCGGCTGTTCACCCAAGCTGAGGCTCTGGCAAGACCGGCTTAATCGGGTGCGCTCATTGGCCATAGGCAGTGCGTGGCGGCGTCGGCGAATCGCAGATTGTGTTGGCGGCTTCGCATCACAGATTAAAGTCAATGGGGCTTCTGAGCGAGGGAGGCCCCGGAACAACCTACTCGAGGGCGCCGGTGCCGCCAGAGGGGCTTCTGCGAGGGGATCGTCGGGGGGAGTTCGCGTGTGGCTCGCGATTTGGACGCGCATGACGCGCATGGAAGTTCTGCACGCCCACAGGGGAACAGAGGCAAGAGATTCCCGGAACGGTGGCGCGATGCGCGTCAGTGCGCCTCGCTTCACGTCCGACTCCGACAACCTCACTGCTTCCCGCCCATCCAGCCACAGCCCGCCCTGGGCACCGTTCAACAACGCTCGTCGGGCAGGCGGATGCCAGAGGGGCGTGATTCGGATCCGGGTGGCGTCGGGAGTGTGCACATGCACGCTGGCGTACAGTACGGGCGTCGACAGCGTTGATGCGCGTGCGCCGGGGGACTGGTTTGTTGGCCGGGGGCGTAGACATGTGCTGAACGTACCTTCGGACTCTGGATATGCCTGATGTGACTGGCCAGACGAGGGAGGTCGGGAGACGAGGTGCGGCGGGGCGAGATCGGCTGCCGGCATCGCGTTGCGCCACGAAGCTCTTGATCGACGTGCGTTGCGCCCTCAAGGGGAATGGAGCCTTCCTGGGCGCGACATGTGCGTGGCGTGCTGAAGTAGCGTGACAGCGAGTCTCGAGGCGAGTTGTGGAGTTCTGCGGCGGAACACATACCGTTCTGGGCTTCATTGAACACTATTCAGTGTCGTACATGGCATGCACAATCACTTGTGGCAGCCGACACCGATAGGGCAATTCTAGCCGGGGAGAGGGGAGATATGTGTCGCCGCGACCGAACAGAGGATAGACCGACCTTGGCAGAGTTCAAAGTCGAACACATCGCAGGTGGAGGGCGGGAGGAGTGCCAGGTTTGGAACGGGCGCGGTGTGGCGGAGATCAGATCGTGTGCGGGCGTCTTCGACAAGGTCAGCGCGTGTCGCCTCGAGCATGCATTGATCATGTCACTTAGCGCTCAGCGCTCAGCCTCAGTGATGCAGCGTACAGCAAGCAACGCGCCACGCCTGTTTGGGCTCGACGATCGCAGGATGCATGCAGCAGAGCGGGCGCACCTGCAAAACGCGCACCATCTGATCCAGCGAGGTTGCCATAATCTCGGGGTAAGTGTCATGGGCGACACCTTCTCGGACTTGCCGGGCGGCGGGAAGCTTCGTTAATACACTGTCGACAGCCAACCCAAACTTTGAATGCAGGCCTTCGCCGCATTACTCACCCAAAAGCACCGGACCTCGCCCGCGCCGGCGAGAGTTGCGTCGCGCGTGGACGGGCCGTGGGCCATGGCAGACGCACGCTGTCTCGGGCGACGCGAACAGTGCCAGCGGCGGTGTCGGAACTCGATGCGGTGGCGCCGCCGTGCGCAGGCCGGGCTCGGTGGGCAGTGGGCGGAGGAGGCTGCTGGGCTGGGCAGACGCCGGGCGGATGCAGGAGGAGAGGCGCCCAGACTGAGCAGAAGAGGCAGGAGGAGACTTCCCTGTCGCTGGAGCGTGTTCCCTGCCAGAACTTGTCACTGCACGCCGGGTCCCCGCGAGGCTTCCCCAGACGATTATCGCCCGTCACGCCCGACCTTTTTACTCCCTCCTCGGCCCATATTCACCAGCTCATGCGCTCCGTCCGCCCCCCACTCGCTGCCGCCGCCTCTCCCCCCGCTGTCCCCGCTGCGCCGTGAACCCTTTCCCCCTCGTCGCTGCTCGCGATGAGCTCGAGTGGTCCCCCGACGTATCCCAAGCCCGTCCTCGTGTCCAGCCAGCGCGCACCGGGCGTCCCGACCCCCCTTCCGGCGCCCGTCCAGTCCCAGCCAAAGACAATCAGGCTCAGATGCCAGGCCTCGTCTCGCTGCCCGTGCGTTCTCTGTCTCCCGGTCCGCCAAGAAAAATAACACTGACTATATGCGCACAGGCGCGCATCTTTAATCCGCCGCCGGCGCGAGGACAGGTCCCCACCTTCGGCGTAATCCCCCGCTTCGAGATTAGCCTCGACGACATCCTCGAGCGCAAGCATCTCCCGCCCCTCGGTCTGAAGGACTTTGAGGAGTGGTTGCTGTTCGTTGAGCAGAGTGCGGAGAATCTGTACGTCACCCAACCATAAGCCAACCTTCTTCTCCTCACGTGGGCGCTCGGCTCAGGTATTTCATCCTCTGGCTGCGCGAGTATACTCAGACGTACGGAGAATGGGTGCGCAAGAGCCGGCTCGCGCGCATGTCGTCGTACAACGGCACTCCTCGACGCGAGTACCGCACGCCCCAATCCGCGCTGCCCGCGAATCCGGAGCTGTCCTACTCCTACTCGCGGGCGAAACGTACCTTCCTCACTCCCAACGGTGATTACGAATTGGATGTCCCCAGTGATGTCCTGGCACCGTTCCATACGTCTTCGCCGATCAGCCTGGCAGGAGCTCCCGAGGACAAGAGTGAGTCTGCACATGGGGCATCTTGGAGCCAAAGCCAGTCGACGTGTGTGTGGGGTCTCGAAGGTGCGTACGGATGTCAGTCCTTCCTTAAACAGTGCTCAACTGTGACTATATGCGCAGGGCACAACGTTCCTCCCCCGGATCCTGCGGTGTTTAACGAGCTCGCGGAGGTTGTGCGAGAGATGCTCACAGAAAGCCTGCAACGTTTTGTACTAGCGACGTACAACAACGTAGGAACTCCTCGGGCAGTCTGTGGAAGTGCGGGAGGAATCGTCATTGGCATTGCGGGCAGGTAAGCCTATCAGCCTTGGTACAACGCGAGCGTTCCTCACTATGGAACAGCGTTCCGCTCATCGTCAACTTCGCGGTTCGTGGCAACCGCTGGTGGAGGCTAGCTGCTATTCCTGGTATGTGGGCGGGCTTGACGATCTTCATCTCCGCGATGTACGGGGTATGTATGCGCCTCTATCTCTCTCGAGACCATTTCCATTGATAAAGGATTTGTTTGATAGGTCTGCATGATGATCTACGTTTTCGGTGATCTTCGACAACTACGATCATTCGAGCTTGTTCGTCCTCCCATCTCCGACCCTCAGCCCCACCCCTCACCCTCCGGCTCGGTTGCGTCGCTCTTCCAACCGCGCGCCGCGCCTGATACCCCCATCCCAGTCCAGTTCAATGTCCCATTCCGCCGCCCGCGTCGTCAGTTTTCCCTCCCTGAAATCAGCAACCCTATTCCCGTTAAGCCAGTCGAACTCGGTGGAAGCAGTACCATTCAGCGCGAAAAGCCAAAGCTTACGATTATCACACCGACGTCAAGGTTTTCCGAGGATAGCGATATTGATATTCAACTGCCGCAACGCGTATTGACACGTCCTGAGCGCGCATCGCAAGAGTGCGACATCGAAGTTGCCTCTGTGCAGTACACCGACGAGGACGACGGTGACGACAGCGGGTACGAGGACGATGACGAACGCAGCCAACGTCACCCGCCTGCGGATACGCCATGCATCGAAATCTCGGAGGCGTTCTATGACGAGCATCCCGCGCCCGAGGGCCCCGCAACTGCGTCGTTCCCCGTTGGCCGGCCGCCGCTCTGGCCCGACTACGACTCCAGTGAAGAGGCGGAAGTGACGACTACGGCTACCTTTATTCGCCCATTCTCGTACGACGTCAAAGGCGAAATTGGCGGTGACGTCGAGGCTGGACGCAGCATTGCAGCACGACAGCCCGTCGAGGCGTTCGATTTCGATGCGCTGCCCCCGAGGCGTCCACGGTTCGCCACTGGACGTTTCCGCGGACAGGCTCGCCGGGAACCCGGGGGCCAGACGGACGAGAAAGCGGCGAAGAGCTCGGGCAAGATCACCGGGGCGATCAACTCCCTCGACAAGTGGATGAGCCTCGGGCCAAAGGGAGTGCTCAGCCGCTGGCAGACACGGTGCAGCCCCGGAAATGTTGTGCGCGTGCACATCGAGCGCGAGATCAACGGCGTGCCCGTGTGCGTCGCGGAGCTCGAGAAGGAGCAGGGGTGGGGAATCGGCTGGGGAGTCGCAGCGGACCCGTTCGAGATGTCGCCGACAGGGACTCTCGGCGCGGCCAGCGCATTCACGTTCCCCAACCTCGTGCCGAGCGCGAGTGTCACTGTCACCTCGCCGACGTCGCCATCGGTCACGTCCGAGTGCTACGCGGAGAAGGAAGAGGAGAAGGAGGCGGACGTGAAGCTCGGCTGGACGGTGCGCTTCAGGAAGGTGCGCGCGGTGCCTGCGTTTGCGGTGCCCCTGACCCCGGTGCTGAACCCCGTCGTGACGAGGGCGCAGTGGGAAATCGTGGTGAGGAGCGCGTTGATTGCAGCTGTGGTGGCGTGTGTCGTCGTGGGCGGGCTGACGGGTGCGCCGGTCCCGCGGTGATCGCCTCTCGCCCACGCTGTTTCTTGTTCGAGTCGCTGTGCAGACGCTTTCGTTGGCTCTATCGCGATACTATGAAGACTGAGACTGTTTGCCTTGCTCTCTTTGATCTCGTCGTGTTCTCCCCTCCGCGCGATCGCTCTCCCTAGTCGCATGTGGCAACACCCCTGATGTTCACGCTCCTTCGGTGCCCCCTTCCATTGTAATCCGCTTCCTGCATGCACTGTTCGTCTTCCACTTCCCCGCTTTGCAGTTGTCCCTTGTGACCATTACCGCCTCTCGCAATATTACCACCCACACCGCGTCTTCTGAACTGGGTTGTAGATTGTATGTTATGTATTACTTCGTGCGCAGGGCTTCTGGAGTTCCCGCCTTATGTCCGCCCCTGCCCCCTCCCTCTCCCCCCTCCCACCCCCGCCATCATTGTTGTAACCCCGGCTGTAGCGTATACGTGCCGCATTCATTGCAACGCACCTGTTTGTCGCGTCGAGCTGTGGACCAAGTTGTCGGATTGTAGAGCTGTCGCAGTTGTTAGTGTTACTCGTGTTATGTGTGGTACTACTTGGTACTGGTACTGCATTGTAGTCGTGTGTACGTGGTGTCTGTAGTGAACAGAGTTGGTTTCATACAGAGGAGTCATTTCTTGGTGTGTGGCGCGTGGATATTTCGCTTGAGCGATGTACGACAGCGAGTCTGCGACTCGGACGCCTGGACCGTCTGTAGACCATGGACACCTCAATCAGTGCCCGCGCATCCCGCCGGCTCAGTACTACGTTGAGGAGTGTGGCACTATGTACAGTATCAGATGCAGCAACAGGACGTCGAGACTATTGAGTATCGGGGCATATTGACCACTCAACTTCAAACCGCTGGTGGCAGTCACTGCCAAACGTCGACACGGATCGATGTTACACGGGCCCATCTGGGTCTGCCGTCTTATTTAAACCCCACCTTTCCAAACACGTCAGTCTCAGCTCGAGAGAGGTGACATGGTCCGAGATGGTCCGTCACGTTGACGACCTCGTGAGCGGATTCGGCGTGAATAGTGTGTGTATTGAGTGTGCGAGCAGAAGACATGCGGCCGTGCGATGCAGAGTGAGTTGATCGAAAGCGTGGGTGACAGACAGTCCGTGCTAGTTCTAGTGCGAGGGAGGCTAGAGGTTGGACCCGACCGACGCCGTGTGCCCGAACAGCTCGCGCACGAACGCCTCTGAGTTCGGCGGCCGCCCGAGGAACTCCTGTCATGCGGTCAGCCACGCCCGCGTTCCAGAGTGCCGCGGAGAGAGACGTCACCTTGAGCGAGTCGTCCTCTTCCCTGCTGCCGCCTGGCCGGAGGATCGCCTCGCGGTACTTGGCGCCGCGGGCGGGGTCGAGCGGGTCCGGCTTGAAGACGGTGGCGTACATGTCGGCCGCGAAGACGAGCGAGTACGTGTAGCTGTGGTCGAGCCAGGACGCGGTCAGGTGCTCGACGCGGAGTCGTGTATTGGCGGCACTCACCCGTAGTAGCCCGCGTCGTATCCGCCCGCGATGTGGTTGAACGAGCCTTGGCCCGCGGCGCGCTGCTTGAACTTGAGCGTGGTGGTCGCCTCGCGGAGGTCGTTCCACAGCGCGGTGTAGTCGGTGCGCTCTGCATGTGAGCGAGCGGTGAGCGAGATGTGGGGACGGGCTAATCGTCACGCACCCTTGTCCGTGTGCACCTTGATGTCGAATTTCGCGAAGAAGACTTGGCGGAGGTAATAGAGACCGACGTTCACGTAGCGACTATTGGTACGGTCAGGAGCTTCCTGCGCAAGGATAAGACTGCATTATACCTCTTGATGATCTTGTCGATGAGGTCGCGCGGGAGCGGCTTCTTCGTCTCGTAATGGCTGGACATCTTCTCGAGCACTTCGGGTTCGAAGCACCTATCATCCTGTCAGCGTGCCTCCTCAGGAGAACTTCTACGGCCACCCCGCCACTCACCAGTTTTCCAACATTTGAGAAGGCGCCTCGACGAAGTCCCTCGCAACCCTAGACCACACCAACGTCAGCAGCCGCAGCATCCTCTCTGGGAAGCACGGACTCACGCAGTGCCGTGGAACCTCGCAAACCGCGTCTTGCTTAGCAACCCATGGAAGACGTGGCCCATCTCATGGAAGAACGTTACGACGTCGGTATGCTGCATCAGCGCGGGCGCCGTTGGCGTTGGCTTCGCGAGGTTCGCGACCATCGCGGCGAGGGGGTAGGAGCGTGTGCCGTCGCGCCGTGTGTGGCCAGAAAGGAGCGGCCAGACTGCGGCATGCGAGTACTTCGAGTCTGAAGGAGAATAGAAAAGTAAACCAGACCTCAGGATGGCGGAGTCAGCATACCTCGCGGGAACAGGTCGAGATAGCAGTAGCCGACGAAGCCAGACTCATCCTTGGCACCGTTCTCCCATACGGCAAATTGCTGCACGTCTAACTCGAGAGAACATCATAAATATCTTGGATTGACAGTATCCGCATTCAGACGGCACGAACCTGGGTGCCACAGCTTCTCGTTCTTCACCTCCACGAACTGCACGCCCAGAAGCTTCTGGTAGATCTCTAGGATGGCGGGGACGACCTTGGTCACGGGGAAGTGCTCCTTCACCTTCTGGTCGTCGAGCTCGAGGTCGCGCTCAAGGAGGCGACGCTGGTAGTACCAAAAGTCGTGCATGTAAAGCTCGCCGTCGAAGGGGTAGCCCTTCGCAGCGTGCTCCTCCTGCTTGAGCGCGAGCAGCGTCGTGCGCTCGTGTGCGCTGATGGGGCGGAGCTTCTGTTCCAGATCGTCCAGGAACTGTGGGGAGGGGTTAGGAGAGGGCCGTGCGTAGGTAAGGTGAGGAGACGACTCGCCTCGACGACGGTCTTTGCGTTCTTCGCCATCTTGACTTCCGTGACGTAGTCCGCCCAGGTCGGGTAGCCGAGGAGGCCAGAGATCTTGCGGCGCAGACCGAGCATCTTGTCCAAGATGGGCGCGTTGATTTCCAGCCTGCGATCGTAGGCTTCTGAGGCTCGTCTACGTGTCTCTGGGTTCTCGGCCATCCTGAACTGCGGGCGGACGTCAACCAGGTGTATTGTTTACGCTGCTGCGTCAGTGAGCTTACGATGGGGAATATGTCTGGAGTCTTCATCGTGACAGCGTATACTTCCTTTCCTCCGTCCTCGCGTTTTGTGAACCCGGAGATGACATCCGAAGGCACGCCTTTCAGCTCTTCCAAGGTGAACGTAACCGTATTCTGCCCTCGCTATCAGTGTCTGACGAACCATGTTAGATTGAGCACAAAAGCTAACGTTCTCCTCATTGTAGTTTTTCTGTCATTCAGCCACTTCAATATGCGACACGTAGTGTACAATTCCTCGACGCTCACGCTGAACTCCAGAGACGCCTGACTCAGTTCCTTCTTGAGCTTCATCAGCTCGTCGCGCTGCGCCTCGGGCAATGCAAGCCCGGCGCGCTTCCCGTCCAGGATCATCTTGTCCACCAAGCGCTGCTCCTCTGCGTCGAGGTTCTGACCGCTCGCTATGATATTCTTCTCGGCGGCAAGCTTGGCCTGGAAGACATCCAGTCGCATGGAGGCGTCGACTCCGTAGTTGCGGACGAGAACTTCGGCTTCGTTAGAGGCATCACGGAGCTCCTTTGAGGAGGAAACGTTTTGGTAGAATGACAGAGGTTCCACGACCGCGTCTAGCACAGTTTCTGCTTCGACGAGAGGAAGCTGCGACGCTTCAGTAAAAGAGGGTCTGAATCTGAAGCACGAGTACTTACGAAGACCTGTTTTGAGCACGCCCCGCGTCAAAGATATACAATTAAGAGGTTTCATTACTACTTGCAGTTTCAAAGTTGGAGTCTTCGGGCTTCAGAGCAGCGACCTTGTCAAGTGCGGCCTTATCGTTCTCGATAGCTTCCTTAGTGAGTCGCAGAACATCGTCGGCAGAGTGAGTCCACGTCGGAGCGGCCTGAGGAGGAGTGAGGGCGGCCATGGTAGTGCTGGCGGGTGAAAGAGAGAACGCAGTCGAGAGCAGTCGCGCGTTCGGCGGAGCAAGCGTGGACTGGGATCGATGGGAATAGAGATCCCGCAGTGAGGTGGCTCTCGTGACAGAAGGAGCACCTGAAGACGTGTGCCTCGCGGAGAGACTGAGACTGGCAGGGCTGCTCAGGCGGGGAAATGGAAGGCTTCTTCGGCGTCCAGCGATCCAGCGGGCCTGCTGCACTACCACTGAGCCACGCATGCGCTCTAGTCAGATATGGCTCCGGAAGTGCCTACGCTCAGCAGCGGAGATCCAGGTAAGGCGAAACGAGGGGACGCACAAGTCGGAATCAGGTTAGCGGCGCTGTGGGCAACCTCCGCGATCACGTGGAACGACGCGTCCTCTGAGAGTCGTCAATTGACTGAAGACGACACATTACAGGCGTAATCAATTATCTTCTCAATGACGGTCAAAAGAAAAACGACGACTTACGCATAGATATCGCTGTGTGCTGTAACTGAGGAAACAACTGGTATCACAGGTCACACACGGCCTTAGTAGTAGCCTGCATCTACTACGTGCTCAATGAATGGTGACATCCTCACGAACAAAGAAAAAGACTGCTGTCCCTCCGCACTCGCTTCTGGCTATCATAAGTTATGCACGCCAGCGTACACTTTACTGTACCATCGGAGGAGGAACGAGCGAAGTGTGGTACTTTCCAAATTGGGTGAATATCGAGATCCGGATCTGATCGAGCATCCTCAGATTTTGCTCGCTAGGATAAGCGCCGAAAGACGACCTCCGGTGGTGGCTGCACCGGGCCAGCGACGATCGAAAAGCTGCAAGCCTTCAGCACCCCGGCAAACCTTGCAACGCGATACTACGCTTTCATAGATATCTGTCAGTACCTGGCCGTGTGGCATACAAACATTAACCTTGCCCGACATGCCTGTGGACAGAACCAGACAGAGGTACAACGCCAAAGCCCGTCAGTCCACAGTCGGTGGCTCATCACATAAGAAGAGAGGAAAGCGCAATGCAAAGGACGCGCAGGATCAGACTGTTACGGATGAAAACCCTAATGCCGAGATTGTCGTACCAAAGAGTGTCGAGCAGAAGGAGCTCGACCGCAGGGAAAAGCTGAGGCATGAAGTACGTTACACGGCTGGACTGGCGTGCATGCGGATATATGCTAACGGTATGCGTAGCTTCTTGCTCAACAAGACTCAAAGGCGAGTGGCAAGAAGAAGAAGAGGCTCGAGAAGTACATCGTGAGTGTTCCTTCCTGTACGGCTATGTAGTAGTACTCTTCTGAAGTTGCCTTTGGATAACAGGAGAAGAAACTCAAACAAGAAGAGCGAGTGGACCTCTTTGAGAAGCTCTCGTGAGTACATCATACTCGGTCTGGCATGATCAGCCCGTTCATACAGACATGTTTCCCCAAGCAAGAGTCAAGCAAAGCTGTCCACTGCACTCCAATTGCAGTCTTCTGCTACCCTTGGCACCGGCAAGGCGTCCACGCACAAGGACATGCTAGACAAGCAAGAGGACAAGGAGGTCCGACGAGCTATGGACGGCACAATGCGCAAAGGCAAGCACAGGCGAGGCCAACCGGTCAACGTCCCTTCGTATGGTAATGACGAGGGCGAGTCGGAAGGAGAGGACGTCATGTTGGCTGATGGCGAGGCCGACGAGAAGGACACGCAAGACGAGGTTGGTACTTCGAGGGCGAACCCGGTTGTGATCGTGGATTCTGGGCTCTCGACGACCAAGTTGTCACCAGAGGAGAGTTCTGCACCTGCCATGCCCGTACAGGTCGGCTCCGCGCTGAAGCGTAACGCGGACGGTTCCGTCGTTGCGCCCAAGGTTTCGAAGAGGAAGGCAAAAGGCTCCAAGGTAGTGCTCAAATGCTCATCATGCGTGTTGCCTGCTAGGGACTTACTGACGTGCTCCATGTGCAGACGGCTTTCGCATCATGGAAGACTAAGGCATCCATGCCCACAGCTTCCGGCGAAGACTCGGACACTTCCTTTGACAGCTCTGATTCTGCTTACGATTCAAACGAGAGCGATGACGACGGGTCGGAGTGGTCTGGCATTCACGATTCTGCCGAGTCGTCAGGCTCAGAGAACAGCGGCTCAGAGGACGACGCGTCCGAGTCCGATGGTGAAGACGATGATGACAGCTCTGGTGGCTCCCCACTACAGGAGGAAGGGAATACACGACCTGCGAAGCGCAAACTCGGCTTCAAGGAATGGGCTCTGCAACAGCTCAGTACCGTCAAAGGCTACGTCGCGCCCGTGCCAACATCCGAACCATCCGCTACACCAGACACCGAGGCAGTCCCGCCGCCCGCCAAGAAACGCAAAACCGAGCTACCGCCGACGGACGGACTCCTTCGTGGTCCATTAGGTGAGGACCTCCAGGTCCCAACGACATCCTTTGCAAAGGCCGTCCAACAATCCGCCGAGGCGTCGAAAGTGCGCGGGAGTGCATTCCCGAGGAAGGTCGTCGAGGTAACGCGGTCGCCGGAGGTGCAGGAGAGCAGACTCATGCTCCCGATCGTGGCGGAAGAGCAGCCGATCATGGAGGCGATCTTACTGAACAGTGTGGTGGTGATCTGTGGAGAAACGGGGAGCGGGAAGACGACGCAGGTGCCGCAGTTCTTGTATGAAGCTGGGTTCGGTTCGCCGGGGAGCGGTGCGTGCAATCACTGTTCGGCAATGATGTCGATACTGAACCGTGTTCATTCACAGACAACCCAGGCTTGATTGGTGTCACTCAGCCCCGTCGTGTCGCCGCGATGTCTATGGCATCGCGCGTCGCACACGAGCTCTCGCTGCCTCCTTCGCGAGTGTCGTACCAGATCCGGTACGACGCTACTGTCGCTCCGACTACCTCCGTCAAGTTCATGACGGATGGTGTCCTCCTGCGCGAGCTGGCGATGGATTTCCTGCTCACGAAGTACTCGGTCATCATCATCGACGAGGCACATGAACGGAGCATGAACACCGACATCCTCATCGGCGTGCTGAGTCGTGTCGTGAAGTTGAGGGAGGAGATGTGGAGGGAAGGAAAGGACGGTGCCAAGGTGCGTTCAGACATACCGTGTGCCAGCAACTTGCGAACTTAACTGAGCCCTTGCTGCAGCCCCTCCGCCTGATTGTCATGTCCGCCACGCTCCGTGTGTCCGACTTCGCCGAGAACAAGACACTCTTCGCCACGCCCCCGCCCATCATCCACATCCCTGCGCGTCAGCACCCCGTCACGGTCCACTTCAGCCGACGCACGGCGTCCGACTACGTGTCGGAGGCCGTCAAGAAGGCCAGCAAGATCCACGCGCGACTCCCACCAGGCGGGATCCTCATCTTCCTGACGGGCCAGAACGAGATCGCTGGCGTGTGCAGGAAGCTGGAGGCAAGGTATGGCGCGAAGGCGTTGGAAGCGCGGAGGAAGATGAGGGAGACGAAGGCGAGGATGCAAGAGCGAGAACCGCGCGTGGAGGACGTCAAAATCACTGCTGTAGCGCCTGCACAAGGTATGCATGAGTTTCGCGCGATGGTTGTTTCTTGTATTGATTGTCATCAAGCCGACGTGGAAGCAGAGGATCTTGAGCTGGGAGATCAGGAAGCCCTTGCCCTCGATGTAGATGGCGAAGGCGGCCCCGTCGACGACGACCCAGAGGCCCTCGACAGCGATGATGACGAGGATGAGAAATTGGGTATAGACACAGAAGAGTCTGACGGTATGTTTGATTCCTTTTTCTACTAGAAGCTCACTCGCTGATCGTCGCTGGTACAGTCCCCATGCACATCGTCCCTCTGTATGCATTGCTTCCGAGCGAAAAGCAGATGCAGGTATTCAAGCCCCCACCTCCCGGACACCGACTTGTCGTTGTGTCCACGAACGTAGCCGAGACATCGCTCACCATCCCTGATATACGATACGTCGTTGACAGCGGCCGGGCGAAGGAGGTACGGCTGCAACCCATCTCTTCGGGTTCTCCCCTCACGCCGTTTTCAGCGACGATACGACGTGGCAAACGGGGTGCAAGCGTTCCAGGTCAGTTGGATCTCTAAAGCATCCGCCGCTCAAAGGGCAGGTCGTGCTGGCCGAACGGGCCCTGGACACTGCTACCGCCTCTACTCCTCGGCACTGTTCGAACACTACTTCGAACAGTTCGCTCAACCCGAGATACTTCGTGTTCCCATCGAAGGTGTCGTGCTGCAGATGAAGAGCATGAACATCGACGCTGTCGTCAACTTTCCCTTCCCCACGCCTCCTGATCGGACAAGTCTGCGCAAGGCGGAGACCGTGCTAACCCATTTGGGCGCACTGGCTCCGTCGGCGGGAGGTGCAGTGATTTTAGGAGGAAGTATCACTGAGATTGGCAAGGCCATGTCGCTCTTCCCTCTGTCACCACGGTATTCGAGGATGCTGGTCAGTGGACGGCAGCATGGGTGCCTCCCATATGTGATCACCGTCGTCTCTATCTTGTCTGTTGGCGACCCCTTCCTGCGCGAGGAGGTCATGGGGGATGCGGAAGATTCCGATAATCCCGATGACGATGACTCGGAGTTGTCGCATCTCACTGGCGAAGCTGCCAAATCGAAAGAGGTTCGCCGCTTGCGCAGACGAGCGTACTTCCGGTCGCAGCAGGTATGTATATCAGTCCTCGGCAGTAGATATCGTCAGCTCATGTCTGAAAAAGACACACGCGTCTCTAGGGAACTCAAGCAGCGATGTCTTCAAGATGTTGTCAGTCGTCGGTGCATACGAGTATGCTGGCGGTGGTCATTCGTTCTGCTCTGAGCATTTCGTGAGGCCGAAGGTAACTCGTCTCTTTCATGACACTCGGACTTGTCCTCACGGACCAAACAACAGGCGATGGAAGAGATCCACAAACTTCGTGCTCAGATTAGCAGCATTGTCCAGACGAATTTTCCCGATCTGCACACAGGATTTGTTGCAAACCTCAAGCCGCCAAGTGCCCTTCAGGTCGGTACTCTGTCTGTGTTCTCTTACATCGCGCTGACACGCTGCACAGCTCAAGGTGCTCAAGCAACTTTTGACTGCCGGGTTCATTGATCAAGTTGCTGTCCGCAAAGACCTGATTGACAAGGGATCTGCGTCCGGAGATAAATTCACCACATGCAAGGGCGTCGCATACCGAGCCATGGGAATCACTGACGATGTCTACGTCCATCCCTCTTCTGTACTTCACAATACTCCTCCCCCAGACTACATTGTCTTCCTAGAGGTAGTCCGAACGACCCGCATCTGGATGAAGGGTGCGTTGTTTGCTTGCGTCGTATATGTTCATCTCTCACGAGTCCAGCAGGTCTAACGGTGTGCAATGCCGCGTGGCTCTCCAGCCTGGGTAAGTCATTGTGCACGTTCTCCAAGCCTATCACAACAAAGGATGGCAGAATCGTCGTTATTCCGCACTTCGGGCCTGCAGGTTGGGAGTTGCCTCCTATTGAGTCTCATTAGTATTGTGCCTTAATTGTGCCTAGTCATAATGCGATGTTAGAATATACGGTGAAGAGGACCATGCAACGATAGCGATGATAAGTTATTGTGCTAAGCAATGATCAATGTGATGATAGATGGGAGGCTATGCTGCAGCAAGATGATGGAGAAGAATGCAAGAGATGAGACGTCATCGGTTCGTCGTCGACTACGGGGGACGCTGTAACTGAATCAGTTTCCGCCCGGCCGAGAATGCACTTATGCAGCTTACTTTGTTTTTGGGTATGAACAAACTGGGTGCCGCTTTCGGTCGCTTCTTGGGAGGTGGTTTTGAAGATGCCTGTGCGCTGCTTGCAGCCCCGTTCGAAACTGCTTTTGCATCATCACCTGCCTCCTCTGTCGGCGCAGGGCGCTTCAGGCTCAGCTTATCCTCGTTGGGCTTTGCCGTGCCGTCAGAAGACGTAATGGCCGGAGGAGGAACTGCGAAACTTCCGCTATTTCCAGCAGATTTGAGCTCTCGAGGCGTCAACAAGGTATCCGGAACAGTCGAATGCATCGTGGTCTCAGACGGCTGGATCTTGGACTGTGTCTTGGGCGCTTTCGTGGAGGACTGAGGTTTGGTCGCCGCCTTTGTTGCCGCAGTGAAATAAGCAACATTTACCTGCAGGGAAGATAGTTGTGAAAGAGTGTACCATAGAGTTGTTTAAGCGACTCACGTTAGCTAAGCGATTTCTTTCCCGTGCATCAACAACAATGCTACGCCAAATGTCATCGCTCCTCTCAAGAGTTGCAGCATGGCCGAGTACGAAAATCGAGGATTTTGCACGTGTCAGAGCCACGTTCATGCGTCTGATGTCTACAAAATGCGAACTCTGGTGAAAACTGCTCCGTTGGGATACAAGGTACACCTTACCTCGCAAGAACCCTACGGTTTGCACATTTGGACCAGCGCGTACACAAGACAAGATTACGATATCTTTCTCTTGACCTTGGAAGCCATCAACAGTATTGAAGTCCACAACGCTCGTGATCTCGGGGCCGAACTTCTCCTCAAAAGCGCGTCGAATGGCGAAGATTTGACCCCGGTACATGGAGACTATACCAATCTTTGCATCGAAGTCGAAAGAAGCAAACTCTCGGCGGAGCCGGTTGAAGAGTGCCGCAGCAACTGAATTTCCCCGCGGTTTATGAAGGAGTGTCCCATTCCTGTCTCTTCTCGACCTTCAGTTACGTTGAAGAATCGGTAAGTCCCAAACTTCTCATGCGAGTGCCAAGGTCTTCGAGTCTTGACCGCCATGTCTGGGCCGTCCTCGAGGCGGCCACCATAGAACAAACGACTGGGTACTTGACTGATGTCTGGATGCATACGGTACTGTATGCTATTCTTGGGATCAGTGAACTGTTACGGTGAGCCTAGACAGAGTGAGAACCTCAGCAGGTGCACGGCGTCTGGACGCTGCCGCTGCAGTCGCACGAAGAGAGATTGGTTATAACCAACGCTACACGCCTGGTGTGATGGCTGTGAGCAACACAGTGGACCCAGAGATGGAGAACTCACCTCTTGCGACTTGACGGTAGGCGGTAATTGCTGGGGATCTAGGTATCATTAGCAACAATGCAACAAATCATACGGAAAGCTGGCCATACCTCCTACCATGACACAGTGCTTGGAGTTGTACTTCAGTGGGATAAGCGAACTCAACTCTATGGCCTGAGCGGCCTCGTCTATGACGATCAATTCGAAGTCAAACTGTTCTAGATACTCGTATGCAGAGCCAGAGAGTGTGCTGCAGATGACATCGGCCTCTTGCAGGACTTCCGTCCGGAAGCGCCGTCGAGTAGCGTCCATAGTGCGCGAGTCTGATTTCTGTTGATCTCTAAGCTTGTCAATCTGGTGAATAAGTGCGCCCTTCTCCTTGTTCAGCTTCTTGATATCCTCCTCCAAAGCGAATGTTTTCGCCGTGTTGTCATGGATTTGCGATATCTCATCGAACTTCTTCTGGCGCGTCTTCTTCACATTCTCGAGATCTGCTCGTAGTCGCGCAATCTCACCGCCTGCGTCCTTGGGATTGGCTACTTGGGGATTTCCGTTCAACTTCTGTTCAATGAGGTACTCGAGGGAGACGTCCCTGACGCTCGTGTTAACGTTCTTGACGTTACCTAGCCGAACGACCTTCGGAGAACTCTCTTGCCGTCCTGCTCCAGATACGCCGTCCTTGAGACGAGAGGCAATTTCATCGATAGCAGCATTGCTAGGTGCGCACAACAAGATCTTCTTGACTGGCTCTTTGTCGCTTGGGCCTGCATTGCGATTCATGTAGATCTGAGTACCCGGCTTGGGCCGTCTGGACAGGAACGCGTGTACAAGGCCGCAAATAGTGGAGGTCTTCCCAGTACCTGGAGGTCTAAGTGATCATTCAGCCGAGAAGAGAATAAAGGAACATGGGGAGTGCTTACCCCTGGATCAGTGCGAAGCCGTCAGCCGTGAGTGAATAGAGTATGGCTCTAGCCTGCGGTTCATTGACATTGTATGCAACCATCGTTCTCTGAACTTCCCTGGAGTCCGCTGTCGTAGGCTTGTTCAGCTTCGCCCGCAATATAGTCTCGGCGAGGTCGTAGTATGGCAGCGACATGAGGGCAGCATATTCTCGGTGAAGTGTAGTCAAACTGAGGCATATCAGCATAGGAGTATCCCTGGATCGTCGCGACAAACTGACCTCAACACTTTGCCCAATGACCAAGTCGAGTTGGGCAGCAACGCAGGGTCGCTGCCACGTGCACAGCAGCGGACGGTGGCCTGAACACCAAATGCACTGCCCTTGTAGCTTTGAACCTTCGCAAGGACGCCTTTCTTGCTCTGGGGATGGCGCAGTAAGACCACGTCTGCGTCACCGAGCCTCCAATCCTTGTCGACGCTCCCAGAGAAAGACACATCGAGGTCCAACCAATCGTCGACAAATTGTCGACTGGCTATACGACAATCATACGTTTGTAGCGTAGCCTCCTTCGATTCAATTAGCTGAGTCCAGCACTCCAGCATCAGCATCGGCTCGAAAACGCGACGGAAGTGCTCCGCATCCGAAAAGGTAGATGGGATGCGCTCAAGCTTCAAGGACTGGCCAGGTGGAGACGGGCCATCGTGGTCGTAGTCCCACGAGAGTAGTGTACGATGAAGTCCAGACACATCTGGCTTGAGCCGTAGCTGTGTCCTCCGAGCATCCTCTCGCCGGTTCATACGTTCCAGCGTAGGATTGCGGGCCCTTGTGGGCATATCCAGCATCATGACCTGTCTGCGCTCCGCGGGCTTCTTGATGACCGGCGTTCGCTGCAGCTTCGAAAGAGAGGCCAAGCCCCCTCCATCGTCATCGTCACTCTCCCCGCTATCGGCCTCCGTCGTGGGCTCCGAAGTCGCCGGTCGGATCGACGAGCCTCCTGTGGATGTATGGACTTCCGGGGTCCTCTTGGTAGACGATGCGACCTGTGCACTTGGCCCACGAGACAGTTGAGGGGCAGCCGTAGGAGCAGCATGCAGTTTCTTCTGGTCTTCGGCCGAGAAGTAGCTCGAGATGGAGGGCTTTGTAGACTGCCGGTCGTCCGCTCGCAACGCACGTATCCCTCGGTCTTGCGCAGGAGCGGTCAATTTTGCCTTTTTACTCCGATCCGTAGCAGACGGCTTGGAATCCGAAGGCTCCTTACGTTTCTCAGGGAGCTTGTGAGATATGATCTGCACCTCGTCGTCTTCGTCGAAACCGCTGAGAGCATCTTGGAGCCTAGCGAGCCTGGCTGCATCCAGTCGTGTTTGAGGACGGTTGGGATCGGTCTTCCGCGCATCGTCAACGTGCTTCTGCAGTTTCTGCAATGCTTCTGCCTTGGGAGGAATCTGGGTTTCTCTGAAACACGAGAGGAGGGTTTCCAGCAAGGCAAAGGACTGGTGCAGCAACTCCTCGTCAGTGAGGCGAAGCCAACGTGTCAGCTCAAACAACACTGCTTGTAGATCGTCGACCATCTTCCTCCCGGCTCGCGACATCTTCCTACTGATAGCGGCTTGCTGCGATTGTGAGAGAGTCGCAGATTCGATGACTCTGCGCTGCGCCAGCATGTCTCGCCCAAAGATAAGGGCGTCGCGCATCCATAACACCATCTCGGCGTTCTCGAAATAGACGGCCCATCGAGGTGTCTTCGAAAAGATCACGGAGAGCGCTTGCGTCATCATGTTCCACCATTTGGGCAGCTGGGTAGGCACATCCGCGCCGACGCCTTTGGTGAGGAATTGATGGTCCAGCAGGAGTCCGTCGGGACTGGAGCACAGGACATCGATGACGTCTGTTAGACAGCGGGCTAGTGCCTTTGACAGGCTGCATGCTTCGGGGACTACGTGGGCGAAGTGGATGAAGGTCTCCAAAAACTGCAAGATACCGCTGAAGGTGGCGTCCGGGACCTTCTCCAGTAGCGCGCGGAAACAGTCCGAGCGCACCTCTACATCGCCTGCAAGACCGACCAGCGCCTGTGCGTTCTCCTGAAATGTTTCGACAGGAGAGAGCATGAGGATGGTGACATTCTTCGCGACATCCGATCGGCGGAGGAGGTCCGCAACGACGGAGGGAAGGCTGAGGTCGAGGTACCTTGTCATGGCATCGCCGAAACCGCTGCGCATAGTACCCAAGGCACGATTCACGCTACTGAGCAGACCCTGCAGAATTGCTGCGTCCTTGGAACGAGTAATGTGGTCGGCAAAGGCGACGTCCTTGAGATCGTCCATGTGTGATATGCTTGATAGTATCGTCAGCATCATGGCCATGGCATCCGAATCGCCAGGCTGGATACTACCGTACATTCCCCTCCACAGCTGCTCCCGAAGGTCCAGAGACGTGGGCGCAGCAGACGGGTCCGTTGTTCCGCACAGACGAGAGATGGCGGAACTAACGGTCTTGATATCCTGCAGCAGCGAGAGTTTCAGAAGTTTTCGCGTGAGTGTGCGAGCTTCTGTCCAGGCGGCTCCGGTGTAGGCTTTGGCGAAGGAGACCGCTATAAGCTTAGTGCTATGCACATCCGTGATCTCCCACACTAGGCTCTGCTTAAGTACTGGGTGATCTTTCTCCGCTTGCATAAGCACGGCGGTCAGCATCTGTAGCAGCCTATGGTCACCTAGATAGACAATACTGTCGCGAAGGTACCTACCCTGACAGCAATGCTCATGACCACGGGTCGAACGACCTGGAAACGTTCATGCTGTAGCTCTTCGCAGAAGAAATGGACGAGGAGTGGAAGGACGTCTTTGCAGATTGGTAACCGTCCGATCGACTTCAGGTAGGTGTCAAACCAGCTGAGTAGCCAATTATCTTTGCGCTCATCCGAGAGGTTTTGCAGGATCTCCAGATAACGGACGTTGTCCTTGACGGAGCTGAAGATGACTTGAGGGTATTCCGTTCCCTCGCCTTCCCATACGCCCGGCCCGATTCTGGATAGGATCAAGACGAAGACTTTCAGAACGTCTGCGAAGTCTGCAACATCGACAGCACGCGGCAACGACGACAGAGAAAGCATCAGCACAGCTCATAACGCAAACAGGGAGGAGACGCACGATTGCCCGTGTCATGGAGATGGTTCGTGACAATATGCCGGATGTCGATGTCAAGAGACTTCCGAGGACGAAGAAACTCGATCGGCACGTAGCGGAGTGTGTCACAGTAACCGGACCAGAGGACGGTCGGATCGCGGCTGAAGGAAGAGTCGGTGCAGACAGCACTGTGGTCCGTTGCCTGATTCGAAACGGCTGACGTGACTGTCTTGAGTACGGTGCAGTAACTGGGCAAGAATCGCTCCGCTGACATAGATGTGGCTTTACACAATGCCAACTGCTCGGAGGCCCATTTGCGGACGTCCTCCCGTTCGTCCACTACGAGATAGAACAGCCTGGAGGAGGGAAGTCCGTAGGCCACAGTGATATCGCCGCCCTCGGGATACAATTTCGTACTATCTTGGATATCCGCAGATCCTGTAGGATGTGTAGGTTGTAGAAGGTGTGATACGTGACCGCGGGAGGAGCTTTAGCCAACGAATGCGAATCCGTGCCCACGGACTCCGCTGTGAGACCTTTTTCAGCCAGACCGGCAAGGACCGACTCGAGTTCCCAGTTGTCGAGATTGCCATAAAAGGACGTAAGTATTGTGTCGTTGAAGGCCCCGAAGTAGCTGAGGAGGGCCGTAATACCATCAGGAGGATAGTATGATGATGTGATATGCAAGACTCACGTCTCTCTCGACGCAATCTTTACCTCCTGAAATCCTCTGACACAGGCACAGCATCCTGCGAGACATCTCTGGAGCTGCCTTCTCCATGCCTTCACCCGGTCACTATTGTAAGCGTGAAGGCGAATAAGAAACGCCGCGGTCTCTCTGATTGTATCATCGGCGCGAGGGCAGAACCAATGCTCATGACGCTGATGAGCGGTGCTTGCGGCAGTTTGAGCAGGAGATCCGATGAGGTGGTTCGTAAGACGTGTCAAGACCTTGTCGGAAGGTGCTGCGACGGGTACATCGTGGAACTGCTTCAAAATCGTGTCCAGAGACGATTCTTGAGGGTCTTTTGAGGAGGAGTCCATCCAAGGTCAGATATCCCCCACAGCCAGCTCCTCCTCTCCTGATGCAACCTGTTCTGTCTTCAGATCTTCGATAGTTAGTAGAGACAACGGACTACTTGCCCGAGACACCCAACGTCCTTGCCAGCGTCCAAACAGCGAGTGATTTAGACACTGAGAAAGCCGGTGTACCAAGTCAGAATAGTGATCACGTATGGTGTATGGAATGCGGTTCGCCGAGGGTACGTCGAATAAATGTCGACGATTCTCAGTCAGACCACAACGAGGACAAAGGGCTGACGAGCGTCTGTCCGACTCAGTCGCGTCCGACGCGTCGAGCGCCCGTCCTTCTTTCCAAGACTGAGTCGCGCGTGAAGTCACGAGCGACAATTGTCACACACATCACGACCTGTTCCTTGCCAATCACCTCCATGGACCCACAGAATCTAGAGTACATCAATCAACTGCTCGACAAGGATGTCGAGCTCAGAGAAGTATCTCATCGTCAGCTCGTTGGGGAACAATTGCCTCAGAGCGCTCGGTTCCCCAGAAAATCAAAGACCAAGTAACAGAGTTCGACAAGAAAACGCGGACACTGACCGGTCTTCTAAACAAGATTCACTCGACCCCTCCCAGTCAAGGTATGAATCTTGAGTTTTGGGTTGAACACGATATCACTCAATGGAGCCAGTATCGGGATTGATTGCCACTGTGACACCCGTTCTGGAGAGCTGCAAGGAAACTACAGCGGCATTGGCTGAATTAACACCACCGAATCAGTTCTGGAGGTGGAAAGAAATGTGGTCCATCTCACTCCGCAACGCAGTGTTTGCTGCTGTTCTCGTAGAATTCCTCCAGAGCGGCGGACTGTTGTCTTTGCCGCAGGCAGCAGAGATGCTGGGTAGTACGTCGTCATGGTCGCGTCGAACATATCTTCCATTCACGATGTTATCTAGTTGAGGATGAGTGGCAAGATAGATTCGCACTGAGCGTAGAAGATTACCTGCATGCACTCATCACTATGGTCAACGAGCTGGTAAAAACGTAACCGCTCTCTCCGACGACTATCATTCACGCAGCAGTATTTGCTTGCAGTCTCGTCTGGCTGTAAACTCGGTGACAATGGGTGACTTCGAGAAACCCCTCAAGATATCTATCTTCGTGAAGGATCTGTTCGCGGGATTCGCCATGGTACGTCGCTTGTGCAGAATGTTCAATAGACTTCGTCTAATGTACCTTGCAGTTGAATTTGAAGAATGACACCTTGCGTCGGCGGTACGACAGCCTAAAATATGATATCAAGAAGATCGAGGAAGGCAAGTACTGTATTCTTCGCAGGGAATAGCACGGAGTCTCACCAAAGCTACAGTTGTTTACGATGTCTCATTGAGGAAGCTTGCGACTGTCCAATCCGATAAGACGTAAAACATGTCTTCTCGAGTCTCGGCTCACCCCGACTACAAGTTATTGTACCATGTACATACTTAGATCATATCGTAGCATTTCCTTCTCCTTGAGGCCTAGGGGCCAGGGAAAAAATGAAAATGGCCCAGTTCCCGATTAGATCTACAGTATTGTAAGATCCTGATCGCGGAGCCAGATCCGCATCAGCATGTCTAAGAATGAACGCCGGCTTACATCTGACTCTCACCTCGCCCGGTACGGTTCGAGTCCAATCGAGTTTGTAGGCTCACAGACAATATAATGGCGAGTCGACGAGGATCTTCGAAGCGTCCCGCTTCCTCCGAAGGTCGAGTGATTTCTTATTTTTTCTACGCCGCCGTCTTGTCTGACCGGAGCGGGCCACAGAGATCGACTTCTGGTCTCATGCTGCGGCCTCATTATCTACATTATCGTCAACTATGTATAATGAACCCGCCACAGGTGACCCGATTGGAAGGGTCAACCGACTGCTTTTGGCATGGCCTACAGACGACAACCTGCCGGCGGAGGGTTATGAAAGTGTGCGATCCACGTACAAGAAACTCACAGCCGGGCTCAATGAAATCAAAACAGCAGCTGAGAGAGACGTCGAGTATGCCGAGGCCGCTATAAAACATCCTCCATGATACTTATTGCGATCACAGAGCCATTGACAAAGCGATTGAACAGCTCGATGTGCTCATCGCGCTGCGCAAAGCTCCAGAAATTGTGCCACAAGGTGAGCGTGACTTTGGGGCGTGCTTGATTCGCACCGATGCTGTTCTTCAGAGAAGCGCAACAAGCGGCCACGGGCCCACTCCCCGGCGGGGGCGCCTGCGCCTGCAGTACCAGTATCTACTCCAGCAGTCCGCAGTGTTACATTAAATCTGCCAGCTCGAAGTTCCGTCGGTCCGCAGACCTCGGTACCATTTTCCAGGGAACCGAAAGCACGTAGAGAAGCTCTGGCCAAACAGCTCCCTTTGCAAGAAGGGAGAAAGGTTGCATTTCACCCTCCTCAGAACTCTAAAGGGGCCGAGACAGTTGCTGGGGGCAAAGACGAAGAGTGGATACTGGCAGTCGTCATTGGCTGTATCAACCAAGACAAGAATAGGTTCGTATTGCGGAATAAATTCACTGAGCTCATATCTTACATCAATTTTAACTCAGATACGAAGTACAAGATCCCGAACCACAAGAAGATGGACAGCCGGGGCAGTGAGTCTTGAAGTGGGCGGTATTGCCATGGGACTCGAGTGCTGAATTTTTCTTCGTCAGGCGCTACAACACAACACTCCGTGCCATCATCCCCCTTCCCGACCCAAATGCGCCGCCAGACAATGCTGCTCACCTCAACGCATATCCCGAGTTCTCGCTTGGCTCGATTGTGATGGCTCTATACCCAGATACAAGCTGCTTCTACCGGGCGGAGGTTGTGGCCAGTCCTCGCGATATGCAACCTAGCGGAAGAGTTTGTGATAAATTCTTTCCCGCATTCGGATACTAACGTTCCCTGCTAGCAGAATGGTGCATCGTCAACAACGCCGACATACAAACTGAAATTCGAAGATGACGATGACCAAGAACACTTAGTGTCGGCACAATGGGTCGTCGAGTGGCCCGGTGGATCATAGTGACATCTCCACATTGACTGGTAAGCACATGTGGCAACCCGGGTGTCATCAGGCGTTCAGCTCACTGCTTCGCATCGCAGTTCTCGATCCTCTCCCTTCGGTCTGAACGACGCATTTACTTGTTGTACAACTAGCGGTGTCCGTCATGTATTATGATCCCTGTCTTGGTTGCTTTATGTCCATCCGGGCCCGGGCCCGCACACGTGAAAACTTGATTTCAAGGCGAGGACGATACAATGTCATAGGTGAGAATAGCACACAGATATGAACAGTGTGCATGCGCCAGAGACGGACGTTTGTGAAAGCGGGTATATCTAGGGTCCCGAACGTGTCTAGCTGAGAATGAGAGTCCATACAACGTAGGTGGAAGACCTATACATACCAGTGGACCCTGGTTTCGCCAGGTAAGATAAAAGATCGTCAACGGTACCACTGAGACATCCGGTCGGCACCGTCAACCAGCACCATGCCCATGCGTCGACCAGTATCGTTCAGGTATATGACTGCCGGATCGTCAGAGACTGAGCTTTCGTACATGCCACTGGGTTAGCGGCGTGGCCTTGCCTTGCTTCGAGCGTATGTAAAGAATTCCAAGAATCCCAGCCACCTGGTAAAGCCGAGACTTTCCGGTGGGTTCCATAACCGTCTCAAAGCTGTGTCATACACAGTCCAGACCCTGTAGTTCAAGAAGCGGTTTCCGGAGAAGCCGGTGACGGTCAATGCTGCGAAGTGGCTACCGATATGAAACGTGCTGCCTTGTTCCGAGGAGAGCTACATGCTGCAGACATAAAATTCTGTGTCAGTGCCACTCTATCAGAAATGACGGAAATATAGGACATACAATCGGAACCAACAAGCCTTGATAACGGTTAGCAGTGCCAGTGTTTGACTTGTGACATGGGTAACGGTATAGCGAGGAGAGGATGTCGCGTGGCAGGGAGGTACAAATGGGATAAGTAAGATTGGAAGGATTGACGGCGAGTGCGAAAGTGGTACACCGTACATCGACAGCACTGGCCAAGTACTGGCGCGACGTTCAGAAAGTCCGATCCAGATCTAGAGACCGGACGCGTCTGTGGCGCACAAACGCGTATCACGTGAGGTGTGGCTGCGGCGACGCGTCAGATGTGCTCCTGCTTTCGGGCGCTTTCTCGTACGTTCCTGCTCCTTCCTAGTGCCACAATACTAACCTTGCGTAGTAACGACATGCACTATGACTGCAGCTAGAAGGATCGATGACAGAAGGTCGAGCTGCAGCGTCGCGGACGGACCTTGCGGCTCAAGGTTGGGTTCGGTCGGTCGAGCATCTTCCAGGCTTCTCCGGCCGGTCCTGGACACTCTGAGTGAGAGCAATATAAAAGGACTGAAGTAGCAGCGGCGAAGGGACAGTGAATCGTCTAAAGCCATACAAAATCGCCTACTTCTTCCTCATACCACCACTAACTTCTCGCCATGTCTCTCGCTCGCCAATTCTTCCACGAGATGCGTCCACTCTTCCGCATGCTGGAGGAGCCTTTCGGTCGTACGCCATCTGCGTTCGGAGCGTACCCTCGGTCAATGCTCGATGACCCCTTCTTCCGCACCCCTGTCATGTTGCAACCTGCGGTCGATGTCACGGAGGAGGGCAACAAGTACGTGATTGAGGCGGAACTCCCTGGCGTCAAGAAGGAGAATGTCAACGTCCGGATCGGGGACGGTGGCAGGAGCGTCACCATCGAGGGCAAAGTCGTCAGCCGACGGGGCGAGCCTCAGTCGACGGAGACGTCGTCAGCGACCACATCTGCAGAGAACGCTACGACACAGTCAGTTGAAGGTATGTTGCAGCGATCGCTCAGATTTCTGGGATGCGGTTTTGACTGACATACCTCTGTAGGTTCGACCTCCACTGCTGTGACACAAGCACCAGAGTCGTCGGCTCAGCTCTCAATAGAGCGCTCATTCACTAGCAACGCGTCCTTCACTCGCACCGTCTACCTGCCACGGGCGATAGATACTGGCAACGTATCTGCGAAGCTCACAGACGGGGTGCTGACGGTTACTGTGGCGAAGGCGGAGGACCCCGCTTCGGCGCAGGTGAACGTTGAATGAAACACCTCTGTTGGGCTTACCGGACATTGCATATATTGTCTGGACTGTACAGATTGAATTGTAAAATAGGCAATTTTACTCGGGATGTATCATGAATCTCCAACTCACGACGTACCTCGATGTGCTCTTCTGAACTATTTCCTGCGGTTTGCGCAATGCTTGTATCATTGAGTTGCTGAAGTCTCGCAAGTGTTCGACGACGACCGAGACTATGGAAGAGATATCCAACTTTTGTCCACAGGATTGTCGTCGTGCACAAGTGTGTCCCGCATCCCCGACTCCGACCGGAGGGAGAGAGGAGGGCTTTGTCCACCCTAACTTGAGACGATGCCGGCGATGCCGCTCCCTCCGTGGGAAACACGTGACTTTTAATTCCCATAAACGGTATCGCAGCAATGCTCGAGTGTCCTACGAGGCAGGTCGAGGCAGTTGGATCCTTCCGTGCATCTGGCTGTGTCTGGACGCCTGGATCTCTGACCATCAAACGACTCCTCCCAAATGCAGGAGAGTTTCTCTCATTTTTGATAGCCTGCACTTACAGACTTACTGTATGTACTGTGATACATACTGAGTCGTGGAAGCCCGAGACGCCCGGGCGGCGAAGCCGCCGCGGGCGTGAGGGCTTCCAATTGAGTCTCCATACCATTCCGATGGTACAATATTACAATACATACATAATATACTCTGGTGCCGCTGTGGCAGGCTGAGTAGCTGTGTTCCATGCAGGAGTCGGGGATCGGCGCTTGCGCCGCTACGATCGCAGCCCCCTGTTCCAACTTCCCGCCACGCTGACGCCGGGGTACCGTGACCGGTTTGCAGCAGGTGTCTATGTGAAAGACTCTTTGTTCACTCCATCTGGCTGCTGGCACGTCCGCATCACTGCATGCAGCCTGCCGCAGTCCTCTCATCATCCTCCACGTTTCCGCCATTACCGAACTAGGACGCATCAGTCTCGCCTGCGACTATGGCGCTAGGCTCAAACTCTGTCTCTATCTCTGCCCTTCGCCAGTCAAACCACGACGAACTCTCCATGGACGACGAGGAGATTGATCAACTAGATTCCGGACTGAACTCGGAAGAGGAGATGGACGAGTTGGAGGAACCTGTCGCATCGTCCAGTAGGGCGCGTCCGAAGAAAACGGGGGACCGTGCCCCAGGCCACACGCTCATACCCTCCGCACGTGTGGAGAACATATTAGAGGGCAGCGGTACGTCTTAATCTGCCTGTTCAATATGGCTAACTTACAGGCCGTTCTACCTCGGACGTGGGTTCACAGAAGCAGGAGCCCACTTGTCGAAGGAGGCTCTGTACATGCTGTCTGTCGCCACGGTACGTGCCAACGCAAATTATCCAAGCGTGGCGAACGAACTCATGTCCCACAGGAAGAATTTGTGAAACGACTTGCGCACGCCGGACAGCGTATGGCCGGAAGGGAGGCACGGCAACTCGTGTATTACCGCGATGTTGGTCGGTCTGACAGCTGCTGCTATCACTGTCTGTATTAACGTGCGTGTGCAGCGTCTGCCGCTCAAAAGCACCACGAATTCAACTTTGCTCAAGGTTGGTCTGCATCGATGTCTCTGCGTCCTTATGTGCTGAGTTATCCGCGCAGACGTGATACCCGCGCCAATGTCGCTCGCAGAAGCTCTCGGGCGAAGAGCAGCAAGAGAACAAGAACTCGCGGATACCGACCCAGCAATAGCTCCGCCAGTAGACCCCTGGGCCATCCCGCCACCATTGAGCGACCTGTCAGTTTCCGAGGCGCCTTCCGCCGCGGGTAGTACTTCCAGTACCAGGACCAAAAGCAGGACCAGACAGCCCCACGTCAATGGCAACGAGGAGGCTGATGGTTCGTCGGCCTCTGCGCCCGTCATCAGCAGGTCACGCCAGCGGGATGCGAGCGGCAGATATAGTATGGGCACCAATGGGAGACCGAGCGAAGGCAGAAGCGTGAGCGCGCGGCCATCGGTGGGCACACGGCCAGGCAGCTCGCGCATCCGAGAGCGGGCGTCCCGGACGTCGGAGGGCGGGGGATCTGTGTCGGTCGGTAGCTCCCCGCCGGCGAACGGGGCTCCATCTATCTCGAGGGGAGGCATGGGCCCGCCTGCTCCTCCGCGACCGTCGTCTTCGCTGAGCAACCGTGCGCAGTCACGGGGTGAGGATGGCCGTTCGGGGGGCTACGCGGGACCTCCGAACGGCTTCATGGACGACCACCGTCTCATGAATGGTGGTAGTAGAGGGACTGGCATCGCAGATGCACCGGGCCGGACGATATATTCCGCACAGCGGGCGACCCAGTCGAACAGATAGCCCATATACCCACCACTTCGGCGGCACGCCGAATACCACTCGTGTCTGTATCTGGCGCTACATGTTGTTACCGTACTTGTGTTGTAATGCCCATGTCGTTGTGCGCCTTCCAGAGTCCCACCTCTAAGTGCTCGTCATTGTGAGACACCTCTGTGTAGTAACCGAATGTCGTGGTGGACGCGTCGTGCTCCCCGCGGACGCGTCCGCCGTCTCCTCAGTCTGTCGCGCTCAAGTCGCGCCTCATTCACGCACGTGAGAGCGCCCATGAGCATGGGTCTCGCCGCGACTCATATTTTGCCTGCGGCGCGAAGGCTTTATTTCTATCGCACCTTCAGTTTGAATCCGCTTTCTTGGTTCGGAAAGGCAATGGCATCCGCAACCTCTCTGTCCAAGCTCCCCGTCCCATTGCGGGATCTCGTCGCGAATGCTGCTGTGGACGGCAGCAGTGACTTTGGCAAGTCGGAGAAGGAGAAGGCGGAGGTAACGGGGTGGATCGAGAAGATCGCGGAGGGCGAGGTCGCAAAGCCGCAGAACTTGAAGGTGAGCTGCTCAGATATACGCGTGCGATGCTAGACTGAATGTGCCTGCAGGATCTAGACGGCCAGCTGACGCCCCGAACGTACCTAGTCAGCAACTACTACACCGCCGCCGATGCTGCACTGTATGGTGCTCTTCACCCTGCCTTCGTGAGTATCATAAGATATCATGCATATGGTCCTCGCTGAATGAAGGTGAATACAGTCCCAGTTCCAAGCCCCACAATACTACTCGTATCCTTCCCTCACACGCTACTTCAACCACATTCAAAATCGGCCACAAGTACGAAAAGCGGCATCATCACTCGCACCCGCATTCTCTCTCGTGGCGTTTGACCTAGAGAACGCACCAAAACCCGAGCGCAAGGCCGATCCCCCGAAGCAGAAGAAGGAGAAGGCAGCCGTTCCCGCTGACGCCTCCTCCGCACCTGCGGCTAAGGGCAAGAAGGGCAAGGAGGTGGCTGCAGCAGAGGTAGCGCCTGCCGACACTGCTGCTGCGGAGGCTAAGCCGTCGAAGAAGGAGAAGAAGGAGAAAGAGAAGAAACCTGCTGAGGGCCCTGAGGGCGGCAAGAAGAAAGAGAAAGCTGCGGGTGGTGGCGGGAAGGCTGCAGCAGAAGACGCAGGAGAGCCTGTGCCGTCTATGGTTGACCTGCGTGTGGGTCATATCGTTGACAGTGAGTCTTACTCGTGCCTTGCGTGTTAGATTTCTGACTCTCCGAACCATGCAGTCAAGAAACATCCGGATGCAGATGGCCTCTATGTAGAGGTAGGTAGTGCATTGAGTACATCAGCGGGGTGATGCTGAACTACACGCCAGCAAATCGACTTCGGAGAGCCTGACGGTCCAAGGACAGTGGTGTCGGGCCTGGTGCACTACATTCCTATCGAGCAGATGCAGGACAAATACCTTGTTGGAGTCGTACGTGGATGTTCCTCTTTCTATGACCGTATTAATCACGAATATATCGCCTCACTCCAGTGCAACCTAAAGCCTGCGAACATGCGTGGCGTCAAGAGTTTCGCCATGGTGCTCTGTGTACGTCGGCATCGGTGCATGCAGGATCTCCGAGATGTTGACGGGCCATATCCCATTAGGCCACGTCGAAAGAAGGCAAGGAGGGCGGAATCGAGCTCATCCAGCCACCAGCAAACTCTAAGCCCGGCGATCGCATCTACTTTGAGGGACCCGAGTTTGAGAGTACGTGAACAACGATGACTACTGTATCCGCATGCCCTGACTTGACTGCATAGACGCGACACCTCTCTCGCAGTTGAACCCTAAGAAAAAGATCTTCGAAACCGTTCAGCCTGGTACATTCTTATGTCTTGGGTATAAATGGCTGCTGACCTTCCACCTCAACCAGGTTTCATTACGTTGGAGTCGAAGGAAGCTGCTTGGGTGAACCCTGCTACGAAGAGCGTCCACCGCATCCGGACGAAGGATGGTGTTTGCGTTGCACCTACACTAGTCGGAGCATCCTTGTCATAGATGCGAGCGAGACACGATCTACATGGGGGTGGCAATAGAGCAGAAACTCAAGCACATGATTGTACTGTAGATCTGTCCAACGCAGCAAGAAGCGAATGCGATGGCATACTCGTCTGAATCCCTTGGTCGAAGAGCCAGGCTCTCCCAGGTCGAAAATGTCGTCCCCTTGCCATTGTGCACTTGTTGGAGTGTATTTGGTTCGCGACATGTGGAGTCCCACAATGTCCGCTAATCTATACGTGGCGACGGCTTCGTGAAGTCATAAGTAGTGCGGACTGGGAGGGAGATCTCTTGTTTCAGCAACGGATAGTCAGAATACGTGCTATATGTAACATTCTGATCAACGAAAAAAAACACTACAGTAGGTGCTATGACACTGACATTGTCATTATGGAAGGGGAAATGTGTGCGCTACAATAAATAATATGTACATGATGTCCCAGCAAACGACATAGGCAAGCAAGCCTAGAAGCCGTCGCTCCAGTAGGCCCCAAAGGGATTGTCTTCATAGGGATCAATCTCGCTTTCCTCAAAGTCGTCGTACGAATCGTCCGTGAAGCGTTCCTTTTCATCATACTCTATTGTCTCATCCCAGTCCACGTAGCGCACGACCTCCTTCAGCTCGTCGACCTCTGTGCAAAAAATGTTGATAGGGCGGATGATGTGCAGCTGCTCGATCTCCACGCCATACTCGTACCGCGCCATGAAGCAGTCGAGCAGACGCCCAGCGAGCCTGTCCTCGTCCTCCAACTCTTCTTCACCATCGGATCCGCACTCGTCGCTGTGGTCTCCGAAGTAACAGTCCTCCAGAATGAGGTGACGGAGCTGGGGCAGTACGTATGCGTTCTTCTTGCTTCCGCGGTGCCGATCGATAAGCACTTCCGGGAGAGGGTCATCGTTCGCGCCATCCATGACACTGAGCTCCGTGACTTTCCGCGTGCTCTCGAGGAGCGCGAGCCACGACTCATTGGACAATGACGTCCCAGAGACGAGAGATATTGAACATCACGGATGGGGAACAGTTCACAGGCCTTGGTGATGACGACTTCAACGTCGAATCGCCCGAAGCGCACCTCCAGTTCGGGAGTGTGCTCGTTCGGCCGGCCCGCACCGTTTTTCGTCGCTTCGCATCCGAAGCCCCTTCTGAATGCCTGCAAATTCAGCGCGGTGTGGGTGAGGGTGACAACAAAGCTGAGCAGGGTCCCCAAGCTAGACGTCTTGGCAGCTATGGCAGCGAGGAGATCACCCCGCAATTGCCTTGGAAATTTGAGTCTACTTCCACGAAGATGCGCGAGAGGGTCGGGGTGGTCAAGTGATTCAGGAGGCAGATGGTGTTGGGCGTAGTGTCCGAGAGGCGCAGGGACCACAGATTAGGCAAGGAGGCTTGAGTTGACGCCATCGGGACTTGATTATAGTCGGCAGGTGCGGTCAATGCTGACTCAATCACGAGCTCTTTGAGGTGATGCATCTGCGCGATGGCAGCAAGCATAGTTTCGGGGGCGACATGTATTGCGTCGTGATGGGGTTTGTTGGAGATGGTCAAGTGTGTCAGGTGCGGCAGCGAAGTCTTGTGCCAGTGCGAATAGACGGAGTGTAGCTCCAGATGTCGGAGACGAACAGTCTCGGGTTGATGCAACAGATGGTGTATATGGTCATGCTCGCCGGGATAGTGCATGACATCCTCGCACCGGACAGTCAATGATTCGAGACAAGGGGCGGGCCCGTCCAGCAGTTGTAAGATCTTCTCTGGGAACGAACGCTTGATCGTGATAGACAACGAGTGTACGCGGGACATATGCGAGAGCACCAGCGCTAGCGCCTTCTCCTTCGGTGATACTCCTCCCGCGCGTACCAACGCCCTGGCGTGCGGGGTCCGAAAGTCTACGGTGACATACAGGGGTGCCTTCTTGGATCGCTCCAGTAGCTCCTTCGTCCACTCGTGCTGCGTCGTCACCGCCAATTTTCCCCAGAGGGCAGGGCAGCCTAGCGCCACGTTGCGCCAGTGCCTGCAGACGTGGGAGATGCAAATCCAACCATAGGGGCTGTTGGACCACGGCGGCGGCAGGCTATAACTAGAGGGGCCCGCCATACGCATGAAGACTTCGGAGAGCACCTCCGGAGGGAGTACGGATATGGGTGCGAAGGTGTTCAGGCGCGATCTGAGGTCGAAGACATGATTCAGGTAGCGAGCGATCTCGTCCTCAATTGCTTTGCGAGTTTGGGGAACCGGCAGGGCCGGACTTGTATGGTTACCACTTGCCTCCATGATAGGCCCTGGTGACCCTGCAGCAACGGTGTAGAGTGAGCAGTGGACCGCATTGTCTAAACTGTGTACAACATACAGAGATGGTGGCAGGGTCAGTACAACGACGTGATGTAAATAGTCGAGGCAAGGTCGAGGTGAGCGTCGTGGTCCAATGGTCGCGAGGTCAGACACTGTACCACGGGCCGGCGGGAGTCGATCTCAGCCACTCACGCCACTCTACCATTTGCGCATATTGTACTTAAGAGCCGCGCGCTACTTGCCACGGCAGGTACCCTAGCCTGCGCCCGGCGATGTACTACGTACTTAGTACTGTCTCATATTCAATACGATGCGTTTAGTTTCCCCGATAAATCGTTCCTATTATAAGGGGGAAGTCCGTATAACTGACATTTTACCAGCACTGGCCGCAATTTTGGCCATGGTACTCAGCACCAACCGTGCACAAGCAAATCAATAACTTGCACATTGATTGCATAGCACCTCTCAAGATGGGGAAACCCGGGTTGGATCATACATTATTGAAATGGAGCCATTGATCAGAGTCCACACGCGCTGCCCAACATCGACACCGCTCAGCGCAACCGCGCGAGCAAGGGTTTCACCGCCACCAGTGGCGACATCTACATATGCATGTCAATGTGTGAGCTAATCATAATGAGCAGCACTGAGGTGATTCAGTACTCTGCGTAGCTGCTGCAGTACGTGCAGCACGAATTCGAATTGAACGCGCGCAACGCGCCTGTGTCACGCAGACGCGCTTGTCACAGGGAATGTCACTAAAGTGGTGACGCGAGGACCCGCCAAATCCTCCTGCCACGGCCATGGTCTTGCGAGAAGCCGTCCGACATGCCCTGCAGGGAGGCCGTGCCTTCAGCACATCCGCCTCAAGAGGTGTCGTCTATGTCTCCAACATAGGCAAGCAGCCCATCCGCTATCCCCCTACCGTCAGCTTCACGCAGTCCCCGGCCGCCCTCTCCGTCCAGGGCCCGCTCGGGACGACGAGCGTCCCCCTCGACCCCTTCATGAACTCGCGTTCAACGAGGAGAACACGCTCGCGGTGTCCGTCAGGAGCCCTCGGAGAAGAAGCAGCGCTCGATGTGGGGGCTCACGCGCACGCTCATCCAGAACGCGATCATCGGCATGACGGAGGGCTTCACGACGCCCGTGTACCTCGTCGGCGTCGGGTACCGCGCGGCGCTCGAGGCGGACCGAAGGGGCAGACGGAGGGCATGAGCGGGCAGAGGCTGAACATGAAGCTCGGGTTCTCGCACGCGGTGTACGTGCCCGTTCCGGAGTACATCAAGGTGGAGGTGCCGACCCGACGAGATCATGCTGAGCTGTACGGACAAGCAGCTGTTGGGGTTGTTCGCTGCAAAAATCAGGAGGTGGAGGCCACCAGAGCCATACAAGGGCAAGGTACGCTGTCCGTCTAATGGAATTAGTGCCGACTGTAACTGAGCGAGGGCAGGGAGTTTTCGTGGGCGACGAGCGTGTCCGCATGAAAGCAATCAAGAAGAAGTAGATTGTCGTGTTGCTTCCTCCCGGGCCTCTGGTTGCTATATTATTCGTCTCGACATCAGAGTTGCACTCTGCTGGAGAGTAATGCTCATCATGCTCGTCATCCCTTGCATGCCCATGCCAAGTTTATGAGCACCGTGAGCTCGGGCGAAGGTGTGCGTCGTTTCGCTCCAAGTCCACAAAGGTCGGTGGAGAATTCAAGAAGAGATATGATTCCGTTTCCGATTACAGCGTGGTATGCTACGATGTGACCTAATGCTACAAGCTTCAGTTCATGTGATCTAAAGACTGCATGGCGATAACTAATCAGACAGTGACGGACAAGACAGGAGACAAACACAGAGATCAATACACATGGTCCGACTTCTTCAATCATGCACTTGCCCGTCATGCTTGGACGAAGTCGCCCATCTGGGGGACCCTCGTCTCAGGATGGTGCTCGTAGATCTCTTGCACAGACTTGGCGCTCTTCGCCGACAGGGCACTCGACGGCGGTTCTGTGTCAGTCGACGCAGGTGCATCTTCCGGACTCTGCATGGCGACGACGTGGCCCCATTTACTTGCGCCGGAGACGGCCCAGCATCCAGCGAAGATCCACGACTCGCGTCCTCATCCGCAGGCACCGCACTCGGTTGGCGACTCCGTCTGAACAGCGACCGTGTCCCATCCGCCGACGTCCCGCGGCTCACCGAGCTCCCAACCAACGAACCCTCCTCGCCGTTTGCGCGCGCGGCGAGGCTGCCCAGGCCGAGCTTCTCCAGTGGCTTCTTGAGCTTCTTCCGGATGCTGGAGTGCTTGGACTTTCCCTGGCTATCCCGGCTCACGCCCGTCTCCGTCGTCGACGTGCTCGTCCCCGTTACCGCGCTCGTCCCCGTCTTCGTGCTGTGCCCGCCGGCGCTCCCCAATGTGTCGGTACTCCCGAAGGAAGAGCGTGCGGACTGGAAGGACGACGAGGATGCAGAGGATGAGGACGCTGACGCCGAGGGCGAGAGGGCTGGCGGCGAAGCGGGCTTGAGCGCAGTATCCTGTTCTGCAACGACCTCCGTCGATTTCTCGTACGTAGCTGTGTTGGCTGGGAGCGAAGGCTCGGGCGCCGCGAAGCTCTGCAGACGTTCCTGTGGGTTCTGCACGACCTCAGGCGGGACTTCCGCAGGCTCCTTATCCGCGGTCTGTCCGGCCGTAGCTACAGCCTCCGCCTGCTTCTCCAGCTGGTTCGTAGCGGCCTTCGTCTGCTCATCGCTTCCAATCCCCCTCACCCCGTCGTCCTCGTCCTCGCCCTCCATGCCCAGCCCCATTCGCGTCCGCTCGCCCCGCAACCACTTCTCTCTTCGGATCTTGCGGTGCTGCATCCACGGACCGGCGTTGCTCAGCTTGCACCCGCCAGCTTCCGCGCATGTACATGTCCCACCGAGGCTCTCGGGCAGGTTCTCGGCGGCGATCTGCTCGAGGAGGACGTCCTGATAGTTTGTGCCGAGGATGTCGATCTTGGCGAGAGTCTCCTTCGCGAGCCAGGGCTTGATGAAGCTCCAGATGGTCGTGAACGACGCGGGTGCGTTGATGATCGCAAGCTGCGCCATCCTAGCACACCGTTAGCAGCTAACTGGGTGTCAGAGAATGGGGGAACACACGTCTCGGGAAAGTAGTCTTGGGAAATCTGAAACGAGTCCCGCGCGAGGTTCTTCATCTGCCAGAATTGGCTCAGGCCGAATCCTTTGAGATCGACGATGACGAACGTCCCGTCGATCTGGTGGCCCGCCGCGCGCGCGGACGCGGGGAGACCTCGCGGGTGAGCGACTCCGCGTTGACGACGATGTTGCCAGAACCTCTCGGGCGTGATGTGCTTGTAGAGTTCGGGCATGTTGATCCCGCCGAAGTGGTGGATGTTAAGTGGACGACCCTTCTTGTCCGTCTTGTGGAACCAGAGCGGCCAGCACTCGAACACCGCGGGGCGTTCGGGGTACTGCGCGGGGCGGCGCGTCAGGTGGATCGGTCTGTGTGTGGGGGATGGAGGCACGCACATCGTATGGGTCCAGTCGCGGTACAGCTCGTCATTCCGATGCCCTCCACTGTATTTCGCCAGTTCTGGCAGTTCTCCCACATCGTGGTCGCCGCCTTCACGTCAAACTGCCGCGCTCGCAGGAAGCGTCTGCACGGGGATCGCGTTAGCATGACCCAGAACGCATTGCGGATCACTTACAGCAGCGTAGCGTCGTCCGTGCCGATGTTGTCGCTGTCATGAATGAGATCCTGTTCCTCGAGGTGCTCGCGGAACTGCTTGAGGATCTCTGCCTGCTTCTCTGTGGGCGGGGCCATGGTAGGTGGGTGTGCTCTCCGGACAGAGCTGGGATGGTGGGCGGCAGTTGGAGGTGGGTCTTATGAGCCGGGCGAAGAGCCAGGGCTGGCAGAGACGGAGCGGACGCCGGAGGAGCGCGTGGATGACCATCTACACCGGCGCGCATGTCATCGCCTGCACGTCAACTCTGCCCACTCCCGAACTGACATCAGCAGACCATAACCTCGCCACACCTCTCAGAGCCAGCGGAACGCCTGAATTGTCCGATATGGTGTAACGGCTAACATTACCGCCTTTCATATGCATGTCCTCGTATCCTCTTCAGATCGCGGTAGCTCGGGGTTCGATTCCCCGTATCGGAGTCATCTGCAGGCAGCATGTTTTTGTGCATGCTCGATCATGATGACAGTTGTACCGAGAGTCTTCATGCAATACTGTATAGTCTGAACCCAAAAGTCATTGAATCATGATACTGCAACTACTTACAACTAGCTAAAACGTAGCGATGTAGTCCTGTATCCTGTCCCTCGCATCCTGCGCGATACACTCCGCAATCCACGTCAAACTCCGGATCTCCTGCTCCTTCAGCTTCAGTATGCGTAGAACACACCGTACTGGAACTGCTGTAGGAACGCGAGCTTGTTCAGGTGCACCTCGTGCGCGAAGAAGCGGTCCTCCAGCTCTGCGGCGCCGCTCGAGTCGCCCAGCCCGTCCGCGCTGTCGCCCAAGAGGTACGCCTGGCTGTCGTTCCCGTTTTGTGCCCGCCCGCGCGACCCCGGGGCGCTCTCGAAGAACGCGCGGTACTCCATGACGCCCTCGCACCCCTGCCGGACCTGCTCGAAGTCTTCTGCGCGCGCGAGCGCGTTATTGCCTGCGGGAAAGAGGCGGCCGATGGACGGGAAGAGCTTCGCGCGACGCTCCTTCGAGAGCTCGGTGCCAAAGGAGTTGATAGTGATGTTAATGCTGCGGCGGTCCGCCTCGAAGGCGAGGATACGCTGCATTACCTCCGCCGTCGGTCCGCCAATGGTGTCGCAGAAGGCGTGGAAGTCTTCGAGGTAGGCCTTGTAGAGCGTGTTACGGATAATCTCAATGTTGAGGTCGTCGAGGTCCGCGGCACTGAAGCACTCCCGGAAGTAGGGTGCTGCGGACAGTCAGCAGCCGCTGGCAGCATGACTGGTAGGAGACATACCGAGAGGAGTCTCAATGAGGGCAGTGCGGTAGAGTTCCTCCACGTTCGTGGCGACACAGAGGGCAGGGAGTGTCTCAAACACGCCTAATGGATGGCAACGTTCCAGCAGCTCTTGGGTATTGCGCTCGTGTAGCGTGCCGGTAATGAGCAAGATGACGTTGTCAATCATGTACGCATACCTGCAGCGGTTCAACGTCAGTCATAGATCCCAGTACACCGTGGCGCATCCTACGTGATGTAATCGAAGAACTTGGACAGAGGAGCGACAGCATTGCTGCGCAGGAAGTTGAACTGGTCGACGAGCACTTGCGTTGCCTTGTCGGCAATGGTTGACGTCGAGATGGGCAGCGGCTCGTTCGCGAGGAAGTTGCCATAGTCCGTAGCAGAAAGCTGTGTCCTAAGTCTATAATGCAACGATTCATCCTCCTGCAGTCCGCCAGGCTATGACACACGCACCCTCAATGGTCTCGCATTGCGTGAGGTTGCTGTACTGGTTCTGGGTGAGGAGACCGCCTTGTAACCCCTGACAATCCCCTCGAGGAACCCGTTGTTTACCTACAAAGCGACTTGCGTCAGTTGCGCACCAAGCGAGTTCTGGACAGGAGCGGACGCACATTGAAGAAGAGGGCCTCCATTGCACCGCTCCTGGTGAATGCTGCTGTGGTACGAGAGACGCCTGACCTGGCTGGCGACGGATCGGGGAGACATTCCCACGCTAGGATCGGCGCGGACTCCCAGCCTCGGCGATTGGCTCGGGCAGCACGTCGGAAAGCAGCTGAAAGCAGTCATGGGCAGCCGCGTCCATGTCCGAATCACAGATTACGCGGGCGTGCAGCCCCGTGCTCATCTGTGCCAATCTCTACTAGAATCACTATTAGTTCTCTCTGGGCTTGCTAGGTGCATAACGGCTTGAAGTTGGACCAGGACAGCTCTTCGACATGGGTAAACAAGTCACATCTGAGAAGACTACGAAGCTCTTTATACCGCACCCCCATGCAGAGAACTGCTCGATAGTGGGAGTCCTCGAGCAGCTCGAACCATATGAGCCGACGCAGGGACGTCGGATTGCTTTAGTCAGTTGTCATGTCCGCGATTGAGACGCACGACTGACAATATGCTACTAGATCCTCCATGGGTCGCTGGGGTAGATGCCTTGTGCCCGACTCCGAGACAGACATTGACTGGCATGTAGACATAAGGATTATCTCTTCCAGAAGCGTCTTGCTCTCAGGCTGCCAATGGACTCTTTCCGATTCGACTTCCGGTATGTGACATACGTCCCAATCGTCCTCATCACAATTGAACCTCTGGGATGCAGTGGCAACTTCGAAACGCCAGGCACCCTACGCCTCGGCGGGATTGAAGACGATATCCAGGATCTACACATCGTTGTCCGGTACCTGGTGCGCGAGTACGGCTACGTGATTGACACCATCATTGGGCACTCGCGCGGGAGCGTGGTGGGTATAGTCTGGCTCAGCCGATATCCCAAGGAAGAGGCGGGCAGCGTGCGCGGGGTCGTCAACGTGAGCGGGCGGTACAGGTTGCATGTGCGTGCGATTTTCCAATATGTCTGGTGTTGTTTCATACGTCCTCCCGTAGAAAATGTATGGTAAGTGTGTCTACAATCTCCGCGAAAAGCCTCGTTGGGTCGTTCGTCGTCTTAATGTGTGAGGGTCGTTCAGATCAGACAAACAAGCCCGAGATCAAGGCGCAGCTCGAGAGGCAGGGATACTACGAGGTCAAAGCCGTGGTAGCGCGTCAGCCGGTCAGCATGAAGTAACTCTTTCTGTTCACTACGAATTTGTGCGAGATTTGATCACGGCCTTCAAGAGTAACTATCCAAGACCATCACGAGTTTGCGTCGCTGGACACCTCTATTGTCTGGGACCGCTTCCCGGCTGCCATTGACGTGTTGACGATCCACGGGCTGAAGGACGCGGTTGTGCCTCCGTACGCATCTTACTGAGCGCGAGACCGTCAGTGGGCTCATTCGCCATGTGTACAACAGATACGACGCCTTCATATACGCAAAGATCCTGGGAGCGAGGTCTCCTGGGACACATAATCTGGCCATAGTAGAAGAGGCTGATCACAACTTCACCGGGGTGCGTTCTTTAGCGCACCATCTTCGTATCGAATCCGTGGAAGCTGATACCTCTGCATGTCCTCACAGCGCTCCGACGAAGTGGTCGATACTGTTCTCGAATGGCTAGATATGCTAGAGCACAAGACGCTCAAGACAGGTATATGGCACACTGGAGTCAGACATGATATCGATCAGCTGCCTCCGAAATCATCTCTCTGTAAGTCACACATCCATTCAAGGTGCTTCCTATTTGCTGAGTGCATCCTAGAGCTGAAACCTTGCGTACCCATCCGCGGGAACTACAAGCGATCGACGCTGCCTGTCGTAATCCTCATATTGATATTGTACAAGGTATTGGAAAGAATACAGCACTGTTGGGTACGGTCTCTAGCGGGCTTACTGCTCCGGCTTAACATTGCGTTTTTCTGCTTTCCTCGCATCCTCCCGCTGCCAATTCAATTCGAAGGTTCCCGATTCCTCCATCTCTGCCTTGATGTCCATCACAAACTTCTGCACCTCCTCGAGGGACATCTCGAACAGCGCCACCTCCCAGTGCGTGATGGAGAGCAAGGCAGCCTCAGCTTCATGCCCTGGCTCCCGGTCCAGCGCGACGAGCTGACCGCCATCGTGCGTTTCGTTCAATCGCTCCCGCGCCACGTCCATGACCCACTTGACCGGCAGCCCTCGCATGCCGATCCAGCCCTCAATCACTCTGCCCGAGAACACCTCCTTGGCGTTCTGCTTGATCCGAGACGCGCGAAGGAGGGCGGCGTGCTCCGCGTCTTTCCCAAAGAAGCGGAGCACATCGTCCTGCGTGATCGTCTCTCGGGGCGGCGCGTACGCGGGGTCATCTGCGCGCTCGCGTGCGTACTCGAGGAAGCTCTGGTACATCGAGCGCGGCTCGCGTCGCTTCTTCCCGCGTGCATGTGTCTGCTCGGACGGCGCCACACTGCGCGCATCGAAGAGGCGGGAGGTGGCCACCCATTCGAACACTTCACGCTGGGTGGTGAACCCGCTTCCAGCCTGGCCTGTGAGAGGCCATAGAACTCGAGGATGTGTGACAGAGATGAAGAGAGGTTAAAGAGATTGGGGGATTGGTTGGAGAGGATTTGAAAGCTGTACGTTGGATGTATCTTCAGGATTACAGATGCGGAGTTGACGAGAGGAAACACACTTCAGCCCAAGCACGCCGAGAGACACGCCTACGCCTCGTCCAATCACACCCAAGATCATACCCGTATCGCCGTAAGAGTGCAGAAATACCGTGCGCTGCCAGTCTTCCCTGTCGGCGCACACATTCACGTCCACCTGGAAGTACGTATTCTGCAGTCCATCAGAGGATAAACCCATCTGGTCCTCGCCCACGTCGAGTTTCAACGCATCTGCGAGAACTGCGAAGTTGCTCGTCCCCTGCCCTCCTGCGGCAGGCTGTGGACAGCATTGAGAGCATCCTTCACGCGATCCAACATGCGATCGCCGCGCGGGTACGCGACGACGAAGTCGAGATCACCATGATCAGCTTTCTCTGGTGTTTCAGGCGGCACGGCCACTAGTTCGTAGAGTCCCTGGATGCGAGGAAGGAGCGTGGCCTTGAGAGACTTGTAGGTCGTCGGAGACATCCGCGGGAAGGTAGCGTTAGGGACGATCTGTTTGAAAGCATTACCACCCATGTCTAAGCTCAGAGATGTGAGGCTAGAGGGCTGGTCGGTTGAGGGTGCAGGGTGGTGGTCGAGGAAAGAGAGCGGGCTCAAAGGGTCCAAACACGGTCGCGTCGGATGACGCGGGCGCTCACGCACCTCTCCTTCCGCCACCAGGTCCATCGTTCGTCTCTCGGCTCTGCAGTTTGCGTTCCTCCTGATTCCTTGGGCGCGGACGTGTGTTTTATACGGACCCTTTTAAGACGCATTATATAGCGCACATCCCACGGATTCTTTCTCTAGACATGTCCAAGTTCGCTCCCCACCGCCGCTCGGCGAACGCCCCTCGTCCTACCTCCTCTACTATCTGTCAGAAATGCCTCGGTACAGGTGTGCACCTAGTCTGCGACATTGTCGCGGTCGAGAAGTCTTGTTGATGTTTATCCGTGACTAGGACACTTCACGTATGAATGCAAAGGTTCTCGGCCGTACATCTCCCGCCCATCTCGGACGCAGCAGCTCGAGAACCCGCGCGTCCTTGCCAAGCTGAAAGCGGACGGGAAGCCGTCCGTCGAGGTTCCCGAGGAATTCAAGAACAAGTGCGCAGCTTCGTAACAGGTTGCAGTCAGCTATGTTTTCTTATGCAGCATGGCAGGAGTGGCACCGCGAACCGTATCTTGGAGGCGAAAGAAAAGGAGAGAGCCAAGGGCACTGAGGACGGCAAGAAGAAGCGAAGCCGGTAAGCAGCACCTCCCCAACCCGTCATGTTCACCAGCAAGCCGTGTTAAGCAACCTTTCGCAGGTCCTCGTCGAGCTCAGGCTCTGATTCATCCGGCAGTGACAGCGATTCGGACTCGGACTCTGATACAGACTCGAGCTCCGGTTCGGACTCTGCCTCTGCCTCCAGTCACTCAGGCTCAGACTCCGGCTCATCGTCACGCAGCCGGTCGAGGGGAAGGAGAGGTAAGAAACCTCGAGCCAGAAGCGACAGTCGGAGCCCTAGCAGGGTCAGAAGGCGATACGACTGAACGTCCTCACATTCGTTGATGTGACTGCTGGTAACCGTCGATTTGTATGTTCAATCCCGTCTCAGACAAGGGCGGTTCATAGTTTAGTGTAGTGTATTCCGGATATCACGATGCAGCGTCGAGATGATTAGTATGTACACGCCCCTGCCTCTGTCGCTGCCGAGTTCATGATCAAAGCAACGATCAGTCTGGGGCTCATGTTAGCACGAGAGCTCGATGACGGTGTATACATTAGCACGTACCCGTACAGACCCAGCACCTCTCCGAAAATGAGAATGAGCACCATGGTCACGAAGACCTTTGACTCGTACACGTACGCCCGCACGCACTGTGCATATGCTTCAGCAAAGTGAACTTAGGAGAATTAGACTGTCACACACCGAGTCGCCCACATAGCCGATCGCGTAGCCTGCTGCCAGACCCGTGAAACCACATGAAAGCCCGGCACCTAGGTGAACGAATCCAGCGAATAGAGAATAGTCGGTAGGTGTCACTTGGTGAACGTGTCAGTGACAAGTAAACAGCGGTGGCCCTCAAACTCACATCCTCCTGCAATGAGCACGGACACTACAAGCCCGTACACAGCGATAATACCAGACATGACGACAGGTATCAGAGACTGCGCCTCAAAGTCAGCGTACGTCCAGGCTAACGTATACACTGCGACGTACCTTCATGATGAGCTCAGGCTTGAACGTCCCCAATCCCGCGATACCAATGCCAGATTTTGAGGTGCCATACGCTGCCCCAACAGCTAGCGACAGGTCAATAAGTCCAGTATTATTCTCCGAGCAGCGCAGCACTTACTGCTGAATATCATCTACGGCCGCGCAGAGGACGTCATTACGTGCCTTCAATGTCGTCAACAGCCACATATACTCACCGACGAGGCGACTCCTGCAAAGCCAAAGAACGGCGCATATGGCGGACAGACCGACATGACGGCGGGAAGGAGAGATGACGGGTGAAGTGAGGGTAGATGAGAGAGCCTGCTTGTCGCTTCGGCAAGGTGTAGTGGCTGTTACAGTGGGTATCCGGAAATGGAAACTCGTGTGGCGTTCAACGTCCGTTGCGAATCAGCCGCTCTTGCTCGTTCTGTGACTCCGGGTCGCGAACTGTTGCTCTTGGACACTCAGTACTGACTCAGTCTTGACTCTTGTTGCCAGTACCGTGCCATTCGTTCCAGCACTACCTCTACGCGGCGAACTTGAGGAGGTCCAATTGGACCGTCCAACAGTGCTAGGCTCTAGCAGCGTCATTCGCCGTAACTACGGCAGGTCAACGGATCGAAGACTACATTATGAGGACATTACAGCGAGCTCCCCTAGGTAAGCAATGCGCGGTAGCATATAAATCGGAACCGGACAACAAAGGTGTGACTAACAACGTATGGCGTTGGCAGGCTGTTTAGGCATGCAAGTACCTCAACGTTGCGCTTCCCGGGCGGCCTCACGACGCCTCGTCCTCTTCGATGTTGTAGATGGCCAATTCTGTCTTGCGTGTCACTGACCCCACCTTTCCGGCGACAAATGGGCGAAAGTGCAGTTTGAACAGAAGAGGGAGACTTTCTTCTTGTTTGCAACCTCCTGGAGCTCGCGGTAAGTCACTGTCACAGGGATCTCCGTAATGTGTACACGCACTCCAGGAAGAAGGTCGCTTGCATGTTCGATAGGAGGCTATGTCGTCCGGTCGTCAATGAAGACAATCTGGTAGCACAGGGTCCAAGCCTCCTCACCGCTCCTTTGGCGACCATGACCTCCGGATAATCTCTTGGCTCGCCATGAAACATGTAGTGACCGTCCTTCGTACAATCAATGGATATGTGGACCTCCCATTCATCTCCGCGACCATCAGCCCTTGCCACAACTGAGCACGAATTAGTCTCACCTCCGAAGTCGTAAACGAACTTAATGGCGATATCCTTGTTCCTGCACTCTCCTTTGGCGGCGTTTTTCCTTGTCGTCTTGTTCCAGACATCACCCAGGGTGGTTGTATGGTCTTCCAACACCTGCGTGAACTCCTCGACTTCAAAGCCTCGGCCGCGCCCGCCGCGCACCGACCACGGGACGATTCGCATTATGGGATCCTTGTCGCGGAAGTAGCGATACGTCCACTGCATATACGCCTCATGGTCGTCGGGGTCTGGCTGCTCTGGGAGCGGCTGCGACCACTTCTTGATCTCGCCGGGACGCGTCGCGTACATCTCAATGTTACTGAGGACGTTGAACTCGTGCAGATGATCGCCGGACCATCCGAAGCTGAACATGAGGAACTTGTACAGCGTCGCAAAGGTGTAGTCAGCGGAAAGCGGACGATGCGATACACGCCCTTGAAGCGACATAGCTGGAGGCGCAATTGGATCCAATGGTCACTGGGAGGTGGGAGCGTCTGGTAAGGGTCAGGTCGACCTGGTGAAGGTGGGTCCAGGTGACTGTGCGAGGACGACGTCAACGTGTTGTGAGGACGGGCCGCTCTGCGCACCATGTTACGGTGCCGGACCACAGCGTTATCCTCTACCCGCGTGCGCTTCTGCGCCGGTTCGTCTTCGTCTTCGTTGTCATCGTCCTGCTCATCTTCGTCGCCGTCGGGGCCCACTTCGTCATGTTCCGCTTCCGGGCTGACGAGGTAGACGGCTCTTCATCCCAGTCCTCTCCTCTTCACTAAAGCGCTCCTCGTCAGTACTGTGGTCCTCGTCCTCGTTTTCTATCATCGCCGAGTACAACAGCATGAGAGCCCTGGTCATGATGTGAGTAAGAATAGGTCTCTCCCAGCCGGGTCGAACTCACGCTATACGGATAAAATCTGAAGGCATGCAAGCAGGTGGAAGTTTCTGCAGGTACGGAAGAGGGTATGTACCGTGAGCTTATATCTTCAGTCGTTGCATGGATCTCGAGCTAGCCATAAGCGAGGGGCTCCGAAAGTACTATGATTCATACAGCGCCAATGTTTCAGGCGCGTCGTCCGCGACGTCGCCGACAGTCGCGATGCGCGACAGTCAGGTGATCGTACTCGCATGGCACATCATCGCCTGGTAATATTGTCTGGAACTCTGGACTAGTATACATAGTGCATGCCGCGCGAGGACAGCATGCGTCAAGACATCGTGGGTTATCATGAGAAGTCGTAGTATACAAGAAAATCCCTGGACAGTCTCAGCCTGAGGATATATGATTATGAGAGTAACTCGCTCTAACACAGGAATGATCCGCAGACTCGAGTAGAGCCCGAACGACGACAAAGCGCACAGTACGCCGTGATGCTAGACACATGATCATAACCTCGCAAGAGGCTTGCGCTGTTCGCTCTCGTGACGGTCTTGCAGCACACGGCGGAGCACCTTCCCCGTGGGCGACTTCGGTATCTTGGCATCCACACTATCGTCAGCGCAGCTCTCTTCAAGTCGACAACACATCCCACCTCATCCACAGTATCAATCCCTGCTCTCAACCACTTGTACTTGCTCAGGTTCTTCTTCGTCCACTCCTCCAGCTTCTGGACGACCTCGCGGGACCCTATTCTGCGGCCGCTGTCGCTGAGGACTACCCATGCACGCGGGACCTTCTCGTCTGACGTCCGTCCACCAGACACGCCTGCGACACATGCGTCCTGGATGAGGCCCTCCGGGTGTGCCATGAGGAGCGCTTCGATCTCTGTAGGCGCGACCTGCGAACCCGAGACCTTGAGGGTGTCCTGAGAAGGGAGGTGAGACAGCAAGTAGATGCAGAGAAGCGTGGTCGCACCTTGGCTCGTTCAACAAAACTAAGTAGCAGCAAGATAGTTAGTTCTTGGCTGTAGACGACCAGTCGGAGTAGACACGCACTAAGTCTGCCGAGTTCGTCCACCTTGAACTGGTCGCCGGTCTTCAACCAGCCATCCGAGAACGTCTCTCGCGTCGCTTTGTCGTTGCCCCAGTAGCCAGGGACGACGTTCCCTCCTTTCACCACAGCTCGCCCGCCTCGTTCACGCCGCCTCAATCCATCTTCCTTCACGATCTTGCCTTCCATGCTGGGCAGCAGGAGCCTGCAGAGCCCAGCACCGCGGGTATTCGACCGTCGAACATGGTAGGTGATGGTTGGCGAGTCGCACTGATCGTCTAGGATGGTTGAGCTCCAAGTTAACCTCGAGTGCTGCTGGCCTCGACTCACCACCTCTGACATCCCAAACCCTGTTCACGTCGGGCATCAGCCAGGTTACACTCGGGCAGCTCAAAGGGCAGACGACTACCTTCAGCATACACGAATCGGGCCCCGCTCTTATCGCCTTCCTAAAGAACTCCGCGAGCTTAGGAGGCAGATGTGCGGCGCCGGAGACGATCGACATGACGTAGCGAAATCCTCCGGCGCAGCAACTTGTGGTACGCGAGCTGGTGCAGCGCGGAGGGATCATATATAGGATTTCACGCGGTATCTGAGGTGTGTGTCAGGATGCAGGGGTAAGTGACGACGTTGGATGGACGCACTTCGGGATGAGTCTGAGGACGAGGTTCGCGTCCCACTTTGGGATGACAACGAATGTCACAGGAGCCCAGAGCCCACGCAGGCAGATCATATGCAGGCCGTAAGTGTGATAGTACGGCAGAAATGCGAGCCCCACTGGGGGAACTGGCTACGATATATAAGGCTTACGGGTGAGATGCGGATTGCTCGTGCACTTACTGGCGTAGGCAGACCAACCGCCTTGAGACAGATGTCGTTCTGCATATACGAAACAGCGATGTTCCCGTGCGTAACCATGACGGCTTCAGGATGCTATGAATATTAATCTGGGAGCGCAAGGACAGTCGATGCACATGCCTTTTGGCAGCCCCGTTGTGCCGCTGGAGAACACAAGGTAGGCCAGTGTGTCTTTGGTAGCTGGCCTCACGGGTACCGCAGGCGTCCGTCGTTCGCGGGTCTCGTCAATGAAATCCGCCAAACTCTTCTTCCCCTTGATGTGTCCGCTGAGTACATATATTCGCTCTTCCGGCAGGCCAACCTCCCGGGCTGCTTGAAGCGCGACAGGAAATAGGTCGGGTCCGACGAAAAGGCATGTCGCCTTGGACGTGCGTATGGCGTAGGCTAGCTCATAGGCGGTTGCATAGGCAGACAGGAGTGCAAGCGGAGTCGCGAGCACGAGAAGCGAATGAACGAGGACTATATAGTCCTGGTGTCGTGTTCATGTTTAGTACCCATTGTCTCTCACTTCTCCTGAGCCATAGCCGGAGACTCACCAGTGAGTTATGACCTAGGATGCCAACGATTTTCGCTCCCCACCGATCCCGGGACCTCTGGGATGAGGTTGGCATAATGCCGTAGCAGCAGTCCGCACCCTCTCGACGAACTCGGAACGCGTCCGCTTCTCCCCCGTCAGGCCGTCGATATGGAGGACGTAGTCCTTCTCCGGGATCCGCCCCGAGTTGAATATGAAGTCGTGCACGTTCTGGTCAGGCAGGGGCGGCACCTCGGGGAACGGCGACTTGAAGACCATCCTGAATCCTAGCTGTCACCGAAGGCTGCGGCTGGACACAGTCGAGTCGGAAGAGCAGCCTGAGCAACACTGGACACGGCTATTCTGGGTCATATATAATAGGTCGACTTGGCCATGGGTGCATGCAGTGATTCCTCCCCGTGCGGCGCTGCACCGGGCAAATTTGCCGGTTCTGTGCGCACATGCCGGGATGAGAAGAACGCGCAAGTGCACAACCTGGTGAAGCACGGCTGCCAGATAGCACGAGAGTTGCCGAGTGGCCTTGTGACACGGTTCGCAGAGCAGTTGACCAGTGGTGAGCGGCTGTCGCGCCGGCAAGTATGGCAGTACTGTATATGGGCTGACTAGAATCCAGGCGTTGAACGAAATACAGCAGTCTGCACTTGATTCTGCAGACAACGTTCGACATCGCGATTCGCTGTCACCTATGACACCGCGACCAAGCCGAGCGGGGACGGCGGACGCTCGGAGTGCCTGTGCGGTCTCAGGCACAGCGAGGTCGGCGATCTAAGTATATGACTCCACGATGAACACTATTACATACAACGGCGGCGACATCCCCAGATGACACAAGCTTGCAGGAAAAATAACGATCTATAGCCACGCTAGCTATGCAGTGTGCGCATTAGAGAGCGACATTGGTAACGCACAAAAATCAAACACTAGATAAATACAGCCTAAATCGTACACATACGGACATGGACGACGATGAAGCAAGTATAGATGAAGCCACCGACCACCGACTATCAAAACACACAGCACAACAGCCCAAGAAGCACTCGGTCACCTACCAATACACACCTCTACTTCTCCCTCGGGTATTGCTCGTGAATCTCGGTGCTGATCGCGATCCTGACCGCGTCGTCCGTGTGGACGTCATCGGCGACGGGGGGCTCGATGGTGTAGATGCCGCCCTTCTCGCCCTCGTTCACGCTGCTCTTGCCGTCCTCGCCCGTCCAGTCGGTGTTCTTGGCCTCCGTGCCGAGCGGGACGGTGTACGTCGCGGGCTGCACCTGCTGGACGGACAGCACCGGGTTCGTGCCCTGACCGGTGGGCCCGCGCGAGCGCACGGTGCCATTCGAGCGCGCGGCGACTGCTTCGACCCCGCGTAGCGACCGCCATTTGTGAGCGGCCCACGGACCGCAAGGATGATGCGCATGGTCATGGATGCCGTGAGGACGGCAGCCATGCTGAAATAGACCGTGGTCAATCAAACGTTGGTAGGACAGTTGGACGTGATAATCTACCTGCTGACGATGGTGCGGATGGGGTCCTCGGGGCCCGTTGGCTTGATGATGAACCAGAACAGCATGTTGACCATGTTGACCAGCCAAACAGACTGATGCACCACATTCGTCAGCATCTGTTGTGTAGAACCAATCACCGAGACCGCTCACCATGTACAGGTTGAGACCATCACGGAGCATGAGCTTCCAAAGGTTGTTGGATTTTGCCTTGTATGACCTGTATGACCGCATGACAGCCAAAACCAGCTGGGCGGCATCATGATCAGTGTGATACATCTCCGGATTCATCATCGCCGGGCTCACCGAAGCGGTGTAGAGGAGCGTCGCAGACAGCCAGTAGATGCCAACCCATATGTGCTTCGGCTCAGCAATGCAGCCTTGGCCCTCCCGGAGCGGTGTCACTGCATAGCCCGCTGTGAGCACATAGTGAGACGGGGGCGACGTGCGTACCCCGGTAGAAGCCGCAGCAAATGGCCGTTACGACGATCTGAACGGCGTAGAGACCGCCCATGCCATAGAGTATGGACCTGTCTTTGTCGTAGATAGCGTGGACACGGTAAACATGGACGAAGGAGGTGATTGCAAGAAGAATGGCGGTGCAGATCGGCTCAAAGAGGTAGAACTTGGAACAGCGCTGCAGCAGGGTCAATTCCGACTACCCATGCGATCGAAGGATGTCTGCTTACATCGAGAGACCAGTTGGTGTCGAAGAAAGCAATACCTGGAACCCAAGATAAGCCCAGTCATGCGGCCGGCGACCGGAGGACGTACCGACGATGGTGAACTCAATCGGCACGTAGACCCGCAGGAAGTAGTAGATGAGCTTGAGGAGCGGCCAGCCGCGACTCTTCATGAGTCGCCATGTCCGGGGCGTAAGGACAAGGACGTCCCATGCCGCGACGGTAAGCGTGCAGACGAAGAAGTACTTCTGCGCGCTCAGGTGGGGCGGGAGGTCGAGGGACGCAGGAAGGGTGACGGTGCCGTTGTCGCTACCCGTCGAGTTGGTCGAGTTGTCGGACATCGTGGCGGCCGGGGACGGTGGACGTCGTCAAGATGGAAAGGAGGGAAGCCCGTAGGAGGGGAAAGCGATGGCGGGGTATATACAAGGCTAGCCAGTATCTGGGCGGCTACAGTCCGACCAGGCGGTGCTTCATACAGCCGCCGACCACACATCATATCAGCGAGCTGATGCAGTCTTTTCTAGTTCCTTGTATCGCTGCTCTCGGGATCTCCTACTCCAGAGGCCCTCCTGTCGCTGTTGCCCGCGTCGCAGCCCTGCAACGAGATGATGTGCACGCAGACGTCTCGGTTGCCTGCGCAGCCCCGGCGCCCATCTCAGTCGGGCAAGCCCGTACTATCGCGTGCACCGGTGTGGACAAAGTTTCCGCCTCGAACCTTGTGCGATCTATCTGCCAGTGGCCTGATGCCGAACACTGCTCAGCTCGGATGCAGCCAAACTGCGATGCTACTTGGATATTTGGGCCACATTCCCACCAGGACCACCCCTCAACTTTGCGTATGCGGCAGTGCCTGAGGATAAGTTGGTACTACAACGATCGACGGGAGGAATAGTACACCCGCTCCTGGACCTCAATATCCAATATTCAAATCTAGTCACAGGAGTCGCCAGGTACGCCTGCCTGTCAGTCCACCTTCCCTCGTCTTTTAGATGTGTTGAGAGTCTGCGACATTGCTGAAACCGTTCAGCGGTGGACAGTCAGTCAGATTCGGAGACGTAGGTGGCTGAAGGTGGCTGTACTGGGTGGCTGCGCGCATGGCTTGCAATGGGAACACGCCAGGCGTAAGTAGTGTACTGATTGGCAGCCTGGCCGTTTCGAGCAGTCCACCAGCCGGAGAGCATCCACTGATCAGACCCAGTTCGTTCACGATCGGATTTGAGCGTGCTCTGTCGCAAGCGATCGAATTTGATGGCTTGTTTGCTTGAAAGGTCCTCCCGCTCGGCCCTTGTGGGGTCGTCTGGGTCGTCTGCCCTGACGATCTCCGGCCATAGCACGACCTGCCCGAATGTGAGATCTCCTATCCTCCTCCTATGTGCAACTGTACCTCAGGCTGGCCATGCTGTAGATGGCAACTGACAGTAGTCTTGGGAACTGCATCTCTCTCGATGGTGTCACCATCCAGGTCTGATCTGATGCGCGTACATGCGTCTGCAGCAGCATAGGGTCGCCATTCGAAGACAATGAAACATACAAAAAAGGTGGGATGATTGCACACGCAGTGGATGCTTCAGCCGAGGTACCAGTTACCAGTCAATATGAACTGAGTTCTGCGGAGTGTCTGGTGATGGTCTAGTCCGACTACCACTCACGACACTTGCACAACAACGAAGGCGAGCATCGGCCATACACGGGTCACAGCGACCTTCTGCGTTTCTGCCATCACCCGGACGCCGAGCACACCACATGTGCCCAATAGAGTTTCTTCGTGCATATGATTATTTGCCATCTGTCCCGTAGTCATAAGTACTATCGGTAGTTAGCAGTGTTAGAAATAGAGATAGAAATGGTTTGAACGAAAGTATTCATCTAGCGTGTGGTATACGATAGTGGTCCATGTGTTCGAGGTTCGAAATGAAGATAACGTCCACGGTCCAGCCCGGTCTTGCAAACTAGAAGTCCTCGTGTCTCATGGCGTCGACCTCGGCGTTCCGGCAGTGACCGGAACTGTGCTAGTCCAAGGCCACTCAACGCCCTGGCGCCGCGCAGACTCTCCCAACAGCGCGCGCACATCCGCTATATGTGCGGGATTGCCACGCCAGGCCCCGGTCGAATCGCGGTCGCCCCAATGGAAGGTGTGGAACGTGTCCACTTCGTATCCCTCGGCCCACATTGACGCACGTAAGACGCGTTGAAGGGCGGCTGCCAGATCCACCACTGAAGCAGAGGCAGATGAGCAACGCTACAAGTAGGATAAGCTCGGGCTTACATGGTCAACAAAGAGGATTGGCTCCTCGGGAGGTGCGACAGATGGACAACTGTAGGCGTCGCGATCTCGAGGAAGCAGTGTGTCTCAAGAAAAAGCGCGAGGTATCCATGAATACTTGCCGATGCTTGCCGGGGATATAGAGCGTATCGGCCGAGCCTCCTATGAGACGGGTTGTGCTGTTCGTGTACGGGTCCAAGCGCTCTCTGAGCTGTTCTCGCAGTGGCGGCGGGACGCGGTGGAAGGCCGGAATGCACACACTGAGACCAACATGGGGATCACTGTGATCTCTGGGTAAGAGTAGATCTTGAGAGAATCAACACCGCGTGCTCACCCCCACCTGGTGATTGACAAAATCATCAGCGACCGTTGCTAGTCGATGAAACAATCGCTTACCACCAATCCTGAACCCATCCCTTCCAGGCTGACGATAGGTCGAGGTATGGGTCAGGCGATATGTTCGCCGGAGGTGCGTGCCGGCTCGCGTTGGCACCTGCAACTGAGTCGCCCAGCGCAGGGTTAGGCACGTATGTCGCAGCAGGAGAGTGGTACCAGAAGTATCGCTGGTCGAATAGTTGTAGGCGCGGCACGTTGAGGAGCGTATCGAAAGGCGCCCAGAGGTACCCGTCGTAACAGTCGTATTCTTTCATCGCCGTGAAGAGCATGTGGTGCGCCATCTATAGCACAGTGAGAACGTGGCCATGTACACAAGCGTGCCGTCTCACCCTGCCTGCCATCTTGTAGAACGCTGGGTCGGAGAGATCTTCGTCAGACTCGTACGAGTCTACGAGCACGTCATACGAGTGCTGGAACCCCTTGTCTTCGCGCGTTCCAGGACCGACAAAGACGATCTGTGATGGAGTTGGGGACACTGAGACTTCACTGCGGCACGTAATGACGGAACGCACTCACGTTGGGAAAGAACTGGGAGTACACTTCCCGATAGAAGTCGAGGTTGGCGTCGTACCTCGCATGGCTAAAGAAGACAATGAGCAGTACATTGTCAAATGCATGGAACGTGCGTTCGTCGGGCCAGTAAGTCCATGACGCAAGCGGCCTTCGAACGCATCTAGATGGCGAGGTCACGACGAGGTCGCCCACAGAGGTTGGCCTGCCTGTCCGGTGGAGCGCACTCCCCCACTCGTGAGACGCGGTGAAGGCGAGATAGAAAACGGCGGACAGAAGGACAGCGCCGCTCGCTGTCCTGCGGAAGGGAAACCAAGGCTTCTGGCACCGATTAATTAGAATTCGGCTAAGGAATGGAGTGACAGCGTGCGGACCTTCCCATGTCGTTGTTCGTCGTTTGTATCCGATTGATATAAGACATAAATGGCGCAGGCTGATATTACGATGAAGCAACCGAGGACGACTCCCAGCCAAGAGTTCCCAGCCCAAGAGCTGACAAAGAGCACATACACCGCGGTGCTCGTCGATGATAGGATACCTTCTGTAGCAGGGTCCCAGTCTACGCCTGTCAGTGTTCCTCCGGCCCCAAGAAGAGTCGCACGTACAATAGATCGCTACAATCCTTGATAATTCGGCTGTTGCAGCTGTGCCGCACGTAATGAGCGTTCGTAATGGATGAGAACCCAATGCAACCCAGAATGGTTCGGTTGCATCTGAGAACGAGTAAGACAGCAGACGGATGATGGCTCCGAATGCGAACAGGGCATTATTCAGAGAATACCAAGGTATGCTGCCGTGTGTGATGTAAAGCTGCAGCGTGTTGGTTGTTCGTCACCGCCCGTACATAATGAGGGATGCACGCACGTGTTTGCATATCACAGAAGATAGCGACCGAGAGAACACTGCGCCGATGAAGATTGGATAGGGTATATGTGCAGAGACATGCAATACGAGCCACATCTGCAGCGAGTTACTTTGCCGGCAGAGTCCGAGCTCATGCCGTGAAGGCTCACCTGAAGCATCAGGAACCCACATGACTACGTAACTCCTGAGTTCTTTAGCATCGCAGCATACACTGCCTTCGGACGTACCTGGAGAATCGCGGCGTGCCATTGGATTGCAGGGAATGACTGAAGGAGCATAAGATGCGATAAAAGGAGGGTGCAGAGCGTTCCGCAAGACAGAACCAAGTACATGTCAACTGGTCGGTGAGTCCCCAGACAAGCGCAACCTGAAACCACTGTGTGAACACCCAAAACACCTTCCCCAATCGCCTCCAGCACCTTACGTTGTACTGGTAAGATGCCAACATGGCAGCGACAGCAAAGATGTGCGCGAGCGTGAACGGCCTCATCGGTAGACGTATTGCAACCATGCCTTCCACAGATCCACGCGGACTCTCATGGCCATGAGAATAGAGCCTCAGAGAGTCTGTGGGATCTGATGCCACATTCGCTTCTTCGTCTGAGTGGTACGGACCGGTGGAGGCGTACTGCGAAAGTCTCCACTTTGATTGCCACAGGGAGTATGCCAAGCTCAGACACAACTTGATCACTTCCACCAGCACGAGATGAACCGAAGCCTCCGACGAGAAGGAACGAATGTCCTGGACGCCGTCATTGAAACCGCGTAACCATTCGTTCCACGTGTTGAGAATCAAGTAGAAGGCCTAAGTCAGAAGCAAATCAGTCGTATTCGATTGACTTACAATCTGAGCCCTACCGATAATTTCCACGTAGACCGTACGGCACCATCGAAAGAAGTGAAATTATGGCCAACTAAGGATCCGGAAGCGCGAGACATCGTGTGGGATCGTGCCAACGGCGTTAGTGAGCCGGCAACTCGCGTGCGCAGAGTGGACTTCTGCGATAGCCCTCTGAGAAGATTCAGACAACCAGAAATGACAGGACAGAGGAAGCGAGTGAACTCTAGTGAGACATTGCAGTGCGTAGCAGGACCAATGCTGTTTTGGTGCTGTTACTAGTTTTATGATGTGCCGCTCGGCGCTCGCCACCGAAACCGAGGCGTTGTGGCGTAATGCACGTGGTCGCGAGATCGGTCACAGATCAACTCACTCTGCAATGAATCGAGCTTGAATCCAGCCATCCAATGCACAGTATCACCGTTCATGTTGGCGACAGCGGCACCGCAACGCAGCCAGGACAACTGATGCAGTATAGCAACTCTGTTCCAGCGTACAGCGTAACCTACAACAGTTCTACTCTAACATGACATATCGATACAGCAGCAACCGTGTCTGAGGCTTCGAGACAGATCTAGGCCGAAACACCATTCGTACCGTTCGCCTTGGTGAGTTCGGGTACAACGGTCCCGTTGGCCTTGACTCCGTTGGCACCATTCACTTTTGCGGCGCTGACGCTTGCGCCCCTCGATCGGTTGCGAAGCAAATTCCGCCGGCCACGAACGCCCTCACGGAGACGCTCCAGGGCTGGGATCGTCTGGTCCCATGAGAGGCATGCATCTGGGAAACAATCAGAACGCCTGCTCGATGTTGACGGTGGTACGACTTACCAGTCACCGATTGGCCGTACACCAATCCAGCGGGTCCAGATACAGGGATATCCTGGCGTCCCTCCACAAGGTTAGACTCGATCATGACGCCCATGATCATCGCAGACGTGTCCCCAGACTCTAATTGCTGCGCCTACGAGAGAATGTGAGGGCCCATAGATCAGATTCTGGGATGACTAACGCACAATGTCATCTGCGACGTCAATCTGGCGTTTGTGCTGCTTCTGGCTATTCCCATGGCTGCAGTCAATCTGACACGGAAGGGTCTCACTAGTGAGAAACCTAATAGACATCGAATGAGCGCGAGACTAACCATAATCTTTTGCGCAAAGCCAGCTTTGGCGAGTTTAACCCCGCAATCTCGGACGTACTCGGCAGCATAGTTGGGACCGCCCGAACCACCGCGGAGGATAACATGCACGTCGGGATTGCCCTGAGAAGTGGTAAGCAGATGGGGATGCATTGGATTTCTGATGAGTTACCTCCGTCTCTACAATGCTGCTGAGCCCTTCCTTTCCCACACTCAGGAAAACGTGCGGCTGGCTGGCTGCCCTGCAAGCGTCAACAGCAATTCCAACGCTGCCATCGGTAGAGTTTTTGAACCCTGTCGGCATCGACAGAACCGAGGTGAGTTCTCGGTGTACCTGCGATTCGGTCGTTCGCGCCCCAATAGCGCCCCAGGACACGAGGTCGGCGGTGTATTGCGGGCTGATGGTATCCAGAAATTCGCAACCTGCGGGAAGACCGAGCTTCGCAAGATCAAGAAGCAGAGTCCGAGCGATGCGCAGTCCCCTGTTTATCTGGAAAGTCCCGTTCATGTCCGGGTCGTTGATGAGACCCTTCCATCCAACGGTAGTACGGGGCTTCTCGAAGTAGACCCGCATGATGATGTGGAGATCATCTTTGGCCTCCTCAGCGTATGCGCGGAGCAGCCGCGCATATTCCATCGCTGACTCGACGTTGTTGACGGAGCATGGGCTGCGGCATTGTCATCAGGAGCGTCCGTTGAAGGATAAACCTGACTTACCCCACCACGACTAGTAGTCGATCATCCTTTGAGTGAAGGATGTTCTCTGTGGCCTTCCGCCCTTCCAGAACGGTCTGGACAGCGCTCAGCGTCCTGCCATGTGTCGTTGAGTGACAGTATATGAATGAGCGCGACAAGACTCACAGAGGGAGATCCTCCTGCAGAATCTGCGGAGGGATCAAAGGACGTATGTTCCTAACGCGACGGTCGTCCAGCTTGTCAAGAGCTTCTCTGATAGTAATGGCCATGTCGGTCGACACTGGAAGGTGTGCGTAAATATGCGAGGCTGGAGAGGGTGATTGCGGAATACAGGAATGGGGAGGTCATGGCTTCTTTATACCCACTGATTTTGATGGACTGATGTCCCAACCCTGGGTGCAACGTGTGAACTTTGTCCGCGAACGCTGTGAGCCCTACGAAATTCGGCAGGGAACGCGCAGAGAGATCGGGTGGCGGAGCGAAGACAAGATACCAGAACAATTTCGCTGTGGCTGGCCGGTGTCTCTGACTCCGCCCGCATTCCCCCATATAATGAAAGTCACGTGATCCTGTTGTGTCTGAGGTGCCATCCGTGAGTCGTGACGCCGTCTTCAGTCTGCCACCGCCGTCCACCACCAGCCTAAGCACCCCCATGGACTTCTCCCAGATGAACGCGGCCGAGCAGGCCCACATGTCTAAGGTCATCGAAAAGAAGCAGGTTGGTTTGTATTTTTACTGCATACGTGTCCCGAGCTGATCGGTGGTGTACGCGACTGCAGATGCAAGACTTCCTGCGGATGTATTCCAACCTCGTGGAGCGATGCTTCAACGCCTGCTGTAACGACTTTACAAGCAAGGCGCTGTCCTCGAAGGAGGTGAGGTGTCTTGGATCCTGTGTTGCGTTCCGATTGGTGACAGCGGAGGTACCGCCATCCAGGAGCAGTGCGTGATGAACTGCGCGGACAAGTTCCTCAAACACTCCGAGCGTGTAGGAGCCCGCTTTGCTGAACAAAATGCTGGTGTGTAGCATTCGATGCTCAGGGTTGACTGCGGAACTGAGACGCCTCCAACTCGTGAACAGACGCCATGAACTCAACCAACAAATGAGTTGCCGCCGGCGCGTTTGCTCGCATTCTATGTATTGCTATCGTACACCACCGTAATGCCACCAGTGATGCTCAGCCTTTCCCACCACTACCTATGTTGATCCGCGGGAACGCCTCCATTTCGAATGTGTCGAAGCTTCCAGACCAAGCCTGTGTAGACATTGTTGATTCTCAAGCTCGGTACGTAGCCCGCGGATAGCGGTATAGGTCGGTGCGAACGTGCTAAGCTTGAGCTGCGTCAGTAATCGGTACCGTGGGCTGCGCTTCGGTGGCTTCGTCCTCAGCCGCAGATGCTGGAATAGGAGCTGCTTCGCTCTGCTTCTCCTCCGCATCAAGCTTATCGAGCCACTTCGTGACGAACTTCTCATGCGCGCCGTAATTGATGGTCGGTCTAGCACGTCACTGGCAACGGACACCGGTTAGCCACGCAAGCAATCACAACAGAACAGTATAGTGTCTCACCGGACGATCCCCTTGGAGTCGATGAAGAAAGTGACGCGCGCATCCGTGAGACCCATGAGGCCCTTTCCTACGTGGTACGCCTTCCGTGCCTCCCCATTCGCATCGCTCAGAACAGGGTACTGACAGTGCTCTTCCTGTTAATCAGATAAGACGGGAACGCCAGTGATTTCCTCACCGTCAACTTCTGCTTCTCCACGAAAGCCTTCTGTTTCTCAACGGGGTCCTTGCTCACACCAACAATTTCCACCTTTGTTCTTTTATAGAGTTCCTTGGCTGTGCATTCGTTTCCCAAGGTGTCGTCAGTTCACCGCCAAGCAATCGGATTGGTCGCTGATTTACCGGCAAGAGCATCTCGGAAATTGCATGCTTCCTTGGTGCAACCGAACGACCCTGAATAGCGGATGTCACATCTGGCCTCTCGGACGACTCCAACAGCGTGTGAGGTTCGTACCGGATTCAGGGTAAAAGAATAGAGAAATAGGCACCCCATTTGCACCAGGGGTCAAGGTGTAGGTCTCACCATCGTGATTGGGCAATGTGAGGGGAGGCGCAGGCTTGCCAATGAGGGAATGACTCGGAGACATTGTCCTTTCGTGTGGGATGCAATGCTAGCAGCGATAATGAGGCAGTTCAACTCCCGCACTGTGAGGATCGTGGCAGTCTGGCCGAGAAAGTCGCGTCAATGCAGGTAAGTACAGAGCTGTAAATGGAGTACATCGCCGTTACCTGACTACTGCGTGCGACAATGGGTTGTTGTCGAGAATTACTTCTTTCACGGCAGGAAGGGGAAACGGTCGGTTGTGGATGAAGAAGAGCGCACGACGGTTATTATGTAGGATATCCTTGCCGCTTCGACTTCGTCGCGAACTCGCTTCGAGATGGTGCGAGGCAAGTGCGAGGCCAGCCTGGCTAGACGCGCAGGTCACGATTGTCAGACGGGGCCGACCCATGTACATGTGCTCTTCCTCAAGTCTATGACTTCTCGATGAGACTCATATAAACATTCGTTTTGTGCACGTTATAGCTGATGATATGAGCCCTAGTCACTGTACACAGTCGAACCACGCACAGCTTGTGAGTTGTGCGTGCAAGCGATACTAAGAACTACTATATCGGGAATGGTATGTGATTACGTAACTTGGTGTGGCGGCCCCGGTCATGTCGACTCTACTCAATGCCAATTCGAAGGATTGGCCAGTTGTGGTTCTGCTTTCTTGGCAATCCCTCCGACTCCGTCTAGTCGTCTTCCTTATCCCCTGTCATACTAACTCGGCGTTCTCGAGCTGGTTCTGATCACCCTTCGACCGCTTATGCTCCCCGTCGATCCCGAGCACTCATCCTAGTCTTCGTTTCAAGTCGCTTGAAACCATGGCTTCCGAGCTCCAACGATACATCAGCGACAATTCATTGCGGGTGTGTTAATTCTATTGTATCTGCTCACGCTCGTACTCACGTAGTCCATGTTAGTTCTTTGGTGTGTCTGACAGAAGCATCATCGACTATGTCGTAGCGTCAGGCATGTCGTCTCTTTACTTCCTGTCGTATCCACAAGCTCACGAGTTCCTCCCTATAGCTTCATCTTCAAAATCTCCTGAAGCTCTCTTCACCGCGCTCAATGCTTCTGGTTTACCAGACACACCCGACGCCCACCACTTCGCACAGGAAGTCTTCTCGCGCGCGCCACGCAAATCTAAGGCAAAGAAGTCTTCTGATCTCGCTCGCAAGCAGGCGGAGGAACAATCGAAGCTGCTGCATTCGCAAAAGTTTGGTTTTTTGCTCGATGATGAGGCTGAACAGGGTACGTCAGATCTGAAGAGTGACAGGGTGAAGGCCTCAGGTCGGAGTAGCGCGAAGGACAAACGCGAGAGGCATGGGCGAAAACGAGAGAGCGATGCAAGAGAATGGGAGAGCGACGAGGAAGAGCAGTCGAGGAAGCGGGCGAGGACGGATGATGGAGACTACCATGACGAGCGAGCAGCTGAGGAAGACTTGGACATGGAGACGCCGGAGGATGAGGAGGCACGGAAGCAGAAACAAAGGCTAGAGGATCTGAAGGAGCGAGATGAATTCGCTGAGCGGGTCAAGCAACGGGACCGAGAGAAGACGAAACGCGTTGTGGAGGACAGGTCCTCGAAAGCGGTCGGCGCAGCCGCAGAGGCTGCTGAGCGGCGACGGCTCGCTGACGATTCCAACGCACGGGAGCGCGCCATGCCTAATCTACGAGAACATTCACGGCAAGAATACCTGTCCAAACGTGAAATACAACGGATAGAGCTGTTGCGCCGCGAAATTGCAGACGACGAAACCCTCTTTGCCGGCATGAAGGTCTCGAAGCGGGAGCGCCAAGAGCTCGAACGAAAGAAGGAGCTCCTGCGCCTTGTTGAAGAAAGGCTCAGAATCGACGACAAGTACGAGGGCTACATGCTGCCGGAGGACTACATCACGGAGCAGGGCAAGATCGACAAGAAGCGGAAAGAGGGTGTGCTCTACCAACGGTATGAGGACGCTAAGCCCAAGGACGATCAGTTCACGACCGACATCGACCAGTGGGAAGCCGCACAGACCAAACACAGCACGTTCAAGACGGGTGCGATGGACAAGAAAGACATTGTTGAGGAGTATGACTACGTATTCGACGAGAGCCAGACCATCAAATTCGTCATGGAGACCACATGGGCGGAGAAGGCAACATATCTGAGGCAGATCGGATTCTACAGCAGCAAATCGAGGAGGCTGAGAGACGAGGTAAGTCCGCGCCAGCTCTCCATTTCGGAAGTATGCTCACGTATGCTCTTAGCTCAGACAATTGACGAGACACGGAAGTCTCTACCAATCTATTCGTATCGAGACGAACTATTACAAGCAATCAAAGAGCACCAGGTTCTCATTGTCGTCGCTGAAACTGGGTCGGGAAAGACCACGCAGCTCCCTCAGTATCTCCACGAAGCTGGCTACACTGCGAACGGCCAGAAAGTCGGCTGCACGCAGCCCCGGCGTGTGGCGGCGATGTCTGTGGCAGCCCGTGTGGCCGAAGAGATGGGGACGAAGGTCGGCTACGAAGTCGGGTACTCCATTCGGTTCGAAGACTGCACGAGCGACAAGACAGTGCTCAAGTACATGACAGATGGCATGCTGCTACGCGAGTTCTTGACAGAGCCTGACCTGGCGGGCTACGCTGCGTTGATTATTGATGAGGCGCATGAACGCACCCTAAGTACGGATATTTTGTTTGCTCTTGTCAAGGTGCGTAATATGATCTGATGCATGTGTTTGTCAGGCACTGACGCACGATACGAAGGATATCGCTAGGTTTAGGCCAGAGCTGCGCTTGTTGATCTCGAGTGCGACAATGGATGCCGCGAAGTTCAGCGAATACTTTGATGATGCCCCTGTCTTTTACGGTATGTCTGTTGTCGAATCTTCGTTGAATAGCAGCTCATCTTCCTCGTTAGTACCCGGTCGTCGGTATCCCGTCGATATCCACTACACTCCGCAGCCGGAAGCGAATTACCTGCACGCTGCCATCACAACCGTATTCCAAATTCACACCACACAACCGCGCGGGGACATCCTCGTGTTCTTCACAGGCCAAGACGAGATTGAGGCTGCACAGGAGAACTTGACGGAGACCGCCCGTGCACTGGGGAACAAGATCGCAGAACTGATCGTCTGCCCGATCTACGCGAACCTGCCGAGCGACATGCAGGCCAAGATCTTTGAGCCCACGCCCGAGGGCGCACGTAAAGTGGTGCTCGCGACGAACATCGCGGAGACGTCGATCACGATCGAGGGCGTCGTGTTCGTCATCGACCCGGGCTTCGTGAAGCAGAACTCGTACAACCCGCGCACGGGCATGTCCTCCCTCGTTGTAGTCCCGTGTTCGCGTGCGTCGGCAAACCAGCGAGCGGGTCGTGCAGGGCGAGTCGGCCCTGGCAAGGCATTCCGGCTGTATACAAAGTGGGCGTTCGCGAACGAGCTGGAGGAGAATACAGTGCCAGAGATTCAGCGGACGAATCTTGGGATGGTGGTCCTGCTTTTGAAGTCGCTTGGTATCAACGACTTGATCGGGTTCGAGTTCATGGATCCGCCACCAGGAGAGACTCTCATGCGTGCGCTGGAGCTACTCTACGCGCTTGGTGCGCTCAACGATCGAGGAGAGTTGACGAAGCTCGGACGGCGGATGGCTGAGTTCCCGGTGGACCCCATGTTGTCGAAGGCCATCTTGGCGAGCGAGGACTACCATTGTACTGATGAGGTGCGTATCCAAGACCTGTCCTTTGGTTTATTTTCCGCTCATGTCTTTGCTTTGTCAGGTGCTCACGATTATCTCCATGTTGCAAGAGTCATCATCGCTCTTCTACCGGCCGAAGGACAAGAAACTGCATGCGGATCAGGCGCGACAGAATTTCGTACGCGGGGGCGGCGACCATTTCACGCTGCTGAACGTGTGGGAGCAGTGGGCTGAGACGAACTACTCGCAGCAGTTCTGCTATGAGCAGTTCCTGCAATTCAAAAGTCTCAGTCGTGCACGAGACATCCGAGACCAGCTGGCAGGCTTGTGCGAACGTGTTGAGGTTGTCGTGGAGAGCAATCCCAACACTAATGACATCACCCCGGTACAAAAGGCCATCACGGCTGGCTACTTCTACAATACAGTGCGTTTATATGATTGATGACCATTGCCATTGCTGATGGTATCACAGGCTCAGTTGCAGAAAAGTGGTGATTCATACCGGACGCTCAAGACGAACCAGACGGTGTATATTCATCCCTCATCGAGTCTTTTCCATCAGACACCGCCCGTCAAGACCGTGCTGTACTACGAACTTGTCATGACGTCCAAGTCATACCTGAGGTTTGTCGCTATTGCGTTGTATCCTCCCCGAGCCGCGTTCATCCTAACTGTGTTCCCTTCTCAGACAAGTGATGGAAATCAAACCTCAATGGTTACTGGAAGGTAAGCGGGCCAGTATGGTTTGCATTGGCTTTTGGCTGACATCTATGTACCTATAGTTGCACCGCATTACTACAAACCTGCCGACCTCGAACAGCTGGCAATGGGCGACAAGAAGATGCCGAAAACAATTGGCAGCGCAGGAGAGAAGTCGCGAACGTAACTTGACAATATCGACTGTCCCATATCATTGCTTCATGGTCATTGATTTCCTTCACATTCATCCTTCTTGACAATTGAATGTACGGCGTCCCGGTTTGCGGCCGCGCTGTACGGCGATGTGATGCATCCGCAACGATGGTGAGATCTTTGACGTGCTCACCGTGTTTCAAGTTGCTGTGCTCAATAGCGTTACGTGATCGACAGTTTATAGGCAATGTATCGGAGGCCCGGACGATACCATCATTTCGCTTGTACTTAAGTACTGGAACTCTGCGCTCCGTTCTGGTTCGCATTGTCCAGCTTAGCCTGCGAGCGGTGAAGGATCTCAGAAATATTCTACGTCCTGCGCGCTGAGCAAGCCGTCAAGATTTGTGTCATATCCTCAAGACTACTCGCCAGGACTGCCCGCGCCTGACGGTGCCCGCTCAAGTGCAAAGTCAAGTGGCTGCGTTTCAGAGTGAATCGAAACCACTCCGCGAAGTCAACTTCTACAGTCGTCTGAGAGCGTACGTCTGGAAGTATCGATAACATGACTGAGCAAATTATGAATATGTTGGAACAAGGCTAGTTTGGTACCACCGGGTGCACGGTATTGATTAACGACAAAGGCAGCGAGAACGGGCGCTTTGTGAACGAGATGTCATTAGAGACGCGCACGCGAACCCACGTGACCGCGTTTGGCTGCCTCGTGTTGTGGTTGAAGTTGAAAGAAGGTTGCCCCCCAGTCGTCCTCACCTCTGTTCATCACCCTGCACAACCACAAAGGTTTGTTTCTCTCCTACTCTTCTGCCCCTCTGCCTCCCCATGCTCGCGTCGCTCTCGCCGCCGGCTGCACGCCCGTCGCCGCCCATCACACCCCCTCACACTCTCGCGCCGTCTGACGCCGCTCGCCCATCTCCCGCCTTGTCCGATGACTCGTCGCTTCTCGAGCTCTCATTTACCTACGAGCAAACCAAGGAGGGAACCTATGTGCGCGTTTCCAAGGGCGAGGCCAAGACATCGACACCACCTACACCGGAGCAGTCCCCAAAGTTGAACCCTCAAGTGGTCACAAAGGCGCCGTCCCCGATACCGCAGCCCCGCCCATCCACACTTACACGCTCCGAGAGCCTTCCATCAGCTTCATATGAGATTACACCCGCGAATGGCGTTAGGTCGTTCCAGCGAGTCGCCTCAGGGCCACTCAAGACACCGGGGTCGTCGACCTTGGCTCGCGCCACTGCCGGTCCCCTAGCCGCTGGTGGCACCGCACACAAGGGCGGTGCGCGCCGCGTCAAGATTGAGGATTTTCAACAGAGAGATGCTCTCCTCCGCTCGCAGCCGCAGGTCGTCGACGACAAAGAGAACGTACGTGGTATCACTGGTGTGCAACAAGGACAGATTGCGCGTCCCATCATCTCTATGCGCCCCACGCGTTTAATGAACAAGAAACCGGGCATCGGTATTGAACGCATGCGGAAGAACAGCCTGCTGAAGAGCCCGCTGCTGAGTCGCTTCAAGCACCCGCCACGCACGGTCGGCCACGGCGCTCGCCAGTCTGAGCGACGCGTCGGGGTCGTCTTCACAGGACCCCTCTTGCCCGAACAATCTGCAGCTCAATTTGGCTACCAATACGCGCATGCAGCTCATCGCCAGGTACTAGCATGGGTATCCTGACCGTGGTGCGCGGCGGGTCACGCTCGAGGAGAAGATCCGCCAGGAACGCGAGATAGCGTTAGAAGAAGGTGTGTGTGATGTATGCCTCAGGTATTGAGAAGCCAACACGATGGAGCAGGCTACCGACGAAGAGCTGCGGAAGAAGCCGCCGAAGAACAGAGTAAGAATACTGAAGTTCAACGCAACGTTCGTCATTGCTAATCTTGTCTATAGGAGAGCGCAGCATCCTCTCGCAATCACCTTCGCCGACACATGTTGCTCAGGCCAACCCCGCCCCTATGGTCATCAACGCAAGGACTCCGACACCCTCCGTTCCGTCGCTGCCGCACCCTCCCCATCCTCACCCACAGCCGTCGAGCTCCCAGGGCGGAACTCTCCGCCAAAACAGTACTACATACCCTCGTCGACACCCGGGCTTGCTGCCGCAGCGCAAAACTACCGCATCGACGTAGTCCGACAGCCCCAGAGGCCCCGACAACCAGCGGTGATATCGTGCCCTCGACAAATCCTGCGCCATCTGGGCGGACGTGGGCGCTGGTGACGGGCGTGAACGTGAAGAGGCCCGGAGGTCGGCGCGCAGTCGCGAAGTGCGCCATCGCTGCCCACACCCCAGCCTCCTGCTCCGCACATCCACGGCAAAACGCAGCGCCCGCTGCTCAGCCCCAGCCACCGCCAGCGGCGCTACTGCCCGAAGCACGGTCGAATGCTAAGAACCTCAGTGTGAACCGTAAGGCGTACGCGCGGCTAGACCTGATTGGCAAGGGCGGTTCGTCGCGCGTGTACCGCGTCATGAACAACTCAAACGAGATATATGCCCTCAAGCGCGTCTCGATCAACGACAAGGAGGAGGAGACCATGGACGGGTACATCAACGAGATCCAGTTGTTGAAGCGACTCGATGGCAACCACGCATCATTCGTCTGATTGACAGCGAGGTCAAGACCCCCGTCAACGGCAAGGGGTCATGACTCTCGTATTGGAGTTTGGAGAGATCGGTTAGTGTTTGAGTGGTCCTCGTCCTGTGATTGAGGTCTAATCAATGTGCTGGTGCTAGATCTAGCGAAGCTGCTGCAGGAAAGGCAGAAGGAGGCCTCGATCTCGTCTGGGTGGCGTATTATTTCAAGCAGGTGTGTGGACACGAACCTACTGCAGCATACAACTCATGCACTGTGCCCCGGCTCCAGATGCTCCAAGCCGTACAAGTCATCCACGAGGAGAAGATCGTCCACTCCGACCTCAAGCCCGCCAACTTCGTGCTCGTCAAGGGCCAGTTGAAGCTGATCGACTTCGGAATCGCCAACGCGATCGCGAACGACACGACGAACATCCAGCGGGACCACCAGGTCGGGACTGTCAATTACATGTCTCCCGAGGCGATCGAGCTCCCTGAGGGCATGCGCCGCCTCAAGGTCGGCCGGCCCAGCGATGTCTGGAGTCTCGGCTGCATCCTCTACCAGATGGTCTACGGCTACCCGCCGTTCCATCATCTGGACCTGTACCAGAAGATGCGCGCGATCCCGGACCGCGACCACAGCATTGAGTTTCCGGAGTACTCGACACCGGTGTCGTTGCGCAGTGGCTCGAACTCGCCCTCGTCGCAGAAGAGGATGGAGGAGATGAAGGTGAAGGTTCCACGCAGCGTGATCGCGACCATGAAGCAGTGCCTCGTGCGGAACCCGAAGGAGCGGATCACGATCCCGGAGCTGCTGGAGGAGAGCTGGTTGACGATGTGCGAACGTACGTGCTTCGAGCGACATTTTGTTCTCGTATGCAGGTGCTGACGCAATTGCTACTTGCAGCAAACCCACTTCCGGCTCCTACGCCGCCTCCGCCCGCCCGTCCAGTGATAGCTCAAGATGAAGCGCTTATCAACCCTCATTTCATGCAACAGCTGCTTCGCTATGGGTTGCACCTCGGCCGCGCGGGCACCGTGATGGAGGGGGAGCAGCTTGCCAACGAGTGCAAGGTATGAGTATACGGAGCGCTTGTGCGACGGTCGTTCACTGACGGGCTCTGCGATTCTTCACAGCGCTTGATCGAAGAGCTCAAGTCTGTTCAAGAAGCAGCCTCCGAGTCGGAGTAACGTCGTTCGCCCGTGGCGCTACATGCATCCCCACGAGGGATGAATCGCACGTGCGGAGGGTGTGGGTCGCCTGCGCTGTGCGTAAGGCCTGCCTAGCTGCGTCTGGCCAGGAGCTCTCTGGGCACACCTCGATGACCCCTCCCGCATCTTCAACGTCTCATGACTTTCGAACTGCAAGTGATGGTTTGCATCGAACACTGATGGACGCCACCGACATACCTCCCCTCCGCCTCATAGACATCGTCGCCTCTTGCTTTTTATGATCATCTTGCTATGCTGTGTTCGCTGCCGTTGACTCCAGTCACTCATCCATCTGTCCATCTGTCCACAGGCTCCAGCGAGGCCATCGCCCATACCAGTATCGCACGCATCCGTAGTGTAGCCCGCATTGTCGCTTTCTCGTATGCATTATGCATGTACAATCTTAGGTCAAGCACTCAGGTATTATGTTTTCTCCGTTGACAGGCCTTTGCATACAGTATTCACTGGCCCTAATCCCGGATCCATCCGCACTCTGCATCATCAGTGTATATATGTCATCGTTGCTCTGGATGAACAACTTGAAAAGGTCGAAGCATTTGGTGAGACGGGTTTGAAAACCTATGTATCCAAGTGGCGTCGTCGACCGGCGAGCGTCTTGCAGCAGCGGACGAAGCTCACGCTCGCGCTGACGAAGGCTGCCAACCTGCGTCGCGTCATTGATGCGCCCTTCGCCGGCCCTTGGAAGGCATAGACCGATGGCGGGGTGGCGTGGTCATCCACTCGCTCAGCAACGCCAACATGTCTCACCGCTCACCGCCTGACGTCATCATGCAGCACTTGCTGGACTATATAACTCAACAGACCAGGAGGGGCCCGTCCAATCGCCTCTTGCCTATAACCAACCCACAGGCTTGTAATTACTGGCCTCAATCATAACCTGAACGGTCCGTCATCATTCTGTCGTCCATTGGGAACGTTGATATTGACAGCTGGATTATTCTCTTGGTTGTAGGGTTTTATGTTGCGTTTCGGCGGTCTTGCTCTGAAAAAGACCATTTCTCGCCGTTCAACGACTAGCAGTTCGCTCTGTCCCAAGAATCTCCGCATGGCGTCAACATTACCACCGACCATTCGCCCCGGCACCCTTAAATCCCAGGGGCAACATACGAGTCCAGAACGACCGTCGAACGTCTCTTGCAAGAGGATCGGGAGACTTATCACTGCTTCTTCGGCAAAGTCGGTCTACATAACCACCTCAGCCACCAGTCAGCATTACTCTGCTTGTGGGTATAACTGAGCCTGACTGTCTATCAGTCTCCTCGCGGCGTATGACCTGGGCGCGTCTGCGAAGTTATTACAGTCAATATATGACCGGGAGAGGAGTGGGCTCTCGCCTATCTACCTTGCAGATCGAGGCAAAGCATTGTGGAAAAGCAAGACGTAACGATCACTTCGCAGAATTGGACAAACTATCTCGGACAGGAAAAGTAAGCACATCGCGTCAAAGACGATTGTCCAGCTTGGCACGGTCGCTGACCGGATGAGCAGATACTACTCAAACTATCTTGCGTTCTTCACTGACGAGATCAGTCAACATGGAACACAGAAGTGTGGAACGATACGTCTTCTCTCGAGATGCCAACCAAATGGCGCTCTGGTACTCCTGAGATTCATAGGCGGCGCGTGAGTACGCCGCCAAAGTACCAGTCTAAACTCACATGTGTCCAGGGTGCATCCGATTATACAGACGGGGTGAGCTACACTACTAGATCCCCTGATAAAAACACTGACTGGCCTTAGTACGGCGTTGAGTTCGGCAGCGATGCCATGGTGCACAAGGTAGGCCAGCAGCTGTACAGAGCCAGGACAACTGAAGACAATAATGCCAGGTCTTGCTCAAACGGCGTCCACCAGCCGTTCGTCCCCGGTATCTTTGATCTAACCACCCCAAGCCACAACCATTGACAAGGCAACAAACGAAGCCAAGTCGGACCATCGCCAGCCGCATCGAGGTCAATCGCTCCTCGCCATCCTGCGCGAGGCATACGACTCCAAACCATGGAGCCCGTCACACCCTACAACCCCGACGCGCCCCTCGCGTGCGCATCACGAAGCCCTCGAGACGCCCGGGCGCGTCGAGGAGATCAAGCGGCTCGCCGCACTGTGGCAGGTCGACGTCGCCCGCGGGCAAGAAGCGCTCGACGAGAAGTCGAGGAGCTCCTCTGGACGACGACCTCTCCTCGCGGGGACGGGCAAGCGCGGGCGCCCGCCGCGCCTCGACTTCTTCCTCATGCACATGCTGAAATGAGCGTGTTCCTGCCGTCGCTGCTGAAGGCGATCCCGACGGCGGAGAGCAAGGCGACGCTGCTCCATGCATCGTGCCCGTGCTGCTGATGTACCTTACCATCCGTGGCCGCCCGCGGATCGACGCGCCGCTCCTCATGTCGTACACTGCGACGCCGCGCCCGCCCTCGCAGGACAACGGTCCCTCGCCACACTCAACTGCCATCGGGGACAGCCGTGACCCGGCGGTGGTCAATCCCTGGCCTCAGATCATTGCCTCCGTGCTGCACGCTCCGGATCCGCATACGCTCAAGGCGATTCGTTCGTTGCACTACGCCGCGCAGCACTACGGGACCACACCCCCTGGAGGCGCGATCGGGGCGTTCGATGCGGACGGCCGCGAGACGCACGAGGCCATGGCGAAGCTTGACGGGACGATCTTCGTCAGAGCGGCGGGGGTCGTGATGGACACCCTCGGGTGGGTCACGCACGGGCAGCCGGCGGGCAAGTGGGACTTCAGCGCACATGGATGGGATGAGGCGTGGAATGATTGAGTAGTTGGTCTCGACCTCTCAAGGTGTCTCATGAAGGGATGGGAAACAGGTAGCCCTGCAATGTATACTAGTCAGTTATCCATAACATACGAAGTCGTTCACTGAACGTCGGGAATGTGAAGTCCCGCGGCCTTGGCTATACGAACGGTATTCTCAGCCTGTTCATTCAAAGAGTCAGCCCCATTCCCGACACAGTAGGGTGTAACAGACCTGCTTGAGCATTGGCGCGTCGATCATCTCCTTGCCACCGCCCTCAAGCTCGAGCCCGATCGCGCCTCTCTGAGCACCGTGTGCTTGCTCCATCTTCTTGACAATCCTGGCCGCGCGAAGGATCTCTGTAGACAAAATGAAGGTTTAGGAATGACAAGCACGGGCATCAGCGCACTCACCCTGTTCGGTGGGCACAAATGTGGATTGGATGATGTCGACTTGGGTAGGGTGGATCGCTTGCTGTACAAGCACGGGAATGTAAGCAGGCCTGTGATGACGCGGACGCTGAGGTAGCATACGAACCTTGCCGTTGAAGCCAAGACGTCTCCCATCCTCGCACTCCTCCTTCAAGTAGTCCAAGTCTTTGTAGTTCACGCAAACCTGCGGGTCGAGATGAGCTGAGAACGTGCGGCGTAAGGTTCCCCTTCGTACATACCATATCGATGGCATCTAGACCAAACGCCTTGGCCGTGATGGCGATTTGAGACCGAGTATACAAAGTTCCTGCCGGGACTTCGTCCGTATGATAGACGTGTCTGCGCAATCTGCAAATGCAACGTCATGTATGTTCAGGTCCAGGGCCTTGACAGGCAACCTCACTACGCACAATCTTCTGCTGCGAACTGCACGCGTGAGCTACTCGATGGGCGCTGAAGTCGAAAGCGGACATACCAGCAACGCGACAGCGAGAGCCGGAGAGAGGGCCCGTATTCTGATGCCAACCCGCGATCGTGCCGAGGTTGACGAGCGCCCTCGCGCTCTCGATGCTCGCGACGAGCTGCAGCGGCTGTTCTTCCGGATCGCGCGTAGTCTTGAGTTGTGAGTGAGAGTAGACCATGCGGGAGACGTGGTGGAGGTCCTGGACCGAGTGAACCTTGGGGAGGACGAGTGTCCGGATGGACGGCACTTGCAGCTATGCATGCGTCATGCCCGGTTCAGTGGATACATACAGGAAGCAGCACTGCTTACTTACAGCGGCAGCGAGGTCACCCTCGAAGAAGGGAGTGTTGGTCGAGTTCAGTCGGACCGCAACGCGCTCTGGGAACGGTAGCTGCGCCTGGGGCTTCGACTTCGGGGACCGTCATTCCTGCGGCAAGAAAGTGATACAGACGTCGAACGTACACGAAGGAACTGCACGAGCCTCTCCCTGGCACCCTCCTTGTCCGACTTTGTGGGCGGGACACTGTCCTCCAAGTCATATATGATGATGTCTGAGTTGGTCACCAGAGACTTCTGCAGCATACGCTCGGACGCCGCAGGCACTGAAACACCGCCCCTCGCTCAATGCTCTGTGGCTTGACTTGAACGCGTCGAGTTCACGCACCGTAGAGATACGACCTGTTCAGCTGCGTCCGTCCATCCTGGCGAGAGGCTGTTGACAATGTCCTGAGCGCGGTACGCAAAGGCTGCCAGCGCGCGTTGGCAAGTCGCCGCGAACGAGGTGGTGCATCGCTGGCCCGAACAACGCTCGCCAAAGAACAAGCTTTAGCAGGCGGGAAACCCCTCATTGCGTTCGGTTCAGACGGAGGATTTTATCAAGTTACACGGTCGTGATATTTCCCTCAGGCGTATGGTTGCAGAGGTACAGAGCTGAGGGCATCGTGCATGTACAGCTGATCACTGAAGGCACGCGTACGCGTGTGATTTCGATGAGCGCATCCGAGGAGACAGCTGAGTCGCAGGCAGCTGTGGCCGTTGACTAGCTATGGGTTCCTAGACAGCGACATGAGGAGTAGTGTTGCAGCATTACCACAGGTTGATACAATACAGAGATACAATCAGGCGAAACTAGCCGTCGCATGGTACAGATACGTAGAATGAACAAGGAAGAACAGCGACCGACTGTCATGATCTACCGATCATACCAGTCCAGTCATACTTGTCGTACTTCTGCTTGAACTTGGCCACCCGTTGTTTGTTTTGATAGGAGTCAACACGTCTTGGGTGACGCCATATGCGAGGCTCAAGATCTAGGAGGTTACCGACGATCTCCCCAGCGAAGTACCTGAACGAAGGTAAACCTTCAGGTCAGGTCCTTGTACCGAATTCGCGACTGCGACCACGTACCTAGGAAACTCGCCACCACCCTTCTCCCCATCGTCCAAGTCTTCGTCTCCCACGTCCCCGGTGACACCAGCGTCTCCAGTCCCTTCAATGACATGACCGTACCCCTTCTCGCCCTTGTAGTCGAACTGAACCATGAAATAGGGTAGGTTGGGTACCATAGCACGGCGGAAACCTCCGGGGCGCGCTGAGAAGTCGATGAGCTTCTTGTGTTGTGACCACTCGGCTTCGGACATAAGGATGGATTCCTGCACACGATGTCTCAGCCGTCTGCACGCCTCAATAGGGATGAAGCGCGTACCTTGAAGTAGCCAGGAATTTGTTCGAAGTGCTCCCAAGGAAGTGGCACACACTCGATGCAGGTATGCTTCTGCCACTTGATGTTAATGACCGTCTCGTAGAAGATGACACCCTTGTCCTCTTCCGCGTACATCCGCATCAGGCACTTCATGAAGTTCTAGTTGGGTGTGTCAGTTGAGTCTACCGAGACAGCACAGCAGGGGACGTACTCGCACTTCGTCCCAAACATCATCGTCGCCCTCAAGCATGGTCAAATGGTGTTGTATGGGCACAATAAGGCAGTGCCCATCTACCAGCTCTTCGGTGAGAGTACACGATAGGTAGACTCGGGTCCCCATAGCGATGATGGGAGCCTTCGGCATCTCGTCGTTTTCACCGAAGCAGAAAGGACAGGTCGAGAGGACCTTCTGTGTTCGCTTGTAATCTGCTTTTTTGTCAAGGTACGAAAGGCGAGAGGGTGGCAGTATGCACGCACCATTGATAGCAAACTGACGCTTCATGGCGTCTGAGCGCATCTTCTTCCTACCTAGCTTCTCCGCGTTGTCGTCCATATAATCATTGTCGGCCTACGCATGTTGTCAAACCCGCCATACTTAAAGAAGACAGTCATCCCGAACGCACCTTGAAACCACTGTCTGTCATGATCTGCTTCGCGTACTCCATATCCATGTTCTTCTGATCCGCAGGACCATTGCGCATACGCTCCTGTCTGAGCATCTCGCCCAGGGTAATGGAGTCATCATCCGCATTTATTCGAATCTGCTCGCCCGTCTTGCGGTCATGGCTCTCGAACTGCTGCTCCCTCTTCTTGCGGTTCCCGGATGGCATCGGGGCGTCCTCCTTGCCTTGACCAACGTCATAGAGGTTGCCGCGGATGTCGAGCGTAGGGAGAACCTCGACCTTGGTCCGGACACCGTCTCGTTCACCACTGCCATTCGCCTTCCGTAGCTCCTCCTCGTATTGCTTCTCCAGGGACTCCGCCTCGGACGCTCCTATGAGCTTCGCACGTAAAACCTTGGCTTGGAGACGGTTTAGAGACGAAGGGGAGAGCGCACGACCTGACCCAGTAAGCGAAGCTGCGAGGGACGCCGATGGCGTCATGACAGATGGGATGGGAGTGTGAGACAATGTGGAAGGGGTCCCTTGAGACGACAACCGCAGTGTGTCATACTTCCCTTGGTTGGTCCTCGTCTCTGGGGTCGGTGTCGCAGGTCCGGCACTGCCTGCACCTAGGTCTGGTCGGCGGAACGACGTGCTCCTACCGCTCATGGCACTTCCGCCAACGTCCGTGAACATCAGGCGCGTCTCGCCCGGTGCATACTCGTCCTTGCCCATCCTCCGTTTACCCTTGTCCCTCCGATCCGTGCTTCCACCCCTACTTGCGCGCCGGCCTTCACGCTCATCGAGAACACGCCGTTCTTCCTGAGCCTCGTGAAATGCTTCGAAAGACTCGAATCGTTCAAGCGCGACTTCCTCCACTGCTTTGCCCTCCTCATCGGCTTGTTCGTACACGCGACGCAGTTTCATCATGCGCCATTGTGATCCGGGGCCGCCTGGAGTGCTGGCTTTCGGTGTTGCAGTAGGCATTTCGTCGATGCTCTTCCCTTCCTTGAGAGCTGTGTTCAGCTCCCTGTGGCTAATATAAGGCTGGAGGATGCAATTAGCATAAGATTGTACAGACATACCATACTTGCGCACCTTGTCAGGGTCAGGACGATCCGGTTGTGGCTTCTTCTTGTGCTCGGTACCAAGGCTAGAGAAGAAGTCGAGGTTGCCGGCCACCTTACGCGCGTTCTGCGAAGACTCTCCATAGCCCTCGGTCAAGGGTGCGTCGTCAATATCGGGCTTGCGAGAGGCGACCTCAGGCGTTGATGGGGGCATAAGCATCCATTCGTCCCGTTGTAGTGTAGTTTCTGCCCGAACGGGAGCTGGAAGCGGGGGGTCGTCTGGCTTGACCTCAGCGCGCGACGTCAATTTCAGACTCTCCGCGGTAGGTATTGTGGTTGCAAGAGGCTAGGAGCTCAATGAGTGATTCGTCGTGACATTATTAATCAAGAACGCACCTTCTCTCCATCCATGTCTATGTTCTTCTCCTCCCACATATCATCATCGTTGGCGCTCTCGTCCAGAATGTGTATGTGTTCGCCATCCTCTTTCCGCGCCTTCTTGCTGCTGCCTTCCTTGTCCGACCTGTGTTTCCGCTTGTGTTTGTGTTCCCGTTCCGATTTGCTCTTTGTACGCTTTGTGTCAGCCATTATGGAGGTTGGTTCGTGAAGAAGAAAGGCACTGGCTATGCCCACTGTCCGAGTCTCCGGAACAGTGGTTGAGGGCCCGCCACCGACATTTCGTCACCAATGATCGAGCACGTGGCTGGCATTGAGTGCCCCAAAGAGGCAAGTCTGGTTGTTCAATATCAATTGAACGACTTTGCGGTCGCGTCCATTATAATAACAGAGCCGGCACAATACAGCCGTACTCGACTGCAGCCCGATATCATGTTCGTACACAACTTGAAGCCCACTATCATCGCCATGTCCCATTCGCTACAAAGACTAGACATAAAGTAATTGTGATCATGGCTCTAGTCGTACAATCTCCGCCTTGATCCTGTCGCCTAAGGACGACCCGATTTCAGGATTTGTACACACGAGCGAGGCGTAAGACCCTTTCGTGAGGAACGAAGGGTTGACGACTACCGTTGAATCGACCACCTGACGAGGACTTAAGCTTAGACGCAGTGACATGGGAAAAGCTCACGAACCTTCGAGAACTGTTTTAGTCTGCTTGGAAGGATGAGGACGTCAGGAGCCTGATTCGTGTTGGCCCCGTCGATATCAAGGTTGAGCCTCTCCATGTGGGTGACATCCAGGTTGACTTCGTGTGAAAGGTCCAGTGGTACGGGGAAAATGGGGTAGAAGCTAAGTGGAGACTGATGAAAACCTAACTCTAATTCGAATGGCCTCGAGATTACCTGCGTTGTTGCAAAAGATGGCGGCATGTGTTGATCATCGTATCACTGCCTGTTGCATCCCCATCTGCGAGAGGTACAGGCTCGACCTCCTGTGCGCGTTTGAAAAACTCTTCTTTCCGTAGATGGAAGAGCACATCAACACTAGTCACGCCGAAAGTGACATCGTTCAGGGAGAATCTGCACGGGTTCGGCAAAAGTCGTATCCGCTAGCAGTCTTCAATGTTAGCGATAGACAACATTGTAGAGGTGAAGAAAGCCTACGGGGTCTACTGCCAATCCCATCTTGAATTCGCCCTGCGGAAACACTGCGTGGTCGCTGATAATGTCTCGTACACTGGGTACGACCAAAATTTGGCTGTCTGGAGAGTCGCCCAGGAAATCCGTCATGTTCGCCAAAAATTGCTCCCGGAAGATCTCTGCTGGGGTTTCATCAACATCGCCATTCTTCACCGCAAGGTGAGCGGCATCGATGAAGGGTCCAACCTGCCTTTGATGTCAGTGAAGCCGACATGAATAAAACGGATGCGCTTACAAGAATGACAACAGCAGGTCTGTCGCTCTTCAGCTTGGCCAGTAATTTCTGCCATTGAGTGTACTGCATGTCCGCATCGGAGGTGAACGGCCCACAAGCAACACAAACGGCAAAAGGTTCCGTGCTTTCTGCCTTCACGATACCAGATGAAGTTGGATGTAAAGGGGGAAGCTATGGCAGTGTGAACAAAGATACGATCACACGTCGACTCAGACGCACCGATAGTATCTCAGTAGCGAGAAATCGTCCTCCGCCTCCATTCTTGCCACGAAAGGCGGCAATGGCACCCGGGAAAAGACCAACTCCACCAACCCCTTGTTTTCCTTGGCGAATCTTCACATTTGGATCGAACCGCAACGGCACCCTCGCGCCGGCTCCCATTTGGCGAGACGATTCCAACGTCAGAGAGGCTTCGTTCAACTTCACTGAGCCTCCTGAGGTTTCTGAGTCGAGAGTGATACGGCCCACTACAACTACTTCCTCCTGTCCGGTGCCGGTCAACAGTGCACTACTACATCGAAGACTTGGTACTCACTTCTGTCGTGGCTGAAGGGTCACCTAGGTCTTCTACATTGTAATGCAGCCTAATAAGCTCCCCCATGTCGTCAATCCTCGAGTCCAGCGCTGTACAGCGAACATAAGCCTATCCGTTCTACACTGGAGAAAGCATGGAGACTTGCCTGCGCTGCGGTCTGATATCTTCTCGTACATGTACCGGTCTTGCAATCCTTGAGCCTGATGCGCATGACATGTATGGCGCAGTTTTAACTCACATGTACGAATGCTTGTAGACTCCTCTTCCACATTAGGTCCAGAGAACTTCACTTTACTCGGTCCAGCAACCGGTCCCTTCTTGCCCTCGCCCATCGTGGCAATAGCAAACCCATCTCGCCTTTTGACCGGGGTCGCCAAGTTCATCATTCCGCCCAGTCGCTGTCCTGCCTTCGGGAACGGGGAGCGAAGGTTCTTGGATAGAGGCCCATCCAGAGTGCCTCGGGTCTTGGGCTTGTCCCTGTTGGCTTTTGTCAAGTCCGCCTGGCATTTGGCCTTCAGGTCGGGAATGTCATTCATCGTGAACGGGGCCAGTGAGTTTCCAAATTTCATGGCCTCCCATTTGTACTTGAGGTTCTCGCCACTGAGGTTGAACATTCGGCAGATCCGCACGCCTAACGGGACAGTGAGCGGCCACCAAAGCGATGTGGTGGGTACGACTGACATTCCTCCACTAGTTTCTCGTCCAGCGTGCCATCAAACTTTTCCATAACCTCGGTACGTAGCTTCTCTGCAGCTTCATCAGCCATGACGCGTGTCTGAGGGATTGATGGTCGAATGTGCAGGTAGGGAGGTGCAGAGCAGCGAAAACGCGTCCGAGTTCCAGTCGCGTCTCGCAGCCCGACGCGTCCCGTCACGCGTCAGTCACACTTCCCACGACAACGTTGTGGCTTGAAGGCTGTGGGCAGCAACTGACGCCCGACGACTGACGTCGTCCAAATCTCCGAGACAAAGCCCTTGCCCAGAACAAACAGCGTCGAGCACACAAATTGTCATCCAAGGACTAATAAATTCGGATGCGTGCTTGATACTAGTACAACAGGAATCCGGGATCCGATAAACAAACGCGTATACAGTGGGGGTCTCGCGTATATTCGAACCAAACAGCTGCATCCCAGCACCGGCGGGTAGGGGTCATCAGGCGTCCCAGTCCACGTTTGCATATGGACTACGGTCCAGACTGTATCCTTCATTCTGCGTTGTCCTCCGCCGGTTTCTCAACCTCCGTCTCGTCCAACTCCGGTTGGTTCTCAGACTCCTCAGTTTCCGGTGCATCTGGAACCGAAGCCGCCGTCTCGGGCTCCGCGAGCGGGCTCTCCTTTGCTGGGCTCATAGCAGAGTTTGTGGGCGAGACAGAAAGGGGGTTGTGGTTGACTGGAGGGGACGACGCATGCGGAATACTGTAGAGAGACTAAGAACTCAATCAAGATGGATCCGGCTGGGAGAACCTCCTAGCTTACTTCTCGGGGTTGGGGATGGCGGTCCCGACAGCGTTCTGGGGCGCAACGCCGGCCTTGGAAAGAGCGTAATCTCCGGAATCAAAATACTTGCGATCCTGAGAGGTGGTGTCAGATGCGTATCAATATTCAAACATCAGGATACATGCCTTCTGCATCGCCGAAATGATATTCTTCTTCTGCGTGGGGAGCTTGCCGTACAGACGGAAGAGCTTCTGTTCCTCTTCCGTCAGTTTCTGTGAACGAGTCTGGTGAGCATCGCGGCCAAAGATTGCGGGAGACCATAAGGTATCGCAGAAACGACTACTCACGCTGATGTCGACCTTGTTACGCTGAGCGGGCAACATGATGATGGCCTTGATTCACACAGGAAGTGCAGAAAGGAGAAGAGCGCAGCGCTCTGGCGAGCGGATGCAAAGACTGAAGAGCGAAAGCCTTATGGGAGAGCGATAGCAGTCGTGCAGTGATGGACGTCGTGTAGAGGAAACGCTACCGGGGTCTCCGCCACCACCATACACTGCGGAGTCTGGCGGAACCTCAAATGGAGCGTGCGGCGCCTGACGTAAGCAACGCGCCCCGCCCGCCCTACTTATCACGTTCCGCGCTCAGATGACGACCTCCGAGCATACTGTGCCTCACGGGGCCGCATCACAGTCTACCTCGTCCATCGTTGAATATGCCTGTTCATGTCCAGGCTGTGTCGACCGAGCAGTCAGGCTCGGCCTCTCGGAGGCCGTGGGCGGCGCAGAAAGCCGAGCACGAGGATCCAGAACACGAAGGCAGCCTCGTTCCATCCACGCGTATGTAGCCCATCGATCCGAGGGGCTGGCAGAACGGGCACCAAGTAAATCCGGAAGATACGAATTGATTGTGGGTAAGCTATACACTACGGTATGACGACAATAATCGAATTCGAGCAATGGTACAGAGCAGCTTCTGATGCTACCCTACCGATCATGCCGCTATCCTCAGCAATGAAGCACATCCTGTCTTGTTCACGCGTCGAGACGTCTTTGTATTTGCATTACATGGCTTGCAGATGCTAGTTCGATATTCCCCATTGGAGAGGATTCTAGAGGCGCCAACGTAGAGATCGCCGCTCGCTGCGCCTGATGTCACCGGAAGATAGCAATGGGAGTTCCGAGCCGTAGTGCGAGTCTACGAGGCTAGACGTTGCCGGAAGCCGTCTCCGTGGATTCGTCAAAATGGATGTCGTCGTAGCTGCCATCGAGCAGGCAGTCGTCTTCATTTAGATCCATAGCTTCCAAGGCACGGCAGTCAAATCGACCCGTCGAGAGCCAAGCGTCATGATTAGGCTGTGATGGCACCATGAGATCATCCGAGTCCATATCCCCGTCGTCGCACCAGTCTAGCAGCAAGTCTCGGTCGACGTAGACAGCATCGGGCCGAGCGATGGTACTAGCTTCGTGGCTGTGACGTTCCGAATAACCTGGAGGAGCCCAGACCTCCAGCCCGGCTTCGCAGAGAGTCTGACAGAGAGTCAATGGGTCCCGTGGGGAACGGAATACAACATCCTGAGACAACGTACGGCAAAATCATCATCTGACCCCGAACTTTGTTGTGAACCTCCTAGCGGCATTTGGTTGCATTGGGAAGGCCGTATCACGTCCTCGTCTTCATCTGCGGCAAATAGAGTTACTTGAGAAGCTGGACTCAACGTATCACGGAGCAAATTCGTCGAGCTGAGACTCGTTTCAAGATCTCTAGAGTCGTCCTCGGTGGATAGAATGCGATATTCCAAGTCTTCGTCTGAAAGGACGACGTCTTCTTCGGGATCATCGTTCATAAATAGGCTGCATTGCGGCGTTGACCACAGTTCGATGACTTCCTCGTCAGAGTCTAACTCAAATGGATCTTCATCGACATCACTTGGAGCTGGCCACGGGTCCACATCTTCGTCGTCTAGAGCATCCTCGAAACCGGTCTCGGTACACGTTGGTGTATATCCCGACAGGTCAAACATATCGTCGTCGTCGTCCTCATTGTATACCGCCTTGGCAGTCGCGCGCAGCCCCTGCACCATACACAGGTTACCGACAAGTCTGAATTTCTAAACGCTGTGATTACCTTGAAGACTACAGGCCTCGTCCCGCGCCTGAATAGCGTTTCCATGGAGTACCTCAACATATCAGAGTCCTCTCTTGCATTCATTCTGTCACCATCGTCGATCGCATCGTCGCCCAAACAGTCTCGCATCGCCTGCTTGGCACTTCTGACACGACTGTCATGTTGTGTCCCAAGTACCTTTGGATGCCTATGATGTTTCAAGCGGACAGGCAGAGTGTTACACACTTACGTCCATCGATCGCCAGAACCGCCTCTTGAAAGATGGATCAGGTGAAGACCGCGCAATGTCCATGAGTGACCGAGAAAGCGAGGGGTATAGACGCGCCTCTAAGTCAAGTTTCTGCGCATATAACGAGTTGCAGAACTGCGGTGCTAGCATATACACACCCACCTCGCGCCAGGGGCCAAAAATCAGAGGGTACCGCCTGCATCGAAACTATGCGTGGCTTGCAGTGTAGAGGAGGGCTGAAACATACCTGACGAGGTCATTTGAGACGAATTTCTCCAATACGTCGTCCAGCGCCGAGAAGAGAGGGAGATACGCCTGACCAGAGAAAAGGGAAGCCGCTTCCGGTGCTGTGCAACTCAGTCTTCGTATTAGTGATGAGCCCCAACATGACCTCACAGTCTTTCCCGCCTCGTACGACCATCTTGCATGCGAGTCCAACATCGATGGAGACCAATCGCAAGCAGACCATTTCTGTCGCGGCACGCAATGGCCGAGACGAGCTGAGAGAGACTGTGTAGTGATCTATTTAGGCAGTAGTTACGGGTGCACGAGCGCCGCACATACACTTCGCGCGACCATCGTCTTCGTCGACATAGAGATTTGAGATTGTGCTCAGGCCCAGCTGACCTGCGTTCTAGACGGGTAGCGTATCAATGTATGTCTTGTATAGACTTGGTGACGCTCTTACCACCCTGAGGTAGTCTAGAATATGCCTGGCAACAGCTGACCGTTCTATGACATGGCCTGGGATTTTGACGGTGTCGACCACTCCAGAGAGCGCGATGACCAAGTCGGAGTCGAGGATCACGTCCACGCCTTCTGGGAGTCGCCCCTTGATGCTACGAACGTTCTCGGACGCCGTTCCCGCGACCAGGACGTGCCGGGCGCGTAGAGCAAGGCTGAAGTGGCCGGTGCTGGTGCGGACGGCGGAACTGGAGGAGACCGTAGGCATCGTCGGGGAAAGAGGACGCGCAGAGCCGGAAATGGTGGATATTGCTAAGAATAACCCCTTACCAACCCATAAAGGTAGATTGAGGCCGGACAAGCAGATGCACACAATCACTGCCCTCAGCGGCTTCATCTCCTCCGAGTCCTCGCTTTCCCTTCGCTGAACCACAACACACCGCCTATCCGCCCGAGCGCGGTGTCAACCTTGGGTAGGAAGCCATGGTGCGCGGAGATTCGTCTCTACCTTGTTTCGCGGTCCTCATCCTCCGTCAAGGCGCACGAGCTGGACCAGAAGATCCAGGATGTCTACAAGCGCATTCAGACCGAGCGCAAGGTCGTTGAGGCCACGCAGCGCGTCCGCCAGGCGACCACCAACCCCGATGTTCTGAGATCGACCGATGCGAAGATGAGGGAGGCGGAGAGGTCGCTCTCCTATTTCGAGGACCTACTACGCCAGTTGCAGTCTCGCAAGATGGCGCAGGCCCAACAGGACGATCAGTCAAGATCAGGTAGTCCCGCTCCTGGTCAGGGCGGGGCAGCGTATGGCCAGCGAGGGGGACGTTCATCGGGAAGTGTTCCTCAGTCACCTGGGCCGGACGGCTCAAGGCGTGGTGCGCACAGCCCGCAGTCCCCAGAATTGCGCGCGACTGGTCCCGCTCTTCCCGGAGACGATACCTATGGCGCGCCGAAGCCCAAGACATATACGAACTTCGATCTGATAAAGGCGGACACCCCGCATACTACTGCGAAGATATCACGCATGCTTCACGAACTGGAGTTCAAGCTCCAGGTAGAGATCCAGTTGAAGAAGGGCATTGATAAGATGGCAAAGCTTTTCCAAGCTGACGGTGACCGGAGATCAAAACAAGACGCAGAAGCCAAGAAAATAGAAAGTGAACGGAAGATCAACTCCTGCAGACGGCCCTCAAGCGATATAAGACCCTTCATATTTTGGATGATGCTGAAGAGGACGAGGAAGTCGGTATGTCATTCTACAGTTGATTCCGTGGACATATTTATTTGATGCTTCTTCAAAGGTGTACCCGGCGTCGGCGGCCCTGGAGGCGAGGGCGAACGTAAGGACGTTCGCTCGAAGAACTTGTCCGGGAAGCTGTACATCACATTGAAGGGCGCACGGGAGTTGGAACATGCGCCTCGGTATCGCTCTTCGAAGCAAAGCGAGACGTTCGTTTCGTTTAAGGTCGAAGGTCAGGAACGTGCGCGCTCTCATCCAACGAAGACGGATCGCTGGATGGAGGAGTTCGAGATTGTCATCGACAAGGCCAATGAAGTCGAGATCACGGTTTACGAGAAGTCTCCGAGCGATCAGTATCCCATTCCAACTGGTCTTCTCTGGGTCAAAATCAGCGATCTCGTCGACGCGCAACGAAAGCAGAAGGTGATGATGGAGAGCGGCCAAGGTGGCTGGGTCACTGCTGGTGCCATGAACGGCGACAGTGCACCCGGTGCTCCTGGTGCTCCCGGATACCCGGGGGTATGGATGCCCCAGTAGGCTACGATAACCGTGTCGTTCCGCCATCGTCTTCCATGCCATCAATGGGGCAGCCAGAGGGTATAGATGCCTGGTTCGCAGTCGAGCCGGCCGGTGCCCTTGCCTTGCATCTCAACTTCGGTGAGTAAATTTGAATGGGTTACACAGACTTTAACTACCGCGAGCTAGCCAAGGAGAATCTGCGCAAGCGTCCCCTCGATGCCCCTGGTGGTCTCGCACGGCAGGCCGCTGTTCGTAAGCGCAAAGACGAGGTGCATGAGATGAACGGCCACAAGTTTGTCCAGCGCCAGTTCTACCAGATCATCCTCTGTGCTTTCTGCAATGAATTCCTGCTGAACGCTGTGGGGTATCAGTGCGAAGATTGCCGTTACACTTGTCACAAGAAATGCTACGAGAAGGTCGTGACGAAGTGTATCTCGAAGTCCAACAATGGGGTGAGTACGGAATTACCACCATGATGCAAGGCGGTTTCTGACAAAGTGGTGTGCAGGAGGACGACGCGGAGAAGATCAACCATCGTATTCCCCATCGGTTCGAACCTATTACAAACATCGGTGCGAACTGGTGCTGTCATTGCGGCTACATGCTTCCCCTTGGTCGCAAGAATGCTCGCAAATGCACCGAGTGCGATATTACTTGTCACGCGAACTGCGCCCATCTTGTCCCCGATTTCTGCGGTATGTCAATGGAGACCGCCAACCAGCTCTTGCGACAATGGCGGATCATCAACCAGTCTCGCGGAGGACGGACAATGACCCAGGCGCGACAAACCGCGCCTTTCTCTCAGCAGCCGTCGCCTCGACCGCAACTACCGCCTCCAGGACCAGCCATGGAATCGCTATCTACTGAGATGGAACGTATGAAGATGACCGAACCCCCACTTCCTCAGAAGGACGCAATATATGCGCGTCCGCAGACGCAGACTCCCCCTTCAGAAGCGCTTTCGCCACAAAGCGCACAGATCGGGTACGCCGGACAACAACCACAGATACCTCCCGGAGGTCGCAGCCCGCTCCGGCCGGCGTTCCCAACAGAACCAATATCGCAGCGCCCCCCACCCGCCGCATACGAACAGCAAGAGGGATATGGATATCAGGTATGCGACGTGCATGTCACACGACTATGGATCACTTAAGTACACGCACGTCTTGCAGGCACCTCCCCAGCAGCAAGTCGTTCCTCCTCCGCAGGCGGGTGCTTACGTTCGTCCTCCGGAGCGCCAGTCGTCCCTCGCCCCAGCGCAACAGATGCAACAGCCGTCGGCGCAACAATACCAGAAGCCGGTTGCGCAGAAGCGTAAGGTCGGCCTCGACGACTTCAACTTCCTCGCCGTCCTGGGTAAGGGCAACTTCGGTAAGGTTATGTTGGCAGAGGAGAAGAAGACAAGCAGCCTGTATGCTATCAAGGTGCTGAAGAAGGAGTTCATCATCGACAACGATGAAGTCGAAAGGTACTGTGGTCCTGAATAAGCGAGGCAGTTCCTGACGTCGCCGCTTGTCTCCAGCACTCGTTCTGAAAAACGCGTCTTCCTCGCCGCGGCAAAGGAACGTCACCCATTCCTCCTTGGCCTACACTCCTGCTTCCAGACGGAGACCCGTGTCTATTTCGTCATGGAGTACGTGAGCGGTGGTGATCTCATGTTGCACATCCAGCGCAAGCAGTTCTCTCTTCGCCAAGCCAAATTCTATGCGTCGGAAGTGTTGCTCGCCCTAGAATACTTCCACGCCGAAGGCATCATATATCGGTTTGTCTCATCGATTCCACTCTCTGGCGCTATTGCTAACGTCAAGGCAGAGATTTGAAGCTGGACAACATCCTGTTGACGCTCGATGGGCACGTCAAAGTCGCGGACTACGGTCTGTGTAAGGAAGAGATGTGGTTTGGATCGACGACTAGCACATTTTGTGGTACACCGGAATTCATGGCGCCCGAGGTAGGTGACCCACTCTCTTGCCGTCCATGTCGCTAAGATAGGGCAATGCCTTATAGATCTTGCTCGAGCAACGTTACGGCCGTGCTGTTGACTGGTGGGCATTTGGTGTGCTGATGTATGAGATGCTTTTGGGACAGTCCCCGTTCCGTGGCGACGACGAGGATGAGATCTTCGATGCCATCCTTGAGGACGAGCCGCTGTATCCCATTACGATGCCAAGGGATGCTGTGTCTGTCCTACAGAAGGTACGATATATACGTATCGTGCAAGCTGAACAGGAATCTCCTCATGACATTTCTGTAGCTCTTGACCCGTGACCCGACTCGGCGGCTGGGTTCTGGTAAAGCCGACGCCGAAGAGATCAAGAGACATCCATTCTTCAAGGACGTGAGCTTCGACGACGTTATGAACAAGCGCATTCCTCCCCCGTATTTCCCCACGATTGTACGTGAATGTCCCCCGCTGAGCCCGAACGTGCGACTCATCCGCACATTACGCAGAATGGCACCGCTGACACCAGCAACTTCGACGAAGAGTTCACCAAAGAACAACCCACGCTTACTCCTGTACATACGCAGTTGTCCAGCCGCGATCAAGCCGAGTTCAACGGCTTCTCCTGGGTATGTTGATCGACATTCTGAGACCCATCTGCTGCTAATGAGCGTCGTTCGTAGGTTGCGAACTGGGCGGACATATAATGATGGTTCATGTATTCTTGTCCTAATTATTTCGTTTCGCATTGCTGCATCCCTCACTTGTCACTCTGTATTGGATACCTGTTGTGTGCATGTCGACAACTCAATAGCGCCGTCCCTCATATCCGGACCATATGTAGCATTCGAGTCATACATCGTGCTGGCCTGGTCCTGTACTCCCGTGTTTGACTGACACAACATGGCCCCCTGTTCCCGGCATGCCCTGCGGTTCGCTGGTCGACTCGTCGGCTTCGTCTCGCTGACCGCGCATAAGGTCCTGGAAACTCTGCCAGAGAGCTGCAATCGTTTCATACTCCCTGGTCATACCTAGGACCTCTTCAAGCTTGCGATTCAGGTTATTGCTCGATGACAGCAACTCCTCGAAACCCTGAACAAGGCAGAGATAACGCGTGAGGCACGTTCGCGAATGTCAGCGCGGTGGTTTGAAGGACTCACGCTAGTAATCTCGCTTGTTAGTCTGTTGCGCTCTTTGTCGAAAAATGACGTCTCGTCCTCCATCTTCTCCTGTAGAGGCTGAGCTGCGTAGTAGAGGATCGTGGACAAGATCAGACCCGCTCGCCGCTCGACGCGACCGCACGCCACAGACGCGCTCGGATCTTCCCACGATGACATGCAGAGTCTTCGGCGAGGTCTAGTTCGACTAGTGACGAACGTCCAAAAGATGGTTACTGTAGCAATGTGGATCTAAGCATTATGGTGTGAGATGAAGTACAGTACATAAATCCAATGCTTTCCATAAATCCACAGCAGGTATAACTATCATACAGCAGGAATAAGTCAAGTAAGAAAAGTATAATGTTACAGAGTAATGCGCACAAACCAACCAAGAGCACCAAATGTCCAGTAGCACCAAGGCCACAGCTAAAGGAAGCCACTTTCCTGCAGCAGCCTAGCCATCTTCTCATCCTCTCGCTCCCGAGGTTCGCGCTCGAGACTTTGATTCCAGAACTGATCAGCATAGTCGAAACCGTCGGCGTACTTGTTGAAGCATTCCTCGAGATAGGCCAGAATAGATGCGACGGTCTGGAAGTTGTACGGCTTGGATTGCCACCGCTTGATATCCTGGATGACTTCCGCCGCTTTCTGTCGCTTACGAAAGTTGATCATGTTGTCACCAAGCTTGTCGCCAGCCCCGTCGTTGATGAATGTCAGTGTTGTGAGGTAGACACCTATCGCGCGTCGTGAGAATAGCCCACGCCAACGAGACTCATCGACTCACCGATGAAGGGAACACAAGGCGGCGTGATTCGCGCTAATGTCTGGCGGTAATTGGTGAAGTTCTTCGCCGTGTCAATGGTAGATTCGCAGTCGCGCAACTGCCCCATGGCACGCGCGTTCACCTGCTCCCACGTTCTCTTCAGCCGCCGAATTGGTGGGGTAGCCAAACCGGAAACGATAGCGGTCATCGTCGAGTAATTTTGAAGAGTACGACAACGCTGTGTGCACGATGTTATTGACAGCCAGGACAAATCTTCAGTTGAAATAGACTCACGTCAGCAACCGTAATGTAATGTTTCACAATCAAGGCCCGCTTCTTCGAGTCTTCCCTCTCCAGCACAGATTCTGCCACCCAGTTTGCAATCTAACGAGTACATCAGTCGTCTAGTACCCTTCAGATCCGTACGCGCGCCTTACCCGGTTGCTGAGCTGGATGATCTGCGAGAAGTTGTCATTGTGTTTGCCCGGTTTGGATTCCTTTGACCGCAGCAAACACTCCATAGGCCTAATCTTCTTGTACATCGCAAATTCCATGAGGGTGAGCTGACGTGCAATCTCAATAGGGTCGATATCAAGCAACTTGATCTTCCGTGAATTGCGGGGATACAATGGCGCAGGCGGAGCGATGGGAACCGCGGTAATCTTGATCGGTGCGTCGCCTCCCTTTTGCTATGATACAAGTGAGAGGAGGCATAGCGAGAGAGGAATATCCACTTACACTTCGCTCAATCAGAATAAGCAATTGCTTGGCCGCGGCGACGTTAACGACGTCCTCGTTCGATGCGAACTCCTTCATGCGACCCAAGATGTACAGGTCACTCTTCTCGAGAATGCCGTCATCTGTGACCATCGTTTTGAAGATGTTCAGAACGCTGCACAACGTCTCAGTTACGCAGATAGTAGCTGTGATGTGCATTACATACCGCAACCGGATAATGCTCTGCTTAAGCTTAGACCATTCTTCAAACTCGGCAGGAGAGAGGTTTGGAGGCGCCTGAATGTAGAATCGCCTCACAAGGAGCTGGAAGAGGTCATCGACAGTCATGAACGACTTGAAGGTCAGAAGGAAGTTCTGATTGAACGTCGTGTCTACGAGGAACAATCATGTCAGGGCTTCGCATATCATGTCCGACACAGTCATGCTTACCTCCTTGCTCGTGTGCAGTCAAACGCTCCACCAGTGCGGCAGGACTGCCAGCCCTAACGGAGCCGTCTGGCTCCATCATGATCTCCGAAGGGTCGTAGTTCGGCCGCAAATACCATGGCTTCGAGTCAGCATTGATCTTCTCAATGATATGTGACGGTGCATCATCTCCGAAAAACTTCTTGATCTTGGATGCACCAGGCTTTCCTCGAGGCGGCGACTTGGGCAGTTGCAGAGCTGAACAGAAGGCATGAGAATTGAGTCGTTAGCGAAAGTCACGATACGTACCTTCAACTTCATACTCCTCGATCTCCTCAGGCTCAGGTGACGGTGCGACGAGCGTCTCATCAGTCACCGAGACGGACTGTTGGCTGGACCATGTCGAGGTGGGCACGTCTGCAGAGCTTTCCGAGCGCATTCGCCCGCCCATGTCGAACGAACTCATCGAACTCATAGTCGGTTCGGAAGGCAAGGCTCTGGGAGGCGGTCGAATTAATGCAGCCTCGAAGTCGACAGGCGCCTCCGGGTCCAACACATCCGGCGGGCGGGACAGCCGCCAGTCAATCGAGCTTCGATAGTCATGCTGGCTCGAGTTCGCCTGGTCATAGCCCACGACGAGCAGAGACTCCAAGCTCTGGACGGACACGTTGGCGTTGGCGAGGATGGCAACCAATAGCGCATCGATATAATCCCGAATGGCATAGTCGTCCTCTCTCGAGTAGGTCTGGCCGAGCGCCTGGACGGCGATGAGCAGAGTGGAGCCGTCATCGTAGAGCGACTGCACGGAAGCCTCTAGGGTTCGCATGAGCAACCGGGCGTTCTCCACCATCTGCGCATAGGGTCCACGCGGCGAATACTGCCCAGAAGAGACGCTGACACCGTCGACATCGACATGACGTGCAATGTCAATGTTGTTCACCAACTCGAGCGTGAAGTGCAGCTGCCCAATCGCGTTCTGAGACTCTGCGCGTATGTGCTCTACATTCTAATCAGCCACGATGCTGCAGGAAGAACCCAATTTGACGTACCTGTGGGCAAATCTGGGCGCTTCAGAAGCACCATCACCGCACCCATCGCATCCGTAAGCTTCCTGACCGCAACCTTCATGTCGGAGACCTGGTTAGCAGATAGGATCTGCATAGGTGGTTGCCCCGTGGCATCCATGGCGACGTATCCAAGGCCCTTCCATGTCCCACCGACGCCAGCCCCCGGTAAGCCCAAACCGACGTTCGCCGTGCTAAACACGCCGTACAAACGCTTTGTGGGGAGCGGCTGCCCCTGTGCGTTCTGCTCCTGGAAATGATGCATATCTGCGACGAAAGCCATTACAGCACGTTCGAGCTCCGCGATATCGGATTCCAAGCGGTTTGGTTTATCACCGTTCCGCAGACCGGGATCATATTGCATGGCCAGGGCCGACAACACGAGTTTGGAAAGAGTACCGGCCACCTTTCGCTGTGCTGCTTTGAGATGGGCCTGGAGAGACTGTGCGGTAGATGACGGTCTGATGTCCTGGCCGTCCCGAGGATAGAGGTTGCTCGGAATGTGACCGGATGGGGTAGCTGTCACGTACAGCAAATTCCGCACCGTTGATACGACCTCCAATACACGTTGGTCTACCTCCTCAAATTGTTCAAGATGACGAGGTGTGACTGCCTGTAGATGCTCCACAATGGCTGCAATTGCCTCCTGGACCTGATTCGACAGGTCCATAGGGGACTCCGGGGGTGGCGGAGCAAGTGCTTGGTGTAACCTCTTCGCCAGGTGTTCCGGAGGTGCCAAGGAGATTTGCTTGGCCTGAGGCTGGCGTACGCCATTAGCGCCTGCATCCCTCAGTGCCGACCCAGAGCGATCTCGTCGAGTGGGGAACACGTCCGAATCCTCGGAGGTGATGCTGAGCCGATCGGAAAGGCTATCACTACGATCCCTGGTTGCCGACGCTGATGAACCAGAGCGCAGACGTCCCATGGACGGCGCTGCCTCGCGGCTTCCAAAGCTTCCCTCTCCTGACGGTCCCTGCGTCCTTGGCAGCTCTCGTACAGGATTAGCCTCTGGAGGCGACCAGGAAACCTCTCCAGTCAGCTTGTTCACGTAGTAGTACGAGAGACCATCGTCGGCTAGCCGTCTCATCCACGGCTCAGGTGTACGCGAACGCCTCGGGACACCGAACCCAGCAGCGACCCCATATTCGTGGTCTGGTCCGTTTGCCGAAGCCAATCCAAGTCCAGCGCTCGATCCTGCTCGGGAGGAGGTTGGGGGACCCAATGCAGCTACTTCCGCGTCAGGGTCGTACTCTACCTCCTGAGGAAGATCTCTCGACTGTTGACCTGTTTGTGTGTTCACGTAGAATATCTGGGAACACAGTGCGTCAGTAGAAGGGGGCGGAGGGTATTTGCATATACATACTCTGCCATCCTGTGACACTTGCGGTACCCAAAAGTCGTTATGCTGCGTTGGTCTCCCGTTCGAGCCGTTCCTCTGAGGCGGTGGGTTCTGGACGTGGTTGGGAAAGTCCATCTCAGCATTGAGCCATTCGTCGTCCTGCGACAGACTCCTAGACATGCTGTGGGCCATGTCCACCATGGAGTCGTCGGCGAGAGATGGTGCTTGGGATGCAGACATATCAGTCCCATTGAGGGCCATCTCTGCCTCCTCCTCCGAGATAACCGTCACATAATTTGAAGGGAACCAACCCCGCTCCTCGCCTAGCAGGCCGTCCCACCATCCGGACTCCAGTTTGCTGAGTACTTCGATGATGTCGTTCTTCTGGAACGAAAGGGACGAGGCGTCGGACTTCTGGTAGTCATAGAGAGCACGACACCAGAATGTAGTCAGTTCATCCTGCTGGTCCTCGCCCGGGTGCTGCTTCTCGTCTTGTGGGGCGCCATAGCTTGTCGAGGGGCTCGTTCCATACTGGGCACCGTAGGCAGCAGCGGTCATTGTCGCCATGCGGGCCCTAGGAAGTGGCGGCGGCGAGTAGGGCAGGCTGAGGCTGAGCAGCGTCACAGAGTAAGCGCGAATGTAGCCCTCCTGATACAGTGATAGGTCGCCAGAGGATCACTGGCCAGAACAACCACGTGCCCGGTGGCTGCATCCTGGTTCCTCTGGTCCCGACTCCCGCGACGCTCACCCTGACGAGTCTGACGACAAGAACACCGCCACCCGCTGCCTAACAATATACAAATACCAGCAAGCATCTGTGCGCAGCGTCGCCTTTGCGAATGGCTTCCGAATATCAGCTCTATCAGACCATCGTATTCTGCGAAAGTCATCCAGCCGGTTTGGAAGGCCTTGCAAGTTGTACTGCTCGGAACGACGGTACTCAAGTACACGGTCACAATCCAAACTAGTGCAACTTGCTCCACAGCAATACAGTATTGAAATCGCTACATCGATGTGATAGACAATACAGTACACTGGCATACGTGATACAGCTGTTTCTAACATTGACTGATTCACCCGTCGCTCACCGCTTGAGAGTCCTTTGTTTCTCCGCATGCTCCACGATTTTCTTGTCGACAAACATGCCCTTCCTCTCTCGGACTGAGTCCATGTACCCCTTTGCGATGTTAGACCGATCGGCCTTCTCTCCCAGATCTTCCAGCTCCTCTTCGGTCGTCGGGACCCAGAAAGGGTCCAGGTCGAGCATTTCGTATCTTTGAAATGCCGCGTGAGTGGTAGCAAAATATTGACCAGTTGTAGAGCGTACCCGCTGAATATCAATTGCGGGCTTGCTGCTCCTGAGGTCCGTTTTCGTATGTCTATACCACGAGAGTCGCGTCAAAAATGCGACAGACTGTCAGACCAACGATCCTTACCGTCCGCGAAGCCAAAACTCTCGACTACGGGCAGGAGAGAACGGACAGTGAAGAATTCAGTCCCTTCCTTCATTTCCTCGGAGACGATCCGGCCTCGGCGTCTGGCAACGACGCCGTATACCTTACCCAGAACATCCGCTGATAAACCCAAAGTAAGCACAGACAAACACTGATATGAGCAGTTACGCACTCGATGCTTGAATGTCACAGGTATACATGGCCAACATCAACCTGGGAGACCAATCCAGGAGACCGTTCCGACAGGCCTCTCTTACTGACGTGATGAACGCGCCAGTGACCTGCGCCATTCGGTTATGTACTATCTCGCCCCAGTCAACAGCAGCTCAATACAAGCAAAAGGAATCGGTGCTCACACTTCTCCTGTTCGATACCTTCCCGGTCAACCTCGACCGACTCTACGAAGTAAGCTAGACCTTCCACTGGCTCCGCGCATAGGGGTCCTTGGAAGGTTGCCAGCTGAAACCCGGCTTCCAGGTGATTGTCGAAGTCACGTAGAAGGGGGTCTCTATCCTTGTTTGCGTCACCTATCTTGTCGTGTTCCTGCCGTCTCTTCAGGCTGCGTGCATAGATGAGCTTCGACCGACATCGATGCAAACGAGACGTGCTTACGAGTTTGGCTGGCCGCCAGAACGCAAGTCAACGAGCATGCAGCTGCCCACCCTCTGCGGTCCGAACGCCCAGATCTTGTCAACAACATCTACCCACTCTCCGCCGACTTCTTGACACGCCTGCTGCAGCGCTCTCCACAACTCCTCCGGCTTAACGCTCGCCTTCCTCATGACCTCGCCCTGGGTATCGTAGTCCTCTTCCTCAAGGCCGTCTGCATGAGCGGATGAACCGCGCTCTGTCGAGCTTTTTTCGAATTCTATTCGCTTGAGTGTCGCGAGGTTGTCTAGGAGAAAGTCTGTTATTTGTCTTGGGATGGGTGCAGCGCGGATGTATATTTGACAAGGTTATTAGCAATTGCTCCCTGTATCGTACCCCTTTTAGCACCAGGCGTTTTCGGCGGCGCCATATCTGACCATGAGACTTGAAAACAAAGTTAGAATACCTAGTGGTGGTACTCACCAGGCGCCCGCACCGCAGTCTCTCTGAAGGGTACGATAGGCTCGGAAGGGTTGATTTCGACCTTGGCAAAACGCTCGCGCAAGTCTCTGAGACACCTCTGTGATAACCAATTGAATCCGTCGTTCGATCACGCCAGCTATATGGGCAACCCACCTCGAGATGGAGTTCACCTGCAGTCAGGATGACGTGCTCGCCAGTCTGTTGCTGGAACGTCTCAACGCAAGGATCAGCCTGGCTGAGCAGCTTCATGCCCGTATAAGCTTGGGCATGTCCGCAGGGAATTCCGGTTCGAGTGCAACTCGAACGATCGGTGCTGCCTATAGTTCAAGACTCGTCAATGATAATTACGCCACGAAAAATGACAACCTACGTAGCGAATGATACCGCCCAGGTTGATCAGACAATCCTTGACTTGACCAAGGTCCGCACCCTCAGGCACACCCTGCTCCTTCGGAGCGCACAGGTTGCACTCCGCCATACCTTGCCTTCCAGACCCTGTACAGCGAAGACGTTCCCCGCCTGAACGTGGTCTACTGGTACGAGCTCCCTACCCATCATCACGTACAGAGCCTCTACGCGCGTAGTGACCACATGCAGCGCGTTCCGCGGATGCGTCGGTTCCAGCGCGCTGTTGTACTTTGGCAAGACGCAGCAGATTGTTGTGCCCGTGCGTATCGTACCAGAGTATATGCGCGCGAACCCAAGCAGCGTCTCGTCCGCCTCGACAGGTTCGCCCGTGCCGTTTGGCTCCTTATCATCTACCGCCATCTGCTCCAGTGCGGCTTCCAAAGGCGTAGAAGACGTCTCGGTCGAAGGAGTCTCGCCACCCGTCGCAGCAGCTTGTGCTGCACTCCGCGCTTCCCTCGCCGCTCTCGCTCTAGCGCGCATCTCTTCTGCGCTCAGTGGTTTCTTTTTGTTGCCCGGCAGCTCCTTCGCGGGTACGGCGAACATTTTGCTCACCAGTGCAGCAACATATGCGTCAGGGCTCGCATTACACGAGTAGAGATTCTCTTCCATTTTGTTCTTCGGCTCGGCCGTGGATTCGTAGAGATCCGGGTAGAGCATTTTCGGGATACGCGTTCGTTGCGCGACAGACGGAGGCGGGACGACATCGACGATAGCCTGGATGACGCACGAAGAGAGCGAGAGCCATTGAGAGAAAATGAGTGTCAGGAGTTGTTTTGAGTCCTTCGAGTTCAACTCGCGCGGTGGGATCTTGAGGTTGAGCGTCGACACAATCTTCGTCACCTTCTCTGGGTTTCTACATCATCGTCTCATTATCGCAAGTCGAAATCAGGCTGTATTGTCACATACGGGTTGATAAGTACAGCATCATACACCGCCCATATATTATCGAGGATAAACTGAACAAACAGTGGCTTCAACGCGCGCCCGCGCAGGTGCTTGTGGCTGATAACCCGCTTCGTCTTGGGATCCAGATAGAAATCTCCCCACAGCACCGTCCGTAGCGTTGTCTCTTTGATCCCAGCTTCACTGCGTACAGGTGGGCGAATTTGCCTATGCGGAATCCCCATCCGGCGATGGCAGAGGCGAAGATGACATTGCCCTTCTCTGGGGCGAAGTAGATGTCCTCGTCGTCCCTCTCTTGGAAGTCGTCCGCTTCGTTGATGGCTGCATCGACCTCTTCCGCGTGCGATTCTTTCTTCTCTGCGAGTCGGCGTTCGCGCTCTTCTCTCCACCGGAGATCGTCCTCCATCCTTTCACTTGCGAAGAAGCTACCCATCACGGCGTTCACCTGTTCGATGAGCTGCGACAGGTGATGGTACGCCTCCACAGGGGATAGCTTGAGCTCGGTAATGAGACGGTCGAATTTGTTGATGACCAAGACGGGTCGCAGACGGTCTTGCCATGCTTGCCGCAGGACAGTGATGGTCTAGCGGGAACGTCCTGTGCTCAACATCGTTCAGCTTTGAGTATGACCATTACTCAGCATACCTGCGTGCAGACGCCCTCTACTACGTCGACCAAGACAGCGCGCCATCACATAGTCGCGACGCGGTCGACACTTCGCTGGAAAAGTCGACATGCCCAGGCGTATCTATCATGTTCACAACATACGTCTTCGGGAGGCTTTCTGGTGCAGTTGATCACAAAGTGTATAGCTCTGAGCCATGCAGACGTACCACCAGCGTCGTTCCGTCCATTACCTGAACTCAGAGAGACCGCGCTACTCTCCATTGTGATCCCTCTTTCTGCTCGTCAAGTCGGCTATCCAAGTATCTGATCTTCCCGCCATTCTTGTGGAGATAATGTTATTGCGGCTAGTAGGGCGTCCATCATCGTCGTCTTGCCGTGGTCAACATGACCTATGGTTGTGACGTTCCGGACGTCGATCGCCTCCGGGGTCAAGGCCATACTGTTTCGTGCAAGTAGTAGCGAGTCCGGTGTACGAGAGTAGCAGAAAATACGCCTGCGTCTATATGAGAAACGTAGGAGTCAAGGCAACGCGTTGGAGAGTCAGCTTGAGGGCAGTGCCGGGGGACTCAAATTGAAGGTGAAGTCAGGGTGAAGTACAGTCGGTCCGATGACCTCTTATGAATAACGATCGAACGGGGATTACGGACTTACGTCCGCTGTGAGCGCTTGAGCAACTTGACCGACCCGACCAACACCGTGGCAAGCCCTCTTGCGCTATTCAACCTGAGCTTCAAGCTTTCAAGGGTGGGAAGCCTCATCACGACATGCCACAATAATGGGTAGATTCAGGATGGCCGTGATCATGATACACTTCAATTGCTTCAAGTCAGTCTGTTTACTTGTGTACAGCGCTTTATAACTTCTTCTCAACTACTAAGAACAGCTTTTAGGCTTTGTCGTACGCGTTCGTCCAAGCCCTTCCCTATGAGGACGACCTTGCCCATGTCCGGTACGCCCGTATCAGCCTCACCCCCCTCTTCCACCTTCATGATGTCGTACAAGTTCCGCACACCCTGCAGAACATACGTCTCGCTAGCGGTCGTCCTGAACATCCCCTTACACCGGAGGACGATCAGATCGGACGTGCCGTGCCCTGATGACTCGCCAGGGAGCTGTTGCTCCCAAAGCACACTGCGATCCATTCGTCCAGCTTCTCGTACTGAGACGGACTGAGGACCGGACAATTGACTTGCAGGCTGGATATACCGCGCAGCTCGTAATGGGTTGGGGGATGCGGATGGTCATGGTTGCTGTGATCGTGGTCGTGATCATGGCCGTCGTGCGAGGAGTGTAACGCGTGGGTGGGACCTGTATGAGAGGCCGCGACGTGTACGCTCGATACCCATGATACGTTTGAGGTCAATCTGACCTCTGACGGTCCGGTATATTGAGGCTGCGGGGTTGATACTGCGGATAACATCCTCCGTGCTTTCAACCTGACTTGTTGGCACCAAGTCAACTTTGTTGAGAGGATCACATCGGACCCAGCAATTTGCCTGTATGGTATGATTAACTTAGGTGAGACCTTGCTTCAACTTCTGGTGGCTCTCACCTCAGACTCTCGCCGATGCCCTCATCGGAATGGTCTTCCTCCATTTGCTGTATTGTGTTCCATCAGAAGAAAGGAGAGATAAGACAATATCAAGTGTCGACATACCTGTCTACCAAAGACGGCATCAACGACACATACTACGCCGTCCAGGTGGATATCTCTACCTAGACCCATAGCGAATTCCTCATTTTGCCAGAACATGGATGCGATGGGACCTATTTCACCGTCACAGATCATCCAGCTACCTGGTGATGGAAGACGTGCTTACCGGGGTCAGCCAGCCCTGTAGTCTCCAATAGGATATGATCGAATGCACCCTTCTTCTGCATAAGCCGTTCGATGGCAGCGACACCGGTATCTTTGATGCTACAGCAGAGACACCCGTTCGCCAGCTCAAGGAACTCCTCCGATTGCTCGGAGGGATCGTTAGGAGAAGAGACGTTGATTGTTTTTGCTGGTCAATGGTGTGCATGAGAATAGGCCGAGCCCGGCGTGAGTCTCGGCAAACCTTCGATGTCCTACCATCATTATTGGTGAGCTAACCTCGCCATGCAGGTGCCGTAGTTTGTGCAGCTTACAGCAGTGTCTCCGAACTCGTTCATGATGACGGCTATCCGGTAGCCATGCCGTTCGGTCAGGATCCTCCTGGGCACACCGGTCAGCAAATGGATCCGTCATATTCAGTTGAGACGTACTTTACTAGCGTAGATTTACCCGCCCCAAGGAAGCCACAGATAATGGTCAGAGGCACAGTCAGAGGCAGCTCTTTCGGCTCGGTCTTTCCTTCGACGGTGTCGTTTTCGATCAGAGTTCTACGGGGGTTAAATTGCATGTGAGCACCGCTGAGTACAAACCAGGTGCCGGAATTGCCTACGGTATTTCTTCATCGTCCGCCATGGCTTCGACAGCTCTAAATAATGCTTGCACAGACTGACTAGGAAGCGTGACGCAGAGGACAATGGGGGGCGGAGAGCGTCACAAGCGGCCGAGCCACACGAGACGCGTCCGGACCCAAAGTGGGCACGAATGAGACGCGCTGCCGTGATCATAGTCACGGTCGCGTCCTGTTTACCCCCTCTCCCTCATACCACGTTCACGTCCACACTCACTCACCATAGACGAGCGCAGTCATTCGCCATACGACATCCGCCATGGCGACCACGCCGCCGCAGATGACGGACGAGCAGATTCGCGAGATGATACAAGGCCCAGGGGACGTTGAGTGGTCGTGAGTAGTGGGCCGCATGTTGCATCCACCTCCGTCGCTTACTGCGTCGCTGCACGCCAGGTATGAGATGCGTAGGCAATGCCAGGAGATCCTCCCGGGCTTGCTACTCGGGCCCCTTCAAGCCTCGAAATCATTGCCGACCCTCCAGGAGATCGGAGTGACCCACATGTGAGTGCGCGCGATCGTACGCAACGGCGTGTAATGGTGAGAATACTCAAGCACCCCTTCCCAGAGTGTGCATCCGTGATGCCAAGGAGGCGTTCTCCGTCCGTCCCCGGTTCCAAGATCACTTCCGCTACATGGTACTCGACGTGGAGGACAGCGAGGAGCAGAACCTCATCCGGCTATTTCCTCAGTGGGTATCATACACGAATGATGTGCGGTCGCTGCCTCTGACGCGTGTAGCATATAGAGCGAAGCAATTCATAGATGAGGCAATTTCAGCGGGTGGAAGAGTGCTAGTGCATTGTAACGGTATGTATTCCTCCTGTCTAGGCTCCTGAAAGACAGACGACGTATTGACGACTGTATCAGGGGGTATCAGTCTTTCGCCCGCCTTCGTCGTAATGTATGTCATGCAGCAACACAACTTGTCCTGGGAGGACGCTCTCCACCTCGTGCAGAACAGGCGATACTGCATTTCTCCGAACGGTGGCTTCCTCACCCAGCTCAAGGTGCGTCTTGACACCGCCTGTAGAAAGGCATCGAAGCTCACAGCTGCGGCACAGGAATACGAGTCCATCTACAAGGCACGCAATGCGGTGGCCTCGTTTCCCGCATACCAGGCGGCAGCCGCGCGGCGTAAGCGCGCTGTTGAAGACGACGAAGATGGCGATGAGAGGTATGTCCGTGGATGTCCACCTGCCCAGCATCGCGATGGCTCATCGCGCCGTGCTGTACCTAGGGATGAAGAGCGCAAGCGAGCTCTCATGGACGAGGATGATGCTATGCAGACGTAATCACGTTCCTTTCATTACACAAGACCGTTACCAATTCTAGGGCAAGATGATCAATAATTTACCTGGTTCCATTGGTTGTAATGCTATGCTGTGTATGATATTGTCCGTTGCTGCCCATCGTATTGTATATCCCGCCACGAATCCTAACGACAGTCCGAGTTCGCACCCGGAGCAAGTTACAGGCTCTTGATCTTGGCCTTCTCCTTTTCCTGAAGGACTCGTTTTGCGTGTACGTCTGAAAAGCATGATCAGTCAAATGCCGAAAAACGATGAGGGTTGCCGACGAACCTTTCCGCTTCACCCATGCTTCTACGGAGATCCCAGCAAACACCACAGAAGTACCTAGCCACTGGCCCAATGTAAGCTTGTGGCTGTACACAATGACCGACAGCAGCATGGTGAACATCTTGCGAGTGAGTGTGACAGTCCTGTATAGAGCATAAGCACAGAAACAATTTGAAACCGGTTACAACACCGTACACAAGGGTTAATGAGCCGAAGTGTTGCAGTGTCTCGAAGATGAACAGCTGCCCTAGCGAACCGGTCAACGCGAACTGCAGCAAAGCCTTGACAATATCTGTGTGGGTCCTAATGAACTCCAGCGCGCCGTGCAGCTCCGTCGTCCCGCTCTCCCCGGGATGCAGCACGGGGATGTACGGCAGTGGCAGCACACACATCAACGACGTGAGGACCGTACAGAACAGGTTGATCCAGAACATCATTTGCTGTCCCGAAACCTTGTACCGCGCGAAGATCTCGTCCTGCGTCGAGTTCGTCGCGCCGTCGATGGCCAGGTTGATGAGGAGGTACCCGATGCCAATGAACTGCTTGTTCATCGGGAGGTCGCCCACGTCCGCGCTCGAGCCGTGCTTGGACTTGCCCGGCTTCTCCGCGCCGAAGCCCATAAACATCGTGATCCCGAGCGTGACCATTGCGACGACGAGGTACTTGTACGGTGCGAAGCGCCGTCGGTAGAGGAGGATGTTCATGATCATGACGGGGACGAGCTTGCAAGACTTGCCGAGCACCATTGCTGGGTAGGTGATGTAGGATAGAGCGGCGAACCCAAATGGCGCGGCGGAAGTGACGAAGATCGAGCACTGGAGGTAGCGGAGTAGGAGCGACTTCAGCGAGTAGCGGTTGTCAGGCTTCGCATGGTGAGCGTGCCCATTGGTCTTCGATGTACCGTTTGAAGCCTCCTTGACGGGGTAAGACTGCGCGACACCTAGGATCTCGGGCAAAGTCTTATGCCGTGGACTCCGTATGCGCAAGTATATGAGCGAGGATAGTACGCAGAAGGCACTCTGGCATGTGTTCATGAAGAGAGGCGCGTTGAACTTGTCAGAGGACTTGCCGTCAATGGTGTCGAAAGGTACGGATACTGGGCAAGCTACACTTGAGTTCTATTCGGAGGTGAACAGTCGTGTCACTCACGTCGTTCCTGAGCTATTGCCCACAGCTATACACGGACATCAATGCATGACCCTCTTCAAAGGTAACACAGATGCTGACCAGGAACATGGAATACACGCCAGCGACGCATATCGCAAGTCTACCGGCAGTGTTTAGTTCACAAGTATCGGCATACTCATTGACTTGTACGAGGCATACCTCAGGAATGACATGGTCGTATGAAGGAGTAACGACGCCTACGCGCCGCGGAATTCAGCGGTCGGGATGAGAGACGGAAACACCGCCGCGCCGTCGACGTGTCGCGTCCGTCACATGATGCGCGCCGACGTGGCTGGCTGGGCAAGTGGGCGCGAGTCGATCCAGATTGGTTCGATCGATCACTCATCCCTCGATCGAGATCCGGTGTCGCAACTCCCAAACTGCTCGCCTTGTTCCAGTTGTTGTACGTACTCTCGCTGCCGCACGCGTAAACGTACAAGATATTCCTGGCATAAAAAAGCACCGTGTCCAAATCAATTCCACCTTCAGAGCCATGGACGACGAAGATATCTGGCAGGAGAACCCCCAATTCGTACGCGACGCAGAATGGGACAAACTGTCGTCCGGGTTTACGAATGTACGTACGCAGGACCACTATGTGTCTGTTCACTGAGCGATTGTAACTGTGTAGGCTGGATACCGCGAAGGGATCACTGCAGGCAAAGAATCTGCCCTCCAAGCAGGCTTCGACGAGGGCTTTGCTCAAGTCGGCGCACCCATAGGACGGCAACTGGGCATCCTACGAGGCATCGCCTCCGCACTCCTATCTTTTCTCCAGGCTTCTCCCGCCACGCCTGAAAAGGCAGTGATTGTCGACGAAGTTCGCGCCATCGTCTCCCAGCTAGGGAGCATCCGCTTCCCTGACATCGCACCCCCAGACCTGGAGGCGGTGCGTCATGCGCGAGAGCATCTGGGCGACCGCAGACTCGAAGAGGCCGATGAAGCAGAGATGCCTGTCCCGGAAGAGGTACAGGAGAAGCGCTCCATCGAGAGCCTGGAGGACATGCTCGCGCAGATGGGTGGGGGCGCGGCAGAGACGGCGAAACGTCCTACCATGGACGATGTCAGCAAACTTCAAGCGCGCCTGCTTGCGATTTGCACACAGTTGGGCTTGTCACTGCAGTGGAGCTGAGGTTGCACCTGCGCTCGGGCAAACGGCAAGCATTGAGGGATCGCCGTGGCAGACTTTCACCACAAGGAACCACCGAGCAGCTGCCCCGCGATGGGTAACGTCATTGAACAAACTTTCAGCGCCGCGGTGCGCAGGTGACATATATTGTTCGTGAACAGTGCATTCCAGTGTTCGCCTCCAGATTTCCGACAACAGACTGACGGCGCATCAGACACCGGCTTGAGCTCTCGCCAGCTGTATCAGGCCACGAGGGACTCTGGTCTTCTGGAGGCATGGATTGTTGCGATGAACATAGCAGACGGGGCATCAGAGCAAGAAGTGGGGTGCAGGAGTGATTCCATTGTATGCATGGTCTACGGCCAGTCTGATGCACAAGACAGATAAATAAATCTACTTCCAAGAGATACGGATCGGGGCCCGCAAAAAGGATCGTCGACAGCGATGGATAGCAGCGCGTGTATGAAAAACACAAGACAATGAGCAAAGCTCCCTCAGCTCCAGACATCCGAGAGCATCCGGCTGCGCTCCTTCAGCAACTTAACCTCCGCCGCGCCCTCCACCTCCGCCGAGCCGCCCTTCGCCTCGCCCAATATCCTGCACAGCGTCTCCTCGACCGCCTTGCTCATGCTCCTCGCGTCACCGCAGATGTACACGTAGCCCTTCCCGTTTAGGATCGAGTCCGCGACGTGGTCGCGATCTTCCCAGAGCAGGTCCTGCACGTAGATCTTGCCGCCGTCGGGCTTGTACACCTCGCGCGAGAACGCACAGCGCATCGTGAACTTGCCGTGCAGCTCCTTCGCGTGCTCGGGCCACTCGTCCTTGTAGAGGAAGTCCTGGTCCGAACGCCGGCAGCCGAAGTAGAGGCGGATGCTGCCCCAGTCGGCGAGACCCTCTACACCGTTCTTCTCGATCGTACGACGAGCCATGGCGACACGCTCTTGCACGAAGCCGCGGAATGGTGCGACACCCTGATGATGTATTAGATTACACTCACTACTGAGGAAATGCGGTATAATCACAGTACCGGGACCGATCATGATGACAGGGCTCTTGGGGTTCGTCGGCAGCCTGAAGGTAGACCTCCGGACGTGGATGGGCGCTTTGAAGATGGTCTCCTGCTTGTACGCACTCCGCGGCCCCTCAATCGCATAGTTCGGCAACTTCGCGAGAGATGGGTTGTGCTTTGCGTCCTCAGCGAGCAGAGAGACGCTCTCGTTACCCGCGGCGAACTTGAGGTTGAGGATAAAGTTGGAGCCGACACCGTGGATCCAGCGCGTCTTGACCTTCTCGCTCTCGAGAGACTCGTACGCGAGGACGACGACGGTGACGTGGATCGAGTTCGGGTAGAGCTTGGGGCTGGACGCGATGGAGTAGTACCGGGGTTGGAGACGCGGGATGCTGGACACGATGATGTCGAAGGGGATCGCCCATGCCGTGGTGTTCTCCGGTGACGGCTCGACAGCAATGTCGTTGCCGGAAGCGAGCTGCAGGATCTCGCCGAGCTTGAGACAGCCATTCGCGACGACGTTGTTGTACTCGTCCTTGTTCGTGTTCAGCGTCTTCAGGAAAGCCTCGGCCTCAGGGTTGGGCGCGAACTTAGAAAGGACGCCGAGAATCTGACGTCCGGCGACAGCGCTAATGTCAATGTAGTGGCGTAGGACCGTGATGTACGTCGTCGGGACGGGGAATGGCACCTTGGCGAGCGCCGGGTCGAGCGACTCGATGTTGATGATCGTGTCCTTCTTCTCGTGCAGACCGAGCGCACAGAGCAGCCGGAGGACCTCGTTCTCAGCGTTGGATGGCCAGACACCGACGTGGTCGCCATGCTGGTACGTGATACCGGAACCCTCAGTGTTGAACTCCATGTGCACGCAGTTCCTCTCCGAAGGCTGCTGGAAGAGTTCCCGACCTACGGTGATAGGAGCAGGGTAGGGGTTCTTCGCATCGTGGATACCCTTGGAGCGGGTCAGAGCACGGGCAGACAATTCACCTGGACGGAGTCAGTCAGATACGAAAGAATTAAATGTCACAGACTTACCGAGGTAGACCTTCTCAGGCGGATGGGATTCGACCTCCGTAACAGCGAAGTCGGGAGTGTCACCGCCCTGGCCCTCCTCGACGTTCATCGCCTGCGCAAATGCCTCCCACATGCCATCCTTCCACTCCAGGTAGTCCTCCTCCATGCTCTTGTCGTCATCACCCTCGCCCCGCTCACCAATCCTGATCCCACCCATCTTCTCAAGATCGCGGTCGACGTTCTTCGCGATAAGGTTGTAGTGCTCGTACGTCTTGTTGCCGAGACCGAAGACGACATACTTGACACCGGGCAGCTTGTGCTCGCCGTTGCTGAACTCGAAGGACTCGTCCGAGAGGTTCTGGCAGAGCGTGACAGCGTTGTCAGTCGGCTCGCCCTCACCATAGGTAGCCACGACGAAGAAGACACAGCAGTCCTCCGGGATCTGGTCGAGTTTCTCGAAGTCGTACTCCTCGGGGTCGCATACGAGCGATGCCAGACCGAATTTCTGCTTGGCTTCCTTGGCGAGACGGATGGCGTATTCCTCTGCGGTACCAGTTTGAGAACCGTAGAAGATGACGATGCGCTTTTTCTGAAGTCAAGGTGTCAGCATACAGGGAGAATTGCGATGCACAGTCACAGCTGCGGGGCACAGCGTACATTCGTCGCAGCGTCCCCGCCCACGACCGATACTTACAGCATCCTTCATCTTCTGGACGAAATCGCGGGGGTCGCCGCCGCCTGCATTTGCGGTCTTGGGGAGCGCTATAGGCGTGGACTTGGGTTTGGAGGCGAAGAGCTGGTCCCGGAACAGGTAGACTGCTGCGAGGACCAGGCCGACGGCGAGAACAATTATGTCCGAGTTCGACGCCATGGCGGGCGACGGCGAGCGACGACGACCGGGGGAGGACTACGGGGTTGGAGTAGGGTAGGGGAGAGGGCTATGAGCGCGAATAAGCACCTGAGACCACTTTTATTCGCGCAGTCTCTCCGACAGGCGCTTCTTCTGCTGTCAATCGCGCCTCGTCAGATCCCCGAAATCGCCAGCCACGCTGTGTTCTTCGGAGCCTGCATTCCTCCTGCCCGCCCACCGCGGACGAGCAGTTCTGGCGCACACAAACTTGACACCAACTTTGCGCTTCTCTTTCCTGGCCTCAGTCAATGTGGACCGAAGCGTAGTACTCATACCACTAAACCAGTGCCAGTGAAACATCCGACTTACCAGAAACGAGCGACGCCTTACATTGATGTGTAACTCGGATGTCAGGTGAGTCGAAACAAAATCGGACACCCAATACCCCGCCTGCAGCATGTACACTACTTATCTGGTGTCAAATGTGAGTCCGGCTGTCCGAGATAGAGCGGTCTTAAATAATAAGTAGTGCCGAGTTAAGGCGTGGCTCTCTTGGTACACGCCCTTGACTCGGAAGCTTGAGGCTCGGCGCCCGCTGTTGTCATGAGTAGGTATTATATTAGACTTCATCAATATGACGAGTTGCTGTTTAGTACTCGGTGCGGCGTTCGGACAGCCCAGTCATCACGTTCAACGTTCGATGACGACGTAACTACTACTATATGTAGGCCTAGGTTCGCAATAGCGCACTCCTCCGCTGACGGTTGGAAATGTGTTGCTATATGTAACTTGGGATATTGTGCGTGGTACGTCGGTGAATGTGCGGCCAGACTAAAGTAGCTAGCCATCTCGGAACGGGCGACTACTTCACCATTCCTTCCGATCCAGAGCCGAGCATGTACAAATTCCTGTATCGCCTTCACAGGCATCGTGATAGCTCATATCGCTCGATGCAATGAGGTGTCCACAATCTCGCTGACACTGACTGTGCGTAGCAAGACATCCCGAAGGGTCTCCCAGTGCCCTTGATCAACTATCCCCGAGAGAACCCTAGCTGGAAGTAATCAGCGAAACGAGGTGCGCACCTTGGCATAGAATACACATTATTAGTGTCAAGGCGGCACGACGATGTCGCGCAAAGCTTGAACCGACAGCAACTTGACACAGAGCGCTCGCAGAGGCGTGGTGGTCATGTCGGATTGGCTACGACTTATCAACCATACCTAACAAGATTAAAGCCAATCCCAGCATTTGCGCAAAGGGCACAGTGGGAAGACATAGTAATCCGGACGCCTGTACTTATAGCATTTGCAGTTGCGGAGGAAAGCATGGAGGATCTTGGGAGGATCAGGGAGGGTGCCCTAGATTTGACGCCAGACGCGAGACACGCTCGCGCTCAATGCTCATCACGTGGAACGCGTAGCGCCAGGCAGACCGCGAAAGTGTCACTGTGGCTGGCACTCGCTGCCGCCGCCGCCGTACACTGATCCGTATTCCCGACAAGCCCGCAGGACGCGGCCAGCCACTCCCTTGAGCTCCTGCTAGCCATCTTTGTGCTTGGAAATGCTCAGGGCATCCTGCCTCAGACCAACCTTTCATCGCACCTACCTATTTACTCCCAGATTCACTCTCGTCCATCCCACATTCCGTACTCGGCTTCGACTCTCCTCCACCAGTGTCCCGCCACCTCTCCGACCATCAGAGGAGATACAACCAGACCGTTCAGAGCCTTCGAAACAAGAGCCCGAGAAGATCACGTCACCTAATGTCGATGCACTCAAGGAAGTCAGAGAGCGGGTGCAGCAATGGTCGACGCACACGGCTACGGCCGCGCGCCAGCGGATAGACCAGTACACCGCAACCCTAGCACGGTCATTCTCGCAACTCGGGAAGGAGATCAACAAGATGACGGGATACGGAGAGATCGAGGAGCTGAAGCGGCTGGTGGTGGCACAGGGTGAGCCTACAACGCGAGTGATACCGTGCCGCACCTTGACGCCGCTCTGCACGGACAGAGGCGCGGATAGAGGCAGTCCGGCGGGAAGCCCGTGAATCCAAGGAGGCGTACGACACCGCCGTTCGGCAGCGCGCCTCGTCACAGCGGGAGGTGAACGACCTCCTGCAGCGCAAGTCGACCTGGTCGGACCAGGACGTGATCCGGTTCACGGAGCTCGTGCGCAAGGACCATCTACACGAGCAGGAGGAGACGCGGGCGAAGCTCGCCGCGTCCACCGCGGAGGATGCGGTGGAGCGCGAGTTCAGCGAGCTCATGCGCGTCATCCTGAATCGCTACCACGAGGAGCAGGCGTGGTCGGACAAGATCCGCAGCGCGTCGACGTACGGCTCGCTCGCGGTCATGGGCGTGAACGTGTTTGTGTTTGTGGTGGCGATCATGTTCGTCGAACCGTGGAAGCGAAAGAGGCTTGCGCAGACGTTCGAGCGCAAGGTTGAAGAGATGTCGGCGGAGAACGCGGCGATGCTCGAGAGCAAGGCGGACGCACTGGTCAAGCGGATGGACTCCCAGGACCGGGCATTGACGCAGATCATGGAAACAGTCTACTACTCAACTCAGCCGCCTGAAGTGGTGTCAACGGTAGTTGCGGAAGCGGCTGACGCAGGTGGACGTGCAGTGGGACGGACTCGGATTCTACACGTACTGACTTCTGATCGAGCCATTGCCCTTGCAATCGCGTCAAGTGCGGCGGTCGCAGGCGTTGTAGGTTGGCTAGCTCGCACCTGGTACGGCTAGCAGCGATGTATCTAGAGAAGAAGCTACTAATGACTGTACTGCTTCACTACTGTCAGTGAGGACAAGGCTATTATCCCAAGGTCAGTGTGTCCGAACCCCTCTTGGCGTGCCATGAGCTTCTAGCCGTCAATATCGCGAGCATGGCTGGATCAAGACGCATGGCCATCGCGCCGGACTCAAGGACACACCATCTGGAAAAACAACAGGTTCGTCCCCCAAGGGTCCCTCATCAATGCAGCTAGATGCGTGGAAAGCATGAAGCTCGTACATGCATTTAATTGTCGTGATGAAGGCCAGAAAAAGCACTCACTGGAGGGTTTCTTCCCGGTTCAAGCCTGCGTCCAGACTACTGCGATCTATGTCGCCGCTAAGATGGGTCCAGGCAGCTATGATACGAGGTAAACTTGAAGAGAGCTTGCGAGCTAGGACGAACGAAGCTGACCAGTGGAGAGAGCGTGCAAGGAGTTATAGGGTCCGCACTTGTCATCAGAAAGACTGGACTGAACTTGCAGCAGTGTATATGATCAGCCAAGGGTCGCACATCGTCTGGGGAGGTGCGTGACAGGCCGAAGACGAGAGTGCGTGTGCCCAAGTTCGAGACAATGTACAGCAGTGGAAAGCAGCTTCCAGTCATAACAGGTCATCAGAAGCTCTTCGCGAGAGCACAATTAAGAAACGTTCGGGGAAGACAAGTCAATTCGTCGAAGACGCGAGTATGTATGCCCAATATCGAGAAGGGGTAAAGCACCTGTAAGTAAGCAGTTTCAGTCATGCCAAGCTGCCGAAGAATCTGAGCGAGATCATCATGGTCAAAAGAGAAACTGACTTGTGAGCAGAAAGAGAAAGAAGCGCATCCCATATACTGTACCCGGCACGAGAGGCTCACAGTGACACAGTGATTTCAGTGAAGGCGCGATCTCCAAACCAACTGCACCTTCACTTGACGGTCTGCCTCTTGAGCGGGGTCCCGGTTTGCCTCAAGTCACTTCTGTCAAAGCATCAAAGAAGCAATTGCTTTCGCTGCGACTCGAGTGACTCAGTCCGGCAGTCTTAAGTAGCTGGATGCTTTATGACGGTACATAAATATATCGACGCGCCTAATTTGTGTGCGCTTGCGGCATGTAGTCTTTCCCAGTACTTAGGATAATTCCCGCAAGGCACGGAATCTAGAGGCAAAGTCGAACATTGACAACGGCGTGGACCGAATCCGCACGGCTTGAATTATGGGCGCTCGACCTCTGTATGACGTAAGGCCATGAATGACACGAGCGATCGGCTTCGGGCGCTTGCCTCATGGGAGGCCGATGTGCAAGGGAGGCCATCCACTCCCTTCTCCGTACCCATTCCTGAACGCCTCTGCCCACCAGGACGGACACAGACTAGTCTCATCTTGCTTTGACTAGTTACTTCCAGACATGAGGGTCGTCGCGACGTTCCACCAGCCATCCTCCGTCGTGTCCTCGGCGAAATGCAATCTAACAGCCACCCAGGAATTCCTTGTGGTTGGGAAGACAAACAGAATTGAGTATTCTCGCTGCAAACTGACGGGTTGCGCAAGGAGTGTAGTCTTGAAATATGGGGCAGAGTGGTGTCTGTCAAAGCTCTGCCGGTGAGGTCCAGTGCACCTTCAGACTACCAGACAAAGCTAATGCGCGGAATGTAGACCGGAGATGCGTCCAAGATCCTCGTCCTTACAGATCATCCGGACCCTAGACTGATGGTCCTAGAATACACAACTGAAGAAGAAGGGAAGCCCAGCCTTGTCAGTAAGGATCATGTCGAGCTGCATGATCGCTACGCTCGTCCGGCCGAGTTCGTTACGGACGTGCTCGTGGATCCCTCAGGACGAATCGCTGTAGTCCATTGCTACACCGGCAAGCTAAAGCTCGTCGAATTCAAGCATGGAAAGAAACCACAAGCGATAGACGTCTCGTGCGTTCGTCCCATCTATCCTTCGCCCTCACTGACGTCCTCTGCCTCAGCATCCCAGAACTCTACATCGTCGCTCTCACGTTCCTGCACACAGAGGCAGACACATACGCACTCGGCATCCTGCACTTTAACTACCAACAACAACTCCAGCTTCTTTCCCGTGACATCGACCTCGACAACTTCGAACTCTCGCCCACCCCCTCCGTGATCATCCGTTCGTCCATCCTCCCCTCTTCCACCTTCCCGGAGACAGATACCCCGCCCCTACTCGTTCCCGTTCCTCCATACACCTCTCCCGAGGTCGACGACGACGACTATGACGACGACGAGGAGAGCCGCCGGAGCCACCGCGGCGGCGTGCTGGTGCTCGGCGGGCGCAAAATTCTGTTCGTGGAGAACGAGAGCCGCGAGCAGCAGGAGGTGAAGCGAGGGAAGCAGCGGCGCGTGAACGAGCGCCTCTCGAACGGGGACTCGAAGCAGATGCTGAAGGCGAAGGAGAAAGAGAAGGAGCGCGATTCGAGGAAGGTGAAGCCGCGCCTACGGGTGAACTGGCCGTGGAGCGAGATCGCAACGTGAGGATAGTTCCCTCCTCGTCCTACACTGGGATGTTCAATGTTCCTTAATATAGATGCTGCTCCCTAGGCGAAGACAGGCGACGGTTCCTCATCGGCGACGCCTACGGCAGACTCGCTATGCTCGCCTTCACCGACCCGCTCTCCCTCATCCTCCTCCCGCTCGGCACGACGTCCCCCGCGACGACACTCACGTACCTCACCTCCCAGGTTCTCTATCTAGGTTCGCACTTTGGCGAGCCCCAGCTCCTCCGCGTCTCGCCCACACCCATCGCGGACCTCGACGCGGACACGCTACCGATGCCGAAGGGCATCGCGACGGTGGAGCCGTCTGCGCTAAGTGGTTCGGGGTCGTCGGCGAAGGGGAAGGGCAGGGCGGATCGGGAGTGGGACTTGGGCGCGAGGGAGGGGAAGGACGGAAAGGTCGTCAGCACGAAGGGGAGCTATGTGGAGGTTGTCGAGCGGTGGGAGAATGTCGCGCCGATTGTGGACGCAGCGATGGCCGACCTGGAAGGCAGTGGGCAGGTATGTATACCAATCAATGGGTGCATGGAGAATGCAAGACTGACACTCGCTATGCGATGCGCGTAGCCCCAGATCATTACTTGCTCAGGAGGTCGAAACAGCGGCTCGTTGAAGGTCATCAGAACAGGCGCGGATTTCCAGGAGAGGGCGGTAGTCGAAGGCCTGGCGAACGTCGCCAACATCTGGCCTGTCAGGTCTCGCTTCGGGGATACGTGAGCACATCCACGTCGCGTCCGTATACAAATCCTCATCTCAACGCTCACCGAAACCCACACAGCGTCGACAGCCACATCATCGCGTCCACCCTTGAGGAGACGTACGTCTTCCGCATCGACGGCGCTGACTCCCTCACACGGCTCGACCCCGGCACAGACGGGCTCCTCGCGTCCGTCCCCACACTTGCGGTCAAGAACGTCCCGCGGCGGACGGCCGCGAGCGGCAAGTCCGCGTACGTCGACTCGTCGCTCGTCGTGCAGATCACGCCTCAGAAGGTGCGCCTTGTCGAGTACGATCCCGCGCTCGGGCAGTTCTCGCTCGTGAGCGAGGGGTGGGACGCACAGAAGGAGGGGCGGAGCGTCGTCGCGGCGGACTTGAATGCGAGCCAGATTGTGTTGGGTTTGGGCAGGGGTCGCCTGGCGCTGTGTAATTTGAGTGACAGCAAGCAGTTCCAGATACTCAAGTACGCTTGATGCCGTCCTTCGTACTGCTCGTCCGTGTAAACTAACGTTGTAACAGGCATCGAGATTTCGCCGACGCAACGTACGGTCCGCTCGAGATCGCCGCGGTGTCGTGTGCGCCCTTCGACCCGACCAAGAATTACGCGACCACGATCGCGGTCTCCTTCTGGGGCACAAACCGCGTCGCGCTCCTCTCGCCTGCCTCGGCGGAATCGTACCTCGGCACGATCTGCGAGGTCTCCCTCCCGTCCCTGCCGCGCTCGCTGCTCCTGCACAACTTCGGGGCGGGGCGGAACAAGAAGGAAACGGACTTTCGCCCGCACGTCCTCGCGGGCCTTGCGGACGGGAGCGTCGTGTCGTTCAGTGTCAAGGAGAAGGAGGGCGAGATGGGCGACAAGAAGTTGTTCTCGTTGGGCGCCGCGCCTGTGGCGTTCACGACGTGTGTTGTGGACGGGCGGAGAGCGGTATTTGCGAGCGGGAGCAGGGCGAGTGTTCTGTACTGGGACCGGCAGAGGCTGCACCAGTCGCCTGTCATGCTCAAGGTGGGGCCTATCGCTGTCTCGGCCTCTTTTGACTCGAGCTCAAGTGTTGCGTTCACTGTAGGAGCCGGTGGTTGCGGCGAGTCTCAACGCGCCTGCTTACCCGTCTTGTCTCGTGCTCGGCACGCCGTCTTCGTTGCTCATTGGCAACGTGCGCGGTGTGGACAAGATGCAGATCAAGACCGTCAGTGTGTACTTCACTCTCCTAGGGGTTAAATTGACACTGTTGTAGGTGCCTTTGGGTCTGGAGAACCCGCGAAGAATATCGCATCACGCAAAACTAGAGCATTTGTCGTTGCATGCACTCGGACGACACCCCCGCGTGTCGGTGATGCAGAAGACAGGATCAGTTCTCTAAAGGTCCTTGATGATATACGTTCAATCGTAAGCCACCGCCTTTACATGACGTATGCGATGGTCATTCAAATCGTTTTAACAGCGTTGGCATCGTTCACTTGCGAGCCAGGTGAGGAGATCACGTCAACATTGGCGCTATCAGGAGCAGACGAGCATCCAAGTCCATGTTCAATCTGTATCGGTACCGTCGAGTTTCAGGTTGACGAGCGCGAGCCATCTGCGGGTCGTATCATCCTGTTCTCGCTGGACTCGAGCGCAGGCTCCGCCTACACGCTCAGGATGCTGGCTTCGCACGACGTAAGCGGATGTGTCTACCAGCTGGTCAACATCAAGGGCATGATTGCCGCTGCTGTCAACACTTCGGTACGTGATCTCAATACGCTATATAAGACATCAATCTCATGGTATCCCGTAGGTGATGCTGTTCAAGACCGAGACTGTGAACGAGTCGACCCTTCAACTGCGCAAGGTGTCTGAGTGGAACCACAACTACATCGTCACCAGTCTTGTCTGCAAAGACCGAACCCTCGTCGTGGGGGATGCTATCAGCTCGGTCTCAATGCTGAGCATCGACGGCAGTGGCCAACTCAAATGCAACGCGCGGGACTACGCACCTCTGTGGCCAGTCGCAATTGAGACCATCGGTAATGGTGGTGTCATTGGAGCCAACGTGAGTTTACCTCGACTTGCTGTGCAACGTTGCCTCACTCGCTGTCACATCATTAGAGTGATTGCAATCTCTTCACCTTTGCGAGATCTAACGACCGTTTGACGTTGGAGAGGGACGGAAGCTACCACATCGGAGACGTCGTCAACAAGTTCATTCCAGGTATGCACTGTCTTCCAAGAGCCGCAACGCGTGCTCATCTACGGAACAGGTGGTCTTGGCTCCGCTGACCTCACGAACAAACTGCTCGAGTCCAAACTCGTCTTCTTCACATCGACAGGGCGCATTGGCGTCGTGCTCGAGATGAGTGATGAGGTCTCCCTCCATATGACTGCGTTGCAGCGCAACATGGCGAAACATGTCATCGGGTCTGGCAATACCTTCCATGCGAGGTATGTTATACATGTCTGTCCATAATTCGGCACTCACGCTTATTGTTTCTGCTCTAGATGGCGAGCACCCGCAAATTCGAGGGGCCACACCGACGCAGAGGCAGCGTTCGGCTTCCTCGACGGAGACTTTTTGGAGCACTTCCTCTCGATTCCAGATTCATACAAGTTCCTCAAAGGCGACAACGAAGCCGAGCGGATATCCCTTCCTAGTGCTCAAATTCAAGATGTATTGGAAAAGCTACAGAGCTTACATTGAGTAGCCTACGGGGATGTATCCTGGTGTGTCCGAGTGAGAGATGTATGTGAATGGGTCGTGACGGGTCGTGACAAGGACTAGATGCTACGAGACAGCAGATCTGTATAAATAGCAATATGCCTTGGGTATTATGTACTACTAACGAGAATAGAAGAACGAGGTGAGGAAGGATACTGGAACCGAGGCAAAGGGCTCGATATCGTCTTCCAATTCGCGAGGAGCGAAAAAGAATCCACAAAGCAAACAAGGTAACTGTGAAGACATCCATGAGCTCAGACTGTATCGCAAGGTGTGGGAGATCCTCACCTGAGAATAAGGATACTTCCACGGTGATAGTTGCTCTTGGCTTCGATATACGTGTAAGTGAGGAGGAAGACTGACAGAATGATCACAATGACATCCCAGCGAGGGAAAACCATCCTATAGTGTGCCAGAATCAGCCTCGCGTACTGATGCTCAGAAGTGAGGCAAGACATACGTGAAGGTATCGCAATAGCTCCCATTTTCTCCGGGGCATACCAGGCAGAGAACGCGACCATAGCAGGGATCTGGAGTAGACAGACTTGCAGGGCATAGGCAGAGCCGATCTCCATGCTTCGAGTATGTCAGCATGCTGTCTAGACAGTGCACGAAGTCCGCACTCACCTCAGCGAGATGTTGCCGTTGATAGCGAACGAGATGGCGTTCATGAACTCGGTGGTGTTCGGTACCAGGGCGAAGAGTGTCACACCGAGGAACTTCTCGTCGATACCGGACCCCTCGAGGACGACATCGACAACGTCCACCAGCAATTCTAAGATGCCGGTCAGCTCAGAGATTCTGATGAGCAGTGTACGCCAACTTACCTGCGATGATAGCGTACAGAGCCGTGCACCCAAGCAACACGCTCGCACTAGTCGTGCGGCTCCAAGACGGGGCATCATGACCACCATGCCCCCCTGCTGCCTCCGCTTCCGCAGCCGACAACCGTGCCCTAGCTGGCGACCGCGCATACTCGTGCTGGTGCCTCAGGGCACTCACCGTAGCGACAGCAACGGCTCTGGTGAAGTCGTCAGTAGTGATGTTCTCCGGGAGCGCGTCGGGTGGAAGCCGGTGTCCTTCATGACGTCGTCGACGCTCTCCATCATCGGTGCCAGGCTCTGCTCGGCGGCACCTGTCCGGGCACGTACGATACTCGGCGCGCTGAAGTCGAAGGCGGGACAGTCGCGCTGGCCGACGACGACGATCCCGCATGGCCGTGAGCAGGTACGTTCAACACGGATGCCGTAGGGGTCTGGTTTCGCGAGTCTACGCCGTCGATGGTGATGTTGACTGCGCTCGACTTATGCGACAGACTGTGGGACGGCCGCGTCGCGCTGTTGAGAGCTGAGGGGACGAGCCGGTGGTAGAGTGACGTGCGCTGTTGGCCGCCTGCCATCTCAGCAGAGTGCAGGAGTTGCTGGGGGTTCTGCCAGATCTGACTGGCGTGCGTCCGCAGCGAGAACCACAGACCAATGAGGTAAGACTGGGCGACACTGAGGTCAGCATGCCACCAGCGATCAATGTTTGCAGCACTTACCAGAAGCAGAGTGCCGGCACAGAAGTACATCAGCGTCTTCACCGTTGACTGGTAGAAGGGGTCGTCGACAGGGTCCGGATACTTGTAGTAGCAATGCTGGCAAACCCACGGTCCAGATGATCCCTCGGGCGGGCAGCCCTCGCATACCAATTGGAACTAGCCGGCTATGAGATCAAAAGCGCATGGAATGACGACAAATCGAACTTACGTTCCCATATGTCTGGTAGAAGAGCGTCGGCGCGAGGGTACCGATGATAGCCATGATCAACAGCATACTCGTAACCCCCGCGCTCTTGGAGTTGAACCTCTGTTCCTTCGTCCGCAGAGCAGCCCCACACATACTCGATCCAGGCATGAGCAGCACCCCCGCGAGGATACTCCCAATGATGGACCCCTCGACGAGGTGTCCTTTGCCCTGCGTGAGCGCGATACAATAGAGGAGATCTCAATGATGGAGCCGAACGTAGCGTTGATGACCGCCCCCATGCCGATGGATGACTGCGCCGAGATGGACGCGACGCCATGCCGATGAAGTACGACAGCGGGATGACGCTCGCGAGACTCAGCAGGAAGATCAACGGGCGCGACGTCAGGAAGGCGAGCACCGCGGGGACGTGGATGCCCGCGTTCTCGCGCCGCTCCGCTATCTTCAACAAGACGAAGCCGTCGAAGATGACGAAGAACACGATGGGCATCAGGTTGACGAATAGATGTTCACGCCGCCGACGGTGTACTTGTAGTACTTCCACCCAAATGCCCTGTACGTGCACAGGAGTACGGTCGACGTGGGCGAGCCGAAGGGTGCAATTTGGCCCGCGGCCAACCTGGCAGGCTTGAACGATACGGCGGGTTCTGCGGAGGTAGCGTTATCATCGCCCTCTGGCTGCTCGGCCACAGCTACGACGGGGGCGGCGCAGAAGCGAATGTGCGTCGGCTGCTCGACAAGGTACTTCACCAACTGCCAGTTCAAGCGTGCCATCGGTATCGCGAAGATGCTGCCCCAGCAGATGACGGAGACCAGCAGCATGAGGGGCGCGATGACACATACGAAGATGACCCTGAAGAGTGTCCTCCCAAGGAAGTCGCCGTGCTTGCCTTCGGACACTCCGATTGAGTATGCCACTGGCTGCGCCCTGGGTGCGGAGCCCGTCGCGCCGTATGACTTGGACGGCTTCAACCGCGGCGCGCTTCGGTGACCTAGGAGCGCAGTCGCACTAGTGGGCTGAAGGCCCTGCGTATCGTTCCAGGACGCAGATTGCGGATGTTGCGCAGTAGAGTTGGCCGATGTAGGTGCGATGTCCCGGGAGTAATGGTGTCGTGGCTGGCGTCAGATGAATGCCCGGTCGGCGTAGATTCCACATCGCTCGCGGTCGAAGAACGCTCCTCGTCTTCCTCGTCAGGATGCTCAAGGATGGTATCAGGACGGTTCCCTTCACCGTTTGATAGCACGGAGGCGAGGTCGCCTTCGACGTACTTGCCGAATGGCCAGGCGATGTACCAGCCCAAGCCAAACATCAGCGTAGCATATTGCCTGCCGCCCCTGGGCACGAAATAGAGCAGGCCGGATGTGATGAAGCAAGATAAGGCGAGCCACCAACCGAACAGGAGTGTCCAGAGGATGTTGCCCGGGAGCAGATGTCGCTCCGCCTGGGCCGAAGGGACTGAGTGCAACTCCTGGTCAGCGTAGCGCGTCACCGATCGCGACTTCTTGTACAACGCGGGTTTCCAGATGGGCAGGCCAAAGGGGTGCTCGACGTTGATGAGGGACTGACGATCCTTCAGTGTTATCGGGTCGTCTTCGCGCTCCTCGTCTGCGTCTGCACCCTCGTCCGCCTCCTCCTCGCCACCCTCCTCCGCGATGCCGACGCTGCCGGTGTCCTCGTCCTCGTCTTCTTCGCTCAGCATCCCTGGGTCCTCACCCATGGCTCTCGCAGTAGCGTGCGAGCTGGTGAGACTCGTGCTCCGGACGGGCCGTCTTCTCGAAGTGACAGACGCGTTGCGCATCGTGTGTTTGTTTCGTTTGGGAGTCGGGGATACTGGCCGGGGAGCTTCTGGGAAGTAGGACGTGCCCTGATGGTGGTGTCGAGGGGTGTCCGGCACGGACCACTGCGACGAACGACTGACGCTGCGGTGCAAGGGGAGACGGTGTGCGAACGCGGAGGTCGCGGGCGTCGTACCTGGCGTCACGGGCGAGCTATTGATACCCTCGCCTTCCTGATCCGGTACGCTGGACATGGTTCACACTGACAGCTGCGGACGCGTTTCACGCGTGCGCTGCAGCGGGGCAGAGCGACGAAAGGGGAAGAGAGTAGGAGAGTCGCTGTGGCGATTGAGATAAACGTACTGACCGCGGCGACGGCGACCCTCCGGCAAGTCGTCGAGACTCTCCTTTGATCACGGGACCGCCCAGTACGATCCCACTGATGCCCTGGAAAGGCTATGACGCTCGTCCGAGTCGCCGAGTCCTCAGAAAGCTACATAGCCTTCTGCCTGGACCTTCCTGCGATGTTTCGGCTCAGGTTCGCTCACTGTTCGCTGCTCACTGCAGCAATGCGACAGCTGTGTCAACTGTTCGGGATATGTGACTACGACTTCTGAGTCCCTGGCCATACAACTTACGAGTTGCAGGCACCCGGGTACGGAGTCACGGAGTAATACAAGAATAGTACCTTACAACAGGCTACCTCCCTGGGGACCTAGACCAGGGCTCAAAACGTACAGGCGGACGTCAATAAGCATATCCACGATTTTCATGGACAACGCCTTGACAAATCGGTCACTGCGCAGTGCTATACCTGTCTAGACAACTCGAGTGTCTAAACTCTATAGATCTAAGGGGGGTACTGTACATTATACAGCCGAATTACAGACGAGCACGGATCTTCTCTGCCAGTACCTTTGCTTCTTCATCATCAAGCTCGTCGCGAGACTCGGTTTCCATCTTGTGCATTTCCTTCTGGGTGAGCGGCTTAACGACGTGGTCCACCTTAGCTGTATCCGAGGTGGGTTCCGACGATCCTGGCCTCGGTGCGGGTATTATATGGTAATGAACCTTCAGGCAGAACTCAGCGAAGGTTATATGAAGTGGAGAAGGCAGGAAATACGTGTGGAACTGCTTGCGCGTATTCTTGATTACAGACAACGTTCAGAGCCGTGTTCTGCAATGCTAGCGGTAAGTGGTGTCAGCGAAATGCACGTCGCTCTATCGCCTATCGCGCAACGGTCGAGCATCTACCTTCAGTCATAGCACGCGCAACCGTCGAGACCGCCATCCCGACGGCGGCTGCAGACTCCGGAGGCAGCTCCGAGACGCGAGCGTAGTGAGTCTTTGGAACCACCAGCGCGTGTCCGGGGCGGAGAGGGAGGATATCTACAAGAGGATGAGCGAGCTCGTACAAGTTGGTCGGCGATTCATACCTAAGAATGAAGTGACGAGGTCATTCTCATAGAGAAGGAAAGCTTGAGCGTCCCCGCGAATAATGCGACAGAAAGGACAGTCAGGATCAGCTTTCCAGGCTTCTGCCACAGGTCTGTCCGTGTGAGCCTTGATGATGAAGGAAGTCATCTAGCGCGAGTCTCTGGTGACCTATGTGAGACAGGGGAGGGCAGTACTGGCAGAGGTGACAGACTTGCTTTACACACACACCATGGATTCGCAGAGAACGTAGCGTTGTGCTGTGAGTGTGGGATCAACAATATGGATTGAGAAACGACGTGCAGAGGGTGAGGTAAATATTTAATTGAAGGTGGGAGTTAGCGGACCCTAACCCCATTGGGACGGACACGAGTCTCGGATGCTTGACGCGGGAGGCTCAGCGCTCAGATCCTGGCCGCTATGCATTGGTGATGGGGCTTTTCACGAGGAGGGCCGAACACCTGGAGAGCACCCTCCCCGACAGCCAGAGTGCCGTCTCCTTCCGCGCGCTCCGTGCTCGATTCGTGAGTCCATCCACAGTCCAACGTGCTCCGTTTTGCTCAGCCCAGGCCTTAATAGTACGGCAATGGCAAGGGCAAGGGCAAGGAGCGCGACCTCGACGGCGACTCCGCGACCAGCTCTACCGCATCCCCGTCTCTCTCTTCACCTTACGCTCATTCCGATAAACAATCCTTCGTCTCGGCACGAGCCTCGGATCCGCGTGGTCTCTACAAGCAGTCACAGCGGGTCGCCTCCACGACCTCCATATCACTTGCGCGCCATGCGGAGACCGTCAGCGAGCCAACAGGCCCTCGGCCGTCGACGGATGTAGTAACGTGGGTTCTTTAATCTGCGCTGGTTGCCAATTGGTGCTGAGTGCACCTAGGATAACACTGGCGCAGCGTCTGAACGAGTTGGCCGCCGCCAATTCAGAGGGTCTGCTCAGGTGCGTCCTCACGTCTACGGCGTGCCGTTCATGTGCCCACGTATTGCGCAGTGACGATGAATACCGTCTCCTACGGCAAAATCTCTTCGAGAGATTCGCCAGCAACTCACAAATCCCCTCGGAGACGCCTCTCGTGCCCATATCTGGCGGTGGTCACGGCGCAGGCGGTAGTCGCAGTGAGTGCGACTTCTCGCTTCCCATGGTCGTCAAGCTAACGATGGCTCAGTATCCATCTCTTCCTATGACCGCCGACAATCCTCTCAGTTCTATGTACAGTCTTCTCGGGCCTCGTCCGTCCAGTCCAAGAGTTCGCTCACTGCCAGCATCGGCGGACTCCTCAAGCGAGCAGCTAGCAAAACCCGACGTGTCGTGTCCTCCCCATCCGACCTGGGTGATGCGGCTAGTTTATTCTCCACCCATTCCAACGGGGATTGTACGCGCACGCCTCCACGCACACTCACTTCTCGAGCAAGTGAGTCGTCGTTCAGAAGCGGCCATGATCGTGCGCGCGCCCCGCAACTTCGGCCCATCCTCACTCAGTCTGAACCGGATGGCTCGAATCCGCGACTGTCTCGAGGTAGGAAACGATCCGGTTCATCTGCCCCACCGTCGGCCTTTCCTGGGACAGCGTCCATACTCGAGCCGACCAGTCCCACGATGTTCGGGGAGCCAATGCCCAGCGACGACGAAGTGCAGTCAGCCAAAGACATCCGGCATCACATAGAGCTCGTCGAGGCGGAAGGGAGGCGACTACTAGACGCGTTCAACGGCCTGGAGTTGAGCACCCTGACGCGACGTCACAAGCGTCCCCACCTGCGGCCCACAATCCCTATGAGCCCCTCCGCAGAAAGCTCTTCCGTTCATACAAATGACGCGCCCTCGCTGCACACTACGAGAGACATGGACGCGCTATCCTTCAAGTCCGGCGGATCGGGCCCGCGGACGCCCTCAAAGCGGCGCTCGCCCTCGGGGCCGCGCAAGATGAACGCGTCGACGTCGACATCCTCTACGACGCTGACATCCCAGCCATCCAAAACCGCGAGCCGCAAAGGCTCCATCTCGTCCATCTCCTCCCGCGGCCGGTCGGGGCTCAGCTATCCCGGCCTGTCGCCGTCTTACGGCATGGCGAGCAGCTCCAGCGTCAACCTCGCACGGAGCATGAGCCACCTGCCGCTGGAGACCGTGGCAGAGACGGAGGGGCCCGCCGGCGGCCACCGCAAGTCGAGCACGGAGGAGTCAAAGTGGACAGGCGCCACGCTGGCGCCGGACGTGCCGCCGCTCCCCGGGCGCGGGCCCAAGAGCCCTCTCCAGGCGGGGGACGAGGACATCCGGGCGATGGAGACCGAGCTCGCAGACATCCGGAGGCGGCGCGTGGAGGTGACGGCGCGGTACGAGGAGCGGCTGGAGTATCTGCGCGCGCGGCTGAAGGGCGCGGAGCTCCGCGAGAAGGTGATGAGGAAGTGATTCAGATCCTGGTTCGTGGTACCGGTGGCCTCGATACCGATGCTGCCGCGTCCATGTCTATTTGCATATACGCCCTGGCCCGACGCCCACTCCACGTCCCTTTGTTACGACGATATATGGCCCGAGATTTCGTTTCACTATAGCACTGCTGTCCGTACTATTACGATACCCCCTGGTACCTCCGCCGCGAGCTGTGTAATAGCCTTCTCTCTATCTCGACTGCCCAGCCTATTGGTTACAGCGAGATAATTTACATAGTTCCGCGAACTCATTGCGCTGTAAATTACGTCTGTGCGCAACAGTTGGGATATTACGATGACAGCTGACGTCTGAGTACCGAAAGTCGACGAAGATCGATGGCGGATAGCTGACCGAATAATGAACCTACCTACGAACCCAGATGGCACGTTCAAATTGACAATGGCATATGGAGCAGCTGAGTAGTCTTGTCATTCAATCGACATCGACATAGTCCCATCCTCGTTCATATTGACTTGTGTCTCAGACTCGTCAGGGATGTCTTCCGCCTCTATCGTGCCCCTCTTCGCACCCAAGAATTTATCCATAGGTCCGGCCGCAGCTGGGGCAGGTTTCTTCTTCCTTTTCTTGCCTTCCTGGTCGTCATCAAGTAAATCTTTGACTTTGCGCTTAGCTTGTGACGAAGGTATTGACGCGATGATCTCTGCAACCAAATGAGGGGGGACGCGCAGTTGTATGGTAGCGCACATACCATCCATGAAGATGAACTCGTCTCTACGCGAGAGCGACGCTATGAGCAAAGAGTTGCACCGTCAACTTTGACTGAGCCATCTGATTCAAGGGCAACACGAACCGACGTCTTTGTACTGAGCCGTAATACGGCCATCCTTGCGCACCATGCTGTCTACCGCGGCAGCTAATCGCATTGTAAAGTCTTCCGCAGCCGCGGCGAAAAGAAATACGGCTTCCTTCTGCACCATGGGTAGCTCCTACACAGCCCTTAGTACCTTTACAGCAGTGAAGGCATGCATGCTCACCCGATCCGCTTTCAGAACTTTCTGCACTCTCGCGATCGGAAGGTGGGTCTTGCCCGGTCGCCTCTCCGCGTCGAACACCACCTTCTCCCGTTTCCTGGTCTCTTTGTCGCGGGCCGCATCCTCTTCACGCTCCTCCGCCTGCGTCTCATCTACATCGTCATTTTGTAGATCGTCTGGGACATCGATAGGCTCGGACTGCGCCCCGTCGTCCTCCTCTAAGGCTGCCAAGGGCACGTCCGGCGAGTCGGGTGGGGAGACGTGAGCAGCGTTGTCTGACATAGCTCCAAGGTCAGCAACTTGGCAGCTCGACTTGAGTATCTGGCAGTAAATCTCAGGTGCGGGTAAGCGGTCGATGTGTATGGCGACGTTGACGATAACAGAAGGCGGCGCAAGAGGGCGCGTCTGTGGCTTATGCGCACACCGTGACTGCACAACGCGAAACGTCACGCGTCTGTCACGGCGCTTCTGCGAGGTGGCATGCTCGAATGCAGCTGCAAGTTCTTTTCTCAAAGTACTCTCAACGTACTGTTGGCAATTTGTGCAATTGAGCCGTTCTTCACTGGTACTTCAGTGGCTCAGGTGCGATATTTTCTTGGAAAATATCTAGGATGCGGCATATACACCCTTGTCAGTGCTGCATGACAGAAGAAACCGACGGTATTGCACGCGCTAAATGGCATACTACTACGTGTCACTGGCAGAGCAGGCCAGGTCTACGTCTGACCGCATATTGCCAAATGCCGACCATCATGTTTCGAGCCTATCAGGAGGATGTCGTGTGGCAAACGGACAGCCGGTTTGCCAAAGAGTCATGAGATGCGCTTTCAGGAAATTCCGTTATGACGGCAAAAAACTGCGCGCAGCTGTGCAACTCATTGGTAAACGGACATTTCGACTCGGAGCAGTGTGATGCAACACCGTCGGCCACTAGACATATGTCCTTGTCGAGAAAGCCAGCCGGCGCTGATTCCGGCCGCGAGCCTATTCATGAACGCAGTCGGGCATGCCACACAGGAGCATTCATAGCATGTTCGATTGCGTAGCCTGGCCGACACCTCGTCGAGGCTATGGGAGATATCTGGCAAGGATGAACCTGATAATGCTAACGACATGAGCGAAGCACCGGTTTCACGGAGACGGCGAAGGTCGAGGTGAGAATATGCCCGCACCTGAATGCAGGGTCACTGGTCTTGGTACGTCCCAGCGCAGCAGCTCGTCTGAAGCCGGACATTTCCTCGTACCGCCGATCAGTTCCAGGATCCGAGCGGCCGCTCTCTCTGCATATATAAGGGCACGATGTTGCCCCACTTTCTTCAGTGCCACTCGTACTCTGAAGGACACGTCGCATTCGTTCTCGAAACACTCACGCAGACCGCCATGTTCATGAACCGACTCTCGACGGCTCTCCTTCTGGCACTTGCATCCGCCGCTCCAGCGTTCGCTGCTGCAAGCTCCGACAATGTCGCTCGCGCGACCTGGGATCCGAAGATTCTGGCGCCGACCGCACAGACCGTGTGGCAGCACGGGCAGGTGTTTACCGTTACCTGGTGAGTTACAGGATGTCAGGAGGCAAATTCATATTAATTGAATTTGATACGTTTCAGGGACACAAGCAACCCACCGGCTAGCGTCACCAACCCTAACGGCGAAATCACCCTGAGCAAGAGCGGCCAGGACTCTTGTACGTCTGACTTTGAGGTCCTGTGCGCTACAAGCTGAGCGGGTGTACTGACTATGTCATAACAGCTGTACTCGCCAGCAATTTCGCTCTCAAGGACGGCAGCGTGGAGGTCACTGTCCCTTCGGATGCTGAGCCTGGTTCTGACTACCATATCACCTGTGAGTATGTAACCTTCAGAATGTCACCGATTACTCACGAGAACACTTCTTCGATACACGTCTAGTGTTCGGCGACTCCGGCAATGTCAGCGAAGATTTCACCATCCAGTGAAACTCACAAGCGACGTGATTGATGAGCGAGCTGCTACCATTGGATGTGGTTGTTACCGAGTTGCCAGTTGAGTTCGGATGATGAACCCACTCATGTTTACTGTAGTACGTCAAGGAGATGCAGTACAATTTCTTGATTGAAAGTGAACAATTATCACCATACCGAGTTCGATCCCGGCTGCGTGAACCTGAGGAATTCGGCAATTTTAGGAGTTCAATTCACCACGCAGCAGCTTGAACCGGCGGACATGGTGGCCATCATAATGAGCACATTCTGTGGATTTTCGTCGACTTCTGTTCACAATAACGAGCGACATCACCAATGTGATGTAAAATGTGTGGTGCCAGTTGCATGACACCGGGAGGGAACTAGTCAGGTAGCACCTCTAGCAACTCTGCTATGTACAGTAGCTGCATCGCGCTCGATAGGTAACACCTATATATAATAATGGTTTGGTTAGACTCAAGAACCGTAATGGGTGTTATGGTACTGACGATGATTGGTTGCGCGGCAGCTAAAGGCGGCAGTTGCATGGCGCCTCATAGCACTAGTTGGATAGCACCTCAGAGCACTAGTTGGATAGCGCCTAAGTACTAGTTGGATAGCACTTCGGTAAACGTGTTGTCTCTTCAATGGAGCAACACGCCAGGAGCCGGAGTATACGGAGAACGGTCCTGAGCATCTTGAACCGTGCGAGTGGTCCCGTTCGAGTTGCTGCTCGTGGCAGGCACGTCGGGTGCCTGGGCCTTTATGGGTTCGAATATTGGCTTGCAGCGCGGATACGCTCACCGAACGCCATGAAGAGGAAGGGTCTAAGAACCACAAGGATGAGATATGCTGGTGAATCCTGAGATACAGCAATCCAAACACTTACGCTGGGCAACCAACCACGATGGCGACGACCGCGATTATCGTGTCGCCCTTGCCGTACCCAAGCGCAGCGAACATATCGGGCGCAAACAGCGGGAAGGCGAAGCCTGCACATGAGCGCAGGAAGGTCACGGCCGCGAGTGCCGACGCAGCGTACAGCGTGAATGCATCGATGACGTAGGTTTGTATACACTGGAAGTTCAGCATGGTGCCCGCGCCGACGAGGAATATGCCCTGCATGACCGTGGTCATTATGACGAAGTCATTGCGCTTTCAGAGTGGTCGGAGACTTACGATGTCAGGGCCAATCCAATGCGTGTGGGCCTGCGCTGTCCATCCCGTGATCAATAGGCCAATGGGGAGCAGAAGCGTCCCTGGCACCATCGACGGCAATCTGTACTCCGGCTTGCCCTCGCCCCCATTCTTCTTCACCATATAACTGTAGAGACGGTCCAATACCCTCGCATTAATCTGCGAAGCCCCGGTGAGTCCGATACCAAGAGCAATGTAGTTCAGACCAGCAATCCCGATGGACTCCCGATACACATCCTCGAAGATAGAGTCAATCGTAGTCAGGAAAAGATAGAGTGTCCCATAGACAAATGCCATGTATATGCCCAGAAGCATGATGATCGGCTCCTTGAAAAATAGCTTGAAAGGTCGGAAAAGCGCTGTCGAGTAGATCTGCTTCCAGCTCAATGTGCGCGGAATATGGTAACTCCCCGATTACAGGACTAGTTTTTGCTCACTGTCTATCGCCGTGATCGTATACAGTCCGAATTTCTTGGTGCTGCGACTTCTCCGAACCCATGTTCTTCCTGATCCTTCTTGCCTTGCGTTCCAACAGGACCGGGGCGTACGCTATGCGACCGATATTATTATCAGTCACAACAGGTCTTAGGAAAGAGAGTCCTTACTCTCTCGCAGCATCAGAAACCCTCCACATCCTACGATCGCACTCAAAATGGTCGTCGACCAGAACTGAACACGTTATGATCAGAGGCATAATTGAAACCACGGAGTGACACAAGACTCACGACCCAACGCCATGTCGACTTCTGCGCAATCCACGCCCCGCAGATAGGTCCCATGACGGGACCGAGAACCGGCGCAAGAGAATACAGGGCCGCCGCCTGTCCTCTCTCATGCGGTTTCCAACAGTCTCCGAGAACCCCGCCGCCGATAGCGAGGGCCGCTCCACCGCCGAAGCCGGAGAGGAAGCGGAAAGCGAGGATCTGCGACTGAGTCCGGGCGAAGCCACAACCGAGGTTCCAAGCTATGATGATGCGTAAGCGTAGTCGTCGAAAGGTGTATTTATGAGTCGGTCGTACCTATATACCACAAATTTGCCAACTGGACTACTCTCGAGCGCCCGAACAGCTCACTGAGTGGTCCGAGCAATAACGGACCCATAGCTGGTGCTCGTGATTAGAACGGTTGATGTACCGAAGCGAGATGTATGGACTGACCATAGGCAAGGACGAAAATGGACGTGACCATCGCAATAACTGTCTGACTAGTTATCCCAAATTCCTCCGCCAGCTGCTCGGACGCAGGTGCGATAATTGAGGACGTCACAGGGCTGACGAAGCTGAACGACGACACGACAATTGTCGCCGCCCATCTTTTCTTGAATGACCAGCTAAAGAAATAACATGTGTGAATAAACAGGATGGACGTTGCGGGCTCGCATTGCTCACTTTCGTGGATTCTCTGGGTCATCTGGGCCGTCCCAATCGACGATGAGCACACCGGGATCTACGTCCACATCAGTTCGGCATGTTTCTCCTGTGTCCTGACTGGCCCGTGGTGGCATAGTGCCTGTCAACGCACCCGCCTCCTGGGGAGCCTGAACGGGCGATGCCTGTGACGGGATCGCGCTCATGGGCGGAACTGCAGAGCTCGCGTTCGGCACCATCGCCTTCCGGTGTGCGTGTTGGCCAAGACCACTCCTCGAGGACAAGTTGTGTCGAGGACCGAAGCAAGTAGTGTCTGCCGCGTTCCGAATGGACAACCGCCGTCCTTATATACAATCTTGCAACGAACACGAAATAATGACAGTTGACTCAGCTGTTACGTAGGGCCCTGTGCAGCGAGGTTCAGCGGCGACTAACTGGCAGACTCGCGGAGCCCCAGGTGGGGTACCTCGCCGCTGTCCGGTCAACAAACCTTACTGTAAGCACGCAAGCGCGCCAAATGGGGTCACCGAGGGTCACCGTCGGAAGATCACACTGACCAAGCGCAGTAGATCCAGGTGGTGATTTCGCCAAATGAGGCCTTATGAATGCTGAAGAAAATGATGGCGCGCGAGTCTACCGGAGGCGGAGCCAGTTCGCCCACGCGTAAGGTGTCCCGCCAACCCCATGCACCTCCGGGTTGATTGCATGGCGAGAAAGGTTATGGGTCAATCCGGAGGAAGGGTAAACCTCTGTACAGTTGCAAGAGACGCGGTGTGTGCAGATTCGAGGGATCGAGGGAAACACGACACAGACGGTCGTGGCTGGTTAAGACTAGATTGATGTGGGTAGATTGATGTGGCAATGCCCGAGATCGAGATCGATGCCTTACCAACCTATGGGCGTCTATCAGTATTGGGATTATCCCCGAGCGCTATCCAGCATTTGTCCAAAGCTGCCTGAGGAGACAATCAAGTGCGATCTCCTGCTATCGACTCATGTGAAAATGGTGCACTTGTGTTGGGCCGGCTAGATTGTGAGACCAGTGCTACTATAGTACGCGTGATATGGTATCTCTATGGCATGAAGACGGGACGATGCGATAGGTGAAAAAACCAAGAGCAAGAAACGTCCGGGGTAGTCGTGACGAGAGCGTGAAGTGGTAATTCCAATTCATGAGAGGTCGTATCCCGTTGAAGGTTTAATGCGACTGCGTGTGAGGTGGGGAGATGGGAGTGGCGTTTGTTCAAGTAACAGGTAGTGAAGTAGTGAAGAAAGCGATCAAAAGCAAACAAGTCTATTTCCGGGCATACCTGCTCGCCGCACGTATGCGCTCGCCATACGTCCAGAATATCCAGGGCGCTGGACAGCCGACGACGATGGCAACGGCAGCAAGAATAGAATCGCCCTTGCCGTACCCGAGTGCGTTGTACATCGCCGGTGCGAACAGCGGGAAGCCGAAGCCTGCGCAGGAACGCAAGAAGGTGGCCGCAGCAAGCGCTGACGCAGCGTGCAGCGTGAATGCGTCAATGATGTACGTTTGGATGCACTGGAAGTTCAGGATCACCCCGGCGCCCACCAAGGCAATGCCCTGCAGTTGTGCGGTCAGACGCAGACCCTTGGACCTAAGAGCGAAAGTGGACTCACGATATCTGGCCCAATCCAATGTGTGTGATTTTGCGCCGTCCAGCCAGTGATGAGAAGCCCGATTGGTAGCAGGATTGTACCAGGAACCATAGTAGGTAACCTGAACTCCGGCCTTCCGACTCCATTGTTCTTCTTCGCGAAGTACTTGTATACCCGATCGAGCGACCGCGCGTTAAACTGTGACGCACCGGTAAGGCCAACACCGAGCGCAATATAGTTGAGACCGGCGATGCCAACGGCTTCGTTGTATGTATTTTCGAAGATGCCGTCTATGGTCGTGAGGAACAAGTAGAGCGTGCCATAGACAAATGCCATGTAGGCGCCGAGGAGCATGATGATCGGCTCGCGGAAGAAGAGCTTGAAGGGGCGGACGAGCGATTTCGAGACAATTGCCTGCCAACTAAAGAAGACGTCAGGTCTACATTATCACCTAGCCTCATTTTAAGTAGGCACTTACTGTCTATCGGCGCTGTCGAAGACAGTGCGGATAATTCGCTTCTCTGCTTTCTCAGGATCCATGTTCTTGCGTATTTTATTGGCTTTGCGTTCTAATAGGATTGGAGCGTAGGCTGAGCGTAGCACAGAACAGGTGAGACAAGACGATCCCATTGATATGTTCAAGAAGCGACTCACTTTCTTGCAGGAACAATATTCCCAAGCATTGAATGAAAGCGTCTACAATGGTTGTCGACCAAAACTACACCGTGAAAGTCAGTCAAATGTAAAGTCTGGACTTTTGGTTAGGACGTACCACCCAGCGCCAAGTAGATCGCTGCGCAACCCATGCAGCGCAGACAGGACCGATTACTGGGCCAAGGAGAGGAGCGAGAGAGTATAGAGCAATTGCCTGACCTCTTTCCTCTGGTCGCCAGCAGTCACCGAGCACACCTCCACCGATCGAAAGTGGTGCACTCCCGCCCAAGCCTGCGAGAAAACGGAAGGCGAGGATTTGTCCGGTATTTTGTGCGAAACCGCAACCCAGGTTCCACGCTATTGAGAAGTCAGCAGGCTGGTTCATCTCACAATCGCTCGGACTCAAGCTCACCTAGATACCACATGTTCGCTAGTTGGAGTACTCTTGATCGACCGAAAATCTCACTTAGCGGACCTAGAATCAATGGCCCCAATGCTGTGAAACGAAAATTAGACCGCATACTCCGAAACTTCAATGGTCCACCAACACACCATAGGCTAACACAAATATGGAGGTGACCAACGCAATGACGGTCTCATTTGTGATACCAAATTCTTGGGCCAATTGATCGGACGCAGGAGCGATCATTGATGACGACACCGGGCTGATGAAAGTGAACGCAGACACGATGGCCGTCGCGGCCCACTTCTTCTTAAAGCTCCAGCTGTATATAGCAACGTTCAGCTGTGTGCGACCCATATCCTTGAGAGGTCACTCACTTTTTCGGATTTTGTGGGTCGTCTGGACCGTCCCAGTCAACAATCTGAACGTCCTCGTGCGATTGTGAACTTGTCCGGCTTTCGCCCGCTGCGTCTGGACCTGCCACGGAATCAAGCTTCGGATCGTTAGTCTGCATAGGTGCCTTGGAGGTGCCAGGGTCTGCGTCTTCTCGCAGAGTGGCGGTTTCTGACGTTATGCCAGAGTCTCGTACGGACTTCCAAGTCATGGCGTGTTCGTAAGGAATCGACGTAGTGCCTCAAGGGGAGGCAAGAGCAGGATGGGTCGTTGCCGGTGGGGGGCTTTCCGCGACGACGGATAGGCATGGCTGGTTGTATTTATCTTGAGTCAGCCCCAGCCGCGACCCACTCCTGGACTCCTCCACGGCCGCATTTTGGCCGCATTCCCGATCTTCCTGGCGCCGTTTGGGTGCCGGCCGGCGCACCCACTCCGTGACTGTCTGCGTCTCCGTCACAGGCGCGGAAGCGCCCGCTTCATCACCCTCTCGCCCAATCGGCAGCGGGCGGCTCGCAAATCGGGCTAATCAGTGTCTCGATCGAGAATGCCGAACACTGCGGCAACCGGCGCTCGGACTTTGGCGCGCTGGGCCGAGATGCCGGTCTATATAACTCCTCCCAGAATCCTGATGTGGTGCAAGCATTTCCTCGTGGCTGTGTCTTCTACATGCATATCAAGCGGTCGTCGCCAGGCCTTCGTCAGCGTCATTGCCAACAGATCCGACTCAATCGGCCGCAACTCGCGCGTACATACCGATCTCGCCGTTGGTGGGGTGCGTCCACACGGATGGGTACGAGACCAACGCATACATACTAAGGTGAGGTATTACACATGCTATACTTATCGTGATACATCATACGGACTGCAAGACTCAACACAACCCGAATGATCATAACGCAACTAAAATAACATGGCAGAAGATCGAATGTGTTCATACAAGACATGGCTTCCAGAGCTAAGTAATGGGTCCATGAAGCGCTACATGCAGGGATATATTATGAAGTGCATACATGCATGCCTACACAGGCATGTTCTCCTTCCGTCCTAAGACACCTCGCACCGGGCTGTGTGACGCCTTCCTCGACTTCGTGGGCATGGGCAAGAACGGCCTGTCGTCGCCAAAGCTAACGTCGTCCACCGCATCCCACTCCTCTTCAAGGAGACTCGGTTCGATCCCGCCAAGGCGCATCGGCGAATCTGTCTCCGCGACTGGCGACATGGTCGGGTCTGGGTCCATAGATTGCAGCCGACTCCGTTGTCGCTGCGCGAAAACCGCCGCCGCACCGCCGGGCGTCGGCATCGGAGGGTTCAGCTTCGACGGAACCGCCATGGGGAGGCCCGTGCTAAGGCCGAGTGCATCGAACTTCTTCACGAAGGCTGCCAGAGCCTGCCGCTCATCCTCCAATTTCATGCGGGCCTGTCACAGACGTGTGAGCGTAATGCGAGCGCAGCAACTGGACGTATCTTCCCACCTTCCTTTCCTTCTCGAGCTGCTTCACGAGCACATCTGCCCACGCTTCCTTCTCTTCCCGCTTCCGCTGCTCCTTCTCCAGCTTCTCGATCCACTCCCTTTCTACATCCTCCCTTACTGCACGTAAAGGCTCGCCGAGGTTCTCTTCGTAGCCCTTAACAACGATTTCAAGCTCGCGGATGGTCTTCGTCTGCTCGTGAAGCAGCTTGTCCTTCTCGCTGTCTGGCGCATCAGGGGGGAGCTGTGGTCGCGCGAGCAGGGCAGCCTCTAGGGACAAAATCTGAGTAGCCTGCGTCTCGATATGTCTGCGGGCGGACAGAAGTTCTTGTTGCAACTGAACAGACCTCAGCTTCAAGAGACGCTGCAAACAGCGAAACTGCACACCTGGTAAGGAGACATATCGAAGTCGACCTTCGTCGGACTTGCAGGGCGGGACTCGTTATCCTTATTCTCGTCAACAGTTTGACTGGTGAGAATGAGCTTCGTGAGCTGCCTGATGCGAGAGTTCAGGTCGTTCATCGCCCGGGACTCGTCCAGTTGCTACACAATGATTCAGGTCAGCCAACGGCCCCACGCAACCGAAGAATCCACAGTTCACCTCGCGAGCAGATAATCGACGCTTCAAAGCAGGAGCCTCCGCCTCCTTCTCGGACAGCCTCTTCCTGAGGTCGTCGATCTCCTTCCTGTACCGCTCGAGGAGCGCCTCCGTGTCGACGACCTCCTTCTTCTGCGCGTTCAGCTGCACCTTCTTGATGCGCTGCGCGAAGAGGAGCGTGCTCGTCGACTCGGCGATCGCGCTCGTGTCGGGGTTGATCGTGCAGATGACGGAGATGCGCGCGTTGCCCGAGAGCGAAGGCTGCAGCATCCGCGTCAGCTTCGAGTTACGGAAGGGGACGTGGTCGTGCTTGTTCTTCGCTGAGTTCTCGGCGAGCGTCCCGATGACTGAGCCTAGGGTAAGCAAGCTGGGCTGACATGTCAGTCTGATGTGCAGGACGCTGGCGGGTTACGCACCTGGTGTTGATGTACTTGCCCTCCCGGGTCCGTTCCTTGTCGGACGTAGCCTTCTCAGAGCCGGCAAGGTCAATAAGGCTCTATAGGGATCTAATGAGCATGGCGTATAAAAATTGCTGGGCTACACGACCTACCAAAACAGACGTCTGCACGCTGCGTCCGCCTCTCGCCTGCAGCCTCGGTCCACCCGGGGTCGGGGGTCTGAACCCTGGCGTCGTCCTCCCGCTCGGGGTGCCGCCCTCATCGGTACCGCTCCCGCGCTCCCTACTCTCGATCACCACGCGGAACACGCTGTGGCTCCGACTACTGCGTTCGTTCCAGTCCGTGCTCGCCGTGCGCCGGTTGCCCTCCCCGCGATGGAGGACCTCGCGCACGCTCTTGAGGCTCGTGACGACCTCCTCGCGGAGCGGCGTCAGGATGACGTTGTTGCCCGTGCCCTGGATCTGCACGGGCTGCGAGACGGAGGACGAGGGTGGCGCTAGCAGGTCGTGTATCGTCTCGTTGTAAATCTCGAGGTAGGAGCACCGCAGGAGGTACTCGCGCGTCGGCGTGCGGCGGATGTACGCGAAGATGTCCTTCATCGCGCGGGGGATGATACCGGGTTGGTCTTCGTCTCCGGTCTATAGTGCCGCCGTTCAATAGACATGTCTGCGAGGGGGAAAGCCGGACTCACGAGCGTGAAGGTCTTACCGCTAGCAGTTTGACCGTAGGCGAAGATGACGGCGTTGAAGCCGTCCATCGCAGCGCAGACATGGCTGCGTGCGACAGCGGTGTACACCGGCTTGTTGTCGGAACCGGTGAGGATTTCGTCGAAGCGGAAGTCTTGAGCGGTCGTTGTTGCGGTCTTGCAATACTGGGGGTCGAGCTTCATGCTCTTGGGTATCGTATCTGCGGTCTGCCATGCAGTAGTTGCGTTGGTGGGTCGTATTCTGGCGATAATTGCATGAGTGAAATTGGTACCCAGATTGCATTCCAACTTATTAATAACAGTAGGAGCAACTGATGCCCACCTTATAGATACAAGTACTTTGTCTTCCTTACCGTATTCTGCGAGCGCAGCCTCATCGAGTTCGCCGGAGATGTCGCCAGGCTCTACAGTCTGGAAGTCTACCAGCGCCTCTTCCGGGTCGATCCTGCTCACATCCATCTCGCTGATCAGCGGGAAGAGCAGCGGGCTCTCGGAGCCTCGCTTGGGGTGGTAGGCGTCTTCGGGCGCACATCCTTTGTGGGAGACCCCGGGACTGAGGCAAGTCCTGGCTTAGGCTTCGATATAAGCCGTGAGCGAGACTCTGTCGAAAGAGCCGCCTTGAATTTCTTGGCCGAGTTGAGGAGGCTTGGGGTCGTCGAACGGGGTATCCTGCCGGTGCTAGTGAGGTCCTCAGTTGAGGCGGGATGGGGCCGTTTGGGGGTGAAGGGGACGGGGCGCGCGAATCTGCCTGTTGAGTTTGAACTGGAGGAGGCCATGGTTAGTCTTGCGCCGGGCGGTGAGTCGTAAAGTTGGGTGCGCGGAGGAGGCGCAGGGATAAGTCAACCGTGGAAATGAACCGTCGTCGAGACGCCCGACGCGTACTACGCGATGCATCACGGGGTCGCGAACGAGCGTCTGAATCCGCATGCTGGTCAATTTTCGAACTCGTTCCTCCTCCCCTCTCCATCCATGTCGTCCCCCTGGTCCGCTGGAGTTCTGCTCGCTAATGCTGTTTTTTGGTATGCATAGACTGCGGTGTCTGTGGCGCGCTCTCATCAAGACTGAAAGTCAATCGTCAAGCTCAGAGCTTCAGGTGAGTTGGGACTTGCGACTTATCGGGGACTCTTTCAGTCGGTGATGTTTTATTGATTTAATGAGCCTGATTTGCCTTGACTAACGTTGAGGCAGAAGTGACGACTCTTTATGCTGAGACTATTCTACTTTCAAATTCATTTGATCCGTGTGCTGACTGTCTTCGCCGCAGGTATGTAACTGTGCTCAATAATATGCGCTAGGTCGATCGACGGGTTCTGCAGCACCTTCCGACCCGATACAGCATGTCATACACTCTGTAACATCCTGTGCGATGAAACTGCGAGCCCCGCTGTACCATGTTTCGTAGAATCTGTGACTAGTATGTCCCGCCATTGCCCATCGTCCTTCTTCACTTGCACCCAGGATTATCATTGCAGCTGTCCTTCGTAGAGCAAACCCAATTACCACATCAACGATGTGCTAAGCTAACGATCATGTCCCTTGTTATGTCCATTACGGTAGCAAACAACAAAAATTGGCAGTGTACCGCGCGAGCAGTCCGTGATTGTAGCAGGCAGAAGGTATGCCTTCTACGTCATTACAGGATGGCGAATAGGGGACTTTCGTTTCCGGAATCGCCGAACACTACGTGCAGATGCCATTAGCGACGAAGACGAGCTGAACAACGGGCATGTGCTCACAAACGATGTCGTAGTCAAAGCCGGGTTCAAGGTCGTCGGGAACGGTGATCTCGATACTTCCAAGCCTTATAGAGAAGTTACCCGCAAGCACGGCTGGGGCCGACGTCGCGGTCAGTACTGGCATAGACCATTCGATCCAAGCGGAATGCTTGCCTTTGTTCTGGATGCCGCTCTTGCCAAGCACGACACGACCGATGCTGTTCGTGATGTTAACTGGCGCGTCGTCGGTCTCCCTGCGGCGTACGGATGCATCGGGCTCAGCGCAACCTCAAAGTTGTTCAAAGCCATAAGGAACGTACCACGTTACGTTGTACTTCTGCCCCGTCAACCACACGGTTTGTGCGTTGGGCGTGATGATCCTAGGATCCCAGACATCGCGTTTCACCGGAATGGCAGAAGCCAGAGCGATGAGCACGGCGAAGCAAAAGATGAGGACTGTCGTGAGTTTGGTGGACATGATGAGTCGTCAGGCGTTCGTAAACCTATCAGGACACGAGCGGAGCAGTGTGTATGAGCTGGTGCTGGGGGCACTTCCGCCATGCCCGCCCTCCTTTTATGCATCTGCCCAACGTTCTAGTGGGACGCGGCTTGGCCGCGGCTGGTCAGGCAAGACTCGATCATCGTGTCCGGTAGCCGGTGCAGCCTCCCGGCTCCGTATCGTGGACGTTCCGGATCAAGCTGCCCAGACGAAACTCCCGGCGAGACGGAGTGCTCCCGTGAACATGTCAACTCGATGCGCAATCACCCCGTAGCTTCAACTGGAACCTATGTAATGCGTCCCAATGGTCAAAGATTCGCATAGCTGGTGCCTATAGTATCATGCACCGAGTCGATGGTGAGTTGACGTGGATGCTTGCCGTGGATAGGTATCACGAGTTCCGCCGGGGGCATATTCAAACATCCTGGCCAAGCACACGCCGGCGAGGCGGTCCCGCATTGGTAGGCTCATGCTGCGTTCATGTGCCCTGCATGACAAGCGACTAGACCAAGACATCAGAAAGCCGGCGAATGCTCTCGACTTGCCACGGGACGTACGCAGTGAAGGTCATCATGAGAACTGAGTCAGCAAGTATCGGATCTTCTGTAGAATGGAGCACTGCAAGATCTGGCCTACAATTACTGTACTACATGCATATGTGTCACTGCCGGTACCACACACTGATACAACGCTTTTCTTGTTCTGTCGAGTCACATATACAATACCGTGGCTAGCGCTATATATCTTGGTGAGGCTTGGGGGGTAACGCTCGTTCGTACTCGAAATGTACTACTGGGTGAGTTGTTCAAAACCTCGTGCACACGAGGCAGACGACGTCTATAGGAAATACATTCTACGAAGTGCCGGCATACCTGCCGCTTTGAACCCGGTTTTCCATTGTTCTAGGTTGAACGACGACGAGCTGTCCGACCCGATCCCAGACTCCGTGTCTGCGAAACGCAGCTCCGGTTTGAAATGGAACTCGGCTCGAGCGCAGACACGCTAGATGGGAAACGTGAGTACGAAGGCCGACGTCAATGCTGAAGACAGCCAGTAAAGACGTACGTCGGCATCTAAGTTAATAGGATAGGTCAGAACAGGCGTGACAGGAAAGACGAAGGATATATCCTTACAGTACACGGGCGCTGGGATCGATACAGAACGCGTCGCACTGGCATAGACATGACAGAGGTCGAAGGAGAGACGCTGGCACCTGGTGCAGCCGTCAGCATGAACAGAGGGGGGAAGTACGCATGGATGGACATACGTCGCGAGGGGCAAACCAATCTCGTTCCGCAGAATGATGTAATGACTGGGCCGGCTCGCTGGGAACATTCTTGAGATGCACTCCTCACACATTACAGGATAAATGTCGACGTACTCCCTATCAACCCGCTGTGCGATTGGAGGTAGAAGTTGTCGTACGCAGGGCTGGTGATCTCGTTCTCAATGACGAATCCAGCCGGGCAATTTCCCGAGCGGTCACCATTGTCCCTGAGAGCAGCTATCAGTCAAGCAGCTCAAGCAAATCAAACGGCCTTTACCTCGAGGTTGGGAAAAAGCGAACATGATGACTGGAAACACCCATCAGCTGAGGGTTGACAGCGTGTATGAATTATATGAGTACACACCGCTTTCCGACGACAATGAATGTGACCAGCGGTTTCTGCCCCTGTGCATAAGCCTTGCTTCCGCCAGGCACCTGGGTGCCGTCCTTATTGAATTGGGCCAGATTCAGGAGGCAGTCTGCAAAGGCGAAGAGTATGATGACGAGGAGCTAAACCTGCAGTATCCTCTACTCACTATTGATCACTTCAATCTCCTCTCTGGCAACTCGCGCGTATTCACCCTCAGAGACGCCATCTCGGAAGAAGACGATACGCTTGGGATACTTTCCGTTCGTCGACAGGAGGAACTGATAGATCGCATCCTGGGTACGGCTTGAGTATGCCTTTAACATCATGCATCATCCAGACATACCTCGAGCATCTTCTTCAAGTCGGCGATGATTTCCTGTCGTGGTGCTTGGATGGACGAAAACGCAGCGTACTGCGTACAGTCGTCGTTGAGCGACGCAACCAGGCTCGTCATGGACGGCCGGTTGCTGACCCCAGGACCGGGATGACCGACGTCGGCGCCTGACAGATAGTTGTGAGACGTCGAGGAGACCACAGTGAGGTGAACGTAGTCATACCTATCACCATCGTCAAAGGCGGCACGATGGCCTGCAAGCTCCCGTCGGTGGGAAGGGTCTTCGAGTTCACACCTCCGATCTTAGCATTGATCCTGAGAACATCCATCCTTGAGTTCGAGCCCAGTATAGGGGAGCCCAGACTCACTTCAGTGCGACGTTGTTACAGTACTGGTCGCTGGCTTTCTCCCATTTCCCCGCGCGCTAAGGGAGATTATGTCACGACCATGACGGACATGAGACGTCGAGCACGACTGACCACACACTGCGTCGGCACATGGACTTTGACGTCCCCCCAGTGTTTGATCTCCTTGCGAATCTCCGCTGCGCTGCTGGGAAGCATGGCTACGACAATCGTCGGAGGTGCCTTGGGAGAGGCCCTCTTGGCAATCTCCTCTATAGACTATGACCCCGCGTGAGTAGACGTTGTTGAATGAAGCACAAAATTTACTCTGGCAACTTGGTTCGGGTTTCCCTGATCGATGACAGCAGGCTGCCTAACTTCTGGAATTCGCGTGCGTGAACAACTGACGCCGCAACATCGCGATCCGTAGGGGAATACATACGGACGCCTGCGCATAGCTCGTTAGCGCCCACAGTACGAAGTCTGCACATGGGAACCGAGCTCACCCAAAGCTTGCAAATTGTTGCTCAGCTTCTCGACGAATCTGCGCACGTCGTTCCCGTTCGCTTGCGAGTCAAAGCTGACAACGGCCCATGCATCGATTGGCCTGGGATTGAGCAGGCGCCTCCGGACGACGTTCCACGAGCCGCTCTTGTCTTGCAAAGTCTGCTCGAGACGTGAGCGCTGATTGCACTGTCACGGCGCAGGACGTGCTCACCAGCGTCGAGCCGTTGTATTGGATAGTCGGCGTAAACATCACGCGCCCTTGCACGGTGAGGGGCTCGCGCTGGATCTGCAAGCCAGCCTCCTGCATGAAGTCGGACACGTCGTAATTGAAGAGTTGGTTCTAGGAGCGCCCGTCATATCATCATAGACGGATCTAGCTTGCACGAGAGAGGACTCACCGGCCCTGAGATGGCAGCCTCGATGGTCTGCATCCGTTCGTGCGGCTTCTGCGTCGAGAACGACAGAAAGTCGGGTCCGATCTCGGCGGGTATCTTCTTCCGGTAGAGCTGGCCTTTCTCGACGTTGCACAGCTCAGCTGGGAACACGGCGTCGCGCCCGATCCGCACGCCAAAGATGGTGGGGTAACGCAGCGACACGTTATACGCTTGTCGATAGTGCTCCTGCGACTCCCTATCAACAACGGATGGACACCAGCGCGAGAGCGGATATTCTGTACCTGCACCGTCGTAGTCGCTCCGTCCTTCTCAAACTCGTAGGGCCCAGCCTCGGCCACCAAGCCACCGATCGCGCGAGCCCTGTCAGAGCGAGCGGTCTGGATCGTGACTCTCACGCCTTTGAGGAAGCCCCGCAGTCTGTTGAATTCAGGAGGAGAAAGACGGACGAGGTCTCGGGCGTTCCGCTTCCCTAAGTAACTCATGGCCAGGTCGACCAGTGGACCCGGTCGGTATCTGTTGGTATGACGTGAGTGGGCTTCAGAGATATTAGCTTCAACTATGGGCAGTCACAGCAAGGCAGTCACAGTATCGACGTTCAACAGCAGTCGTCCTATGGCGGGGCGCACGCTCCTGTCCGATCTCGTGAGTGGTCTCTGTTCTTGAGAGGGTGGGGATGGGCGTACTGGAAGAATCCGCGGTAGGCCCGCAGGCCGCCATTCATCTCCCGAAACCCGTGTTCCACGAAAAACGCACGGGCATTCGGAGGGTAGTGATGACGCCTTGCAGCTAAGCATGAGCATAGCGTCCATGAAAACGCGCTGGAAACGAGTGCGTACATATTCGCGCCTTGCCGAACTACGATCTGCAACAGAGTGGTGGTGCTTGTGTCTGTGTTCGGCGCTGATCCGGCCCCTTGCACCATGAGGTGTTCGATCCAGCTAGCCATACATGAGTAATCTTCACTCAGGCAATCACGTTCCAGCTGTTGTAAAAACGATACGATGGCCTGCACTGGGGGTGTATGGAGGAGCTAGGGTTTGGGCCGGCGGTCGCCGTGAGCTAGACTGACGTCAAAGTCGAGTCCCGCCCGCGTGCGCGCGGATGTCGCTGAGATGGCTGCGCGCGAACCAGGAGCCAATAGCGGCGTGGACTGGGTGGGTCTCGCGCGCGTCATGGAGGATAGGTTCGCGGATTGGCTGCCGTGCAACACTTGCTGCACCAGCCAGCGGTGAACGCATCGGCGCACATCTCCGAGCGGCAACGGTGGGCTGTGGTCAGTGCGTGACTTCGCCAACCGTCGGCCATCTCGCCAGCCAAAACTCGCTCCACACAACCCCGTACGCGAGCGACCTATCGTTTCTACAACAGCTGCGAACTGCGTACTTACTCAGGGCTAATCTGGCGCACGCGTGTCAATGTCACCCGGAACACCCCCCTTGTAGAGGTTGGGTTGGCAGACATCTTCACTTCGAGCTGAAGCACTGATGAGTTGTGCAGAACTCGGTGAACGCCCGCGTCCTTACCGTTCCGGCAGGGATGTCGCTTTTCTTGGAGAACAAGCCGGCCTTGCCATCGTAGACGGCCCGCGGGGTAAAGAATTGCGGTAGGTCTCGCTGCAGCTTGTCAATAATCTCGAAGGCCCTTCTAGTGGGAAACTTGTCGAGCTGGGTGTCAATGACTGAGGGGGGATCGCTGTAGCACACGATTACGCCGCAAATCTGCACGCTACTCGCCGACTGCGCACAGCGTGAATCGGTGGTCGCATTCTCTAGCGGCGGGTACGGACCATGATATTGGTACCAAGGGTCCTTTGACTTGGGGCCTCTTGAGATTAGGAACGCATTCGTCCGCACTTGCATGGGCACATCTCTGGGACCTCCGCGGTGAGCCATCGGGAGAGGATCGGGTGACGAGGCCTGTGGGCAATGGGGGGATAGAGGAGGACAGGTTGCACAGGCGTCGCTGGGGCAGATATACGTGCTCGAGCTTCGAGTGCAACCTGGCCTGCGTGCCGCAAGGCCTCTGCTTGCGCGGGAGGTGCTTCCTCGTTCAGACGAAGCTGTCCCAGCCCACCGGACACCGGGCAGCTTCGACGCGTGCACGTGACAGCGCGTCAGACCCCGCGGCGAACCGTTCAACTTCAAAGCTCGAGTTCAGTAACTCTCCTCCCACTCTCATGTCGGCATCGCCGGTGTCATTGGCTGGATGCAAAGTCTCGATGAACTGATAACCAGAAGGGCGCTTTACGGTGGTCGACGCGTGGCGGCAAGCCGTTGCCTGTTCGAATCGATTAATCCTCGCCTTCTATCCTGCCTTGGTCAGCCAAGAGCTTACATCGAATCCTCCCTCGGACCCTCCCTCCCGAGGCCTCAGGCCTCATGACTCGGTACGCAGTTGTTCTCCATTAAATACAGTATCATCCCGACGACTATACCACACTGTTGGCTATATCGCCAGTCCATTACCGTACGTTGTAATGTTCAGGCATGACACCACACAGATATCGTCCAACTTCCACTGACCCCATCCAGTCCACTGTCAAAGCCACTTCGCCTCATTCCACAGGCACGGCCTTCAGCAGCACGTCCGCACAGCCCCCAACCGGGACATCATCCGGTCTCCACAACAGCTGCACCTGCGGGCCCACGCTCCAGTACGGTGCCGTGCCATTCACATAGCACGCCGCCATCGTACCGTAGCCAGGCGGGTTCGGGAGGACGTCGCCGTTGAACGAGAAGCCCGCATTCTGGACGCCCGCGTTGTTCGTGACGAGCTTGTAGTCCGGGGGCGCGTCGCTCTCGTAGGGCGCCGACTCCACGAAGCCGAGGGACCAAGGGACCTCCTCTCCGTTCGGGCCGGTAGATGTCAGCCAGTAGACGTCACCGGTCGTGCTGTTGAATTCTGCGATGCGATAGGTGAGTGTTGGACTGCGAGAAGTAAGTTGGTGAGTACATACGCCAGGTGAGGGCATCGCTCTGGTCCGGGCTGAGGACTACTGCATTCTCCCCTGCGCCGGTGTGGAACGCGACGGGCCACCACCCGGAGTAGGTGTCGTTGTCGCCGTTGGGCACGGTGGTCAGCTGGAACTGGGTCAGGCCCGAAGGTCCAACGAAGTCCCGCGCCTTGATTGGGTTCGCGGCGACCGACGTGAAGAGTGTCGCGGCGAGGGCAGTCAGCGCGAGGGAAATCATGCTGGTCGCGAACTGTGTAGTGCGGATCGTCGTGAAAATGAGTGACGAGTGACAAGTTGTCAAGGGTAGTTGAACTCTGCTGAAGTTCAGCCTACTCTTCCCAGCCCTTATATACGAGCACGGATGATTCTCGCCGCTCTCGAATGCTCTTGGTCAACTGGGCGCCCATCTTCCTACTGGCCTATGAGCTCTGTGTCGGAGTGCGAGACCGGCACAGCCATACCGCTTGACTTTTGAGTAGGCCAATCCAGCCCACCGCCGTGTGCCCGGGGCGACGCCTACGTATATACATATTCAATACATACATGACGCGGCTCTGATCGCCAGTGGGCGACGAAGGTTCGGGAGCACTGCACGGCCAGGTAAAGCCGCAATGCTGAATGCAGTGTGGGCCGCACCCGCGGCGCGCTCTACCGACTAGGATCAAGTAGTGAGGACGTCGAGGCGAAGGCGAGGGTCGCGTCTGGCGGCCACCGTGACAAAGCTCAAGCTGTAGCCGCAGCCATGGTACAGGTCCCTGACTGTAGGTCCGGACACCAAGGTGGAAGTTATGTCGGTGCAGTGTTGAGGCCGGCTCGGAATGTCGGACTGATGTCAACGCGGGTTCCGTGGGCGAAACTCTCCGAGGATCGTGGGGGATGGTGATGGCCTCGCGCATGCGGCCACAATGTCCGTGCAAGTCAATTGAATGCATGACTTACGATATCCCGCAGCCGTGAGCGACTATGTCGGCCAAGTTTTGACAATGGCGATTGCATAGCCTCCACCCTCGGTCTCCAAGGAGGTCCAGACCGCTGTCATACGGTGGTTATTTGGCCGGATTGCACCGATGTTGCAGGTCTCCAATTTGGGTACGATACTTACCAGCGTGGATCTCAGTGCTCACTGGGCACAGGGCCATGACGAGGCCAAATGCTAGAACACAACTGCTACCTCGCCTATGATTGCAACACCAGACCAACTATTGCTAGACTATTAGACTAGACTAGACAGACTAATGTACAGTGAAAGTCCAATGCAAGTGTCCGAAGTTCGTGCACGAGTGAAACAACAGTCCCAATGCGAAGTCCGACTACATGAAGGGTCCGTAAACGTCAGGAGATGTACAGCATGACATTTTGCGATGGGGAAGGGGCAGATGGAGGGGCGCAGAGTCGGACATGGTTCACGCAGACGTGACGCTGAAAGTGGGGCTGAAGTTGCCGGAATCACCAAACACTGCAGCTACAGTCAACATACTATGATGAGGTGAATTGGACAGCGCAGTACTCACAGACTATGGCGTAGTCAGAGCCAGGCTCGAGATCCGGGACGGTGATGGGGATGCTGCCAAGTAGGATAGAGAAGTTGGAGGCGAGCGGATGTTCTGTGACATAAAGTCAGCGACGAGCGAGAAAGGGATCAGGCGAATCGCACGCACCATAGTCCTCGGTGCCATTGGTGGCCAATACTACTCGGCCAATCGAGTTCGTGATGTGCTCCGGAGCGTCAGTCGTGTTCCTAATGGCGAGCCCGATCGGCATACAAGCGAAGTGAGCTTCTAGAATTCCGCTCACCATGTCACATTGTATGTTTGACCGACCACCCAGACCGTACTTGAGTTCGGGCTGAGGATCTGAGGGTCCCATACGTCGCGGCGGACAGGGAACGCGCCGACGAGCGCGAACAGCGAGAGCAAGGAGAAGAAAAAGACAGACGTGAGCTTGTTCATGATCATAGCGTGAGGTTGGTCGTTAGCGTTTGTGAGAGTAGCTGGGTGAGCACTGCTGGGGAGGCAGGCTGCCGGGTGGCCCCTTATATAGGGCTCCCACCTTGGCAATGGCACCCGCGCGGACCACAGCCCAGATGACCGCGGAACCGCATCGGCATGATCCGGAAGCCCCTTCTGCTTACGTAACGTGCTTCCGATCTCGACTCGTCGGCCGTCGTGCGCACGCCCGATCGTGGCCGGCGTGCTCTCCGCCACCTCCTCGACTGCGCCGGCCTGCGACCAAGCCCGAGCATAGCGAATGCTGGAGTAAAATGAAGACATTTACAGCGATTTGCCCAGGTGAGTTCGTCATGCTGTGTCTCATTTCATACACTCATGCCCCGGTACACCAGAACGGGCCCGTGCACGCCGGCCCAAGACATTCTAGTCCTCCCGAGCTTGCTTACAGCTTCAGCTCCACAGTACATCGTTGTGCTAGGGCGTTCATCACGCGGTGATGAGTGCCCATCTCTCAGCGGCATCACACATGTTCGAAGACACTGGATGCTGGAAGTCGTCCGCGATAAGGCCCTTCACATGGTCTCCCACTTGGCTTCCTCTGCTCTTCTCCCGATGCCTGCTTAGCTGAATGCTCATCTGATAAGTAACTTGGGCGCGAAGTTGGCCGATGTCTGATAGTCGTGCGCTTGGGCCATTCAACGCGAGGAGAGAAAGTGCGATGAGGGTCTGGAAAGCCGGAGTCGGGAGGCAGTGAACGGGGTATGAAGGTCCGCCACGTCTTCACATCGAGAGCGACACGTTCTTACAGCCCGGTCCCGTCCAGGGTCCTCCCAGAACCCGCCACGTTCTCAGGAGCCGTAAGACACGCCATTAATTCATCATGATCTCATTGTCCACTCGGTGTTCGTCAGGGCGATACGCCCTACCTCGAGCACTTCTAAATCCCACCGGTGGTTCGCTAGATACGGGTAGGACCACTCATGATCTGCACCCATCATACACAGACTGTGAATCGCATTCTATCTCGCACCTATGAGCTTACAAAATAAGCGAATACCAGTAAGCTCTGGAACTTACGTGATGCTCAGGCCAAGTGGGCTGCTCACTGCGCTGACACGGTGTCACTTTCGGACAGTCACCGCCCTTCGGACACAAGTTACACCTCCCTGCGCAGCCCGTGCGCGGATCTTCGTCATGACCTCAAAGTAAGATGCTGGGTAAACCCGTTGTAATTCACTACGGGCCCGGCGGATGGGCAATCATCCCGTGTCATCCTGCACGGCAAATTGTATGATCAATGATATGCCATGGAGCTCAGTCCGCGGAGCTGGCAATGGCACTCCGTTCAAGCAGGGCACCACCCACAGCTGCTCTCTTCCATGTCTGCCATCTCGTAGCAAGTACTTGGCAAACAGATTAAGGCAGAAGTTCCGTATGTATCACATCAGCTTGCCACAAGTAGAAACATCAGAAGCATATAATATGGGAGATACACTAGACAGTCCACTTGCGGTCCAGAAACCATTTACACTCACGACGCCAACACAAGAAACCCCCTCCAGACATCCGGATAAGCCTATCAATATACGTAGGGAATGATGCGGTACGGCACGAGCTTGCAGTATTTGTGCCAGTCTTTTCCGTATCTGTTCAATCACCCGTTAGCATCACCGCGAAGCATTGGGGAACGGAAGACTCGCTTTTTCTCACAGTTCTCGTCATCCCGCATCTGCCTGTGGATGAGGAGCACGGCGAAGTAGGTCACGTAGAAGTACGTGATGGGCGTCTCGAAGCCGGTCGGGAGGGACCACGCGAACGCCATGATGAGGTCGCCCCTGCCGCGGTGTGAGCATCCGCGGACGTTTCAGGCTACACGGAGATGCTTACATGTAGTTCGGGTGCCGGGACATGCCCCACCACCCCTCGATGAGGAGCTTTGTGCCGCGCTCGGTCGTCATGTACTTCAGGTCTGTCCGGAACGCGGTCAGCCGCCACCTATTATTCACCGTCACAGCGAAACAGGGTACGCACTCTTCGGGTTCTTGCCATTACGGAAGTCGTTCTTCTGGCCGTTCGCAGCACGGAAGATAACGTAGCCAAGGACGTTGACCGCAACGATCGCAGCGGTCGCGGCGTAGCCGAGCTCCTTCTGCCTGAAGACGAGGAAACGCGGCTGCAGGGAGTAGACAAAGGGCACCCAGGTGAGGTCGCCGACGGCGAGCATGAAGCCAAAGCCGTCCGTGGTGATATCCATGGTCGTTAAGATCGCCGGCTACATGCACATGAGAACAGTGGTTGACGGACAGACGATGTGGCGAGCGTACCTCGTTGTACAACCCATCGAAGACGTAGAAAACCTGGAACGCGCTCGCGAGCCACATTGAGTCGGTGATGTGCTTGTACCCGCCACGGCGGACGGCCTGTTCACACATCATGCTGATGTCAATGAGGACCCAGAGTATGAGGCCCGGTCGGAGCTCATTGAATGACTTCAAGTCGAAGTAGCCAATCGAGGGGTTGAGCTCCCTGCCAATGAAGAACTAACGTGACGCGTTCATCAGTACGAGCGTGATTGACAGGAGACTCCACGAACGTCGTAGATGGGGTTGCCACTGTTACCCCCGAGGGCGAGGAGGGCGCCTGGACGGAAGGAAGCAGCATAGCATCCGAGGCCTTGCACTACAGACATGAGGATAGAGGCTGTCACCAAGCCAACCCAGTTGTCGTAGATGAATGTGAACGACTCCGGGCCATAGCGCCCGATGTAGCCTCCCGTGAGGCCGAGCGCGAGCAGCATCGTCGTGAAAGCTGTGGCACTGTGAGCATGCAAGTCTCTTGCGACGAGAGTGGCACTCACCATTGATCTTGTACATTTTCTTCTTCCCCGTGCGCATCGTCACACCTTCTACCCAATCTCCGGGCAGCACGAACCATGCCGCCACACAGAACGCGTACCACCCAAGGTACATAAGGGCCGCCTCCGTGTCCCAAAGGCCCTTCCACCACTGCGGATCGCTGAGCGCAGCAACAATGGCGTCGGTAGTAATCGCCGGGGGCGGGCATCCCCCCGCCTGCTCCGAGCAGCCAAAGTAAAGCGCATAGGTCGTGATCGGGACGGTGAGGGTCACAAAGAGCGCGCCCGGGGGCCCGAAGAACTCATACTTTGTCGTGCGCGGGTTGAGCTCTGCGCCGCGTCGAGCGACGGACTTGGATTTGGAGGAGGACATGGCGGTCGTGGGTGAGGTTGCTAGAGAGGACACGCGCTGGACGCGTCGTGGCGAGAAGAAGGCCCTGAGAGAGCGTGTCTATGACGGTGGCGCCATTTCCTTTGTGGCCAACGGGCGCTACATCCCAAACGGTGGCTGATCCATCTCTTCCGAGTCGTTCGACCGTAAGTACCATTGGCATCTATCACTGAATTGCTGTGACATTTGTGACCGCATGATGAAGATCAGGCAAACCTGGCACACCGGACCATAATAGACCATGATACGCAGTCGTAGGGCGGTGGTAGTTGACGGCAGTGGGCTGTCGAACTCGCACACGCCGTCGCAACGGGCTCTTCAGCTGTCCAGTATTCTTTGTTCTCAGCCAAGAACACTCTGCCTGATGCTGATACTATCAGGTGTCGGCGACATGCAAGCACAGCTCGTGTGACGTCCGTGTGCCACTGCGCGGACTCTGCTGAGTGGCCAGTATAATGCATGGCGATCCGACACCACTTTCGCTTGCAGGGAGTAACAACGAAGTACTGCAAGTTTCGCAGTGGTGATGCATTTTCAGCTACCGCTTTCGAAGAGCTTGTCGGCATCATATGGAGAGGAGTCCTCTGGGACGCAGTTGTTGCATTTGTGCTCCGACCGTGCTATACTTTACTCACACACATGCCTCATCATTCGACGTCCGCATCGGTCCCCAGGACCTGACAACCATATTCCACATTTCCCTCCCTCGTGAAGGTGACGATATGGTCTGTCGCGCAAGGTAAGCGGCCACTGAGCATCGAATTGCCTCGCGCAGGAATGCAAACGTACCGCCCAAGCTGCGACTTGCAAAGCCTATCTCACAGTAAGCACTGACGAGAACAGCTTTCAGCTGACTAACACGGCAAGGCTACGCAGTCGCTCACTCACAAGTAGTACACCCATTTTCTGCGGAAGACCTCAATCTCATCCAGGCTCTCCGGTCCACCATAACCTAAGACGTCGGGGTACTGCTTCCGCAGAGCTGATGGGCGCGGAGCAAACGTTGAAGGCGTTATCGTATACAATGCAAAGCCTCCAAACTTACCAGGGATAATCTCCGTATCAAACCGATTCTCGAACCGGCGCCTCCACTCCCGAAGCGTACGAGCGTAGTGAGGCCCAATATTATCAACGGACTCCACGACAAGTCTTCCCTTGCTTCCACTGGACATCGTAGAGGTGAGCAACGTGAGTGTGGGCAAGAAACCTCCGGGGAAGACTAGAGCATCGTTAGTAAGTGTAGCCTGTACACAGGAATTCCTTGGTACTCACTCTGTCACAAGTAAGTGACTGTGCATCACTACTCTCAGCATCATGGGAGGACGCACCCATTTCCGTATGAAGTCCGTGTCGCGGACGTACGCGTCAAATCCTATCGAGTGTGATAAGTGCATATTCTGTGCATACGAGTCAATGTTAACCTACGCGCTTCGGGTAGAGTGATCCCTTGCACCACTCCGACGCCAGTGTCCTTCAATGCCCAATCGATCTGGGACCAGTACGTCTGCAAACCCGACGAAAGACGTCAGCACCAGGACGGTACACTACCCACCCAGGCAACTACGCCCGCGCATTCGTGCGACCCACTCGCGAGACACGCACCTCTAGGAACTCATAGCCGACAGCCTCAACCATCTCCACGCTGACCACCCGGTCAAACACGCCCTTCCACTCTGGCGGCATGCTCCTGTAGTCCATACAGTGCACGCGCACTCGGGCGGGCTCACAGAAACACCCTGTGGCATGGCGCCTGTCCTCTTCGTACAGGTCCAGGCCGTCAAGGTCGCTGAGATCCGGTACTCCGTCGTCGATGCACCTCTGACAGAGGCGCATGCCGAGGCCGATATCGGCTACGCGCTGCCGTGCAAGGTACGCCTGTTCCTCGGAGAGCGTGAGCGTGTCGACGATCACGCCGGGGAAGGCCTGCGCCATGCAGATAGCCATGGATCCCCAGCCAGTACCGATCTCGAGGACCTGCGCGGTCCTCTTCAGGCCGTTGGTCGACGAGCGAGACGAGGGAGCGTACCCTGTGGCCCGGCCTGATATCCGCACGCTTCACTATATGCAGCATCTTCCTGATCTGCGCGTCGCACAGCTCGGCGTCGTCGTCCTTGTCCCTGGCGCGCCTGGTGCCCACATCGGAGACCCTCGTGCTGGCTTGGGCGATCTTGATGTCGCTTGCTATACTATCGTCGCTGGCCGATAAAGTACCACTTGAGTCGTACGTGCTCGGGCCGCTCGAGGAAGAGTCGGTGTCGATTCTTGACTGCAATGGTTCGCGGAGATCGGCGTCCAGCTCAGGGAAGATGGCGCACGAGTAGGTCATATCTCCGGACAAGAATGCTGTCGTGTGTAGCGAATAGTAAGTCACGTACTGTGATGTGGAGAAGACACGGATTGCGGGGAAATTCAGCTGCTACCAGGCCCGCGGGGGCGCGACCGAGATTACAGCCCGAGGCTACGGGCGAAGACAAGTGCATATATGACATGGGGGGTCAATGTATGCGCATATATGCGCTCCTTCAAGATCACATCGCATATATTCTCGTGAACTTGTCAGAGTCAAAGCGAGACACCTAAGAGCGACCGCGTGGATAACACCAAGAGCACGCGTCTCCTTCGCACGAATGCAACCTCGCCCTGGACCCCAGAGACGAGGTCAACAACGAAGTACGTACCCATGAACATCTCGTTGCTGATGTCATAGTGCGCGCTGATGTTCTGGCGCGCATTCGCGAGGTTGTTGACCAGATGAGAGGCGAGAAAGCGCTCGACCACACGAGAGGCCTTGGCAAGCAGGGTGTCGATCTCGGAGAGGCAAGAGCGGTTGTCCAATAGTACCTGTGGAATGCAATTTCGGTCCTTCAGTTCGAGCATTGCAGTGTATCCCCGTTTGGTTGAGGATTCGGACGTACCTGGAATAGTGCAGTCAAGTCTGTGCAGTCGACCTCCCCATACATGAACGCCTCTGCGAAACCGAGGTCCCCTTGCGTGGCGAGGCGCAGCCAAAACACCGGATCCTTGACCGTGATGGTGGCAGTCTTGTGCCCAGTCGATCTCGACCGGCTATCTGCAGGAAACGCAAGGTGACAACCTTCCTTGAAGAATCGCGAGTGTGGTACGCCGGGGCAGACGATGAGGAGACGACCGTGTCGGATGTTCTTGAGGGTTCTGCGGTGCGCGCGATATGGAACGAGGTTTGTCACCCCACCGCAGCTGCGAGATCATTTTCATCGGAACGTACTCAACGACAAAGAATCTGCATGCCAAGCACGCAAGTTCTACGCCTTTCTTGAGCGTTGGATCTAATGCAGACCGTGCGGCACCTAGGATCGCAAGAGCAAGAGCACTCGTCGACGACTTCAAGAGAGCTGCGGCCATTGTAAACAAGGCTGGGTGGGATGAGGGAGTCAGGTAGAGACTGCCGCTCAGTCTAGTCGGACGCCTCACGAATAAAACGCGATGCACGGATCCGGAAGTGGGACTTCTTGTAGAGCGCTATTGATTGGTAGCGCAAGGCCGTGGAGCAAAGTCCGCCGTCTGAAACTCAAAACGCCCTCGCAGTCCAGCTTCTCACTTGGGAGCAGGGCTTCTTATTTACGAAGCCCGCCTGCGTAAGTCATTCCGCGGCGGAAGTTCAAGGAGATGCGTTGGCCCGTGTGGCAATAGAGACATATTGGGGACAGCATGCTACCTCGTAGGTGCAGCGCACGTGGACAGATCAGACAGGTTAAGGAGTGGTTGGACTCGGACGATTTGATGCTTGTTGAAGCGGAGGATGTCAGCACTAACGCGAACAACGTCGCGCTGGCGCTCAAGCGCGGCAGACTGCAGTTGGAAATTTCAAGTGGCAACGTGATCGCGTTGCCCCACGTGCCACGTCGGCGGGGTCGACGTACTTAGCTACTTACTTATCACTAGCTTTTCCGCTGCGAGCCTACTGTATCATGCAGCTTGCGCACATACCAGCAGTCATTATATGTTTGACGCAATTCTTACGGCGTCCACCGTGCGTCTGCCAGTGGTTCAGTACTGTCCTACATGATGGAAGCTTAGCGCGTCAAAGCACGTGAATTTGACGCGTCTGTGGCGCCAGAAAGTGGTACGGTGTCTGATTGAGCTCAACGAGTTAGAACCCCTGCAATTGTCACGCGGGCGAACACAAGCAACCCAAGGCCTTATTACAGTCCTCAGGCGACCTCTACATCGACCTGATCACATTGGATCTTGGACAGATCATGTCTGGCGCCGAGCTCACTCAGGCTGGTGAGACCTCAGCCGACACGACCCGGGGCCGCCGTGAAGGGCTCTCGACCTACCAGGATCAGCTATCGTCGCTTGCATCGGAGCTGCATGTGAACGGGGCGATGTTACGTCAATGCAAAGCAAGCTCTGAAACGAGGATGGCTGTTTGTGCTGCGAGAAAGTCGGAGAAGGGCCGCCAGGTCGAGGAGATGCGTGCGGGGTTGGAGGAGCTTATCTCGGGACGCGAGGACGACGGGGCTCGTAGCGCGGTGCGGCAATCCAGTACAGGTTCGCATAGCATACGCGAGGGCTCTCCGCAGGCCCAGGCAATCGCGCTGCAGTTGCATTGTACTGATCATGCGACGGATCAGGCCCGACCTGGACAGAGGTCTTGCACCAATTGCGCGAGAACCACGAGCACTTTGTCGATTCGGTCAGGGTGCTCGCAGAAGGTCGGTCCGTCGTGGATTGTGACCCTCGAACTATCTGAAACGGAGCATGCTTGCTGCCTTCTAGAATCTAGGCACTGGAGGGAGAGGGCCCATGCAGAACTATTGCATGCGCTCCGAGATAGGAGGTCCAAGTAGCGCAAGGTGCATTTTCGGACTAACAAGGCAGATGACGGCCCAGATGGTCCACCGCCACGGGCCTACTTTGCTGATCAGTGACGTATATTCGTGACAAGGATAGCTGTCCCAGCAAATGGCATCATTACTGTGCCCGCCCGGGTGCACGCGAGCACGGTGTGTGAGCTGGCCGGGACGGAGCTCGAGAGACAAAAGCGTCCTGGACACGTTACGGCAGAGGAAGAGGAGCGGGAGACGCTGCGGGCTGCTGCGAGCTGCTGCGAGAGAGGCAATCACCCGCGAAGTCATATGCGATCGATGGACGCCTCGGAAGCATCCGATGTGGGTCGCGTTTCTTATGCATACGATGCAGGAGATAGGCCGAGCAGACACCCATCCAGCGGCGTACCTCTCCATCGATGCGCCGCTTATCCATCGATCCTCGATAGCTCATCGACGCGCTCGGCTTGCTCGACCAGCAGGCACCGCGGCTCGCGACGCGCACGGCGGGCGGTACAGTGAATGCGATGATATAAAACAATGGGTAATCTCACATGCCTCGCGGTCCCAACAACATATGTACAGAGAAGGAGAGAAACGTCCAAGCGCGTCGACCGGGCTCGCGCCTCAGTTGATCTTCAGGAGCTCGACCTCGAACTTCAGCGTAGAATTCGGGGGGATCACGGGTGGGAAGCCGCGCGCGCCATATGCCTGTATCGCGATCAGCAGCCGAGCGGTGCGCGCGCACAGGACCACTCACGAAGTCGGGTGTTGCGGTCAAGACTGCCTTCTCGCCCAACGATAGTTGCGGGACACCTACGCACTGTCAGTACGCCATTCCCGCGAGACTGTGACTCGCAGCGTCGCACCTTCGTCCCAGCCCTTGATCACCTTGCCCACACCAATCTCGGTCTCGAACGGTTGTCCCCTATGCCACTGTCAACGAATGCGGCGTGCAGCGCAGCGCGCCGGGACATACCGATCCCGACTCGAGTCGAATTTACGGCCGTCCGACAAGGTGCCGACGTAGTGTATTGTTACCTTGTCTGGTGTTGCATGTGAGACGGAAACTCGACGGTACGCGCAGTCGACACTTACCGCCCTTCTTGGGGAAGTGGACGCCATCACCAGGCTTGATGACTTCGACAGTGACACCCTGCGCGGGCGTCGTGAGCCTCGACGAGGTGCGGGCCGGCGAGACTCACCATGATGTATTCCTGGTACGGCGACTCAAAAAGCTGATAGGCAAGGGCGGGGCGTACGAGCAAGACTAGACCCTGGGGCCACAGACTTATACTAGGACGGAGGCGGAGTACGGATCTTGATCCGATCTGAAGTCATCCGGCCAGTGCGATCCTGTCTCTCCATAAATTATGTCGAGTGGCCTGAGAGCGCTGTCTAGAACATGCTATCGATGTCGATTGAGGGCGATTAGTGTCGAGGGTATGCATTCGGCCCTATGCTATCTGGGAGCCGTCTCTGGCCCCGACCGCGATCGATGCCCCGTCTTCACTTCTCTCCTGAGCCAATCCGCACACAACAAGTTTTAGGACACCTTTCATGGTAGCTTCAAAGACCGAAGACACCGCGCGATCCAGAATGACATACGCAGAGTCGAGAACGCCCGGCACCCGCGAAGCGGCACCCGACCACCTCGGCAGCGGCGCACTGGCGTAAACATCCCCGTGGCTTTGTAAACCTACCACCGTATGGAAGACGGGTACAGCGTCCGAGCGCGGATTCCGGTAGCAGGCGCAGGTATGGGGCGCCCGCAGAACTCCAGACGAGATGTGGGGTAAGAGGCCATGACGAGACAGTCCATATCCAGACCGCAGATCGCTTCCGGAGCTCATATCTCGAGCCCCGCTGGCCTGGCTCGGTCGCGGCGTCTGCCTAGCTTGCGGCGATGTTGTTAGACCGGCGGGCACCCCCAGTGGAACGCCAGTGCTTTCTACGGGCATATTGCGAGTCTTTGCGTTGGATTTCCATGTGCACGGCAAGAAAAGAGGGTGCGAGTGCACATGAGACGTGCCCAAACCAGCCGCTACGGTAATCAGTGTTCCGGCAAACCTACCGTGCAGGCGCGAACCACGAGCTTGGAATCGTCGTCTTGCGGATGCCGGAGGCCTACGGGCAACCACTCGCTAGAACCTGGCAAGGGAACCTTGGTCCGAGTGAGCGGCTAGAAAGCCAGAAGGTCATTTACAGGTTAGAATGTCGAACCCCAATCACCGATCAACATCTCACAGAGATTGCAGTCAGATTACAGCCCGGACGTCGAAGTTTAATAGATGCAGTGATCCGAAATCGTCCTTTCTGTCAGCATAGGTATTGAGTGGGGTCAATAACAGCCGCGCGGAGAGAATTAAGCCAAGGTAGATTCATTCCCTACTATAGCCGCCGGCTGAGGGTGGATTGCAACATGGCAAACCGCACATCGATACTGTTGCATTGCCGTCGGTAAGCTTGTACACGCATAACAACATGAGGAATCTTGGACACACCGTGCTTTCTGATGATTCAGGAATTTCTGATTGTTCTTCCCAGTGTTCGACGTGTACATACTGGAGGTGCGTGCGCGCGTGGATTTCTGGACTTGAAACAGCAGTCGACGGTTTCACATGGTTTCACCTTCTGCGAGTCGAGCAGAGGGTCTTGAGTAAGGATGTGAGAGGAACTGGCCGTCAAGCTGCAAAGGAAGACTCCTGACTAAAGCGGCCCAGTTGAGTGGAGGAGAAAGTCGCAAGGAGACTGTGTTACCGAGGTTCGCCGGCGCCTATGAGCCACGTGCTCGCGCCACATCCTCTTAATTTGGCAACTCTTCTATTGGTCGTTCAACTGACCTCGAACACGGTTCAACCATTCAATCCGACTACATAGACAGAACCTCTTACCTTTGAGTCCTCCAATATATCGCCGCGATCCTCGTGTCGCTGTCTAGTAGCTGTCAAGACACAATATTCATTGAAAAATTTTATCACCGCAATTGTTTGATAACGATGATCCTCAAGACCCGGCGGCAGTGCTGATACGGCTGAACATGGCCAAGGTCCTATTGTTCCAGGTAGTATGCTACGCAGGGAATGGGTGAGCTTCTCTTTCACAAAGTGTCCGAAGCCAGGGCTATACAGTCCGTGCAGCTCTCAACGAGAAGGCTTGGGAAGACGCTATCCATGCGGGGTTTCTGTTGCATTTGAACAGGGTCTCGTAAGCGTGGCTTGCGAGTACGGCAGAACTTCACTGACTTACGGTTTGAACCACTCCGTTCTCAGTCATCCACCTCCCAAAGAGGAGACCTTTGTTCGACTGATTATCCTCGATAGGGTTCAGTAACTGTAAAAGCCAAAGGGCTGATCCGAGGACCCTTACTCACACGTAACGCCTCGCAGGTCTATCGAGCGCGTGTCCTTGCATTCCTGTCCAAGACCGGTTCCGCTTCGCGGAAGGGACCGCGCGGTATCAAGGAACAGAACTGCAATGTACGATTCAGTGTCTCCAAGGACCATCCAGCCATCTCACCATATGGGCCCGCCATAACCTTCCATTATCTTTGTTCCTGTTGTCTGCGGATCCTCCGTAAGCAGAGTTCGCGGCATCCGGTAAAGTGGTTCTTATCGGATGGATGGTAGCGTCTACAACCGAAGCTGACGTTTGTATCAGGTTCCGGTGTCGTTTATCATGGCAAAGGATGTCGTATAATGGCGCTTGCCATCGCTCGGAGTTGAAGCCGTAAAGCCAAGGAGCCCCCCTGCACGCACAATGCGGAATCGTCGTTCCGCCTGGCGGCATCACAGGAAAGCGACTTACGTACGATTGAGAGATGGAAGTCCCGCCAGAAAGTCCTCCATTCTCCCGGATACGGACGTCCCATTCAGCTTGGGCGGTGGCGAAGGGGCGCTGGGCTGCAAGGGTTGTTCCATGTCGGTGATATGTCGCTGACGGCTCGGCCTGAAGTCAGCGATTATTTATGTCGCATGCAGTGCGATGTAGGGATACCGGTCAGCGTGACCGGTCAGCCTGCCAGCGGGGCGGTCCGCAGCTGGTGACGCTGCGTATGTATCACATTGACAAGAGTGCGCAGGCGTCGTGGAAATCTGCTAAGCTGATCTTCGATTTAGGCGTGACATGCGACCACAATCATCTTGCTGTTCTTCAGCATCACCGGGTCGCGGGTGCTTCAATTCCAACCAAGACGTCTGGGTCCGGCCTGAGGTGTGCTGTCGATGTGAGTCGGGTGTAGATCAGTCGAGGTGAGATTCAAGAGCAGGTTGGAAGCGGTCTGAATGGGGAACGCATTGTCCATATCAGCAAGTAGAACTTGAACGCACGGTACAAAATCCCATCAGAAGTGATCTTAGTCCAGGGCAGGCAGCGAATTCTCGTGCGCCATCATCCCACGTTGGTGCCTGTTCTTGGACCGTCGCGCAAGGTCCCAACTTGAAGAGCGCTTCAGAATCAATATCGTTCCCCCTCTTCGTACCACCGCCGGATGCGTCGGTCCCGGTCTCACCTTCAAGTTACTCCTGAGCTCCTCATGAGCCACGCGTGAATTTCTAGATCCGGGCCCGGGACTGAGTCCGAGAAGAAGCTTGCCATAGTGACATAGCCTGGGACTTCTTCGGCTTGCCTGAGGCAAATTTGCGGTTCGAGCCTTAGACTGTTTGTGCATGAGAGTCACTGAGCAAGGTCTAATAAGCTCTTAGGAAGGCGTAGGAGGTCATCACATCTTACAGACCACTAGCTGATGTAGTACCGCTATCTCGTGGCTGGTGATGAATGTCTCGTCAACGTTTCCCGCGGTGCGCACTGGCAAGTAGCCATTGGATCATCGGAGGCGCAAAAGGGCAGGGCTGATGGAAGGAGGTTGTACAAGTGTCTTCACCGTAGAAGACCTCGGAAGGCGAGCGCTACGGTCACGCCGTATTCGTATCCTGCTGACCCTGAGTTTCGCGGTGCCAGGGCTACATAGTACTTGAATATCTCGACTGGACTTCAACGCCGAATATTCGATATCCAATATTGACCCGAATTGGACAGCAGTGTCCCTGTCGTTGTAAGTCATTGAAATTGTGGCAAAAGGACTCGAGTACTCCTCGCAGATCAGATATACCCCGGGGACATAAGCTCGTGATCTGCGGATCAGCTTAGGGCTGTTGCCAGCGGCGACGGTGTTACAATCTTACTGACATCAGAATGCCTAGTGAGAATGCGCCTCTATACTGACAAAGCGAAGCTTCCGGAACTTGCACTCTATGAAGCGCGTAAGATGCGCCTCGCTGGCCTGGTAGCTGTACAGGCGTATCCCGGGGATGAGACGAAAGCGATGGTCTCCAAAAGGCCAATCCACACACATTACGGCGTCACGGCGTCCCGTGACATACGCATCAGTCACACGCTCACTGCCGCGGCACAGTTACGACGGTCACGATGATCGGGCTACCCAGTTTCCTTCAGTACGGCTCAGCTAAAGATACTAAGAACCTCAACGTGGAGTGTCGAACAACATACATACGTATACTACGTACTGTGCATTCACCCGGGAAAGTCCCAATGGAGCAACATCCTTCCGTACGTTTCATGTCTGTATTTTACCTTATTGCTGAATCGTAGATCGCAGTATTCAGAGCTGTCCGCGCTCCTGCCCAAATACCCCAGGACAGCCGGAGCGTTGTTCCAAACGTACAATGATCTGAAGCTGGGTAAGTGCTAGATAAGACGCGGAAGTGGACCCCGACTGATCGGGCGTAGCACAGGAATGGAGCGAGCTCGAGGTCGTAGACCTCACCAGCTGTTCCAGAGGAGTATTGCGAGGCCGCCGACCTAAGACCGTGAGCTTCCAGTGTACACATTCACATAGAGCGATGCTAATGGCTTGCCGGTAGGAGGTCATGTTGTGTGTCATCCCTTGCTCGCTCGCAGAGTCCCTCTCAATAGCATGGTGAGGGGAAAAAATCAAATGACAAGCCCGCTTGCTTATTGCATGGAACCAGGTTACAAGACGCATTCCGTGAACTCTCGTCTCCAACACAAATATACCTGGCCATCAATACTGAAGACTCATCTATTGTGTACTACAAGATCAGCCCGGGGATCGTGAAACCACCTGTCTAATTTTGCATCATAAAAAGAGTGCCTCACGCTCATGTTGCGTCGAGCCGGTCTCTCTGTGCAGAAGGATCACCGTCGGTTATGACCATTCTTTCGACATATGTATAAGTAATACTACAACCCACGTCTAAGCAGGTCAACACTATTGTACACTATAACACGGGGCACAGAATGCGGCTGTCAATCTTCAAGCGATGCGGAGTATTGCTACAAATATGCAGTCGGGGAGACGGTGCAACAATGCGATGCAGGCACTTATTTCAATGCAATGGTCCATTGGGGGCTCCGGGGCGGGGGCGGGATGTCATACGGTGGACGCTCGCGGATCAATGCATGAGCACTCGTCCTCCACTTTGCTCCCGAGGTTGTTCCCTGAGCAGGAGGACACAGAACCCAGCGATGACGAAGACGATGACGCTCGCGTATACGGGTACCGACTGGTTGATCGCGAGTAGCAGTCCTCCAGCAATAGGTGCAATCATGCCGCCTCTGCTCAGAAGAGGGTGAGCATACGCGTACCAGGGAAGGAGGTCATGACTTACATTCGCGAAAGTGCGGAGGCAATGCCGCAAGCGGAGCCTCGGACTGGTTGCAACGTTAGGACGCGGAATTTTTGCTTGAATCAGTGCGATCTCACCTTTTGTGCCGAAGATTTCCGGGGTCCAGCCGTACAAGACAGCCCACATGGCCTGGGGGATCGAGCAGTCAGTTGTCTGTCTGCAGGCGCGAGTTCCTAATCAGAGATTACATACCGTCGCACTCAGACTGATCCCAACCGTACTCGCTCGCACGGCCCACGACTGCTCTACAATAGCGAACACCACACAGAAGAATGCAGTCACAAAAGTACTCCCCGCCAAGGACAATCTACGTCCCAGCGGGCCTTCGATCAGATATGCTCCTAGCTGGGGACAAAAATCAATGAACCAGATCACTGCGCATATAATAAGACAGACTTACCACAGCGCCCGGACACCCTCCAAGAGCGTATATGACCACGTCCCACAAGCTCGCATTCAAACTTTTCGGCGAGGCAGCACCCATATCCGCCTCTGGCGGGGCCCCACGTCCCTCCAGCAGCTTCGGCAAATACACATTGAACATCGTGTACGCTGAAATACCCGAGTTGATCATCAGCGTCCTTTCTTACGACGTGAAGCACATCCGGAAAGACTCACCCAACGACATCGCGAACCACGCCGCCCACACAAGCAGCGTGGTGTGCGCCCACTCCGGCGCGAGCACCATCGCGATCCTATCAAACCACGCCCAGAGCGGCTTCCGCAGCCACCGCGGGAACTTCCAGTATATCTTCGGCCGCGGCTCGTACACCGACGACGTCGCAGAGAACCGCCTGCTCCCCCGCCCACTCAGCCTCGGTCTCGGCCTCGGGCGTGCGTGCTCCGCCCCCAGCACGTCGTCAGCGAAGAGCCCCGAGACAGGGCGCGGCGCGGCGACGGACGGCTCGCGCGAGAGCGGGGGCTTGTCCTCCGCCTCCGCTTCGGGGCGGGGCTGTGGTAGGGCCTCGGGGCGGCCGCGGAGGGACCCCGCGGGCGTCGAGGTCTGGGAGATTTGTGAGACTTGCGGGGTGTGGTAGTAGTGCCCCTCGAGCGCGACGTTCGACTCGCCCGTCGCGTCGTAGCTTTTGGACTCGCTCTCGGGCGAGGCGCGCAGGAGGTTGCGGCTGTCCGCCGACGCCACCGACGGACGCTCCTGGCTCGCACTGTATGGGTCTTGCGTTTCTCCCTCTTGCGCGTCTGCGTCGAAGACTAGCGTAGATGGGTCATGCGGGGCATCTGCTGGGGGTTCTTGTTGAGGATATTTAGTGGAAGTGTCATGAGGGTTAATGCTAGCGGGTTCGTCGGAGATGACGGGGGCGTAGACGCTGTCGCGCACGTCCTCGAGGTCGAGATTCAGCTCGTCCCCGTTGAACCGCGAGATCATCTGGAGGGACTCGAGCGCCTCTTGTGGGCGGCCTGCGTGGACGAGGTAGCGCGGCGACTCGTGTAAGCGGAAGAACACGATCCGCGCGACGAACATTGCCATCGTCTGCGTGCACAATTCAGCAAGGTCACATTCAGCAGGAAACGTAAGTGCTTACGATGGCGCCAAGGGTAGCGAATAGATACTTCCATCCTTGATTTTGGGCGTCCACGTCGCAGGCTGCGGGTGCAGGTAGACACGAGTGGCTAGGTATGACTATGAGGCCGACAAACGCGGCAAGCACGGAGCCAAAGGAAAAGAAGACGGAGAGCGCGGTGACGAGATACTTTTTCCCGTTCGGCATGTGTTCTAGGAGTAGAGTTCCGTCCGTAGGCATGGAACCCTGACATTCAGAGTGGTGTTAGAGCGAATCTCGAGGATCCAACACAAGACGTACTCCGACAGCACTCCCTAGGAAGAATAAGGCAAGACATAGCCAGATGAACGTCGGCGCGAAGGACGCAAAGACTCCGAAGAAGGCAGTGAGGAACAACGTAGCGTTGAAGGCCGTAGTGCGGCCCATAAGGTCAGAGCCTACGGTGGTAATCGCTTAGTCGCTGTATGTTCCGAGGGATCGATACGCAGACTCACACGTTCCCCACCCAACTGCGCCGAACATCATCCCCGCGAACATTGACGAGGATAACGTGCCGATGACACTGTCTCGTACTGGGAATGTTGCATCAGTATCATGCGGTTGTGCGCAGAAAACGGATCTAAGAGCACTCGGCACACGAGAAAGACATGCTGCCTTCTTACACGCAAAGATACTCGGAGTGTCCAATTCAAGACGGATCGAGTGTCTCAACAATGGGAAGATCAGCAACCGTCTTGGTGTTTCACGAGGTAGAATAGCCGCATATATCGCCAGCCTGAGTTCGGGCTCAATGTCCTAGGCTGCAGTAGCCCGACCCGGTGGCCAATCGATACGCGCCGTCTTCGCTGCACACAACCAAGTCTGTCCCAAACTCACCTTCAAAATGCCGCTGGATGCGCGGTAAGGCTATTGCCACCGCTTGGATCCACATCTATTACATCCGTTCAGCGCGCCTCAGCACATTCGTACAGTACTCACGTTATCCGCCATCCATCCTGCGCACGGGGGAGGAAAGGCAGGCAGCCCGGCGGTCAGCAGGAGCCCGGATCCTGGCGTTTCGACTCGAGCGACTCACCGAACCCACAGAGCGACAACAGCGTCCACTGGTACCATCCTGCACGGCGCCGCCCAATCACGTTCGCGGTATATGAGATCGGCAGCAGAGCGACGGGACGGCCACACGTTAATAGGCTACAGACTGTGCGCGACGCGTCAAGACGCACCCATCCCAATGCGATCGATCGTCCTGTCCAGCGGGGTGCGCTCGTCGAACGCGCCCTCGTCGACGCCCTCATCCTCGCGGCCCTCCTCCAGCCCGGCGTCGTCCTCGCTCATGGCCGAGTAGTAGCTAAGGCGGTTGAAGGACGCCATCACGGGCCATGCGCTCCTTCCTTATATCGCGCGGTCTTGGTAAGGTGCGACAAGTATGGGTGCGAGCAGGATGGCGATCGATGGTGCGACGTGCTCGGTCTCCGAGGACCTCTGATCAGTTTCCTCTGCTGGCGACGGGCTCAGAGAAGGAAGGGGCGTGTCCGTGCTGAGGTCGCGATTGAGGGGGCCGTGGGTGGATGACTCAGACGGTGTGCTGGTGCGGGCGCTGGCGGTGACACAGGGTGCCGGATATGGTTCGGTAAATGCGAGCTTTACGAGAGAAGGCGGCGCCGCGCTCCCGAGAGTGCCCTATCGCGCTTCCAGCCCTCGGAAAGTTGGTGCCAAATGCGAGACGGCGATATGAGCGTGGCTAGCAGATAGCGAGCGGCGTGGTAGAGCGCAGAGAACCGTCGACGGCGACTGGGAGCTGCACGGCGGCGACCGACGCATTCCTCCACTGACTTGATCGAAGGCGGGCACTGCGGCGCCACCGCCCGGCCATCAAGGTGGCGCAAGTGTGGGGGAGTGATCCGTACCGGCCGGGGTCGCCGCCGGGTGCGAAGTGCCGGTTCTTGACCAGAGCCCTCTGCGTTCGTCAGTGTGCGCGATCCTGGTAAGTTGTAACACGAATGCTTCATAAATGCTTGTACTATCGTGTCGCCTACCTCTTCTGCTCAATCTACCTTGAACACGGCATTCACAGGAGACCCCGACATCTCTCGCGAGATAGACGAGGGCCGTTCAGGTTGGCAGTCGGTCAGTCGCGTCGGCAACAGTACAGCTGGGGACATAGGATGATGATCGCAGCGAGTTGAACAGGTGAGAGTGTCTCAAAGCCTGAAAGCTGAGCCTCTGCCTAATATGCTTCCTCGACGCCCATGTATCTATCAAGCACGCCTGCCTCGAGCGTTCCATGACGGCGATAATGCCTCTGCACCGCTGGGATGCGGCCGCCGGGATACTCCCCGTACACGGCGCTCGACGGCTGGCAGCCCTCGCCATCCATGGCCATATCTTGTCAGACTGGCGTGCTCGGAGGCCGGGACTCGTGGAACAGTGGCAGGCCCTAGGTGACCTCTGTTCAGAGACAAGTGGACTGGTCAAGCTCAACGCCGACAATCTGGATTGAGATGGCGGCCAGTATGCTATAGGAAGCTGGCTTTGTACACAGTCAGATGGATGTCTAGGCTATGGACGCATCGCAGATGCCAGTGGTATGGACACTGACGAGCAGCATCCGCGGATGCCTCATGCAGCTGCCGGATATGAACACGCCAACTGTTATCGCACACACCGTGTGAGCTCACCAGCTCTTTCCGACTAGCACACCTGCGTCCGTCGAACTCTGTATGGCCGTCCTATCATAATCATGATACTTACCAGGGGCGGTGGTCTGGACGTGATACATCGTTTGGACGGGAGCCGTTCAGATGAACTCATCAGGTAAGTGGTGTTGTGATGATCCATGGGCGACCGTTCACCAACCCCGTCAGATATTGGCCCACACAACGATGTGCCGCAGCGCTCGAGGCACTCATCAGGGGCTTGGGCACACGTCCGAGCCTCCTTATCGCCGCGGGACATGCATTCATGAAGAGGCCTGAGCTGCGCGCGTACAATCGTGTCGGCTGCCGTTGCGGCATCCAGCCCAGGCTGTGGTGGGTAAGTTATCATGGGCGATGACAAGGCGATGACGTTTCGAATGCGCGCACATCGTCGTAATAATGGTACCGGAAGTGCTGTGTCGAGGCCCGTCTGTTGCAGAACACTGCATTTCCGGGGGTCCGGTATGGCTAAGTAGGTGAGCCTCGCTCGGTGCGAATTACACGAGGAGTAATTGTGAGTGTCCATACCCGCTCAAAGGCAATGAACCTCGTCGTTCTCTTACGTGGGTTGTGTATGAGGGTCGGATACATTCACGGCATGCTCAGCGCTGAGCGTTGATCCATTGTGCGGCGCTGATCGACTGCAGGTGAGTTGCACAACGACGCTCGGGTTTTCGCAGCTGTGAGCACGACTCATAATGTATAATGGTTGACACAGTGAGTACACTATGAAGGACGTGGACTAAGTTCGGGTACTTATCGCCAGGCGCACGTAGTGTGAGCAGTCCCTTCAAATTTCTCCGTAGGCTGTCCAGCCAACGCCGTCGCCCAGCGCTGCGCGCGTTGTCACTGCACAGTCGTCCCATACTTCCGGTTCCGCACTTCGTCTCCCTCGCGCGTACAGGACGCCGTGCACGCCCCTCCTACCCGTCAGCTGATAGCCTTTTAGACCCTGGCCTTCTCAATCCCTCCTGTCCATTACCGTTCCTATGCCTACCTGTGGAACGCACGCCCACTGCGTGCACCACGGCAGTATAACGGCAGCACACGAAATGAACGTGCGCAAAATAGTGACTTTTTTCATCAAACGAGCGCGTCATAGAGCCGCGTGTAACCTTGCTGTTCGCGCGCGCGTGAGAGCCTGGCCATCGGGGCGGGGAAGACGACGTCAGGGGGCCCCCGTTGCCAAGGGAAGCGACCAACTATCGCAGCAGCCTGAGAGCGCGCGGCAGGGCTTTGGCAGGGCTCTCTGAGTCTCTCCACCGCACTCCAGTGTCTATGAAGAACGGGGAGGCGTAGTGGCGTTCAGGAGGCGGGCAGGCACCGGCGGCGAATGGGGGCGTGCAGGGGAGCATCACGGGTGGGGGAGCGGTGCGTCTATTTTTGTGGGAAGCGAGTCTGTGGCTGCTGCGGGGGTGGATCGAGATGGGTGATGACGTAACCGTCAACAGCCGTCCCGCGCGATGGGGCGACCGTGCCCTCGGACGCGGCCCTATAAACCTCCCCCCGCGCGCTTCGCCACTCAGCCCACCCACGCACCCCCATCACCTCATCTCGCGCCGTCCTCACGCATTCCCCCGTCACTGCCATGGAAGCCCCGAAGCCCGCGATGACCACCAGCACCCAGCCCCAGGCGGTCCAGATGAGTGAGTGCTCGCTTCCGAGCGTGGTGTTGGTCGTTGGCGGAGCGGACGTAAGAACGTCCGCCCGAATTCCGTTGATCGTTGGCAGCGGCGGCCCCGCGGCCTTGGCCTTGGCACGCCCTGCCAATGTGCTCGTCCGCAAACCCGACTTGGACATGCTTTTCTTGGCGCGCGTCGATCGACGCCGGCGACGACCAGCTTTTCTACGACGCTCGTCCCCAAAAAATGAGCCACAGAGACTGACTATGCTTTGCGACACCTAGGTGCGATGAGCCCCCCGCAGCGCGCGAACCAGTCGCAGGAGTGCCAGAACCAGAAGGCGAGCCGCCTCCGCGGTGGAGGCGCGGGCAAGGACTGCTTCATCGGCGCCTTCTCGTGCTTCATCTGCTTTGAGGGGTGCAAGGACTGCTGCGAGTGCTGCGCAGACATCATCTGTGCGTCCCCTCTCCTCTCCTTCCCCTATCCGCGCATGTTCACTGACGACCGTCCGTGCAGGCTGCCCGTGCGAGATGTGCTGCTAAACGTGTATCCTCCGCCGGAGTCGCTGTTGCCGCCGTGAAAAGACGAATGTCTGGCTCCACATACCATGTATATTAGAACGTTGCTTTGTTCTGCATTCTCAGTGCTGTATGGACGCCTCGATGCCTTGCCCGCCGTAGATATGTTGTATGCGGTGGACGCTTCATTGTTGCTTGTACAGAAACGTTATGGATATTCACTCCAAACTGCCAAGCGTGTCTGCGTTCGACGCACGTCATCCAAGCAACGTACGCCGGCGATCTCAAGAAGCTTGTCAGGCACTGGGGAAATGCTTCCGCGGTGGGTGCCAACGTTGAAGGTACCAAGTTGCAGTTACCCAGATGCCTTCTCGGTCCTGGGCCGTCCGAACGCATGGCAGCGAACGACCGGCCTCGAAAGACCAGATAACCTTGAGAGTAACCACACAACATTCACGCGCGAAGCAGGCTTCCACTTCTGGAGCACATCACAGAGAAGACCCTCGATAGCGGCAGGTCGATCACGATTAGAGTACGTAGCATATGTAACGAACAGCGCGAGGGTGCGGCGAAACGAGGGCAAGTGTCCAGAGGGTGATTCACGGGTGGGTCAGGCGCTCTGATGTGCAGTATGGGTCCAGGTGCGATGTGTGCTAGCGATGGGGATAGGTCCGTCCGTAGGAGTGTATCATCAGTCCGCTGCGTGTGGGATAGAGTGGGTGGCAGTAGGTACGCGAACTCGCGGGGCGAGGAGAGTAAGAGATTTTCACTGCGTGGAGTTGGTCCCCGTGATCGTGAAGGTGGGCGAGGCGTTGCCCGAGTTGCCGAACACTGTGGGGGGGAGTGAGTGAACGCGATTGCGGGTGAGAGGAGAGGAGGGACGCACAGACGACGATGTAGTCGTTCCTCGTCGGCACGTTCGGTACCGTGATGTCCACCTGGCCGTCCGAGATCTGGAACCCAGTCACAAGCGGGGTCTCTGCAGCAAGTCAGCACACCACCCAGCTCAGGACAAGGGACGGGACGCACGGGTGTCGAGGTTCTCGCTGTCGTTCTCGTAGTAGCCGAGGAGCACGACGCCGGTGTGGTTCGCGGCGGTCTGGGGGACCTGGCTCGGGTCCCACTTGATCGTCTGCGTGCTGCCGACCTGCCAGGTCGTGAAGATGTTCGGCGCGGAGATGTCCGCGGACCAGAGGATGACGTCGTCCGCGATGGGGATGAACGACGCGGGCGCGGCGAGCGCGAGCGCGGCGGAGGCGGCGAATGCGAGAGCTTTCCGAACATCATGGCTGGCTGCGTGGGTAGGAGGGAGGGGCGGTCTTTGCACGGGGTATGGGGTGTCGAAGGAAGGACTGAACGAGGGGACGTGCAAGGAGCGCGAAAGGAGCGAGAGGCGAGAGGAACCGTTCAACGTTCAGCGGGGCAGCCGGACGAGATGGGGTGGACGGGGCGCGCGAGGAGGGTTAAGTAGCGGTGGCAGGTGTCGCCGCCCCCGTCGTCAGGCGATCTACGCGAAGCCAGGCGGGTGGCCGATCGCGCTTGGGACGTGCTGAACGGTGGGGCCGCTGCGCTTCTCTGACTGTCATGAAACGTGCACGCCTGACAGCCCCGCCGCCTTCCTGCGCGTCGCAGCGCGCCCATACTTATGTGCCTGTGTAAACAGTCTGTTGGTGAAGTCGGACGGTGTCAGCACATCCCAGCATACGCGCACACATGCAGACAGAACTCAACCATACCGGTGTGCCAGCTACGACAGTCTCACGCGTTGTGGGCGGCGCACATGGCGCATCCTGCCCAGCCAAGCAGCCCTGCGTGGAAGATCGGAAGCGTCCCGAGACACGTCGGCTGTGCGCTCGCCAACGTTTGAACGGAGACGCGAACGGAGCACGCGCAGCCGCCGGCAACGGTCGTTCGTAGTAGCCTTTTTGGGCATGCACTTGCCGGATTCAGATGGGTGGCTGGACACCCGCCACCTCCCATCAGCCCATGCCTCGTCGCTGATGGCAGGTTATGTAGTAAATAAGTGCTCTTCGACGCGACGGTGGACGCACATTAGAGTTTGGCGAGCTTGGAGACAGTGGGTGTAATATTGCGAGTGCTACTACGGGCTACTACAGTACAAATGCGATGTATGGACAGATCAAGAGCTAGAGACAAGACAAGATATCACAGCCAACAAATTACACATCCACGGACACACAACGAACACACAACACAAACTGGGATGTACACTACGGAGAACATTGAACAACTGCTTCAATCGTCTTCGAGGCGCGTCAGGTCAATCGCCGAGACCGGGCGCGTTTTGAGCGGGGAGGGGTTCAACGTCTTCCTCCTGTCCACGCTGCCAGGCAGGCGCGCGATGCGCCGCTTGACGAGCTCCCGCGAGGGGCTGTTCGACAGCACCGAGTCGTCGCTGCTCAGCGGGTCCGACAGATCCGGCGTCCGCACCTTCATGCGCCGCAGGGCGGGCGAGACGAGGCCGACAGGGTTGACCTGCCCGAGGCGGGGGTCGTCATCGGACGAGGGCTCCTTTGGCGGGAGCTTTGACGGTGTAGCGTGCATGATGGAGTCATCTGTTGGCGAATGAAGATCAGTATTAAGGATACGAGACATAGCGTAGGGAACACATACCGCTACCCAGAATCGGCGCTTTCCTGAGCGCGCGCAGAGCGGACGACATGGACGAAGACCCAGCTTGTCCCGCTTCCCCGTTGATGACTGCGCCCCGACTCTTCCGCTTCTTCGTCGGGGTCTCTGGCAGCTCATCCCGAAGCGAGAAGAGCACAGGCTCCACCTCCGTTACCTTCACGGCCGACTGTGTCTTCCTCACACTCGCCTGGGCAGGCGTGCTGCCACTCTCAGTCTCGCTGTCCTCCGGAGAAGCAGCGCGCCGCGGCAGACTCGCGCGGAGACTTATCTGCTTCCGCTCTGCCTCTTTCTTCTCGCGATAGAGCACCTCCTTGAACGTAGGCACCTCCACAGCCTCCATGAAGACGCCCTTCCGTTTCCGCGAGCGCGGTGCACCCGCGGACGGCGCGGAGGACGAAGCCTGGGAACACGACGCGAACGGGTCGTCTTCCGACTCCTCCGAGGGTGGAGGGCAGGGCGTCTTGGGCACAGATGTGGTCCGCTTCGGAGTGCTAGGCAGTGCTGCAAATGCGACGCCCGCAGGCCCTCTCGCCGACTTCCTGGCACTGAGGACGGGGATCTCAGGCGAGTAAGACAAAGACGCGGCCAAGTCCTCCGCTAGGGAGCGCGGCGATTTGGGCAACGTTGCATGCCGCTTCGGTGTGCTCGGGACGTCCAGGAGGGACGCGCCCGCCCGGAGCGGCAGTGCATCCTCAGGCGCGAACCTCAGACCAGCCTCGAGCAGGGGCGCACCCGACATGTCAAACCTCGCCCTCTTCGGCGTCTGCATCCCCTCCTCTCCGTCATCGCCGGCGGAAGGCCGCTTGCCCAGGACAGACTGTCCGCTGGCGGGCGAGGCCATCGCGATGCGCTCCGCAACCGTGGCGAAGACGGGCAGCGGCTCGACGTTCTCCTTCTCGCCCCGCCGACGCGCGGACGACAGCGGCGTGCGGCGCGGGGTCATCTGCGACGTGCGCTTGGGCGTCATCGGCGCGCGTGGGGACTCCGCGGGCTGAGGAGAGTCGGGGAACGCCAATGGGGATGATGGCGAGGACGGCTCCGGGCGAGTGGACGTCTTGTGCGGGCGGTGGGGGTGACGAAGAGGCGGACGGGCGTAGACTTGGGTGTTGATGGCGGGGTGGTGAACTTGGAGGGACCGGCGACTGGTGACGCAGGGAGAGGGATGAGCGCAGGGATGGGCGGGCCGAAGCCGGAGGAGCTGGGGAGAATGGATGCGGTGACCTCGTCTTCCTCCTCGCTCTCTGCGTCGGCTGTCTCCGACGCGAAGAGGTCGTCGTTGAACTCGGAGAAGTCAGAGGAGGGCGGGAGGTCGTCGTTGTCAAACGCAGCAATGGCGGCAGGCTGATCCCCGGCCAATGCGTGGAGGCAGGTTTGAAGCCGATCGGACCAGCCATCGGAGGGCTCCTTGATCCGCTCGTAGGCGGTCTGCCAGAGCTCTGCGAATGCTTCAGTGATGGCCTCAGGTTGTCTGCGCGGCCGCAGAAGCCGGACTCGACGATGGGTGCGAGTGTCTCGATCAGTTCGACGGAGGCGGGGAGCGATTGAAGGCCGAGCAAGACCGTCTGGTATACTGGGAGAATCTATACAGAGATTGTCAGAAAAAGGCTGTACTAAGTACGTTTCGCTTACATCCATAGCATATCATCCTCAGTGAACACCCGGAAGTCGTCGCCGATCCACTGGCCAAGCCATCCTGGAGGAGCTCGAACATATTCATCGACAGCTCGACAGGACACGCGTCTATGACCCTTGTAAGCGTCCGGATGAGCCAAATAGATATGACCTTGTTGCGCGGCTCCGGCGGGTAGGTCGATGCCAACGTATCGTTGACCAAATCGAGTACATCCTTTGGAACGTCCCGTGCATCGTTGATGTCCAAGTTCGAAAGGAGCAAGTCAGCGATACGGGTGGAAGAGGCAGACGGCGTCGGTGAGCGGTGAGAGAATACTGTAGAGGCGATTTGGTCGACGACAGTGACGGAGTCAATGCCGTAATCGAGTGCCCTGTCCATAGTCTCACGTAGAAGAACGTTCCAAATGTCGACGTCGTGATTCCACATTTCGAACACCGCGAACTCCCTGCATACACAGTCAGTCGTACACCTGCAGAACAGCGTTGTCCACTCACATAAAGGGTGCGCTGAGGATGATAACACCCATCTCCCAGATGCTCGGAGTTGTCGCGCCATTTCTCGACGAAGGCGGTCCACACCAGTCGGCGTACCTCTGGAGCCCAGCCAAACTGCGGCCTTTAGGGTGACGTCCCGACCAGAACTTCTCCATCAAGGCCACTTCGCACGCGAACATCGTTTCAGCGCAGAGGGAGGCCCACTGCATCCTCACACCATCCGGCTCGTCCAGGTCCTCGACAAGATACTCTTCGTGGTACAGCAGGTACCCCAAGAGCTTCTCCGATGACTTCTCTAGTGCCTCGCCCAAAATACGCTCCTATGGACATGCCAGAGCTCGCGCGCGAGATAGAGCTTCAGGCCCAAGTTCAAGCGCTCGATTGTCGGCATCAGGTGCGTCCGGGTGGCTTTGACAGGGCTCGTAGGGACAAAGCCGCTGTCATGTTCACCCTTAGAGTTCTTGACGACATCTAGCTTGGGGTCGTCGACGAGATCAATGAGCAGGTCAGTCATTTCATCCGCCCACGCCGTAAGGCCTCTCGTTATCCGCATCTGCAATGGGTTGAGACACTGCATGCGCTTGTGGAGACAACGACGAACCTGCAAGCTCTTGGCTTTTGGAACGAATCAAGCCGCACCACATAGTGACAAGCTCAGTCTTGATAGAAACAATCAATCAACGCCACGTTCGAGGCCTGATACGATGAAACGTACCGGACAGTTAACCCCCCACGACAGCTTCAACGCACTCAGGCTGTTTTTGAAGACCACCAAGAGCACGTTGAATACCCATGGTGTTGCAAGCTCGTCTTCCGACAACTTTCTGATGCTACGCGTTCGGAAACACTCCTCGAGTATCGGCCGAGCCGCGGACGGCAGCGTGGACCAGTCAGCGGTGAGCAGTCCTGGCTCAGCACAGAACAGGCCGTGCGGAAGCAGGGTCGGCGCCTCAATGGCCTCGTCTACTGAGTTGTCCGTGACGCCGAGGAAATCCAAGGCGGCGTCGAGGGCTTCCTTAGTGGTGTGTCCGCCTTTCCGGCTCATGGCTCGCAGGACACCGAGGGCCCGCCGAAGACTAAGCTCATCGGCGGATGGCTGCGATAGGAGCGAAGCAATGACTGCCGAGCCTGCACCAACGTCAATGATGGAGACCATGACCTTCCAGGCGTTCTTTGAGTGCACCACGGGAGAGGTGACACTCGGCGTGCGCTCTTGCTCGTCAGCACCCTCCATGTCCTCGTCGTCATCACAGTCGCTTTGATTGATGGTGCACAGAAGAATGCCCAGACCATACAACGCCAGGTCATGAAGCCAATGTTGCGAACGGAGCTCTTCCCGTGACGGATTCCCAAGCTGAACAGGGCAGTGATTGTGCGACAGAGGGCGTCGTCCTCGTACACCATCGGTCCGAGCAGAACGATGAAGTAGCCGATTACCATCCATGCCCAAAGGGACCCTGAGCGACGTGCCTAGGTTCTGTCGCGGCTAAAAGTGTCCGGAGGTGCGCACTATCGCAGAGTCTCTTTTTGGACTACCTGGTGTTGCGGGAGGTGCGGCGTTTCCATTTGCGTCGGGTGAAGGCGCCGGCGAGTCCACAGGCCGCAAATACCTGGCAACAATGCCGGCGATGCGAGCGTGAATCGGAGACGCAGGGATATTCGCGACAGCATACGCAAATCCTCCGAGAGCATGGCACGCCTGAGCGCGCAACACGAGAGTTGGCGCAAGAAGGTTCGTGAGAAGAGACGGAAGTATATCCGTGAAGGCAGGCACGAAGATATCCGGAAATGCCGTCGACAGCTCGTAGATCGCCTACGCAACATTCAGCAAAAATAGCAAGAAAACAAGCGCATATATTGACCTTGAGACCGTCACTCACTGCTCCCTTCTTACCCTCTCTCCCCAGTTCACCTTCAATGCCCCGACGGATGGCGTAAGCTATGCGCGGTGCGGCGGGTTCGATGACTTCCGCGGGCAGCTGCATGGTCTGGATCAGCCACACGGCTAGCGCGCATGTTTTACGCGCATTTGGGGTTGGAAGCTCGGGAGCCATGGGAATGGCAAGGACATTCGTCAAGAGGAAGCGTAGCTGTTGAGCTGCAAATGGTTGAGATGACTGCTCGTAAAATATACCATGTAGTCCACTTACTAGAGTACAGCTGATACAACGCAGGAAATGTGAAGGCAACGTTGAGAAATCGGATGACTGCGTGGAGACACCACACAAATCGCGCGCGAATTTCGCCTGTTCCCCAGACATCCCCCTCTTCTTTCGAGGGCTTTCCTTGGGAGAGGGTAATGCAATAATTGATGCCCGCTCCCGTGTTGGGCATGGATCGCCTTCAGATGATAGGGCCTCGAGAGGGTCGATATGCACGCGGCCTAGATCGCGAATGACCATTTCAAAGAACGCGACGCGGTGTTGTCGCAGAGGCTGAAACAGTGGCCACGTCGAGTCCACTACACTGTCGGTGGTAAGCGCAGACTTGAGACGCGTAGAAAGGACGGAGTAAGCTTCTGTGAGGTCGTGCAGTGACGCGTCCGGGTTAAGGATGCACGAGACCGGATTCTCCAAATATCGCAGGTCGGTCAAAGGATCAGCTGGCTCTGGAGTGCATTCTTTCTGGTCCTCGTCGTCCATCAAAGGGATATGGCCTCCGTCTTCTTCAGGATAGACTTGCTCGGTGCGTGCCGCGACGCGCTCGACTCGATAGAACCGCATGGCAGCATCTTGCTTGACGGAAGAGTGTGGTACTGGTGCTCCTCTGACCATGAGACGCGTGAGTTGAGCAGAGGGCGCGGCGCCCAATTCTCCTTCTCCCTACGACCCGTGCTAGGTGGGGTTGGAAGGCTCATCGTCAAACGTGGCCCGCCGTACCTACTGCGAGAAGGATAAGGTATGAGGACAGGTGGGGGTGTCAAGCCAGTCGACTAGGTCGAGGCGAGGACTGAGCAAGGGAGGAGAGCCAGAGAGGTAGGAGAAATGAAGTGTCGTCGACGGTGGCCCTCGGTTATATGCTTGTTTGTACAAGTTGACGCGCCCAATAAACATGGACGCGTTCGGTTTGTTGACGCGACCGCGTTGTTTGGTCCCACATAGACGCCCGTTGGCTGAGCGTCCAAGTTTGGCCCAATGACCGCTCGTCTTCATTGAGCTCGCTGCAGTTTTAAGTTGACTGTTATACACTGTGCTTTGGTTCGAGAACATGCCCTGTACAATGACGGCCACTTGACAACTGAAGATCACTGCGTCTCTTGCTGTGTTGCAACGGAGCTCGCAGTGCTGGTCCATACCTGATGCAAGGACTGGCTCACCATGCTATAACTTACAGTTGAAATGCCGGTCTGCCTTCCATATTTACCACATGGTGCTGATAGTTTTGACTCAAGGATGGCGACCCTAGCTCGATGGCGAGAACAACGTCGCAAGTTCTGAGTCACTGTGTGGATGTGAAGGTATGCTCTTTCCATTCATGCTGAACGTCCTGCACAAGGTTTTGGACAATAGATCCACTGAGCTGTGGAATGGGCATCGTGATGCGCACGTTCTCACGTACTCGATGAATGTGTCGCTGGCCTCTGTGCTGAGCGCTGAGCCCGCATTCTTCTCATCGACATGGTGGACCGTGGACGTACTCTCATACGGGCGTATCCCCATGCCTGTCTATATCATGTGCCGGAAGTGAATGTCGCGCGCTGTCCATGCATAGTAACAGCGACAAACACCTATTGGAACGTGTTCTTTACGCGCCCACCATTCTTTCTTTCTCATTCCCAACCATGCAGCTCGCAGACCGCGATCCTCGTCCCGTACAGGAGACGTCTTTGAACGTTCTCGTATTTGCGAGGCCGGCCTGGGGATTCTAGTCCTCTTCACAGACTGTACCACAGTCGTGCCTTAAATGGCTAAGCGGTGCATACTTTGCTGTCGGGTCCGACGGCGTTCGCGGTACCCCAAAGACACGATGCGAGAGCTCGAAGAGGGGAGGACCTGACTCGACACTGTGCGCTGCTGGGACAGGGCAGGCCTTCATCGCTCGTTGTGTCGACCATTATCGCATCTGCTGTGTTGATCATCTTGTGGCGCCCATTCTTCTCTCAGCCACCATGGGTAGTAGGCACTTTTCATGACTGCCTTTTTGGCGTGCTCGTTTGATCGGGGCCACTCCGCGGCCGCAAGTGTCCTTCATCGGCAAGTGCGCTAGGTCGGTGATTGTGGAGATGGCGTATGCCTACGATGGCCAGGGGATAAGGTGGATGCAGATGTATGAGATGGTTGATCACCGAGGTTCTGGGTGTCTTCCTCTTGGTACTATATCGCGGCTCGTAAGGTATCCGCATCTTGGGTCACGCCAGGATGAGGCCGCCTACGAATCTTTGCATTTCCCGGTCGCTCGCGGGTTGCATTACTTCGTGCCTACCGAATTTTTGGGACTTATTCGCTCTTCGGGAGCATTCGGAGCTTAACTACGTGGTTAGCACCGTCAAGTCGGGTTGTCCTCGTCCCCAAGGCCGATGTCTGCATGGATGACCAAGTCAGGTACACGCCCTGTACCAACCCTGTACACGCCTCTTTCAAGGTGCCGAATAATGCACCGACCTCTTGTTGTACAGTAACAGTGACAAACATCGTCTGCTTCCAGTGTTCACACTACTTGTGCGGCTCTCTCATTACGCATGCAGCGTGCAGACCGCGACCCTCACTCCACACAGGAGATATTCTACGATCTCCAACATCGCGAGGCTGGTCTGGGTCTTCTATCCTCTTCGCAGCCTGTAGCACAGTCAGGCCTTTATAGGTCAGGCAGCGCACATATTACCTTCCGACCCAGGTCGTTCACGACGGCGATGGCAGAGGAGAAGCCGAAAAGGCGTTACCGTGAAGTGTGCCGCGAGAATTAATATTGGACATACCGTATACATCGCTCGTTGCGTTGGTCTCTATCGCATCTCGCGGCCGTGCTGACTCCACATAGGCTTGGATCGCATTCCTCGTCCCTGATCCCTGACGACATGCCTATGTACAGTGCTCGCCAGGTGTCTGCTACGGTATGTATGGCATGAGCGTCGCACCAAGATTTAGATTGGCGAATAATACCGTGTTGTTCACTGTTGGTACCGATAACAGTACCAAACACCCTTTCAAACGTAGTCAACTGACGCGTTCGTCTTGCGGCTCATTCATGCAGCTCGCAGGCCGCGAACCTCGCCACGTACCGGAGACGTCCTATGCGACGCTCTCTTTCTTCGCGAGGCTTGCTCGGGGCATTCGAATCCTCATCTAGACCTTAGCAAGGTCAGGCCTTTATTGGCCACGCGATACCGCTACCAGGGTTCGTCGCCTACTCTCACTGCCCTGAGAAGTGAGCTATAAGCTCGCGGAGGGGAGGGTTGGATTCGGCACTGGTGGAATCGCAAGGATTCGGGCGACCGTCCACGAGTTGGAGTGCTTTCATCGCACCTTTGGGTCCGGCATCGGTGGGTGCCCCATCGTCGACTTCTGTGACGACGCCCGCAAAATGGACCGGCGTGTCAATGGATGTCAACAAGGTGTCCCTGTCGGACTTGTTCGCAAGTGCACTATAACGTGTGGCACGTCTTGGCGGAGAGTATCGCATTGGCTAATGTCTCTCGGACAAAGGTCGCGAGCGGGCAGTGGATGGCACTGCCCACCGTCGAAGGCTGCCGCGCCGCAACTATCGTACAGGAAGCCGACTGGGCACTTGGTGAAGTAGTTATCACGTCGGTTTGGCGCGGGTGGAAGCCAGAACGAGGGGTGGTAGTAGGTGTATGAAGAAGTTCACTAGCTCTTTGGACGTCTTGCCCTTCAGTGAACTCGCGGCTCGTAGAATGCGCGTCGGCGTGTGCTTACGAACTACTTGGTTTCAACTTCCCCGGCTACTCGCGGGCTGCATGGACACTATTACAGTACCAATTTTTTGTCCTCTTGCGCTCTTCGGAGTGCCTTACATTGTTGCCGCTTGCATGTTGAGAAAGCGAATCCGGTCTGACATCGTAGCATTGTGCAGAAAACATATACATAGCCAAGATCTACCCTGTATGATGTTCTCTACAGCGCAAAACAGGACATTCAGATCGAGCAGCGGAGGTGTCCAGTGTCTAAGGAGGCGGTGAGGCGGTGAAGGGCATGATGTCACGGTGGCAAACTACAGTACTTAAACCTACAGTAACGCGCCAAATGCATACTGTACCCTACATACTGTACGGTTACCACTCGTTGGTCAGCTTGAGCGGTTCCATGCGCAATGCTTCGATCGTCTACACAAGAGTCACGATACATGACAGAGCGCAGCCAACTTGAAGACATTGAACTACATACTTACTTGCGGCGCTGCGTAGACGTCGATAACTTTTGCAGTTGGGGAAATGAATACACCACGATGTATTGTTCACTATTATTATTGTATGCATGATACTTATGCACTTCTTATAACGTACGATTACATAACATTAACAATGCCGAAGAGCTTTCCGGATGCCTCTGAGTTGTCTCGGAGCAGCTCATCTCGCCTCATCTCATCCATGCAGCTCGCAGGCCGCGAACCTCGCCACGTACCGGAGACGTCCTACGTTCTCTCACTTCGCGAGGTTGTTCCTGGGGCGTCCTGATTGGAACTGGAAGACCATAGCAAGGTCAAGCCTTTGTTGGCTAGGCGATGCAACCATCCAGGAGTCGTCACCTCTCAGTGCCCAGTGAAGTGAGCTGTATGCTCATGGAGGGGAGGGTTCGATTCGGCACTGGAGGGATCGCAAGGACCTGGGCGACCATCCACTGGCTGAAGCACCTCTGTCACACCTTTGCGCCCAACATTCGTGGGTGCCCTCCATCGTCTCGACTTATGTGACGTTCCCGCCGCGGGCCGACATGAACGTGTTGCCAGGTACCATTATGATCAGTTTCCTGGCGAGATCCTTGTAATGCACCGAGGAGCGCGCCAAGTATGAACGGTCTCGCACTGACCAAGTCTATCGGACGAGGTTCGCGACCGGGGTCAGACAGTAGATTGGATGCCGCGAGGTGTCAGTAGAGCAAGGTGTCGACTGGATAGACGCTGTTCAATAAGTGTGACATATGTCGGTCGTGTGTAACGGAAAAGAGCAGGACGAGACGGTGGTCGTAGGTGCACGAGGAGGAGGATCGGCTTCGGCCTCGCGCTCGTTGGATGTGTCGCTCTTCAGCCGACTCGCGGCTCGTATGCGCATTGTTCTGGCTCGACCGGGACGCGATATCATTATGTGCTTACGAACTAGTTCCCCGGGTGCTCGCGGGCTGCATGGACACCATTGCCAATTTTTTGCCTATCGTGTGCTCTTCGGAGTGCGTTGTACTTTTTTGCTCACACGTCCGCAGTGGATCTGTCCTTTGTCCATTGTGTCGTCTCACTGTCTGTGTCACTATGGCACGCTATGATAGAACGTCTCGAAGGTGGTTCTTTTTTGCTCACACGTCCGCAGTGGATCTGTCCTTTGTCCATCGCGTCGTCTCACTGTCTGTGTCACTATGGCACGCTATGATAGAACGTCTCGAAGGTGGTTTAGTTTCGGAGCTGGGCACATAGCTAACTTATATCCATGTTGAATTCAACAGCTACCGGTGCAGTCAGACTACAGCTGGGTCAGGGTTCTGGCTATGCATCGTTGCAGAATTCAGGTGAGTGTCTCTCTAATACGTATGGATGAGCTTCCAAATCCTGTTGAGTGAATGCTCAGACCTCAAGCTAAAATGACTCCGAAGAGTTGAAATTGGCAAAGTATCCTAGTCGCATTGCAACCACGCTCGTTGTACACGGCTGGAACCTGTTTGCTATTTGCATAGACCTGCTATGTACAATGGTGTACAAGGGGACAAACCGGAGGACCGTTGCGCAAACGTTCAGATATCTTCCGGTCGAAACTCGGATGGTCACGTCAACGATTATTGACAGGCTGCTTCAAACGCTCAGCAGCCATGCCAACGTTAGACGTTTCGAAGTTCACGCAGATACGGTGGCATGCCGGGGCATGCCGTTGCACAGCTTCATCCATTCGACTTCGGTGCGATCACAAGGACTGAATGGGCTTGACTGGGTCTCTGTTCTCACCATCTGCCATTCTGTCAGAGAACGAAACTGTCAGTGACAAGCGATGCCACGCTGCTGGTGTGCTGGCCGTGCAAGTTTGAGTAAACGAGGCCAGAGCTTGACAACTGCTTCGACGGAGCGAAGACTCATAAGCCAGACAATAACTGGGCCGACCTTGACGCGCAACATCAACTCCGTTACTGAGGATTATAGCGCGCGAAACTTGGGAGACCTGTAGCCATGACAGACCTGGATTGCGGATGGTGTCTCTTGTGTGGCACTTGTATGTCGGGATGCGCTCTCCTGGGGTCATGCATGGCCATAGCATGTAGGTGGCCAGCCACCATCTAATGTGTACCTGCTCATGTTACACATACAGTCGGATGTCCAACCAAGGTGAAGCCTGACAAGGAATACTTTGCGCGAACGTGTCCGGTATGCGATGATGGTGCGTCTGTAGTATTGCGCGAATATAATTTGAGATTGACTACGGACGTAGCTGCTGTGTTTCCCGCAGAATCCCACCACGAGATGAAGTGTTTCTTCTTGCCTGTCGCCTCGCTCCGGTCGAAAAGAATTTGGGTGTGCGAGACGTGCGACTGGCAGGCACGAATGAAAGAGAACGAAGCGGGGTGAGCATTCCTCTGTATTCGAGTATTATCCACGAGTTGTTGACCTTGCGCTAGCCTAGACACAGCCGTGCAATACCCAGAGGCGGTCGCCAGGCCGTCGAGAACGACGCACCAGCCTTCTCGTTCAAGAGTTATGAGCGCACCTCCAAACACAACCGGCAGGTCATCTACGCACCAGCCCTCTCGATCAAGAGAGACGAACGCGCCCCCGAACCCAGCAGGGAGACCGTCGACGCACCAGCCTTCACGGTCACGAGACACGAACGCGCCATCGCACGCGGATCCTCGACGGTCGCAACATCAGGCGTCTGCATTGCAGGAGAGGGACCTGCCGAATCCATACGAGATGAGCGCGCTACCTAGTAATAAGTAGTCTGTTGCTCACTGGCAGCCGCAAGGCACTGCTGCGAGGATCTATTACAGGACATCTGCTCACTTTGCTACCACTGCTTTGACTATACATCTGTTTCGAAGTTACAATACATCGTCGCTCGAGACTCGTGCACCGGGTCTGTGTAACTTAGACTTCGACGTCGTAAGCCCCACGTCACGTCACGTCGCAGAAGCGAGTTGGCTGTCTCCCCTTCCAGTACATAAACTTCGATTATCTGCCGACCCCTTAGATTGTGCCCCTCCCTCACCGACGCACACCTTCTCATCCCTCCTACAGTGAAGACAGGGATGAAAGTCGCGATCGTGGGGTCCGGTGTCACTGGCCTCGCTGCTACTTGGGTGAGTCTGGCTTCATGATTTGGTCGTGTATCCAGGTCTTAACTGGCTGGGCAGGTGCTCAACGAGTACTCTAATCATGAGGTACATCTGTATGAGGTGCATACGCGTCCCGGCGGACATGCGAACACAGTCAGCTTTGTGTCGCCAGGGAGGAAACCTGTGGACGTCGATACGTACGTCTATTTGGTCCACTCTCACAGGCTGATCTCAGTTTGCCTCTACTCAGCGGATTCGTGGGCCCATGTCATTTGCGTCAATGCCCTGAGGCTGATGCATATCCTAGATTGTGTTCAACCCAAGCACCTATCCCAACTTCCTTCGATTTCTCCGCCTCCACCCTGATCTGAAGTCGCGCATACAGGCAACTGATATGACGTTTTCTGTCTCTCGGGACAACGGAGCATTCGAGTGGGGAGGCGCCAGTCTGGGCGCTGTCTTCTGTCAACTCCGGCAGCTACTGGATCCGGACCATTGGCGTATGCTCTACGACGTTGCCCGCTTTAACGCTTGCGCCAGATGTTTGCTTCATCTGAGGGATGGCACATTGTATGCATCAGACGACGTCTCGATCGGAGAATATCTGAGACGAGAAGGATACTCCCATTCCTTCAGAGATAACTATCTTATAGTATGTCAATCCTCCTGCATGGTGTCTCTCTGCCTGCAGCTTATGTATCGTTCTCCCTACGTGCAGCCGATGACAGCAGCGATATGGAGCACGCCGCCAGATAAATGTTCGCTCGACTTTCCAGCCCGTACACTAGTGAGGCGACACCCTCCATCTCTCGATGTGCCCATTTGACGGGTATCGTTCCCAATCTTCACGCAGGTCCAGTTCATGCATAACCATCACCTGCTGCAGATCTTTGGCAAGCCGTCTTGGCTCACATTCAGAGGCGGAAGGTGCATTTTTCGCTTTGAACCTTGCAACACAACCGCTCATCGCTGACTCTGGTTTGTCCCGCTCAGTCAGTGCTATGTCAACCACATCCTCTCGAGGCTCCCTGCATCGCAGCTGCACTTGTCCACCCGCATAACATCCGTAAAAACCCGCAACGAGCACGATGTAGAGGTCACAACCGCATCAGGCGAGCGAGCGATCTACGACCACGTCATATTCGCATGTCATAGCGATACTGCGCTTGACATACTTCGCGTTGGTGGAGGTGTGACGCCGGAGGAAGAAAGGATCCTCGGTGCTTTCAAGTGGAACAAGAATGTGGCAGTGCTACATTACGACAGTGCCGTGAGTCTGTTCACTGGTTCGTTGAATGTAACCTCGTCTCCGACACGCTGAACCATCAATCAGCTTATGCCAAAACGACGCGTTGCGTGGTCATGCTGGAACTACCTCACCGCCTCTGAGAAAGACGAAGGTGGTCGGAAGAAAGCGAACGTTGACCGCGTTTCTCTGTGAGGCCATTCCGCTCGTTGCAGTATTCGTCACCAACGGCCTTCTGACACATATCACAGTACATGTACGTGAACGCCTCATGGCGCCCCGGTGCGCATGTAACTTACTGAGCACATACACGCGCAGACTGGATGAACGCGCTCCAGCACATCCCCGAGGAAGACTGCGGCCCCGTCTTTGTCACGCTCAACCCACCCTTCGAGCCCGATCCCTCCCGAACCGCAGGCCGCTATCAATACGAGCACCCCGTCCTCGGGGCCAAGGCGCGTTACTCATCCCCATCCCCGTCCTCACCAAGCACCGCGCTGACCCCGGAGTCTCCGCACACCTACAGGCCGTCCGAGCGCAGCAGGAGATGCCCGCGATCCAAGGCAAGCGCGGGCTCTCCTTCGCCGGGGCCTGGCTCAAGTACGGCTTCCACGAGGACGGGTTCACATCCGGGATGCGCGCCGCAGCCGCGCTCCTCCGGGCCCTTCCTTCGCCGTCTCCAAGCGGACGCGGAGGCCCAACCACAAGCGAAGCTCACTCGGAGACAACATCTCCCCTTCCGTTCGAGATCCTCGACGCGGATCGCGGTTGGAAGGAAGACAGGTACGCGAAGGTACTCGCGCTGTTTTTTGACGTGTTTGAGGGCGTAGGGTTGCGGGCGATCGTCGGTGCTGGCTTGTGCCTGTGCTTGTTGGCCATTGGGAGAGTGCTTGGCATGGTTGGGATTAACGCTGCGGTACTGGAAGCGGGACTGGACGGGAAGCGGCAGGAGGTGTATTCGAATGCTGATACAGGCAGGAAGGCCTTGAAGCGGGAGTATGATCCTACTTCTCGATCGCCCACGCCCAGGAAGAAACAGCGAGCACAGAATCCCACTTCAGACTCCATCGTTCACTAATCTTGCGAATACTTGAAGCAGAACTCACCATGCACTCGGGGAATAATCGCTGTCGGGGTTGTACAATGTAGTAGCAATGTAGATTGCAGAGTGTCAAAGGAACTGAGGATGCGAGAGACTATTGCGACGAATGCTACGTGATACAATCGATGCATGCGAGTTGAGCAGACGGCAATGCAAGCAGGGTAATCGAGAAGACGGGAAAAGATGCTATGTACGGATAAATGATACACACACGACGGACACCTATTACAAAGTCCATATGGTTCACACTAGATGAACATATCTACAACGAGACCTAGCATCTAGCGAATCGCAACGCACGCACGCAACCTATTCAAGAGGACAGGCGAATTGAGAGGCAGAGACGACTACCGCCTGATATCGGGAAGGGAGAAACGGACATTGCGAGGGGAGTCGTCGGAATGGTGGTTATTCTGTGATTGCTCGGCCTCGTCTTCAGACGGCGCCTCGCTCCCGGGCAGCGGCGTCGCTGGCGACGACGGCGAGAATATGCGCGGGGTGTTGTACCCACTGGGCGAGCGCTGGTCGGCAAAGCGCACAGAGCGCACAGAGCGCGACGGCGACTGCTCGCGGGAGCGCAGGTCCGTGCGGATGGAGTCTACGCGCGAATGTCGCACTCGAGGGTAGCGCATCGAGGATGCTGGCGTCACCGCGCCCTCCGGCTCAGGCGAGTTGCGCCCACGGCGCTCCTCAGGCGACTCCGAGCCCGCATCGTGCTTCTCCTGCTCTTCCTTATGTGCCTCGCTCAAGCCGGCTTGGTCTATGCTCGCGCTCCGCTGGGGCCCGCGATGGCTCCCGGGGTGGCGGCGGATGGACCCCTTCTTGCGGTTGGGCTTCTTGATGCGCCGCTTGCCCTCGGGCCTGCGCCCTCCGTCGCTGGCATCCGACATCCAACCTTCATCTGCCTCATCTGCTCCTTCTCCTTCTCCTTGGAGGATCGACATGAAATGCCGTCCCCCTTCCTGTGCGCGGCCCTCCATCTCCCTCGCTTTTCCTTCCACGTGTGACGCGCCTTCTTGAAGGTTGCGCTGCGCGTTCTCCACGATCGACTCTAGCTCTTGCGTGCCGCTCCCTACTCTCTGTTTGATCTCCCCTACCACATGTTCCGCCGCGTCCTCCGCGACGCGCACGGTGTCGGTCGCCGTCGGCTCTGGGCCATAGAAGTTCCTTTGCACTTCGACTTCGACCTGTGAGCGAAGGATCAGCACTCCGGTACGAACCTCGGCACCGAACAGAGGAACGCACCTCTTCTCCTGGCCCTGCACGCTTCTCCAAAATTCTGTGCGGGCCCTCGCGCCACTCCTCCTCGAGGTCGTCCCCGTCCGGCGCGTTTTCGTCGCGCACGTCCGTGCCGTCCGGCCTGCGCGTCTCCGCATAGTCCCGCTCCTGGCTCGACTCGCTGTGCTCCTTCTCCGTGACGCTGTCCTCCTGCGCGGGCACCACGCCGCGCTCCATCGCGTCCTCGCGGTCGCGGTTGATGACGATCTCCTCGCCGGGGCGCACCTGGCGCGTGTGCGTCGTCCACTCGGGCATCGCGCCGCGCCCGCCCGTGAACGTCCCGAACGTGTCGTGCCGCGACCAGGTGCGCGTCACGGAGTGCACGCGCCGCCCGAGCGAGAAGAACGGGATCGACAGCCCGTGGATCGTGATCGAGCAGAGCACCATGAACGCGACGATCGGCTGGATGGACGCCGCGAGCAGCTCGCGCTGGTTCGCGGGCGGGTCCTCGGGCTTGGGGAGCTGCCCCGCCGCGAGGGTGGAGATGAACACGGCGCCTGGATGAAGTCAGCGGTTGCATCATAGCGGGCTGACTGACATTCAAGGTCGGCTTACCAACTCCCATGGGGCCGAAGTGCCCGCTGAAGATGGCCTCCCGGAACGTCTTCACGTCCGGGATCCACTTGTACAGGGCGATCATGATGGGCAGCCGCCTGAGCAGCAGGACCAGGATCGCGATGACGATGAGACGCCATACGCTGAGCGTCAGCGACGAGTCCGAGAACGCATCAAAGGGCATCCACGCGCCGATGAACACAAACGAGGCGATGTTGAACAACAGATCGATGACGGACGAGAATACGGCCTGCTCCGTCTGCCGGTTGAAGAACCCGTCCCACGCGAACGCGGACCCGCACGAGAAGGCAGCGAGGAGGTCGTCCGAGCCGAGGAGCGTGTTGATGCCGATGGTGAGCATCGCGAGCGAGACGTACTGCGCAACGTACGACTGCCGGTCGATCAAGTCTGTGCGCTCACAGAATTTCATGAGGTGCCGAAAGGCGAAGCCGATTATTGCGCCCAGCACGGCGCCGAGGATGATCTGGTCTGCGTCGTCATAATGCGCAAGTCAGGTCCTATCTACGCTGGGCAGGAGGCCGAGAGATGTACGCACAGAGCCATAGGAACAAGAACCAGTCGCCGACGGCCTTGCCCACCGAACCGTCGTTGATGAGGTAGAGTGAGATGAAGAGGAAGGGGAACGCCGCGCCGTCGTTACAGCCCGACTCCGCGGCAAGGAGGTGACGAAGGTGCGCGGGGACGTGCTTGTCCGCATACTTACCGCCGACGACGGCCGCGGCCAAGATGGGGTCTGTAGGCGTGAGACAGGCTGCAACTGCCAAGGACGAGAGGAAGTTGAGTCCGGGAATGAGTGCATATATGAGGCCAGCTGACACAAACCAGCCCTGCGGTCCCGAGTACGTTAGCGTTTTGGCTCGAAGCGCGCGAGAAGGGAAGGAAGGGACGCACCCAAGTCATGACAGGGAAGAGCAGGAAGAAAAGGCTCTTCCAGTGCCTCGCCATGTACGCTTTGGGCAATTCGACGCCAATGGCGAAGACGCCGATGGCGAGAACGACACGGCAGAATTCAAGAGTGATGGTGTTGGTGGTCTCAACGTTGCCCCCGCCCCAGTCGCGGGGGTTGAATATGTTTGCACCGTACGGGCCTAACGCAGTCAGGTTCACGATCGAATGAAGGGTAGTGGCTCAAAGGACGCACCGATGACGACCCCGAATAGAAATGCCCAACATGCTTCTCCGATGTACAGCTGAGGCCTGCGTTATGTCCTATTCGTGCGGACGATTTGAGAGTGGACATACCTTCTCTCGGATAAACAGAGAGAACATGCCGAACTGTAGGGCCGATCAGTCAACGTGAATCGCGACCTGGACAAAGGTGGACCTACAATGACAACGAAGGCACCGAGGGCGGCATAGATGATGTGAGGGATGGAAACCTCAAACTGGAGGCGAGGATAGAAATCAGTGCCGGAGCCGAGAACGAGTTCAGAATGCCTACCATATCGAATCGTGACATGGTGTAGAAATGCTAGTCGTACCAGACCTCTCTAGGATTATGTTCGAGAAAGGACGGTCGGTCGTTTGGTCGGACAGAGTCGTAAAAGCGTAGGGGCCGTGATGGTTAGCGCGAAAGCGTTGAGGAAGAGATCCGAAGGATGTGGAGATAAGTAATGGCAATGGACGGTGACCGCCGTCGGCTTGTCGCCGAGAATGCCCAGCGTTGGACGAGAATGCTTACAGCCGCAGATGACTACGGTACGGGGTATCTGCTGTAGGATGGGTCGTCGCTGTCGTGGATGGCGGCGGCGGCGCGATTAGGCAAGAGGGCGGAAGCATGCGCAGGGCGGGGAGGCGGCGACCGTGCAGGGTTCTTATGGCGGTCGTCAGTGCAAGGCCCTGCGTCGGAATGGCCACCGGCACGCGAGCCGCGATCGTCCCAACGCCCGGCTGCGCTCGGCATCTCTACTCAACGCCTCTTCCTCCCCCACGGCCCAGATCCCCTCCCCTCACCACATCCTTGGCTGCTGCGAATGGCAGTCCGCCTTCCTCCGCGTCCCCGCCCCTTCCGCGGGCTCCAGGTCGCCCACATCGATTGATACAGGCTCGGAGCTCCCTGGGGCCATTAGTCACAGATGACTAAATGTAGCAATGGCTTCTTCTGTCTCTGCTCCCGCCTGTCCGATGGCTTCCTGCTCTCCGAAGAAAGTCTAAATGAACCTCGATGCTCATGACGCCCGCAGCGTGTAGAGCAGCGGTATCCACGCCTCGCCTCACCGCAAAATCCTCACGCACCCGTACCACGGTCGCAGTAGCCCTCTTACCTCGGAAAGCAAGCCATCAAAATGCCGTACGAATTCGCCCAACGGGAGCGAGGTACCGTCAGCGGAACTCACGCTTAGCGGCTCCACGCCAGTACGCGTCCTCCTCCTGGGAACACTCCGCTACAACACACTCACCTGATCACTGCCACCCTGCGCGATTTGTGACGCTCGATGCGAGCCGCGACCCTCGCGACGCCGCGCCAGCGCCACCACGGCGCACACTAACACAAACTCGCAGCCAGATGACCTTCGCGCCTTCTCACAGCGCCCAGCGGTCAATCAAAGTCCTAGCTGTAGGATCGCGCGTACCCCGCGAGGCCTGCCATTGCTGGCCTACCCCGCGACCGCATGCGGAGGACGCGTGTTGAAGTCAACAGGGACGTGGTTGGGACGCCCACAACCATTGGTTCATTGCGCCGATGTGCGCAGCCACATGTCATGGGCGTATATCAAGCAGTCGCTCCGCTCCCGCGCTCGTCGCTCCCAGACGCCGCGGATGTCGCCGGACGCTCCAACACACGGTCCACAAAGTCGCGTCTACGCACGCTTAGGGGCTCAAGGAACACGGAGGCCGGTGACAGGTGCAGCCCGCGTTGAATGAAAGAACGCCAGCGAACCAGCAGGCTCACGTTGGGTGCTGACTGGATTCACTAGATGGCGCCTTCTGGGGGTCCATTGAGGACATTGCAAACTATCGTGCGTGTCTTCACAGCGAATTTGACGCCTCAGTATACAGTAATACGCACCTCACGGTACTGGCTCGGACTACTTGGAGCAAGAGCCGGGTCAACTAGGACAGGACCTAGCCCGTCGGCCGCGCTTGTTGAACGGACGCCTTCGTGTATAAGCTCAACGGAAACGTGTTCATGAAGTCCGGGATGAACAGAAGACGAGGAGCGCAGAAGACATGGCGGAGGGAGATCCTGTGTCTACACCGAAGCGGTTCTTTTATAAGTAGTCGTTCGGCAGCATTTCAGCGCCATTGCGCTCTTTTGGCTATTGCGCGTCGGGTATGGACAGCGTACTACCGTATCCCACAGGCTCGGACTTGTCCGTGATACGCTCTTGGGGCGTTCACAACGTCAACGCCGTGCGGTCATTCCATTTTGGCTTCATCTCTAGGCTACATAACGTCCTGCAAGTTTGCACACCAGTGACTTACGTATACGATGCAACGCTGTGGCGCATCTTCGCGAGGTGATTCGCTTTTTACATGCAAACGGGCCCTGAAAGCGACACAGGCATCGTATAGACTGTCTGGAAGCTTGCTGTACCATGCCGCGATGTCACCCCCTTCCTTCCTCTCGAGTTCGCTGGTCGCAAGTAATGCAATTGTCCTCAGGATCTTGCTCACTCCATACTCAAACAGGTGTCCCCTACAGCTGCAGGTTCGTGATCCGCCGAGCATACATCCTCCCCCAAAGGTTCATAACAACAAGCACAACACGTCCCTACCACGCGCAGAAGTATCACCCGACAACGAGACCACACCGATCGCACTTCTTCCTTTTGTCACACCTACGCAAGGCCAGCCGCTCATCAGCCACCACAGCTCGTCTCAGCCAGACCGAGGACGGGGACGACGTACAAGAGACAAAGCATCCCGACGGGGAACAGCGCGACGGAGCATATGATCCCCACCACGCCGTACTTCGTCGACACCTGGTGCTCGCCCCGCGCGCACCTGGCCATCACTGCACGCCGCACGTCAGCAAACGGTCCACGCAGACTACGGCAGCGGGGTCACTCACGCTCGAGCTGGTAGTTGTACCCGAGCTGCGCCTCCGTCATCTGCGGGATCTGCATCGTCTGGACGACCACAGGCGCAGGCGTGGGCGCAGCGGGCGGGGGCGGGGCCTCAGCCTGAGCTTGAGGAGCCACGGTGGCTGCGTAGTACCCTGGCGGACTCGCGGTGTCCTTGTTGTCCATCACGCGTGGATTCTTTGTCGACGTCTGGGGGAAAGAGGGATCACTCGCAGTCGAGCGTGCAATGAGGTCGCCTGCGGAGGGAGGGGTACGCAAGCGTATGTAGACTGCCTGCGGACACGTTTACTTATAGAAGAGCGAGCCGAGAGACGCTGCGTCAATTACGAGGAGCTCCTTCATCATCGGTGGTCGGTGACATGGCCCATGGCCAGAGGATGCCTGATTCAACGACTGCGGCCCGTGCAATATGATGGAGTCGATGTCTGAATCACTACTGCGGAGATAATCAACCACAAACGCCATCGGACGAAGTCATGGAACGTCTCTTCGTGTGATCATACTTGTCAAAGTCGGAACGAGTCGAAGTCTGAACTACTGTCCGGATTCGAGGTGCGACGTACAGTACCGTACAGCTGTGGCGGAATTTGAACGGTCCTTGCAGATCACTGCGTACAACTTGGAGGAGGGAGGAGGAGGATTGAAGAGGAAGAGGATGATGGGAGTCTTCTTGGCTGCGCTCCTGTCAAGTATGGTGACACTGAGAAGATGGAAGCCTAGTGCATGCAATTGTAAGTACTGCCTCGACGCCTCAAGCTGATCGGCACGAGTAGCACGCGTTTGGCTAGTCTCCGACTCTCCGTTGCCGACCATAAAAGAACGACAAGCGTTTGGCGCGGTTTGAGCGGAGAGTTTAAAGTCAAGTCAACGGGTCACACACAGACACTGTAAGTGCTAGCGGTGTGTACTCTTGAAAATACCGCATATGATGACAGAGAGAGAGAGAGACAATCTGTCAGACAAACTTGACTAGGAAAGGCTAGGAAAGACGAACCAATTGACATGCGAACGGCAATCATTCAAGGCACTCCGAAGAGCGTATGGAGACGAAAAATTGGCAATGGTGTACATGCAACCCGCGAGCAGTCGGGGTAGAGGCCACTGAACATACCGTGTTTCCGGACAAGCCAGAACGGTGCGCATATCAGCCGCGAGTCCACTAAAGGGTAAGACGTCCAATGAGCCGGACCGAAGTCGGACAGCCTCCTCATACACCTATCACCACCCCTCGTCCTGGCCTTTACCCGCGCCAAACCGACGCAACAGCTTGACCATTCGCTGCATCAACGCTATAATTCGCACGCGTCCGCCACACAGTATCCCTACAACGGCGAGCAGTACCTTTTGACTGCCCGGTCGCGAGCCTCGCCTGAGAGACTCAGCCATTGCGACGCTCTCCGCCGAGGATACCACGTGTTCTTGACGCGGTACGGCGCGGCACTAACGAAGACGACAACGACTGGGCATTCGCAGCTACGCCGGCCCATTTCGCGGGCGTCGTCACAGAAGTGGGCGATGGGGCACCCACCGATGCTGGGCCCAAAGGTGCGAGAGAAGCACTCCAACCCGTGGACGGTCGCCCGAAGTCCTTGCGATTCCGCCAGTGCCAAATCCAACCCTCCGCGAGCGCTAGTGCAACTCACTTCTCAGGGCGTCGAAAGTAGGACGAACCTGGGAGCGGTATCGCATAGCCAGCACAGGCCTGACCTTGCTAACATCTAGAAGAGGACTTGAATGCCCCGAGCAAGCCTCGCGAAGGAAGAGAGCGTCGCACAGAACGTCTCCCGTATGTGGCGAGGTTCGCGGTCTGCGAGATGCATGGATGAGCGACAAAGCGAACGCGCGAGTCGGCTATATTCGAGAGGGTGTTTGGTGTTGTTATCGGTACAAACCAGGAACAACAGAAGCGTTGTGCGCCGTTCGGAACGATCGTGGACATCCTTTGCATCTGGTACTTACTGAAGCAGGCCGCCTACTGCTAGTACAGTGTTCGATGTCATGATGCTTCGTCACTGAATATGAGAATGATATTGCCACTATGAATGAATCAGGCCGAACGATAACTACGAAGACAAAAGACCACTAGCACATTACAGAACCATGCATATTCATAACGAGGCTCTCGAAGAGCAATGATGTCCAAAAATTCATGCAGCCCGCGAGTGGCCGGGTGATGATTCGTCGACGTCTACATCCCGGTCAAGCCAGGAAGTGAGTCACTGAGTGGCCCACGCGCCGCGGTATGCTGAGGGACAGCTACCTAGAATCTCGCTGGTCGATCTCCTCGTACACCTGCTGCCATTTCTACGCCCATTGCTTCAACTATGACTAGGGTTTACAATACCGCCCACGAATGCTGCCACATTGACTATGTCGCTCGTCAGACGAGGGGCCCTTCATGGTGCCTCTCGGTCCCCAGACTGGCGAGCATGCGGGTTGCTGTTGACAGTCATGCGAGGGTCAGGTATACCATCAAGCGTTGGGACGCAGCGAGCGCCTGGCACCCGGCGCGACAAGGTGCGATAGAGACCTACGCAACGAGCGATGTATGCATGCCCTATCCTCGCGGCGCACTTCACGATGCCGCCTTCTCGACTTCTCCTCGCCATCGCCAACGACCTTGGTCGGAGTGTGAGTTGTGCGCCGCCTGACCAATTAAGGGCTGACTGTGGTACAGCCTGCGAAGAGGACTAGAAGACCCAGACCAGCCTCGCGATGTTGGAGATCGTAGGACGTCTCCTGTATGGGGCGAGGGTCGCGGTCTGCGGGCTGCATGTGTAATGAGAGAGAGCTGTATACACGCTTTGAGTGGGACATGAAGTAGACGATGTTTGTCTCTGTTACCGAGGGCTAACAGTGTACAACAAGAGGCTGATGCGCCATGGAGAGTGCATATCTGGCGCCTAGCAAGTATCCCGGGCGATGGGAGCTGAGAAGAACGAGCGCCGCAAAACGGTCGACGCAACGAGCGACGGATGTCCAGTCCCCGCAGCACATAAGAGACGAGCCAGGCCCTCCCCTCCACGAGCTCTCGCATCATGTCTTTGGGGCGCCGCGAACGCCGTCGGACCTGACCGTAGATCGTTTACCGTCTTCCGGTCAAGGCGCGACTGTGGTGCATTCTGTCAAGAAGACTAGAATTCTCTGGCCGATGCCGGTCTCGCAAAGACAAAAATGTTAGACATCTCTTATCCGGGACGGGGATCACGCACTACGAGTTGCATGGTTGGGAACGAGAACGACATTGAAGCTTGTGGGCGCGTAACGAACACGTCCCAACAAATACGACAAGGTCCTACTTCATCGTCACTTCAAGGGCGCTGACCCCTTGCGCACTGCGTGACAACAGGCTGCACCGTTATCGAGCACATGTAAGCACCCTTCTCTCGCGATCCTATGATGCAAGCACAGCAGAGGTACTCACGCTAGTTTTGGACATTAAGACCGACAGCGGCGTAATAGGACATAGACTGGGGCATAGGCATGGGCGGCTGGTAAGTGGGCACGTTCCCGTAGCTGTTGCTATACGTTTATACATCGTTCGTTGGGAGCGAATGAATGGCTACGGAGTTCCGCCGACGGTTTCAGAGACGTTATTCAGCCGACAGCGCCGCGCTCTTGCGTACATTTGCAGGTAAGGACAGTTTGACCTTCAGCCATAGGTATTCATAAACCGGTGTTTCAGTGAACCAGCCGTGCATGGTGAAGCGACGTACTGACCTGTGATACCTTCCCATCCACGTAGTCAGCTAGCCAGCCAACGAATTTGCGCATGTGGCTTTGCGCATAGTCCGCACAGGTTTCGCATTCCAGCGCTTCCTTGATGGCCTTGTCGAAAAGTCGTGTGTCGCGCCGGATGGCGTCGCTGGAGGGGGCGTCCTTCATGATGTCGACCATGGACACTAAGTAGTCCCGCCACCACTTAGTGGGCGTCTCTCGAGATCCGTCCATCAACTTGACCGAATGCTCTCCCAGAGGACACTCGTCTTGATCCACGTCACATTTGAACCATATCCAGTCTCTGGTCAAGAACGGTACACGCCGCTTGAGATGAAGCAGTGCATCGGAGCAACGCTGGTGGTAATCGAGTAGGAGCAGCGTCATCTTGCCGTCGATCATTTCCAGCTCGGGAGCGCAGGGTATCGAGCGAAATAGAATACGCCTATCGATGCGCAACGTCGCCTTCGCGGCTTGCTCGGCTTCTTCTGCGAATCCGTAGTGTATTGCGAGACAGTAAGCACGCAATGGGCCGTCTTGTAAAAAGTCGCACAGGTTCTTCCGAAGGACGAGGGTGACACCATCCATCGCATACTTCACGGCTGCGGCTAGGATGGGCGATAGGAAGTCGATGCCACGGAGAGGCGGTGGTGGGACAGGATAGCAGATGCGCAGCAGTCTATCCAGGATGTCACCGTTCTCTTGCAGAACAACAACAGGGAGACCATCCTTGAATTCTGTCCCATTTGCACTTGTGCCCGGCGGGTCACTAGGAGGTCCTCCGCTTGTCGGGCCGCTTGGTTGTGGTAGACTGAACATGCCTTCGAAAACAGGAGACGCTTCGGCTAGAATAGCCTTTCGAACGCGGAAGTCGACGAGGTCGGATGATCTGAGTATTACGTCTGCGGTACTCCTGTCGAAGGGCGGACAAGCATCCTCCGTCGGCACCACATCCATTCCCCTATCCTCGGGGATCACGTCCGGGGCGCTATCCATCTGATATTACAGCAGACATTGATCAATCAAGCCAATGCAAATAGCATGTACAACTTGCCAGAGCACAGTTGGAATGTCCGAAAGATGTTGGTGTTGAGTGTTGCCCACGCTATGAGTAAGGATTTGCTCTCGTCGTCAAATGGCCTACGCGTGCACAATACAAGCAGAGGTGCACTTTAGTGCTTAAAACCACATTTCGCAACCCACTGAGCACGCACCCGAGTCTCCTTAGGATTCTCGGGGTGAGATAGACCTGATTTACGCTGGAGTCAAGTCGCGTCGCGTCGCTTCGAGTCGAGGCTGGAATGCATATGATATACGCGCGTATCACGCGACATGTGACGCGTGACTGGCGAGTCGTGACTGGTCGCGTCTACGAATACTTTTGTAAGTATGACCATTGACTTCGCTCAATATTCGCCAACGCCTTGATTTGTAAATAAGCAATCTCGCATTGTACGCCATGCACAAGCTATCCATGACATGCAGTGAGACAAGGTCGCAAGCAGCACATCACGAAGTTCGGGCCGGTGAAGCAATGTCTAGTATTATTGTCTGCATCCATCTTCAAGGCCTCACATTCGACGCCGGACCCATCGGGGCAGATAGCGCGAATCAGGCAGTCAGCTCGACCTATCCAAAATGATCACGGCATCAACCCACTTTGCAAACATGAGATCTGAATGCAACAAACCGTCGAGACCCTATTGTCCACAAGCATTTCCAACACCTTGGTAAACGTACGCTGTAACGGGACGTTACCGTATGGACGTGTGTAATCCCGTTATGGACTTATTGGATCGATATGCTTGTATGTATATACATTTGCGTGTGTTTGGCGTCGTACCTTTATAGGTCGTCGCCCGGCGAGTTGAAGGATAAGTCCTTTAACTCGTCGTCCTCCGGATACATCGCACTTCTCAATGGAGATTGGTGCACTGTATCTGCGGGATTGAGTAAGGCAACGTTATACTTTTTTACAGTCCTTCGATAACTCGAACTTCCACTCGGAAGGGCGCTCTATCAGGGAACTGCACGCTACGTAACAACCCCCATCACAACATTCATCATTACAAAACCTAAATCGCAACAACCGCGTGATAGTCGCGGACGCTTTCTACCAAGAAAGAAAATGGCGGACCAAGCACCTGAGTCCCCCTCTCCGAAAGGAGCTAACTCGCCCGTGGATCCACCCCAATTGGGTGGATCACCGAAGCGAGGTGAACAACCTTATACGTCGAGAGTATCGCCGAGAGGAGCTCGCGTGTTTAGTGACGAACGATTGGTTGCGTCACCAGACAGCGGAGCCAGACCTCATTCAGCGAGGATATCTCCGGCACGTCCGGAAGGAAGCGGACGTGTCCGAACGCCCGAGGAAAAGAAGTTGAGCAACGCCAGTAAATCTGCACGCTCGATGTCAGCCAAACCGAAGGGTTCACCTGGGTCCCGTCGCGGGACTCAGTCGGGCGCATCGGCGATGATCCTGGCGATTCGAGGCCATGCTAAGAGACTCGGAGCAGCCAACACGGAGGCTATCGAGGCTCTTCAGCGTGAGTCCGAGGCCAAGTTCATCCAGCTAAGAAGGGATCTCAACGCGGGAGTTGAAGATTTCTGATTTCATGAACGAAATGGTCAATTGTAGCGTCCCTTAATCCTCGGGCCCGGTATGCGCTGTACCCAGTCTCTATTCAGAGGGACTGTCTACACGTAGCATACATGGGGCGATGAGGATGGTAAAGGACTGAGGTCTCGTAGGTGCGCTGGCGCGCCATACGAGCCCTCGAACAAACAAGAACAATCATATGAGATAAGATATACCGTAACGGGAATATCCGTTACACCCTCCCCCACTGGACACGACCACGGGTCCCAGAGATAACCAGAGAAACTAAAAGGAAAGAGGAAAAGAAAGGAATAAAACACGCGACAACCCAACGGTGGTAGCGACTGGCAATACAATAGTGGTGCCGTACTGTAGACAACGACATACTAGGTCGCGTCAGTGAGCAGCACAGCCGTCCACTATTGTCATACATAACTCAGTGGAGTTATGCAAGCCAAATTCATGATGGCGACATGAGAATGTCAGCAACAAGGTAATGCTGATGATAATACAGGTAGCAAGGTCGGAGAACTGTGAAGTTCTTCTGACACATCGCGGACAATTTGCCGGCGAGCTCAGCAACATGTACGTCAAGCATGAAGCTCGATCTCTGCGCCCCATGAATCCGATGCGCGACCGTGTTGGACACGACCGACGTGACTGTCGTGGGCGGATGCGAGGTAATGATGGTGGGACGAGTACCTCAAGGTACTCACTTCTCAATTCACCGTCGACCTCCTCATCGTGGACGTCGACGGAGAGGCCCAACGTCTGTGCGTGGGCTACAGACCGACCGGATACATCGGTCGAGCAAGTAAACTCGCCGATTGTACCGCGATGCATCGTCGTGCCGGGTGCGACTCGCAGGTCGTCCCCCGGACCGACTGTACCACTGTTGTATACAGTGACTGCCACGACAACCAATGCGGTTGTCATGGTCATCACGGGTGGTGATTGCGGGGTAGGGAATGGTGGTGCAAAATAAAGAGGGTACGTCCAATAAGGACGTACCTTTGCTTTTCGAGCTCGCAGGCTCGTCTTCTTCGCCTACACCACACCCTTCCTCCTCTCCTCCTTCTGCCTGACCTTCCTCATCAGATTCTCCTGGTTCCGCACCCTTGTCCACATTTCCTCCATCCTTCCATTCCTCGCGTGATCTCCAGGGTACATGCGAGGTTGCCGACTCGTGGCGCCTGTCGTAGTCGCCATGGGTGTCGAGGGCCGCAGGGAGGTCGATAGGGGTTAAGGTGTGGGTCCTTGGGGGCGAATCCTCGGCGAGAACTGTAAAGTTCTCGCCGAGTTGAGGGTCGGGAGACCGTTCTGGTCGGTCAGGGTCCGTAGGCGCCGGCTGCTACACTACACGTAGTGCAGCAACTCGGTCACGGTCTTGAGCTCGCGCGTCCGTTAGGGCTACGCAATCGTCGAGCTGCGCCGTCGCCGGAGCGCTTGGTTCGTAACGAGAGTGGTGTTCGCTCAACCGGTCGAGGTCGAGGTCGTATCGCAGGCTTCCCAGCTGAACCGGGAATGGTTCAGCTGTCTTGACGGGACCGGGGGCTTGCACTTCCTGTTGGGAGTGCAAGTCTTCTGGACAGGTGGCCGCGCGTGAGTGGGGATCATCAGGGACGGAATCGATGCCGTTCCCCGACCCTGTCAGTTGAACTACTGCGGGTTCAACTGCACTGGACGTTCGCACTTCCGTGATGAAGTGCGGACCGTCTTGATGCGGGGCCGGGCGTAACATGTCGCTACCGGACAGAAGGTCGAGGAATTCGCGAAAGAGGTTGTCGGGGTCGTCCCGCAGCTCGGCCAGTTGGACCACTAGTGGTTCAATTGCGCTGAAGCAGCCAGGGACCCGTACTTCCGCGGGGACGTACAGGCTGTCCTGCACGGTGCGACTAGCCAACGGGAGGTCAGTAATGATTGGAGGATGGTGATCACTGACGCCGTGTACGTCGAGCAGCGGGCTAGACGTACACGCCGCATCGCGTGCAGTCGAGGTTGAATTGGGCACATTGGGCATGCATCGCTGCATGTCCATCGTGCCGCCTTGCAATTTGGGGTTTATGACCGCGAGGTCGTCCCTAGCGTAGGTGTGCTCTCTTGCAGAGCGTGCCTGATCCCGGGCAAGGATGATGTCGAGATGGGTACGTCCATTAGGGATGTACCCGCTACTCGACAACCGGTCTTGGGTTGGTGGGGCGCGTCGGACATGCGGTACTGCACGTCCGCCGTGTCGCCTTGCAGTGTGGAAGGTCCGGGTACGACCTGGGGGTCGTCCCCGGTTACAAGCGTGCCGCTATGCGTGAGCCAAGGTACGACCGCGAGGTCATCCCTTAGCACAGGTGCACCGCCTTGCAGTGCGGAAGACACGACCATTTGGTCGTTGCGCAGCGCGATCGCGGTGTGGTGGGGCGCGTCGGACGTGCAAGGTTGCGCATCCGCCGTGTCGCCTTGCGGGATGAACGGTACGACCGCGAGGTCGTCCCGTATTACGGGCGTACCGTATTCGTGTCCCCCAGCGCGTACGACGAGATCGCTCGTCAAAATGTGGGCTGGCCCGGGGACTGTCGCAGGGAATAGCAAGTTGGGTACATCCATCAAGGATGTACCTCCACCACGCTGGTTGGTGGTGACTGAGAAGGGCACGTCGGACGTACAACGCTGCGCGTCCGCGGTGTCGCCATGTGTAGTGGCCGGTACGACTCTCGATTCGTCCCGGTACATGTGCACCCAAGGCTCGTGGCCAGTAGTGCGCACGACGAGCTTCAAGTTCGTCGGTACGCCTACTGGCGCGGGCACAGCAGATGTGGAGGGTACGACCTTGAAGTCGTCCCGCAGCACGGACGTGCTACCATATGGACCTCAGGTACGACTTCGCAGTCGTACCTGGGAACGGGAGTGCCATCTTCGTGGCTAGCAGGACGCACGATGATCTTCTCGTTCGTCGCTACGCCTGTGGTTGTCGAGCCGTCGTGCTCGTACTTCCGGCTCGCCCGGTACCCTTCCTCCCTCTGTCCCTGCGTTCCTTGCTCATCCTCGCTACTCCTCTCCTCTCTGTCCTCCTTCCGTTCTCCTCGCTCCTCGTTATACGTGGTCCGCTCCGTCTTGCTGCTCGGCGCTGGACTTGAACGCGCGTCGTTCAAGTCCTGGGTCGCGTGGCTGGGTTGCGTGTCGCCAGAGCCGCGGTAGGGGTCGCCAGGTTCGCCAGAATCGGTAGGGAGACCTCCCAATTCGAGGCGCGAGGTGTGGGGAGAAGGGAGATGAGCCGGGGACGAATGAAGTGATGATCTGGTACCGCGAGGTACCAGGTCGTCGGTCGCCACCGACTGGACTGGCGGCAAGTCAGCCAGCCAGTTGCGAGCGCGAGTTCGCACTCGCGTTGGGGCGGCGCGCGCGTCTGGTTCGCCAGACGCGCGCTCGAGTTGGCTGCCCAGATAGTGGAAGGGGTCGAGGACGAAGAGTCGGTGGAGGCTCAGCGCAGCACAGTGGGCGCTAGTGCTCGGGACGCTCGCCACGGACTCGTGACACTCAACGCCCGTAGTGTTGAGCGCGTCGCGCGTCGCGCCGAGCAGGTTGCTCGTCGTGGCGCGCCCATCATTCGACAATAATAATATATTTCTTGTGTCGCTGCTCATCTCTGAGCGCGCGACGAGTGTACCTACGTACGCGGGCTCGTTCCCGTTGTACACAGTACTGTTGTAGTACTGTGTGCCTATACCCTCCCGAGCGCGGAGATGCGTCGACTCGACGCACCACTCGTTCGGCTCGGATGCGAGCTCGATGACGGACGTGTCTTCGAGTTCGGCGCGTGCATCATCCTTCGGGGTGATGCCTAGCTTCGTCGCTTGGGCCGGGACACCTCGGGATGGCAGTGCCTCCAGGTGCCATTGAGCAGACCCGACGGCAGTCTCGGGCTGCTCAGAGCGCTGTGCATACCCGGCTTCGCCTTGGCGAATGACGGGTCCCGGTACGACCTGAAGGTCGTCCCGAGATGTGAACGTGCTGTCATCTCCATGATCACAATGGATCATGAAGGCGGATATGAAGAGACGGTGGCCCGACGAACCGCGGGCATTGTGCCCAACGGGCTCTACATTCGCCATTACGCACACTAACGTGGGTATGGCAGATGTCGAGATAAGTACGTCCACCGAGGGCGTCCTGATCCTTCTCGACACTCTGTACTCACCGGTAGTGTGTACAGATGACTGGGACATGTTGGATGAGCAATGCTGCTCGTCCGTCATGTCGCCTTGCAGAACAGACGGTACGACCGCGAGGTCGTCCCGTATCACAAACGTATTGCCTTGAAAGTCGGAGAGAACGACCATCAGGTCGTCCCGTATCTTTTTCGTGCGATCATCGTGGCCCACAGAGCTTCCAATGAGCTCCGCGTTCGCCGATGCGGGTGTTGGTGAGGTGGGTACGTCCCTTAAGGGCGTGCCTTCCACTATGTTGCCGCTGCTCGTGGATGAACAGGGTACGTCGGACGTGCGACATGGCACGTCAGCCGCATCGCTAGGCGGAACAGCAGATACGACTTCGCAGTCGTTGGTACACCAGGGCGCTGTCAATAGAGCATGCGGGGAGTTGGATACGTCCCGCATGGGTGTATCTTCGAGCTCTGAGGCCGCTACGCTATGGATGGTGACGGTCTCAAGGTACACGTCGGACATGCGGTACTGCAAGTCCAGCGCGTTGCACTGCGAAGTGGACGGTACGACCTCGCGGTCGTCCCATATCACAGGCATACTGTCTTGAGAAGCGGAGGGTACGACCCTTAGGTCGTCCCGCAACGCGTACATGCCGTCTCCATGGCCAGTAGCGCGCTCGACAAACTTCTCGTTCGTCGACGTGCGCACTGGCTTGGGTACTAGGGAGAGGACCGGCGGAGAATTGGGTACGTCCAGTATGGACGTACCCTCGAGCATCAAGTCTTGCTGCTGGTCGGTAGCTTGCACGTCGAGCGAACAGTTCGGCATACTCGCTACGCGACGACTGGCAAATATTGGGTGGAACACGTCGGGCGTGCTTTGCGCCGCGTCCGCCGTATCGCCTTGCGAAGTGAACGGTACGACCGCGAGGTCGTCCCGTATCGCTCTCGCGCGATCATCGTGGCCGCCCGTGCGTACCACAGACATTCCGTCTGTTGCTGCAGCTCCAGGCGTGTTCGTGGAGACACCAGTCACATTGGACGAGCAGTTTTGCGTGTCCACTGTGTCGCCTTGCGGACTGGCCGGTACGACCGCGAGGTCGTCCCGTATCACAGGCATACTGCCTCGAGAAAAGGAGGGCACAACCCTTAGGTCGTCCCGCAGCGCGTACAGGCCGTCCCTGTGGCCAGTAGTGCGCACGACAGACTTCTCGTTCGTCGAAGTGCACACTGGCTTGGGTACGAGCGAGAGGACCGGTGGAGAGTTGGGTACGTCCAGTATGGGCGTACCCTCGATCCTCGATCTCGCTACGCGACAGCTGGTGAATGCTGGATGGGGCACGTCGGACGTGTATTGCGGCGCGTCCGCTGTGTCGCCTCGCGGAATGTACGGTACGACCGCGAGGTCGTCCCATATCGCAATAGTGCTACCTTGCAGACCAATGGGCACGACGGTCAGGTCGTGCCGCAGCACGACAGTGCCGCCTTCCTGGCCTGCTATACATACGACGACCTGTGTGGTCGTCGATACATGTGCCAGCGTGGGCATTGGAGAAGGAGGCGGTGGCGAGTGGGATACGTCCACCAAGGGCGTACCTGCGTTTATTGAGTCTCTCTGCTCGTCTTTCAGGCTCGCCCCGCACCCTTCCCCCTCCTTCCTTTTCCTGATTTCCTCGCATTCTCCTCGCTCCGCGTTTCCCGTGGTTCGCGCAGCCTGGTTGCCTGGTGCTGGACTTGCACGCGGGTCGTGTGAGTCCTGGATCGTGCGGCTGGGCTGTGTGTCGCCAGAGCCGCGACGGGTGTCGCCAGAGTCATGAGACTCGAGAGGAGAGCCTCCTGAGTCAAGATGCGAGGCGCGAGGGCGGAGGGAAAGGATCGGAGAGTAAGGATCTGGCGGTCTTGTACCGCGAGGTGCCAGGTCGTCGGAGGGGTTGCCGACCGCGAGGTGGCGGTCGGTACTGACCGGTCGATCCTTCAGCTGAACCGCGAAGGGTTCAGCTGTCCAAAGACAGAGCGCGGCTCGCACTTCCGTTGGGAAGTGCGAACCGGGTTGGAACGCGGTTGCACGCGGGCGGTGGCTGCCAGTGTGGAGGTCGAGGTGGCGGTTAGCATTGAGAGGAGTACTTCCGGCGCTACCGCTGGGAGTGCTTGCTCTCGGCGCGTGCGCGTGACGCTCGACGCATTGAGCGTCGAGCTCGATGCTGGCCGCGTCGGGCACGTCGTCCGGCGCGATAGTTGTATATTTTGAGTCGCGGCTCATTTCTGAGCACGCGACATGTGGATCTACGAGCAGAAGCTCGTCTACATCCGGGGATGCGACGTGAGGTCGCGTCCCTATGCCTTCCCGGGCGCAGGACCGAGTCATCTTGTCGGACAACTGGGACTCGGGCTCGGCGACGGCGGCGTCGACGAACCTAGCGCGTGCACCACTCTTGAGTGTGGTGCCGAGCTTGGTCGGCTCACTGGGAGCAATCGGAGACGGAGTCTCCGGACATCTCTGAGCAGTCTCGATGTCGGGCTCGATCTGCTCAGGACGCGACCCCTTGGGCTCAGACACGGGCTCAACAGCGGCAGCGCTGTCGATCTCGGTGCGCGCACCACTCGTCGGAGAGCTTTCCAGCTCCTGTGGCTCGGTTGGAACAGGCGGAGTCGGGTTCTCCTGGCAGCTCTGAATGGGCTCGACCTTGGGCTCGAACAGTTCTGCGTGTGCTGTGCGTTCGACCTCGCGGTCGGACGGTGCCTGCTTCGCGAGTGCTCCGGACGAGTTCTCGGGGTCTGAGAGCTCAGTCCGGCAGGTCGTGCGACGGTGACGTCTGGACTCGTTGTCCTGCTCCACGGAGCGTCTGAACGATGTGATATCATCATCTAGATGCTTCATCGAGTCATCGAGTGTCCGGAACCGCCTATCGGGGGTGGCTCGTGTCTCGACCGGGATACTCTTCAAGAATTTCGCAAAACTGTCAAGAAGTCCATCCACCTTCGCATCGACCTTCGCGCGGTGGGCCTCCCGAGTACTACGCGAGTGCTTGGGAGACTTGGTTGTCGATCCAGCCATCTTCTTGAGTGGTTGCGAAGTTGACTAGATTTGGATGTAAAGCATAGAAATTCGAAGTTTCCAGGTTGTTGCCTAGAGTAGATAGTCCCCAGAACAGAAGCTGTTCTGGAGCGCAAAAAAGTGTAGCGTCCCTTAATCCTCGGGCCCGGTATGCGCTGTACCCAGTCTCTATTCAGAGGGACTGTCTACACGTAGCATACATGGGGCGATGAGGATGGTAAAGGACTGAGGTCTCGTAGGTGCGCTGGCGCGCCATACGAGCCCTCGAACAAACAAGAACAATCATATGAGATAAGATATACCGTAACGGGAATATCCGTTACATCAATAGTAGGGGGGACACAAGTACTATTCTGCTACTATTTATTCACTTTATAATACTATTGTCGCGACTTCAAAGTGACTGTCTAAATCCAAGTACTTGCCATTTTTTCACAGTTGATTGCCTAATTAGGCACACTCAGTATGGCAGTACTATCCGACTGCAAGCACAGAATAAGTACTTGCCGACAATATCCATTCCCAGTGTACTCATCAATAACATCTGTACTCAAAGTACCTACCGAGAACATTCGTTCCTAAAGTACTCATCGAGAACATCCATACACCGTGACGAGCTTGCCGACAATACCATAATTCAAGTACTTGCCGACAGTACGGCACCCCAAGTACTTGCCAACAGTACCGCACTCCAAGTACTTGCCAACAGTACCACACTTCAAGTACTTGTCAACAGTACCACCCTCCAAGTACCTGCCACCGTGAACCACATTACCAGTACCCACAATTATTCATACATGATTTCGTCATCATCTCCCTCCTCTGCAGTACCACCACATCATCCTCGGCCCCCTCCTCCTCTACATCGGCCCCCTCCTCCTCTACAGTACCCACCACATCATCCTCGGGATCAATCACATGTACATCGAGCGGGGCTACTATACTATCGCCCGATGCATGTACCGAGGATGGGAAGTGTTCCCGCGCATCCGAAAGCAGACGCGAATACATAGCTGATTGCCTGTATGGCACATCAGTGTACTGACCATCCCACCACGCTGATTAGCGACCTACCTGGCTGCATATGCCGCCGCTCCTCGCTCACCAATGTTGGCGCTCTCCCCCACTTCCGCTCGCTCCTCCCACTTCCTCATGTGGTAATAGAAGAAGCGTTGCGTACGTCGCATCTCCTCCTTCACTAGCTCCACCTCTTCAGTCCACCTCGTCGCACGTGCACTGGCCCGGAACCATTCAAGCCGCTTAGCTGTGTTTAGACTTAGTGCGTGAACCTATCCGACAACCGGTTCAGGTATGTACTCACCTTCCACAGCCCACTTGTCGAGAGCGGTCCCATGATAAGTACCATCTCGCCAGAGCCACGATACCGACTCATTCCGCCTTCCCATCCGTTCATCCGCAACAACTGGCGGCCTGCATTGCTCATTGAGTAGCGGTTCCAACTCGCACGGGCGATCTCTCGTTGCAAGTCGGGCGGCCTTCAGTCGCATACTCTCATACTCCAGCCGTAACGCTTCGATTTTCTCTCGTTCTGTCTTCTTCAGCTTGTTGTACCTGTCCTGCGCCTGTTGACCGAAAGATCCACCATTCTGGCCGCGGTAAAAGGCCTCGAAATGCAACTTCTGCCTGATCTTCCTCAGGACATCGTTGGCATGGGCCACGCGCAGCTCCTGTTCGGCCGCGGAAAAACGCTCAAAGAGTGCGTGATTACGAATCTTCGCAGGAAATGAAGATGGGAAACGCATCACTATTTCCTCCACATTGGCGGCATCAGAGGATGGCCACTCGTCGTCAAAGAGCTCCTCGGCAGCTACAAGACTCGGTCGCGCGAGCCGTTCTTGCCAGAGCAACCAGTCTTGCAGTCGTAGCTCGAGTTTTGATCGTTCCTTGGTGATCGCGCGGTACTTCTCAGTTGACGCCTGCTTTTTGTATGCGCTGACTTTCGCCTTTAAGGACTCTCTGTACCGAACGAGTCGTAGTTAGAACAGAATCTTAATGGACACAGTTGTGTTCTCTTACTGTTCTCTCTCCAGCTCGAAACCAGCTGCGAGCATGTCACCAATCCCTCCCCGAGCCGTTTCCACCGTCGCAGGCATGTCCAGAACGGAGGCCTTCCGCTTGGTTCCATGTCCCTGCTGCTTCCTTTGTCGCTCGGATTGTTCGTCTTGCTTCAGTCTGGCCAAAACCTCGTGGATGGTCGGGACTGATGTGGTGAGCCTTACGTCCACTCGCAGTGAGCTGCACAACTTACCTTCGTCTACTGCAGATTGGTAAGGATTCTTGACCTTGGTTCCGTCCCAATGGCGATCCGTCATTTGGGCAACATATTCTGCCTCCTCTCGTCTCCAGACATCTAGCGGAAGGCGGTTCTTAGTTAGCGTAGTCTCCAGTGTGTTCAATTCACAGGTATTCTTCGTGTAATATTTCTCCGCGAGTCGTAATTTCCCTTCTAGGTACTCGCCTGTCCTGATGTTAGCATCTCAATACTCGCCACGACGCGCGCGCACGTACCCATTTTGAACATCTTCTGTGTGTTGAAGTCCGAATTGTGTGCGTCGAGGACGTCCTGCCGATGGCCTGGGCCCATTTCACGCACAGATCGGCCTATGGCGTTCTGCGCTGCCCACCTGCGCTCAACCGACTCGCCGTCCGTGTTGCCCACACCAGGCATGTAGTAGAACGAGCACAGGTACCGGCAGATTCCTGTGTGCGACGGTGCGTGAAATTTGGGCACGCACCGCCGTATGGTGGGCCACAATTCCTTGGCGGCCGTGACGCCCGGTACTGAAGGTAACGCCGTGGCGATTTGCTTGACGCGGTGCCACCAGTTCAAGCCATACTTGCAGTTGACGTCGTACGAGCTGATCCAGAGCCAGAGCGACATAAACCATTGAAGGCCGGACAGTGTCGCGTAGTCGACGTTGGCGTAGCGTTCCCCGATATGTAAGTCAACGGTTCCGCAGGGGAGCACGAAGCCGTGGCGTGTGCACGAGAGGCTAACCTGGCCGGTCTTGATCTTCCCTTTGTAGCGATCGGACAGTGCGTTGAAATTGCTGCATGTTGTCGTCTCGTCTTGGGCATCTGCATATACCTTCATTTTGTCTAGATACTCCTGGTATTTGTCGCTGTCAACGTAGTACGCCCCGCCGTTCATCAACGGGAAGTCCAACGGGTCCATCTTCTTGTCATGTTGATGGAGGCTGAAGTTCCCGTCTTTCGCGTAGTGCAGAGCGTCCTTGTACCAATCATTCTCAGCGCGGGTCTTCCAGTCGGGATCCATGTTGACGCCAGGTTGAGGACAGGCTGGGCAACGCAACGCGAGGCTTCCAGGGTCCGGTTTGCTCTGGACGTTGACCGCGAATCTCTTCAATGTTTGAATGTATGTGAACTGGCGGTGCGAACTCAAGAACTCTCGGTATCGGTTCTGCCGCCCGTGTAAGTCCGACTCTACCAGTACAACAAACCCGAGGAGCACACACCTTTACATCTCCGAAGAAGGCGTTCGATGTCATGCGTCGCAGTGTGCCGTAATAATCGTGAGCAGTCGTTTTAGCTTGAAACGTGAGATGGGTGAAGAACCGAAGGGAATGGACGGTGAAGACAGTCTGTGGTCGGGAGAACGACGCTGGCCAGAAGCCTGCGTTCCAAAGCTGAAGTGGGTGCTCAACTGGTGGTTGACCCGCCCGGCGGCACCCGCAGTATTGAATGTTGATCGATTGGATCCCAGTGGTGTGCACGACCGTAAGCTGGGATGTTTGATGGGTGATCGCAGAAGGGCACGGCCGGCCGTGGTGACCCACCGAGAAGACGAGCCCAACGTCATGGAGAGATTTGCGCTGAAAGTACTTGCCATTCCATTCTTCTATTCGATGGAGTGGATTGCGTGCGTGCGAGACTACGATACATCCCCGACAGAGGAGAGGGCCGTTGAAACAGTCGGAACAGCGGTATGTTGCGTGAGTGCCCTGGCAATCGTAGCATGGCTTGCCGAACTCTGGAGCGATCTCTCGGCTTCGAAACACGTCAAGCAGTTTCTGCGCCCAGTTGTCAAGGAATTGGGACATCAAAACGTGGAGAGGCTGGGCCGATGGTCATGATTCGCGATGGTCTATGTTAATGTCGCGACGTACCTGTCCATGGCCTTTCTTGGGTTCGGTACCATTGTCGGTGGCCTGCGAAGGCTCGTCCTGCCCCGCGAGATCAGACGGGCCACTCGGCGTGCTCGATGTAGGATCAACCACGTCTTGAGAAGTGGCAGTGGCGGCAGAACCATTGGTGGCCGAACCCTCTGCATCGCTCGCAGCAGCAGGCCCAGCGTTCGCGAGGAAAGCATCCAAGGATGGCAAGGGAGGATCAACGGGGGAAGGTCGCGCCCGCTTCTCCTTTCGTCGTCCAGGTGAGAGGAACTCGATGATCTGTTCTCCGTTCGGAGCGAAGGTGACTGTAGGTGGTCCGTCGGGAATGACGATGGGTTGAGGGAGGTAGTCTTCCTGCACTATCTTCGCCTTGCGTCTGCCCATCGCTATTGACAGCAGAGGAACACTTGCAGCGCTAGAGCACGCAGGGGTAGAGGCAAGGCAATCGCTCAGTGGAGAAGGCGTTGCGACCGCGCGTGGCCACTCACGCGCAACGCGAAGTTGGAGACAGGAGTGGCAAACATGTGGCGGAAGGCACGACTTGTCGCTTTGGCCAGCGAGACTACGGAATCATCGTTGTTTTTTTAGCGAGGCACAAACATACATCATTGTGTTATGACACAGGTCGTACAGCTAGGCGGCCGAAATGTGCTCATTCGCGCGCACGGCAGGGCCGGGAGTGTCTCGTAGGGAAGCAGAATGGGTGCGAGCGTGAACGTGACTGTCGGTACCGCACGAGGCTGTTACAGAGGACGCTGTGTTACTGCATGTACGAGAGGTTGGTGAAACACGAGCACTCACTCTGGCGAGATGGAAGACTGTGTTTGGAATTGGCAGGGACCGATTGCCGACGTTGCAAGATCATCAACTTGCGTGAACCGCGGTCGAGTGGGAGCGTTGTGGGCAAACGTAGGGTGCATCAACCGGTGTCGCCCAACCGGGTCGCTGTAGGGCCTGAGTTGGACCCAGCAGACGACCGCGATCGCCCGAGAAGGCGCAGGTTGCGGGAGGAGTATCGCCGTGCTGTCTGGCAACGCGCAGTTCACGCACTGTCTGGTAAAGCAATCATTCAGTCATGAAGGCGCGCGAGGGACGACTCCAAGACAATGAGGAAAGGCGCAGTAAGCACCACACGTCGAGACGAACGCATCGCCTGAGCAGTCCGCGGATGCGTCACCCGGGCCTATCCCCAACGCAGACATCTACGCAGAACTGGATACAGACAGATGCGTGTGCACGACGAGAGGTTTACTTCGCATACGCAACGCGAACGGCGTGCCAGTACTCTAGGGATTCGGAAGCGAAATAGGACTGACTGACCTTCGAATTTCCAGACGCCCCAGCCGCCATTGCTTCCCATGCCCCTGGCTTGCATACCTCCGCTGGTCCATGTTCCTGCGTCAGCCGTGTGCTTTCGGAGCCTCGCAGCGATGCTATGGCGCACCATCGTATGCGCGCGGCTTGCCGAGTGTGAATGCCGAGAAGAGGAGAGTGTAGGACCTGACTGACAGCGAACAAGCTTGCGTGGGATGTGGTGTATATCCGAGGGTGCGTCGAGATCTTTTCGAGCGAGGCGAGCACTGAGTGGGACGCTTGAGGGAGGCCAGGAGGGTCGCTCGACTGCTCAATCGTGAACAGGAGCTTCCCTCGGCCTAGACATCAACGCATGGTCGAAACCAACACGGACGTCAAGGCCAGCGATGTCGATGCGTGGTGCAGAAACGGGGTGAGAAGGACAGGTGGAGAGAACGGTGGACCGGGTGAGTAGCATCTTCGAGAGTGAGATCGGCGGGAGTTGAGCGCCCAAAGCGCCGGGTACGGTAAGTCCTCGCACTTGGGCGCCTGGCTCTCTGCGCTTCCCACTGCGAGTGTCACGCCTTCCTGACAGGTGTCGCTCAACTTCTGGGTTCTCCACCGGCGATCGTCCACTCAAGACACGGTTCTGCGATCCAGGGTAGACTTCGGTTTTCCTGCGCGAACTTGCTACGGCGCAGTATATCTGCTGCCGAGGCATCAGCAAGACTTCACCACCTCAAGTTGGCTTTCAAACGTCCCGAGCTGGCCAAACTCCTCGAGTCTTCTGCTTACTCTGACCGTCTGCAATTCTCGCATCACTTCGTGACTCGCTGTCGTAATTCACCTTTGCCTCGCCTCCTCGCTGCCTCATTGGCGCGAGAGTGACTCATCAAGGCCGCAACACCGTTCGACGTCGTGTCCTCAGACCTGCTGAGGTTCCGACGCGACTCTCAGCGTCTCGTTTGGGTAAGCACGTCGTAAAGGCTGGGCTTATCGTACACCGTTAATTCATGCTTAGCTGCGCTCGATCTCGCACGCTATTTTGAACTGTTCAATACTGAGGCGTTTTCATAACGCGTACGCATCCTGTTGCCGGGCTGGCTGAGTTCTATGTTGACTGATCCGCTGTTTTTCAGACTATGGCCGACGCCAACTTACATAGGGAGGTGCAGACGACTGCCTTCAAGTTGATTGCTACTCCGGCATCTCGTGAGTACCGTCCGCCAAATTACTCCGGGCCAGGGAAATTGACTCCATCTCAGAATGGCGCAGTCCGCTCGGGCCATTTGATGGCAGATCTGCCGTCGATGCGGAAGACGATTGCAACATCATCACCACCCCGTTCGACAAATGGGTACCGGAGTTTCCAAGGATTGCAGGCCGGGAAGTCGTGACGTATCAAGACGGCCTGTGGGGTCCTCAAGAGTATACACGTTGGCCTCAGGTCTTCAACGAGGCGGTCTTCCATCACGCGTGCATCCCGACGCCGGGTTCACCGTACGCACCGAGTGTTCAGGTTTACGAAGGCTTCGGGTACCGCCCGTGGACGGAATCAAAGTCGTGTGGCGTACACGGGTTCGGTTTCTTAAACACCGATCTTGTAGAAGAGTTGTTCAGGATCGCCCGCGAAGTGCTCGTGCGTTACAATGACGCCGAGACATCCGCTATTGCAGCTGCCTGCCTCGAGCGCCCCGCTGCAACCCTACGCCTTGGGCGAATGCTGGGGTTGCTGCTGCGCAATGCAGTTGATCGCCTTCGAAAGGTCCCGACCACCGAGCATCATGCACTCGTCACGGGCCGGATGGCTCACAGAATCATCCTCGAGATCTGCGGGCTCACGATCTACTATACCGTCGTCCTGGAACGCATGCGCAGCGTCAAGAACTGGTCCCATCAACCTCTCGCGGTCCTCGGCGCGTTCATTCGCAATAGCGCCACGGCCCAGCTATTCTTTCGGGTTGGCATCCCCTTCTGGCTCATTCAACCTTGGAGAGAGGGTCTCATGATCCGTGACGTGGTGCTGTCGCGACCCTGGGCCTCTTCGCTCAACAACACACCTGCTTCGCCCCGCATTCCGAAGAGCTGGTACGATCCGGACGGCACACATCAAGATCCCAGTCGTTGGACACACGCTTCCGTGATTTTCGTCTGCAATACTCTTTGCTCTTCGTCTTTGCCTCAACTGCCGACAATTGTTCGACCGGCCACTGCCGAGCGAGAGGCGAAGCGCTTCAAGGGGAACGACATCATGCCAATGTTGCCACCAGCGCAATCATCCCATGCGTCTGGTCACAACGCGAAGAAACGCGGGAAACGCGCTCGTGGCACGCGCTCTGGGGCGAACGTCGTCTCAACCCATCCCGCCACCCACTTTCAGCCACCCCCGAGGAACGTGGTCAACATAACTCCGAATTGGCGTGCTGCCCTTGTGGCTGCCTCGCCGCTCACATTCCCCCCCTTGTCGCTGCTCAGTACTACCTCCCTCCTCCCTTTATCATCCTCGACGCCGACCAGCATAAAGCACGGTACATCCACAACTACGTGCGTATCCGAGACTTTCTGCGCCACCGGTTGGTCGACGCCCACGTTTCTGGTCACCCATTGCGGATCTCAGAATGGCGCCACGTTCTCTACGGCGACTATCCGGTTGCCGAATTGCAGACTAAGCACCAGGGTGATACCATTGAAGGGGAAGGCACGAGTCAGTGTGCACCGCGTAATGGCCTGCAGATCCTGCGAGCAGAACGGCGGGCGGCTGTCGGCGCCCTGTGTGGCAAAGTCGGCGGATTGCTGCCATATGATGCGGCCGAGGTCGTGCAGTACCGTGGGATAGCAGTGGATATGGTCGCGGCGAGTCTGAACCGGGAACTGTTACGATGGGTCACTTGGGAGTTACACGAGGTCAATTGGCGGTGCGAACTGCGCGCGCTCGACAACCGTCTCGTCAACCACAGCCAGGATGCCTTTGCCAAATGGGAGCGCGAACAGCTCATCGCGGATGTGTGGCGAGGCCGTACGGGGGAATCGGGCTTCTCTGCCGTTGTAGTGGACTCGTCGTTCGCCTGCTGGACCCCCGCTGGGGAGGACGGCTGGCGAGAGCGCCGCGCGAATCTGCGCGCATTCGTCTCACTGATGAGCGTGTGGCCGGACTTCCCTCCTGCCCTGCGAGGGACGATGACGGACATCGCCCAATGCGAGAACAGTTACGAGTTCAAGCAAACTGAGGCTGCCGCGATCCAGTTCTATGTAACGACCTTCACTTCTACTTTCTACCGTCTCCCCTGCCCGCCCGTGGTTCCAGTAGTGTAGCGTATGGACGTCTTCGCTGGGTATGTACATAGAATACTGTAGAACATCACCTTGAAATGAACCCCGCGACGTTGACAATGCCCCGCCATGCCAAAATGGTCGTTTGCGAGACAAAGCGTCGCTTTGATCTGGCTAAGTGGCTTTGTCTGGTCACAGGTTGAACTGTATATCCTAATTAGTGCCTTCCACAGCGACCCCAGCATGCGATCGGTGGCCATAGGTGGCCTCCACAATATAAAAAGAGCCACTGAACGACGCGCCCTCTTGACCATCGTTCTTACCACCTCCTCACACCATGAACGCTCCCGCGTGCCGCACCTGCGTAGTGGACCCCGAACGCGACATCGACGAACACGCATGGCTTGTCGACGCTGTCCGGACCGCCTGGGTGAAAGCTCGTCCCACGGAAAGTTACCAAGCCATGGCCACGCGAATCGCCGCCGAGTTCAACAGCCATTTCGACCCCAAGATCTATAAACTGAAAAAGGCTGGCAAAGGCACTCGTCTGGAGACGGACGCCGAGCGCGATGGGCGAGTCTTCGACAGGGTTACAGTACGTGTTATGCAGACCAGGCGTATACTCTCGATGTTCACCCCAATTCGCCCAGAAAATCTTCAATTGGATAACGAACCATCGTTCGTACTTCGACCAACTCAAGAACGGCATACCCAGGATCCTAGATCTCCCGGAAGTGCAAGCCCAGACGGTCGCCGTACCGCGAGGGAAGAGCATCATGGATCTCTTCAAGCATGACTACCCCGAGGTAGGCCAGAAGGCACGACAAGCCGCCGGCTCGGACGCGGGAGACCAGCAGACCGAAGTGAACCTAGCATACTCGGCAGCGCTGGCCGAACTGCAGGCCACGAACCCGGAGAAGGTGTTGGCGTATGAGCAAGAGTCCAAGCGATCGAAGGAAGAGGCCAGTGTGGCCCGTGCGCAAGCGAAGGCAGCGCCAACCTCAGTAGACACCGCCTGGGAGGGTGAGGACACCACATCTAAAGCCGAGTGCGTTCACAACATTGTCAATCTACCTCTGTGACTGACACGTATCAGTAACTTGAAGCGTGTTTTGTATTCGGCAAAGGTGTCTGTCGACACCTGGGCTAAGACAGCAGACGCACAATACTTCCTCTACATTGGCGTTGTGGAGGACGGGCAATGCGTCAAATATCTGTACGTATCATACTTCCGCACGACCATTGTAGTGTACTGACGATTCTGCTAGAATTGGCAACAATGCGTCGTCCCCCGACAGTCTCGTAGCTCAAATGAAAACCAATCCGCTGCTTGACGAGCTCGACGAGCTCGTCCTCTTGCGCAAGCAGCAGCAACTTGCCAGCGTGGCTGAAGCCCCCGGCGATCCCCACATGGTCGATGAAGAGGACACCGAGCCAGCTTCATCTGCGGCACCTCCAGCACCCGTTCACGAGCCTTCAGTGGCAGATGCTGGACAACCAGCTCCCGCGATGCCACCACTAGTGAGCGGCGCCCCGGCCACACACAGCGGCGATGTCAACGTCGTTACCGAGGTCTCAGTGGTGGGAGGAAGTCTCGCCGCTCCCGCGATGCGCCAACCAGTGAGCGACGCCCCGGCCGCATGCAGTGGCGATGTCAGCGTCGTTACCGAGGTCTCGGTGGCGGGAGGCAGTCTCGCCGCTCCCGCGATGCCACCACCAGTGAGCGATGCCCCGGCCGCGCCCAACGGCGATGTCAGCGTCGTTACCGAGGTCTCGGTGGCGGGAGGCAGTCTCGCCGCTCCCGCGATGACACCACCAGTGAGCGATGCCCCGGCCGCGCCCAACGGCGATGTCAGCGTCGCCACAGAGGTCCCGGTGGCGGGAGGAAGTCTCGCCGCTCCCGCGATGCCACCGCCAGGGAGCGATTCCCCTCCCACACGCAGCGGCAATGTCAGTGATGTTCCCGACGTCGCTGTGACGGGAAGCGGACTGGCCGACTCCGTCGACGGACCCCTCGGCGAGGTCAGCGTCGCTGCCGAGGGCTCTGTGGTGGGAGGCGGCCATGATGACCCGCCACCCTCCCAGACGTGAGCAACGGGTCGGGACCCGGCGAGGACAGCGTCTCTGGGCTCGCACCGAGCGAGGACGAACATGCCTCGCCTGTTGTTCGCCAGCAGTCGAAGAAAACCAAGAAGGGGACGGTCCCTGCGAAACGTGGTCGGAAGGGTCCTCAGGTTGACGCCGCCACTGCGACGACAGCCTCGGGTCAAACCACAATGCGGGGGAGGAAGAGGAAGGGCGACGATTCCACCAGTGAGGCAGCCACCAGCAGCACTAGGCCGAAGCGTGCTAAGTAAGTCGACATGTTCGCTCACGATCATTGCTAACGTTCGCCACAGGAGAAAGGATTACGCAGCCATGGAGCGAGGAGAGAATGATTTAGTATCGTCGTAGACAGCCTACAATGTACCCCTTGCGATTCTGTATGTGTACACGAAGTATGTTACTGGACCTTGTCCTCCCTCTCAAGAGCCCCGGAGTCTCGGAGCATGCTGCGCCCGAGAAGTCAATCAGGGTTCCGTCGTTCATGATGGGCCTACGAGTGGGGCAGGCATCCACGCGCCACGGTTGAGCGTGTGGCGATGCTTTGACCGTAGACCAAGTTGAACACGTCCCAATTTGCTCGCAATGCCACTTGTTGTGGCCAGGAGTTGTGGTTCTCCCGGCTACCGACTGAGCGAACAATAACCGTGCTCGCCTATATAAAGGTGAGCAATGCACGTCCCTTCGCCCCAGTCGTCCTCACCTTCAGATCCCCTATGCCACGACTTCCATCGAACACGCCTTCCCGAGGCAAAATCCGCTCGTCGATATCCAGGTCGGCTCTAAGTTCACCTGCGTTACCTCACACACCTCCAAACACTCAGGATACAAACAATGCGTTTGATCTCCTCCTCAAGAACTTTGTTCGGCAGTTGTCGCTGCCCGAGGTCCACCAACCCGTCTGTCCGCACAACCCAAAAAGGCAATTACAGTACCGCCAAAATAATGCGAACGATGGACGGTGGTATGCATTGGTACGTCTACATCCTAACAAATCGAACGATTTGGTACACTGACTCGATCAACAGTGTACAGTTTCTTCGTGCCCAAAGGCAAAGAGAGTGCAGTATTTGAGTGACTCGCTCGGTGCTGACGAACATGCCCTCATCGCTCGCATGCGAGAGGTTGTTGACCGGCTGCGTGTTGCGCGCACTGCCCTCAAAAGACTGGGGAAACGACGTACCACCGGAGGAGATGGGACTGGAGTGCATGACGATCAGGTGAAACACCACGCTGACGAGGAACGCCACGCGCAAGCTGAGCGGGCGCGCTTGGACCGTGAAGCTCGCGAGTTGTGTGAGCGACGCGACGCGCCATCTCAGACGCAAGATGGTGAGTTAAGTGGACATTATAACCTCGAACTGTACGCTGAGCAATGCATAGGGCAAACCGGAGAGGCTCAGCACAATGACCGCATTGAAGCTAGGCCACGACACAGTCCCGGTCGACCGCTTCGCAAACCCGCACTGCCGCGAGACATAATCGAGTTGTCTGACTCCTCGGCTGAGGAGTCAGATAACTCTGCCTCTTATTGGCGGGCTGTGGACGATCCGTCCTCGCCGTCTGAACGCCCGCGTGCTCATACTGTCATTCGCCGCCCCCAGCCATCATCGTCGGGGGCTGCAGCACAGACACCCACTCGAAAATGTCGTGCTATCAACACGGAGGACGTGATCGATCTTACCGGAGATACGAGCGACGAAGATGAGGCTCTCAAGCGACCAAGTGGCGGGGCGTCATCGCAAGCGGCGCCGCCTGCGTCGTCACCCATCCGCCCTTCATCTCCAGTGGAGTTTGATCCCAGTCAATCCTCGGCCTCGCCTGAAATCGTGTCTCGCGCGAGTTCACCAAGGGCGGAGGAAGCCTTCATCCTATCATGGGGTTACACCGAGGCAAGTCAGGGACATCATGGCTGATATTCTCACTCACTAACTGTCTTGTAGGATGATGACATGCCGGAACCCCACCTGTTCGACTTGAATGTGCGCGAGGTGTCCTTCACACGCATTTGCACCGCCTCAGGTCTGGAGCTCATGGACCCCGTTGCGGTGTGGCTCAGCACCGACCAGAAGTGGCGATACATGCATGTGGAGAACCTCGCCGACGTTCGCTTTCAGCTGCACGGAGGGGATACCGTTGTGTGGGCGCAATGGGGGCTCGAGGAGCTGCCTACGCTTGATTGGATAACAAGTGAGTATTCATTGTCAAGTACTCGGGCTCACCTGACAGTTTCCATAGACGATGATGCCACAGAGTCTCCGGAATGGCCAGATGCCACGCGCATTTGGGAGGCCCGGGAAGCCCGGTACTCTGTTTAATAGGACAACGAAGGTCGTGCTCCAACTAAAAGAAGAATAGTATACTTTCACGGGGTTCCGCGTCGTACATTACCTTCCTTTTTCTCGTCACACTCCTTCCCGATCTGGTACCAGTCCTCTCGTCTTTGACGTGTCGCCCTTCTTTCGACCCATTTTCCTCGCCTCAATCTCTCCCCCCTCTCACTCTTAATTCTTGTATCTCTTGTGTTTTGACTATGTCTCTCGTCAGTGCTGCTTGTACTTATATTGGGCCTGAGTGCCCACCTCGTTATTAATATTATCCCCCACTCAACTTGAATGCTCTCGCTTGTACACCGCTCGTCAGTACTGTATTGCACCTCAACTCATGTGATCTCAAGTACACACGTTCAAGTCGATGATGATGGAGTGATGAATCAGGCCGACAGGTACTTCACCGAAGGTACTGTTGTCACAACTGGGATCGACAAGTACTGCTGATGACCACAGGTACTGTTGTCGCGACTGGGATTGACAAATAGTACTGCTGATGATCATAGGTACTGTTGTCACGAGTGGGCTTGACAGGTACTACTTACGACCACAAGTACTGTTGTAGCGGGTGCACTAGACAAGTACTCCATACAATTCAAGTACTGTTGTTATGAATTACATCATAGGTACTTGTTACGAGACTCATGCTCATCAATACTTACACTGTGAAGTCACTTAAAACTCATTTCAGTAGTACTGTTAAGTGACTAAATAATCGTAAAATAGTACAGGTCTTCCCTGCAACGGCTCAAATGGTCAACTACGTCGAGGCAAGAATCCCGAACAAGCCAGGAGGAGAATCGGGAACGGAGGCCGACAACGAGACAGACGAACCAAGTTCGTCGCCTCGGAAGTCGAGTCCGCCCATGAGCAAAGGCAAGGAGCGTGAAAGGCCGGAACGAGCAGAAAGCATGTTCGGCGGATGGGGGAAGGCTAGGCCTACGACCGTTGAAACTGAAGACGAGTCGTCGAATGATATACCGACGCAGCGACCGCCGCCAAGGACGCCCCCAGCGGCGACCTCGACACCGGCGCGGCCGGATATCAACGCGGATCCCAACATGAGTTTCGCAGCAGCAAACTTGGTCCTCCCCAAGGGAAGGAACGAGTCGGATGCGGAATTCGCGAGGCGAATGGCAGCCACGGAACGGCTAGCCAGTACCCTAGGAGGCACTGCCCAAGCAGTACCCCCAACCCCGGGTCCCGTACCAACGGAACCACGGAAACCGAGACCTGGTGAACCGGGATTCACTAGGTCTCCGTACCGTACATCGGGGCCGGGGTACGCGTTCTTCCAGATGAAGGACGGACCTGTACCATCAAAGGATCCGCCCCCTCACATGCCGGGTCCCGCACCTCCACCGAGAACCGGCGGCGGTGCAACAAGGACCGAGAACGACGGTTATAGGTACACAGCAAGTGGAGTACCTATACCGCCAGTTCCCCCGAAACCGAACGTTGTGTTCGAACCAGGAGTTGGAGGCTCAAGCACTTCTAACTCCGGGAACGACCCAACCAAGGCGAAAGAAGGCGGGGTTGGCTATGGGAGATTCCAGGCGTACTCATACATGGGTACGAGCCGGGACCCTCAGAGCGTAAGCACCGCCCCAGCACGCACGCGAACTGCGTTAGACCCCTTGGCAAGGTCGAGGGAGAAGTGCTGGAACATGATCCAGACCATGGTAGGGGATCCACCGATGGATGACCCTCCCATGTACCTGCGATCCGTTAAGCTTCAAACCCCTGCGGCCTGGAGCGGCGAAGACGATCTGTACAAGTTCGAAGAGTGGCTCTACAAGCTCCTCTCGTACTTCCAGACGCTCCGCGTAACAGGACCGCGGATGGACGCGGATAGGCTCCGCATGCTAGGCGACTCACTTACTGGGGAACCCAGTATGTGGTACATCCGTAGCATAAACTATACGAAACCGAACCAGCCCGCCTGGATGTTCGCCGATGTAATAATGATACTACATGAGCGGTACATCCGACGGGATGGTGAGATCGAGGCGGCCGAAGCATTCTATGGCGCGAAATACACCCAGAAGGGCGGTGCCATAGACTTGATCGACCGGTTGACTCGGTATGGCGAACGTATGGCTGAGAAGCCAAGCCCGTACGTGTGGAAAGGCAAATTTATGTCTGCCCTTCCCCGCGACGTCGAGAACCACCTCAGGAACACTTGCATGCTCACACCGGAGAGGTCTGAGCTGCAGGAGATCATTGAGAAGACCAATGAGTACGAGCATGCCCAGCGATCTCAGAAAGCGGGATCGGCGCTGTGGCTGCAACGTATGGTAACTACCGCCAAGGATGGTGGTAGTGCCAATACGAAGGCAGCAACGCCTGCCACCACCAGTAACAAGAATACCGGCGGTGGTCAGTCGTTGAACAAGGGGAAGAAACCCTTTGTACCACGATTCAAGACAGGCACACAGATGGACGGTGCGAACTTCAGGTCTGGGAACCAGATGGATGGATCGGCCAGCAGGTTCCAGAAGACTCCTGCTCCAACCGGCAAGACGACCACCGATGGTCGTCCATACGGAGGTTATAGCAAGACGTACCCGAAGAAGGTCCAGATGCATGCCGGACGCGTCGCTGAAGAAAGCGATGCGGACGCCATGCATCAGACTGACCAGCCGGTCGAAGAGACGTCGGAACGGGAAGAAGTCAACACAGTGGACACTGAGGATGCTAGGACAGGTATCGAAACCGACCAGCACCCTCAGTCCGACTACGGAGACTACGCATACGATGACCCAGGAGAAAACTCTCCTGTGGACGATCGTAGCGAAGATGACGAAGAGGGACACACCGTCCACATGGGTTCAATGTGGATGGGTGCGATGCGGATTGAGCGACAACAGTCGACCCAACAGCGCCATGAACAGCTGGCCCACCAGTCGTACGATGCCGCAATGACCGACATCGTGCGCTCGTGTGCCATGCAAGTCATGCCCTCGGCGAGATCGATGAAGGCAGCCTGGCTATATGACTCGAAGATTCGACGAACGTCGGATCCGAAAGACCAGCCCAAGCGCGCCCCCGACTCGCAGCGAACACTATGCGCGGAAGTCGACGTCAACGGCGTGAAGGCGTACACTCTGTTTGACACAGGGTGCACGACCGACACTATATCACCGGAGTTGGCGTACCTGTCCAAGGCTGACAGGGTTGATCTCAAGGAGCAGATCAACCTGCAGCTTGGAACGAAGGGCAGTCGCACCACCATAAATTATGGTGCGCTGCCGAAGATTACGGTTGGCCCCGTCAACAACGTCAACTACGTCGATGTCGTTGACATCACCGGTATGATATGGTGCTAGGCACCACGTTCTGCAATGCGCATAACGTGGTCCTAGACTTTCGTACGCGGAAGATCTGGATTGACGGCGTAGACATCCCTGCCTACACCCCGTCCAGGAGGCTGAGGTGTGGGAACACCGCCGAAACAATCGTCAAGACAGGGTAGCGGCGCATTTACGTGCTGCTACCACCTCAAGACAATAGGGCAGCGTAGCGAGATCCACCGCTGCGCAGCCCCCCTGTCTCGCTATGCGGAAGAAGGAAACAAGGTCTTGAGGGGGGAAGGGAGCGACCCAAAAGTCGCTTCTATTGTGGATAGAACAACGAAGAAGTTGGTACCACCTACGGCGCCGCAGGTGGTACGCAACCCAACATTGAAGGCTTCAGACCGACCGCCACCACATCTAACAGTAGAAGTGGTGATGCCTCGGCAGAAGGTGCCTGTAAACAGAGGAAATCAGTTTACAGCGAAACTGCCACGACTGAGCGAGGACAATCCACCGATGCCTCACTCATCGCAGCAGCCCAAGCGAGACAAACTCGGTCGATTGGATCCGTATGGAACCAACGACGAGGTTGACAGAGCTGTGCGTAACTTCCTTGTCGACGAGGAGATACGCCAGTCCCTGAATGAAGACCCACAACTCGACGCACTGCGCGAAGAGTGGTTGAAGAAGTGCGAGGATATAATGAAGCCTCCACCTCCCGGATTGCCGCCATTCCGGGAGGTGAACCATTATATTCCGCTCATCGACCAGGACAAGCAGTACAAGTACCGCTTGCCCAAGTGCCCGGATGCTATGAAACCACAGCTACTCGACAAGATCGAGCGGTATTCAGATGCAGGATGGTGGGAACCAGTATCAACGTCGCAGGCCGCTCCGCTACTTTGCATTGCAAAGAAGTCGGGCAAACTGCGTACTGTCGTTGACGCCAGACAGCGTAATGACAATACCCGAAAGGACGTGACACCGTTTCCCGACCAGGACCAGATCAGAATGGACGTGGCTCGAGCGAAGTACAGATCGAAAATCGACCTGTCCGACGCATATGAGCAGATCCGTATTGTTGCAGAAGACGTCTGGAAGACGGCGTTTTCTACACCTTACGGCACGTTCCTTAGCCTGGTGATGCAACAAGGCGACTGCAACGCGCCTGCTACATTCCAGTCGCTAATGACTGCGATCTTCAGAGATTGCATCGGACGCTTCGTCCACGTTTACCTTGATGACATCTTCGTATTCTCCAACTCGGTTGAAGAACACGAGAAACATCTCGGTATCGTGTTCGACCGACTGAGGAAGGCCAAGCTATACCTCAGTCAGACGAAATGCGACTTGTACTCGAAGCGAATGGACTGCCTTGGTCATCTCATAGACGACCGAGGACTGCACGCCGATCGAGACAAGATGGATCGCATCCGCAACTGGCGGACACCTCGTTCGTACAAGGAGGTGCAGCGGTTTCTGGGACTAGTCAACTACCTCGCGCATTTCCTGCCCGAGGTAAGTGGCTATACGTCCCCGCTGGCCGACATGTGCCATAACGACCGAGCATTCGTATGGCGAGCACTGCACGACAAATGCTTTGAATCAATCAAAGCACTTGTGAGTCGGGCTCCCATACTGAAGCCAATTGACCCCTCGATTGACGAACCCATTTGGGTGATCACGGACGCTTCACTATTCGGAGTAGGCGCCGTGTACGGTCAAGGACCAGAATGGCAGACTTGTCGACCTGCAGGCTTTCTGTCCAAGAAATTCTCGAGTGCTCAACGCGCGTACAAAACGTATGAGCAAGAGGCACTCGGAATAATGGAAGCCCTGCTCAAGTGGGAAGACAAGTTGCTTGGTCGTAAGATTCACATCATTACGGACCACAAAGCCCTCACTTTCTTCAACGGGATACCCAATCCGTCAAACCGCCAGGTTCGATGGTATGAGTACATGTCCCGCTTCGACTACGACATCACGTATGTCGAAGGAAGAAAGAACAAGGTAGCGGATTGCCTGTCTCGATACTACGAGAACGACACTTCCGACGACGTCACTCCGATACACCACATGGTGAATGCGGACGTGCGTCTGGACCCCGCTTTCGATGACCTACCCTCGAACCGTGTTCTCGAGTTGCGAATGGGAAGACTAGCATCCCATCCACTCGTCGAGAACAAGCACGAACGCGAGGCTGAGGCAGCAGCCTTGTCCGCCGCCCAGCCCACGTCCACGCCGGTTCAGAAGGAACCATCAAGGAATGGCAACGGGCCAACGGTTGCTGAGTCACTGACCAATGGACCATCCTTGCGAAAGAAGGTTGAACGGGACACGGACTTCATCTCCGCGATGAAGGCTGGGTACTCGGACGACCATACTTTTCGGAAGGTACTGGAGTCCCCGGACCAGTTCAAGACCTTCGTAGTACGCGACGGACTGATATACACGAAGAACCGTCAACATGAAGAGGTTCTCTGTGTACCCAGGACGCTGATCAAGCGCCGCCTCCTAACGGAGGTGGTGATTGACCAGGCACATACCACGATAGGGCACTTTGGATCTCAGAAGACTTCTGAGTACATCCGTCGGTGGTTCTGGTGGCCGAAATTGGGACGAGACGTAGACAAGTTCTGCATTACCTGCGGAACCTGTCAGACGTTGATACGCCTCTAGGCTATCTAAGCCCCGAAAACGCAATCTAGGCCTCTACGATGCTCCGAAGCTCTTAGAAGATCCACTACAACTGTTCGAAGATTTCGAAGTTCGTAGCCAACCCTGGCTCACCTTAGAAGACTATCCGCGACCTTCCGGCACCTCAGTGACGCTATAGGAGCACCTACCCACCTATCTAGACGACCCCAGAGCACGCAGGTCACTCGAAGATACACTATGTGTTAGAAGACACTCGAACATGTTAGAAGACGTGCTACGGTGTTAGAAGATCTCCTGCGAGACCATAGGATGCTACAGGATGTCCAGTGAGTCCTTGCAGGTCGTCTCACATCCTCGACGAGTGGTCTCGGTTTCCGGCGTCATGTGATAGCCGGTCGGCCTTCGGACCACTGGTTAGCGAGCCCGAGAGCAGTTGTCACGTGTTAGAAGCCATAGCCGGATGTTTGGGGCCGTCGGAGCTCCGTAGTGGTAATAGCCGTGTTTCCCTGTATATACTCTGGGACTGGTTCCCTTCGAATCTCAGAGACCCCCTTACCCTCTCAATCTCACCTCGCACTGGCGAGGTTCGTCAGCCAGTCAGTACGTTCGAAAGTCAGCAAGTTCGCCAGTCAGCCAGTACGTTCGAAGCCAGTCAGTCAGTCAGTCAGTTCGCCAGTACGTTCGCCAGCTCGTAGTTGCCCCGAGAGGCTCTACACTTCTTCTCCTGCCGTCGCTCGCCTTCCTTGTCACCGTTCGTTCGACACGTCTGTCGAAACCCTCCTTCCTACCTTCGAGGCTTAGCCCTCGCCTTCGAACAGTCTTCGACATCTTCGAAGCTCTCCCACGTCGTTCGGAGTCTTGTCCGTCCTCCTCCTTCTTACCTAGACCACTGTACAGTCCCCCGTACATCTCATAGACGCAGAGGCCTCGCATACCACTGCTCGACCTCACGGTTGGGTTTTTGTGTGGCTTTTGTGTTCTTTTCGGTCGCGTCAACGTCTAAGCCGCGCAACCATCTCCAAGCGGGATGGCTGCATACGCTCCCGATTCCGGTTCGACCATGGATATCGATGTCCATGGATTTCGTGGGACCGTTTCCACAAGTCAACGGATACGACTACCTGTGGGTAGTGGTATGCCGTTTGACGTCCATGGTACATTTAATCCCCATCAAGACCACCACCACCGCCGCCGAACTCGCAGAGATTTATGTCCGCGAGATCGTGCGACTGCATGGACTGCCTGAATCCATCGTATCGGACCGCGATTCGAAATTCACGTCCAAATTTTGGCGTGAAGTTCATCGCATATTGGGTGCGAAGTTGTTGATGTCCACTTCATTCCATCCCCAGACGGATGGATTGTCGGAAAGGACCATCCGCTCCGTATCCCAGATCCTACGCTCCATGGTGTCGCCGGACCAGCTGAATTGGGTGGATAACACATCAGGAAAAACTCATGTGTCTTGAGAGGCTCTCAAGTAATCTAAAGTAATAAAAGGCAGAAAGACAAGTCATTTACGTTTTATTCTTGGGAAAGACTTGAGAGTTAGCAAAGCTGCATTTTGGACTTGGGTATGAGACCATAAGTATTACTTGTGCTCTTCTCACCAGTCCTAACGTCCCAGCTTGAATGCCTTGACCAAGTCATTCATGACATTACAATGGAAGTCTTATGTGCTTATTCTCAAGGAGCTTTTACTTTTGGGCTTGAGACCAAGCTCTTAATTCTTTCAAGCAATGCCTATTAATTCCACTGATCCCTTACATTCATTCATTCACGCTTCTATAGTTGGTACAACATTGATATACATGCAGCAAAAGCACAACAGGCTCGATAGCAACGTACTACAAGCACACAGCAACGAATGCGAGACAACGTACATAGTAGATTGTTACCTCCAAGGACGTGGGGTATAGTAGACGCGAGTAGATATTGGTAATCTGAAAATAAAAACAATTTAGGTGAGTGCCCAGAGCGAAGATAAATGAGCTGTCGTACCCTTGGAGTTCAGACAGCTGGCGTAGGCGATCAGGGGTGGGCAGTATCGGCGTTCAGAGCAGGTTCGTTACCTGTGTGTCGCAACGTCAGCCCTAGAAGACATAAGAGTATCAGGCATATACTCGCGCTCCTGTCCCTCTGTGCCCGCTTGCTCTCCGTCGCTGCTCACACCAGGCTCAGCTGGAAGAACCGTCTTGCTCGAGGACGCTGTGTCGTGCAAGCTTCCATCAGTCATAGCTATACTGTCGTACACTGTTTGCTTACCCTGCGCCCCGCTGGTTCTCCCCTTTGACGATGTAGGTTTGCCGGCGGACGAGGGCTTCGCCGCAGTACTCGACGATGACACCGGACCCGCGTTCGAGGACGAGGGGGCGGTGGGCGCCTCGAGCACCATGTCCTGGAGCTTCGTCCACTTAACGAAGTCCTCCCCGTCGTCCTGGTCCGAATCTTCCTCATCATCGCCTTCAATTCTGGAGCTGTGAGTATTCTATCAGTAAGTAACTATTGCCTACGTCTGAAACGCAGAGCACTCACCTTATACGAGCCCACAATTGCTTCTTCATGTCAGCGTAGTAGTCGGGCGCGTTCTTCTGCGTAGCTTCGAGTATTGACATAAGATCGTCCCACCTAGCGACTGGTCAATACATCACTGCTTAGAGGAGTGTAGAATGACTTACTTTGGTGCGAAGGCCCTGTTGGTGAACGCTACTTGATTCCCGAACGCTATCTCGCTCAACGCAGCATCTATCTAATGACGTTGCGATAATAAGCACATTACAGAAAACACATCGCAACAGGAACCTACCGAGTTGCAGACCAAAGCGATGAGATTGTCTGGGACCGCGCTGAAGCGGTCGACAGGCACGCCTGTGGCATGACCCTGGAACCACTGCTGCACGATTATCTCCGAGATTGCAGGATGCCTAAACAGAAGCTCTGACTTGACAGAGCATTTCTGCACGCCTGGATTAGCGGGTATCACGACGCAACAACACGTCGGAAACACGTCTAGTGATAGAGTACGTACCTCCTTGTCTAGCTTATCCTTCGCGTTCCAGATAATCCTCATGTCACCGAACACGAAGTTAGGGATCTCACGCTTGCCACCCTTGACCTTCATCAGGTGAGTTTTGAGGAGCCATTGGGCGAGCGATATCCGTTGCTGAACCGACAGGCTGTTCAGCCCGTACGCGTGTTCGACCACGCTCTTCGCTTTCTTCTTTACGTCGAATCGAAACTGAGAGGCGACCGTCCAGACCTGCCGAGAATGAAGGTTTAAGATATTTTTGAGACCCACGACGTAACTCACCACTGTTTGGACATTCTTTCTCAGTGTATCTCCCTCGTGCCCCTTCTTATCCTGCACTTCGTTATATGCGACCCGCATACTCTTCACCCTCTTGCCGTCCTTGTCGCGCATGTCACGAGCCTCCTTCAAGGCAGTGACGACGAGCTGCATGTTGTCCAGCAGACGGGAACTTGCCACAGAGGAGTCGCTGGTCCACGCGTTTTTGAGTGCAAGGCGAAGCCGGAGGAAGTTCTGAGCAGCGGTGACAAGTGGACGGATATCAATGGGCAGGTCTGCAGCCTTGACGCGCGCTCGAGCCTTTACTTGAGAGCCCTTCCCTTTACGGCGTTTCTTCACGTCCTTCGTAGATATCTCCTACACGCTGCGTCTGTACGTCAACGCTTCGAATGAACGCAAGTACCACTTACCACCACATCATCCGAGTCATCCACGCCGTCCTCATCTGCTCCCTGCACCGAGAACCGGGAGCCACCGTCATCGTCCGATGATTCGAGCTCGTCCACCTTGTCATCGTCATCTTGCTCATCTTCCGAACTTGAAGCGACTATCTTGGACTTGGACGTATTCTTGCCCTTTCATCGACAAACACGTCAGGTTCTCAAGTCCGTATAACATACAATACTCACCCTTGTAACGCTGATCTCCACGTACGCCTTCTTCTTACCGCGCACAACATCCTTCCCCTTTCCCCCCTGCCTAGACCTATCCTCCTTCTCTGCCGATCCCGAGCGAACAGACACGTTCTCCTGCTCCGAGGCCTCCGGGCTTTCAATGACTACCGACTTCTTCGACGCAGGCTTTTCTTTAGCCTTGCCCTTTGCTGGAGTGCGTTAAGACACCAGTGTTAGTAGTGATACACGCAGCTCCTGATGCGATGTGACTTACGGGCGATAGCTTGTGCGATGCGCTGCTCTTCCTCGGTCAACGGGGCATCTCCCTTCCTCGTGTCCGGCTCGGGATTCTTCAACCGCCTGTAAGCCGGCTTAGGTTTAGCTCATTTCAAACATACATCAGTATTAGTTAGAGCTTCTGAGCTTATGAGATTGCACGTACACCGAGCAGGAGGAGAAGGGCTCTCCATGCGAATGTCCAGCTCACTACCGCTGTCTGGACTTCCTTCATCGCCACCGCCCTCGCCCTCGCCCTCGCCCTCGCCCTCGCCTCGCCATCGCCATCGCCATCGCCATCGCCATCGCCCTCGCCCTCGCCCTCGCCCTCGCCCTCGCCGCCGGAACCGCGAGCTTGCCTTGCTTTCTTACGGGGCTGTTCCTCATGTTCATCCTCCGATCCTTGTTCTTTGCGAGTCATCTCAGCCGTCCTCTTGCGCACCCCTGAGTATAGATTCGTTCATCAATTATTTTCAACAGCCGTGCAGAACGCACTCACCCGCCTGATGTTCCTCGTCCTTACTCTTTTTCTGAACTGACTGTCTCCGGAGCAACAGCTCGAGTTGCTTCTGCTCCTTCGCGGACAGCGGGGCCTCGCCGCCTGATTTGGAAGCCGCCTTGCTCGAATTTGGCGTCTTGGTTACCTTGTTGGTCTTTCGAGCCCGCGATCCTGTCGCTTTCGCCTGAGCGGTGAGTTTCTTCGAGTCGGCGGAGCGAGTTCGCGGAGACATGGTGCCGGTCCAAGATCAGAGAGAGATGAGCAAGCCCAGCGAGCAGAGGAGGGAAAGTGCGAACGTTGAAGTCACGACGCGGCGCCGAGCAATCGGGCGCCGAGTTGCGGTAAGCCGTTGCCCGAGGAGGTCCGCGCAAGATCACGGGAGTACGACGTTGTCCGTGAGTTGAGTTTATTGCCGCAAGACCAGCATGTCTTTTAAGAAAGAAACACACGTTCATTTACTTAACTATCTGACTCTACATGTCAACAACACTCGTTACTTCTAGGTTAGTGGAAATAGACATTGGAAGCCCAGCCGTTCCTATCGCTTTCTGCCCAGCGTAACATCTCTCGGTCCGTATGTAGCACTATTGAAGCCCGTCGCCCCTTGTAATGTAGATTAAAATGTGTGAGTTTGCATGAAGGAAAAATGACGAAATGGCCATGACGCAGCGGTATGACCAGGCCTGCTTCGTGCAGGCACAACTCGCCGCCCTCGAAATTGCCAACAGCAAGGACGACACAGACAGTGTCGTCCTTGCTGTCTCTGTGGGCGTAGGTTGCGACGTTGACGTTGATGACCAAACCCACGAACGGGTTGACCAGCGACTGCTGGTGGTTAGGGAGGATGCTGGACGTTGCCTCGAGATGACGGTATACGCCTGGAAGGATCGTCTGCACCTACTCGTACTAGATTAACACGTTCACAGTACCAGTAGAATACGGAAATTGAGTTTACCTTAGTATCTATCCAGCTGAACACATCGCCCAGAATGCGCTCCATTGCCTGATAGATGGGCTCATGGACCACCATATCTTTGGACGGATACGGTATCATTTGACGGTAGTTGGTCCTAGAGCGTCCCGACTTGCTCATCATTTGTGGCGGTACGTCCGAGGGCGCGTCGTGGCCCTATACAGACGGCATCGTTAGTGAACGTCAAGCACGGCACAAGTATTCAGACCTTTGTGGCGTGGCGGTTGTACCACGAGAAATGAATAGCTTCAAAGTCGTGCTGTGTTTGCGTCGCAGTGTCCACGTCGTTCAAAGGATCGGTATCGAAGCACACGACCAGCCGCTCCGTCAGATCAGCTGCCATAGCTTCCGACATCGACGTGCAGATCGACGCTACGAGACTGTTGTTTGCGCCTCTGAATGTCAGCACGTCTCTGTGAGTTGTACCTCGTGAGTAATTGCAGCATCACAGGTAACTAGGGCAATACTAGAACTACTACTGACCTTACAAGTTCTAAGGGTACGCGCACGTATGAGTCGTCCCTGATTCTCTTTCCTTCAGAGTACAAACAATCGAGCTGTAAAAGTAGGGTTCAAGTTTGATACGGAATTGAGAATCAATTCACCGCATACCTCAGTCTGGAGACCCTCAAAGCTTGCCGGTTGAACGCAGTTAGACGCATGTTGACGAGCTCGTTCTGTCCAGACAATATTCTTCTCTCTGTCGCCACGCGGTCCTGGATAGCGCTGGTTATCCTCCCGCTGCTCGTCATACTGGATGCGAACCACGATTTCTTCTAACTGCGGAGGGACGGGAGATAGCCTGAGCGGGGAATCGACCCGTGGTCTGGTAAGTCGAACTCCTGAGGGACGGGGGAGTCGATTGGGGTCAGCGGTGATAACGAGCCAAGTTCGTCGGTTGACGGATATGTGAACGTGTTGCTCGTGTCGCACTCATCATCGTAGCACGATATCCAGACGCCTCTGTTCCTTGGCACCAGAGAAAACGAGCTGTGAAGGATTAGTATGCCGTGATGACGTCAGTGCAATAGAGAGCTCGATACTCACTTCAGTTTCCAGGAGTCAAATACACGATCCGACGCCTCAAGATGACCGCATAGAGCCGATGGAAGAAACAATCTTGACGCTCCAGCTTGGGGAGCTGGCGGCAGAATACTGATGAGGCTAATTGGACACTGTTCTCGCAGACGGGCTACTGCGGGAATTATGATGTTTTTTACGAGCCGTCCAGTTCTCGAATCTGAACATTGTCTTAGAACAGTCCAGCATGAAGAACATGATCAGCTTACCGTCCGGCCACCTCAGGAGGTTACCGAAATCTTGCGCAATGTGTGCGTTGGCGGTAGCCAGAGGTACCCTGAGATTCTGAGCGGCTACTAGCACCAGCATATAGATAGAACCTGTGCGCGAAGTTTAAGACAAGTATCTAGTCTGTGAACAGAATCGAGCTACACTTACCACCTCCCGCGAGTCGCGCAAACTTCACACCAGTAGTATTCCAGTCCTGAAATGTTCTCTTTTCTGGCGCACCCTCAACGCCTTCGAATTCTCTGCGCCAAATTCCAGCCACCGTGAGCTTGCCTTCGTCCGATTGGCCATCATCAGATTCAAGTATGCTATTCACACCAGAGCCAGTCAACACGAGGAGAAGATACCGTAAAGGTGACGTACCTTGCCACTCTAAAGGCCAGCCTAATGTGGCTGATGATCAGCCAGAAACTCGCTGCCGCGTCCAGCTTGAGGCTGTGCGCGCACCGGGCTACCAGAGAGCGTAGCGATTCATCCTGGCGAACAGGCGACCCCTGCAGCTGCGTCACGTCTGCCTGTACCGCTTTGCACACGTCAAGGAGCTTCGCATCGTTGAGATTCGAGGTAAGCAGAGACGTATACTTGTGAACAGCGGCACCGGTGGTAAGACTTGGCTCTGAGGTGTTTTGCCACTGCTGCGTCGGTGCCTCCTCGGACTCCGTCGAGGCGTGGGACTCCATTGCAACGTTAGGCGGGAGGAACTGTATCCCGCCTCGAGGGCAAGGAGGGAGGCGCTGCTGTGGTCGCTGTCGGAGCAGTCCTCGAGCGCGTTCGTCACCGCCTGGCTTTTCAAACCGGTTTGCGGCAACAGTTCTTGCAACTGGCTGAGGGGCGTAGGGGTGAGCTTGCTCGCGGGCACGTCGAGAGGCCCGTGTTTGCCGCTGGGGGCCAGTAGCAATAGTGCCGCCGGTCAGAGATTCGTCTGCTAATATCGTCTGTTAGCGCACACTGAGTGTGTAGTAAAGTGCGAGAGTGACACGTACCTCCTGTGTGGGCGGGATCAATCTCAGTGTTGTTGTCCGTACAGTAAGATGTGTTCTCCAGATTCACTGTCAAAATCATTGGTTTAGTGAACAGCACAACGATATATTTCAGCTCACCAGTCGTCGGATCAATGTCAGGCTGCGCGTAAAGACTTGACTGTCTTTGCTGGTTGTCGTTAAGTCGCTCAACGCGGTGTGGGCCCGGAAGTCTGTGCAGCAAGGACGTAAGTCGCGCGTTGAGGTTAGGGGTTTGCAGCAACAGCTCCGTTAGATCCGTTTGTTCCTCCGGAGTGAGTTGCATGAAGCTTGACTCGAGACTACGGAGGCGTCAACTAAGTCCCGCCACCTTGGTACCGGGCGCTTCCTAATTTCGGACGCCCCTCGTGATGTGGCCTGAGCTCGGACAGCGTAACCTCCGAGCTGTAGTAGTGAATAGACCTCAAAGATACGTACACACGCGGACACGGGAGAGTTTTGCGTGACAGTAGATAACAACGAGTAGCATAGGTAGCCGTACGGGAAGCGATGATTGTAGCGACGATAGCGTAACAAAACGAACGAGACAAAACACGAATACGTCTAGCCGGAACCTGGTTTCAGCGACTAGCAACGAGTAGCCCGCTCACACCTAACGCGCGCAACTCGGTCAGTCTTCCTGACTGTCCTGCGATGAGCCACCGTCCTGTGATGAGCCGCCGTCCTGGGACGACTCATCTTCCTGCGAAGACTCATCTTCCTGCGAAGACTCGTCTTCTCTGGACGCCTCGCCGTCCTGCGAAGAGCTGTCCTGGGACGCTGAACCGTTCTGCGAAGAGCTGTCTTGGGATGCCGAACCGTCCTGCGACGATTCCCCGTGGTTGCTGTCCTGCGAATACGAGCCGTCGTCTGCTTCCGGACGGTACGTAGGATCTGCGATGGGGTCGCTCGATATGGGGTCGCTCATACCGTCACCGGAGCCTAAGTAATCCGAATCCGTCAGCGAGCTCTTCTTGTTCGCGAGAGCGTCTTCGAGGTGAGGTCTTTTGAGTGCTGACACAGCTTCTTCAAAGTCGCCGTCGTCCAGCGCTCGCTTGAGGTTCTTCCCCACAACGAACGCTTCGCCCACGGTGCCAGGAAGGCCGTCGTCTTCGTACGAGGTCGAGGCGTTCGTCATCTTTGCTCGCCTTTCTGCTGCCATGTTCCAGCTTCCACGGTAGACTTGCCTTCGTACAATCCCTACAGGGCCTTTGATATGAGGCAAGCTCAAATTTGGCGGCGGGTTGAACTTCTGTTGGTACGCGGCTATTTCGGCATCGTTGACGCATTGGGTGACGTTGCCTACGATGATCCTGTTGAGAACTTTCTGTCGCACTGACAGCATGCACTCGCGCCAGCGATCTTCCCACTGCCTGAGTGCAGCCTTCTGCTCAGGAGTCGCGTACTTCCTCCGCAGAAGCTGATATCAATTTAGTATAATCAGTCCCGGATAAGAGGGCTGTACTTACCAGAGCCTTTCCGCTGCGTACCCAGGCTTCAATATTGTCTTTCCAATGCTCCGCAAGATACGCGTGATCCTCAGCACCTTGGAAGACCCACATATACGCGCGGATCTCCCCCACGTATATTTTACCGCCGTAAGCGTGGCCGCCCGTGATGCATTCGTCGTCCGGACAGGGGAGCTCGACCCATACCGGCTTGCTGATGTCTATGTCGGGTGGCGGGGTTTTGACGACCTTCTCCTGCGTGGAAATGACGACGAACACCACGGAAGAGATCTTCCGGGTCGGGTCTGGAGGAAGCGGTGGCAAGGGAGGGGGAAGAGGAGGGTTTGACGGGATGTAGCTCGGTGAGAGAGGCGATAGAGGGGTGAGCGGAGACGATCCTTCCTGCTCGTTATCTGGGCCCGCCTGCGTCCGTGACCCGTCGTCGTCGTCATCGTCGTCCGTCTCCATCGGCACCCCTTCCTCTGACGCGTCGCCCTCTGATCCGGCCTCCCCCTCGTGGCCGGCTGATCCCGCCTCCACGTCGTTGCCCGCTGATCCAGCCTCCGACTCGTCGCCCTCCGATCCAGCCTCTGACGCCATTTGCTCCACGTAGGTTCGTCCCACACCCACTTCTGGCTCAAGCAGCGGGACTGGCATGTTGTCAGTAACCTAAAGAAAAACGTGTTAAGGTTAACAGAATGTTAGGCTATAGGTCGTGCTCACCTTGGCGAGTACGTGCGGAACACTCTCCGTTCTCGCAGACTCGACGACTGCACAGTCAGCGCCCAAACTGACACTGAGGTCCTTGCGCTTGGCGTGGTAAGACAGCCCTACCATACAGTCCGGAATCTCTATGTGGTCCTGCCTAACCAACATCTTCGCCGCGTTCTCCGTCACCAACATGCCGGCGGGCAGCGGGAACTGAACCGTAACTGGTTTGATGGTCTCCTCTACTATGTTATGAACGCAACCTTGCAGGGCGTCCTGGTGCAGGCCGCTGGGGGAACCGGACACCACCGTCTTCATCGCTCGATCGTAACGGAACCTGAGTATTTGACCTGTTATAAGATATTCTAACCTCCGTAGAGATCGTAGCTAGTACTCACCAGAAATGACGAAGAATCTCCGGTTTGTCCCTCAACTTCGTCTGGAGGAGAACCCAATCTTCTGGCTCAAAATCAGGTGTCTATTAACAGTTAGCGAGGTCTCCCTCATGTCAAAGCGCTCACGTACCTGAATTAAAATGTCGGACAAGGCAGGGAAGTCCCTGTCGTCCAATAGGTCGCCAAATATGCGTCGAGCGAAAGGCCAGTGGCGTACAGCCTCGACGTAGTCCTCGTCGTCGACACTGGTGGGGGGAGACGACGGCGCGGCTCAAGGAAGTCATTTTCTCGTACGATAGTACGATAAGCACAAACGTGTACTCACCTAAGTCCCTGAAATCCCAAAGGATGTTCTTCGGCGATGCGCTAGACGGTAACTTGTTGTCGGAAGGGGGACTGTCGGGCAAGTCAGACCAGTCGTCGGTGTCGCGATCCCTGAAAGTGCCCAGGGGCCGGAAGGTAGGAGAACGAAAGGGATGCATGAGGAAGGCAGCGCGAGAGAGAGCGTCAGAACCCTGCCTCACGAGGGACTGTACATGGGAAGGCGCACCGCAACTATTAAACCTTGCATCAAGTGACCGGAGTTGGACGGACTTCCGGGACGAGCAGATAAGCGTTCTGACGCGTACAGGGGCCACGCAGACACTCCGCAGGCACTACGCAGACCAGCACCAAGTGTATTCATCACCGCTAGCGGGTACTACGGCGTACTGCCTAAGTCCGTGCCTGCTGGACCCTCAGAAGCTCAAAGCTCGGGGCGTTAAGTCCCATTTCCTTATTGGGGCGCGCGGTCTGACCGCGCGCCCCAATAAGGAAGTCCTCCGACTCGGCGCGCCCTCGAAGAAATACTGGCGCAATTGGCAGAAGAACAGGTAAGAGCACTCACCTTCACCAATGCTAGACAGACCGCTAACGCTTGACGCACAGGCAGACTTTTGGGTGGTACGGTAGCACCACACTCCCTGTAAAGGACGCAAAGACAACGTCAGCGTAATTGAACGAACTGGTCAATCAATGACTTGCCGGAGCAAAATCCTGCGGTGTGCGACGTGCGTGTGCAGAACAACTTGAAGTGAAGAGCGTGCCGCCGTAGACGCGTGCGGCATGGCGAGATTGACAGGGCCCATCAATGTCGCGCGGTCAAGGCGGACTTGCCGCCAAGTCAGGGAAGAGGAAACGTAACGTAACTATGCGCAGCGTTCGTTTCCTCTAAGCTTCGAGTTCAGCAGCGACCTCTCAATCCACACGAGATACGCCAACTCTGAGCCGTTTTACTGGAATTTACTGCCAGTTGGTGAGACTTCAATGTGTGTCCGGCAAAAAAATCACTTACTAAAGACTCTCCAGACTCGTTAGACATGCGCAGGCGGTCAAAACGCTCGTATGCCTTGCTGGGAGAGACGTGTCATGCATGTGGCGGTTCATTTGACAGCATGCAAGGGCTCATGGCTCACCAGACGATGAGCCGCGGTTGCGCCTGGTACAAAAAGGGCAAATTGAGGGAGAGTCTTCGGGATACGGATGTAGTATCCGATTCATCGGACGACGAGGATGAGGCTCAGGATGGCAATGCAGTGAACAGGTGAGACTCACTGGTGGTATTCGCTGTGTTGACTTTTTATATCTGAACATGCAACACCTCAATTTCAGTCTAGACGATGACCCAGGTGACGAGGATGCAGATAGTAGTGGAGAGTGGGAGGATGAAGATGAACGTGACGCACAGTATCAATTCTTTCCAGTAGCTGGTCCCAGTCAGCCCATAGCCTCGACATCTTCAGCACCCTCGCCTTCCCGACGTACCGCCCTTTCGCTAGACGAGGACGACGATGATAGGGTGGAGGATATTGACATTAGTGCGGGAAAGGTTACAGGGACCGCGGAAACGATCAGAGAGTCATGGAGGGAGCATTTCGATAGCTTGGGCGGGCAGAGACGCAGTGAGTATCAACTTATCCTGCACTGCGCTAACCTGACAAATCAATATTAGGTGATCGAGAAGTACTAGCACGGGTCAACGGTTTGTGGGCACCCTTCGAGTCAGAGATGGACTGGCAGATCGCGAAGTGGTTCATCAAGGAAGGGATTGGGCAGGGCGCTGTAGACCGTTTTCTTCGTATACCAGAAGTGAGTGTGAAGCTGTCAGGATCGGCTAGATGAACTGAATAAAACTACAGGTGCAAGAGAGGCTCGGACTCACGTATCACAACAACCGGGCCTTGCTTCAGAAGGTCGACTCCATTCCTGAGAGGGCGTCCTGGAAGGAATGCTGGCTAACCTTCAAGGATCGTCCCGGTGAACGACATTTGGTGCAATACCGCGACATTATCGAGGCAATCAAAGCTTTGTTAGGAAACCCTGCTCACGCGGGTCGCATTGTGTATCGACCCAGCCGCATCTTTTCGAATTCGACGCGCACTAACCGGATTTACACGGAAATGTGGACCGGTCAATGGTGGCATGCAGTCCAGGTAAGCACTATCTACACAGACATCTTACCTATTGCTGAACAGGATTGAAGAGCATCTTACCAGCGGGTGCTGCGCTCGCGCCGGTCATTATCTCGACCGACAAGACGCAGCTCACTCAGTTTTCAGGAAACAAGTCCGCTTACCCGGTGTACATGACTCTGGGCAACATTCCCAAGGATCTTCGTCGCAAGCCCTCCGAACACGCCTGCGTACTGATCGGCTACCTGTCAGTGGACAAGGTTGACTCCGCCGGCATCACCGAGAACAAGCGGAGGGCGTTGGTCCAACAACTCTTCCACGCCTCTGTGCGCACCATCCTCCAGCCTCTCGTCGACGCAGGCAAGGAGGGAATTGACGTGACGGGTGGCGATGGAAAGGTGCGCAGGGTTCATCCAATCCTGGCGTCTTACGTCGCGGACTACCCAGAGCAGTGCTTGGTCAGTTGTACCAAGTACGGGACTTGCCCCATCTGCCAGTGCCCGGAGAGCGGCCTTGGGGACGCGTCAGCGAAGACGCCTCGCGCCCAGCTCTGGACCCTGGATGTGCTACGGAAAGCTCGTCAGCAAGGCGAGAGAGGCTCCACAGCCTTCTCCAAGTCTTGCAAGGAGTACAACGTCTCCGGTTACTGCGTCAAACCTTTCTGGAGGGACCTACCATACACCGACATCCACTCCTGCATCACGCCTGACGTCCTTCACCAGCTCTATCAAGGTGTATTCAAGCATATAGTGGAGTGGTCCACCGAACTCATCGGAGAGAAGGAACTCGACCGTCGCATCCGCTGCCTCCCTCCTTCCTACGGCACCCGTCATTTCAAGAACGGGATCTCTGCGCTCTCTCAGGTGTCCGGTAGTGAACGGAAGGACATCGCCCGCATTCTACTGGGATGCCTCATCGGTCGTATACCGAATGCTGCGATGCTTACCTTCCGTTCGCTACTGGATTTCATCTACCTTTCTCAGTACCCCACTCACGACAACTCCACCTTGGGATATATGGAAGACGCCCTCAAGACGTACCACAAAAACAAACACATACTGCAAGAACTCGGCGTTCGGGAGCATCTGAACATACCAAAGTTTCACTCACTTCTTCATTACGTCGATTCCATCCGCAGACTCGGCACGACTGACAACTTCAACACAGAAATGTTTGAGCGGTTGCACATCGATTTCGCGAAGAAGGCGTGGAGAGCGTCGAATCACCGGAATGCTCGTCCACAGATGATCCAATGGCTTGACAGGAGGGAGAAGGTCTCCATGTACGAGACCCTGCGTGGAAGACTCACCGACGATTCTGAAAACCCGCAATCACTCTCTGAATCGGACTCAGAGAGCACTGGTAGTGGCGCGTTGAACTCTGAACCCGCCAGCACTGAACACCGTCCTCGGAGCGGCAAAACACGTATCAAACTAGCCAAGCATCCGTCCTTCGCTCAACAGTCCTTACCTTCTGTCGAAGAACGACATGCTGCACCAGGCTTTACCCGCGCGATCTCCGACTACGTCTACCAGTTAAAGCTGCAGCGCAGGCTCCGTCCCAGCGAGCTGGATCGAGCAAGCCGTCACTTACCGTTTGCCAGAGTGGACGTCTTCCACGGATTCAAATTCAACAACGTACCTCTCACGGACAACACAGAGGAGAAGGACAGCGTGAAAGCAAGACCTTCGGCAGGAGATCAGCCAGCCAGATTCGATACGGTTGTCGTACTGCAAGGTGACGACGCTGAAGCCACAGGACTACAAGGTATGTTTGACTTCTCCAGCGGTGCGCCAGTAGCACCTAACTCTTGCATGATGCAGGGACGCGCGTCGGAAGACTGAGAGTCATCTTTCAGCTTCCCACAACCATACGGGATCCCACTACTCACCTTGAGATGGACGCACCGGAGGAGTGGGCACGAGAGGGGGCATTAGCCTACGTAGAGTGGTACGGCAAGCTGGGCTCGACGGCCAACCCGGTACATATGATGTACGAAGTCAACAAGCTACCTCTGCGGTCAAACGGCGTACCTCAAGGAGAGGTTGTACCGTTGAGTTCAATTCGTCAATCTTGCCAATTAATTCCCCGTTTCCCTTTCCCCTCGTCATCCGATTCTTCCAACCACTCAATACCTGATAACTGGACCTCAGATACTGTTTTGGACCGAGCTTCAAAGTTCGTATTGAATAATTGGTCTAGTAAATACGTGTATCAGACTATATGGTGATGCTGAATACATGGGACTTGTATTGCATCCTGTACCCGCCCTCCCGCCCGCCCTGCCGTCTGCCCGCTCACCCGCCTGCCAGTCGGCTGTTGCACTCCCGCCCTCTCGCACTCCCGCCCTCCCGCTCGTGCACCCACCCGCCTTCCTGCTCACCCGGTCGTCCTCTCGCACAGCCGCTCTCCCGCCAGTCTGCCCATCTTCGATGTCGCTTGTCTGCTTGCCTGGTGCGCAACCTTCCCACTCGCGTGCACCTGCGTTCGTCGGCGGTCAGCGTGTGCTCCTGCCCGCCTGCTCGTCCGCCTTCTGGACAAGTCTTGGCTTCGGCCTGTGCGTCTGGGTGATCCGTACCCTGTACCGCCTGACCGCTCGCCTGCCCGCTCGCCTGCCCGCTCGCCCGCTGCCCGCTAGTCCACCGCTCGCCTGCCTCCTCGCCCACCTGCGTGTACCTTCTTCGGCCGCGCTTGCATCCCGGGCATTGGCCTATCACGTACACGGTCGGCGAGTGCTCCCGCCCGCTTGGCTGTCCGCCGCGGTTTGTCGGCCGTGCCTGCACGCAGGACAGTGGCTCTGCGTGCTTGCGGTCGTCATGTGTGTTGCGCTTCATGTCACCGTGTCCTGTGTTTGCGTTAGCGGGCTCGCTCGCATGCGTCTGCACTCACGTCGCTGAGATGCTTGCGAACTCAATCCGCACGCCTCTCGTCCATGTCCGCAATCCGCCCTCTATGATGTTCCCACATTTGCCACGCGTGGTCGGGCCTGATACCGTGGGGAGGTGAGTACTCACTTACCAGGTCTAGCGGGGTACTCGCCCTCGCCTGTCCATCGCTTGCATCCGTCAAGCTTAGGGCGGGCGAGGGTCGGTGACGTCGGGCGGGTGATCGAGATCTGATCTGAGCGCCTTCGCGTCACCGGTGTTGTGACCGTCGTACCGCTGCACTTCCGTCGCGCCGTCTGCCACAACCTCTGAAATCTACAGGTTCACCGCTTCGTCTCCTCTCCTGCTCTTGTATCTGACGCGTCGTCAAACAGGTCATGTCCCGGCGGCAGAAGAGCCGCCAGCCAGCTGCCGGCTTGAAGGAGGTTCAGTACGTCGGTTTTCAACGTGTTGACGTCGACAAGAGCAAAGTCCATAGGGACAAGCTGGACGAAGACGGTCTAGTATACTGTGGCTATCGTAATACCCAGGATTACTCTGACGTTCCTCTGCCATCTTCCTATCGTCCGCCACCTCAGCCGCCAGTCAAGCAGCCTGCGCAGGGACCCGTGGTGATCGACTTGGTGTCTTCGGACAGTGAAGATGAGGGCTCTTCTGGTAGCGCGGCCGGCCAGTCGGCGGCAGCATCGGGTTCGGACAAGGTGAGTGCGCGATCAATGAAACCTACTGCAGGGCTGAATGCAGTTTACTCTACAGCGTAGCGGTGCCAAACGTGCCACTCCGGCAGAGTTCATGATCCTTCGACGCAGCAAGCGACACCAGAAGGAAGACACGCGCCAGACGCAGGCACCGAAGGGCGACGTGCGGTTGGGAGATCATGGGAGAGTGAGACGGAGGGCAGGCAAGACAGAGGGACAGGGAGACCGTCAGGATGCTCAGCGAGCCGTGCGTCCGGTTGCAGGGAGGTCGAAGAGTGGAGCCAAACGTAGGGCTTAGCGTTGCACGCTGGACGGAAGCCTAGCTAG